TCCGAGCAGAAGATCCCATCTAGGTGAACTTTTGCAGTGTTTCATTCAAAAATCCTTTTCCGTATCATTGAAAAAGTACGATTCTTGTTGCAGTTTGCCGGTTCTTTGCACACAAGGTTGTCACAGTACGCGGGGAGTTTCCCAGGATTTCTGTCTGGAATGAGCAGGATTGTATCGTGTTGTCATTATGTCCAAGAGACTTTCAGTTGAGACTTCCAGTGCTGCTGCGTCCTCATTGTTCCAACAGTGTACACCGTTTGGGATGAGCATAATCTCAGGTATCTCGCGGAGGGGGGTAATTGTAGTGAGGTGGAACCACGTTGAGGGCTGATAAGTCATATCCGTCTTGGTTCTGCTTAAGACTTGTGGTTTCCGGGTGTGCAAATCAAAGTGTTGCTGTAAAGCTGTTTTGCTCGGACGGTAATGATGCAGAGCATGCTTGTCGCTGGTGGCAGCTGTTGGGGGGAGAATCATAGTAAGTGGCTGTGCATAAGTCCCTGGGGGATGCGGGGCAAGAATTAGTGTGGTTACCACAAATGTAGACCCGCGTTGGGGTTAGAACGAGCAGCGTCCCGTGCGTTTTTGTAGTCAGAGTCGGGTGCTGGATGTTTTGAGCGCATCAGGTCCGTCGCGTGTGAACCGCACTCTCCGATTTTAGAGTTAGTGTGCTACGTCATTATAATTCCGTCGGGTGAGTCGTAAGGGTTCCTGTTAACAATTCAGGAAGTGGTGTGCCTTTGTATTCATGAAAAAGATTGCCAGGAGTAGTTCTAGTGATCTTAGTGGTTTTGTTGCAATCTTCCACCTTTTGACAAGGGTCACGTTTTTGGTGGGGTGTTGAGATAAGATGCCAAAGCCAATCATGATCGAGGGATAAGAGATAAGAATCTTATCATGATAAGGTATCTTAGGGTTGAGATAAGATGCCGAGGCCAATAAGGATTGAGTGATAAGAGATAAGAGTCTTATCATGATAAGGCATCTTAAGTAATCTAAAACTGGAAAGTTAGCCGCCATGATAAATGAATAATGGCAAGTTTAACCGAAGGTGTAAGTGTATAAATACAAGAGGTTTGTCCCTTGTATTTATGTTTGAGAATATTAGTTTGTAGGCTAGTTATATTAGTTAAATATAAATAAGCAACAAACATAAGAAAAAGTGAACATATACAATGGATATTCATAATAGAATAGCTAGATTACAACATGGATATTCATAATAGAATAGCTAGATTACAACAGAATCAAGATGTGTTTTTCTGTTATGTGATCTTTTGATTGCTTTTACCGGCACAAGACTGTCACAGTTTGTAGCCACGCGTAGATTTTATCGATAAATGTAAAGTTACGTCAGCAACTTTAAAAAACTGAGCTTCATGTTCCACCCACCTAACTGTTAAGCAATACCGATAGTTAAACGTTTTTTAGGAATGTTGGTGATGAGATAATATTAGCGTATTGATCCTACTGCTCACTATCAAATGCAGCGACTGAGCCACTTCACCGCAATGAATATCATGCTGGTTCCACATATAGCATATTTTCGTATTACAGATCAACAAAGTGATGCTTTGTTAATCTAACAATAACCGTATATTTTCCAACATTGATGATAAGGTACTATCAACCTGCACGAAACAACGGTCATTGTACCCATTCAATATTTACTTGCATCTTTAGCAATCAAACAAAACAGTCCACACTCCCATAAAATAGAAAGAATCCCGCTCACAGATAACAGTTTTCCACATGAACAATACGCTACACCGAAGATTCTTAGCGCGTTTGCTGAAGTTCTTATCTTAGACTGTTTCGGATAACCCAGAAGAGCTGAATGCGTCAGAAGACCTACTGCAAGAACCAAAGACCAAAGTTTGCCGCTAAAAAGTAAACAGTAAAGAAACGGTGCACCAGCAGCATTTACTCTTATGCCATTGTACAGTCGTCCCCTTTATACTCGCAGTTTGTAGCTGATTTCTACCCTGTCTCTCTTACGGAAACTCCATCCTCGCTTGGTTTGCGCTCCTCGGCGAAATCCGCTGGCGTGGGTGCTTCCTACCTTCAAGTGCCGACTTTATCTTTGTGTACATTTCTTTCGTGACTATAGGCAAACCACTAACCGGAGTAAGGACAAAACAAACGGTTTGCAGCCGTGCCAGGTGTCAAACGTTTGAGGCCCCGTACCCTCGGAGAAAGTGATTTGCGCATATTAGTTGTTGCCCGGCCGGGAAGCCAGTACCGCCTCTAGCGGCAGCCGAAATTTTGAGGTGCGATAAGGATACAAGGCTACACTTTCCGTTTTAGGCCTCTGATAGCTAACTCCCGTGCTATTTCCCGAGGAAATGACGTGAAACGGAGAGTGGTAATAGACGTAATTGCTATCAGCTTTACTGTTTCCCACTAGTTAGCATTTTGGGTACCATTTCTCATATCTATTGTTTGGAGCTCTCAATGCGTTTCCGTTAAGGCTTATCAGCGATATCGCTTTATGTGTACCAAAGTCGGTAGTGCTACCGGCGAGTTGTGCTAGCTGTATTTTCTTTGCTCTCTTTGGATAAAATCATCCGCTTCTCCCCCTGTTGTGAACACACTGCTTGCTTCTCTAATATCTCTCCACCACTACTGTTTTCTTTCAGTTTATCAACAGCTGGATTTCAACGCTCAGCTCAACTTCTCGAAATGAGCTCGTTACATCCTGAGAAAACTAGAGAACAAATCCTGGAACAGGCTGACCAGGAATGGATTCCAGGAACCGTCTTCCTGGTCGATGTTGACCGTTCGTTAGCTGTGCAGCACGAGGGCCAATCTGATATTGTTTTGATCCCCCAGCCATCGAAAGACCCAAACGACCCATTGCGCTGGTCCCAAACAAAGAAAAACATCCAGTTTGCGATCTTGTTCTACTGGTCCTTCATGACTTCGGTTGCCACAAATTGGAATGGACCTGTTTGGGGTATTTGGGTGGAAATATTTGAAACTTCATACTCTGTGTTGAATGACACATCTGCCGTTTGTTGGTGTTTCCTAGGCCTAGGGTGTTTGTTTTTACAACCAACAGCAATGACTCTTGGTAGAAGATGCGTGTATCTTTTTGCAACTCTTATTCAAACTCTAGGCAATGTTATGGGTGGTGTGGCAAAGAACGTTGGAGTTCTCTATGGTGTAAATATCATGACAGGGTTTGCTGGTGCCCCATGTGACTCTTTGGTTCAGATTTCCACGACCGATATCTTTTTCCAGCATGAAAGAGCAACAAGAATCTCACTTTTGACGTTTGCCCTCTACTCCGGCTCGTACCTCGGCCCTATAGCCGCAGGCTATATTGTCGAGAACAACCGTTTCGGATGGAGATGGTGCTACTGGTTCTTGGTCATCTTCTTCGGCGCATTACTTGCTCTCCAGGTTGTCTTCATGGAAGACTCGACTTTCGTAGGCCAGAGAGAAAATGAAACTGAGGTTGAGAAGGAGATCATTGCCCAGGTTATCAGTAAAGAAGAAGGCCAGGTGTATGTTAGTGCTTCTTCTGAAAAAGACCAGAATGTTACTGTTTTCGAGGAGAAGGACTTTGCTGCACCGCTCGACATTCCAACCCAGAGAACATACATGCAGAGAATGGGCCTTATCGAGCGCAAGTACAACGACAAAAGACCATGGTGGAAGATCTTTATCCGTCCATCGTTGACGCTGGCCTTACCTGCCATTGTTTGGGGTGGATTTGTCTACGGCGTGCAGGTCATGTGGTTGTCGCTTATTGCCACCACGCAATCCGAATTCTTCTCCGTTGCGCCATACAACTTCAGCACGGCTGCTGTCGGTGACACAAATTTCTCCTCGTTGATCGGCTGTTTCATAGGCATGTTCTGGGGTGGCCCACTTTCGGATAAGTTTGTTGCCTGGAAGGCCAGAAGAAACAACGGTGTCATGGAGCCGGAGTTCAGACTATGGTTCTTGATCTTACCTGCTATCATCAACTCCGGTGGCTTGCTCATGTACGGCTTGGGTGTCAACGCGGGAGTACACTGGATTCTTCCAGCCGGCTTTGGCATGGGCTGTCTTGGCTTTGGCATGGGCTCCGGAGGAGCCATTGTTCTTACCTACGCGTTGGACTGCTACCCGCAACTACAGAGCGAAGGCATGGTCATGATACTCTTTTTGAGAAACATGATCGGTATGGGGTTCACCTTCGCCATCCAGCCATGGTTAGACACCGATGGTATGGTGACCACCACCTGGTTGATGTTCATGCTCTCTGTTGTCTTCAACATGAGCTGTTTGATCTTCATCATGTGGGGTAAGAAGTGGAGAAAAATGACCAAGAACCTCTACTTGAAGTTCTCCGACCCTCATTTTTTCTTGTGAAAATCCCTCCACTGGAGCAATCTTCCACTTAGATACACTTTTATACCTCTGCTTTATTACACATATCTCTATATTCATTCCAACTACCCTCCTGACTCGTAACCCAGCTGCCTACCCCCCCATACCGGTCCCAGCCGGCCAAATGGGACTTACGCCGATCGGCGTAGTTACCATTTATTCTGCAAGATTCGATGCGACGAGAATGCGAACTTTGACTTTTTGCTTCTGGTGAAGTTGGCCGTTCAGTTTAAATTCGACCTGGTTTGAAGCTGCCAACCGTCCCTGTTATCTGTAAAGAAAATAGTTGTCCCCGAGCTCTTGTACCCCACACCCCCACACACAAATACACAGAAACAACCGCAGATGTTCAGCGAAATCTTCTTATTCATTCTGGCAGTCATTGTGAATGCGCTCTGCCTATTCACTGAGGTCTACTTCAGTATCAGCTTCTCCGATTTGGAATGCGATTACATCAACCCAATTGAGTTGTGCAACAAATTGAACCGTTATATTGTTCCAAAGGCTGCTGTGCACGGCGTCTTGTCCATACTATTTTTGCTAAATGGCTACTGGTTTGTTTTCCTCTTGAACCTGCCTCTCTTGGCGTTCAACGCAGAGAAGATCTACAGAAAGAACCACTTGCTAGATGCCACTGAGATCTTCAGAACATTGGGCAAAAACAAGAAAGAGTCGTTCATCAAGCTTGCCTTCTTCCTACTCATGTTCTTCTTCTACCTTTACAGAATGATCGCCGCATTGATTGCAGACGACTGGGAGTAGATGTGATGGTCACATTTGCTTACCCGCCTTTACCCAGTCGAAAGAGACAGAGAAAGGAGATCACGGTTTTTGTTGCACTCCACGATTGTGATGTTCTCAGCCCAATCCACCGGTACAGTGGCCGCCCTCTCCAGTATATCTACATCTATATCTATCCACCTATATGTGTATGTTCTTTCCGAAACGTATGTATATTCACCGTATATACAGATCTGTATATTATTACTTATTATATTTTTCTATTTTTCTGATGGCAACTCGCCGAGAAGAGCGTTGATTCTTCTCAGGGATTTCAGACAGCTGGGCGTCGTATTTGGCATGTTGCCGTACTTGTCCAACCGGTAGTTGATTTCATCAATGAGCTTGTCTTGTGACAGGACTTCACCCTGTTTCGAAAACGAGCCTTCCTCTTGGAGCGTGATGAGTTGCTTGTAATGCTTATCCTGCACGGAAAAATGGGAATTGAGCCTTCGGAATTCGTCTCTCACCTCCGTGATTTCTAACCCAACCACCCCCCTCTCTTTCCGGAGTTCAAATATCTGCATGCGCAGCTTATCCTTTTCTGCGTTTATCTTTTCAAGGTCGCTTCGTATAAGAGCGTTTGAGAGCTGTAAGTCGATCAAACTGGTGAAGTACTCGTTCACACGGTCGTAGTACTCTTTCAGAGCTGTTTTAGCTCTCTGCTTGATTTCTTTATCCGAGCTGGACTCAGTCTGTTGCAGTTTCTTGCTTTTCCGCCCACGCTTTTTCTTCTTTGCTGTTTCGTGCAGTCGGCCTGCTACACCAGAAGTGTATCTTTCTACCGTACTGGGTGCACGTAGATAGTCCTTAATCACTTGGGAGATCACATCTGTGTAAATCAACCTTGCCTTGTTGGAAGGCATCCTGCGATATTTGAGCTTAATGGATTTCGACCGCACCGCCGCCGTTCTCTTGATATGTTTCACGTGCTTTGCCTCACGTATAACCATCTGCTTCTCCTCCAGCCTCTGCTGCAGCCGTCTAGCCGCCAATTCCCTGTGTTTCTCGACGACTCTTCTCTCCGCCTCGGAGATGACGCGTGGTGGAGGTAGATGCGGAAACTCCGTTTCTTCTTCTAATCCTAGTGCATCTTTAGGCTTCTTATTTGGGGAGGCTGTCTCTAAAAGTCTATCAGCAGCTTTTTCTGCTTCGCCATCATCGTTCCTTTCAGCGTCGGCGTCGGACAAAACAGTCTTATGTGGCGGCAGCGGTGGCGGCAAGTCAAGCACTAGGTCGTCCAAATCCAGCTCACGTCTCGCCGACCCCCTTTTCCTAAACTCTCTTTTTGCCTCTCTGCCAACCTCTAGTTTTGTTCTCTCCATATTCTGTATTTACCTGACCTCCTTTACCCCCTCCAGCCCCCTATCCTGACAATATCGACCCTCTTTTCTCCACCTCTTCCGTGTACTATCCATCTTGTTCTAAGGATCTCTCCACCCCACCAGCCGTCTCTTACGTAATCATATACACAGATTCTTGGCGTAATTGTTTTGTCCTTCTTCCTTTTTGCTGCTGCTGCGTTGTCGCCTTTCTGTCCTGGCTGAAGCTTCCTCTGCTGCAGCTGCCGCCAGGATCCCTACAGACGTTGCACAAACCCCACCCCCACTGACACCTATTCACCTCGCAGCCTGCATTGAATTGTAAGTTCTGCACAGCAATTGGCTCCATCTTCCTTTCCTCAGCACCCCCGTCTGTCCCGCCCCCTGCAGCACCCTGAGAGAGAGACTTCTCGTATCTCCATTTTTCTCAGTGAGCATACATTTTTAGCGTGTGCGACGTGAACGATCCATTCTGGTGCCAGTTCTTATTTCATTTCATCAGTTCGATTGTACGTGAGTTTCCGCTGCATTTGTTTTTCCCCTCTCTTCGGACGTGCCACCACCCGACGACAGCTTGCAGACCGATTTAGTTCGACTTGTTTTTATCTGAAAGCTCTTGCTTCGTGACATCTGCCACTGCGCCCCGCCTCTTATCACTAGAGAAACATAGCACAGATCAGCCTTGCTGATATCACATTGCAAATCATTTTCCTTTTCATTTTTTTGGTCTCCTTTCCTTTGCTTCGCTTCGGTCATTCAATCATATCCTAGGTCAAGTCCATTGAGTAAAGACTCTCTTTCTACTTTTTTTCCATTCAAATTTCGTTCACCTCGAAAGTATTCTATTCAGTCTTGTTCTTTAGGGAAAAATTAGCTCAATCATGTCTTCGGAAGATATCACCAACCAAACAACGTCTCAGGACTCTGTAATACCTCCATCCTCCTCAAATGCAACTTCTTTGAACAGACACGATGACTCGTCTTCGAATTCGTTGCCTTCTGACTTTTTAACCAGCTCAGTTCCTTTGCCACAACCACCGGAAAACCCTGCCAACACGGTTCCTTCCAAAACGCTATGGATGGGGGATCTTGAAGCTTGGTGGGATGAGGAGCACATTGGAAATCTGTGGGCCAAATTAGATAAGCATGTCGAAGTCAAGGTTATCAAGCCAAAACATAATCTTTTAATGCATCAGTTAGCCAAGACAAATGGCCAGGGCATCGTTAATCACTCAGGATACTGCTTCATAGAATTTGACTCACCAGACCTGGCCACTGATGCTCTATCCCTGAATGGCACTACTATTCCAGATTCAAATAACAAGACATTCAGGTTAAATTGGGCATCAGCAGCAACACTAGACTCTCAGGTTGCTCAGACACCTGAGTACTCCTTGTTTGTTGGCGACCTCTCTGCTGGAACCACAGAGGCTCATTTATTAGCATTATTCCAGTCACACTTTAATTCCATCAAAACAGTTCGGGTGATGACAGACCCCTCATCAGGCTTATCCAGATGTTTCGGATTTGTCAGATTTAGCAACGAAGAGGATAGAAGAAATGCTTTAGTTGAAATGAACGGAAAATGGCTAGGCGGTAGACAAATCAGGGTTGCCTTGGCTACTCCAAAGCACCAAAATATGAGTTACGGAAATAGCAACAGCAACAATAATGGCAGCATCAACAACCAAAATCAATATCAGCGTAACAGTCATATCCACAATCATCAAAATCAACATCAGCATCAACATCCTCTAGAACAGTCCATGTATGTTAATACAATCAACGGTCCTATGCCTGCTGCCTCAATCGGCTTCTATCCTCATTTTAATCCAAACAATAGGGGTAACATCAATAGCAACATGAATCAAGGCTTCAATGATTTGAACAACACCACTGTTTTTGTGGGAGGATTGGCCAACGGCTTGAACGAAGATACATTGTTAGCCCTTTTTGAACCGTTTGGCCCAATTGCAAACGTTAAAGTTCCACCAGGAAAAGGTTGTGGGTTTGTCAAATTTGCCAAACGTGAAGATGCAGAAAATGCAATTGAAAGCATGCAAGGTTTTGTCATTGGAGGTTCAAGAGTCAGACTCAGTTGGGGCAGACCAAGCAATAAAAATTTCCCAAGACAGCCACACATGTATCATAGCACCAATATGGCAAATATTCCACTGGTTGGTAGTGCCAATCCAAATATGAATAACATTGCTTTCAACAATAACATGAACAGCAATAACTTCCCAAATCACAACGGAAATATGAATTCGGACTCTAACGAAGATGATGAAGGGAACATGATGAACCACATGCCAAACGTAGCGATGTTCAATGGACAAAGTCCAGGTCAGCCCGTGATAACGAGACCAATGTTTGATTATGGTCAAGGAATGCCCCAACATCCTCCTCCCCCAAATGTCCCATCGGTAATCTCTCCAAATCAACTTCCTCAACAAATAGATTCATACCCCGAAAACACTCCACAAGGAACGCATCCAACACTGGTAGGGATTCCTGCAGGAATGCCGCCACCATTCATTTATGATCCTTACTTTGCAGTCCAGCAGCAGGGAAACCATATGAGCGTTGTCCCAGATGATAGTCAAGGAGTTCCCCAACCAATGAGCCATGCGTCAACGGGAATGATGGAGGTACCCAAGGGTGTTGTTCCAATCCATGGTGCACCACAACAGTACGCCATTGACCAGAATGGACAGTACATGATTCTGCCATCTCAACAATTTCCAGCTAATCCTATGGTGCATTCTCCAGGAAGTGCCTATGATGATAGTACATCAAATGCGAATGGAAGTGAACATAATACTAATGAGTAAAGATTTTTGTTATCTTTTGTTCGTTCTTCAGCCTCTTTCCTTTCTCGTGTTCTCCTTCCTCTACCGACTTTTTATGCAAAAGACATTCATTTTGCTTTAGTATCTTTTTCTTCACCTTGTCCTTTGTTACGCAATTTCTCCCTTTTTTAGTTCTGCTTCTCTCTCTTCTACTTTTTTATTTACATATTTACATTTTCCCTTTCACTAGTTTTTTCAGTTGTTATTGTCTTCGTCTTGGTGTTGTTTTAGCTGGGTTTCTTTTTATCTCATCAATTTTTTTGACTCTATTATTTTGTTTCTTTTTTTCTCACCTATAATTGATCTTCATAAAAGTATTATTTATAAACTCTTACATATAAATAAATAAACCTCGTTATTTCAGTGTGTCAACTGAGGGGAACTCCGGGTATAGTTTCAAGATTTTGTCGATCGATTCATGCTTCATAGCACACCAATCTTGAATGGTGTAAAAATCCGTGATCTTCCTGTTCCATTCCATTCTTTCCTTTATAACTTTAGTATCATCACCTGGATGATATACCTTTTGTAGCTGGGACCTCAAGTAGCCGAGATTCTCAACAGCATGTTCAAGGTCCAGGTCTTCAAACATTGGGATCAACATCTTAGTCTTGATCCTGTTACACAACCTGGGTGACTTACCATTAGTACTTATCATAATTTGCAATGGCCCTTGCCTATAAACAGAACCAAAATAGAAGTCACAATTTGCTGGCTTATCAGCAAGATTCACGTCGATTCCGAGACTTTTGCATTTTTGCCATATTCTCAAGCTCAACGGATAATTATTGATGCACGTTAGAACCATCTTGAACTTACACTGTTCAAAATCTTCAATAAGCTTGACTGCTTCTTCAGACAAAACTTCATATTCTTCATCGGATTCATCATTGTCATTGTCTAATTCCATAACACGTTGACGAATGTCTTTTGGTTCATATAGTTTCAAGTCTGATAATCTGAAATTACGCACGACCAAATCTTCCAATAACCCCATCTCATGATACTTCCTCAAAATCGGATGCACGCTTTCACCTGTGACAACGGTAATTTTGGCATTTGCCTGTAAGAGATGGTCTACACGAGAAAGTGCAACATCTCCAGCTCCAACAACAAGTACATGTTTGTCTATTAATCTAACGTTAGTGTCTTGTTTTGAAAGAAAGTTTTGATAAAAAACGAGTATACTCACTTTTTACTTGCCATGCAAGCATGAGAGATCCATTCGGTGGGGGCGGCACTATATCAGTCATTCTCTTCAGTTGATAGAACACTTTACTACTTCTGCAACATCCAAGTATGTAGAACGTTAGGTTTAAATATAAGCCGTATATTAGCTTGACTTGAAATTTACTTCGGAATCACCTTTGAGTAGTGTGCTGACGTAATATCACTACAAATACATTAACTTACATGAGTTTTTAACACTAGTCCTTCTTTTTGAAAAAAGACATCAAATTCGACTGTTTCCTAGCACTGTTACCACCCTTGTTTTTCAAGGGTTTGGTATCGATAGTGTAAGAACTTTTTGCTGGCGTGGTAGACGATTGAGCAGGTTTTGCTGTCTTCCGATTGACTTTCCGTACCACATATCCATCAGCATCAACGTAAGTTTCCACATCTGGCTGAGGCTCTGCTGGCTGGTTTGAAGAAATAGTCGCTGGATTTTCTGCAACGTCGTCTTCGCTGATGTTTTCAAGGGTTGCTTCTGTTTCTTCCTGACTCTCATGCATTGTCTTTCCCTGGGCTTCGTTACTTTTTTCTTCTTCAGGCTCGGCTATGTCTATATCGTCGTACTTGTATTCTGTTTCTTTTTCTACAGTGCTGTCATCATCACCTTGATTCACGTTTTCAAAGGCGTCATCACTGAAATCGTCCTCAAGCATTTTTGCAAGCCCCTTTTTCTCGTCTTCTTGTTTTTTCCTCTCAGCCTGTGAGGAGAGTTTTGCTCTTTTAGAAGAAGTTGCACTTGAAATGTCTTTATTTCCTACCTCGGCTGGTTCCTTATTTCTTTTTCTGGAAGTATAAAGAGGCTTTCTTGCCTCGGTGCTGATCTTTGTGGATGCTGAAGTTGATGGCGTAGGATTCGAGCTGGCCTTACGAGACACATAAACTGGACGGCTTTTGTCATGATCTTCCATCTTGGCTTTAGTCTTGCTTTCAGTCTTGTCTTGAGTCTTGCTCTCCGACTTATCTTCAATATGTATTGAATTCTGAGCCTTCAGTGGCTCGGTTTGAGCTCTACGTGCAGGCCGATCTTCCTGCTGTTCCTCAGGCTGTTCAAGAATACCGTTAGTAGCAGTTTGAAGAATCCCACACTTTGTCATATTTTCCTCAGAAAAGCTCCACTTGTTGGTGGTACAAGTATCGATAATGTTAGTCAATGAGACTGCCGATTGTAAATGCATACTGTACATCTGACAAGAAACAACACTAGAGAAGAGTTTCTCTATACTGTCATTCAAGTCATCCTTATCAACAATTTTCACTAAAACGTCTGCGTGCCTCTCAAAATTCTCCTCTTTGTCCATCTTTTTGACTGCTTTTTGTTTCCCACATACACTGTACTTTATTGAAAGATCTTTAAACACACTGTCCGTTTGATGAGAGGTGTAGAAATGGTGCATTATTTCTGATGCTTCCTTTGCTGGCACCATCCATTTTCGAGAAAGAAATCTGGCAGTAACGGGCTTTTTGCTTATACCAAGTCGTTTTTCCAAATAATCTATATGTTCTTGTGTCATTGAGGTTAGCGATTAGTTTCTAACTCACCTAATGTATCTCTGTCAACTTCTCACACGCTGCTTGTTTAACTTCTTCCTCTTGCAACTCATCCCGTTTTTCAGGTAAATGATGTTTCCATGCGACGCGTCTGGAATGGAGAAAATTATTTGAGCACACATTAATGAGAATGGTTTGTCGCCTTCAATTCGGGGATGAGACGGCAAACAGCTTTCATATGTGTGAATATAATGCCCTCCCACCATACTAAGAGGCAAACCTCATCATGGTTGAGTTAGATTGGAACAACGTGCCCAAAGATTTATGCCCTGTTTGCAAAACCGATAAGTATCTTTCCCCTGAAATCGAATTCAAGATCAACCCCGAGTGTTACCACAAAATATGTGATGCCTGCGTAGATAGAATTTTTGCTCTTGGACCGTCTCCATGTCCATATCCTAATTGTGATAAAATATTGAGACGAAACAAATTCAAAGCTCAAGTGTTTGACGACTTGAATGTGGAAAGAGAGTGTGATATACGAAGGCGTGTATTAAGTGTCTACAATAAAAAGGAAGGTGACTTTCAAACTCCGGAAATGTATGACAAATATTTGGAAGAGATCGAAGACATCGTATACAAACTCTTGAATAGGTTGGATATCGAGGAAACGGAAGAAAGGCTCAGACAATATTCGATTGAGAACAAACAATCTATCGAACTAAATAATGCAAGACGAGAACAAGAATACGAGAAATTTATCAAATTACAGAAGTTAGAGAGGCAATACAAGTCAGAAAGAAATAGACTTAACAATGAAGTGATAAATGAGGAAAAGAAGTTGAAAACTTTGCAAAAAGAACAGGTTATCGATCAGCTACAAAATGCAGCTTCAGATAAAGATCCCAAGTTGATATTAGAAACTATTAGAAATGTAACAATGGAGAAAACTAAAAAGTGCAGAGATCAGTTGCAGAAGTTAGAAGAAAAATATTTGCGGCAGAAAGAAGCTATACGCAAAAATCTCAACCCTAACGATATCAAAAACAAGAACAAGAGTAAGATTCCGTTTACTCCGTTCAATGGAGACAGATTGGTCGAGCTGCCGTTCAAGTTCGATGGCAATGGGTACAAAGACCCATTCTTTTCCAAGAGTGTGGATGACATACAATACAAAGCTTCAGGATATAAGCTAGATGAGTACTATCAAAGATCTTTGAACGACGCATTCACCGGACTTGAATGCTATATTGCAGATGAGAAAATGTCTGTTTAGAAATTTAGGTGTAGAATATATCTAAACTAATTAAGGAATATTGACCCCCAACTCCTTCTTCAGGAACGCCTTACTGAAGCTTACACATTGCTGGTAGCACGTTTCAAACCCATCGGTTCCACCATAGTAGGGATCGTCAATTACTGTATCGAAAGAATCGCTATCTTTCCATTCGCCAAACATACCGACAACCGCCGTTGAGTTCTTAGGCTTCAGCCTTTTCAGATTGTACAAGTTAGAGTCATCCATACACAAAATGTAATCGAATTCCGTAAAGTGCTTGCTCTTTATTTGCTGGCCTCTATGGTTTATCGGGACATCATGATTTTTACAAGTTTTGATTGTTCTCGAGTCTGAGCGGTCACCAACATGGTAACCGGCGGTCCCAAATGAATCAATATAGGTCACAGTATCTGCAAGTTTGTTTTCATTCACAATTTTTCTGAAGACAGCTTCTGCCATTGGTGAACGACATCTTTAAAGTTCATGTTAGTGTCTTAATCAGCGTCAAAAACAATTATTGTTTCAATAACCTTACATATTTCCCAAGCAAACAAAGGCAACTTTGATGCTTGTATCTGAAGACATGTTGCGCGTAACGAACTGGCTTTTGGTGATGTCCTTCATTAACATAACATTTTAATCCGGAGAAGGAGAAACAGTGTCAATCAATTTACTTAACTGGTAGTCGAGCACTTTACAGCCGCGTTTCCCAGAAATGAGACAAGAACTGTCACATATTAAATATACTTGATAACCTCAGCTGCACCATTTGATACACTAAATATGGAGCTGGATTCCCTGAGTTGGTAACGGTTTCACCGTAGTAAAATTCAAGTCTATGAATATGAGACTCATTGTTAGATTTGATTCACAAAGTTTCTGGTATTTACAAGGTTTTTGTGTCTAAAGATGGAAATAGAGGAGTTATAACTTGACTTTTATGACTATATATTATTGTAGCTACATTTTTGCAGACAGTACCTGCTACAAGAAGTTCAACTTGATGTTCTACTTAGCCAATAACGTTTCAGTAGGCTAACTAGCTAATCTTAAGGTTTTCTTAGTCTCAAATTAAGCGATTTTTGAACATGTAAGCGATTTTTACAATTTTCATGGCAATATTTTGACGGCTATGGCTATATCTTTCTGTGTCCTATTCATCTCGGGCAAACACTTCAATAGCCTGTGAAACATCGATTCACACCTAACACACAGCTGAAATGGCTCTACGAGAGACATATACGCCTAGAGGTGAGCAACGGAAACTAGTAGAAAATCTACTTGGAAAAGGGTCATTAAATCGCCTCCCCAGGGATTTTAATCCACGAGCTCCCAAGCAATCAAGTGCTTCGTTAAAGGGGGATAGTATCGATGTGTCAATACTAGATCCTCCAAGAATGTGCAAAAGCTTTATTGTGGGAAAGTGTCCCTATGACATGCTTGACAACACAAAGGAAAATATGGGAAAATGTCCTAAATGGCATATTGAGAAGCACAAACTAATATACGAGACTGCCAAAGAAAGTGGCATCAAGATGCCTAGACAAAACTATGAGTTAGATTACATGAACGATTTGCAGCATTTTGTTGGTGACTGTGACCAACGTGTTCGAATTGCAGAAGAAAGACTCGATTACTCCGAAGCAGATAAGCAACTGTTAAATGATCTCGCTAGAACAGTAGAAAACCTTGAGAAAACAATCAGCATAACTTCAGAAGAGTTAAATGTTGTTCAGGAGGAAAAAAGAGATATGCAGAGGAGTATAGAACTTAATGAAGAGCTACAAAAATTTATTTTAGAGAAGGAGACCGTTTCAGAACGATATAGTGCCACCTTAGAGCGACTTAACACTGTTGGACAACAAAAGTTGCAAGTTTGTGAAGTATGCGGAGCATACATGTCGAAGGTAGACAATGACAGAAGACTAGCTGATCATTTCCTAGGTAAAATACACATCGCATATGCTGCAATGCGAAATACATTGGCAGAACTTAGAGAGAAACATAGCATCTAGTTATAGAAGTAGCTTAATCGCTTAAAAAAAATCTTGCTGCATATACTTAGGTATTAATATCTTCATTTTGAATAGCAAAGTAATAAGAAATGAAATACTAGTTTCCATTAGGAATGGACTTTTGGGTTTTTGTTTTTTCTTCAAAATCTTTACGTTGCTTCTGATGAGTTACTTCCACTCTTCCGACAGACGGAGGAATTTGGTCTGCAAAATAAGTCAAAATGCTTCTTAGTGGGATATAATTGTTGACTGTAGCATAAGCACGATTTACCACCAAAGTTGTTGCCGAGATAGATAAACTAGTAGCAAGCATTGTCGAGATGAGCACCAAAATCAGGGGGATACATAAAATTACCGCAATGGAGCTCAGTCCCAGGAATACCAACCCAGTTGCAAAGGATGCGAAGTTGGATGTAATTGATGCCATCAGAAAAAGAAAGACGAATTGTATATCGGTAGAGATGCCAACAAATGAAAAATAAATCTATAACAAGTTAGTATATGTTTTACGGGAAACACATTTTTGATGAGTGACGTACGCTTAATATGGAAGGGTCGTTTTTGTGGATATTAGAGAAACCAGAAAAGATGCTTTTTATACTATTGAGTATACTGATGGCGTTTCTGTAATTTAATGAAAAAAATGGAATGTTAGTCAGGGTCTGAACAAAAGTAAAAGAAAAGAGAAAGAATAAGCAAAGGAAAAATGAGAAGGCTCATCCTTTTTTTTTTGGTAACACATACAGAAAGAATATACTGGCAGCGGTTTGAGCTTTTCTTATTTTGGCCTCTCCACTATAGTCCGCTACATCAGTTTGAGCTGGAGAAACGAATGTAGTAGTGATAGACATCAACCACACAAGAAATTGATAAATCAACTGTATACCATTGAGCTGAATATGCTGCTTTTCGATGATTTTGCTTGACCGAGATTCTGTATCACATTCTGCCGAGGAAGACGAAAAACGTAGCTCAGACAGCTCTTTCAGTACTTGTTCCAAATCCTCATCATAAAATTGGTTGTCAGGATCATGAGAAGAACGTAGTTGAGCCTTAGATGTAAAATTCTTTTGTTGGACCTCATAGGAGGTGTCAATCTGATTTTTTTCAGAGCCTTCATCTTCAGAGCTAAGCTTTTCACCCTTTTCATTCAGCTTCATAGTTGTGTTTTGCTGTGTGATCACCATACTTCTCTATAAAGAAAAGCTGATCACAGGTTTAATTAGGTGATTGTAAAACATTATAGTCGATTCTAAACAATAAACAGCAATGGTGGTAGCTAGGCTCATAGCTCAGTTACCCGATTGGGAAGTTGATACTAGGTAATGATCTCTTTTGTAGTCCTGTGTGAGATAAAGCCTGCCCTGCATTTTATAGGCAGCAACTAGACCCCCCGTACATGCAAATGCATGAGCAACTAAACTTCTGTCGTTAAGAGAGGCTACTCCGTGAATTCGACATTAACATAATGGGGAGCGATACTATGAGATAGATCATGAAAATTAACATCGAAGTGAAGGTTAAGATCACGAGTACCCCGAACATGACCGGAATCACGACAGGAAAAAGTACAGGAACTACCATGTAGTTAGTATATGCCTTTAATATGCTTGAAAAACTATGCGAGCTATTTTCCACTAAACGTACTTATAAATAAAGACCAGAAAAAAAAAGAGAGGAGAGTCAAAAAAGTGGTGATAAATATGAGACTTTCGAACTGATTTGTAAAATCAGCCAGACGTGATACAATTGGCATGTTTATGGGCTAAGTTATTTTTATAAGGGTAAATCGATGAGAAATTGACAAAGGATGTACAAGACGCAGAATATAGTGTGAAATGAAAAGGAAGAAGGAGAGGGGGAAGAAGAGGGAGTAGAAGAGGAAAAAGAATCAGCTCGGTTGCCCTCACAATCTGCCGACATCGATTGTAATCTCGAACTGGTCTCCTGATTTGTCAATTCCTTCCACATCCTCTATACTGGTGCTTAGGTTCAATAAATCGATTAGAGACCTTCTATTCTCTTCTGCAATGCTTTCAGTGTTCTGCCTAGTATCACTGCTGCCATCACCGAGAAAACCCTTCCTTTTCTTGAGCTGGCCCTTCACACATTTGTACATTATACCACGAACAATTCTCATAGTATAGAACCTGAACTTAGATTCCTCATCATCTGATGCTCCAGGCATGAGAATACGGATAATGACCACATAAACCCTTGTATTCACACGTGCAATTTTCACTTCCTCAATACTGTAAGAGTTTTTATAAACATCCAACTGCCTCACATTGGAAACAATTAAGCTTTCGACATCACTGTGATTTCCGATACGATCTACTTCGGCACTAGCTGTTGCAATTTTATTCTTTTTGTCAAAAGCAATAGAAGGGCTTGTGAGAAGTAAAATATTGCCCAACCTCCAGATGAGCCTCCATGCCACGACAGAGACAAGAATTGCCATGATTACAGTTGAAACCTCATTTATCCATTTAGTAGCTTCCAGTGCATCGTTATTCAATAACTCATGTTCATACTCGTGTTCATCATGTTTGTGTTCACTATCAATCATATGTTCATCTTTGGAAGAAAGCCCAATGACAGATAGTAGCGTATTCCCGGTATGTAAACTTAGTATTCCTTGTGCAAAGGGATAGTACAAGCAGTATATTGCATACAAAACAGAAAGGTTAGTAGTAGAACTGTGAAATAAATTTGGTTTGAGTCCTAGTTTCGACTTAATGTATATTCCAAGACGATTGAATACCCCTTCTCGTGCTGGTTCATTTAGAGTTATAGAACTTAATCTTTTGACATTAGGTGCAATCTTTGACTCAGGTCTGTTCGGGAGCTCTTCATGTTCTTCCTTCTTCTCAGAAGTAGTGGTATCATTTACGATGTGGGATGTGAGTAGTGTGGTAACTATCGTCCCCAAGATGAAAATCTCGTACAATACTGGGTGCAGATGATGAGGACTTTCTCCGTTAGAATGCCCATGAGAATGACCCTGTGAATTGATTGCATTTTCGTTGTCATTCTCGAATGAGCTCATCATCATTTCCTCAACAATATGAGAGAATAGGTCTAGTCCAACGAAAAGAAGGGAAACTGATAAGGCAAAACCGATCAAGACTTCGATACGACCCAATCCAAATGGGTATTTAAGAGACGAAACTCTCCAAACTTCAAAGTTGCTCATTATTTGTACGGCAATTGATGAGAAATTTGAAATGACGTCATAGAAGAGGATGTGTGCCAGTGTTGACAAACATCCGTTGGAATAATGAAAGCCAGCAATGTAGGCCAACAACACAAAGAAGCCCTGTATCAAACACACTGAAAGTTTGGATTTTTGAGAACTTGTGATCATAGAGGTCACTTCGTTAAAGGTTGGAATGGTGTATTTCTTGGGTAAAATATGTGGTTTGTTAGTTGATGCCTTACGTTGTGGGTCTTGGAACATATTCATAGACACGGAGGAATGCTTATATCGATGGCCTCGACGATAGGATGGTTTGGGTAGTATTTGCGGTGACGAGGAAACAGGCTGCGCCAGGTTCTCTGATGAATTGTTCATTATCATTGAATTGAATTTGAAGGGCTGGTGTGCAGGTGAGCGTAATGGGGAGTTTGTAATTCCTGCGAATACTCCGTTAGAGTCAGTCAAGGGAGGGGTATCTTGTCGGGAAAATGGTTTTGAGGGAGGTATGTTGGTGGGCGTATAAGTCGCAGAGGCCGTGCTCCTTGACCTGTTGTGTTTTCTTGTCGATGTTGATGTCGTAAGAGACGGATTCAAATTGCTTGTCACGCTAGATAAGGACTGCATTGAGTATCTCTGGGATGGCAGATTTGGAGAGTCGGTCCTCAGTGGCTGAGGGAAGTCGTACAAAAATGTCTCATTGGTCGGCGTCGGCGTACCAACGGGCCCTGTGTTGTCATCGGATCCACCCCTATGTATTACAAGGTCTTCATCCTTTGTTGAATAGCTGTTTGCGCCAAAAACGTTCATGCTGTCTTCTCTCTCCTCAAGCTCTTTTTCCTCCTCAGACTTGCTATCGTGATCAGAACCCCTTTTCGGCTGTGACTTCTCCTGGTCTGGGTCACCAGCCAAGTCGTTCAGGATGAACGGAGACTGTAAGGACCTTCGCTTGTACGAGGAAGCTGAAGGTGAAGAGAAGGCCGTCGGCGCTGACTGTGGCGGTACTTTGTGAGACATGGGCTCTGCTGTGGATGACTCAATTCGACTGGAGTGGTTATCGGAGAGAGCAATTCATATAGGTAAAGGAAGAAGTCGATCTGTAGTACGTGAAAAGGGTAACCAGCTCAGCATGATCCACGAAAGAAAACCAGCTTTCGCAGTCGAAGCCAATAGTGCGTATGTTCGCTACAACGTGGCGATGGAATATGTCAATTCTACGACTAAAATATGACGTGTATTTCGAACAGATTGGGGAACTCATACTCAACGGCTCCCAACTGGATTGCTGTGTGGCACAGAGTTTCGTAACTGTATTTTACACTGGTTGCCAAGCCTGTGGACTACACACGGAAGTCTTCAGTGTACACGGTGGGGCTGTGTAGAAGTACGTTCTAGAGAAACTTTGCCAATTCCATCCTCGAGGGCTTTGTGTTTCGGGTCATTCTGCAGAATAAGAGCAGCTAGGACCTTTCCTGAACCAGACAGTTGTTCAGGAAAGAGTCACGCTAGCAGAGCACGAAAGCGGACCCGAGGATACGGTTGGACACTTAACATCTGTCTGTAGTGGGAGAAGATCTCGCGCAACCTGGCCAGATGACCGTTTTGAAAGGAAAAGAAAGGAAAATGGACCGTTTAGCATGAAGGTAGATGATGCCCAAACCACTCCGAAACAGTCATTCTGTCCGCAAAGGTCTCAGAACCGGGTAATACACACATGCTAGAAGTTACATGCAATGACCGACTTGGGAGAAAGATCCACGTCAAGTGTCTTGGTGAGGACACGGTGGGGGACTTCAAGAAAGTGCTAGGGCTTCAGATTGGAACGGCGCCAGAGAAAATTGTCCTCAAGAAGGGCTACATGATTTACAAGGACCACATAACGTTGGACGACTACGAGATTCATGATGGCATGAACCTTGAAATGTACTATTCATGAGGGCGTGTTATTGTACATAGAGACATAAGTAAATTTAGGATTTAGAGTTGTATTTAAAAAAATAGTGGTGCTTGCAATAAGCTACTTGAATTCAGGGTCTGCTAACAAGGTCTCCGCCGCCAACTTACCGAGATTATTCGACGCCAAAGGGCTATCACCAGTGAGAAGTTTCCTGTCTTTGTGGCATTTGCCAGTGATGTCTTTGTTGAGGACCTTGACGCCCAACTTTTCCAACCGGTCACCAAGTAACCAATTCAACTGGCCAGGCATGTACCCAATCTCCTGGTTGGCGCCCGAGTCCAAAGAATCAGGGAAAACACACACCGAGTAGCCTTTGAAAGGAAAGTTTTCCGGCTTCTCGCCGATGCCGGCGGCAAGCAGACAGGCAGGGCCGTGACACAACGTGATGAGGTACTTATTGTCTTCCAGCACCCAGTCCAGAACCTTCTTGACAGATTTGCTTTCAGGAATGCCCATCAATGCACCGTGACCACCAGGAACAAAAACGCCTGCATATGGCGAGTCCGGACCGCACACCTTGTCAACAATATCGTCAAGTTTAAAAGGGTTCTCCAATTTTGACTCGTACTTCTTAAACGTGTCCATGACGGCTTTATCTTCCGTGGGCATGGCCCACATTTCCAATTTCGCCGGGCTTCCCGACAAGGTGGCAACGTCTATCTCGAACCCGGCGTTGTCCAAATGGAACACCGGCAACAACATCTCGACAGGATGGTTCCCCGTTGAAAAGTACTTGCCGTTCTGCATCTTGAGATATCTTTCATCTGTCGCAATCATCAATATCTTCTTGTGACCCGTGTATGGGTGAGTGTAAGTAGTGCCATCGTAATCGGTCTTTTTAGACGTGTAAATAGATAAGGAATACGGAGATGGGAAGAACGCATTCTTTTCGGCTGTATCTGGGGCCGGATGGTGATCCAATTCTGTGCTAGACATGTTTGCTACTAATTGTGCTTACTTAGTTGTTGAGATTAGTTTACAGACAAGTAGTGCAAGAAAAGGACAAGTTGGGCTCAAGTGGGTCAAAACAGGAATTCGAGCTTTATATGAACAGGCGGCGAAAAAAGCTAGATGCCCATCTCGCATTCACCAATGCGGGACAGGAGAATATTAACCGGTCTAGAATTGCCGGGGCAACTGGCCACCAGAAAACCTGCACTCTACAGTTCCTAGGATCACCCTTGAGAATCCAATACTTACGTATTATTGCAGATCCAAGCCTGCGTGTAGCATTTATGGAGAATTAGAAAAGAGTAGGATTTCAAAAACACCGAAAAATTATAAGGCAGAAAGAGTCGTGCCTAGAATAGAACCCTGCGCATCATGTAGTTAGATAGAAAAGCCAAATGTGGTTGGACTGTATCGATAGAAATGTGTTTGAACTTATCACATGAAGTACTCCACATATGGCGCCTTTTTGTTCATTCGATGCTCAAAGTTGTCTTCAAAGTCTGAGGAGCCTCCGAACCCGTCGAGGCCGTCAAATCTGTCGACACCGCCCACTCCGGAGCTGAGGTTGTTCCCTTCAATTCTCAAAAACTCCTTTTCGCTGTCAGGTGAGGCATCGAAAACGTTGAATCTTATGCTCTCTGGATTCTTTGAGTCATCGAATACCTCTAATATCGATGCCTTGTTCCCGCAGCGGTAGCAGTAGTTCGGCGCAGACCACACTGTGTTCACTTTCCCCTTCCAGAACACCTGGAACCCATCGTTGCAAAGCTGGTGTGCACGATAGATCTTCTCGAATCCATTGATCCGCAAGAACTTGTTCACCACATTGATCCCAAATTGGTATCCTGCACCTCTTGAGGATATTCGGAAGTTGAGGAGCTCGATGTCTGGGTCACTCCACATCAAGTCCGCCATAGGTCCGTCGTGTGGTATTTCCTTGAAGCGGTCGATGACAGAGATCGAGTCTATTGTCTGAACATTCGGAGAAAGACCACCGTGAACACAAAAGAGCGTATTGTCCACAATCGCAGATAGCACCAAGAAATCAAACAAGTCCGTGAAGATCGACCACACTTTGCTGTCGGACCCGTATTTCGTGACACACTCCGTGTAAAAGCCGTAGTTCGTTGTGATCTGCCGGGACTCGTGGTTCCCCCGTATTAGTGTTATTCGGGACGGGTACTTGAGTTTGAGCACAATCAACAACGAAATCGTCTCGATCGAATGGTACCCCCTGTCGACATAGTCACCAAGGAAAAGATAGTTTGTGTTCGGGGGATATCCCCCGATCTTGAAGATCTCAAGCAAATCGTAGAACTGCCCGTGAATATCTCCCACCATTGTCACAGGCGACTGTATGTGCACAATGTTGGCGTCATCCACTATCAGCTCCTTTACCTTGAAAGCAAGCCACTCGAGCACTCTTTCCGAGAGCAATGTTCCGTTGTAGAGCTTCTCAAGGCATTCGTCCAAATCCATCACCTCTGCCGTGTCTATTTCCACCGTCATGGCCACGCACTCTGTATCTTTCTCACTGACTTCTGGCACTATCCATTACGTTACTTCTTCCGCCATTCGCCCTGCGTTTCCTCTGTTACTTTCATCTCCAGGCCTTTGTAAACCGTCAGCTCCTCCCATCTTCATGTTCCCCCGTCGGAGACCCTTGTGGTGCACGGGCGCACTTTCGCGTTTCAGGAAAAGAGAGCTCCCATAATGTTCCTATCATGCAAGTGACAGCATCCATCCATGGCAACTACTTTATTGGTAAGGAACTGTAGCTAGGACATTACAGCTCATAGCAGAGAAGAGAGCCCAGGACCCTACAGCGCCATTGACACACTGCAGCAGTATTAGGAGACATGGGCGCTGGACACGACAAACAGGGATTGGAAATCAATAATCCGTCCGAAACCGCCAAAGCGTCTACGACCAAAGGTTCCGACACGCAAGAGACCCACACGTCTCTGGTAGACAAAAAGGTAGTGCACGACAGCATTTCCGGTGGCCATCTGAACGGCATTGGCACCAATAGCAAGCTAAACTTGCCCGTGAAGCCGCATCCACAAAATTCTAGGTCACGAAGCAACAGTGACCTCAACTCCAAGAACATGACGCCGCTTTCCACGTCGAGCTTACGAGCAAAGCTCTCCAGGAACCCTAGCACCTCTTCAATAGCCGACTCGAATAAGGCCAAAATGAAGCTCAAGCTACAGCTCTCCCAGCAGGCTGCATCGCTTGCCACTCTACAGGCCACACCCGTCTTGCTCTCGCCCAGGGGAACACCAACAACCTCTCCAAACTTCAACGCTGACGGTTTCTTTGCTAACTATGACACTTCCACCTCATCAAATAACCCATCTCTGTCTAACCAGTCACATCTAGATGCTCTGCTTGATGACTCGATCCCTAACCCAGGTCACAACATAGAACTGACCATACCGGACGATCACACAGCGCTCCCATCACCTACAGAAATCTCTCCGTCTTCCGACATACAAAGCTCAGGAAGTAAGATCTCTTCACCATCGGTCCCTGCGACTGCCAATTCTAAGCTGCACAACTCCTCATCCACTTCGAAGTCGAGCTTGCATCCTTTACAAACAAAGTTGAACCGAATGCCTTCTTCTTCCACTACACCTGGCTCCGCCTCCGCCAAATCTCCAAGATCCCCGTTGAATAAGTACAAGTCCAGAAATATAGCGTATCAACCCCTGCCTGAGCCAGTTAGACCACAGACCTCAATTTTGAAGAGTAATTTCAACACAAAATTCTCTCAGCAGTATCAGCAACAAGAGAAGATGTATTTGACCGGTATCACAAAGTACAGAAACAGATATAAGAATGCCGATGATTACTATGACAAATCAGTTGTGCCAGATGATGTAGACACAGCCCCAGAGAGCAGTTATAGTGCTGCGAGTGAACCTACAGAATTCAGTAGAATCGGTAGCATGGATTCGGAAATATTCCCAACAGAAGATTCCGATTATCTGAACGACAGAAATGACAAGGGCAGAGAATATGAAGCCCTTAAAGCGTTGGGACATCAAATCGGCTCTGAGCTATTGAACAAGGAATTTGAATCCATATCGGAGTATTCCCTGGATTCGAATCTTCTATTAGAACTATTGAACAAAAACGATGAGATTCAGCTAAAGAACACGGATGCGAATGGAAGCATATCCGAGCGATTAGAGTGGCAAGCAATGCTTCAGACAGTGTTGACTGGTGATGTCGTCACTGGTGAGAAAACTAAATTAGTAAAACCTCTTACGGAACTTGAGGGCGAAAATATGTTGCATGTTGGGTACAAAGAAGATTTCTGGCTTGGAATAAGAGCAAAACTATACGGTAGAACAGAAGAAGAGCAGAAGAGGTTGGTTTTGTATCACCGTGGTTTAGTCGATGGAACATTTGATGAGATCATGAACTTCAAGCTAGAATTCCCTCTAGACGGTGCAGAAATGTCATATGTAGAAAAAGTGAGGTTTGCATCAAAAAAGGTTAACGACTTACTTAACAAATATGAAAGATGCCAAGAACTTTGGAGAACCCAAAAGGAAATGGAGACTGATAAACCACAATGTGCGACGCCAGAATTTAACAGCAGATTAAATTGTTTAGTTGCATGGATATCTGTTACCGATGCAGTAGAGAGGGAATCTGATGTGCTAAAAAAATGGGTTGGAAATGATGATTTAGATGTCCTTAGAGCAGGATGCTCTTCTTCTAGCTCCGCATCCTCACCAGAAATTGATGAGGCCGCTACAAATGGCGGGAAAGTAAAAGATGATGATCAGATGTTCAAAGATGACCGCCCATTTGTTGAAAGGATTCTGAAGGAGAAAGATATTGAAAACCTGTTTAACAAGAGGTTGTTTACAACTTTCTCTCACTGGACAATAAAGGCTAAGACATCACACTTGGAATACCATCAATATTTTAATGAGTTGGGATTACCTTCATATTTGGATAACCTTTTTGTTTTGACCAATTTTCCATCAAAACTTATGAAAGAAATTATAAAGACCAGACTTGCTTATGCCAAGAAACTAACAAATCCTACGATGATGATGATTGACCAAACGCTAGATGATTTGAAGATGTATCTCAGATTGTCATTAGAGATCAAAATTAGTATGTTAGAATATTGTGCTCCTGTTAACGGCTGGATCTCGTTTCCAGATTATCAAGACCCTGAATTTGATAATGCCATTATTCAATGTGTCAACCACTACATGTATTTGCTAAACAGAAAACTGTTGTTTTCTCCAAAAGGCTTGAAATCATTTAGAACCTTTAAAGAACCCGAAGAGCTGGAAAAAGAATGGGAGTTTTTGCAGAACATGGGATTTTACATCAGCGAAATTTCTGTTGAATTTTCAGTTCAAATCACTTCACTTGCGTTGAAATTGATCAACCGATTATACTCGTTCATTCAACATCAAATACAGGGTCCACCTTCTGATGGATTCAGATTGGACAGCCAACGATTGATTCGTTGGTACACATCCTCTATTGAGAACTTTGGACAGATGAGAAGAAAATTTATAAGATTTGAAATTGGTTTGTTTCAGTACTTTCTTAACTCAGTAAAGTTCAAAGTACTACCTCAAAAAACACAGAAGTTTTTCTCTTTACTCAAAGAATCCAACCATGCACTTTTTCATAGTCCAAAAATAGCAGAGGATGGTGTATACATCTTTGTTTCAGAATCTCTTGTTAATAGGCCTTACGATGTTAGCTGCATTCTCAAAAACACATACTTGGGCGTGAATTTTGCTAATATTCCTAAGAGACATATTGATGTCATACGAAGCTATCATCCTTCTATTCAATACGATAATGCAACCTCTGATTATGATGACGAAGAGGAAGAAACAAATAATTTGAGCCTGGATTACGTTATTGTGATAGTTCCACCAAAGGCACTGATGTGGGATGGTGCTGTAATACCATTTTCAGACGTTGACCATTTATCAATTGGCGAACTAACCAGAGGAAATGCAATGTTTTTGACAGCAGGTGGACCTGCGCTGAACATTTCCGATACTTTTGACATTTTCAAACAGTATGCAGGCGAAACGATAGGCTCAAACTCAAAAGTATGTTGCTCAGTTCCAAAACTTGAGGAGAACTTTCAGACTACAATAAAAATCTTTTTACGTCTTACTTGCCTTACCATCGACTCTACACCTTCAATCAGAAACCTTTGTAGAGGTGTCGGAAATTGTCAAGAGCTAGTCAATAATATTTTTATCTTTGCTAGAGATGTTGGGCGTGATTCAATTAGAAATTCTGCATTAATGTTTGATCTCTCTTCAGCTAGAGGAACTATCATTTTAAGGATGGTAAAACTAGCTATTGAATGGCTAAGCTTCATAGTCGATGATTGTTCTCCAACAGACCCTAAAACATTTAGATGGTGTGTTTCAGCCCTTGAGTTTGCGATGGATGTAACTAGAGGTTTCAATATCCTAACGCTCGATTCTGAAAAGTTCTATAGACTCAAAGACAAAGTTGCTGGATGTATGTCATTATTGATTGCCCATTTCGATATTATGGGTGCTCGTGCCAAGGAATTGCAGAAGACAAGAATGCAAAAGTATGCATTAAATTCTCAAAAGGATATTTACACACTAGACGATGAATCTCTTGGTTCATTGAGGCAACATATAATGCATCAGATTGGTATGATTGAAGAAGAACGTAGACACTTACAAGTCGAACAAAGGAGTGTTGGTAGAGTTTTGGACGATACAAATATGGAGAATCAATTGTTAACTTATTTGGCTTCATCTTTCTCGAGTGTCTCAATTCGTTGGCAAAAGGGCAAATTTCTGGGTGGTGGCACATTTGGATCTGTTTTTGCATGTGTTAACTTGGACACAGGTGGTCCGATGGCTGTCAAAGAGATACGTTTCCAAGACAGGCAATCGATCAAAACGATTGTTCCTGCAATCAAAGGTGAGATGTCTGTATTGGAGTTGCTATCGCATCCTAACATTGTGCAATTCTTTGGAGTGGAAGTTCACCGTGACCGTGTTTATATCTTTATGGAATACTGTTCTGGAGGTTCATTAGCAGGATTGTTAGAGTACGGTAGGATTGAGGATGAGCTTGTTATTCAATTGTACACGCTACAAATGTTAGAAGCCATGGCGTATTTGCATCAGTTTGGTATTGTTCACAGAGATGTTAAACCTGATAATATATTATTGGACCATATGGGTGTTATCAAGTTTGTTGACTTTGGTTCTGCCAAAGTCATTGCCATTCCTAATGGGGGCTCGGCTAGTGGTAGTGCAAGCGGACCTTCAAGTGGAACTTCAAATAACAACAACAATAACAGTATGATTTCAAACTCTAATCCAAATACCTCCTATGGTGAAAATGAGAACTTCAACGGTGCCAGCAACTCTGGTGGATCGCCAAGCAACGTATCGACTATATCCCATCCTGACATATCAATCACACCTATTGCTGGTTCGGAAAGCCATAGCCCTGCTGATTACATTAGATCTACAACGAGTACGATATCTAGTACTCTGAGTTTGAATGAAATTGTTGCTGGGAATGCACAAAGCAATGGTAAGCTGACGTCTACAAACAACAACTTGATGAGCACCCTTTCATCAGTGTCTACGTCATCGATTTCGGCATACACAGGACTGAATGGTGACTCAAGTACCGTGAATTTGTCAAATAATACAGCAGTAAACAATCCGGCGACTGGTGCTATTGTTGAATCTATTATAGAAAGCAAGAAGTCACACGCTCTTACCGGCACTCCGATGTACATGTCACCTGAAACAATCAAGGGGGACAATGTTGGTAGGTTTGGGGCGATGGATATATGGTCACTTGGATGCTGTGTTTTGGAAATGGCCACTGGACGTAGACCTTGGAGTAATTTGGACAATGAGTTTGCCGTGATGTATCATATTGCAGCAGGACATCTACCACAATTCCCATCGACGAAGGAATTGAGTGAACAGGGACAAGAGTTCCTGGCCAAATGTTTGACGATCAATCCTCAGAAGAGAGCAAGCGCTGTTGAGTTGTTGCAAGATCCATGGATCCAGGCTATTCGGAACGAGGCCTTCTCTGATCCGAGTGGAACGAATGTGAATGAAAGTACTGTCTTTGAATAAATACCATTATAGTTTATATACCCTTCTTGCCTCTCCCGTTCATACTTAATTTACGTTACATACTTGTCTTATCTAAATGTGAATATAATGTCTTGCATTAAAAAGCTCCTTTTTGATGAAGGGTATTTTTTGATTGAATCATTACGTTGCTTGTTTTAATATAGAATAACTATATAAAGAACAAAAAAAGACAAACTGAATGTGTTGCTAGCTCACCACTATATATGAACAACAATAACAAGGAGGTTAAAAGAGAGGGGTAAAATCAAAGAGGTAGACAAAAGACTTGGAGGGCATTCAACGCTTTCATATCTTAATTTCGGTTTCCTTGTCGAAGGACTCAGGAACAAATCTCCAGTGTGACATGCCCTCAACATCATCGTTTTTAGCACTACCCGAATCAACACCCGATGCAACGTTTTTGATCGATAGATGGGCCAAGTTGGACAACGTGATGAAAATATCGTTATCTAAAGAGTCTTTGGAGTAATCGACCTCATCGAACCATCTGCGAGCCCATTTTGCATTATTTGCTTCCTCCGCTTTACGTAACTCCCTCTGCTTGTTTTCAAGTTTGGATTTTTCTTCATGAATCAGGTCGAAGTCACCCTTACGGATGGCCTCAGCGACGTCTTTCCAGGCCTTACGGCTCTCCAAGGGATGCTGATCATCAATTGGCTTGACAGTCAAATGCTGGGCTTCGTAGTTGGAGGCATCAAAGAAGGTCTCGCCCTTGGAGGATGAAGGGGAGGACGAGCCCTTGGCGATTGCCGATTTTTCAGACCACTGGCCAGAGATTGTGTAGAGGGCCTTTTCTTTCTTGAGGGATTCTTCGTAGCTTTTGAAGATACGTGCCTTGAAGGTGTTTTTCTTACCGGAGAAATATCCCCTTCCGGAATACTCAATGACTGTATAGTAACCAGCAGAAGATTGGATATATGATTTTTGTTCTAGTTCGACAAACGGAGAAAAAGCCAAAATCCCTTCGATGTGTAGGGGAGGCAACGTGACCAAATAGGTTTCGTCCAAGTTTCTGTATTCAAGGAGCGCATGGCCAAACTGTCTGACGTTCAAGGCGGTGGTGGACATGGACGCTCTGACGCCGTTGTAGCCTTCTAGGATGGTATTGTTCTTCTTGTTTTCAACGGCGTATGCGGTGATTGGCGGGTGGTGGCTCACCTGCTCGCTGACCAGGATGGTTTCGCCCAACTTCTGCTCCTTCGACGTGTCTTCCCACTTCCCGACAAAGATCTCGCCAAGGAAGGGGTTCAACGGCTTCTTCTCACCCCCGAGGGTCTCGTTCCGCGAGCAGTACTGCGACTTCAAGGTCGAGATGAACCATCTCGTGACGGCAATCATGCGCTTTAGCTCGACCGGGTCGTCGTCCGAGTCCACAATGAAGTTGGGCTCCAGCAACAAGTCCACATGTTCGGACCAGTACTGCGAGTATTCGACAAGCGAGGTGGGCGATAGAATGAACGGTGGCGCAGTCAATGACGACAAGTCTCCGTTGTAGGAGGCAATCGACTTTATAAACGTGGTCCAGCTGGCTGCAGAAGTCATGGTGGTGCAGAGGAATGGAGTCCGCTACTGTGCTATGCTATAATGTGCTATGGCGACCTAATGTGTTATGCGTGGCCTAGTGTGTGGTAGTTTGTGGACGAGGGCAATCTCTCGCTGGTCCTGGTCGGAGTGCACGGGGGTTCTGAGCAGTTCGGGAGCCTCACGCAATGCCGGACAGCAACTAATTTAGCAAGCGGGACTTGGCGTGTTCTTCAGGCCCTCCACCACACCGTCCCCGTGGTCCTCCCTTCCAAGGTGTATACCGATCCTCAACAGAGGCACCGATTTTTCTCCCTCTCGTGCTCGCTCCCGCTCGTTCTCGCCGAGCTCGCTTTCTGGCTACGACGTCAACAGTAAACGAGCCTGCGACCAGCAGCTGCTGCCGCCGCCGCCGACGCGAAACGACAAAGCCGGAGCTGGGCAGGACTGCACCCGTGCACCCGTGCACCGCGGGGCTCCGCGGGCGGGAAAAAAGACCGGAAATAACCGGAAATAGGTCGATCGGGACCGGCGGGCCGGTTGGCCGGGGCCGGGGGGTCCTGGCCGAAAAGGGCAACTCCAAGTCGACAAAGGGGAAGATACATTTTGCTGTAATTAAGGAGAGTGAAAGTACATACTTCTAGACATCGGGTTCGTTAGCGGGGAGAGGACGGCGGAAGGAATTGTCCGGGCAGGCAGATCACCACCAGTCACCTTGGTCCTTCATGGCGTCGGCAACCTTGATGAAACCAGCAACGTTGGCACCCATGACGAGGGAAGGAAGCGAGCCCTTGTTGGTCTCGGCGGAGTAGGCGACAGAGGTCTCGTAGCAGTTTTCGAAGCAGTTGACCATGATGTCCTTCAACTTCTGGTCGACCTCCTCGGCGGTCCAGGACTCTCTTTGGGAGTTCTGGGCCATCTCCAAGCCGGAGACGGCGACACCACCGCAGTTGGCGGCCTTACCTGGGGCGTACCAGATGGAGGCGCCGAGGGCGGAGGCAGACTTTCTCTCGGCCTCGAAGACATCGATGGCCTCCTGGGTGGAGCCCATGTTGGAGCCCTCGGCGATGAACTTGCAGCCGGCGGCAACGAGAGCCTTGGCCTCCTCACCGGAGACCTCGTTCTGGGTGGCAGAAGGCAAGGCGACGTCGACGGCGCCGACGTGGACCCAAGGTCTCTCGCCTGGCAAGTACTCGCACTTGGTGGACTGGGTGGTGAAAGACTTGTCGGTGGCAATGATCTCCTTCAAGGACTTGAACTGGAGCTTGGCGGCCTGGATGGCGTAGATCTGCTCCGGAGAGATACCCTTCTGGTTGATGATGGTGCCCGTGGAGTCCGAGAGCGACACGACGGTGGAGCCCAACTCGATGGCCTTCAAGGCAGCGTACTGGGCAACGTTACCGGACCCGGAGATGGCGACCCTCTTACCGGCAAAGGTCTCCTTGCCGTTGGTGGCCTTTTCGATCATCTTCTCGACGTAGTAGACAAGACCGTACCCGGTGGCTTCTGGTCTGATCAAGGAGCCGCCCCAGGACAAGCCCTTACCGGTGAGGACACCTTCCCATTGGTTCTGCATCTGCTTGTAGGCGCCGAACATGAAGCCGATCTCTCTGCCACCGGTACCGATGTCACCGGCAGGCACGTCTGTGAACTGACCGATGTATCTGGCCAACTGTCTCATGAATGCGACACAGAATCTTCTGATCTCGTTGTCGGACTTGCCCTTAGGGTTGAAGTCGGAGCCACCCTTACCACCGCCCATTGGGAGGCCGGTCAAAGCGTTCTTGAAGATCTGCTCGTACCCCAAGAACTTGAGGATCGAGAGGTTCACAGAGGGGTGCAATCTCAACCCGCCCTTGTATGGGCCCAAGGCTGAGTTGAACTGCACTCTGTAGCCCCTGTTCACCTGCATGGCGCCGCTGTCGTCTTCCCACGTCACTCTGAACTGGATGATTCTCTCCGGGATGGACACCACAGGGATCACCTTCTCGTACTCTGGGTGCTTGGCGAACAACGTCGACTCCTTCAGCGTGGAGAGGAGCTCGTTGTAGGCTTGCTGGAATTCGGGTTCTTCTGGTTGGACCATTTTGGACGTTTGTACGATCTTTAACTTTCGCTTGCGGAAAGGATTCTAAAACTGATACACCGAAAAAGCCTAGAGGAAAGGAAGAAGAACAAACACCCCACCACAGAGAAAAGCACACACATCCCACTCACCCCAAGCGCCAACACCACCCAGGGCCGGGGACACGAGGAGTATAAATACAGCAGAAAAAAACCACCCCAGCACTGCAGGACCTGATACCGCCGATCTCGACGGTGAAAAATTCACATCATCTTCCATCACCCGTCTGGGCTGTCCGAGGCCGGCAAGAAGACCCACCGCAAAAGAAAAGAGCCCCGGCAACACTGCGCCGCCGCCGGTGGGGGGCGAGAGTGACACCGTGGCCCTGCACCTGCCCCCGGCGCCGGCCCTGATTGCACAGACTCAGCGCCGATTATGCAGCGGGCCGACCGTTACGTAAGGCCCGCTGCCCGGCAGCGCTATCTCTGGCCAATGGCAGCCCGGCGGCTGCGGCGACCTGCGGCGACTGCAGCGTCCGGCCTTCTCTCCCGGCACACGTGACTGCGACGGGGCCGCAATCTCCGGTGTTTGACAGGTCGTGACTCACTGCGGCGGGTGGGGGCAGCGGTGTGCTATCGGGCCAATGTGCGTTGGCGATACGGGCACGCTGGGCTGCAACGTGCGTTCGACACGGCGGCCCGGAGGCGGTGCAGCTCGGGGCAGGGCCGCAGGCCCGCAGGCTAGGCCCGCAGCGGCGGTGCCGGCCTTCTCCAGAGGGAAAAGTGGTGGCAGGTCTGGCGTGGGATGGCCGTGGGAGGGAAAGTGCAGGCTGGGCGTTGACAGGAAACGGCTGCGGCGGGGGAGGGGGGTTGCGCTTACGTAAGCGCCGGAGGCGTCGCTGCACCTGCCCGATCGGGGGCGCGCACGCGGCATTCGTCGTGGCATCGGCTTCTAGCTACACAGGTAAAAAGAACATGGAGATGGTAGGTAGCGGTAGGTAGGCGGTCAATAGTGCAGCGCAAGGGCCGCGTCAGAGCTTGGCCTTCTCCGGGCCGGCGAACTTCAAGAGCTTCTCGATGTAGCTTGCCTTCATCACGTTGCCCTTGATTTTCAACTTGCCCGTCATGAAGAGCTTCTGCGCGCTCTGCTTGCCGTGGATGAGTTTCCTGAGGTTCACGTCGTCTACCCTGATCGTGATGTCGGCGGGCGGGCGCTCGCCCTCGGCCGTGCCGAGCTGCACGCCGCCGGCGTCCTTGCTGCGCAAGAGCCACACCACGGGCGTCTTGAGGCCCTTGCCCGAGATCTCAAACACCACGTCTGCGTTGAGCTTCTCGTGCGTCTCCTTCTGGAGCGACTGGTTTGTCTGCAACGCCTTGGCGAGCTTCTCCAGCGAGCTTTTGGATTTGTATTCGGTCATGTCTGCTGTGCGGGTGTGTGCTGCGGCGGATTCCGGGTCTACAGTGTCGAGGAGGGCCGCTGCGTCGTCGGAGGGGGGTCGGCAGGACCACGCTGTATTTATACTGCTATGCCGTCGGCGCATTCCACCCTGGCCCGTGCTGCCAGTTACTCCGAGCCTGGCGGAAATACATGACAACATGGCTCCCTCCTCCGCCCTGCTGCCTGCTCCCCGCCAGTCCCGCAGGCTTTCCCCGCTTTTTATCCCCTCGGGGAGGAACAGGGGGCTCGGCCGCAAACGCGACGGGTCACGTGACTTTGGCGTCGATCGGCCCAAAACTTGGTGGCGGCTGGGAGGACCTCAATCGCGGCACTGCGTTTTCTGGGGGGGATGCGGTTTGGCGACTTTTTGCGTGTTGTTTTTGTTTCCGCATCTGCCTCTATTGTTTCTGCGGTTGGTTGTCTGGTTGTTGTTGTTTTTAATTGCGTTTTCGTTTTCGTTTTCGTTTGCGTCTCCGTTTTTGTTTTCTTCTTCGTCTTCTCTCTTGTTTTCCTTCCGCCCTCTCTCCTTCCCCTTCACCCCCTGTCCTCTTCGTGCCTCTACGGAAGTTCTTCTCCCTCGTCCCTGCAGCTCTTCTTCTCTGACACGTTTGAGCCCCGGATCCATCCAATACAAACAAAAAACAACAACAACAAACCAATAACGAAAATGGTTGCCGCAATTGCCGTCCCAAAAATGAGCTACAAAGGTATGTGACGGGCGTCTGGTGCCAGGCGAACGCCAAGGGCAAACAAACACAAACGGATCACAAAACTAACACTGCATTTTGCCTTTTTTTGTTTTTTTCTCAACTCGTAAAGACATGATTGTCGAAGCAATCGTCTCCCTCAAGGAAAGAGGAGGATCCAGCCGTCAAGCCATCAAGAAGTACATCCAGTCCAACCACTCTCTTTCCAACTTTGACAACCACTTCAACAACGCGTTGAAGAAGGGTGTCACCGCAGGCATCTTTGCTCAGCCAAAGGGCCCTGTTGGCCCAGTCAAGGTCGTCAAGGAGAAGCTCGAGCCAGCCAAAAAGGAAAAGACCAAGACCACCAAGAAGGTCGCCAAGAAGCCGGTCGGCACCAAGGCCAAGAAGGAGTTGAAGACCCCAACGGCCAAAAAGACTGCTTCAAAGGCCGCTCCAAAGAAGGCCACCAAAGTCACAAAAGCTACAAAGAAGGCCCCAACTAAGGTGACCAAGGCTGCCCCAAAGAAGGCCACCAAGACCACCAAGGCCACCAAGACGTCCAAGACTTCCAAAGTTGCCCCAAAGAAGGCAGTTACGAAGGCCAAGAAGGAGACAGCCAAGAAGGCTGCTCCAAAAAAAACAGGGAAAGCTGCTAAGAAATAAGCATGCGCTCTTTCCACCGTTCTTACTTATTCTTTTTTTGCCCCTCTATCTTTCCAATCTCTGTACTTTACTGTATCTTTACTTCTATTACCTATTTTTTATCTTATCTTTGTTCATTTTTTTGTTCCATTGATTTGCCACCACTTGATATCAGTTTCATTTTTGTTTCCTCCTTTTTTGTGTCTTACTCTTTCAAATTGTATGTCTGCCTGTCGGCCAGATGGTGGTGGCACAGTTGTATATTAGAGCCTTTAGTTTTAGTATAATCACTACATTTCTTATCTATATATCTAGATTCGCTTTTATATTAATTCGGCTGGTTTAGGACCACAGAAGCCATTTCCCTTGCTGTTTATGTTTATTTTTTATCCTTGCCTTTTATGGGCGTTTACCTTGGCTGCTCAACCCGCATATGTTTGGAATAAAGAAGGACGAAAAAGCCAGAAATATTCGAATTCCAAATTGATGCTACCACTCTTTTCGCAGCGAGGCTGTTATCAGGGCATTTATGTTCTTTTGCAGTACAGGCGCAGCGGCAGCAACAAAAGAGGCGTAGCGAAATTGGGGCTTTGAGGGGGGGAGTCATGAGCACCAACAACAGCAGCAGCAACACCTGATTTATTCCCTAAAAGGAGTCGCAGGTTTTGTGCTAGAGATTTCTGCACTTATACCGAAACCTCTGCGGAAGATTTTGTGCCGTCATGGGATTTTGCACGACGGTATCTTTTTTGTAGATTTATTGGTCACTTTCACCTGTAAATATGACGGGCTTTGCTGGCAATCCGCCAGGGGCAATCTAAAGTTTGGTACTGCCATAGTATCAATGGTAACCAGGGATACGGGCATGTGCCCTGAAATTGCTATAATTAACCCCTTTGTCGTTGTCTCTGAGGTTTAATTGATAGTATCTAGGATGTACCGGGCTATTTATAGAATATGCACACTTGGATGTCTCCTGCAGCTACTGTCTCTTGAGTTGAACGGTGCCTTGTCCTCATGTAGTGACGTTTATCCTCCATTACAATACCGTGAAAGGGATAGCCGTGGAGGGAGAGCCCACAAGAGACCCTTAATAATAGCGAACTTCCGGTTCTAAACCGATCTTATTGTATGTGTAGATCAGCACGACCACTATATCTTCTGCATAGCAAACCTCTCCATGTCCAAAAACCTCATCGGGAAGCAATCTTTGTCTTTTCAGCTCTTGTTTGCGCAGCAAACAAATTGAAGCCAAAACAGTTATGGCTGTAAATGGAGGAACTCATAGCTCACACCAGATATCAATCACGCTAGGAACGATATTCTGCGTTCTTGCCATAGGCCATTTTGCCCTAATGTGGTGGCTGAAAACATGGATGATGGTTTTCATAATAGCGGGATGCATTTTGGAAGTCACAGGATATCTCTCTACTGCAGCAGGCTACGGCACACAATCCGTACAGGTAATCGTTGCTCCCATTTTCTTATCCACTTCTGTCTATATGTCATTGGGGACCTTGATAAAGAGGATGGATGTCAAAGATTTCATTCCATTCCGCACTGCATCTTTCTGTTTTGTGTTGGGGAACGTAGTTTCATTGGGCCTTCAGATTGCAGGGGTCGTCTTGGGAAAAGTTCAAGAGGACAAAAGCTTGGGAACAAGCATTACCATTGCAGGTCTCGCTGTACAGTTGGTACAAGACCTCGCTTTCTTTACTACCACTATTGTTGTTCACAAGAAGTTTTTGAAAAGCCCCTTTTTCGAAAGCGGTAAAGGAGTTTACGGTTGGAAAAACTACCTCATGACACTTTACATTCTAACCAGCTTGTTCTTTGTTCGAAACTGTTTCCGAATAGTGCAGTTTGGCATTGGTTGGAACGGATATGTCGCCAGACAAGCTGCCTTCGCTTACACGCTTGACGGCCTACTAATGGTAATAGCCATGACGATGATCCTGTTCATTCATCCGGGCTTGGTGTATAGTAGACTTAAAGCTGACCCCCTGCTAGAACACACCAGCAATGAGCTATAGAAATCCTCTGTAGTATTTATTAACGACATAGATCGAGCCCGCCTTGATGGGTACTCAGTTTCCCTTTTCCTGGTGGTCCAAAAGAATACCCCAAATACCTCTCACATGCAAGCCCGTGCCTTACTATCACAACTCAAGCCACAAAGGGGCTACAACTTCTTGTGCATCTTTTCTCATCACATCCAGAAGGTTTGTGTGGTTGAAGACTTTGCTATTTCTGGCCTGCTTTACGACCAAATGGCACATATACGCAATCTCGGTGTTCCAGGCCATCGCTTGAGCCTCCAGCCTTTACTACAAGCCACTAGTTGGCACAAATTTCAAATCTCTACAGGGAGTTACCATCGTTTTAGAAAACAGGATCTTTTCAGTAACCACCCTCTTTTTCTTCTTTTTCTTCTTCTTCTCCTTCTCCTCATCATCCTCATCCTCATCCTCATCCTCCTCCTCTTTCTTCATCATCTCCATCTCTTCTCAGTGTGGCGGCTGCCGCCAGCTGTCTCCCCTCTCCTCCAGCTGGCCGTCTTTCTCCGTGCCGTGCTTACGTAAATTGCGGGTTTAATTCGCGTCGTAGGCACGCCGTAGCGATAACGAGCTGGGCGCGATTTTTTCAGGGTTTGTCTATTTTCCTCGGAACGCTGATTGTCGATGCCTTATTTCGGAGGTGGACGGATAGCCCGTCTGTCCCGGAGACCAGTCTCTCGTGCGGTGTGCCGGACGGAAAGGACGGGCGCAAAGGCGTCACGATACGTGCATCAAGAACAGTTGTCCAATGAATCAAAGAGGGGGATACCGCGGAGGAAGGGGACAAAATGTAGCCAAATAGAGGTAGACGTAGACGTAGAGAGATGTGACACACAGAGACAGGTTTGGAGAAAAATGGAAGACACACTCACTCACACGGAAGTGCCCGATTTGGTAAATTGGCACGGTAGGCCTTTTCTCTCTCTTTCTGTCGTGGACACTCACAAGTGGCTGTTGTGTGGCTACAATGTCTTTTTCTGTAGCCAGGTCCTGGGCATGTCGGTGGAGTCTGCGTCTCCATTTGCGGCCAAATGTCGGGTCGAGAGCACTTTCGGGTTTGTAGGGTCGAACAGAGCTCGGTTGTGTAAGGCAGACCGGCGTGGAATAAGAAAAGCTCGCAGAGTAAAGCCAGTCAAGGGTATGCCATATTAGTGTGGGTACATACTAAGTACATACATCCTTCCTAGATTCACATCGTTTCGTCAGCCAATTACTATACTCCATAGAGCATATCACACACAGTACAGCTTGTCGGTTCGTTGCACGTCGATCCGATTGTGGTATTCATCTTTGTCTCTTCACCCCAGCTTCCACTGTCTTGGCTGTTCTACAACTGCCAAGCTTACACCCATCGCATTCCATCATCCCTGCCCTTACTTTTTATAGACTACCCAGGTCAATTTGAGGAACATTATATTTTCAATATTTCATTCTTCTTGTCTCAATAAAATTTACCAGATACACAGAAATACTTTGGTCCGTTAATACAAGAAAGTAAACTTCTCCATTCTCAAGCCATTACCACCATCGATTTCTAGCAACAAATCAAATTAAAAATCCTAATTTATAGAGCTATCGAACTTACCATTTGTCTTTTGTCTTCGTTCATCACTGTTTAATCTTGTCTTTTCGATAGCCTGCTTCTATTTCAATTCGTTTCCACTTTCCATTTCACTCAACCCATATTATTCCGTTTGCATAGACCCTCTCCTGAATATAAATCTAGTCAATCAACCCAATCAAACACAATATTACTCCAGCCCGCACATCATTAGTTAATCAGTGTAAAAACCGTACAGCAAAAGAAATGATGTCAAGCAATTTACAAGATTCTTTCTCAACCGAAAACTTAGAGCTCAAATCAGAGATTAGCAAAAATCTCAACGATGATGACGATGAAAATAGTTCTAAAAACCAAAGTGTAACTGGCTCTTCTCCTTTCTATGCTATAAAAATATTATCATTACCTCCCACCACTCAATTAGATTCTCTAACCTTGAAATTTCTGAAAGAAAAGAACCTAAATTCAGACGACTTGCAACTCATCAAAAGGACGAGCGATAATGAAATCACTCACAATTTCATTGAATTTTTCCACAATAAACAACTTTTGGACGATTTCATTGAATTCTTCAAAATCGAAGAGTCCGTGGATTTAGATTATGAGCTCATTGATAATGAAATACAGCTAAACTATCAATTGCCAGGTCATTTATTCATTCGTGGACTTCTGTACACTACAACTGCTCAAGATCTTTATAATATCTTCAAACCTTATGGAGAAATCCATGCTTGTAAAGTCATCTTCAATGATTATGGAATATCGAAGGGATTTGGGTTCATCAATTTTTCAAATAAAGTCGAAGCTGATAATGCTATTGAGAGCTTGAATGGATGTAACGTTGATGGCAACAATTTGTTCATTAATCACCACGTTTCCAAGAAGGATAGACTTAAGGAATTGGAGTACAAAATGAATAAGTTCTCGAACATCTATATCAAAAATTTACCAGCAGATGTAACCAAAGTCGAACTAAGTGACCTTTTTGGAAAATTTGGTAAAATTAATTCAATCTTTTTGCCAAAAGATTTGAATCATGATGTCGATATCCAAAGTAACATAGATCACCACGAGCATAATTCCAAGGACGTTATAAATGATGATGTTCAAAATGACGGAAGCAACGATAGAGAAAGCGAAGATAACCCTTCCTCAAAAGCATATGGTTTTATAAATTTCAAATATCATGAGGACGCTATTAATGCCAGAAAAGAAATGAATGGCTTTGAAATTAGACCAGGCTATAATATTCAAATCGATCGTGCAGAAAGGAAGAAGGAGAGAATCCAATATGAAAGTCTGGCTCATCATTTCAACATCAACACCAATAAAATTTGTAGTAGTGATAACGATTCTACGAGCAGCGCTACTATCACTAGAAATATCGATAATTCTGGTGAGTTTCATAGAATGAATAAGGACGTTTACGAAGAACCAAGAATAGAAAAATTCCAATCTCCTATTGATAGATCATTTTCCTTCTCTTCAAATTCCTCTTCAAGAAGCAGACGACAATCGTCAATTACCAGTCCTCAAATTTTACCATCTTTTGCCATGGTTAATGGCAACTTCAACTATGATACAACAAGTAACCACAATTACCATAACTTTGTTCATAATCAGTCTCTAAAGAATTCCAATCAAAGATTACAGTATCCGCAAATGTACCAGCCCATAATTCCTTTTACCTATAACCATAAGAACAAGTCGCAAGAATTGTTGTTGCAACCTGAAAAGCAGCTGCAAAAAGCTTACCAGCAACAACAGCAACAACAGGTCCAGCAGCCTGTACAATCACAACCTCAGCACATTCAGGAATCTCCGTACTTTGCAAATAATAAGAATAATGTTTATGATAGAAAAATTGATCACAGTATCAGTATGATAAAAGGTATTCCAATGAACAACTATCAACCGTCTATAACAAACCAGAATCCAGTATTACCACCGTTCATTATCACACCCGACTCCAATTTGATCTCGACATCAACAGGATTACCGATTGCCGGCCCTCAATTTCAAGATTCTAACTTGTATGTGATACATTTACCAAAGGAGTATTCAGATGAGGATTTGTATGACCTTTTCGAGAAGTATGGTAAGATCACTTCATCCAGAGTAATTACTTATCAACCCGAGGAAGTTGAGCAGTTGAACAAGAAGAAAAAATATGATCGTGCAAAACAGGTTGATTCCACTGCTGCTATTCCTGACGCTAAGTTGGGGGTTCCAGAAGATTTTGCCGCGGCTCAGCTTGAGAATAATAACAGTGCTTCAACTGAAAACCAGGAACTCAATTCTGATGCAGACCGTATCCCTCTTGTTGGAGAGTCGAAATGTTTTGGATTTGTCTGCTTTCAAAACCCAGTAGATGCTTCCAAAGCGTTAGTATGTATGAATGGATTTAAAGTTGACTCAAATCATGTTTTGAGGGTCACTTTTGCACAAAGGAAGGAAAACAAGTATAATCAAGGAAGGCTACACCACTATAACCAAAACCATCTCGGTGGACTTTATCAGTATGTGAACAATTATAACAATAGTTACGCTCACATCATGACACCGAGTGGAAATATTCCACCTATGCCAGCATCATCCATACCGTCACTTTCTCCCATGGGTGCGATGCCAGCTATGGGGCCTATAGGTCCAGTGGCACATTTGGGACCGATGGCCCATATGGCACAGATGGCTCAGATGGCTCAGATGGCCCATATGGCACCAATTCCTCCTTCGCAATTACCGCCATCAACATCGCCGTCATTACCTACAGTGGCTATGCAGCATTCCCCGTCCATTCCATCAATGAATGGAGTATCGAATGTTCAAAGCTCCCCTGCAATGGAGATGATGCACGGTGTCTCGCTCATAGGTTCAAGTCAGCATCAGCCTCAATCTCATTACTACCAGCAGCAACCGCCGCAATATCTGCCGCAAAATTCTCCCCAGCAAGCAGCAATCCCAGCAATGAATAGCATAAGATTATCAGGAATAACCATGATGAACAATACTCCGGGTGTAAATAAATACAATAACTGGTACTATCCTAGTAGTTATCACCAAGGCGGAAGCAGCCGAGAAAGATACGATGAGTTTCAAAATCGTCAGATGCTAGACGTTGAGAACGGGATGCAAGACTTGACTATAGGATTAAGTGATGAAGACGATTATGAAAATTATGAAGAATACGAAGATTATGAAAATTATGAACATACTAATGAAGATGGTGATATGAATAATGATGATGATGCCCAGGTCGAGTCTGTTGAAGAAATCACTCATAAAAATGCTTCAATTTCAAGGTCAAGAATTGATTGCAATAACAGAAGAAATGATGCCAATAATAATTTCTCCAGCACTTCCAATAACTCTAAAGCAAGGTCGAAATATACACGAGCTAATAGTTACAACTCTCACTCGAGAAGAAACTATAACAGTGGCAGTAATAATAGCAGCAGCGTTGATATTAACCAAAATGGTTACTACAATTATAATTACTACGACCACAACTACGGCAGTTATGTTTACAACCGTGGCAATTATAAACAGCATAATAGATCGCATAGCATGATTAATTCTGGGGGATTTGGCTCTCAGAAAAGACAAGAACGAAGAGAGTGAAATATTCAGTTCCCTTTCTCAGCTTGTCTACCTATTTATTTATTTATTAATTAGTTATGATTTTATATCTCCAATTGATTCATTCCATACTTTAAAAAGTCAAGTTTCATTTATCTCTCTTGTTCCTTTTCCATAATGTAAGCATGTCTGTTGGTTTTTCTCGATCATGGTAGTATGATTATTTCGTATACCTCTATATATAGGTTGAGTAAGTTATTTATTTTATATATACGTTTTTGCGTGAAGGGGTGGTAATCATCGTTAATATAAATTCATGAAAAGTTTTAGAAAAAACGGATATGCGCAAGAAAGAGGTCTTTCAAAAGGTCTGTTTATTCATAATGCAGGAGGGAGATCATCGACGGTGTGTTTCTCAAACTTTGGAGTATCTGCATGTTTGTCACTTATTTTTTGTTCCGTTTTCTTGAAGGTTTCGTCCTGCACCTGCTCTACCGCCTTGACTTCGTCAATGTAGTATTTAAGCATGTCTTCGATACCCGACTTGAGGGTGATTTCTGAACTTGAGCAAGACTTACAGGCACCAATGAGTCTTAGATAAACAATACCCTTGTCGTGGTCAAAACTGATGTACTGAATGTCACCACCATCTTCTTGGATGGCAGGTTGGATTCTTGTAGTCAACAGCTCTTGGATCAAAGCCACCACTTCTTCTTCTGGGGTAAGGTCTTCATCAAACTCGTCCTTCGAGCCGGTGAATCCCGACTGGGACTTCTCCACGAGGCGGTCGTAGAAGTCATTTGAAAGCACGGTGTTGCCCATGGTCAAATGCTCAGTGAGCAAGGCAAAAATTTGCGGCTTGAGAACGTTCCAATTCTGAGGCTTCACCTCGTTGTTCTTTTCTGCCGACGCATCACCTTCCGAGTACTTCACCACAGTGATAAAGTCATAGCCAAACAAGATCGACGAGATCGCTTTGTCGTTGATGGACAGAAGCTTGAGCGCTAGCTCGGACTTATGAATGGCGTCCTTTATGCTGGTCACTTCCACCGTAGGCGTCTGCTGCGTTGGCAAAATTCGAGTTCCACTGGGAATGAACTTCAATGCGTTCTCGTTGGGAGTCGTCTGCGTCTGGATGAACAAGCTTCTGCGAAACATTGCCAAACTGGACTTATTGAGTGCCCATGATATTCCGAAGGTCTTCCTTGTGATCTTTGATGAGAACATTTCTTCGGCAGGTACGTTTGTGCCTGGGTGTGCTTATCGTGTCCGTGCCCGTATTAGTTCAGCTGCTGCAGGTCCACAGCAGAATCAATGTGGCCGGGCAGTTCGAAAGCTTCAAGTAGAAGGAGGAGGAGCAACAGCCGAGACCAACAGACAGCTCGAGGGCCAAAGAGAGACAGACGGACACACTCACGTCGGAAAGAAAAAAAAGAGTGGAAAATGAGAAAAGGAAAGGCAAAGAAAGAAGAAGGCTGTGCTTGTCTGCCCAAATAGGCAGGCAAGCCGAGACAAGACGTATCCTCTGTTTCATCCCTCTTCACTTCTTGTAATGTGGGGGTCTGTTGGTCTTGTTGAGCACAATGCGGTCGGAGAGCCAGGTAAGCGCCTCGGCAACGCCATCACCCGTATAGGCACTGATGGGCAGGACGGTGGAGTCGTTGGCGTTCAAGTTCTCTGCGATCTTGTTGAAGATCTCCTTGATCTGCGCTATCTCGAGCTTGGTGTCGATCTGCACGTCTTGTTTGTTTGCCAACATGAGGATAGGGAGGCCCTCCACCTTGTCGTCTGTGATGATCTTCAGCAAGGTTTCCTTGCACTCGACCAAGCGGTCCGGGTCGCATGAGTCGATGACAAATACAATGGCGTGTGCCTGGGCGTAGTACTCGTTCCAGAGCTCTCGCAAGGAGTCCTGGCCGCCAACATCCCAAAACTTCAAGTGGATGTGACCTACCGTGAGCGTGGCAACATTTTGGCCGACGGTGGGGAGAATCCGGCTTGGCGGGATTTCCTTGTAGTGCGGAATGTAAAGAGCCTTGAGCTTTTCAAGGAGCGTGGTCTTCCCTGCGTTGTCCAACCCGAGAATCAACACTGAGTACTCTGGCCAGAGCATGCACTGGTCGTAGATGGATTTTGCTAGATGAAACATTGCGACTGGCTAGCTGGCTGGCTTCTTTCCTTTCTCTGCTCAATCCCGGTGGCGTTTTCCCCTTCTTCTCCTTTCTCCTGCTCAGCTTCCTTGCCTCTCTTCTCTTTCTGTCTGCTGAGCTTTGTTTCTTCCCCTTCTTCTCATCGCCAAGAAACTACGGGATGACGTAAGCGCGCGGGAAAATTTGCGCCCATTTTCTGTCGAGGAGGAAGAACGGACGGGAACATGAATCGAAGGTGGAGAAACGATGGGAAGAAGAGAAGACTAAGAGAGTAGCGGCTGGTGAACGTGACCTTCGGTACACAGACATACACACACACAAACAAGCACAATGAGAGCATCACTAGTAGCATTGGGAAGATCCTCGTGGAAAGGTCCGTTCGTGGTGCCCTTGCCAATAGCACAGGCCAAGAAAAACGGCACCCCCATCAGAACAAACGCCAGATCGTGCACCATCATGCCACAGTTCGTGGGCCTCAAGTTTCAGGTGCACAACGGCAGGGACTATGTGCAGGTAGAAATAACGGAAAACATGGTCGGTTCGAAGCTAGGAGAGTTTGCGCACACCAGAAAGAGATGGTCGTACACCCAGACTAAGAACAAATAGACAGCCATCGCCACTCTCACACTTCAAAATTCACACTTCACACTTCTCCCTGCTTGTATATATAATCATATATTGAAATTGAAATGGTCTATTTATATCTACGTTTAATGTAATCATATATGTCCTCAATGGAAGGTAATTTATGTTAACTGTTTAGCTTTCGTTTATATTTTCGTTTCGTTCACATGACCGGACAAGCGTGTCACCATGCCTTTACGGTACCATCGAGCAACCCATCTAGCCGTCTATCTATTGTAACGTGTATCCATCATACGCTCCTCCCTCAACTTACCAGTGCGGTCCTCGATTGGCCACTTTCCCCAGCCTCCAAGTCGAATAACAAGACATGTAGCATTGTCGTCACCACCAATACACTCGACAAAGCCCACCACTTCTTCGGCGCCCTTTGATGGGTTGCCCCTATTCACTCCTCGGTTGTTAAAATTTGTCTTTATTAAATCGACAATCTCTTGGTCAGATAGGTTGTTGGTAACACCGTCACTAACAAGGACGACAAACGATTCCTCTCCCCCAAAATCTTGTACATCGTTGTCTTTCAAGCTCTGCTTGTTTTTGGAGTTCTCCTTAAACTTTTCAATCATCCGGGAATTACCTATCAGATATTCGCTGATCTCAGGTTCGGATGTTATCCCTATGTCTTTGGCAGTTAGGTCTCCGAAGGACCTAGTATTGGCAAAGTTGAGAAACCTCTCTTCCCCAAACGAGTCAGTCATTATCATGCCAGCGCTAAATCTTCTCAGTCGGCTGGCCTCAATAGGATTCGACGGATGATGGTCCTTTGTCAAACTGTGGGCAAGACCATATTTATCACATATAATGGCTCTTGTGTCTCCAACGTGTGCAACCACTAACCTCGAGACCACGTTGTCTTGATAAAAATAATGATTGGTATCGTTCTCCTCCCAATCAACAGCGTATGTAAAACAAGATGTGCAAGTGCTTCCACTGTTAACGAGTCGGTATTGCACGGCGTCAGATTCGTTCGTCTTTGTACTTGTTTTTTTCTCCTTATTTGCTTCATTCTCCCATGTCAAGAACTGCAAATCCGTAAATAAATATCCCAGCCAAAGTCTGAGCTTGAAGATTTCCCAATGCGTCAATTTGTTATCATTAAGCATCATCTCAATGACGGTCCATAGCTTCTTACCACTCCTGAATTCTTCCCAATCTATAAAATTGTCTTCTTCTTCCTCGTTGTCTTGTTCATCTACTCGTATCTGTTTTGGGCCCTTCTCCTTTTCTACTGCTGTCTGTGCCCGTGTCTTCCGATACTCTTCGTTTATTTTGTCAATATAATTTTTAACCGGCCTTTCGATGTTGCATTCGTTTACCACAACATCGCCAATTTTGCGACCCCATCTTTTCCAGTATCCATTTATTTTGGATCTATAGAATTTTTTCATATCTTCTATAGCCTTTTCACTAATGTTAATGTTTTCTATATTTTCAAAAAGATGATCTTTTAAATAGGTAGAGCATTCGGTGCCTCCATGTCCATCGAAAACTCCAAACGAGAATACTGTCCTATTGATGGGTGGGGAGCTTTTCTCATACGTAGGTTCACTTGTGCGGCTTGTTTGTTTCAAAAGCTTCAAATTGTCAAAATCATAACCATGAAATGCGTCAAGTATCTTTTCCTCACTAAAAGTGTCATTCTCTTGCTTTGAGGAACCCTGGAAGGGATCAACCGCACGCAACGCTTCAGGTTGCAAGTCTAGTACTGAAGCTTGCCATCGATCTTCGTTATACGGTCTGTTTACTCGACCCGAGTAGTATCCAAAGTTAGATGGGACTTTGAGCAAGTCCACGTGAAAATTGATAGGCGATTTTGAGTTCGTTGAGTGTATAGTCAAATGCTGTGAAATAAATCGCCTTTGGCACTTTTGTATGTGTTTTGCAAACATTTTCTTAATTGCAATTTAGGATTTCCCCTGACCTAGTTTTGTATTTCTTTACTCCCCTAAATTTGTTATCGTTTATTATCATCTTCCGTTTGCTTAGGGATTTCAATAATCCGCAGAGCTCCAAAAAAACGAAATTATGAATTACCCGTTTGAGTTAAGTCGTCCATGTTTTTCCGGGGGAGGTGTCAATCGTATCGTAAATGTTGTGTATAAAGAGTTTATATGAATAATAGACAAGAATCTAAACAGTATTTGACAATAGTATGTTTCCTTCCCGTAAAGTAGCAATGCCTAATGAATGTTGCTTATGTACTCATCTCCAAGAACCCTGTTGTCAGCATCATACTCGGTTCCGCTTTCTCCGCTTAACCCACTGACTCCACTTAGCCCACTATTTCCACTAAGTCGACTTTGTTCACTTGCTTGACTGTTTCTGCGCGATTCAAGCACAAACCCGCCTGCTGACGGGATATTGTATGCTCGCAGCCCGTCGATGCTTGAGTCTAAACCCTGGTTGTCCCTACTTCTTCCAAACAGTTTCCCAAATAATCCACCAGCACTCTCAACTGCGGCCTTTACCAATCTAAATGGAAATGTGAATATTCCTACAGCGTTTCGGCCAAATTGAGAAGTCGACATTGAGGAAGATGGTGGAGAAATTCTTGGTAAAGAATCATTTAATTGTAAATTTCCGTTAGAAACGTATCTCTGTGAAATTGTTCTTCCCTCCTGTAATAACGCTGCGGTTTTGTCCGTACTTCCTACAACTGATTCGATGTCATTGTTTGCACGCAAATCAGTTGGTCTTTCAGTAGTGTCGTCCTCAAAATCCATTTCCTCAAGAATATAATCGAATAAAAAGTATCCATCTAGCCATCTTCTTAATTTCCCCCAGACACCAAAGAAACTCATCAAAACAGGCACCAATATTAATCTCGGAATAATATCATTGAGTAAGTCACCGATTCTGATCAATTCCAAATTTCCACTGACAAATTTCAAGAATGCGGAGTTGGATGTGACAGAGGTATCTAACAACATCAAGAAATTGTATCCTAAGGGAATCGTCAAACGTAATGCATAACTAATGAAAAAGACTGAACTCACCGGATCAGAGTTGGAGTTGAACTCAACTTTGTAAATGTTGAAAAGCTTCACCATCCCCAAGCTGAGCAGAGCACATGACATCATTATAATCAAAATCACAACCATTTTAAAGCAACTGAGCGTACTTGTATTCTGTATTATCCAACTCATGACTGATAATCTTGTTCCATGCATCATCTCGCTCTCGATTATTACCAGACCTATTATTGCAAATCCTACTGCAATTAACTTGTACAATAAAGGCCATATGTAAACAAACACCCAACGTGGCCAGCAAATTTTATAGCTTCTCCATTCAATTTCCAAACTTGTGTTGGCATTGTCGAATGATGTGTTGAAGGAAGAGTTATTCATGTAGTTGATGACGTCTTCGAGATAGACGATATCCAGGACTTTGTGCTCAAAAATGGATTTAGAGTGCTTGTAGTCCCAGACTTTCCATTTCAAATCTTCGTTCAACTTAGATAAGAAAACATCATCAATCTCATTCGTCGAGACTCCTATACTGTCCATCAGAAACTGGTAATTGTTGTTGCTGCTACGGAGGTTTCTATCGAGTTTGAATTCTTCTGGGATTTTGGCATGCAAATACAATATATGATCTCTTAAAGAAACGTCTAACTCTGAGTTCAAGCTTGGATTCAGATCTAGTATCTCATACAATGAGTTTATTTTGTTGCAAACATCACGGAGCTCGAATTTCGAGTCTTCCAGGTGGATCTGAAGTTCAGGTAACTTAATGTAATCGAGATGCAACTTTTTGGAATAGGATGTCATCCAAAATGCTTTAGGCAGGTGATTCAACCCATGAGCCATCAACCATATTGCCATTGTCAACGAGTAGATATGAGAGGTGGTTATCAATAGTGACTTGAGATATTTGAAATCGAGCGCATCCCGGTGGTACAATAGTACGTAGAAAAGGAACAGTAGTCCAACAATAATGAGGAGAAACAAGAACTTCAGCACGGAATATGCCGAATTTTTGATCCGATTGAGGAGTGTGAACTGGCCCGAGCTGAGGAAGTATTGCCAGAACGGCAAGATCACCCATGTCGAGACATAGGTAATCCAGTAATTTGTTTTCCAAAGAATACTTATCGTCGCCGAGCTGGAAGGCGTCGCCATATCGATGGGCAACAAGTATGTTGTGCTCAACGGTAGGAACAAGGAGATTGTCAACGTGATATTCAATGGCACCGAGATGGTTCGAACATTGGTCAATCTGTACAATATGAAGAAAGACACCAGAAGCGCAATCGTGGAGCATCCTGCGAGGAGCGGCAACACCGGGGCAGCTGAGAGTGTTTTCAGTACATGCATGTCTGTGTTTGTTTGTAACTGTTTGTTACTGACCTGTTTGAAAGCAATGGCACCAAAGACCCGGAAAAGACCACAAGAGGCATAGGTGGAAGGTAGTTTGCTAGATTAAGAAAAGTAGTAGGTATAAGCCCGGCGCGTAGCCGGTTCTTGTCCGTGAAGGCTCTCTCTGGTGTGCTTAAGAGGCCAGAGTGAGTAGTAAGTAGGCAGGGAGATAGATATAAAGGAAGGAAGAGAGATATAAAGTTTTAGAGAAGGGATAGAAAAAAGTTAATAGGAATGGGGGCAAGGGTGGGAAGAAAAGGGGGTCAATTCGTGGTGGCCGTGAACTTGTAGCGCTTCTTTATGATTCCAACGACGTCGGAGATGGCGTCGTCGTCGACAAACCAAGCGATCTTGCCGGCGGCCTTCTCGTTGATTATACTGGCGGGAAGCCCCTTGTCGGGTCTCTCCATGATGGTTCTGAGGACAGGAGCCTTTGTGGAGCCCTCAACGACGAACGCCACTAAGTGGGAGTGGCAGATGACTGGGACGGAGAAGGATATACGGTTGGCCGGTCCCACGGGGCTGTTCTCGACGGGCACACACCAAGCGTAGTTTTCTCTCAAGGTTTCGTGGTTCGGGAAGAGGGAGGCGACGTGGCCGTCTGGGGCACAGCCGAGTAAGATCAAGTCGAACATGGGCAACTTGACCGAGTCCTTGGAGGCAAATCCCTTGATGAGGGTCTTCTCGTAGTCATCGGCGCACTCCTGCGGGTCATCCAGCAGAGCCGAGTTTATCGGATAGATGTTTGGAGAGCCCTTTGACTCCGGAATGAGGTCGAATAGCTTGGACTTGGCCTGTCCGTAGTTGGACTCCGAGGAGTCGAAAGGCACCAACCTCTCGTCAGCAAAGTAGACGTCCCACTTGTCCCACTTGATGTCGTCTCGCTTGAGGAGGCCCTCGTGCAACACATTGAGAAGAGAACCACCACTGATACCTATTTTGAATCTCCTGTTGCTTTCCTTCTTCTTCTTCCTCAACTGGGAGCTTGTCGAGGGCGATGTGCTCATGCTATTGCTGTGAATGCTGGCATCGTCCGGTGTATTTCGCAGCATCAATGGCGAGTCGGACGTTGTGTTCAGCGGGCTCAGCTGCTGCTGCTGCAGGAATTGCTGCTGCTGCTGCTGCTGCTGCAAGTTCAGTGTGTTGCTAACGGAAGATGACGACGACGACGCGATGTCGTCGTGTGACTTGGACAAGGCCTTGTTCTGTGCAGTCACAACCAAGTCTGCGACGGCCTCTGCGACGCCAGAGAACTCAGGAAACGAGTATATGAGCGGGACGGCAGTGGTCATCGGAGCGGTCGTGTGGTGTGTGTGTGGGTGTTTATGTGTTTGAGTGCGGGCTTGGAGCAGGTGTCGGGGTGTTTGTCTCTGCAGACGTGTATCTCGGTCTTGTGCGGTTGGTCGTGTGCGGTTGGTCGTGTGTCAAAGTAGCGTCCTGGTGTCAGTGTGGGCAGCCCCTGTCTTGTGGCGGCCAGCCACCGACCGGCCGAATCAGTTGTCTGACGGATGAGCCAGAAAAAAGAGAGGAAAAGCCAAAGGCGGCGGCAACATGAAAAAGAGGCGAGCGAGCGTGCGGGCGGGCAGGGAAGGGACGGAGCAGCAGTGGTGAGGGACGGAGATGGGGCAGATGAGGAGCCGGACGGATGGAGGCGGGCCGGAGGAGGGCGGTCGGGGGTGTGAAAGGCAGCAGAGAGCGGAAGGGAGAAGCAGCAGACGCAGAGGACATGACCAGCACGTTTTATTCGGCGTTGGACCTAATTGCGTGGAGCCTGAAGGGCGAAGGTTTGAACTACGCCGTTTCAGGCGGAGAGAACGGCGACGAGTATCTGCTCACGAAGATACACAGCGGGCGAAGATCGGACGACGGGGGTGGGGCTACAACGATGGACAGCGCTGCGGCGGACGTGCCGGACGGCGTCGTGGTGCATGTGGGCTCGGGGGGCGTGAGCTTCCCGTTGACGGTGTCGAACTCCGTGAGGGAGATTGTGAGCAAGAAGTGGATCTTGCCGAGCTTGCGGCGCAGCATCGAGGTTGCCGAGCGGGGGCTGGCGGAGGAGGGCGCCGACGGCGGGGTGGAGCTCCGGAAGGCCTTGGACGACTCGAAGAGCGAGTTCTACAGCGGCGGCGGCAGCAGCAGCCAGATGGGCGGGATCGCCGGCGTGGTGCCAGGTAGCTCGGGCGGCGTGGCCAGCCAGCGTGCTCCGGCGGAGTCCCCGGCCGGCTCCCCGGCACACTTCCCGGAGGAGCAGGGCTCCGGCGCCGGCGAGCAGATGCCCGGCTTTGAAGACGACTTCCAGCTGCAGCCAGGCAACCGGAACGACCTCCGGGGCCCGTTCGGGGCGTGGCCCGACCCTGCAGGGCCCGCTGCGGCGGCCTCGTCGTCCTCCTTCGGCGACTTTGATCTCTATCCGAACGGAGAGAGAACCGGCCAGTGGGGCGACCCTCTGGGCGGCGCCGCCGGCACCGCCGGCGGCCCTGGCGGTCTTGGCCGCCTGGGTGGCCTGGGCGGCATGCATCCGCAGTTTGACGACCCGTTGTTCAGAGGCGGCCTCGGCGGCAGCCGGGGCAGCAGCCGGGACGGTCCCCGCCGCGGCCGGGGCGGCTTTGGCCCCAACATCAGGTACGACGATCCGACCGGCGGCAGCCATGGGTTCTGACCACCCCGGCGACGGACTAGGGTCCGCTGGGGACCCCGGGGCATTTGGGACCCCGTTTGTGTAATGAATGTATGTGTAGTCACTTGTACAGTTGCTGGAAATGGGTTTTCGCAAAATATCCGACCGACGCGTCGGCGCGGTGCACGGACGTACGGGCGCAGCCCGTTCTCCTCTTTTGCTGGGAGAGCGCTGAGCACGAAAGAGACAAACCGCATAGAGGTGATTGGCTCAGGAGATGTGGGAAGACATACGGTGCAGAAGAAGACCGGGAGGAGCCAGGACGGAGAGCCATTGCCCGAGAGACACACAGGATGCTCGCCAGAACAGTCAGAATCAACAGCGTTGCCGCCAGGCGGTTTGTGGCCACCGCAAGCAAGAGCTCGACGGCCACCAAGACCCAGGAGAAGGAGGCCGGCGCAGCCACGGGCTCGTCGACCGCGTTGACCGGGGAGGACCCGCTCGACGTGATTCCTAGCAGCAACTACCCGCAGGCTCCGAACCGGGCAGAGACGTGGTCGCAGTCGCAGAAGTCGAGAGACGAGATCTACAAGACGGACCCCCGGTTCGTCGGCAAGGACTTGAGCAAACAGCCTCAGTCGCTCGCGGCCATCGAGTTGATCAAGCAGCAGCCGGTCAGCTTCATCCACGGCAACATCGCCGTCTGCCACGGCACCGACTTTGTGCAGGGCCACCCAAAGGTCTACATCAACCTGGACAAGGACAAGGCGCACTCCTGCGGCTACTGCGGTGCCAGGTACGCCAGAGAAGAGCTCAAGAATAAGTTGTAAGTAAGACCCTGTCGTCTGCTCCCGGCCACGCAGCCCGCTCTATAAATTATCTATAAACTCTACATACATCGGCTCTTATTTATTTATTTATTCGTTCATCCACACAATCATTCATTCATCCATCCATCCATCCATCCATCCATCCATCCATCCATCCATCCATCCATCCATCCATCCATCCATCCATCCATCCATCCATCCATCCATCCATCCATCCATCCATCCATCCATCCATCCATCCATCCATCCATCCATACATCCCCCGCTGCCTTGAGTCCTATCTTGCGCTGTCCCAGTATTGCGGGCCCTTCTGCTGGGCCACTGCTCGCCCTGTTTACCTCCCTCGTATAACGGAAATATTCCCGATCTGTACTAATTTTTTTTCACCCCCCGTAGCTCTTAGTCATATCACCAGGGCTCTGTCGTCCGGTGTCTGTTCTTGAAAACCCTCCCGTCGTGTCCAGAGCCAGTCGAAGAAGCCGCCGCTGCCACCAGAACATCCGCCTTTGCTAAACATGAGCCTCGGGAGACAATTAGCCTCGGCATCGAGACGCTACTCATCGTATCCGGCCTCAAAGACAATCCGTCAGAACTCTCTCCAAGATCTGTACAAACTGCACAAGAACAAAGAGCCGATAACGGTGATAACGGCGCACGACTACATCACAGGGAGGTTTGCTGAGGCGAGTCCGGGAATTGACGCCATCCTTGTGGGCGACTCGCTGTCGATGGTCGCCAAGGGCCATCCATCCACGCTCGAGCTCGACTTTGACGACTTCTACCACTCTACGGCGTCGGTGCTGAGAGCGGTGAGAGAGAAATTCGTCATTGTCGATATGCCTTTCGGGTCGTTCGAAGAGTCGGTTGAGCAGTGCACCCGCTCCGCCGTCAAATTGATGAAGTTGGGCAAAGTCGGGTCGGTCAAGATAGAGGGCTCCTACGAAATGACGGACCGGATAAGAAGCTTGACCAACGCAGGAATACCCGTGACGGGACACATCGGGCTGCAGCCGCAGAAGTTCAACATGCTGGGCGGATTCAAGGCGCAGGGAAGAAACGCCTTGGGCGCTTTGGACATCTACAAACAGGCGCTTCATCTACAGAAAATAGGCTGCAAGATGCTACTCTTTGAGTGCATCCCGGAGAAGGTCGCAGCCTTCATCACCGACCGTGTGGACGTACCCACCATCGGAATTGGGGCAGGCAACTCCACCAGCGGACAGGTGCTTGTCATGGCAGACGCGTTGGGCATGTCCGATGGCAAGAAAGCCAAGTTTGTCAAGTCCTACTTGGACATAAACTCGCTTGCCGTAGATGCCTTGACGAGATACTCGGCGGACGTCAAGAGCAAATCGTTCCCGAACTCTGAACTGCACACCTATCCAATGAAGGATGAAGAATTTGATGAGTTCGAAAGAATGGCAAAGGATCTATAAATCATTAGTAGGTAAGCAGGAAACTAGACAATACTATCTATAAACAACGCTGAATTTGTCCTCCTTCTCGATCTCGTCGTCGGCATTGAAATCGATTTTATCCTCCTTCATCATTATTGTCCTTCCTTGACTAGGGACGATAATGTTATTTTTTCGTTCGTTCTTGGCAGCTTCTTGTAGTAATAGATTCCCCGGCTCAAGATAGTGTTCCGAGCTTAAAACAAAGGTTCCCCAATGCACTCCGACCATTTTATGGATCTTCATCTCCTTCATGATTTTCACGCTTTCGGCAGGACTGATGTGTCTAGGTTTCTGATGCCACTCGGGGCAATACTGCCCAATGGGCAATGCGGCAAATTTAACAGGTCCATAGAGTTCACCAATCTTATTGAACACACCACTTGCGTATCCGGTGTCTCCACCATGGTAGAACAGACTTTTACCGTTTCTCAAAATCATGAAGCTGCACCACAACGTTTTGTTGGCATCCAACAACATGCGCCCCGACCAGTGCATTGCAGGCAAGCAAACAATCTCAAACTCATCATCTATACAAACCCTCTCCCACCATTTCATCTCGATGATGCTGCTCGTCTCCACTCCATGTTTGCTCAAGAACTCGCCAATCCCATTTGGAACTATCCACTTGCATCTTCCTTGGATGGTACTAAGCTTCGAAGTACTGTCATCCCCCAAATGATCAGGGTGGTCATGACTAACAAGGATATAATCCGGCTTTATTTCCTCCACAACTTGCTCAATCTTCAAAGGACATGGAACCACCCGTTTTGGGCCGAACGTCTTATTGACAATTGAATCCTCAAACAACGGATCCATCAGAAACACTTTACCACCACTTTGAAATAACCCACAACTTTGTCCTAGCCATGTGTATGCCACCATACCATGTTCTAAACAAATATCTCTCACATTTTTCATATACTCAACACTAGGTTGAACCCAGCGTAGTTCTTCAACTCTCTGGCTTGTCTCCTTGGGTACTCCACCACGAGCTCCAAATTCACTCAGTTCAATCAACCGCATGACGAAAAATTCGTATAATGTTTGGGGCCTGTATTCTTTAAATGGATTCTCATATCTCCCATGAATTTCAAGAACATCAAATCTTTTGTCATCCCCGTAATTATTGAACACTCTCTCTCGGTCATCAATGGCACGTTGTGCCATCACATAACTGTAGGTCGTGTAAGTCGTGTACGTAGCTAGTGCATACAACACACTTCTAAACTTTAACCCCATTCTATGAATCTAATTGTGGATTTTGATCCTCCCTTTTTAGAATCGGGCTAAGTTGGCTTTGGTCATCAAGGCTTAACGACACAGTTAGGGTTCCCCGAGCCATCCACATAATTATGTCAAGTTGAGTTGATTTTGTCAAAGAATCTAGTGGTAAATAATTATCAGCGCGTTTTGGTTAGTAGTAGGCTATGGAGATACGGATGAATCTAGTGCAACGCAATATTAATAATCTTACTATCAATTATATAAAAATTGGTTACTGCGGCCCTTTATAAATTACTGCGTAAGTTATGGTTTGCCAGTCTCGTTCTGCTGGTACTGTTCCTGTGTTATTCACCGTTTAACTCATTCATTATGTTTCCACCGGAATCTTTTCATCACCAGCTCTATCTATTTTTCCTACTTCCTGAAGATCCCTTTGATCCCCTACTTCTCCTTCTCTTTCGCCCTCTCCCTCTTCCTCATCGTCCTCATCGTCCTCATCATCTTCTTCTTCTTCATCATCGTAATCTTCGTCGTCCTCGTCATCATCGTCATCATCGTCGTCCTCGTCGTCCTCGTCGTCTTCTTCTTCCTCTTCTTCCTCTTCTTTTTCTTCTTTTTCTTCCTTCTTCTCCTCCTTTTCTTCAACTTTTTCCTTTCCTTCAACTTCTTCTCTACCTTTTCCTTTAGCTTTACACTCTTTTCCATTTGTGTCCAAATCTTTGACTGCTTCTATCTTTATACTTGCAACCTTTTCTTGCAATTCGTTCACTTCTGGGTTGTCGCCATTTTCTATTAAGTCGAGCTTAGCTTTTTCTAATTCAAGTTTTCTCCTTCGTATTTCCTTCAACTTTTTGACGGTAATATCCACAACTTCACTCCACTCTCTCATACCACCCATGCCAATATCTCCACAAACCAAAACTTTTTCCACCGGTTTCAAAACCTCAATGAATTTGAAATCTTCAGCTAATATATTCAAATGAATCTTGGTGATAGGATGCATATACATGAAAGTATTCATAGCAGGCGCCACAAGTATAGGGACTGCAGGATTCCATATCCGAACAATACTTGTGAGTAAGTTGTCCGCCAACCCATTGGCAATTTTTGCTAAGGTGTTAGCACTCAGTGGAGCAATCAGAAATATATCTGCCCACTTTCTAAGCTCCACATGCAAAATCGGATCTCCTGGTTTTATTTTATTAACAGGAGCAGACCATTCTTCTTGTTCTCTCCAAATTTTTACTTCTGACGAGATCTTCATGCCACGTAAAAAATGTTCTGCAGCTGTGGTTACAACAAGTTGAATCGACACTTTATTCGTACCATATATTTTGAAAAGTTTGTCAATAATCATTGGAATTTTTATAGTTGCAACAGATCCTGTAGCCCCAATCAAAATATGTACTTTATCATCATCTTCTTTGCAAAGATATTGGGTAAATGGTACCAATGGGCCTACTGGTGGGGTGACTACTGTCTTCAACGTCTTCTTTTTCGTAATCGATGAAGGCGTTGATAGGTTGGAATTGGGGTTTCCCCCATTTATTGATGTGGTAGAGGACATCCCGCTTTTTGATTCGTATATATTCTCGCCTGGTAATGATGAGTTCCTCAACTTACTATTAGCTGCGGAGAGTAAACGTGTGGTTGGTAAATTATTATTCTCTTCAGCAATTCTAGGAGAAGTGTGGATTTCATGATTTGAACTTGTCGTGTTGCTATTGGTCCCAGTACTAACTTTATTATTCGGAGTTATGTGAGATGCGACGCTGACACCATTCAGCAGGTCAAACTGCACCGGAGACCTAACATCTTCTCTTCTGGAAATATTAGCACCTATGATAGATGAGCTGCCTAACTTTTGTAGTGCGTTATGTGGAGTACTTGTATTTACATTTGGTATATTTGTGTTTGTGCTTGAAGGAAACGATGCAGATTGTGAAGCTTGTCTTGACAGAGGAGCTTGTGTGGTAGATGATACAGAAGGCTGTCTTGAGCTTGGTATGCCTGTTTGTGGTGAGTCCAGCAATGGAACTTTGGTAGTCGAAGGTCTAGCCGAAATAGATCCTCTATGTTTTTGGTTCGGGACTTGAAACGAAATCGTGCTCGTTGAAGTCTTCAACTGTGGTGTTATTGGGGTGGGGTATGAAGAGCTTGCCAGAATAGACGCTGGAACAGTGGCAGTTTTTGGTTGGGAAGTGACGACTGATTGGTTGGCATTGCCCACGCTATTATTGTTGCTATTTGCACGAGACGTTAATGAATCGGTTGAAGAAGTTGGAATTTTTTTGTTACCTTTGACTGTTTCAAGCAGTGATTCGTTCACATTTACTATGTGCTTCTTTTCTGTGGGGGCAACATCATGTGCATATCCTATGCTTGTTTCGAGGTGTGGGAGCTGTGCAAGCTTCAGTGAGTTTGCAGAATTGCTTGAGCTTGATTTCCTGAATTTGGGGCGCATGATTTCCAGGGTCTTTCGTTCATCCTGATCTTCTCTCACCAACGAGGATTGATGTCTCTGATCGGAGAGCGGTGACGGGGACCTCATCTCTTCTTTATTCATCGAGTTGACAATGCCCTTGTTGAACGATACGTCAGTATTGAACATAGCGGGCCGCAATATATATGGCTATACGTATGGGGGAAAAGGGATTCAAAGTTCCTTTTGACTAGTACCGTAACCTAACACTATGCGATGTTGATTCTGTTCACTTTGATCTTTACCTTGATACTGCGTATGGTGCCCCTAGCTAATCCAGTAGCATGAGATTCGGGGGGCAAAAATTCTAAGGAGGGGGGATTCTGAGTCTAGCTTTTCTGCTGTGTCTTGCACAAAAAATATTTTTACTTAAATCGAATACAGTAAAAACAATAAGGAGAGGAGGGCGCCTACTTTTTCCAGCTTCTTTTTCCGCAAGAACTTTTTAGTAAGGTCTCTAATAATTTTTGAGTTTTCCAAATTTTTTGTTGATGTTTTGTAAACCTTTGAATCAAAGGTTCCAAATATGATACATAGGGGAAGATGATATATAGATAGAGATTTATAGAGAATCATTATAATGTACAACTAGATAAGAAGAATGCCGAGGTTGTTTTGTTTGTGAGTTATTTTTGCTTAATTCAAATTATAGCCTTGATGTGTTGTTTAGGTTTGTTTTGTTTTTGATTTGGTAGTTTTGGTTTCCAGCTGGGTCAAATTTAGTTTTTCCTAAATTCACTCAAAACCGGGTAGATTGCTTCAAAAGCTTTGTAGATTTCTTCTCTTTGCTTGGCCCCTGTGAGGACAATCTTACCTGACACGAAAATTAGTAAAACAATTTTTGGCTTCACCATTCTATAGATCAAACCAGGAAACAACTCTGGCTCGTATGACGAGAAAGTTCCGTGCGCATAGGCCAAACCTTCAAGCCTGATCGGGAATTTAACGTCACATGAACCAACTATATTCTGGATCTTAAAATCTGTGAATTTGGCATTGAAACCAAGCTTTTGGATGATTCTTGCGTATTTTCTAGCCGCCAACTTAGAGTCGTCCTCGGATTTTGCACCGGTTACAACCATCTTACCTGAAGCGAAAATTAACGCAGTAGTTTTGGGTTCTCTAATTCTCATGATGACAGCTGCAAAACGCTTAGGATTGTATTCGGCGTTACGTGCATGAAGAGCAATCGTTTTCAACTCCAATCGACAATCCAAGTTGACGGTGGCAACAATATTCTGTAAAGTTGGGACTATTCCTGAAGCAGAAGACTCGTCACCCACAGCGACGTTGGCTGCTTGGTTCTTCAAGCCCGACAGATCTGCAGGTTTTATTCCGATGTTGTTTGCTATGTTGGGGTTGACAGTGGTTGCAGAATCATTGCCGACAAAGCCAGTGTCGGATGCCAACGGTAGTGCCACTGGTTTCGATTGTGGAAAAGAGTTGTTCAGTGTGGTTGACGATATTGCTGAGGTGGCGTCGCTACCACCAGCCATGCCACTCTCAGCACTGGCAGCATCATCAAGTAATTTTTGTGATTCGGCGTTCTCTTCCTTCACCATGTCATGCTGAGACGATGTAGGAAACGACAATGAGCCCTGACCCATGAACGCATTTGCACGAGCAGCAGTTGTTGGCAATTTGAGGGAATCCATCGCTTCTGTCTTTAGTTGGTTGTTTCCTTTAGTGTGGTTTGACTGTTGGATGACTTCGTGATTCGTGGGTCGTTGTTTAGTTTTTTATTAAACTATATGATTTATATAGATAGTAGAAGACAGGGAATCAAGAGTAGAACAAATGGTAGAAAAAGACGATCAACTGAATGGGTCCTTCCTGATATTTGCTGCAATGGTTTGCCTCTATGTGTGTAGATGTTTGTGAACGGGTATGAAAAGTGCTGGAACACAACCCTGAACTCTGGTACGCTTACGTAACAAACACGCAACTGTGTTTTTTGAACTCCGGCCGCAAGCGCCGTCCGCCTTTTTTGCCCGTACGGGAAGGGGCGAACCGTGGTCCTTTTATACTCGCAACGCACAATGCGTGGCTGACGTTTTCTCACGCCTTTTGCGTCGATTTTCTTTTCGCCCTGGCCTTTTTGCCAGCACATCGGCGCGGTTTCGCGACAGAAACTCTTGTTGTAAAGGGAGCGGCGTGAAAGCGCTGGGTTCTGTGTCGGTGCTTACGTCATATGGTTACATGAAAGTGCTTCCTAGGTGGATCTTGCCATTTTAAAACTTTTACGTGTCTGTTCGACTTTTGGTTTTGCATTCAAAAATCCACTGCTGTGTTTTTAGGGATCCAATTACAGCTTCAGCGACTGATGGCAAAGGATCAAGATGTTCTTGTTTGGCAGTTGGTTCAAGCCAGCGATTTTTTCTTGAAAAGCGCACATTCGATTGGTGCAAAGGCCCTGCGTGACACGTCTGGTAACACTCTGAACGAATATAATACATTGATCAAAGCATCCTTGAACTGCCTGTTCAAAATCTTAAGACATTACTCGGCAATATTAGATGCAAAGATCCAATCAATCCTATATCACAAGACCGCACATATACTTTTCAAAGAGACAATAAGTTCTGATCTAGCGTTGGATTACTGCATTAAAGGAATACAGATATGCAAAAGGAACGAACCAGGTCTCACGGTAATTAAGTTGAAGTTACAATACCTGAACTTCCAGATTCAGTTCCAATCGAGCAGCTCCCCGGATTCAAAGAAACAAGCCCTATCGTACTTGAACAGCATATTGGAAAGGGAGCTTCCAGAAGATCCGTCTTACTTAAATATACGCGTTTTCTTCAGTTTGATCAAACTCGACTATTTCAGCTCGATATACACTCCTGAAAGGAAAATATCGGATCTGAAAAAACTTTGTTCCATGGTGGAAAGCAACTTATCCAAAGAAAATTACTTATTCCTGCAGATTATTTTGGCAAATCTCATTGAATTACAGCTTTTAAATAGCATTTCACTTTCAGAAGTTAAAGAGAGTTTGAGCAAGCTCAAAGGGTATCAGCAACCAGATAATGTTTTCAGTGTGAAAATCCCAATTCAATTTAGGGGCATCTCGCTTCTTTTTGAAGTACTGTTGTCTCTGTATGAATTTCAGTTCGACAGATGTACAGAAAATATTCAGAAAGTTGATTCGTTTGTTAAATCAGTTAAACAGTCAACACTTAAAACTTGGTCGTCTAGGCTAAATTTTAATTTTTCTCTAGATAAGAGTAACTCGTCATTCCCTGTTGAGTTTAAATGGCATTCTTTCAAAGACTTTTCCCTTATATCCTACCTCTATTGCGGAATCTTATGTTCCTTCAAGTCATGGGAAAAGAAATCTAAGAGCGATAAAATCCTAAGACTTGTCAGTTCCTCTTTGATTACAGATAGCAATCAATTTTCCCTCACTTTTGAGGATGCCCAAAATAAGAAAGCAAAGCAAAGCTATCTTCAAATACTTACTACGGCGTATCAGCTACTGTCAGATTTGATCAAAGACAAATTTCCCGCCCTTGAAAATACCGACGATACCAATCCAAATTCTTTAACCTCTGTCTTGCAAAACAATTACCACGGACTCTTCAGCTTTATTGACTCATATGAGAAAAGTAGATACTCAGCATATGAATGTGCCGTGTACGATAACTTGCTTCCTCTAATTCAATATATTTTTGCCATGATTTACCAACGTAACGGAATGTTTCACAAAGCTCTGTATCATTATTTTATGGCTCACATATCATGTTCCAAATCAAATACAAAGGTGAACTTTTTATCGTCAAACTCTACTTCACATTCTGATAATGAGGTATTCAACGACCCCATATATGCAGACTTTGTTCAATCGAATATGGGTATTTTTGGTACATATTCACAATCTTTAGGACTTAGTAATGAAATTTATATGTTGTCCACTATAAACGCGTTGCCAATAATACAACATTTGATAGAGCAACAGAAACAAAGACAGAGAGGCTTAACTGAATTTGATATTGGATACGATACTTACCTTACAAGACTTTTAAAACTTTTGAAAATAAAGGACTCCTTGTCTATACAGATTAATCAATTACTACGAACACTGAACAGCACTCCACTGAATCCAGCAGCCACACTATCAATTCCTCAAATTACCATTTCAACCTTGTGTTATTTTTATACTACAGAAGACTATACATTTCTATCGAAATTGAATCTCAAGGAGATTGAAAAGGCATCGCCGTTGCTTACTTCATTTTTGTATCTTATTATGGGATATACTTACAAGAATGACCTTGGTCTCACAGAATTGGAAAATCTTAACTGTCGCGTGGGCTTTTACACTTCTGCCTGTAATTATTCAGCCAAAGCATGTAACTCATCTTGCATCAATGCGATCGCTCAATTAGGCTACCTTGAAATCTGGAAGATCATGAATCACAACAAGAATCTGTATACTCCAGAGAGTATCGGTCGTGTTTATCAGAGGTTTCAACATTTTGCCAAAGATTTGACTGAGATTCCTGATGGGTCTTCTGATGATCAAAACCGTAAACGCACCAAGCGTGTGAAGTTTGTTTAGGAAGTTAGAAGCTTCTTTTTGAAATTTTAGCATATTTAAATTAGAATACAATAGAGTTATAGGCATGAAAGGTATCGATGAAAAATACTGTGATCCTGAGATTAAAAAAAAAGAGAATCATAAAGAAACAAGTATTATGTGCAAACGTCTAGATCGCATCTGGAAGGTTGTTTTCAGGTTTCTTGTCCTCACTCTTCAACGAGGCAGCATCCTTCACACGGTTGTCCTTCTTCGGAACTCTTGCTAACCAATAGAAGAAGAACATGAAAATGACGTTAATGGCAATGAAACAAATGAAAATACCCCAGTCTCTCCAGCGCTTGTAGTAGTTCACGTGCACAGACTGTAAGTATGCATTGGTGTTAGACGCCGTGCAGAACCCGCAGTAGCCATCCTTCATGTCACTTATGTAACCTCCATTAGCCTTCATGTATGGGTCGATATATTCTGAGCACGACATGTTATCAGGAGGAGCAAAATAGACAATTTCCTTCTCGGAGCAAACTAGCTTAGTATCACCAACACCGGCTGAAAGCAACGAAGCAACCCAATACGTCATTGAATTGGCACGGTACATGAAAGACCAGAATCCTGTAGGATACTTCAAGATACCACAAAAGTTCAAACACATTGTGAATAACAACGTCGCAATATTGGCACCATTCTGCTCCTCTTCAATACCAGCAATACATGCAAGACCTAAAGTTGACGCATAATTGAATAGACCAACAATTAGTAACCACGAAAGTGCTCCTCTCTGTGCAGTGGTGCCTGTGCTAGCAGCGTTAGAGTAAAATCCAATAGGATAGTACCAGCAGAAATATGAAATAGTTCCACAAAACAAATTCCATGGGAATTCTGACGAAATTTGAGCAGCAAGGAAAATCCACCAAGAGAATGTCTTAGACGGTCTTTCACGTACTTCATAAATGGAACGCTGTTTGATGTATAATGGCAACATTTGCTGAATCAATGTGTTCACCATAACGGAAAGCATGAAAATAGACAACATCTGGTTCTGTAAACCTTGTAATGACGTACCTGCCTTGAAAAAAGAAAAGCCATTGAAAAGGGAATTGGAAACGGCAAGAAATACCTTAGACCAGATATAAGTAGGTGTACGCCAGTACTGTTGCATAACACGAGTGGTGACCTGGCAGTATTGCATCCAGTATGTGGAAGCAAAACTTCTCTTAGCATCAACAGAATCATCAACAGGAATCTGTAACAAGTCCGTCTCCATTCTATTAAGTTCTTCCTTGATCGCCTGTCTCTCTTCAGATGCCATCCACACCTCGTGATAGTCCTGGCTCGCGTGTGATCCTGGAGCAGCACCAATCACTTCCAACATCCACTCCGCAGGGTTTGCAGCAGGAGGACATTTGTGCGATCCGTGAGACTCAAAGTAGTTAATCAATGTTTGACAGTTTTCTCCAAGGTCTCCAAAATACACTGTACGCCCACCCTTGGCAAGAAACAACAATCTGTCAAATTCCTTCAATAAGATCGCTGATGGCTGATGGATCGTACAGAGGATAGCCTGTCCGTGGTTTGCAAGTTTACGCATCAACTGACAAATGGACCAAGCAGTCTGGGAATCCAAACCAGAAGTAGGTTCATCCAAAAACAATAGCAACTTAGGCTTGGCAGCCAACTCAACACCAATGGTCAATCTCTTACGCTGCTCAACATTCAAACCTTCACCAGTGACACCAACAATGGCGTCACTATATGGCCTCATTTCTAAGATATCAATAATACTCTCAACATATTCGTTCTTTTCTTCAATGGAAATCTCTCTAGATTGTCTCAAGTATGCAGAGAATCTCAATGCCTCTCTAACAGTAGATGTCTCCAAATGTAAATCCTGTTGCTGCACGTAACCAGTCGATCTTTGGAATGACTGATCTCTCAATCTACCATTCACAAACATAGACCCTGAAACAACACCCATGGTCACACGATTCGCCAAAACATCTAAAAGTGTGGTCTTACCTGCACCAGACGCACCCATCAATGCTGTCAATGTGCCTGGTTTAACCCACCCATCAACATGATTCAAGATACGTCTCGTCTCATCCTTGATCTGCACTTCGTAACAAACATCCCTCCAGTGGAAGATATCTGTCCCTGCAGCAAGGTTATTGACATCATCAGAATCAGAAGATGATGATTCGTTACCATGGTCGTAAACACCTGCAGACTTTTCTCTGGTGTCTCCAGCAGACTCTATATCAGTGGCTTCAGATATATTTTTCTCCTTTCTCAATCTGCGAAGAGTAGATTGCTGGAATAGGATAATCTCACCCTTCTGCATGGCACCTTGATTAATTTCGACAAGAGAAACATACACACCGAGGAAAAAGATAATGAAACCAACCACTATGCCAAAATTTCTCCATTTATGAGCATTGTCGTATCTATAAGATTGGTAGATGTAGTCAGTACCGCTGACATATTCGGAGCCAGGAACTGATGACACGGCACTACAAACTTGGTTCTCTAGTCTTGAATTTGGATAAGAGGGTATAAACGTTGAGCATTTGAAAGTTCGGCCATCAAACTCATTAGTTATCAAAGATTCAAAGACATATGCGACAGGATCTAAGTAATTGATCCATCTTGACCAGCCATGCATGGAAGGAGTTGGTAATGCAAAACCTGTGTAGATTACCAAAGCAGTTAAGATGACTGCTGCAATAGGCATAGTTGATTGTAAAGATGTAAAGCAGGAACCAATTGAACGAAAAACGTGTGACATGACTAGAGTTGCCATAAAATTCATTAACAAATAAAAGAAAAACCTCCCTGGGTTTCTCCTGAAATTGACCATAAAGTAATAGATCAAGTTGAAACCCAAAGATGTTAAAAGCTTTGCAGGAAGTTCAGTGATAATGGATGCAAGTGCATCTGCAGATGGATGATATAATGCAAACCTTTTATGCTTTTCAACAATAGGTCTGGCTTCAAATAAGGACATAATTTCAAGCAACGATGAGAAGGCATTGAACAAAACACCAAAGAACATGGTGGCAGTACGATAATAAAAAGCTCCTGTGGTTTCTGGCAAGTTATAGAATAAGGATGAGATAATCAAGCCCATAATAATATTTGCAGTAATAGAAAAGACGGTAATTGAAGGACTTTCTTTGGTTCTCCATACGTTTCTCATTGCAATTAACTTCATTTGCATCATGTAAGAAACACGGAAAGACGAAGTCGGTCTAGAATGGTTGGACTGCTTACTGATATGTGCATCCTTAAAGGTTGCTCCTGTGTTCATACTGGTGCACTCTTCTAGGTACTCATCGATGTCTTTAATCAATTGTGAATACTCTTTAGAACTTTTCCAGTATGTTTCGAATTCCTTAGGGGTCTTTGGAACTTTGTCTTCCCATCCTTTCCTTGCCTCTCTTTGTGCTGGTGAAGTGATAGATGTTAGAAAATCGGCAGTTGTCTGACGGTCAGGACATTCATAACCCATGTCTTCAAAGTAGGCCTTAGCTTTATCAGCAGAACCGAAGTAGATTTGGTAACCTTCGTAAAGTAAGACAACGTTATCGAATAAGTCGTAGGCGTCTTGAGAACATTGGTAGATGGCAATCAATGGGGTGGTATCTAGGATATGTGCAGAGGTTTTCAACGCGTGAACAAACTCTAAGGCAGTTGCTGCATCTAAACCTCTAGTAGCGTTATCCCAACATTGGATGTTGGCACCACATAGGGAGGCTTCGGCAATGGAGACTCTCTTTCTTTCACCACCGGAAACACCTCTAATAAAGTCGTTACCGACCTTGGTGTTGATTGTGTGGGATAGACCATAAGTTGCCATGTAAACCTGTTGAAAATCAGAAAAAAAGGTATGTTAGTAAAACTGCACAAACTTGGGATAAAAAAAAGATGGTATCATACTTACATCAGCCATGTGTTTAGCATAAGCCTTTCTATCAACGCCTGGAAATCTGTTTTGTGGGGTTCTCAACCTTGCGACGAACTCTAATGTCTGGCCCACTCTCAAATGAGGGAAATGGTTGTCCATTTCCGCAGAGAAAATGACTTCACCTCTGTAGTGGTTGTGGATCTCCGATGGTGTCAATCCATCGTAGCTGATGACGGAGTCCTTGTCAACCTTGAAACCGTATGTCTGTGAGGCAACTGTCTTCAAGAACGTCGAGCAACCTGCACCGGGTCTACCCAAAACGACCGTGAGACTCCCGGGCTTGATCAAACAGTCCATGGACTTGAGGATGTCAAAGTATCTGGACTGGTCGTTACCACGCAAGACGTCCAAGTACAAGTCTCTGGCCTTCTTGAATGGGTAGTTCAAAAAGTTGGCCTGGTAGTCTGCGTCAGAGGAGATTCCTCTTGCTATCAAGTTCTTGCATGCAAAACCAAGAGACGTTGGTTTGTAGTATTCTGGATCGGAGTCAAATATTTTCCTCATGTTCTTAATCCAGAACTTGGACTCAAAATCGTCACTATTTGGGTCTAGCCTTGGATCGATTGAGTCGTCAATGGGATTGACGCCGGGAACCTGTGACATCGAGGTCATTGTGCGCATCAAGGCCAAGCCCTGTTCAGTGACAACGCCGTTTTTTTCATCTGAGTCGTTACTTGTGTCCTGCTGGACACAGCTGTTTCTGGTGTATTCCCTTGCAAGGCTTCTGATTCTCTCGTTCACTGAGATGTCGTCTGGAAATTGCGCTTCGCCGTCATCTGTGCTGCTGCCGCGGTCGCCGGTGTTACCGTTGGGCAAAACAGAAATAGTCTCCATGACGATGATGCTAACTCGTTGCAATTGCTGTTACTGTTGCAGCCGTGCAAAAAGTTTAGACTTGTTTATACCAAGATAAGAGATAATATCTTAGAGCAGATAAGAGAGGGCACAGGAAACAGACATTACAAACGTTCCAAACGATACCTATGCGGAAATGCACAGTTATATATGGCTGAATATGTACCCGGCTAGGACCTGATTTGGGAGTTAACTTTCTGCTTTTCTTACCCCCCATCCGCTGGCCCCGCCGTATGACAGACCTCCGCGTCGCGACGTGCCGGCGCCCCGCTAAGCGATCCGAAGAAAAAGAAACGAAGCGAATATGGGGGGCCTGCAGGAGCTTGATCGCAAGAATTTGAGTCTAGACAGAGCTACAATGTAGATGCCTACAATACTTATTAATAATAATATGTTTATTAAAAAAATTGTTTAATTATTAAGTGAATTAAGTGCTTGGTAAACGGTAGAAAAATCAGAGACGTAGTAAAAGGAAATAAAGATTTAAGGGAGAAGCCGAAATCTGAATGCACGGCTCTTCCATGATCTCAAACAGCCTCTGGAAGATTGTCTTCAGGTTTTTTGTCCTCACTCTTCAACGAGGCAGCATCCTTCACACGGTTGTCCTTCTTCGGAACTCTTGCTAACCAATAGAAGAAGAACATGAAAATGACGTTAATGGCAATGAAACAAATGAAAATACCCCAGTCTCTCCAGCGCTTGTAGTAGTTCACGTGCACAGACTCCAAGTATGCATTGGTGTTAGACGCCGTGCAGAATCCGCAGTAGCCATCCTTCATGTCGGTCATGTAACCGCCATTAGCCTTCATGTATGGGTCGATGTAGTCAGCACAAGTCATATTTTCAGGTGGGGCAAAGTAGACAATTTCCTTCTTCGAGCACACCAACTCGGTGTCCCCGACACCTGCGGAAAGTAAAGACGCAACCCAATACGTCATAGCATTGGCACGGTACATGAAAGACCAGAATCCTGTAGGATACTTCAAGATACCACAAAAGTTCAAAGACATTGTGAAAAGCAAATTCGAGATGTTGGCACCATTCTGCTCCTCTTCAACACCAGCAATACATGCAAGACCTAAAGTTGACGCATAATTGAATAGACCAACAATTAGTAACCACGAAAGTGCTCCTCTCTGTGCAGTGGTACCTGTGCTAGCAGCGTTAGAGTAAAATCCAATAGGATAGTACCAGCAGAAATATGCAACTGTTCCACAAAACACGTTCCATGGGAACTCTGACGAAATTTGAGCAGCAAGGAAAATCCACCAAGAGAATGTCTTAGACGGTCTTTCACGTACTTCATAAATGGAACGCTGTTTGATGTATAATGGCAACATTTGCTGAATCAATGTGTTCAACATAACGGAAAGCATGAAAACAGACAACATCTGGTTCTGTAAACCTTGTAATGACGTACCTGCCTTAAAGAACGAGAACCCGTTAAAGATAGAGTTAGCACCTGCAAGGAAAAGCTTGGACCAGATGTAAGTAGGTGTACGCCAGTACTGTTGCATAACACGAGTGGTGACCTGGCAGTATTGCATCCAGTATGTGGAAGCAAAACTTCTCTTAGCATCAACAGAATCATCAACAGGAATCTGTAACAAGTCCGTCTCCATTCTATTAAGTTCTTCCTTGATCGCCTGTCTCTCTTCAGATGCCATCCACACCTCGTGATAGTCCTGGCTCGCGTGTGATCCTGGAGCAGCACCAATCACTTCCAACATCCACTCCGCAGGGTTTGCAGCAGGAGGACATTTGTGCGATCCGTGAGACTCAAAGTAGTTAATCAATGTTTGACAGTTTTCTCCAAGGTCTCCAAAATACACTGTACGCCCACCCTTGGCAAGAAACAACAATCTGTCAAATTCCTTCAATAAGATCGCTGATGGCTGATGGATCGTACAGAGGATAGCCTGTCCGTGGTTTGCAAGTTTACGCATCAACTGACAAATGGACCAAGCAGTCTGGGAATCCAAACCAGAAGTAGGTTCATCCAAAAACAATAGCAACTTAGGCTTGGCAGCCAACTCAACACCAATGGTCAATCTCTTACGCTGCTCAACATTCAAACCTTCACCAGTGACACCAACAATGGCGTCACTATATGGCCTCATTTCTAAGATATCAATAATACTCTCAACATATTCGTTCTTTTCTTCAATGGAAATCTCTCTAGATTGTCTCAAGTATGCAGAGAATCTCAATGCCTCTCTAACAGTAGATGTCTCCAAATGTAAATCCTGTTGCTGCACGTAACCAGTCGATCTTTGGAATGACTGATCTCTCAATCTACCATTCACAAACATAGACCCTGAAACAACACCCATGGTCACACGATTCGCCAAAACATCTAAAAGTGTGGTCTTACCTGCACCAGACGCACCCATCAATGCTGTCAATGTGCCTGGTTTAACCCACCCATCAACATGATTCAAGATACGTCTCGTCTCATCCTTGATCTGCACTTCGTAACAAACATCCCTCCAGTGGAAGATATCTGTCCCTGCAGCAAGGTTGTTGACCTCGTCAGATTCAGAAGATGATGATTCGTTACCGTGATCGTAAACACCTGCAGACTTTTCCTTACCATCTCCAGCAGACTCAATGTCGGTGACTTCAGAAATCTTCTTTTCCTTTCTTAACTTGCGTAAAGTAGACTGTTGGAATAGAATGATTTCACCCTTCTGCATGGCACCCTTGTTAACTTCAACCAATGCTAAGTAGACACCGAGGAAGAAAACGATGAAGCCAACCACAATACCGAAATTTCTCCACTTGTGAGTGTTACGATATTCGTAGGATTGATAAATGTAGTCGGTACCATTGATGTAGCTGTAACCAGGCAATGCTGAAACAGAACTGCAAACTTGGTTTTCCAATTTAGCATCTGGATACGGAGGAATGAAAACAGAACACTCAAACTCACGACCATCGTATTCATTGGTTAACAAAGCTTCAAAAATATACGCCACAGGATCAAGGTAATTGATCCAACGAGACCAGCCAAGCATGGATGGTGTTGGCAAAGCAAAACCGGTATAGATGACCATGGCGGTCAAGAAAACAGTGGCAGGAGGCATAGATTCAGCCAACGTGTCGAAACAGGAACCAATAGAACGGAAAATGTGCGACATAACTAGAGTTGCCATGAAGTTCATCATCAAATAAAAGAAGAAGCGACCTGGATCTCTTCTGAAGTGAGCCATGAAATAGTAGATCAAGTTGAAACCTAGACATGTCAAAAGCTTTGCAGGGATTTCAGTCAAAATTGAAGCAAGGGCATCGGCAGATGGGTGGTATAATGCAAACCTCTTATGTTTTTCAACAATAGGTCTAGCTTCAAACAAGGACATAACCTCAAGTAACGAGGAGAAAGCATTGAACAAAACGGCAAAGAACATGGCAGCGGTACGGTAATAGAATGTGGCGGTATTGGGTTGCAAGTTGTAGAACAACGAGGAAATGATCAATCCCATGATAATATTAGCAATGACAGAAAACAGCATAATCGACGGATCCCCTCGGATTCTCCACATATTTCTTTGGCAAATAAGCTTGATTTGCATCATGTATGAAACACAGTAAGAAGAACTTGGTCTTGAATGGTTGGATTGCTTGGTAACGTGGGCATCCTTGAATGTTGTTTGGGTATCTAATTTAATGCAATCATCCAAGTACACGTCAATATCTTCAATCAATTGTGAGTACTCTCTAGAACTTTTCCAATATGTTTCGAATTCCTTAGGGGTCTTTGGGACTTTGTCTTCCCATCCCTTTCTTGCTACTCTCTCGGCAGGAGATGTGATAGAAGTGAGGTAATCAGCAGTAGTCTGACGGTCAGGGCACTCGTAACCCATATTTTCAAAGTAGGCCTTGGCCTTGTTACCAGGACCAAAGTAGATTTGGTAACCTTCGTAAAGTAAGACAACGTTATCGAATAAGTCGTATGCATCTTGAGAACATTGGTAGATGGCAATCAATGGGGTGGTATCTAGGATATGTGCAGAGGTTTTCAATGCTCTGACAAACTCCAATGCAGTTGCTGCATCTAAACCTCTAGTAGCGTTATCCCAACATTGGATGTTGGCACCACATAGGGAGGCTTCGGCAATAGAGACTCTCTTTCTTTCACCACCGGAAACACCTCTGATGAAGTCGTTACCGACCTTGGTGTTGATTGTGTGGGATAGACCATAAGTTGCCATGTAAACCTGTTGAAAAGAAAAAAAAAATTGAGAGAAAATTAAGGATGGGAAAGGTTGTTAGTATAACGCAAACAGTGAAGGGAGTATGGATGAGTGTTGGGGTGGGGATACTTACTTGGGACATATGCTCAGCATAAGCTGTTCTGTCAACTCCTGGAAATCTGTTTTGCGGAGTTCTGAGCTGGGCGGCAAACTGCAAAGTTTGACCGACAGTCAAGTGAGGGAAATGGTTGTCCATTTCCGCAGAGAAAATGACTTCACCTCTGTAGTGGTTATCAATGTCTGATGGCGTCAAGCCGTTGTAGCTGATGACAGAGTCCTTGTCAACCTTGAAACCGTATGTCTGTGAGGCAACTGTCTTCAAGAACGTCGAGCAACCTGCACCGGGTCTACCCAAAACGACCGTGAGACTCCCGGGCTTGATCAAACAGTCCATGGACTTGAGGATGTCAAAGTATCTGGACTGGTCGTTACCACGCAAGACGTTCAAGTACAAATCTCTAGCCTTCTTGAACGGGAAGTTCAAGAAGTTGGCCTGGTAGTCGGCGTCGGAGGAAATGCCCCTGGCGACGAGGTTTTTGCAGGCAAAGCCCAAGGAGGTTGGCTTGTAGTAGTCCGGGTCGGAGTCCATCAACTTCTTGATGTTCTTGACCCAGAATTTGGAGCTGAAGCTGTCGCTGGAGGGGTCCAACCGCGGGTCGATGGTTTCGTTCACCGGCACCACGCCGGGGACCTGGGACATCGACGTCATCGTGCGTAGGAGGTCGAAATGTTCCTCCTGGTCGTCCTCCGACTTGTCCGCGCCGTGATCAGTTCTCTCGTGGTAGGATTCGTTCTCGTTGAGTGCGTCATTGACGTGGCTGTTTCTGGTGAACTCTCTTGCAAGCTGTTTGATCTGCTTGTCGGCATTGTCGTCGTAGCCCTGGTAGGAATTGCATCCTTCCGAGGACACGACCTCTTCCGAGCCCTTGCCAACCGATATCGAGTCCATTGTCACGTTATATGGCACGAGGTATGAAACAGAAGAGGATAGAAAAGTGTCCGAAGTGAGTGTGAGGGAGAGAGAAGAAGAAAAGAGTCCAAAACAAGAGCCATCCAAACAGGAAAAAACGGACCGTGTACAACAGCATGGCGATGCAATCTTTTTTTCACCGGAAGATAATGCTTATTTAAACGCTTGACGCTCCCCACGAAAACAAGCCAGCGAGGTTCGCACTTTCTATGTTTCCCCTACCGCATTGGGCCGTCGGAGTTACCTTTCGCTAATTCCTGGACCCTTGTCTCGGCTAATCTCCTATTTCCCTTTTTTGCCACTGGCTTTGCCCTCTCCGTCATCAGCTCCGGTGTGTAACCCCGGCGTAGACTCATATACCAATTGCATAAACTGCCTACTACATAGAAAACTTGAATTTTCCTTTATTCTTGTGTATCCCCGTCATCCGTCGACGCCAAGCCCCTTATGCCTGCGCCCAGCTGTGCCAGCTCGTATACGACCAACACGACCAATACGACCAGTGCGAGTAATGCGAGCCTTCTTCTGCAGGACCTTCCTCTTTCTTCTGCTTTCTCCCCTCCACCCCGCCTCGTGAGCCCCGGGCCAATCTGGGCGCCGCCGCGCCCCAACTACATTGTGCTCACTCGTTCCTGTCGTAAAGCAAAAATGACACACCCTCGGGGCAGCATGTCGCCTGCCACTTACGCTCCGCGGGGCGGGAGAAAAAAAACCTTTGCTTTCTTCCGACAGCACGCCGCCGTTATTTTTCCGCGCCGAGCAAAAGAGCCGAGCCGACAGCGTCAGCACCATCCTGCAGCTGCCCTAGCGCCCTACGGCACCGCGCAGATCGCTCGGCTCGGCTCTCGTGCTCGGCCCCACCGTCCGCTTAAGGCCGTTGAAGAAGGTCAGCTCCGGGCTTGGCCACCGATCGGCGCAAGTCGGGCTGTGCACTATAGCGCAGTGAGTCAGGGCCGTGGACTGCGGCAGACATGTTTCTCAGCCCTGCCATCCGAAATAAGTAGCTATTGGCAGACCAGGTAAAGGGAGAAAAGGCGAAAGGGGCAGTTGAGCAGTTTCTGGTTGAAGGCATGCAAGAAACTGTCAGCCTGCTGCAGGGCGTGCCTCCCGAGCCCTATCACGCGGTCACGCAGGCGGAGGCCCGTGTGCTGTACGAATCGACGTGTTCCGTGCGGAAAACGAACACAAACGGTAGCTGCTGGCCTGGCGCAGACTCAGACGCGGAGGCAGACGACACGGAGTTCTTCCCGCTACACCCGGTCACTACGACCACGGCGCACGAACTTGTCTACTTGCTCAAGAACTCGGTGCCCGTTTTCTTCACCTTCTTCATCCAGTACCTGATCCAGATCCTCATCCCCACCTACTTTGCCAGCCAGCAGGGCGCCGTGCACATGTCCTCGTGCACGCTGTCGATAACCGCGTTCTATCTGACAGGCCCCGTCCTCGTGAACGGGTTCGCGTCGTCGCTGGACACGCTCTGCTCAACCGCGTTTGGCGCAAAGCACTACTACAGGGTCGGACGCTACTACGTCCAATGCACCTTGCTTCTTCTCGTCCTGATGCTGCCCTCGATGTGGTTCTGGTCGCACTCGTTTCCCTTCTTCGACCGCATCACGCATATCAGCTACCCGGACGACTCGCAGCTCCCAGACCTCTGTGCGTCGTTCCTCTCGGTGTTCACGTTCGTTGCCCCAGCAGTGGTCATCTTCGAATGCACGAAGCGGTTCCTACAGTCCCAGTGCAGGTTCTCGGTGCCGACCCGTGTTGTTGTCTGTGGCATTCCTGTGGCGATCGCCATCAACCTCTTGCTGAGAAGCTACCTCACCGACGAGAGATACCAGCATGTGGCACCCGCCATAGCGTTCGTTCTCACCTACTGGCTCATGGCTATCTCTCTCTTGGCATGTGCCTTGCTCCTCGACCAGTACCATTGTTTGCCATCTCTCGATGAGCTGAAAACTTGGACCCTGCACTCGTTTCTCACAGACCTAGGCATTTTTTTCAAGTTGGGCGTGCCAGGAATACTCATGATCCTATCTGAGGCGTTTGCATTCCAGATCCTAACCTTCTCGGCAATAACCTTTCCAAAATCACAGTTGGCTGCACAAAGTATAGTGGCAACTTTGGCTTCTTTGGCATTCCAGCCACCTTACGCAATAGGAATCTGCTGCTCCACTCATATCGCAAATATAATTGGTGCTCGCTCTTCAAATTACAAGCCTGCTATGTCAGCGATATACATCATCATGGCACTAATGTCGGTTTTCAACTTTACTTGGTTCTACTTTCTAAGAGAGCAGATTGCTTCGCTTTTTACGAGTGACAAAGAGATTCTAAGTCTTGCATCGAAATTGGCTCAGATCATAGCAGTGAACCAGTTCCTTGATTGCTTCAATGTTATATGTGCGGCAGTGTTGAGAGGTCAGGGTAGACAGAAAATAGGTTCTGTAATGTCCCTTATCGCTTATTACATTGTGGGACTACCTTTGGAATTGTACTGGGGATTCAAACTAAACTTCCAAATCTTTGGATTATGGATAGGTTTGGCACTAGCGGTTAATTTCCTATCTATTGTGGAACTCATTATCGTCTACAAATCTGATTGGATAACAATCATGAAGCAAAACCATAAATTGGCGTAGTAACAACTAAGTACAAAAATAAAAATGAAAAAATAGCTTTGTATAGAGACAAAATATAGAAGAAATAATAAAAAAAGAGAGAGGATCAAAATCAAATAACCGACACGAAATAAATAAAATTATTCCTTGCACCAAACCAAAAAACCAATAAAATAAAGAAAAAGAAAAATTTACAAACACTAAATAAACCATCCACCCTTGAAAACCCAGTTTCCATTAAAAAATAATATCAAAGATTCATTCTTGATCCAATCTGGTACAACGCTGTAAGTGTTGCTGCAGCTCCTCCAGCAGCACCAATCATAGCAGCTTTAGTTTGACTTTTAGATCTTTTTAGTCTTTTGACTTCTTCACTTAACTGCTTAATCTCCTTACTTTGAAGATTGCATAGCTCTGTCAATTGATGCAATTTATGCTCTGCAACACTTCCCACCTCTTCGTCAAAGTCTGAGCAGTTTGATTCATTGAAACTTCTTTTCAAAGAAGAAGAGGAGAATATCGAATTGTCCAAAGAGGATTTGTCATCACTAATAATAACAGATTGGAAAGACTTGACATCCCCCTCAATCTCCTCAATCTCTTTGGCCTCTTCTTCGCTCTCTGCGTCCTCGTCATGTTCTTCTCCTTCTTCTTCTTCTTCTTCTTCTTCTTCTTCTTCTTCTTCTTCTGCTACTTCTGCTACTTCTTCTTCATCTTCTTCTGCTACTTCTTCTTCATCTTCTTCTTCATCTTCTTCTTCTTCATTATCCTCTCCATTTTCTTCGTCTTCTTCATTCTCTTCATCTTCTTCAAGGCCTTTATCGCCCAAATCATGGTCTTTCGCAAATTCCTTAACTTTTCCTTCATCTTTGAGAAGAAATCCAAATGATGTAGTAGGCTCTTCTGGATCAGAGTTGGTTTCGGCTTCAGAGTCATAAATAGATTCGGAATATTCATTAAAGAAATCATCATATGAATTATCGTACGCTGTATAGAACATCTTCTTCTGGCGAGAAAGTTCAGCAGCATCATCATTGTATTTGTATTCCTCTGTAGATAAGCTTATAATGTTTTCAATCGTAAGTGGATGCAATCCAGACTTCCTGAAACACTCAGAGCCAATTTCTTGTACCAATTCATCAAGCTGTAATTGGATACCCTTCACATGGTCAATTACATTGTAAACTTTTGCAACTAAAATTTGGTCATAATCTGTGAAAATTTGTACTAAGATCTTGCATTGTTTCAACGCCTCCTCGACCCTCTGGTTTTCAGGAATCTCCTTATTGTATTCCATCATGAACTTCTTGCTAAAGCACATCCCAATGATATTACCATTCTTCAACAGAATCGGCTCATCCCCATCACCGATAAAGCTTACATTATTATCATACTCATCAATGAGAAAAAATCCGTTTTTCGACATGTTCACAAGATAAAAAAACTTGGAATTAGCTTTATATAATTCGATATGGGTAGCACTTATCACAGGATTCCGAATATAGATATTGTGTTTCTCATCAGCTGACCTAGAACTATTTTTTTGAGGAGCTCTCCCAATACATAGGGTTTTCTTCAAAGGCCCCACCTTATTCCTAGGAAATGAAGAGATATCAATAAATTTGTAAGTAGGGAGATCAGGGACAGATGCCATTTTTCCTAAATTCAATTCACTCTTTATCGATTTCACTAGGGGTTTTTCTAAAATAAAAGTTACCTTTAAATAAATCTGAACTTTAATCTATATATCTGTGTTTATTGATGTAAAACAGTACGCTGATAATAGATGATATGGAGGCAGCAAAGACAAACAGAAAAAAGAGGACACCCATAGGGAGGCAAAACGCGAGGGCAATTGTTTAAAGCCTTATCCTGAGCTTTATCATTCCAAGTCTTATTCGCAGAGCTTTTATTCTTCGCTGCATGAATTTTTGGCGTCTTCCCGCAAAACGGAGTTGAGCCTTACGAGCCCTCTCACAAATTGGGGAAAATTTGCTGGACGTGACTCGGAGAGAAAAACTGGAAATGTGGTGGGGCCATAGTTGCTATCATTACTGACAACCAGTGGGTACCCACTCAACGAGTAAGGCATCTGGTTTGAAGTGCAGAACTTAAAAATAAGCTCCGGATCAGTATACGAAACAGTATAATCGGGGTTTATCGGGTAATGCACAAATTCGTCCTCTGAGTCAGCCAATGCGGTGGTGAGAGAAGAATCGCTTAATCTTTTTTTAACCTCTTGTTTAATTTGAAGAGCTCTGAAAGCAGCAGGGTTGGTCGTTTTGTTGGACATGAAAAATATTGTTAAATTTGTCCGAAAAGTGTGACACAAATCTGCACTTCCTGGGTCCATAGAATCAATTCCAACGCTGTCATCGACAATGGATTCAGGAACTGGCTCAAGTTCAGAAATACCTGTTCTTCTTTCAATACCATTATGCTCCTCCGACAACTCGCTCGTATGAACTCCGCTCATGAATACCTCTGGTTCTTCTTTCTCTGCAGCGTGTTCCTGTTCCCGAAACCTCAATTTGACATTATCTACCAAAACATCCGCCCCTTGCTTTTCACCGTCATCGTTGTAACTCTTTGTTTGTGGCTCTGTCTGTATTTGGATTTTGGCTGAGTCATGTGAGAATGTCTCCTCTTGATCGTAGGCTCTAAAAATCTCACCTGTGTCCAAATTCACCAATTTGATTGAATCAGAAACTTGGTAGCTCTCCAATGTGAGGTTTTTCAGTTCCTCAGCTAAAACGCCAAGCATCTTTTGCATGTCCTTCCAAGCATATCCGTTTGACTCAAAAACAGTAACTGTTCGAACTCCTGAGCAAGCTGCCCATGAAATGCATTTGGCAGCCTCGTAGATAACCCTGAATGTCTCGGCTGCTTTATGGGTGTGGTGTAATGAAGACCATTCTGCTCTCTTTGCTAACACTTTAGCCACCTCCTTCTTCTCGGGTACCACAATTCTCTTTTCATAGTCAAGAAAAGGAACAGGAACTTCTGGTGGCTGCGGGACGACTAAGGCGCTCATCTCAAAAATGAATGTAACGTGTTCAGGAACGTATAGTCGGCCGGTAACTTGACGAATTTGTAGTCTGTTTCTTGGGACAGAGGCCAGTAAAGACTTTTCAAGAAGCAAGTTTCCAATCTTTGTTGGCAACATTCTAGTTTGATTGAAAGAATCAAGCACCCGTGCTTTAATAGAAGACGGACTTTTGATGGTCCGGACCGAAGTTGCGCTTTGTACAGAAGCTGGGCCAACTACGGAAACATCTTCTGGAAATGGAATAAGCATTAACAACTGCCACATCAGCGAGGTCGTGATTGTACACCATTCTTTCAACTGACTGTCAATCCAAAGATAATATTGGTACATTGTAAACCACAATGAAAGCACATATCTCAAAAAGGTATAAAATAACCCCGTGTAATAGTTGCTTCTCGAAAATAATGTTCTGTTACTTCCAGGTAGCGCAAATTTGACAGAGGCCGTAGCTTGATGGAATATATCATCATCCTCGTACATGCCCATTGTCGAAAACTCCGTGTCTTCATCTCTGAAGCGTGGTTTGATAATAGACGATTGAACTGACACTGTTGCAGATTCCACTCCGGAAGTAAATTCATCCATGGCCTTTAATATTATTCTGCTCTGCTACCCAATGTAGTATGAATATTGAAGCATTTACTACAACAAGAAGTAAAGTAGAATAGCTATAAAAAGGAGAGTATTCAATCAAAAACAGCTGAGCCTAATGTGACTTATCAATCACCCTTTTTTCTTACGTAACACTTGATCTTAATCTGAGTGGAAGCCATACTAAACTATAATTAACTATACTTGATAAACAATCTATACTTTTTGTTATAACCTAGATCAGCCAATCAACTTCTTAATTTTCTCCTTGCCCAAAGACTGTAGGTCCGAGTTACCACCGATGTGTTTACCGTTGATGAAAACGTTAGGAACAGTTCTTTGACCAGTGATCTTAGCCAATGCATCTTGAATCTCAGACCCTTCTTCCATGGTGTCTAGTTCTAAAATGTAAGCTTCAGGATAAATCTCATTGATCAATTTCTTGGTTGCAGAGCAGTAAGGACAGTAAGTCTTGGATGCAACAAAAACTGGTTTGGTTTTGATCAACTCTTCGACTTGGGAGATGGTTTGCTGAGACATTTGTCGTGGTGTGGTGGTTAAGTATCTTCTGAGTACGGAAAACAACTTGAAGGCTATGAAAAGTAGAATAATTACAAGAGTAGTATTCATTTGGAGAGTAGAAATACACAAGAGTCAAGAGCCTGTATCGCCTCCGCCAGCCCAGCTTCTCTTCGGCCCTCTCTCCCCGCCACAGTCGCCTATCCAAAATTTCTTGCCTCTTTCACGCCGTGGGCAAAATTAGTAAGCCAGAATGGGGAGGGCATCGCGCGATACGGGAGCTCAACGTGTATGTACTATTCAACACAGATTTGATTTGTACTACAGAGTCTTCAGGTAAAAAAGTCTTGAAACCAGACTTGGATATGAAAATAAACCGGAGTATGGAGGTTGAAACTTGATGAGTTCAAAACAATCCACTTTTTTTTAAATTTTGTTGTATCACCATGTCGGTGACAGCAGTCAAGATAAATTTCATCGACTGCGTATCAGTTGCACATGTCCGGTGGACATAAATAGGACGCTTGGATTTATTCAAGCTCAGAAACAAATTTTCGAAATATCTCAATGCATCTTCAACATCGTTGCTCTTGCCGTCGAAATCCGGAAAGTACTTGCGCACAGGGGACTTCCTCACTTTGTCTTTGAGAAGATCAACTTTGTTCAAAAATAGGATGAATGGAGTGTTTGCAAACCATTTTGAGTTCACAAGTGAGTCAAATAACATGATAGCCTCGTAGATTCTATTGACTCGCTCGTCTTCAAATAGCATCTGATCGTATTCAGATACAGCCAAAACAAAACATGCACATGTTATATCTTGGAAACAATGGATCCATTTCTTTCTCTCTGATCTCTGGCCTCCAGCATCTAGAAGTTTGAACTTTATTCCGTTGATATTGAAGTTAGTTTCGGTGATTCCTGTCGTTTTGATCCTCCCTTTTAGAATGTCTTCGTCACTGCATTCGTAGTTTGCGTCGGCATAGTTATGAACCCGATCAAAGAAGTATGATGATGATCCTTCAAGTTGGAATAAATTTGACCTCCCGAAGCATTGCTTGATTCCTGCATCGTCATTCCACAATCTTTCGACGGATTCTGCAATATCATTCTTTGACAAGTTTTTAATGGTTAATGGGGTGTTAACCTTGTCCACAATGTAGTCTTTCAAAAGGTCATCGGTCTCCTTATAATCTGTCAGCAGCTGATCAGAAACAAGAGTGCCATCTGTGGAATTGTTTTCATCCATCCATCCGGCGTCTGCTCTGCCACTGCTTTTATTCCTTCTTTCAACTGCGCTCTTTTCACTATATTTTACCAAATAATCCTTCAAAAAGGTTACCCCACCAGCTGCCGGTGTATCGATACTTTCTAGGGGCTTGTAATTCAGTATGTTTTGTTTATACTGGTATAGTACTGACTCGGGGTCATCAGATTCAAGTTGGATTCCAAGGTTTCTGGCCTGTATGATCAATGTTTGCATACTTGCAATGGTGTCAGCCCATATAATGTTCTTGTATTGAATTCGTTCCTGTGGTGAGAATCCACCTAAATGTAACAATCTCATCTGCTTCAAAACAGTAGATTTACCGGACTCTCCAGCTCCCAAAAGAAGCATCTTTACTTGGTTCTTCTTGTTCACCTTGCTTTGCTGCATCAATTTTTCGAGTTTAATGTCTTGCATTCTTTGCAATTGATCCATGTTGGGCTGTGGCTGTTGAGCTCGCATACCATCCGTCAAGTGTTTTGTGTATTTGATGTTTCCATTGGCATTTGTGCTTGCTGGCATACTTGCGGTGCATCCCATGTTGGATCAGTAATTAAAAAAATTTATTGATTGCAATCAACTGCAGTTTTTTTTTGAAATTGTTTCTTATTTGAACACTTCCACAGGCACTTTGGAGCAGTTGTGAAGTATTTCTTCCCAGCAAATCTTGAAAACTTGAGATATTCTATGCTGGCTTTTAGGTCGGATGAAAAAGGCTCTAAAATCAAAAGAAAAGGAAAAGCAAGGTGAAGGGAGGGTTGCTTTTGAAAACATACTCTTTCATAAGTGCTACAGCAATTTGGAGTTTTGGCTTTTGAACTTTTTCTTTGAATAATTTGCTTAATGTAGATGTTACACATTTTCATTTATCATCTCCCTCGGGATAGAAATATATTGCAAAACAAGTTTCATAATATGCACAGCCTCGAAATATGAAACTGTTTGACATAGTCTACATGTATTGTATATTCATCATATATAATTCCCGGAAGTTGCATTTACAAAACATATATAGGTCCCCATTCTATACATTGCTGAACGTGTTTCAATCAGACAGATCTTCGTAATCGGCGATTATGTCGTACTCATCAACATACTCACAAACATCTCCCTCCGGCCAATTTTCCTTATCTGGGCCATCTCTCTCGGGAGGGGATACTATTTTAACTACTTTGGGAATTTTGATAGCTTCAAAATGTGAAATTTGTCTAAGAGTTGCTGCTTTGTTTCGTTTTCTTTCTGTAAGATTTGTGTCTTCTGAACCGTTCTGGTCAGGAACCTCTCTCGTGTAACGATGGCCATTGAAGAGCCTCCAATTATGAAAACCTGATTTTGACGAGTGCTTTTTGCTTCTTTTTTCAATGTGTTCAACCAAGTCTTTCCCTAGCTCATTATTTTGTATCAATGGCACTGAAACTAGGGTATCCCGTAATTTTTCTCTAGTATTATCTTTGATTCGTTTCAAAACGGTTATAGCCTTTTCTTTTTCGGTGTCGTTTTTTTTTCTGGAAAGGGGTCTCTTTCTGCTTTCTTTCCTCCTCTCTCGCTTCAATTTGGCTGATCTTATATAGTTTTTCACTTGGTACTCTCTATAGTCATTGATGTACTTGTGATCTCTATTACTATGTTTTGATTCTTTTGATTGAAGCTTATTCCGGTCGAAGAATTCAGGATGCTGAATTAACGGAAGTCTCTGTGGAAGATTAGTACGGACGGGGTGTGAATCTAGGGTAAGGCGATTGTCAAAAGTACTTCTAGTTTCAGGCCTTATTTTGTTAGAAATCCAGCCTTTTAGACCCACGCCCTTGATTTCGTTCTGAACTGCAATTCTATCCCCATCAAAACCTAGAGCGTAATAGTTTGGCTTGTTTGTCATTGCCCTCTTTATATGATTGTTAGGATAGAAGCTCTCACAATCAAATTCTTTGTTCAAATCAATCTCATACATCCCTGCAGACTCAACAATATTAAGTTGGGGATTGGGTTTGAAAGAGCCGAAGTTAAAGGACATATTAGTCTTACTCTCTACATTTTCCTGCTCATTGGCTTTGTCTTCTTTCACCACTGATTGATAATCAGAATAGACGGGAGTAGCTATTTCTTTAGGTTCATGTTTATTTTCCCCAAAGGGTAAAAGAATATTACCTCTTGCTAGTGTACAATTGGTGCTTGCTATAAGCTCCCTTTCAAAGGAGTCAAGTAAGCCATAGTCTTCTAGCACTTGCTCGTTCACCAAGCGTAATGGCTCTTGTACACTTTTCTTGCTTTTCTGTTTCTTTACCGTGTTTGAAGTTGGCTTTTTTGAGAGATTTTTCTTTGGTTTTTTAATTCCGAGGTTCTCTTTGCCTGTTTCAGTGTTATCATCGTGGAAAATATCAAATTGTTTGACGTTATTGAATTTGTTAACATAACGCGGTCTTTCATTATACTTGAGCTCTCTTAATGGCAATCTTTGTATCTTCTTATAGTTCTTATTGAAGGGTATCCTTTGAATATCTGCCTTTTGTAAATTTGCGGCGGGTGCTCTCCAGAATTCATCCCATTTTTGACCTACAAATTCTTTGTTTGATAAGAAGCCACCATACTCTTCGGTTCGTAGAGAGATTAAGGGGATATTTTTTGGCCTTGAGGTGAGCATATATGGGTCTTTGTTTGGATTTCCTGAGTACCTGTAATAGATCCACCACCTGTTCAATCTTAAGCCAAGTTTCTTTAGTCTTAGCTCCAAATGATTGTTTCGGTGATGATACTCGTTATTCCATGCGCTTAACATATTCAAGCCGGGTTTGCTTTTGATTACTTTTCCTGGTTTTGAGTTGTTAACCAAATTACAATCCTTTTTAAACCTCTTCCTCGCACGATATAACGTCAATAAATTACAAGCACTTATGGATTGTAGCAATGATAATAGAGGATGAGACTGCTAATTCAAAATATTCTTCATTTTGAGCAACAAACAGAAGTAAATCTACGTGATCAAAAATCTTCACATTACCTGTGTAAATCATGTTGCCCCGTTCACCTTATCAGACATCCGCTTTTTTCTTACTTTTTAGAATCTTTGTTGAATCTTTATATAAAAATGTTATGAGCCTTTTATAAATTAAAAATCTTCTTCTTTCTGGGGAACAGTTTATGATACATTATTAATATACAAACATATAAGCTGTCACTCTTTACCCAATAGCTTGAGGAAGCTTTTGTTGACGAGCTCTTTTAATTCCTTGTAGCTCATTATCAAGCATGTCATTTCATCAGAACTAACCAGCAGTATATTTTCATCCACACCGGCATCAAGCTTGTTCAGACAATTGATAACATGGGTCAAATCGACAACCGGTTTTCCGTTATCATCGATTTGATGAAAAACATAATCTTTGAAAAGTTTGATAGGATATCGCTCTCCCGTTTCAGACCAAAGTCCATCCTTAACCACTTCTGGTCTTTCGGATATAAAATCAAGTTTGGCAAAAAGTCTTACCAATCTAGCATTCTCGAGTTCTCCCATCAGATTTGACTCCATGTAATCGCAGCTGTTTTGTAAACCATTAGCTAGTTTCAAAATCATTGGTGCAACAAGTTCCTGGAACTTCTCGATTGTTGCATCTTCCCTGAATAGGTACGACAACATCTTTTTGAAAACGTTGGTGAATTTTAGTTGCATAATTATTTCCATAGGGTCTTCCGTAGGGGCCTTCAGGTAAGTTGTCGATTTTGCTAAGAAGAGGATCAACTTTCCAAGATTTAGTAGATCAGAATCTTTCTCTGGTTCTTCAATTTCTTTTGCATCTTTTGGAAGTGTTTTATTAACATCTTCCAATATACTATTTACCCCGACAGCTGATAATCTAATTCTACCCTTGTTGGTTATGATGATTTTAGATGAGTCTAAAGAACCTAATGACAAGCCCAATCTATTAACTTCTGTTATTGCGTTCAAGAGTTGTATAGTATAATTCCACAAAGAGTCTTCAGTAATCAAATCTGGGTTCTTTCCTGGAAAAGACATGAAATGATTTTCCAATAACGTCAAAGACATTGGATAGTAGTCATATATCAAAATTAATGAGTTGTCATTGAAGGCCCTAGTTGTAAACACATCATAAACCTTAACACAATTTGAGCAATCGACTTTTTTCCATTTTTTTATACTTTTTAGCACAGACGGTGATGTTATTGGGACATTTTGTAATCTTCTCATAGTGTAAAGTTTACCGTTTTCATTTGACATACATTTGTAGACAATTGATACGTAACCAAATGATTTTGTACTGTAGTCGAAGTTGTGGTCAATCGGATATAATGAATGGTATTGACCAACATGTGATGGCAAATCTAATTCGTTGCTTGAAATTGACTTTAGGCTTTCTTCATTTTTTAGCTGCAAATATTCTCTAAGTTTATTATTAATAAAGAGATCATCAACAGTTCTCTCGTTTGGCTTTTTGTTGAGTTCAACATGTGGTGGGGGTGGGGGGGCATATAATAGGAAATTCACTGGGTATAAATTTGTATTTTGATAAAATAGATCTTCTCCTGTAGGTGGTTGAGGATGAGGGCTAAAGTTTGTGTTCATGGAAGTTATTGTATCTCCAGCTGAGTTGGTTTTTGGGGTGAAGACTGGCGCCGTTACTGGATTGAAGGAGCTAGTTTTAGTAAGCGTTGAGTGGATCGAACCCAAGTCACTAAATGTTGTATCATTCGAAATCTTACCCGTATTTGCTTGTCCTGGGCCAAAGTTCATGGTAGTTGCAGATTCTCCACCATTCAGGTTACTTCTTATTGCGGAGGCAATAGTTGCCGTTTCAGTAGCTGGTGATTTCTCAATCTTACCGTTTGAGGTGGAAGGAACAAAGGTTGGGATATGATCTAAAGATGGTGATAAAGTTGCGAATTTTGTCGATAGAGGAGTTGGTCTAAAAGCCGGAGAATCCAAATTAAATTTTTTGTTCAGTACAGGAGAATTTGTTCCATTTACCACAGATGTTGTACTATTATTAGCAGAGTCATTATCATCATTTGTTGGCAAAGGATAGCCAGCTTTTTGGCTCAAAATACTTGGCTTGAAAGCAGAAGTTTTGCTAGTTGACAAAGTTGTAACCGGACTTGAGTTGATACTTGTTGTGCCAGCCAATTGAGATAAAGGTGACATGATAGAAGATGTTGTTACAGTAGAATTTGTTCCTGCACTAGTAATTGTGCTCTCTCCGGCACTAACAGTGTTTGCTGTTGCACCTACTGGCGCAACAGCGCTACTTTTCTGTAACGCTGGGTCATGGTTGTAAGAACAACCTTTATGTTCAAATTTACAGAATCCATGAATCTGAATATTCCTGCATGGAATATTTTTGGCCCAGTCATATTGGCTTCCACTCATTCTTATTGGTCGAAATTCAGTAATTTGATGATCAATGTGTATATGCAACACAGAGATAATTATCTGACCTATAACTTGTGTATCTAATACCGTTCAATGTTGCTGCTGAGCCTCCAATTATTTCAGCTATGTGATCGTTCAGCAATTCAGAAGTCAAAAAAGAAAGTCAAAGTACTTGCTTGAGTTAAAAAGAACATGAGCAACTTCCAACGATGTTAATCATCCTGTATCTCAAACAAACCATCAGTGACAATGAGTTACGTTTGGGAAAAAAGCGCGAACAAGAAGAAGCTTCTTGTACTGTAAAAAAGAAGGGGTCAACTGGGAATTGAACCCAGGGCCTCCTGCTCCCAAAGCAGGAATCATACCACTAGACCATTAACCCCAATATTAGGCAATTCCCTCCTTCCGGGATCGAACCAGAGACCTCAGGATGTCTTGTAACATTACAGTCCCGCGCTCTTCCAACTGAGCTAAAGAGGGATCGCTTGGCAAATTTAATGTACACACTAGTAAAAGGGTTTTAAGTAAACATTGAGAGTTTGGAAGAACTCGTATGTGGACCTTCACAGAAATAAATAAGAAATAATTTCCTTTGTCATGTTTTCATTGGTTGAAAAACCAGATTAAAAGAATTAGCTTACTGCAATTAGCTGTTGTAGATTTTCATCCCAATCGAAGTTTGTTTTGGTGCTTGTTGTGACAAAAAAATTGTGTACCTTTCGAGCCAACTCATAATCAAGTTGGTGTGTACCATGCGTACTGGTAATCCGTATTCATCACGGCAGTCCACCATTCCAATTCTGCTAATAAGTAATAAGCCTAGTGCAAATAATCCAGAATTCTCACAATAATAAAGTTAACACACATAGGGTTTGACGGCCATAGGAGAAACTGAAAAATGATTTCTTTACAGAAGAGAAACTGATCACCATCTTCAATTACTTTATTATTAACTCTATGAGCTTTTCATGACTTTTCATGTGAAGTATGGGCATTTCTTGACAGCATGCATAAAGCGTACTTGTCTTTGGCTATTTATGGTACCGTCTTGAGGATAATATCATAAAACTACGAAGCTCTCCCAGGAATGCAGATTGTTTTAGCCTGACATGGTTTCTCCGTTATGGTCACTGCCAAAAGCTAATAAAATTCTATGTTCTTTCTTTGTGTTGATTTACATCGATTTACTTACACTCAACGAAACAACTATATAGTTCAAGTTTAGAAAGCTTTAGCAAACAGTCTATAAATTTTTGATTAAAATGGCCGGTTGACCTGGAACCGCATTCTCAATTGATTTGACCTTTTGCGGAATTGAAATTTCTTCTTCAGAAACTATGTCTTTCCCTGTAGTAGAACCGTTGGAAAAAAAGATAATTTGAACCTTGGAAACACTAATAGAGGCTGGTGCTTTTTTAATGGACTCAATAGCCTGTTTCACAACATCAAGTTCATCAAATAGCAACTCTCTGTTGAAGACTTCCTCTGGTTTTTCAACACCCAACTGCTTTTTTAACTCGTTGATAAATGGCATAGCACGTTTCATGTCCTTGCCATCAATTTTCTCTTTGACAATCTTCATATCATCCAACTTTCCTTCCTCATACAACTTCTTTGCAATGTCAACATACTTTTGTTGCCATTCAGGGAATGAATTACAAACGTAAATGGTTAATAGACAGTCTTGATCTTTGTCCACATCAGATTTACCACCTTTTTTCTTTTTTAGAGCCATACCTTCCGACTCTCTTATAATTCGTTGCAAGTTTCTGGTATAAGTTAGGGCTGCAGCTAATTCATTCGAAACAGCTGCTTCAGGAACGGGCCATTTGGCGTTGTTGATTGAGGTCTTCTTTCCTAGAAGTTCTCTATAAACGTATTCCGTGAAATGTGGGGCGATTGGATAAAGTAACAAAGATTGAGTTTCAATGTACTTGAAAACTAAACTCTTGTGTAAGCCTGCACCTGAAGATAACGAAAGTTCTCTATAGAAATCTCTGGAGTATTGATAATCGAACAAACCAGTTTTAAGAGCCGCTTTGTAGTATGTGATATCGTAGTTCTTATACGTTTCTTCGATTAATTGATTCATTTCATTGTCAAACGCTTTATCAAAAAAGTTGTAAGGACCAGTTCTGAGTTCATCCTTGGACTTCACCATTTCCTCAAACCATTCCTTCAAGTTGAAAAGTCTCAAAATAGCAGCATTAGCATTAGACTCGTCAAAATTAGCATCTTCAACAGTATCACCTGCATCGGCAAGGGCAATTCTAGAAGCATCTGAGCCAAATTTTTCAACTAATTGTTCTAAAGTTCTGAAATTACCTGTTGATTTGGACATCTTTGCATTATTTAACATCAAATGACCGTTACTTCTGATACCTGCTGGCCAGAAAGTTTTCTTCAACAAAGCAACATGAGAGTAGATGTAGAAAGTTAAGTGATTTGGAATCAAATCCTTACCTGAGATAGATTGATCCATTGGATAGAAGTATTCAAATTCTCTTCTCAACAAATTCAATTTTTCAATTGGAATGTTGATGTTTTCGAGAGAATCTCCCCTACAGAAGATGTAATCAAAAGTTTCATCAGTCAAATCTTCTGCTTTGATGCCTAATGGACCGACCTTCTTACCATAGAAATCAGAATGAAGTAAGTGGTTAATCGTGTAGAACATTTGATACAAAGTGGAATCAGAAAGAGATTCAACCAAGTACTTCTCATCCCATGGAATTTTAGTACCTAAACCGTAAGTTCTGGAAAGAGCCCAGTTTTTTAACCAGTTAAAGACACCTTCAAAAGCGTTTCTGGTTTCGCTGTGAAAAGTGTTCATCTGGCCAAGACATTCTAAAGCTTGTTCCTTCCAGTTTTCCTCACCGTAATCAAGATACCATTGATCTTCCAAAGAGACAATACAAGAATCTCCTGATCTTGAAATAACGGCGGACTCAGGTTCATTGTAGACAAAAGCATCACCAGAAGCAATCAAATCTTGCTTCACCTTTGGCTTTGCTACTTCGACCTTTTCTCCCTTATATTTACCAATGATTAATGTACCGTTGTAGAAACCTTCCTTATAGGCAAGTTCCTTAGCGGCTGCTAATTGGTTCGTGTCCTTTGGAGAATTAATCTTCAATTCTTTCACTAAAGTTTCGGCACACTTGTCACCATACTTTTGAGTATTGACGATTGGAACAGGTTCTTCAATGACCCAATCCTTTTCAATCTTATAGTATTCAGGTTTGTTGAACAAGTCTCTAGTGGTAACATAATCATCTGGAGAATCAGAAGGAACGCAAGTGACAACACCGGTACCCTTGTTTTCTAAAATGGTTTCCATTGGTAAAACTCTTAAGCTTTCATGGACAGCTAATGGAGCATGAATTTTGGAACCGACAAGGAGAGAACCATTGACTGTCACTGATGGCGTGTAATCACCTCTGACAGGAGTCAAATCTTGATAAGCCATGTTTTTGAAAGCTCTGACAGTAGTAATGTAGTATTCGTTGTCTGAAGCTTTGAACACACCATAGTTGATTTTTGGAGAAACAAAGCAACATGTTTGACCGTACATGGTTTCAGGTCTTAAAGTTGCTGCAACCAAGAAGACCTTCTTACCAGTCAAATCGAAATTTTCCTTTTTGAAGTAATCTGCAGCTGCATCTGTAAACTCTGTGACTTCAATCTTGATACCTGTATATTCTTGTGGCAGGACAGCTTCACCTGATTGTCTATCATGATCCATACATGGTTGTCCATCTTTGACGGAGTAAATGGTGTACCTTTTACCGAACTTAATCTTACCTAACTCTCGCAATCTGTTCATTTGCCACCTAATAAAGGCATCATAATAGGGGTTCATGTCTGTGGTGATCATAGATCTTCTCCAGTCGACTCTACCACCAAAAGACTTGACGTGCTTTTCGACTAAAGGTGGGAAGTAAGTAAGCCAAAAGTATGGATCTTTGAATTTTGCAATTTCATCCAAAGGAATACCTGATTGTTGCATAATTTCAAACTGGTATTTTGCATTACCTGCCTTTTGGGCAACCTTCGACTTCTTGGCAGTGAACTTGGTCGGATCAGTCTTAGAAGCTTCGTTTGTTTCTGTTTCAGTGACTTCCGCGGTTTCATGGGACTCCTTCGCATACCCGGAAAAGTCATCACCAAACAACTCTGTCTCCCTTTGTAGCTTGTCAGCAGCAGCACGGATTGGCATACCACTACAATGAAAACCCAAGGCAAATAGTGCTTTCTTGTTTCTCAATCTCTCAAAACCAATGGCAAATTCAACCTTGGAACACGTGAAAACGTGACCGGCGTGCAAGACACCATTCATGTAGGGGTAAGCCATGGACGCAAAAAATTTGGGATACTCCTCGTGAAGTTCTTCCCATGATGTTCCGTAAGCAACCTCTTCGTTAGTTGGTGCATCGATTTCAAATGGCTTCTCAGAGTCCCAAATTTCTTGGTACTTCTTTTCGATAGCCACCAGAGTATCTCTACGGGCGGTGTTTTCCATCACGACCGCTTTCGGTCCTTCAGCTGTGCTCATTGTATACTGGTGTGCTGTATGAAAAATGGAACAATCCCAAAGAACCTAAAATATACCTCTAAATGGCATATTTAGATTGTGCGGTGATAACCTCTGTCACTGGAATCAGTCACCTTTAACGGCCGCCGTCCAGCTGGCTCTGTCTCTTTCGCTCGTCCACCAGAAAACCGAAAATTTTTTGAAAGCCTTATTTGCAACAAAACATATGTCGCGGCACGGCAGATTCGGATGTTGTGCGCATGGCATGGGAGGGGCGATAAAGGCGATTTGGCACAAGGTGATGACAGTGTTGATGGTGACAATAACGCTGCAGTTTGGGGCTCAGTGTTGTTGTGGGCTTGTTCATTTTTCCGGAAGACATACGTACAACTCTAGGCTAAAGGATACACGTACTTGTCAACCGACTGCGAATTTCATACTACTGTTGCAGAAGAGAGAAAGATGTTGGACGATTCTGCTCTTGCCGAACGCAATCTGGCGTTCAACTCAGACGTTATGTTGTCTATCCAGTCTTCTATAACTTTGAGGAAACCGCTCATGCTGTTTATAGAAGATCCTGCCAGCGCTGCTCACTCAGATGCATGGTTGGGTAGGATGATATTCAACAACCCAGGTCTCACCGAGCCGACTAAGCAACTCTTGTCGGAAGATTTTATCCGTTTGAAGATCGTGAAAAACTCAGCCGACTTCAATAACCTTGTTCTCATAATCCCTTCGTTTCAGAGCGCAGCAACTCCTTGCATATTTTTTATATATTCGGGCCAGGTATTCGATGCCATTGCAGGAGATTTCGATATGCGTTTGATAGAAGAAAAAATAAAACAGATTCATCATAATTTGCATAGCCTCAAGGGGCCTCAGCCAACCGCAACATCGCCGCCTCCACCATCTACTACAACAGCAGTACAACAGGTACCATTAACGCCCACTGATCTTCCGCCAAATACAAATATAGACAACTTGAACCTGAATGAAAATCAAAGCATGGGGCAAGTATTCGCAGAAGTGCCGAACAGAAACTCCACGCCGGTTAAGCAAGAAAAGAAGTCTTTGAAAGAAGAGTCTGCAGAACTGGCGGCCTTGAAATACAGGGAAAATTTGCTAAAGCAGCAGAGACAGGCCAAGCTTGACCGTGAGCGTATATTATACTTGCTGGATCTAGATCGAAAGGAACAGAGAAACAAGCTGATAGAGAAGGAAAAACTCAAACAACAAGAACTTGAAGCGAATACTGTATTGCCTCAGCATATCCGTGAAAACTTTCATAATTCTAAGGTTCAGAACTCCTCAACCTATAGCATCCAGTTGAAGCTTCTGGATGGTACCACTGCTCGTCACAAATTTAAAAGCGACGAAAAGTTGAGCAATGTGCGTGATTTCGTATTGAGAACATACCCTGACTATAACTCTTTTCCCTTTTACTTTTTCAAAACCATTGACCGGATCACCTTTGGGGAAGCAGATGAAAACAAATCTTTGATGTCTTTAAATCTTAACATGGCTACACTCATTTTGAAACCTGTGGAACCTGAAGAAAGTCAGCAAGTCTCAACAGCAGCAGATAACACAAGCTCGTCTACGTTTGGTTGGTTGAAGAACAAGATGTTTTCTTATTTATGGTCCGCCGATAAGTTACTGCATGAAACCGATCCGAGTCAGGAAAACAGAAGTAGACCATCTGTGAATGATGGCTCTTATACCTCATCGATGATGACCCATCCCTATATGGAGGAAGAGAGTGATAATGACACAATCTATCATACACCGGTTTTGAATTCCACGACTCCTTCTAGTAGCTCTCTCCGTCCAACCATGAGTAGCTTCAATCTATATGGATCGCAAGGGCTGATACAACCAGCCTCAACTACATCCTCTACCCACGATCTTCAAAATCTACTCTCTCGCAATAACGACCAGAGAGAAGAAGCTTTCAGCGAGCCTTCGAATGAAGATTCACCAGTATCACACATTGTGTCGAATGGGAATTCAAACCAGTCTGAGTCAAGTGTAGACCGAAGCTTGCGTACGGTACGAAATGCTGAAGATGTTGATGTCAATAACGGCAACAGCATCTCCTTACAATTTCCCGACGATGATTAGTGCTTCTGCAATTGTTTATAGCATACTGGATGCTGATCCACACTGAAAAAACGAGACACTGTGATATTTCAACACTTTTGCATTTAAGATACCTTTTTTTTTATTTTTTATTAATTTAAAGTAAAAAATTTCATGAAAACAATGTGTAAATTAGTTAAACAAAGGAAAGCAAAAAATAATAAAAAGCGAAGAAGAGCTAAACATAAAATAAGAGAGTATATAAAACTACTTGTCAGGTTCTCCACCACTGCCAAAATTGTAGGTATAAGACGAAGGATCAGTGAACTCTTCAAAAATTAAAGAATAGATGTCGTTAAGTAACACTTCTTTGGTTGAAGGCGTTCCTGCGTCAAAAATTGCTTCCGGATTATCTTCCATTTTGACATCCTCAGGTTCTGTGTTGGTATTTATCGTTGCAGATTTGGCAAGAGGAGTAGTAGCACTTGGGAAAGGTGAAGGAGTTGATCCAAACATAGAGCCCACACCGCCGTTGAAATTATCGGCATATCCATTGTTTGGTAGATCCACAGAAGGCGATGCTACGAAATTCAATCCGTCAAAAGCTGAATCAAACTTGGAGTTGCCGGAAGATTTATTCTCAACTGCCCATTGGGAGACATTATCTGCCGATTCTTTTATTGGTGATAATGATGGAAGGACATCTGCAATCTGGTCCATTTCATCATAGACAACACCATTGGCTAAGTTCTCATCTGAAGATTTGAGAGTAGATTTAAGACTGTGCTGGACAGCGCTTGCAAGCTTCTCTGACGAAGAAGAGGAAACTGAGGATGCCGCATGTGTCAAAGAATCACGCGAGTTAGAGTTTGAACTTGAGCTTGAATTAACCCCGGAGTTGCCAATAGAAGATGAAAACACTTCACTTGCAGAGGGTGAAAAACCGGATTTTGTAGAGACTATGTTCTCCTGTTTAGAGTTCAATAATAAAAATGGGGTGACTGTATCCATATTCCCGTTGCTCTTGAATCCGTTTGAAAAACTTCCATTATGATTATTAGTATTTCCTTGGATTGCAGATTTCAAGTCCTTTAGGTCTTCCATGGACTTATTTGCCATTAATTTTTCAGATGCTACATTCATCGAAGTAGATGCAGCAGACTGAAGGGCTGAGGACACACGAGGTGGGAATAACGACGAGTATTGTTTTCGTTTCGCCAATCCAAAGTCGACTACCAAATCAGGCGAAGAGTAACTTTTTGCACAGTTTATACTAGAGCGGCGTTTGTCACCAATGATAGAATCTGCTCCCGTATTTCCTGGATCGTTAGCAGCAGATGAGATTAAATCACTCAATTCAAAATTGTTAAGCTTTAATACAGCATTATGGCGTTTCAAAATGGCGTCTATCAAATGGATCAAATTAATACAAGTTGAATTGGATGTGCTTAACATTGCCAAAGCTCTTTTACCCTTGATAATATCAGACCACCATTCGTAATTATGTTTTGAGGCCGGATTTGAACATTGACATGCCAAGGGGATCAAGATGGCCTGGAAAAGGAAATATATGGTATACCAACAAGACAAGGGAGTAAGTTTGCCTGAAGTGCTGTTTAAGTACTCCATTATATTTTGGATAGTTTTAGAAGCAGCGTTCAAGCAAACTCTTCTTGCGTTTTTAGAGTCTTCTGAGAGTGCAGCTTCTTTTGGGACGTTCGATGACTTCCCGGTTGATATGAGAACAATCTTCTGCCATATATAAGGACGGAAAATCAAAATTTGAAGATTGGCTATTCTCCAGATCAATCTCGATCTTGATAAAGTAAACCAATCAGGTATCATAGATGCATCATTATTAAAATATCTCTTTTTAATATAGTCCATATTTTTGCTGAAATAATCGGGTAAATTTTCATTGAACTCTTGCAACTTCAAATGCATGGAATGGCATTCGGCTAAGGAGGGGCGATTCTTGGAGATGATCCTGGCATAAAATGGATCCGAGAGGATACTCAGTTTCGATTGCTCAATCATTGCAGAGTAGATTGTTGGGGACTCGCTCGATGGTAGAGTTGGTGATTTTCTGAGTGTGTATTGAGACAAAAAGTTTGCATCGTTTAGCAACTCATCCAACTTTTCATCGCCTATATTAGCTGGTAGCCTAACGTCAACCATGTCAGGAACAGGAATATGAGAGGGACGCCCAAAGGTGATTGCGGCTCCAGCATCGAACATATAAAGACACCACCATATTCTGCGCTTAGATTCCTGGTCAAAGATAAAAGCTTTCAAATCTTGGATATTTCTCTTTTCTAAATCTTTTGATTCGATCTCCTTGTACAAACCCAACGAGACCGCCATGCTGACAGCCAGCCCGAGGTAGTTCCAACCTGTGTTTGGCTTGTTCCTCTTCTGGGCGTAGTTGCTCAACAGTATGAGAGAGATGACGTAGTCGACGTTACCGGATTCAAAGACTTGGGAGAGATGCGACTTGGCAATTTTGTAGTACTGCAAATCATGGTTTGTCGAGTCTCCCTGAACACACCAGCAGCCTAAGGCGACCACCGTGTAGTAGAGACACCACCAAGACGAATGCTCCTTTGGATGATTCAGCTCGACATGGTTCAGAAAATACTTTTTGCTTAACAGCGGGTATGACATATGGTATGTTTTGAAATATATTTCGACGTAGCGGAGCTGGAGCTTCTTGTCCGATAAATCCAGGTGCTTGATGCTGTTCGTAATCCTCGATGCAGAGCTATTGTTGTTCTGGCTTTGGAACTCAAGATGTTCTGCATCGGCCAAGTTTGTCTTGGAGCTGCTCTGGCTAGTGGAAGTTGGCGGAGGCAGAGAGTGTGCTGCCGAAGCGGATGAGGCAGGACGGGGAGGAGAAGGATGCTCTTTTTTCGTGACGTTTAGCTCGTTGGCCTTCATGATTCGGAGGAAGGTTGTACTTGATCCCGCGCCCAGGAAACCGGACTTAGAGGCCGGATTGGCGCCCATGCCGTCCAATGACGTGAACGACGAGTTGTACTGGATGTTGGACTGTTGCAACGACGTGGGCGGGGTGCCGAGGTTGTTCAAGGAGACCGCCGAGTCCGATTTGGAGAACGAGGATTTCGGCGACGAGAACGGCGAGACCACGCTGTTGCTGTTGATATTATTAGTGTTCGTCGTAGTAATGTTGCCGCTCGAGTTGTTCTGGTCGGCGTGGTTGCCAGATGCGTCTTCGGTGGTCGCATTGTCGAACTCGGACCACTCGAAGACAGACTTGTCCGAGTTGTCTGTGAGGTACCGCTCTGGAAGCTTCGGCTGTGATCTGAGGGAGTTTTCCATGCCGGACTCGCCGTCGGCCTCCAAACGGTGGGGGTGGTGGTGCGCCACCATCCTGTCGCCGTTGTCGACGAAGCCGGAACCGTCTCCGTCTGCGTCTGCGTCACCGTACACGCTACTGCCGCCGCTGTGCGATCCGCCGCCGCCCCCGACAGAGGCAAGCAGCTCCTCGAGCGACTTCGTTGGCGCCAGTCTGGAAACAACCTGCTCCAACAGCCGGACCCGGGCCTCGACGTTCGTCAAGTGGGACCGTGTCAACGGAGATCGCACCGTCTTGGGCGAGTAGATGCAGTTCCACTTGTGCGTGATGCACTTCGAGCACCGCGGCAGCTCCTTGGAGCACTTCAGTTTGCGTTTGCGGCACGAGTCGCAGGCCTGCTCGATCTGTAGGTTCGTAGGCAGTGGAGGCGGGAACCCCTGCGTGTGGTACTGACTCATTTTGCTTCGTTCGATATCACCGGTTTGTTCGCTTCTTGCAGCGGTTCTGCTCGTCGATGATGCTGCCTTCTTCGACACACACACACACTCACAAAACGGCACCAGCTGCTGCTATTCTGTCCTTCCAGAGAAAGACAACCGTCTGTCTGCCACCCTCCTAGGGATGCCGTCCTTTCCTTCTACCTCCCTGACCCTTGGTTGCCCTGCCTCCCGGCCTGGAAAAATCCCACCCCACCCCCCGTCAACGGACAACGGTCGCGGATAAACTCTCGCCGCTGTCTGGTCTCCCGGGATGGCCGTCGCGGGCGGAGTTCCGATTAGCGGAGCAGTCGGACAATGCGTCGGCAGCGGAGAAGGGTCAACAGCAGATGGGGAGGAGGGAACGGAGGGGCAGGGAGCCGGAGGTTGCGACGGGGAGGGGCGGCAGCATGTGTGTGGTGCCAGATAGACGACGGCGGATGCGATGTGGGTGTATGCATATGGGAGTATATAGGGGTACAAGAGAGGACAATAGGCTGTGTGGAGGCGGAGGTGGATGTCGAGGACGAAAACCAGGCGGAGCAGGTGAGTAAGCAAGCAAGCAGGCAGCGTGCAGGCAGCGTGCAGGCTTGCAAAAGCAATCACCGGAAAAACTTCTCGACAACGTATTCGGCAATGCCCATTGAGGCGGTGAGGCCCGGGCTCTCGATGCCCAGGAGGTTGACGAAACCGTCGAGACCGGCGTCGACCTCGCTGCGGATGACAAAGTCCTGGAACGCGGTGCTGTCGGGGCCCGCCAGTTTGGGCCGGATTCCGCTGTAGCTGCCCGAGAGGTACTCCCGACGCATGTGCGGGAGGTAGACCTTGACGGCGTCGACGGCGGCGTCGAGGTTGTGCTCGTTGACGCGGTAGTCGGAGCAGCCGGGGACCCACTCGAGGTCGGGGCCAAAGCGGATCTGGCCGCCGAGGTCCAGCGTGAGGTGGGTCCCGAGGGAGGCGACGCCGGGCGTCGGACACGGGTAGATGAGGCGGCGGACGTGCGTGTTGGGGCCGCTGTAGCTGAAGTAGTTCCCCTTGGCGTAGAACGCGTGGACGTGGCGCTCCGGCGGCAGCACCATGTTGGCGACGGCGGGCGCATGAAGGCCAGCACAGTTGATTACACTGGTGCTCTTGATGGAGAAGTCTTCGGTGTCCGAGCTGGCCGCCGTGCCGGCGGTGTCGGCGCTCCTCGTCCGGATCTCGTACACGTTCTCCCCCGGAAGCCGCTCGATGGCGACGACCTCTGTTCCGAGCGCCAGACTCCCGTCGCCGTCCTGGAACCGCGTGTACAGGTAGTCCATGAGGCCGTGGGCGGACGTGATGCCCGTGGTGGGCGAGTTGAGGACAGCGTAGCGGGCCCGCACGAACGGCTCCTGCGTCCGGGCCTGCGCCAGCGGCACAAACTCGGTCGGCACGCCGATCTGCTGGGCCTTGGCATGCAGCTTCTCGAGGTACGCCTGCTCGTGCCCGTTCTGCGCAATGATCCACTTCCCACACTGCTGCACGGGGATGTGTGCCCGCTGCTCGTAGATCTTCTCCTTTCCCCGGATGCAGAGCCTCGTCTTCAGCGAGTCCGGCGGGTAGTAGAGCCCGGCATGTACGACCTCCGAGTTCCGGCTGCTTGTCTCCTGCCCGTACTCTGCGTTCTTCTCGAGGATCAACACCTTGTTGCGCCGGTCGTGCTGGACAAGCTCGGCGCCGATCGCCAGACCCACCACGCCGCCGCCGATGATCGTGTGCGTGAAGTCGGCTGCCCGCACGGCACGGGCAGCACTGAAGCTTCGTCTGGAAACTAGCATTGTGTTCTATGCTGTGCTGCTGTCTAGAAAGCACACCCCCGTTGGTGCAGAGCTCTGTGTGGGTGCCTGCCTGAGACTTGTCTTGTCTCCATCTAGCTGAAATACCCGCACCGTCGCTGCCTGTAGCGTGGAATACACTCGTTCTCCATATCGGGTTACACACAGGGGCTCTCCGGCGCCCCCGGGCCGGCTCTACACAGCGACCCTGGCCTCGATCTCAGACATGGCGGCGTCGTTCTTCGCATCCTGCGTCTCGTCCCGGCACAACCGGTACACGTTCACCATCCAGCTGACAAAGCCCACGAGCTTGCGCAGCGCCCGTCCGAGCCGGAACCGCTTCGTCACGAGGCTGAGGTTCAACACGAGGTCGTTCGCGTAGCCCACTATCTCCACCACCGCCTTCACCTTCTCCGTGTACAACACCCGGAGACACCGCTCATGGTACTCCGTCACGTGCGAGCCCTTCATGAGGAAGTTCCCCCGGATGATGGCCGCCTCCGTCTTCACCACACCGATGAGCCGGTTGATCCGCTGCAGCCGCAGCACAAACCGCTTCAAGTAGATGAGGATCATCACAATGTAGATCTTGGCCACCTGCCGGAGGCAGAAGCTGAGGGGCCGGAACACCGCCGAGTCCCTCGTCCGTCGCTCCAGGGACGGGAACACCGCCTGCACCGCCACAAAGTTGTCCATGTACGACAACCACGTCTCCAGCTTCTGCAGTATCGTCTCCTCGAGCATCTCGTACCGTTCGACCAGCGACACCGGCGTCTTCCCCGTCCCCCGGCATCCCTTCTTGTCCGAACCCGCCGGCCTTTTGCTCCACTCTAGAAAGTCTCTCGTCAGCTCGTTTTCCGGTCCCTTGCCGCCAGTCCCGCTGCACACCGTCTCGTCCGAGTCATTGCCTATCTCCAAGCTCGCCATTTTCCTGCCAATTGGCCCTTCAACCCACTCCTGCTGTCCCTACAGCCCTCCGCAAACATGAGCCTCTGCCTGCCGCCCGATTCATGTCGCCTCCCTTGGTCCTCTGCACCCGCGCCGCTTAGAGGCTACACGCCCCCAGTGCCGCCAGGCCCCACTTTCCGGCGCTGAGAGAGGAGAGAGAAAGTATAAGAGGAGGCCGTTCTGCTGTCGCTGGCGAGCCGAGCGTTAGTGTACTGTTGTGGGCAGGTTGGAAGTTGTGCAAAGAGTTGATGGCACACAGGTTATCTCTTGTTTGTAAGCATTTATCCAAGTAGAAAGCGTCTGTGGACACGGCATCAGTTTTTGTTCCCACTGCTCTCTGTTCGTTTCTTCCTGGCTCGTCTAGACTTGATAGACAGACCCAGCTACTAATACACAGTGCCGACGATATATAGCGTCTAGTTTATCTATAAACACTCCACGTACACTCTGGAGCACATTCTCCCACAGTAGTTAGTATACAATCCAAAGGTACCACTTGCAAAGAAAGACACAAAGAAGAGCACATCAGCAGCGAGTCAGAAATCACACACAAAGACAAACACACACACAATGTTGGAATCAGTCGGAGACTTTGAAAACACACTGAACGAAATGAGCACCTTGAAGGCTCCCGGTGTCTCAGGCTCAAGAATTAAAAACCTAAAAGACTTCTTTTTGTCCCACGTCGATGAAGAGGATAAATTAGTTAGTATCTTAATTAATGGCTGTAAGAAAACTCCTGTATCAAACAAGTTGGGTCCATTGTATGTGGTTGATGCAATTGTTAGAGCTTTGATTGACGAAATTGGCAGTAATGCAAATGTAGAAATTAACGGTGACTCTCCAAACGGCACTGCGGCCGCATCCGTCTATAAAATCCAGCAGAACATCGAGACGTTGCTAGACGATGCGATCCCAAACTCGAACGATGATGTGAAGGAAAGAATCAGTAAATTAATCGATATTTGGGTGAGTTGTTCAACTTTTGATAAGAAGATCATGGATTCGATTAAATCCAAATACTACAAGTCCTTCACCCCACCGGGCACTCCACCGAAGAAGAAGGTTCTGTTCAATGACAACGTTACCCTCCTGGGTAACAACAACTCCGCTAAGCTTCCGCAAGGCCCTGCGGCTTCCAAAGACCCAACCTCGGTGTTGCAAGCATTGGCCAATTTAGCAAAGAGCACTCCCTCCCCAGGCTCGAACTCCAATTCCAACACCAAGCTTGCTTCTCCTTCCACAAACCTCCCTGGCTCATTGTCTCCACCATCTTCTGGTGCCAACGACTCAATGAACTCGTCGAATCCAAATGCCATTTTCCAACTGCTTCAGAACATGAACAAACTGACCAACAACAACAGCAGCGGCAACGGCGGCAACAATGGCAACATGGGCGGCAACGCTGCAGATATGGCTAACAACCAAAGTAACCTTATGAACAACAACTTCAGAGACAGAAGTGAAAGAGGCAGCAGGGGCAGCGATTTCGGCAGAAAGAGAGACAGATCGCCAGATCGTAATGACACTTCCGATCCTAAGCCAACACACGTCGAAGGTGAGAGAAATGTTCCATCGAACCCTCACTACAGGCAAAAGAAGGCATTCATTGACAAGAGCATCCCTCAGGGATGTATCAACGTTTACTCCAGAACCATCTTTATTGGTGGTGTTCCTCACAGTATGGATGAGCAACAGCTTGTCCAGACTTTGAAGCCATATGCTGAAGTTCAGAGCGTGATTTTGAACACATCGAGAAAGCATGCGTTTGTGAAAGTCTATTCCAGAAGCGAAGCAGAGCAGGTCATCCATGCCTTTTCCGTTTCCCATCCTTCTGGTTTGAGAGCCAGATGGGGAGTTGGTTTTGGACCAAGAGATTGCTGCAACTACCAAACTGGAGTCTCCACAATCCCTATCCAAAGATTGACCGATGCCGATAAGAAATGGTTGGTCAATGCAGAATGGGGAGGAAGCATCCCGGAGCTAGACTTGCAACCAGGGTTGTTTGTTGAAGAGCCAGATATCGAGGTTGGCCATGGTGTTTCCTCGAAGTCGATTTCAAGAAAGATGCCTACCAACTCGTCGCAAAACGGACCTAAGTCCGACAGCATGGCCCAGGGCAGATACAACAATAACAATAACCAACACAACAACAACCGACACAACAACAACCCAGCTCCAGGGAATATGCATATGAACTACGGCAACTACATGGGCCAGGGCATGCCTCAACAACCTCAACCTGGGATGATGCCATACCAGCAGTCTCCTCCCCAACAACCTGGTATGATGCCATACCAGTCGAGCCCATATCCTGGCCAGGGCGCCCCACCACCTATGCAACCAGGCATGATGGGATCCCCACCAGCACCGCCATTTAGCGCCGGCGGACAGCCTATGGACCAGACGCAAATGATGGCAGCAATGATGTCTGCCATGAATCAGATGAACCAGCAACAGCCTCAAAGCGGTGGCAACAACAACAACGTCGACATGAACAGTATGCTGCAGGTTATGGCTAGCATGATGAATGGTCAGAAACCACCCCAGCCGCCACAGTAGGAGAAGTAGTAGTAGTAGTAGTAGCAGTTTACGTTGTTGGGCGGTTAATTTTCTTTTACAGCTCTGTATAATATTTTTTAATGTTTCTTCTATCTCTCCATTGGATATCCTCTTTCCCCTTAATAACTTGAATTTACAGTAGGAACAAAACGTCTCACGTAGCACCCCATTAACACACCAGTCGGAATTGATATGACACTTCAGCTTCTGCCCACTCCGATCTTTCACAGCCATCCTTCGAAGGTAGAAGAAGTTGGCAGAAGGACACAGACACGCGTCCAAAACGGGCGGCCCGTTTTTTTTCCACCCCCCGTGGAGAGCGTGAGGCGAATTCCATAGAACTGCGCTGCGAGCTAGGTGGCCTATTCAAAAAGAGCGCTGTTGAAGAGACTTCGGCGACACAGAAGACGCTCGGCGGCATATACGTAGAGGCCAACAACCAAGGAGACCACCAGACGAATTGTCAGATAGACAAAGATGGGCAAGGGACCAAGTTTGTTTTCGCTGGATGCGTTTGCGAAAACGCTGGACGACAGAAAGATCAAAACCTCCACGGGAGGCATCATCACGATCATCTGCTGCCTCACGACGTTTGTGTTGCTCAACAACGAGTATCAGGACTACAACCGGGTGGTGCTTCGGCCGGAGCTAGTCGTAGACCGCGACCGAAACGACCACCTCGACATCAACTTGGACATCTCCTTCCCACAGCTGCCGTGTGACCTCATCAGTCTCGACGTGATGGATCTCACGGGGGACATCGAGTTCGATCTTCTCAAGAACGGGTTTACAAAGACCCGTCTGGACAGCGCCGGGAACGAGATCGAGCAGGCGCCGTTCGATGCGAACGTGCAGGGCAAGGAAGGGGACCATATTGGGGCGGCGGACGGGTACTGCGGTCCCTGCTACGGCGCCGTCAACCAGGGCGGGAACGAGGACAAGCCTGACGAGGAGAAGGTGTGCTGCAACTCGTGCGAGAGCGTGCGGAACGCGTACGCCAAGGTCGGGTGGAAGTTCTACGACGGCAAGGACGTGGAGCAGTGTGAGCGGGAGGGCTACGTCGACCGCATCAACGCCCGGCTCGAGGAGGGCTGCCGCATCCGCGGGACGGCAGAGCTCAACCGGATCGGCGGGAACCTCCACTTTGCTCCCGGCGCCTCAATCTCCGTCGGCGGCAGACACGTGCACGACATGTCGCTCTTCGACAAGCACCCCAACCGGTTCTCCTTTGCGCACACGATCAACCACTTCTCCTTCGGCGAGGACTCCCATGAGCTCGGCGCCGTCTTTGCCAGTGACTCGCACGACCACCGCACGACGCACCCGCTTGACAACACCAGCGTTGACGCCCACAACATGTACGAGATGTACACGTACTTCCTCAAGGTCGTCAACACCCGTTTCGAGTACCTCGACGGCACCAAAATCGAAACCAACGAGTTCTCCGCCACCCAGCACAACAGACCGTTGCAGGGCGGCCGGGACGACGACCACCCGAACACCATCCACGCCCGTGGAGGCATCCCCGGACTCTTCTTCTACTTCGACATCAGCCCGCTCAAGATCATCAACCGGGAGGAGTACAACAAGTCCTTCAGCGCCTTCCTGCTCAGCCTCTGCTCTGCCGTCGCCGGCATCCTCACCGTCGGCGCCATCCTCGACAGAACCATCTGGTCTGCTCGCCGCTTCATCAAGGAGAAAAAGAGCACCTAGCGGCCCCCTCTGTACAAACACCCTCTGTATCTTTGAAGTCTTTCCTTTCTTCACCTCTATCTTCAAACATGCTCCGTATTTCGCCCAATCGGGCAACCAGCCGCCGTCATCTCACTTCCCGATTAGGCCACGCGTCGCTTACGTCATCCACGTCTGCCCCCTTTTTTCTTTTTTCCTCTTCTGTTCCTTCCGTTCCTTTCTCAGGCTTCGCTCCCCCCTGTTGGAGCTGGAAAGACGAGTTTCAGCAGTCTCTAGAGAAAGTTAAGGCTGAGCCTGTCCAGGTAGAAGGCACAGACCGGCACATCAAGAGCACAGACAGTCTGCGATACCAGAGACGCACAGAAGAGCCCACCCCAGATAGCCACGGAGCCAACCCGCCGAGCACAGCAGAGCTTTCTTCACAGACAGCGACAAAGACCACGACACACATACAAGGATGTCTTCCTTCATGACCCCCATGCGCACGACCAGCTTTGCGTCCAGCGGCAATGGCAATGGCGGCGTCTCGGCGTCGACGCCCATTCGGATGCACAGCTCCTCGTCGACGAGCATGTTGACGAACCGCCAGGGCAGCTCGGACGAGTCGCTCTACTACATCTGTTTGAGGCTGATGAACTCACTGTCCAAGGTTCCAGGCATGCTGCCATACATCGAGCTGGCGTACGCCGAGGCCGACTCTTGTGCAGAGCAGCAGGCGCTGGCGCAGAGCAGCTTGGCGGCTTCGCCGTCGTCGCCACAACGGCCCGGCCAGCACAACGCCAGCAACAGCAACCTCAACAACCACAACAGACACATGCGCCCCAACGGCGCCGAATACACCACCGACAGCAGCTCTAACAACAACCTGAACCCGAACAGGATAAGCAGCAACACCCTGAACTACCACAGTCTGCTCTACAACTGGAGCAGCACGCTTTTCACGTTTGCAACTGGTTTGCTTCCAGCGCAGATTGCGTACGATCCGGTCACTCCGATCTCAAAGCTGCTTAAACAGGGCGCCCCCCTGTGCCTTCTTTTCAACGCTTTGAAACCAGAGAACGCTATCGACATTGTCAGCTCCGACGACATGAAGATCTGCAAAATGAACATCTACCAGTTTTTGAGTGCGTGCAAGCTGCATTTGAACATCAGAGACGACGAACTATTCCCTGTCACTATGGCCTTTTCAGACAACACTTCTCACCTATTGAGGGTCATCCGCTCGGTGAATTTTGTGCTCAACTTGGAGCCTTCCTTTATATCTCCGGCCATTCCAGACCAACTCAAAATCACAGACGCCAGATCAAAAATAGTCAAGGAGCTGATAGAGACCGAGAGAAGGTATGTCCAGGACCTTGAGACGCTGCTACAGTATAGAGAAGATCTTATCAACTCTGAATGCTTGCTGAGTGAAGACATCACCATGCTATTCCCGAACCTCACAGACATTATCGAATTTCAGAGAAGATTTTTGGTTGGCTTAGAGTGCAACGCAAGCGTACCTAGTAAATATCAGAGGATAGGCTCTGTATTCATTCATGCAGGTGTCGAGGGCTTCAAGATATATGAGAACTGGTCTCTGTTGCAGAGTTTTGCCATAGATTTGATAAGAAGAGAAGCACTCAAGATGCGAAATGCGTGTAAAGTCATCAAGGACCCATACGATCTTCAGAATTTCTTCCTTATTAAGCCGATACAGCGGTTGGTCAAGTACCCCCTACTCTTGTCACAACTTTTGAAAGAAACCGACCAGTCCTGGCCAAACTACAACGAGCTGCACCAGGCTTACTTGATCTCGAAAGAGGTTGCACTGTGCATCAACGAATCCCAGCGAAGATCGGAGAACATTCAACATCTAAACGATTTGAAAGACAAAGTCGTGGACTGGAAGGGATACAACACTCGAAACGTGGGTGAATTACTATACTTCAACATAGTAACTGTCAAAGACCTACTTGCCGATGGCCATTCAAATGAAAAAGAGGTACATTGTTATTTGTTTGAGAAAGTGATATACTTTTTTAAAGAAACTTCCCCAAAGAACAAGATTTTGGGCTCCAAGAAGATGTCAAACCTCTCATTGACAAACGCCTTAAACAACAGCATGAGCAATACCACACACCCGGTACAGCTCTCATTGAATGGCATCGTTTACATTAGCAAAATATACAAGATACTGTCCTCGGACCTATCTCCATACTTTGGCGCCGTGCAGGGACACTTCCTCACCTTGAAATGGAAGGGAAACAAAGATACGGGCGGATGTGTCATGAAATTCAGATCCGAAGAACATTTGAAGCAGTGGAACAACTCGATCAAAAAGTTATCTATAGACACTGGCATCGACGACATCTATGCCACACACAACAGCTCCAAAAGTATGAGTAGCATCTCGAGCTCCACCAGCATGTTGACAGGTAACACAAACAGATCAAGTAACACGAGCGCTTCTACAAACAACAACATATTGAACAACAATAGAAACTCGGACAGACTTAGATCATCATCAGACTCGACAACATTCATGAAGAAGCTCAGGTCGACAAGCAGCTCAAGCTTTACCAATCTATCCAACATCTCATATCCACCGTTGCCTACAGAAAAAATGAGGTCGCTTTCCATCACCAGCACCAACGGTGCTACAATCAGTTCTGGTAATGTAAACAGAAAATCGTCGTCGAACACCTCCATCTGCAACAACGAAGAACTGACCTCAAACTTATCCAGTCTGACGTTATCCAAGTCTGGCTCCATAGACTCTGGAAATATGACCAACATCAAGCTGGTGTTCAGCTCGATTAAGTCTACGATAAACTTGTCGGTCAGTTCAGACATCGACTACGACACCCTCATCAGTATACTGGTGAAGAAGATGAACTACAGCATGAGTTCGGAAAACGCTTTTACCACTTCTAACGTGAGCTTCAAATTCAAAGACGAAGATGGTGATTTCATCCGTTTCCAAGGAGACGATGACTGGGCGATTGCCAGGGAGATGCTGGAAGAACTTGACCCAGATATGCGCATCCTGGAGTTGATCGTTATATAGTTATGCCACCCGCAATCATTCATTTTGTGTACATTTGTAAAACAGCTGAAATAGACATTCATGGCGCTTCCGCCAAACTGGAAAACGGTGCGATTTCCTGCCGATTTGAAGTTATGCGCTGGCCAAGTCCAGTAGCAAATGATTTTGGTCGAATTAGTCACTACTGGTTTACGTAATGCTCAACGGCTTTTTCCTGGAGCTTATAGATCTTGCCAAAAAGTATTAGTTTGACTCTGGCATCTCATAGATGTACTTCACCAGTTTTTTTGGAAACATATAAGTATATTTTTCTAGTTAACTAATCTGAGCAAAGCTAAGAAGCTGCAAAGACCAGATGTTTGCCCAAGGTAACAGAAGGTTACCACTGAAATCACTGAATGCGGGGAGAACCGTATTTCTGTCAAAACACGGCAAGGTTTCTGCACTAAAGAGTCTCCAAAATGTTGCCAGAAACTACACATCCAGTGGTAACAGCTCCGTATTAAGCAATAAACAAATAGGCAGAATAAGCGATTTTAGAAATCGCTATTTTTCTACCACGAGAATGGCTTGGAATACGATAGAGACGGCGAGAGAAGAGCTGGATGAGGATCAGCTCGAAGCACTTAATGATCCGAGGGCTGTTGATACGGTTGACGTATGTATTGTTGGTGGTGGTCCCGCAGGTTTAGCAACTGCTATTCGTCTCAAACAAATTGACAACGAAAAGGGAGCCGGAGATTTGAGAGTGATATTACTTGAAAAGGGTGCCGACATGGGTGCCCATATACTATCGGGTGCTGTACTAGATCCCAAAGCTTTAAACGAGCTTTTTCCTGAATTACTAGAAGAAAATGAAAAAAACATTCCATTACCTGATGATTTAGTCACTTTGGTCAAGGAAGACCATATGAAATTTTTATTTGCCAACGGTACGTCTATAAACTTGCCCGAGCCACCACAGATGAAAAATGCGGGGAAAAATTATATAGTGAGTTTATCTGAAGTTGTCAAATGGATGTCTGAAAAAGCAGAAGAGCTTGGAGTTGAGATATACTCCAACACTGCTGTTAGTGAACTCATATTTGATAGCCAGGGTGGTGTGCGAGGAATAGCCACGAGGGATAGTGGTTTGGAAAGAGATGGTTCATTGAGTGATGATTTCGAAAAGGGTATGGAATTTCACGCTAGAATGACCGTTTTGGCTGAAGGGTGCCATGGTTCATTAAGTAAACAGGTAATTCACAAGTATGATTTGAGAAATGGCGTGAACCCCCAAACTTATGGTCTAGGTATCAAGGAAGTCTGGCAAGTTGAACCAGAAAGATGGAGAGAGGGATTTGTTTCCCATTCTATGGGATATCCTTTGAGCAAAGGAGTTTATGGCGGTGGATGGATGTATCATTTTGGTGATGGTCTTGTCAGTGTTGGACTTGTCATTGGTTTGGATTACAAAAATCCATGGATCAGCCCTTATCAGGAATTCCAGCGTATGAAGTTGCATCCATTCTACAAAGATGTTTTGACCGGCGGTAAATGCATTTCTTATGGTGCAAGAGCCTTGAATGAAGGTGGGTGGCAAAGTGTCCCACAGCTACACTTTCCTGGTGGTGTTTTGGTGGGTGCAAGTGCTGGTTTCATGAACGTTCCGAAGATCAAAGGTTCACACTGTGCTATCAAGAGTGGTTCATTGGCCGCCGAATGCATGTATGACAAAGTTGTTGCATTGAAAGAGCAGCAAGAGGCTGATATGGCAATAAGCCAAGGCAAAGATGAGAATATGAAAAAGGATCAAGAGGAGGAGGAAGAGGAAGAAGAAGAAGATGATGAAAATGCTGGTTTGCCCTTACCTGAGTGGAAGGCAATTGATCTGAGTGAGTTCCAAACTGCATACAAGAACTCATGGATTCATGATGAGCTATACGAAGTGCGTAATGTTAGACCAGCTTTCGATTCTCAACTCGGATTGCTGGGAGGATTAGCAGTTGCAGGTCTGGTTACTGGAGTAACCAAAGGTAGGGAACCATTTACATTAGAGTTTGAACATACTGATTCTGCCGCCGTCGAAGATGCAAGCAAATACGAGAAAATTGAATATCCAAAGCCCGACGGTGTCTTGACGTTTGACTTGATGACAAGTGTCAGCAGAACAGGTACTTTCCATCGTGAGGGTGAGCGTTGCCACCTCCGTGTCCCAGACATGGACTTAGACAAGCATAGGGAGATTTCTTGGCCGAAATTTAAGGGTATTGAACAAAGATTCTGTCCTGCCGGTGTTTACGAGTATGTGAAGAAAGACGAAAATTCCGACGAAGATGATGTCGAGTTTAAAATCAATTCACAGAACTGTATCCACTGTAAAACTTGTGATATTAAAGTCCCAACGCAAGATATTAATTGGACTGTTCCCGAAGGAGGAGATGGTCCAAAATACCAGATGACATGATGGTTGACAACGTGTCACGATCTAAGACATTTCTTATGCTTTCAGAAAAGTTTTATCATTGATCTATGCCTTTTTATTAATCATTCTACTAATATACATTTTTTTTAGAAATTCTGTTCTATAAGTACTCTTTAGGAGCTTATCGCCATAATGCACATTTTGTTCCACATTTATCAGTTGGGCCCAAAAGACGACATATTCCCATTGAACACACGTCCCAGATCGGATATATTTGCAACTATTGTGGGCTCCAGTCCTGTAAACTCATTTCCATAAAGTAGCTTAAACTGTGGTAAAATATCCTCTTTATGGCCTCGTCCATAGTTATTTTCGTTGTCATCATCTTCCATCATCTCATCTATCATGAATGTGCTGCATGTACTACTATTAACTTGCTGTAAGACATTCACATAGATTAAGCCGCACATTTCGAACTCCTTCAAATTCTTTAAATATCCCAAAGAATGATTGAGCTGTTTGCTTATCAAATGATCTAGCAAATAACCGTTTTCTGAACAGCTACTCAAACCTAATAACCGAGAATAGGGATTTATCATAGTGCGGCTGTTAACAGAGTATGAACAACGCCTTTGTATCATGTCAAGCTCTTGGCCTATAATCAGCAACGTCGAAACTTTAATTGTTTCGTCGAATAAGTTGAGATTTGCTGTATCATTCAGTGATAGCTTTGTCAAAATCGATTGACAAATTTGACAATCACAAGTGTTCAAGAAATTTAGGTGGGGAAATAAAAGCATTGCATCTTCCAATGTAGGCAATATGTTTCCAATAAGGTTCTCTGATGGCTGGAAAACATTGATCCGAATTTCTTGTAAAGTATCCATGTTATTTGAGATGGGAGTTCCTAAAATCATTAACACATTCGAAAAATTCAAACCCTCAATTTTTAGATCAATGTTGAGATGGGTTAGTGTACTAAAAGATTCACATAGCTTTAACAACATCATTGACCTTAAATGGTTTTTTTCTGTGTCTTCGTTTGTCAAATCATATTTTATTAGCAAACTTTTAATATTGAAGCCATGATGATGTATAACAGTGGACAATTTGTCCAACGATTTTACCAAAGTAAGGATCTTGGAATCATCCTGAATAAATAATGCCAAAGAATTCAAGTTTTCAAAAATGATGTGCTTACTTATTAGTGACAAAATGGTGGAAGAAGAAGCATTTGTTAAAACTAAAGAAAGCTTCGTTATGTTGTGCATTACCAGGTTCATTTTCCTCAAAATTGCAAAGAAACCAACTATTCTACGATAGACGAACTCGTAATTTTCATCTGAATCAACCAAGAAATGAAGCTGGGTTAAATTCTTTATCATCAGAGGAAACTTGGTCAGCAATTTGAACATTACCATATCTTCATTTTTTCCTAGCGTCCCTTTAATGAACAACTTCGTAATATTCTGGTGATTAAAGAATTCTATTGAACCCTTGTTGTAGTCAAGGAAATCGCAAAAGTTATAGTCAACAATCAATGCGTCTAAACTAGGAGCTGATTCGTACGTCATGGGGAGAATTCTAATATTTGTTGGAAATTGGTACTGCTTCAAGTTATTGAACACCGGCACAAACTGAGAGTCTCTCCAAGATGGCAAGTCGAATATAGTGGTATCAGTAAGTTTTTCAAGGTACAACTCGACTATGAAGTCTGAATAGTTGAAATCAAGTAACGAAGGGCTGGATATAGTTCGAAAAAAGCTTTGTACATTTTTTTCTGAAATCAAAGTGGTGGAATAGTCAGCCACATGGTCGTTCCGTTTTGCCCGACGTATGAAGCCATTTCTCTGATTTTCCTGTTCTTTGAAACTTTCAAAAGGCTCGTACACGACAACGGAGTACACTGTACTAATGATAGAGCTGAACAAGCGTTTATTTGCCACCGCCAATCGTATTTTGAACGGCAACTCCAGGTGGCTCGTAATAACCTGGAGTACATTCTGCGGGAGATCGCATATATTCATTGTCTGTTTCTTTGTTGTCCGTGGCCAAGCTAAGGGCGTTTTAACTCAATATGTGTATTCTTTCACCAACGAGAAATGCTTGTTTCTGGCTGGTGAAGCTTTTGGCAGTGCTGTCAGCTCTGTAGTTCCTGTTGGAAAGAGAAACGGAATTCTTTGGGAGGTGAAAAAATAGAAATTATATGAAAGCAAAGTTTGTTAGAAATTACCCAAGTGGTCCACTGTTGTCCAATTCTTTCTCCTCCTACTTCTCAATACACCGCTGCCTGCCGCTTGAAAGCACTATTTCTGTGGACGTTTTCTCTAACCGTTCTGTGCCAAGCGTCAAGCGTTATCAAGGCAGGACAGCCGCCGTGTTGGAAACAGGATCCGTCGATTAGCCGCGGTGTGCCTTCCCGTAATAGAGTGAGAAAAAAGCATATGCTGTGAAGTTCCAGAACGAGAGTGCTTTAAGATAACACCTCGGAGAACACAGAGGAAGGGGATAATGGGTGTATCCGCCAAAGAAGTAGCCATTCACTCATAAAATTATATATATACAGATTTTGCCGACAGATCCAAAAAAGTAAAAGCTAGTTACATCTCATCTCTATTTACACAATTAGCTCGTTGGAGGAAGGAACGCTTTCGAAACCGAACAGCTCTCCAGCACGAACAACTTCTTGGTCATATGCATCCTCTAGGTTTTGTACCCTCAAATCTGAGATCCGTGAACATATCCATACATATGAGCGGTTGATCGAGAATAGTATGTCAGAACCCACCTTTAACGTGACGGTGACGTAGAATCTAGTAAGGTAGTCTCTCCAGGAGTCAAATTCGCCGGATTCCTTCAAGTAATTGGTCACACTTCTGTCGGCTTCGTCGACTAGAATTGACAACCGATTAACAGGAGCGCCAAAGTTTCTGTTCAATCCCTGGACTATTCTCATCGATCTCATCACGAAAACCAAACACAATGGAAACTTGTCTGTGTTGGCAAAAAAATCCTTCATCTTTTCTTTTAAGAGAAGTTGCCTTTCAAAATAGTTCATGTTTTTCATTTTCTCGACATGTGCAAGCATCGCTGGACTGTTTCTGTCACCTAGACCGGCCAAGGTCATGATCATCTCGTCGGCGTGCATGCCCCAAGCAGTCAATATATCCTTTGTCTTCGAGTAGTTCTTTTCCATACTGTACTTCCAGAATTCGGAATACTGTTTTTTGAAGGTGGGAGTAAAGTGTTCATACAAACCATGGTCCAAGATGACCAACTGCTGAACCTCCTTCTGCTTGTGGAAGAGTCTTCCGAACCAGCTATTGTCCTCCAGCTTGACTTTACGAACCATGAGGTTACCTGGATGTAAGTCACAGTGGACAACACCCCAAGTGAAAACTTGTCTGGCGTAAATCTTGGTGATTTGCAACATGATCTTGGCCAGGTCGAATCCATCATTTGCTAAGGCCATGTACTTGCCTGTTAGTTCGGCGTCCATCCACTCACTGACCAATATTTTGCTGGAAGAAGCATTTTTATAGTATTTTGGAATGTAGTATTCATGCGAACTACTGAACTCCTTATCCTTGTTTATCAACTCGGTGATCATTATGGCGTTTTTGTACTCGTTTTGGAAATCTAACTCTTCTCTCATCTTTTCACAGACATAGTCGATCGTCTGCTGCAAGGGCATGTCGAATAACCAACCGTAGAAAAGCATCACTGATTTGTAGGTGAATAAATCTGACTCCAGTTGTCTGGAAACAGAGTTCTTTTGAATCTTAACTGCAACGCGATCTCCGTTTTTCAGAACCCCCTTGTGGACCTGCGCAATGGAGGCAGATGCAATAGGAGCCTCGTCAAGCTGGAGGAAGATCTCGTCTCTGTAGTTTTCACCTAACTCTTTCTTCAAGGTCATGTCACAGGTTTCCCAGCTCTCGACAGGAGCCTTGTCAAATAGCAACTTGAATTTATCCTGGTAGTGCTTAGGGAACATCACACCCTGGACTGCAATCATCTGGCCCAGCTTGATGTACAAGCCCTTGTTTTCTATGATCAAGTCGTACAACCTCTGTGCATTTCTTTCGTGTAACGCGTCGATGTCGTAGTCTTCGTTGAAGTGCAACTTGTAGTCGACAGAAAGCCTGAGCAACGCCGAAACCGATCTGTAGTTTCTCTGGATTAAGCCGTGCCCCAAGTATGTGTCACCAAGGTATATCAGGGCCGTTGTACCGACTAAACCGACCAAAATCTTGTGCCAAGTTTTCAGGTTTTTTGGCTTGGCAGCGGTCGGGCTGGCAGTAGCAGCGGCAGAAGCGCCTGAGGCAGACGCCAACTCGGATGCCGACGCTGCTGCCGACGGCTTTGCCGGTGGAGGGGGTGCTTGCCGAGCAGGCCTGTTGGACAGCCTCACTGCCTTCTTCGGCTGGTGTGTGGAATACATTTTAAGCTGTGTGAAGTGGACGCTCGAGAACAGCGCCCGCTTCGACCCAGCACAGAGTCTTGTTCCAGCTAGCGACATCATGGTGGTGTCTGTAACCTCTGCAGAAAGAAAGAAGACCCGTGTCTGTCTGTGGAGCTACCTCCGAGTGGAATAGACGAAAAATAAAGAGAAAGAATCTCCACGGAAGACCGCACAACGACCAGCCACTGAAAAACGTTGCTGTATCTCTCCCCGTCTCTTTGCAACCGTCTCCCTCACGGAAACATGACAGGCACCGGCCACGGGAGAAAATTCGTTCGGCCCGGCCGATTTCCGCAAAGAACAAACTCCGAAAGCCGACTGGCCAGTGCACGGGTGTCTGCAGTGGCGCAGTTTCAGGGCAGCGAAAGCGAGCAGTCCTGGAGGGGAGGAGAGCCACGTGATCAGTGCAGTTTCAACGTAGCTCCATCACTGACGGCAACAAACACAGACTTGACTCATGAACGTCCCACGTACTCGTATCTACTACACTTACGCCGTAAGAGAGACTTAGCCAGAGGGTGAAACTAAGTTCAGTGGTGAAGTGACTGTAGCAAACTTCACCATTAAAGAGTTAGCGCGCGGTACGCTTAGGTAATCCGACTGCAGAATGACGTAGAGGGTACAAAGGATAGGGAGATCGAGGGAGGGGAATGGCCTAGGATACAAATACCAAGACAGTCTCGACTACAGATGCAGGAAGCACACGCATCCTCCTTGCTGCTCGTGACCTCCAGTCGCCGACAATCTTCTTCCCATGATCGGCGTAGGAGGGAAAGGCGACGGAGGACACAGCTGCTATGGAGCGCTGGCTACACGGGACACAGGACCCCGCAACGCCTACCGTCAACCATTGTTCGGCCACGTCCAGTTCTAGCAGCGGTGTGGTGCAGCGAGCCCCTTAACTAAGGTGCTGCAGACAGGGGCCGGCTGTCTCTCTCTTAGCTTCTACGGAGCCCCAAAAGCTTCTAGCCTGGACCCGTTCCTCTCGTGTGGCGCAGGAGGTCGTCTGCGGCGAAGGAACAGCGGCAAAGTGTGGCGGAGCCAGGCATGAACTGTTTTGAAATTTTTTTACTTTTTCTTTTTTCACCTTTTATTTATTTTTCCCTTTTTACATTTTTTCTGAATTTTTCTGAATTTTTAAATTAATTTGTTAATACCGATATTAACTGTACCTCTTCTGTTTCACGATATGATGGATTTGCTTGCTGCTCCCCTCCTCCAACCAGCTGGAACCACCTGCACACTTCCGTCTGCATTGCGCATTGTCAAGAATTGTCCTCTTTGTAGAGAAAGCATCGTCCACCAGCCCCAGTTCTCCCAGCTGTTTATCATAACCAGGTTATCCCGATTTATTCACTGATACTTATACACCGTAGTGGACTCAATCGATTGCTTCCGTTTGACCTTCCCCACCGCCATTCCCGTGACACCCTTGCATACTTAAACTTTGGCCAGCATTCCCATACTCACGTTGACTGCACATACTGATTTCGCACAGGTACCCCTTGTTTTGTTCCCCAGATCAACTCACTAAAAATACCTCATACGATGACAGAAAGTCCCAGGAAGATTCCGTTGAAGCCTGAAAAGTCAGCGAAAACGATAGCCAAAAAAGGCCCATATGCAACCAAGAAGAGTTCCAGTCGTCGATTTAGCATTATGAGCAACTCTGGTTCCGACTCAGACTCAGAGTCGGACTCAGAATCCGAGTCCTCATATGACGACCACATCTACCTGAACAAGAATAAATCTTTTGCCAGCGCTAAGCAAAGCTCGAATATAAACGTGCAGGCTTCTTCTGGCTCCGATGAAGAGTATTCTTCATCTTCGGATGATGAGAACGTCGATTTTGTCCAGCTTACTAAACAGAGACGATTGAAAGCAATGAAGGCTGTTAAAAGTTTGAAACAACAAATAAATGAAACTACCTCTTCCATCTCTCCATCTCCTTCACAATCTCCGATGCCTGACCAGCTACTTGAGCAGGAAGAGCCTGAGTTGGACGACGATTTGGTCGATGCAGTTATCGAGAGCGAAGAACGGAAAATGAAAGGAGTAGATGACGATAACTCTAATGCAAATGCCATTTCCAGTGTAGCTGACTATTCAGATGCTGAGTTAAACGGTGATTTTGAAAGCATGAACTTTGATTTTTCATTTGAAGATACTAATGATGACACTGCTAATGATGTCAAAGGAAAACATAGTGTACCACCTGCTAAGGACTCCAAAAATTTACTAGACCGACTTAGAGACGAAGATATTGGTGAAGTTGTAGTGGAAGACACTATCAAGGCTAGCAATAGTGGCTCCCAAGCAGTGCTTAACAAAGTCGATGAAAAGAAATTAGAGATTGATGTTCCCAAGTTCAATGAGAAGGAAATCAATTCTGATGCAGACTACGAGTTCGATAATGATGATTTGATTCAAACTTTGCTAAAAGATAACGATGACTTAGAATTGCAAAATCTAGACAATAGTGATGATGATTTTGATTATTTAATAGCAAATCAACATAGGATTGACCAGAATGCAGTGAACAAATCAGCGTCTAAGGATCTGTCTTTGGATAGTATAAATACAGATGATGCATATTTGATGAAAGAAGAAACACAGGCGATGTTGGACGATTTCAATAAAACAGCGAAATCTCAAGCTTCTCTGAAAAACCGAAGAAGCAGCATGTATTACCAAACTCAACCCTTAAACATCACAAACGACGAAGAGCTCGACGATTTAGATTTGGACTTATTGAACAATTTTGAACAATTTTTACCCAAGCAACAGGCAATGCGCAGACGATCGTCAATTTTGAACCAAACTCTTCTTTCTTCGTCATCAGATGGAGAAGATATCAACATGAGTACGAACATCAATACTATCAAGAGAAATAAGAAACTTGCGAAGAAAAAGGCTAAAAAGGGGAGAAAATTAACAAATACAGAATCGAGTGCTCACACGAAAGACATTCGCAAGATGTTGGGAATCTCGAACGCTGACTCAAACTTCACTTCCAACTACACCTCAAATGCTATTGTTGATAGTGACGATGATACAAAACTTTTAGAGTACATTTTTGAAGATTCAGAGTCAGATAATATTTCTGCGTCTACCGATAATGTGGTCGACAATGGAAACGAGACAGACGAGGATGTAAATCTACCGAAAAAGTCAGGTAAGATTCTCGGCAGCAAACATGCGAAGGAAATTTTATCTTCCAGTAAAGATCAGTTTCGTGCACCCAAGCTAGGGACGTTCATAACGAAGAAACCATACAGTGTCATTGATGGTTTCACCACGAGGTTTTTACAGCCTCTCGTTGGAAATCATTCTGTAATGCAAAAAGCAGCTGCAATCAACAAACCAGATACCGGTGAATCCAGTGGGATTGTTAACAGCAACAACCTGGCGCTTGATGAACTTATCAACATCAGCGAATTTGATGAAGATTATTCGAACGTCGAACTCAAAGAAGACTTTGATGATTTTTTTGGAGACAAACGTATACCGCTAACTGCTTTCCGAAACAAAGGTCTAATAAATAATAATGGCAACACGTCCACTAATGAACTAAATGCTTCTGCTCGAAGATTTTCTTTCACTGATAGAAACCAACGGAGGAAACATCATAAGTCTGCCAAATCTACAACTAAGTCAGCTTCCAAACTCGTCAAGCCATCTAATAAACCCTATAAAATAAAAAAAGCATCATTTCATCAGCCCCAACCATTAGTTGGGGCTCTAGTACCAAAGTCCCCTACATCCATTGACACCATTGATTCAAGTATCGGTAAAATTCATGATCCTGCTTCTGTCGATGAGATGCTGTTGATCGGCGTTGATTCAATACCATTCACCGAGGATTATTTAGATCCCCATCACTCAAACTTCGAAATCACAGCCCCGCACCAATTTACATCGCAGCGTAAAAGGAAATCAATGAGTCGCTCATCGAAGGCCAGGATCAGGAGGGCTAGTATTGTTGAGGCTCATGCTGAAGGATTAAGACAAACAAAAAACGGATTGTTTGATGAAACTATAATGGACGATGTTGAGGCTTTGCTAATCGATATGGGTGATGCGGAAGAATACGGTTTTCTTTTCGGAAATGAGGTTTGATCGGACATAACTCAGCTCTTTTATTTTATTGGTTTTCTTTTTTTATCGAGTTTTACTTTCTTTTCATTCTTTTGTACAATACTTTTAGGTGCTCATTTTTCCAGGATTTTACTCAGTAATCATTTCATTTTTATAAAGTTTCATCAAAAACATTTGATTTTATCGAAAGGTTAGCGTGATCTATCATGTTTTTTTGTTTCCTTGTCAGTAAACTAAGCCTAGGTTGACTGATTTTACAGTCATTTTATTAGAATCGTATAGAAAAATATATTGATTGCTCTACAACACATAAATTACTTATTTTAATGCATCTGCAGGTAGTACGAAATTGGTTAGCTTAGAGCTTAAGTCCAATTGCTGTTGAATACAGGAGGATAAATATTCGATAAGCAAGGTATCGTTGGTATGATTTTCCATCTGTACTTTCAATCCGTTTATTTCGTTTTGTGAGAGTTGGAACTTGAGCGCTGACAAAAGTAATTGACCTATTTTACTTTCCCCCTTGATTTCACCATTCTTAACGCGTGCAGAATATTCTGATAAGACTTTGAGCATATCAGCAATCTTCTTTACACTGCTTTCTAACTGCTTAAGTTCGTCATTCGAAGAAAGTGTGGTAGTTTGATTTTCGTTGTTTGAAGCTTTATCGATAAATTGGAGAGATGTTAATTCACTCTTTGAGTAAATGACCTCATTTTCGACAGAAACAAAGGCAAATGCACCTGATTTATCCAATCCGAGGCTACGAGCTAGCTGAGAAGTTGAAGGCAAACCAACTGGGCCTGAAACATATGTGCTTATAATAGGGGAAATAACTTCTCCGTTTTCGTCCTTGTGTCTTAGAGTGAGTAAAATTTGAGGGTGATTTGGCGAGTTTTTAGAATAAAACTCATGCAAGAGACCAGTTGATAAATCTAGCTCATCCTTTGTGGAGAACCACCCAACAACTTGAAGATCCATATTACTTCTCTTGTATAATTGGTAGGTTGAGAAATGGTATGATTCTTCAAAAATAAGATCACCATCTTTTTCCGTGTGCGGAACAATGTATGCAGCTTTGATATTGACATCTCCATCTTCAGAACGGGTACCCAAGAGAGTACCAATCAATCTTGTGCGTCCTGAATCAGAGGCTTCTGAATTGTCATGGTAAATGGCTTCAATGACGTCTAATAATGCACTCGCATCTATTGACACCTTCAAAGGTGATATGATCCTGGTGTTTGAGTAGTTTGGCTTGGCAATATGAAGTGCTGTAGATGCCATGTTGTTTGGTTTTGTCTTCGTTACTTTTCAGGATGGGGCCCCAACGTTCTTTTAACTGAGTGTTGCCGATACAAAGAGTTGAATAGAGTCCCAATTTTGTCTCGATTTTCCCTGCACAGTGAAAAATTCATGAAAAAAAAGCCAGGAGAAAAGAAAAAGCTCGTTAGGCCGGGTAACACTATTTTGAAATGAATTTTAGTTACGTAAACGTTAACATGAATCTGTTCTGCTCTTCGGAGTTCGTTATCCGTTGGTAGTTGCTCCGTTTTCACGTCAATTTATTCTGTTCCTTTTCTCAAAAAGATCCTGAAGGATTGGAGCAAGAATTTATAATGGTAGGTTTTATAAATAATGAGGGTTCTGTACAGCCGTTGGGGAGGACATGTTTTTTATCCCTAACGGTTTCCACTTCATATATGTTTTGATAGTTAGCTTTTTTTAGACAAAATTTTACTTCAATCACTCCACCCACTAGAACTCTAAGGTAAATTATAAGAGGAATGTCCAGTGACAGTACAGCAAAATTTGATGATGGAAAGAAGACGAAGGAAAGGTTCACATTTTGCAAAACTGAGCAAGAACAACCTCCCCAGTCTCCCGGACCCGAGGGCATAAAGACCATGGAAGATTGGGGTAAGGTATCACTATCTGACGTTTCCAAATTTTTTAAGACAAATGAGAAGAATAGTGATGGGTTCAGTGAGTTAGAAATACAACTTCCGTCAACGGACTCAGCAAATTCAACAGATTTCAGCGGATATGCTTCCTCGTTGTATCCTCACTTAGATCAGGCATCCTCCCACTATCCGCCCTCTGATGGGCCAGTAGGAGTGACAGTGGATGACGTAGAAAACTTGGGAGTAGAGGAGACAAAGATTCACACTTTACACCCTTATAGGAGTTGCAGAAAGATAGTACACTGGCAATGGTCCAAGATAGTGGGTCTTGGTTTCGTCATTGGAGGTATTATAATTGGGGTTCTATCAGCAACAATCTATGCTGTTAGAAGAGAAATACACTCAGGCCATGGCCAAATGGATTCTTCATTTTTCGGCAGACAATTTCGTAAGATTATTAACGTTAGAACAGAGATGGTCGATCCGGATACTCCAGAGGAGTTCAAAACCTGGAAATCTTCGTTAGGTGACGACTGGAATCTTGTATTTAGTGATGAGTTCAATTGTGAAAACAGGACATTTTATCCCGGGGACGATCAGTTCTGGGAAGCTGTAGATATTCATTATGCAGCCACGAACAATATGGAATGGCTAGATCCTTCACATGTGGTTACAAAGGAAGGCTCGTTGAGAATTACCATGGATAACAGGAAATCGCATAACCTAAACTACACCTCGGGAATGGTGCAGAGCTGGAACAAGTTGTGTTTCACCCAAGGGTATGTTGAAACATCGGTGAGAATGCCTGGCACAAAAGATTCCATTGGGCTATGGCCTGCTTTCTGGGCGTTAGGGAACTTGGCAAGAGCAGGCTACATGGCGTCAACCGAAGGTACCTGGCCATACTCCTATGATGCCTGCGATTTTGGAGTTACTGCCAATCAGTCATCGTCAGATGGACTATCTTTATTGCCAGGACAAAAACTAAACTCCTGTATTTGCAAGGGTGAAGACCATCCAAACCCAGGAACAGCTAGGTCTGCACCCGAAATTGACATAATGGAGGGTTTGTACGATAATTATGCTCAAACCTTCAACATCGCACCTTTCGACATCTGGAGATACCCCGATTATGATCACATCGCAATTACAAACTTTTCAACTTCCGCCATGAACTCCTTTATGGGGACACCATACCAAGAGGCAATCTCTGCTGTGATAAGTTCAAACCCTGATTGGTACGACAAGGGCTCGTTCACCAAGTTTGGAATGGAATACCGGAGTGACATGGAAAACAGGATGGACAACTACATCAATTTCTACGTCAACGATGTGATGACCTTCAGGATCACCGAGGGTGCTTTCCATCCAGAGGGGAACATCGACTGGAGAACCATCCCAAAGGAGCCAATGAGTTTGGTCATAAATCTTGGGTTGTCCAAGTCTTGGTCTGAAGTGGATTTGGAAACCATTGAGTTTCCAGTCTACATGGACGTGGATTACGTTAGAATTTTCCAGCCCAAGGGCTCAGAAAGCTTGACATGCGACCCGAAAAACTACCCCACATACGACTACATCAAAAAACATTATAACGCCTACTCCAATGCAAACTTGACCTCTTGGAAGATGGCTGGCTATGAGTTCCCAAAGTTCTCTTTGGACAGAAAGTGTCCCAAGAAATAAATGGTTTCCGTTTGATGAGTCGATCGGCGCGAAATTTGATGATTGAGTTCCCCTTTTCGGAAATTTTCAAAATTTTCTTGATATTAGGAATCTATAATTTTTTTCTTTTTTCACCTGTGACAGTATCAAAGGTCTCTCTCTGTAGGAAACTTTTGCGATAACAGGGTTTCAGTTAGTTTAGCAAAAAGAAAAAGACTCAGGCTTCTTCAGCAACTACATAGCTAACAAAAAATGTCTGAACGAACGTATAAAAAAATCAACATTGAACCATTTTATGTTGGTTCTGCAAATGCAACATTTTCAGGAGATGGGTCGCTGATGGCGACCGCTGTTTCGGAAGATGTGGTGGTGATCAATAGATTAACGAATCAGATTGTGCATAGTATTCAGGGAGATGGAACTGATGTGACAACTGTACGACTATCTCCAGATGGGCAGAAATTGGCAATAGTTTCTTTGTCTCAACAACTCAAGCTGTTTGACATCAATAAAGGTGAATTTTACAAATCATACAAGTTTTCTGCTGCAGCTTACATATCGGCGTGTGACAGAACCTCTTCACTTTTTGCTTTTGGCCTCACTGATGGAAGCGTTGTCGTTTGGGATATTGAGGGATCTTTTATTACTCATAACTTCAAAGGACACGGTTCTACGATTTCTGCATTATCTTTCCATGGAGACTTCAACTCTAAAGACTGGAAAGTTTCAAGTGGTGATATAATGGGCACGGTGAAGGTATGGGATTTAGTGAAGAGAAAATGCATATTTACATCCAAGGAGCACAGTGCAGCTGTGAGAGGTGTCAATTTTGATAAGTCAGGCGAGCTGTTTGTGTCTGGCGGAAGAGATAATCTACTGATGCTTTACAACGCAAAGACGTGGAAGGAAATCAAGTCCATTCCATTAGAAACAACTATTGAATCCGCAGGTTTTGTGAAAATTAATGGAGCTAATTACATCTACACTGGTGGTGAAGGGTGTGTATTATACATTTGGGACTTCAAATCTGAGTCCTTATTTGCCAAGACCGAGAAACCATTGGAGACCACCGAAGAACTGACAATTACTGAAGTCATTCAGCTCTGTGATGTTTCTGACAAATTGGTCATGGTTTTCTCTGATCAAACTATATTGGATATATTTTTATCGGATGATTTGGATGGCACGAATCATATCCTTCCCTGTACAAGAGTTATGGCAGGTAACCACGGTACAATTGCAGATTTGAGGTACGTTGGACCCAGTGAGAACCTTTTAGCATTAGCGACCAACTCACCATCGCTAAGAGTTGTCGACATTTACAACAAGCCTATGGATATGGATATTTGCGAGGGTCACACAGATCTTTTGAATATGTTGGACTCAACGGTTGACGGTTTATGGCTAGCAACCGCCTCCAAAGACAACACCGCTAGACTATGGAAATACGATGAAGAGTCCGAAAGTTTCACTTGTTACGCAGTATTCGAGGGCCATGCCTCCTCGGTGACAGCAATTGGCTTACCAAGAACACCAATCACTGATTATCCAAAATTTTTGATAACAGCATCAGAGGATCTAACTATAAAGAAATGGAGTGTTCCTAAGCCTAGCGGCAGTTTCCCCATTTTTGTGAAAAGCTCTGATTATACCAGGAAGGCGCATGAGAAGATGATTCATGCCATCGATATAAGTCCGAACAATGATTTTCTTGCGACAGCAAGCCATGATAAAACCTCAAAGATTTGGGATTTGCAGGGTGGTGAAACGCTGCACATTCTTCGTGGCCACAAGCGAGCAGTTTATGATATAGCATTTTGTCACCATGATCGTCTGATTGTCACCGCTTCGGGTGACCAAACTGCAAGAGTTTGGAACTTGGAAGACGGTTCCTGTGTAAGAAGCTACGAAGGGTCGTCAAATGCAGTTCAAAGAGTGGCTTTCTTGTCCAAGAACCAATATATTGTGGGTGCCGGTGCCGACGGTTTGATCAAAATTTGGGAGGTCTTCACAGGTGAATGCGTCAACACATTAGACAACCATGATAACAGAATATGGGCCCTAAGGGTCAAGGACAATGGCGAAGAATTCATTTCAGCAGACTCAGACGGCGCAATCACTATATGGCAAGATTGTACAGATGAAGCAAATGCTGAGAAAGAACTCGCAAAGAAAGTAGAGGTGGAGAAAGACCAAGAGCTCAGAAATTGTATACGTGAAGGAGATTGGGTCCAAGCCTTCATGTTAGCTTTGGATTTGAACCATCCAATGAGATTGTACAATGTTGTGAAGGAGTGCATTGCGAAGGGTGAAGATACCGAATCTACTATTGGATCCTTCGAGTTGGAGGAATTGATTGGTGAACTTGAAGATGATAAAATTCTATTATTGTTCAAACGGATCAGGGACTGGAACACCAATGCACGTTTGTTTGAAGTTGCACAAAAGGTGATAAGAGTCATTCTTGACAGATGCGATTTGGACAAACTTTATCAAATCAAAGGTATCATGCAATACATTGATGCTATAATTCCGTACTCTGAGAGACATTACTCCAGATTTGACGGTCTGGTCGAGCAAAGTTACATTCTGGATTACGTGTCCCGGAAAATGGATGAATTGTCTACCTGATTCATAAACGATTTGGTAAATAGGTAAAACAAATGCAAAAGAAGTAGAATATTTAATCATTCTTTATTTAAACCAGATTTATGAATTTCAGCCGGCTTGAGTTTTTGAGTGTATTTTGAAAAGCTCAAAACTCTTTCTCTCATTTTTTTCTACTTGATATGGATGGAGAGACAGGAATAATTCAGTTGTATAGCTTGCTTTTGTCAGTTACAGAAGATTTAAACAAACAAACTTCAACTTCGATTAAGTAGTGCGAACCTTTTTTCATGTACGCGCATTCAACCTTTCATTATCAAAATGAGTTACAAATTCTGGAAGATGTAAAACTGATATTGGTAGACACCTTCTACCATCTTTTTATACGATTAAGTTGAGTAAAGGTCCTAAGCCTTTAACAAGTTCTAGAGTTTTTAGGCTGGATAATTGTATGGCACATAACATGCTCAACAAACAAATGTCACCAGGATACGCCAATGAAAAAGTGAAAAAAGTATCATCTTTCAATGAAAATGATTATTGGGATGGTCTCGTGGATGTACACGTCAATAATTGGCTTTTTGACCTAGACGATTTTGAACGAGAGACTCCTTCTAGGAATAAAGCAATAAGCTTTCAGGACGAGGTGAACAAACGAGTAAAGGGTGTGGCATATATTTTTAGTTGCTGTAAGCAACTCCGATTGTCGAGGTCTGTGGGTCTAACAGCAGCCATCTGCTTCCATCGCTTCTATATGTTCGAGGACTTGGTGGCATATCACTACTTCGAGGTAGCTGCAACAGCATTATTTGTTGCATGCAAGTCTGAAGAATGTAGGAGGAACCTCAAAGATGTCGTCAAAGTCTGTGCAAAGATTGCCTCAGGTAAACCAGATCCAGTTGATGAAGAGTCAAAAATATACTGGAGATGGAAAGACCTCCTTGTGAAATTAGAAGAACTATTACTAGAGAAACTCAACTTTGATGTTACACCTGAAAATCCCTATCGCTTGGCGATGGAGGGACTTAAGCTTGATGCCACGGACTCGGCTAAACAAACCGTTGACAAAGAATGGGAAAAACAAGCAACCAATCTGTTTGGCAACTGCACATACATGTTTGAACTATTTTCAAGGCTACCCATCTGTTTGTTTTGCTCCATTGATAGCATATGTGCGTTGGCTGTTGTTTTGAGTTCAAAAAAGCTTCAAGTAACATTTCCCGTTGATTTTATAAAAAAAGGGTTTAACGTGGAAGTTGAGGAGGTGATACAATGCTACAATGATGTTATATCTCTTGCCACTGAGGTTGAAACGTTAGACAAGTATTTCAGGATACTTCCTTATATCCCTCGTACAACTCATAAAGAAATTGAGTTGATATTTAATGGAATGAAAGAGAGCACACTTATTGAGGCTTGAAAAGTTTTTCATGTTTTTCGCCTTCAACATGTTCATCACCTTGGCTTACTTTAGATGATAGTTGCCAAGCAGGATACTTGATGATAATCAGATAATAATCACTTCAAAAGGGCAACTTCTTTTTCCCAGGAGTTGCCCTGTTTACCCTCGAGGAGAAAATTGTCTAGTAGATATTTGATTAAGGGTACCTTTATCCCTTTTTTGAGAAGGATCTGTTTATTGTGCTTGCTCACTTATAGGATACAGCCTGCCCCACTACACTCAGTAAAGCAACAATGGCATTAGTCTCATCCTCGTCAAAGCTCAATAACGTATGCAATAATACAACCCTAATTATCTTTGCATAGAAAAAGATTGGCATCACAGCATGCAGCGTATTGATTTTTATAGCAAAAATCTTGTATTTTGTTTCCTAAGCTTAAAACTGTACTAACATAAACACCTTTATTGGTTCATAAAGTTTACGGCTGAAGAAATTCGTCAACGCAAATTTCTAAAACGTGGATTGCAATTATCAATTCTTGTTTTAGGTCAATGCGGTACTGGTAAGTCTACCTTCATCAACACCTTGTGTGATGAAGATGTTATTGCAACCAACAGAGCTGCACCAGTGGAATTATTACTAGAAGAAAACACTGCTAGAATCTATGAAGGTGGTACCCAAATCAGTTTGGATATCACGATGGCACCAGGTTTTGGCGATTTCATTGACAATAGAACATCAACCTCTAAGATTGTAGAGCATATCGACAAGCAATTTGAGAAAATGCTCAGCGAAGAGTGCAGAATTCAAAGAAACCCTAAAAGTAAAGACACAAGAATACACGCTGTTTTATACTTTATCAGACCAACTGGTAAGGGATTACGCGAATTAGATATTCATTGCATGAAGCAGTTGAGCTCCCGATGCAACCTCATCCCAATCATATCAAAAGCTGACTTATTAACTGATGAAGAAAGAGATTTGAATAGACAGTTGATTATGGATGACATCAGAAAATATGACATTTCGATCTATGATTTCTCTGCATGCTTTGATGACGTAGATGAGGAAGAGAGTAGAAGTATTATGGATTTGGTACCTTTTGCAATGATATCTGGTACAGAGAGAAAGATTATCGATCAGACCGAACATAAGGTTAGAAATGTCCCACATGGGATCATCAAAGTTGATGATCCAGAACATTCTGATTTTATGGTTTTGAGAACTTGTTTATTGGGTGCATGTCTTCAAGATTTAAAGGAAACGACCCATTCTGTCTTTTACGAAAAATATCGTACAAACATGTTATCTAAATCTAATGTGATTGGGATCATGGAAAAGGGTGATGAAACGTCCGCCTCCACAAACCTTATTTCACGTTTGTCCAAGACAGAAGATGTTATTTGAAGGTAGATGCCACCCGCACTTAACCATAATAGCTATAATATATAATGTTCATCATATAAATTCTATACAAACATATTTGGGAAGAAATAGATTTGCAGTGCTTCAATCAAAATTATGGAAGACTGATTACTTTTTCAGTAATTACCTAAATCGGCATTTCACTCGCTGTGCTTATTTTAATTTTTAGATTGATATCGAGGAATTTGAAATTTACCAAATCGTAACGTCACACAAAATATTTACACTTTTGTTTTCAGAACTTGATTTTATGCATCGCAAAGGAGGTAATGATCTCGAAGGAGTTTGCAGACGTTCTAAAAAAAGAGTGCAAGTATAATGACAGAGAAATTGATTTGTTGAGTTATTTTGTGCAACCTGAGATTGAACTGATGATGCCATCTATTCTAATCGAAGGACCACCTTCGAGTGGCAAAACGTATACCTTGAATAAGTATCTCAGTATTTTGCAAGATAAGTACGAAGTTCCATCCATTGTGATACAATGTGACTATTGCTTCACTCAACGTGAAATATTAAGAAAAATTCACAAATCACTAATGGTGCACTACGAATTGGCATTTACGTCCATCGAGAAAAACATTATGGGTTGTGACGGGTTAGGAACGTTTCCAAGTAGCTTGAAGCAAATGGTTAGGTTTCACAGAGCTTACAATCGTGATAACAAGAGGAAACCTGTTATTGTGGTTCTTGATAGGGTAGATCGATTGCCTCAGTATGAGAATCCTGGAGAACTTGTCAGGTGCTTGTCCAAATTGCATGAGCAAAGTGACGGTGATTTGAGTGACTTTTGTTTTATATCTGTTGTGACGAGGTGTGACACTTTAGATATAGGCACTAGTTCTTTACCGACAGTCAAGTTCCAAAGTTTCAGTTTAGATGCATTTAAGAATATTCTTTTCCTGAAATTTAAAGATGAGTTTTGGAGCCAAGTTGATGTTTGGAAGGAAAGATATGAGGATGAGCCGAGTGATGAGGAGAGCGAGGAGGGTTTTAGAAGTGTTTTGGAGATAGACAGCGGTGAACAGGGGACGTTTTTCAAGCAATTTATTGATATGATAATCAATACGTACACCTCTTATGTTGGGTTGAGTCTGGATGTGGTTGTGCCGATACTACGTAGGATCTGGCCTATCTTTATTGATCCTGTTATGAGGAAGGGAAAGATAGTAAAGGGGAGTAACGATGTGTTTACCACTTTCATGAAGAACAAAAACCTTCTAGGACGAGAGTTTTCGGTGGTGACGAAACTTGAGAATTCAGATATGTCCTTATTAGATCACCAAAGACGAGATGCTGTGGGTGATCTTGAGAGAACGAAAGTAAGCGAAAATAAGAAGGGACACTACGATTTATCGATCAAAACAAAGTATTTAGTCATAGCTGCGTTTCTTGCCTCATACAATGAGCCCAAGTTCGACCGACAGTTTTTCAGCAAGGGAAACCAATACAACTCCATTGTGAAACAACGACAGAAGAGGGTAAAGACGAGCGACAAAGGGGAGGGGAAGTTGAGGAGAGATATGTCTGCTGCTCTTCCGTTCCGACTCGAGAGGCTGCTAGCAATACTCAACTCAATCTGGGCGGAAAACATCGGCGAGGTGGAGCTATTTGACGATGTTGAATTGATGAGCGAGATTGCGACGCTTGCGTCGTTGAAGACGTTGATCAAGTTGAAGAACGGAGACACGATTGGTGGGCAGACGAAGTGGAAGTGCAACGTCCACTGGAATGTTGTCAAGAAGTTTGCTGCGGACGTCGGGTTTGTGATCGAGAACCATCTACAGGACTGAAACTGAGTAGAGTCTATAAGAGTCTTGTAAATATATACCTAATACAATTACCACATATCCTTTTCGTCCCCGTTGACCTGCGTTGCCGGGATATCGCCTGCTGTGATTCTACAGCTGTTCTCCAAATCTGGATAGAGCGACTTGTGGCCCATCTGTGCGTACACTGCCTTTATCTTCGATCTGATGAGCTTGATGTTTTTCTCGAAGAGCTCGACGTCTTCTGGGGTGTTGGAAGCCTGTATCAGATTGCTCGGCCCGGCCGGTGTGGCGTAGAACTGCTCGATACTTTTCTGGATCGCCGACAAGGACTTCTGGTGCTTTTCGTACTTCGCCCGGTTTGGCGTTTCCTCCTCCGTGGCCAAGGTGTGTCTGGCAACTTCTAAAAGAAGCTCGTTGGCTCTCTTGAGGGCGCCGATTAAGACGAAGCGCTGGAAACCCGTCTGGATTCCAAACTGCTTCCCGTCACGTGCGGTGTGGGCCTCGCCTTCTCGGAGGGCGTCGTTGTAGCTGGCGGAGTAGAACTGGTTCTCGAGATCGAGCAGGGCGTCAAAGTCCACTGCGGCCTCCGGCATGTTGGCTGCACAGCGTGTAGAGTGTGTCGGATGTGGAGGTCCGAGCCCGGATTACTACGACGCCTCGACCCGTATCGTGGAGTGTCACTTTGACCGTATCAGCGCTTTTCTGTGCTGAGAAAAAAAAATATATTTCAGCACCTGTGCCCTACACATCCTCGGGGCTCCCTAAGGCTCCCTACGGCTACAACTGGATCAGCCAGGATCACGCATCTGACATCTGACCCCATTGTCTGCGATCCGCACAGTGCAGAATGACCACAGCGAAACGCAAGTTCCACGAGGTGGATGTGGATGTGCAGCACGACGAGCCTCTCAGCGGCAGCCGTGCTGCAAGACGCTACATAGGGGCTGGCGAGGCAGACATCGACGACAGCAGTGACGAGGAGGTGGAGAGGGACGAGGCACACAGAAGCGGGGACGACCGGAGTGACAACGCCAGTGGTAGTGGCAGCAGCAGCGACAGTGATAGCGAGGTCCTAGACTGCAACGAGAGATGGGGATCTGCCCCGCCGGACCAGGACATGAGGGTCGAAGCCTTCAGCATGGCGCAGGAGCTGCGCCGGGGGCAGTTCAACGAGGCCGGGACGTACGTCACCCACGATCGCCGGGGCGGCGCCTACAGCGACGACGACGATGACGACGACAGCCAAGACGAGGACGGCGATGAGCTGGGGGCGTTCGATGGGATCAAACCGGTTGACAAGGAGGGCATGGCGAAGGCCCGAGAGGCGCAGGTGGCGCAGGTGGCGCAGGCCCAGAGCAGCGAGGCCGACTCCGAGGCGACGCGGGCGGCGGTGGCGGTGCTGTGCCGGCACTTGCGGGACGGCGAGACGACTGGGGTGTGTCTGCAGCGGCTCTACGCGGGGGTGAAGCGGGCCCGAGGAAAGGGCGCGCGCGGGCGGGCCAGGGTGGGCGTGGCGCAGCAGGCGGCGCAGCAGGCGATTGACGCCGTCACCGACAGCGTGGCGGTGCTCGAGCGGCGGCGGATCGTGGACGACGTCTTGGCCACGTCACGTGCGGCGTGGGCGAGGCTGGACGCCCGGCTGTCGGAGTCCGGGCGGGACGGCCTGCAGTGAGAACGCCGGGGCGGGACGGATCGCCGGGACGGCGGGACGGCCGGACGGCAGGCGGCTCGGAGTTGAGGAAGCGCTGGTGGCGCGCCTGCGCCACAGCGCTCCCACCCCCGTGTGTCCGGGCAGGCGCCCCGGGCGCACCCCTCTGAATCACCCGGCCGCTGCTCCGGGCGGGCGGGCGCAGTCGGGTGACCGTGCCCCATGGGGCCCACACTGTTTCCCCAGCTTTTTTGCCACACTGGTGACGGGGGCCTGACTCACGGGCCGCTGTCGTCATAGCTGGCTACAGGCGGATGGTCTGGCTGCTTCGTTTTGTATAAATACCCCGTGGTTGCCGCCTGTTTTGGACTTGGAAGGGTTGCGGGGCGCTGCTGGAATGGATGGTGGTTCTTCTCCACCTTACCTACACACTCACACACATATATACACACAATGACCCCAATTTCCATCTCCTCTCTTAACGTCGCTGCCAGAAACATGATGAAGCTGGCCCAGATCCCAAAGACGTCCAAGTCTTTCCTGTCGTACTCCGCTGTGAGAAACTCGTACACAGAGTCGGATTACTACTCGAGATACGCCCTCCACAACCAGCCTGCTGACGCACACGTGAGCAACAACGCGGGCGGCCACGTGGAGAACTCGGAGAGAACGTTTGTCAACAACTCAGCGCACTCGCAGACCAGCGTGTCGGACGTGGACGAAACCAAGTTTGTTCCAAAGGTGTCGTCGGACGACCACGTCTCCGGGTCGGGCCACAACAAGATCTAAGACTGGCGCCATGTGACACGAACGTTGTTTTGTTTTGTCTTTGTTTCTCATTCCACACTTCTCTTTATTTCTCCCGGCATGCATATTACGACCTAGGGGATCGCTCCGCGAAAGGAAAAGATACCTGATGGAAAAGACCGGTCTTGTCCATCTCTCCTTTTGACCACCCCCTCCCGCTCCCAATATATCTTGTTGTCATCTTTTCATCACTGTTTTTCATTTCTTTCTCTCTTATTTACGACGCAGAGAAGTTGCTAAATTAGGATTTACAATTTGCGCTGCGCTATGTTATCTCATTACATATTGTTTGAGTTTCCTTTTCTCCTATATAGCATAACATAATATACTTTATTCACCCGACCCACCCGGATCCACTCTCCGCCACTAGTAGAAGTTGTTGTACGCCCGGTTGTACCTCGAGCCTGTGCCGTAGCTTCGCTCCTTGACAGCCACAACCCGGTCGAACTTGTTGCTCCCAATGTACCCACCACACATGGCGTCCTGCACGTGTCTCGCAAACTGGTCCGGGTACTTGGCCAAGTCGTTTGCCGCCACCTTGTTCAACGGGTCGTTCGGGTTCGGCTGGAGAAAAAGGTGCAAGATCCCGGCAAACACAAGCTGCAGCGTGAGCGTCGGCTTCCAGTCATTCCGCAAGATGTTCAAACACACATGGCCCTCCATGTCGATGTTCGGGTGGTAGATCTTCTGCACACACCGGAACTCGGGCGCCGCGTTGGGGAACTCCCCCGGAATCGTGCATTCGAAGTCAAACCGTCCGCCGACATAGTATCCACTGTCGGGCACAATGCTCAGCTGCACCTTCATCGGGTTGCTCCGCTCGTACGTGATCGTCACAGAGGGTATCTCCTCGTACTCCTGCAAGTCCTTCTTCGCCCGCAGAAACGCCACGCTCTGCATGTTGTGATCACCCGAACCACCAGCACCGGCGCCGCCTCTCCCACCCGTCTCTCCGTGGCCCTCTGCATCAGCAGCAGCAGCTGCTGCCGCAGCCGCCTTCGCCTGCTGTAGCTTCTTTAATCTGATCTGCACTGATTTGATTTTGTCCGAGTTAGTAAACCGCCCGTGGAGCCTTCCCAGTTTCCCGCTGTAGCACATACCATTTTCTTCCTGTTTCTGAGTATCGATCCTCGCTTTTCACAAGATGCCAAGTGTTTTGCGACCGTTTGCTGTGCCGAATTGCCGCCATTCCCTTTGGCTTTGTTCATGTTGACCCACCTTCCTCCGCAAAATGGGTTTGGAAACGAAAAATCACCTTCTTTGAGCCGATCGTCCTACCCGCCTAGATTTTTGCACAGCCCGCGTAGCGTTTCAGATGCAGCGAAGGATAAAAAACACAAACAAACCTTACGGATGAGTCGTGTATCAGCATGATGACAGTAAATGAAAACAACCTACGGATCCAGTGCTTTTTGATCATTCATTAAGGTAGCAGCCAGCGACATATGCCTATTTACTGAGTCACCAGCGCCTCTAATTATTGCAGGATATCCAGAACTTGGACACAACACAACACAGCATAAATCCACCTCCTTAAAGATCTGCAAGCCGACGTGAAACCTTAAAATGTCACAATTTTCGGGTAACAATAGTGATATCCAGGATTGGGACGAAAGACCCCTCTCCCCCGTCAACATTACGTTAGGAACTAACTCATCTGCAGACTTGAAGTCCCAGTTGTCCCAGCTACAACAGAAACTTAACCTGAACTCGATCAGGCCCGTCAGACCGTCACCCAACACAGAGCCAGAAATACACCTCCCTCCATTGGCCACCCTCTCCAGTTCGCAGTCGAACTCGCTGGGAAACTCGACTAGAACCCCAGACAAGTCGGTCGACTTTTTGGGTGATTTGAGTGATGGACTTTTGATGGAATCCAGGAAATTGAGCTACGAAAACAAACAATTCAAGAAACAAGTTTCGAAATTATCTGCCGAGAACGAATCTATGAAGAAGCAAATCTCCAATCTAAATTTGTTGAACAAGCAGCTAAGCGAGAAGGAAGAACAGTCGAATGATAAAATATGGAACTTGGAGTCCGAGCTAGGCAACTTCAAGAAATCGTTGGACAAAACCAAGTCGGATCTCGCCAAGGTAAAATCGGACAATACCGCTTCAATTTCTTTGATCGAGCAACTAAAAAACTCAATCGAAAACTTGACCAACGAGAGGCAGTCTCTTCTTGAGACTTCTAGCTTAACAATCTCAAAGCTAAACTCTGAGCTTTCCGAACTCAAAGAATCTAACGAAAACCTTAATGATGAAAATGATATCCTACACAAAAACATCTTAGATCTGAAGAGCGAAATAAACGTCATGAAATCCGAAATTGCAGGATCAAACACACAATCAGAAAGACTTGCAGAGTCCTCATTCAGTGAATTCGACGATTCCATCGTTCAGGACCCACTGCCTGCTGTCTTGACTGAAGATTTGTCGAAATTGGATACCGATACGCTACAAAAAAATTTGAAACTATCTTATCGCCAGTTGTTGAAACTAAAGTCTCAAAACACGAGGTTTAAATCAGAATTGCTGAAGTTGAAACACGGATCTCCTTCTCCAAATAAAGTACAACTATTGCCAAAAAGTTTGAACGATGAAAATGATGTCGAGAACTCGTGGGGATATTTTGAAGATGATTCATTTGCCAAGCAACCAAAAAAATCCAATATCGTCTCTTCCCTGATTCGTTCAATAAATGAAGATGACGAAAACGAAGAAGACGGAGATGATGATACCAACTCTTTCCTTGCAGACGTTTCACAGCTGGATGGAAGTAGCCCGGTAAGTACCCGGAAATCGTCCGTGTCCAAACCTAAAGAATCTTATATTTTGATCGTGCCAAAGACAACTCTTGACTTGAACAATAATGCCATAAACCTGAAAAAGATTGATTTGAGCGAATTCCAGACAATTCAAGTCCCAGACCCAATTGCCACCGAATTGCTCGCAAGCTCTTCGAATAAAGAAATCAGTAAAAGCCAATTTTACAATGACGAGATGCTTCAACTAGTTTCGTCGCATGAGCTCAGCTCTTTGAAATCATCAATTGAAGAGCCTTCTATTGATTATGTCAAGTCAAAAGCTTTGTATCACGATCATGTCTCAATCCCAGTTAAGGAACACGAAAATCTTTTATCCAGTACTAAACAGTCAGCTGAAAGAATATTCGAACTGGAAAATTTGTGCAGAAACCAAAACAATTCCTTATCCAGCATAAAAAAACAGTTGGAGCAAACATCTACTGAATTAACTAGTAAATTTGGTGCTTTTAATTCCTTGAAGTCAGAGCATGAAAACCCATCGCTTGAATATATCAACTCCAAACTACCTTTGCACAATTTAGTTTCCATGGATTCTCAGAGTCATGTAGAAATAAAACAAAGATTAGAGATTTTGCAAGATAAGATCAAGCAGTCTAGTGAGAATCTGGATTCCTTACGAGAAATTATTGAGCATTTGAAAAATGATAAAAGTAACCTTGAGGCACAATTGCGCTCTCCAGATATACAGTATATGAAAGACAAATCAACAGTCATGCATTATGTTTTTATACCCGAGTCTGAGCACATTGCGTTGAAGTCAGATATGACTATCACCGAGGCGAAGTTGAAGAAAAAGGAATCTGAGATTCGTGATCTTGTTGATGAAAAGGCTAAATTTGAAGGAAAAATAGCAGATCTCGAGAAGATCGTGACGGAGTTGAAAAATAGTTGCTCTGAATTCGAATCTAAGGTTTTAAAGCTTGAAGAGTTCCAGGAGTGTCCGAACTCTGAATATTTGAGAACCAAGTTGTCCACTCACGGGTTGCTTGCCCTCCCTGTTGAAGAGCATATAAAACTGAAAACAGATAACTCTTTGTACAATGAAAGGATAATCAAGCTAACGGCCGAAAATGAGGCTGCAAAAGATGAAAACAGACGCTTATGGTCAGATGCTAATGAAAGAGAGAATAAATTAAAATCGGTAGAAAATAAGCTTGATACAGTTTTGAAAGACTTTGAGACCATAAAGCAAGAAAAGGAACAACCGGGAGTAGAGTACATTAAATCCAAAGCTTCTCTTTATAACTTGGCTGTGATACCACTTGAAGAACACCAATCTTTGAAAAAGGAAATCAGCACCAAAGACGCTAAACTTGCCGATTATGCTAAGCTAAGATTGGAACTTGACTCAAAACATGATGAAATCCAACAACTCATCAACTCAAAAGAGAAGCTCAATCAGTTGGTTAAAAATACCATTGCGAGTTTGAAGAAAAGAGACTCCGAGCTGACATCATTGAAACAGCAATTAGAATCCCCATCCTATGATTATATCAAAGAAAGATCTGAGGCCCATGGTCTTGCTGCTATAACCAAAGAAGAACATGAGAAGTTGAAATCTGAGTTGCTCGAGAGTTCTGAATTGTTAGCAAAGAAAGAAAGTGAATATGCATCGCTCCAAAAGATAAAAGATGATCTTCAACGTGAGGGAACGAAAAGCGTTTCTTTGGATCTTCACCAATCAGTTCAGTCTGAGTTAGATTACACCAAGCACGACTTGAATGAATATAAGAGACAGGTAAATAACTTGAAACAAGTAGAAATCGCTTTGAAGGGGAAAGAATCTGAATTGGTAGCAATGGGCAAAAAAGTATCAGAACTAGAAACTAAAGCTGCACAAATAGATGAACTGAATTTTGAGTTGCAAAATTTGAGAAATGCTGAAGAAGATTTGAACAAGAAACAGAATGAGCTCGAAGGAATTAAGACAGAGCGTGATGAAATGCAAGAAAAAATCACATCTTTACAGAGTAAAGAAACTCAGCTTTTGGAAACATTGAAAAACTTTGAATGTCAAAACTCAGAACTAAAATCGTTTCACGAAAAACCCGACTTGGATTATATCAAAGAAAAGTCCAAATTCCTTGGATTCCTTCCCGTCACACTAGAAGAGCATACTATGTTTCAGTCTAATCTGAAAAAGCTTGAAGAAAGGAATAAAAAGAACGTTGAGCTTGAGGATAATATCGTTTCCCTTTCAACAAAAAATAATGAGTTGACCGAGCTTAATAATACCCTGCAGAAAACTGTTCAAGAATTAACTGAGATAAAAAATAAACTTCAAAATCCAGATATTGATTTCATCAAGGAAAAATCATCCAATTTAGGTCTGGTCTCAATTCCATTGTCAGATCATCATAACTTAAAGACAAAATCCGAAACACTTGCCTCAAATATTGACGCTTTGAGATCAAAAATTAGTGTTGTTGAATCTGAAAAGGCTGAGTTGAATGAAAAGATTAAGAGCCTTGAATTAATGAATGCATCTCCTTCAATTGAGTATATTCAATCCAAATCTGCCTCCTTGGGCATTATTCCTATTCCTATTGCTGAGCACAACTCTTTGAAATCTGAATTAGAGAGAAACGACATTTTATCGAAAGAACGTGATTCACAGATGAAAGAGCTAAACTTGTTGAGAAAGGACATTACTGAGAGGAAGACCCAATTGAGGAATGCAATTCTCCAACTAAACAAAATTTCTTCCTCTTTTGAAGCACCAACAATGGATTACTTGAAGGAAAAACTTAAACCCTTCAAATACGTTGCCGTTTCTGAAGCTGATTTTGAAAGCTTGAAAAAGTCTCACGAAATTTCAGTTCAACAAAATGAGAATCTAGAAAAGAAGTTGGTAGCTGCTAATGCAGAGCAGACGGAGAAGGATAATACCATTTCTCAGTTAAACAGGATTTCATCTTCTTACCAGGCTCCAGCATTTGAATATTTGAAAGAAAAACTCAAAGCTTTGAGTTACGTTGCTGTTCCTGAAGCTGATCTCGAAACCCTCGAAAAATCCCAAGAAATCTCAGTTCAAAAGATTGAAATACTTGAGAGAAAATTAGCAGTTACTGAAACAGAAATTTTGGAAAAAGATAACACAATTTCCAACTTGAACAAATATGCTTTATGCTATGAATCTCCAACAGTAGAATACTTGAAAGAAAAACTTAAATCTTTCGAGTACATTGCTCTTCCTGAAAGTGATCTCAACGGCCTCAAAACGTTGCAGAATTCGTCAATTGAACAAATTGATAATTTGAAGAAAAAATTAGCAGCTACTAATGCAGACTTAACGGAGAAGGATAAACAGCTAGAAAAACTTTCTGTACAATTGAAGGCGATGATAAACCGCGATCAATCGAAGAATACCAATTCTAAGGTTGTAGCAGCGGCTTTACCTACTCGCTCCAGCTCTTTCAACATCGAAGGTGCTCAAAAGGGTATTGAAATGAATAAAACGTCTTCAGTTGTAACAGTCACATCCGCCAACGTGAACGATGCTCTGTCAGAATCTATTGAATCGATAATATCCCGTATAGAACAAAATGGCTATACCGTTTTGACTATGGAGGAATATGAAAACTTGCTGAAAAGAGGAAATAATGATGCAGATCTTGACAACTTGGCTGATATCACACATGAAATAGAAGATATTGAATCTGATCTTGAATCAAAGAAGCAGGAGTTGGAGACTAAATCAAGAAGTTCCACCATCTCGTCAAGTAGTTCAATCACTTCGGTATCCGTTGAAAACATTTTGTCACAAAAGTATAGCAAGCTATATGATCTAATTAATGATTTATCCATTGAGGTTAAAAATCTTAAACAGGAGAAGGCTAGAATTGTTAAGCAAATCAACAGACTTTCTGTATCAACAAATACTTTATCCAATCAGAAACTAAATTCTACGTTGTCCAAAAAGATTTCTAGAATCAGCGATAAGATTGAGATTAAGGAAATTGAGATGAAATCGCAGCAAAGTGCTATTGTTGCTGTTAAAGCATATTTGGAACAATCAAGAGGAATGGATTTGCCCCCAGTGACTGCAGTTACTGCAGAAGGTGACTCCGACAAAGACAGATCTGAGCTTGAAAAAGAGATTGCCTTATTGCAGTCCAAATATGACGAAAAGAAACAAAAAATGGAAAAACTTGTGAAAGAAATAAATAATACAGATGAACCATCACAATTGGTTGAGAGATTGTCTCTACTGGGTTATACTTTCACCTCTCCATCAGGAAATACCACTATGATAAGAGAAATTTCAATTAATGACAATGTGATATATCTTCCTGCTATCATCCAAAGCGGCAGCTTTGATCCTTCATCAGGTAAGCTTTCAGTTGATAAGTTGGCGCAAGAAAATGGATTTGCCTTGATTTCTGCTGCAGAAGCTAAGCAAAAGCAGAACATTTTTGACATCACTGACCTCTCTATTAATGATTTAGGAGCAAGGGCTAAGGAGTTGAAACACACATTAATTAGTGACCAGAAACTCAAATTGATAGTAGCCAAAAGTAATGAACCAAAGCTTCCAGAATCGTTAACTTTGGAAGAGTTGGAACCTTTTGCAAAAAAACTAGGCTTGCGCATTATCTCCAATGAAGACATTGCAAGATTGAAGGCACGTAACATTACAACCCGTGAATTGGCTTCCAAGGCTGAAGAGCTCAATTTAGTTTTGTTATCACAGGACGAAGTGAATGATCTCAATACTCATGAACCAATAACCGAGAAAAACATTGTTAAAAAAGGCAAAGAGCTCGGTTATTTGTGTATTCCTTCCTCTCAATTTGTGGCCACAACAGTATCAAGAACTGCGGACATTCCTAACGTTACTGTTCTTCCTAACAGCTATTACAAGATATTAACGAAGAGCCACGAATGGTATAAGAAAAATAAGGACAAACTTGACCAATCTCCAGCTAAACAACCGCAGACTATTCCTGAAGATGATTCATTTGACCTTCCTTCCATTATGCCGAATGCAACTCCTTCTGGCCATCAACTCCCAGTCTCTAATATTGATACAGTATCTTTACACACCGTTGATACAGTGATTTCTAACAAGAAGCTGATCATTGCAGCTGTAACCCAAACCATCATCGGTGAATATTTATACAAATACTATAGAAAACTGGGCCCTTTCACCTCTGTTTCTGATACCAGACACGAAAGATTCTTTTGGGTTCATCCTTACAGTATGACATTATATTGGTCCCCAGCCAATCCTGTTGTTTCCGATCCTGCAAGAAATCAGATCAAGGCAATGTCAATCCTTGATGTCCAATGTGTGAATGATAACAACCCATTGCCACCAGGAATTCACTATAAAAGTATTATTATCAAATCGCACAATAAGAGTATCAAGATTACTTGTCCGACAAGGCAAATCCATAATATTTGGTATAACTCATTGAAGTACCTGTTAGAAAGAAGTATGGACAGTTGGGTAAATGATGACGATCTTGAAGATCAGTATCAACATGATTTTACTTTAGACAGCAAAACAAAGCTAGAAAGAACTCAATCACAGAAGTTCAGACGGAGTCACTTATCCGCTAGCGATAATCGTCTCACTTCAAAATCTACATCTCTGAGATCAATGACTGGTAGTAGACGGTGAATAATCGTATTCTTTATATAAATAGTAGAGACCGAATTAAATATACATAAACTAAATTATTAAGAAATATACTAGATGTGGCTTCAAAGTAAATATTGAGTCAAATGGAAAATAATAATATATCAAAGGATAGAAAGACTATTTCTTGGGACATAATATAGATACTACTAATAGTAATGTTCAAAGCTAATCCAAACTTCAATTCAGAAACATGACGTAAACATAAACCTAGACATCAACGGGAGCATAAAACATAAACAAAAACAAAAAAAAATACAAATTGGATACGAGTGAGATCAGCGTGGTAACACTGGTTAGTGACTTATATCAAAATCGACATTGATTACCTCTTTCCTTGTGTCTCGCAAAACGGATTCAAAACACGAACAGTTAAGCACGGCAAAGACATTCCAATTTCACTTCTTAGAATGACTGGAACTTTATCCAGGAGCTTGATTTCTTGAATGTGGTTTGTTCCTTCTACTTCAACATTCAAATTTTTCAAGTACGGGGCTAATGGGTTTTCGCCCTCTTGTGGCAATAAAATGTCGACATGAGGAGGTTTCAACTTCAGATTGTTTAGCTTCTCATACATTTCATCGCTGAGCAATCCACAGTTACTTTTAGAAGAATCATCCTGGCTTTTGGCAACATCTAAAGCAGGTATTCTAAATTTGTTTTTTATGGAGGCTCTATAGGACAAAGGTTCATTTTCATCAGCTGGAATAAATGTCGAAGAGTCAACATTGGGATCCCAGAAAAGCTTCAAAACTTTGTTTACCTTATCAAATTCAGCTTTTGAAAGTGGTAACTGGTCACCATGAACTCTTTTCTCAATACCAAATTCTGGTAAATAAACATCGAATGCTGATTCGTAAACTTGTAAAACAATACCACTACAAAGCACTTGACCTGTTTCGCTGCTCATATCATTAATCGTCTGGCATAGCAAAAGATGAATAGCTTGCTCTTGTGTGGCATTAGCACAATCTTTCTTGAAATTACAATAATCGCTAATGACCTTCAGGGAATCAACATCATCAGTGTAGTTATCAACCGTATTATTGATAACATGCTTGAGTTGCCTATGAACAATGATATCGGCATATCTCCTCAGTGGGGCATTAAAATGGGTATATGTTGGTAAGTTGAGAAGATAATGACTCAATTCTTGATCAGTTTTACCTGCAATAACATATTTACCTCTGCCCATACATTTAACAAGAATCGTTTCCACGGCCTCTCTTTTAAGTGGCTCGTCGATACTTAAAATAGAGTTCTGAAAGCTTCCGGCATTGGTGGTGTTAAGTTCCACACCAAGCTGGGCAATTTTGCTTTGATAGTACTCAAACTTGTTCAAAGTTGGAATAGGAAATCTTCTTAAGAATGCCCTACCACCCAAGGCAGAGTGAATCTTTTGTGCAACAGCTGCATTTACATTGTGGAAAATTTCGTCTATAATAAAAGTGGATTCAATGTTATCGTAGATGTTCAAAGATAATTTCACTCTTTCGTCATCCAATTGATCAAGTAGAGGTAGCATATTTTTAGTGTTCAAGGTTGGATTGTACAAACGCTTTCTTTTCAACCGAGAAGCAATCAACGCCATAGATGCAAAATAACTTGAAATAGCACTGTCGTTTTTATGATTCGAATCTTCCAGATCAGTCAAAATTTTATCAATCTCTTCATAATTAACTCTTTTGGATGGCTTGATTTCAGTTTCACCCATCCAAACATTCTCAATCTCAAAAGTTAAGGAATCAATTTCGAAAACAACTGATAATGCAGGAGAGTTTGAGGCTTCGTTGAAAGAAATCAATTTATTGATATTGTCAGGAAACAAATTAACGCTCTTCTGTGGTAAAAAGACACCGTGAGATCTTTTTTTGGCCCGCTTGTCTAAGTTAGTGTCATTCAAAACATATTCACTGACATCAAGAATATGAACACCTAATTCGATCTTATTGCCATCAATTCCTTTAACGTGGAATGCATGATCACAAAATTGGCCGTTTTGAGAGCACGCAATAATGTAATCATCGTTAAATTGTTTTCTATTTGAGTTTGAGAGAATATAATCAGTATTAGGGAAGTCCATCATATACTTTTCTTGCCCATCAATATATTCATCACACATGAAATTGTTATCTCTTAGAATAGATTCAACTTCAACAGCAGCATCGTCAGTTGCTCCCAATCTGGCAACTAGTGTACCAAACGGATGCAAAGAAGTGATTGGCCACCTTTTGATCGAAGCAATAAAAGTTTGATTTGCATATTTATCGTGATTTTCAACAAAGTCTTTTGGAGCTTGTTCTGTTGGAATGGCGATCAATGGAACCTTTTTATCGATTGGCTTGAACCAAACAATTTTTGGCTTTGGCCTGTTATCGTTATCATGATTCGATGATTTCTTATCACTGTCATTGTCCTTTTCCTTCTCCTTTTTAGCTGCTTGAGAGGGGCGCAATAAGCCGAGAGTGCCGGAAAATAACTGACCTGGAATACGATCGATAACAGCGACAACGTGACCCGCGTATAAAGGCTTGGCATCATCGTTGATTTCTTCTTCCTCAACCAATAGCAACGATTGACCTTCAACTTCGACGTCGTCGTTCTTCTTCTGGATTGGTCTTTGTTTCAAAGAGTTTTTTCTGTTCAAGCTTCCGGAATTGGAGGCTGGGTATGATGAGTTAGATTGCTCATTTATATTAGAGGAAGTACTGGCATCATTATGAACATCATCATTCAAATCAGAGTTGAACTTGGTGTCTTTTCTTCTTTTCTTTTCTTCCTTTTCACGTTTGGAGGACCAAACTTCATCTACGACTAATAATTCGATTGCAACTAAATCTCCTTCCAAAGCTCTATTTCTGTCTTTAGAACCACAAATAAATATATCGGCATCCAACAAACCATCGGTGGAAACATACGCATCAGATCTATTTTTCTTGTTGACACGTAAAATACCAGTGACTAGCTTACCTTCGTTGATGAGATCAGGTAACGAATTTTGAGGCAAATATGGGGCGAAAAGTGATTTTCTTTGACCTTGATTAAATTGAGAAATCGATGAAATGGAACCACCGTAAGAGTTTCTGGAACGATGACCTGGTAAAAAAGCTGGAGATTCAAAATTGCTCACACTGTTGCTGTTGTTATTGTGGGTAGGGGTTGCAGGTTGTTGCTTTCTCCAGTTTGAGCTTAAATCTGAACCAGTGCTTCTATGGCCCAAACCACTCGGTTGATGTCTTTCTACGAAAGCAGGTTGGGGAGGCTGTAAAGTCTGAGAAGGATCTTTTGGTGGAAACTGGAAACTCCTTTGAGGAGATCTATCCGAAAAACTTGATCTATTTCTTGAGTGCAGCCTTGTGGAGTTTGTGTTGGTACTATCAGAAGCCTCATCCAATTTGGGCGAGCCGGGGAACTTGAAGACAGGAGGGTTGAGTAAACCCGCTGAAACTGTTTCAGGTTCGTCATTTTGCTCATCAACCTGAATAGTGGAAGATAAAGACAGTTTTGAAGGAGAGTTGTGGTATCTTTGGGCATGAGCTTCTGCAGCAGCCTTCTTAGCTTCAGCCAAGCCTAGAGAATGTCTTCTGGTATGACCCAGAGCTTGAGGCCTCGAGTCAGTCTTAGAAAAAGGGATGCTACCGACGGAAGTAATAGAAGATTGTGATCTTCTGTGGTTTCTTGGGGAAGCTGCGCCGGTATTAGTATTGACACTTTCTTGTTCTTGTTGCTGGTAGGGACTATTTGAGGAAGATCTTCTATGGTGAGCGCTTCTGTTGGTTGGAGCAGGCGGCTGTAGGCTCATATTCTGAAAATTGAACGCATTTTGGGACTGCTGCAACCCAGTTTGCTGATTCAACTGTTGCTGCTGTTGTTGTAAAATCTGTTGCTGCTGTGCTTGAACGATCTCAAGCTGTCGTTGCAAGCTCAATTGCTCCACTGTATTTAAAAGGAAAAGTATATGTTAGTAAACACGTTGTTGAGAAAGTAGATCGGTTAAAGAAACATGCAAAACGTACACATCAACGTAGTCAATTCACTTGGGGATCTTCTGTGTGCAACGTGGATTGTCTTTGGTTTGTTTCCAGTTGTTTTGACAGTAGACTGTTGGTTGAGGTTCGAGTTGGGAGAGCCTGATTGGTAAGGATTGGACTGGTTGTTGTATTTATCCATGTTTTGGGGTGGCTTCTTATGTATGTTGTTCTTTCTGTTTCAATAAATAGTGTTTTTTTTGAGAATAAAGCAGATATGTTTCGAATTGAGAGAGGGAACACGGATGTGGGAGTGAAGGTCAAGCTGTACAAAGAAAGTCAAATACAGCTTGGATGATTGCTTGTTTCAAACCGGAGGAAAATACTGGCCGACAAACAACGGTAAGTTCGGATATGTATCCGCTGAGATGAATACGGAGCTGAGATTAATGAAGAAGTCAGAGACAGGGTATTATTTAGCTAAATGAGAGATTGGTATGGGTGGGCAGGATATCTGATGCGATTGTGTCAATTGTTCCTATTCCTGTGCCTGTGTGTGCCGGTGCCGGGATTGTGTTTGACAGTGGATGAAGCGGAAAAGGGGAATGTGTTTGAAGAGAAGGGAGAGAAGACAACGCTAATCGACTGTGGGAGGGGCCTGCAGAGCAATTGGAGAACACTTGATAGGAGAAGAGTGCAACTGGAGGGTTGACGGGGAACAGATAGCAGCCTGCGCAGAAACACAACCAGAGCAGGAAAGCATAAAAGTGGTCGTCCACAGAAGGCAAATAATGGAACGGCCTCTAACCCTATGCTGGTGGAAAATTCATCCCGATTGTGGACGGGGGAGAGGAGGCAGGGGATTGAATCTTGATGACATAACGAGGTTTAAAATTAGCAGGCGCCGGGCCTCGCCCCTTTGGCAGCGCCAAGAGAAATTGGGCCGATCGACTGAGCTGGGTTTTTTTGCCGCTTTCCGCTTTGGGCTAGAAGCTGTCCATGCAACGCGGTGAGAGGCCATTTCGACTTTTCAGACATGAATTTTCAGTCTGGTAACTTCACCAGATCCTTCCGGCACAGGATCGGAGCGATCTGAGATGGCAGCAACGACAGCAGTGACTGCATCTGGGTATGTATATAATTTTTTGATAGCGGTAGGGGGTGGCTAGCGAGAGTATTGCAGATCGGGGGCAGGGAAAGGTGTTTTTCGTCCAATTCTATGACCGTATACAAACGCATCCAGGGTTTGTTTCATGTTTTTTTCCTCGCAAAAAGCTTGCCTGAGAACGCACCGATTAGGAAATTGGGTCGATAAACACGGACACAACCGGACCTGCGCAGGGAAAGAACCTGATACTAACAGTAGGTCTGTTGATGCAGACTGCGACTTGATTTTTGGCAGCAGTAGACACCTAGATGACTTCTTCGACGGTTCTGGTGACCAGCAGCGAGACGAAAAATGACAAGGATGGCGCTAACGGCAGCACTCTGCCCCACAGTAAGAAGGAGAACCACACCCGTCACCTGTACCGATATCAGGCGACGAGAATGGTCTCGAACTTAGACGAGGTGAGGACGTTTGTGGACCCGCTGGACGAATCCAACGTGTTTGATCCTGCGACGCTGTTCCACTACTGCAACTTGATCCTCGATCAATACCCCAATGAGAACGCAACGCTAGCCGTATTTCAGGACGATCTGAATTATGGCCCCCAGGGTGAGGACGTTGCAATATACTTCCACCCTTTCGAGTGGAAGGGTCAGTGGCATCTGGCTATTGGTTTCACCCAGTATGAGAAAATATTGTTCGTTAACTGTTCGGACTACAGTCTCAGTGAAGATAGCAGCCGAGCTGAGGATTACCCTTCTTTTTCGGGCAAAACCTCCCTCAGGATACAAGACTTCGTGGTGTTCTTCAAGCAGAAACTATCGATCAACTCTCTTCGGTACCCTAGACTTTACACAGACCTGTTCAAGCCAGCCACTGGATCAAACGCTGTCAATTTATTAACCATCATATTTGCATTTTGTTTGGACCCTGTGTCCTTGACACGGAGCTTCTGTGACCCGCAGTTTTCTCCCACAAAATTCGACATTTCCGATTTCCATCCGATAATAGCCAGCATTGATGGAGAATTTAGAGAAGAGTTGCAGCACACTAATGAGTTAAAACAGAAGGAAAAGGAAAAGCTGGTGGCAATAAAGAAGAAGGAGTCAGAACATGCAAAGAACGTTGCAAAGGAGTTGAAGCAAAAGCAGAAGCGAGAAAGAGAAGAGAGAGAACGAGTAGAGATGGAGGCGGAAATCAAAGAAAGACAAAGAATGGTCCAAGAACGAATCAGGCTGGAAAAAGAAGACCGAGAGAAAAGAGCAAAGGAGCGAGACCAACAACAACAACAGCATGATTTACACGTAGCACCAATACCTGTAGAGCACGAGGTGAATGGCGATGTTCAGACAAAGATTGGAGACAGCCTGAGCACTATCCAGCGAGAAAAAGTGAAGGATGAAGAGCTTGAAACCATAGTGAAAAGACAGAAAACAAGGTCAAGGTTGGGTAAATCGATATCAGCTCCGATTGAAATCAACGATTTAGAGGATAGTGATGACGCTAGTGAAGAAGAAAAACTACCAGTCAAGACCCAAGATGTATCCCGCAAGGAAACTGAAGAGACTTTGAGACAAAGGTTTCAACCGGTGTACGCCCTAGAATTCAAAAAGCACATTTTACATTCGGAGTTGTTTGGCGACATCACAAAGATTGATTTGATGTATAGTTTCATACGCCAATTTTCTTACGATCCGCTGATGAACGCTTTGTTATACCGGGATGGATCTGCCGACAGATCGAAAAAAAGCATGTTTGAGCTTAGAAAAAGTCTTGTTGTGACATATAAGAGACGCATGAAGCAGGAGTTTGATGAGTCCAAATTTGAAAAAATCATGGAGACAGACTCTCTTAACCAGATCATACCGTTGATTTTTGAAAATGGTAGCATTTTTCTTGTTAACATCAAAACCTCGGACAAGTTCAACTGCATAGTCAAACTGATCTGCATAACGAACAGGCTAAACCGATCCGAGAGAGAGATCATGAAAAACTACGCCTTCAGAAGGTTAATCGAGATGCATGTTGCCAAATATAATCGGCTAGTCCTTAAGATCAGAACATCGATCATTGCTGTAAAACAGTCTGAGTTTTACAAGGTTGCAATGGCCTCATTCTGCGTTTTGCAGCGCATTCTATGGAAGAACAAATTCGATCTTACATACAAGCCGAAAGTCGAGAATTTAGAAAGCTACAATGTATACTTCCAAAAGATGATGGAGGGCATTGAAACGAGTGACATGCTCGCAACAGAGTTGAATCTGAAAAGAATTGTAAAGTACAGCTTAGCAGGTTGATTGATCAGCCAGTGGAACTAGAAAGAAACTGTAGTCAAAATGACGATGTAGAAATAAGTAACAATAAATTGTATTATTTTGTTGGTTTGCACCACCACCTATAGAGTATAAAGCATAGAACTTATAATTTGATGGAGATGGCTCTGGTTATAATAAATAAGGAATGTATAGACGGCATGTAGGAATACGGTTCTATTTGATGAGAACGTCTGCACCACCGGTTAAAACGTCTTCGATCTCGATTTCATCAAGTGGGACATATCTAAATCTCTTGGAAAGGTTATTCCTCGATTGGAAAGCAACAGCAGCGCCCGAGCTTGCAGCCGATGATCCAGCAGACCCTGGTCTCAAACCTGCTGGTGCACAGGGATGGATGGTTGCTGGTGTGTGGGCTGAATTAAAAATATGCGGATGTTAGTACTAGACTTGAGTTGATGAACTTTTTTATGAACCACACGTACCAGCTGTGTGTGGACCCCCGACGAATTTGATCAAGGGGACACGTTGAAGCACTCTCAATGTAGCTCTCATATTTTTGTCTTTTGTTTGCTTTATGTTAAAAGGGGCAGAACAACCAAACTGCACCTGGCATCTGGTCAGGGTATCCCCAGTTTCTTAGCCTCTCCATCAATAGGGAAACACCCATCAACACCACCCATGTAAGACCGACATCGACTCCGTGATTATGTCAGCAAAAAAGGGTCAGGAGACGATCGACCCATTTTTTTGGAAGCTTAGATATTTTCCCTCTGTCGAATCTGCTCGCTATAGGCGTGCATGGCGATTTTGCCCTCCTTCTAATGATTTCATAGGAGGATGAAGGTTGATTTGATGGATACGTTTGAGGCATTGACTGCAGATTGGGTGCATTCGACAAGGATAACCATCGGAAAGAAAGATATATAAATAATGAATCACGATCCATTCCATTGGGGTAGACCATCGGCTGACGCCTATGGAGAATACAACTATAACATTGCCCATGCATCGAATGCAGACCGGAGCACATCGACGAACTCGGAATTCCCAAGAATGCACACTCAACAACCAATGATTACTGGTACCTCTGTGATTGCAATCAAATACAAGGACGGTATTGTGATGGCAGCCGATCACATGGGATCTTTTGGTTCCTTGATGAAGTTGGACGATTTGCAAAGAATAATACCTGTCGGCAAGAGTGCAGCTGTTGGTATTTCCGGAGATATTAGTGATTTCCAATATTTGGAGCGTCTATTGGACGATCTTGAGATTGAGGACTCGTATGACATGGAGAGTGACAATCTGAAAGCCGATTATCTATCTGAATATTTGACCCGCGTGATGTACAACAGGAGATCCAAGATGAACCCACTCTGGAACGCAATCATAGTGGCGGGTTTTGATGCGAAGGGGGAATTGGTACTAAAACATGTTGATCTTCTAGGTGTGTCGTACTCCTCACCAACGTTAGCAACTGGTTTTGGTAATCATTTGGCGATTCCACTTTTGAGAAAGAAGGTGGACAGTGAGGAAGACGTCCAGAAGTTAAGCAAAGAGGATGCGATCCAGACTGTGAAGGACTGTATGAAGGTTCTCTTTTACCGTGATGCGAGATCATGGGACAAGTATTCGATGTGTGTCATAGAGAAGTCGACCCAATCTATCAAGATAGAGAAAGACGTTGCCGTTGAGGGGATGAGATGGGACTTTGCCCAGCATATCACCGGTTATGGTATTCCTCAGCCGTAGGTATGTATCGTTGTATAGTTTAGACCTTCTAGGAGTATGACTTTTTCTCTTTCGCCAATGCTTGACTCTGTGTCTATGAAAAGTTACAAAAAAGGGAGGTAGGAAAGGCACTCCAGAGACAAGCGAGAAATAAAGTAATAGTAGTATATAAGCACTTTGATACGGATATCTCTAAAAGGCGTGTCTTGGGGACGGGGAAAGATACAAGAGGGGACGTAGAAACAAAGGTAACGTATGTGTGGGGGGGGGAGGGATTTCTGATCTCATCACAACACAAATGACAAGCCCGACAAGGCCATCGTGAAATTGATTTTGAGGTTGAAATTCGTGTTGAGAGTGTTGAGCCTCTGCAAAATGAGGCATCTGGGGTTCACGTCGTCCAGCGTTTCCTTCACGTGTATGATGATGACATTGAAGCCGGCCAAGGGCTGGTAGCGGGACCCAATGTACGTCTCGTGGTCGTGTTGCAAGTCCTGCGCCGCCACGTCGGGGTACCGGAGATCGACACACAATTTGCGTAGCGTCGAGAGCTCGTAGATCAAGTTGAAGGGGGTCATGTGGCCAAACAAGGGCGGCGGCTTGTCCACGGTGGAGCACTCAATGACAATGGTGTTGAGCTTGTTTGCTGTTATGAGCGGGGCCGCGTGTGTCCAGATGACTTTGTTGTAGTTGCAGTTGGCGACGACGTCAGACTCGACGTCGCCAAAAAGGAGGATGCTTGAGTCGTGCTTGGTGTCGGTGATGAGAAAGGCGGTGCTTATATATCGGCTGCCTGATGCTGTGATGCCGTGGGAAACCTTGAAGGGGGTGATGCTATATCGCCTGGAGATATCTGTGACCCGGACGCTGTCTGCGAGCTGGTGGAGGGCGATGATGCCCATGCTGACCAGGTCGGGCCACACGCGGCCATTGAAGAGGTTGTCTTTGATCGAGGCGACTGTGTCTGGAAGGCCGTAGACGGCCTTGGGCGAGGAGAAGGCCGGCGAGTTGATGACCAAGCTGGCGACGTGGTCCAAGTGTGGGTGGGTGATGAGGTAGGCGTCGATGGAGTTGAGCACATCGTCTGCGAGCTGGAGACTCGACCTCGTACCGGCGGCCGCCGTCCGGAGAGCCCGCAGCGGCGCCGTGATGGCCAGGTTCTGTGTGTTGACGTAAGTGGCAATGAGGTCCTTGATCGACGTGGCCCCGGACTCGGACCCAGACCCGGTCGCTGGCTTGGCCGCAGAGGTGACCTGGTTCTGCGGGTAGAGCTCCAACAAAAAGCACGACTCCATGTAGGAGGAGCTGTTCTGCAGGATGTCGACGAGGGACGTCAAGCCCGTGCCGGCGTCAATGACTAGCAGGGCGCCCTCTGCTGCGCCGTCCTGCGACACAATCGCAGCGTAGTCCACGTCGGTGGGCTTGAGCATGAAGGAGCACGTTTTCCCTGATATGGGGCCGCCCGAGCAGCCCAAGATGGTGAGCTCGAACACGCCTCGGTTGGTAGGCATGAGGTAGCTGATGGTGCTGGCGTCGATGGTAGTCTGACGTCTTCCTGATAGAAGCTTCCTCGGTTTCCGTGCGTTGCAATTCTCTTGTTTTCGTCCTTCGTGAAGGCCTGCCCAGTGTCCGTTGCGAGATTCTTCCTATCAGCGTAAGCTTCGCCCGCTTTCGGCCCTTATCTTTTTCTGCCCGCTGTTCTTCTCGGTCGGCCGTGCACACGCTCGGACACACGCTACGCTCTCTACTTCTGCCCAGGGGTATCCCTAATGCAAGCAAACCTTCACACCTATACAGGACTGCCTTGCTGCCTGCCACTGGCCACTGGAAGTGGCCCCTGCACCTGTTTCTTCACTCTCATTCCCATTCTTATTTCCATCCCCATCCCTTGCCCCACCTCCCACTTTCTCTCCCGGGCTGCTGCCTCCCCGGCTGCTGCCTCCCGCCGTCTGCCGCAGCCACAGCCGGCTCTGCGTGGGAACCAATCCTGCAGAGGATGCCCTCCCGATAGTGTGCATGGAAACTTCCATGCCGGAGCTGCAGCCGCCGTGCTGCGGCCCGCTGCAGCAGATGCCTCTCGCATGCGGCGGCTCCGCTGCATGGAAGATCGGTGCGCGACTAGCGCCATTGCACCGGGAAAAGCGACGCGTCGATTAATGCTGCAACCAGCACGGTTTGGGTCGATCGACGTTTTGGGCGCGCCGACGCGCCGATCGGCGCGTCGGCACGGTTTTTCTTGTTTTCTCGTATTATCTGGCAATTTCTCAATCTGTTGGCGACATCGCTGCTGATACGACTTTGGGAAAAATAGAGAAAGCTTATCACGTGGAGTCAGAAAAGTCTGTGGATGAGTCGGAGAAAGGTATGGAACGGAGTATTGGTCAGAAACTTCAGAGCAGAGCAGAGCAGAGCAGAAGGCACTGAAGGATGGAAGACAGTGCTGACGCTATGCTGGGCAGGGCGCAGCATAGGGCAAGTGCAAAAGTGAAAGTGAGGCGGTCGAAGTCCGGCTGCATCAACTGCAGGAGAAGGAAGAAGAAATGCGACGAGATCAAACCGATCTGCACGGGCTGTCTGAACAGAAACATCGTTTGCGAGTATCGACAGTTGTCTAGCGACATCCTCAGGTTTGCCGGCGAAATCGACACGCCGTCTCTGCCGGCGTCGGCCGCCGCAGGGACGCAGATCTCCTCCGGCAAAATCAGCTCGATCTCGAGTCTCCGCAGCCTGGTCGGAGACACCGTGATGCGGATCCTCGAGAACAACACCTCGACGCTGAACAGCTTGTTTGGAAGCAGTGGGATCGCCGCTGTGGGTGCCGGCGGCGAGGGCGACGATGACGGCACAACGGGTGCCATCGCCTCGCTCGACGAGCTGCTACCCTACGACACAGACTTCCTCAACCTGATCTTCGAGGACCAACCCCAGTACCTCCACCTCTTCTCGAACCCGACGCCATCGATTCCAGGCTCGCTAGAGATCAAACTCCCTGTGGCGCTCTCCTCGGAGGAGCTCTCCTACTTTGAGTTCTACTGCAAGAGCATTCTCCCGGATCTGTCCATCCTGCCCCAGGAGTTCAACTATTATTCCAAGATCTACGTGCCCATCGCGTTCAAGGAGAAGTCTGTGCTTTACACGCTTGTCGGCTGGGGTTGCCGCATGCGCAAGAACGTCAACTTGAACTTCCAGATCGAAAACGTCGAGGCCGACAGCTACATCAACAAGGTAAACGATCTCATGTCGCACAACGAGCTCAGTCTCGACCGTGAGAAGTTCATCACCAACTTTGTCTGCTACATGCTTTTGGTGTGCATGGAGATCTCCTTTGGCGACACCTCGAAATGGTCGCACTACTTTACGTGCTGCTTTAATATGATCAACAAGATGCCCGGAAACTTCAGGTACTTGTCCTCGACATGCTCCATCGAGGGGAACTTGCTTGCGGAGAACTTCGCCTATTTTGACGTCTTGGCCTCCCAGTCTAACGAGAATGGGACTTTTTACCCGATGTCGGACTACCACGATCTTTTCAGCCAGAACAACACAACGAAGATTGTTCACGATCCCTTACAAGGATGCATCAGACCAGTGATTTTGCTGATCGGGGAGATTGTCAGTATGCTTGTTGAGTACAGCTCCTTGCAGGTGAGTCTAGACCTCCCCGAGTGTGACAAGTACGAGCTGATCAACAAGATGCTAGACAGGTCCGATAAGTTGGACAAGATGATTCGTTTTGCCAAGCCAGACCTCTCCTGTCTCCAGTACTTGAATAGCCCCGACGAGTTAGAGTCGCATTTGACGCTCTTTGAGGTGTATCAGTTGTCTTCCCAGATATATCTCCGGCAGGTGATCCGCAAAATTCCGCCCGTAGTGCCGGAAGTGCAGGTACTAGCGTATAACTTGAGAGAGGACCTTAAAATTTTGGTCAAGAGTGCCAAGCTGAAAAACAGTTTAGCATTTCCGATGCTCTTGCTGGGCATCAGCTCGACTTCGAACGAGGACAGGAAAGAGGTTTCCAAGATGTTCAAGTCTTTAATACAGTCGTGTGGGTATCTGAGCAGCTACCAGAAGTTGCTCATTGTGGTGCAAAAAATATGGACTCTGAACAACAACGGTTCGTTGTATGTGGACTGGTTCCGGGTGACGAAGCAACTCGGATGGAGGTTGAACTTGGGGAGGTAAGCTTGGGATTATTTTTTTTTTCTTATAGATATAAATTACACAAAAAAAGAGCAAAAGAATGAGTGGAGAATACTACTGTATCTTTTCAGTTGTGGACTCAGCAGCCTGGACGCTTTCACCGCAGTAGTTGTCGAGCTCTGCGCCGACGATGTCATCGAGGTCGGGTCTTTTGCCTGACTCAAAGTCCATATCGGAACATTTGATAAAGCCGGACTTGAAGTAGAACATGTCATAGCAGAACCAGATGATGAAGAACAATGGAAGCATGATGTAGCCGTCGATAAAAGTTTTGTAGTCAAAAGGTTTGAAAGCGGACCAGCTCTGGACGAGCGTGAGCACGACCCCGATGACGATGGCGACGTAGTTGACCCAGGGAAAGAACATGGCCTTATAAGGCAAAGCGTCCAAGGAGTAGCCCTGGGCGACCCAGCCTTTCCTGAACCTGAGGTGGGTGATCGATATCGAGGTCCAGACCATGAAGCAGGCAACACCGGAGACGGAGACGATGTACGAGTATGCCACGGAGGAGCCCGAGGAGTACGAGAGGATGGAGAGAAAGCCAAAGATGTGCACAAAATGGATGGCGACGTAAGGGACACCTCTGCTGTTGACGGTGGTGAAGATCTTCGGGCCGTAGCCGGCCTTAGACCAGGTGAAGAGGGCCCGGGAGCCGAAGTAGATGGCGGAGTTGATTGAGGAGAAACAGGTGATCCAGATCATGGTGGTGACAAAGTACTTGGACCCGGGCCAGCCGGCTTCGGTCATGGCGATCGTCATTGGGGAGCGCATGACCTTGTCCGCGCCGTTCAACATGGGGTCGTTGTAGGGGACGGTGATGCCGTAGAAGATGGACAAGCCGAAGTAGACGAAGAAGACCCGGAAGACCGTGCTTCTGACAGCGGTGGGGATGGCCTTTCTGGGGTTTCTGGCCTCTGCGGCGACGATGGAGATGCCCTCGATGCCGGCGTAGAAGACGCCGGCGTAGACAAAGGAGTTGGCGATGCCCTTGAAGCCGGACTTGAGCGGGTAGTTTTTGAAGGGGTTGTCGGGCTTGTGGCCGGGGATGCCGCCTGCTGCGTAGATGATGGCGAAGAGGTAGAAGCCGGAGAGGAAGGCCAACTTGAGGAAGCCGAGAACGTACTCGCACTCGCCCCACCAGGAGACGTTGAGGCACTGGAACATGGTGAAGACAAACCAGAAGATGAGGTACCAGCCCCAGGTGGGCACGGTGGACGAGTAGGTTTCGAGCGACGAGGTGAGCGACGTGTACTCCGCGATGATGTTGGTGATCCAGATGATGACGTAGTAGGCGGCGACGGTGGCCCCGAAGCCCTTGGAGACGTATTTGGACGCCAGGATCGCGAAGTTCTGGTCGAACGCGGCGTTCATCTCGCCGATGGAGTTCATCATCGACAGCACGAGGATGCCCACGATGGCGAACCCTGCGAGCAGCCCCACGGGCCCGCCCGACGCCAGCGCGCTGCCCATTCCGACGAACACCCCGGGTCCGATGATCCCGCAGAGCGCTATGAGGTTGATCATTCTGTTCTTGAGACCCGCCTTCAACCCGGAGTCCAGGATCTCGTCCCCGGCCTTGTTTTCGTGGTAGGCCTGCGACAGCTGCGCCTCGACCGTCATCTGCGACGTTGCCTTGGAGAGCATTCTGCTAGTACTGCCTGTCTTGGTGCTGCAACCTAGCGATGGTTTCTACACTTCTCTTCACCGCCCCTGCAGCCTTGCGACCGCCCCTTGCCAAACCGCTCCGGGCCTGCCCAACTTTATAGCTGCTGCTCTGACCCACCTGCTTATCAGGACCCAGCTTCCCCGGACCCACGTCAACGGCCCCGCGGCCCCTGGCTGCCTCAACCCGCGCTGTCAACCTGCGCGGCTGGCTTATCTAGGCGCCGCCGCCGCCCCCCGCCGGCGCCAGCTGAGCCGCGGCACGATGCGCCCAACGGCGCTTAGCAGTCGTCGGCCCGACCCGCCGGCGCCCGCCGAGCTTTTCGCGTCCGCCGGCCGGGGCGCCCGCCCCCTATATAAGGCCCCGCGCCTGCCGTGGGAGAGCCAGCCCGGTCCGGCGCACCACGTCTGTTTCCCCCCCCCTCTCCCCGCGACACCCTCTGCTCCGCAATCCGCCCCATGGACGCACACACACAAATCCCCCCCGGCACAGACATCGAGCGCCGGTTCGAGGCGCTCAGCAAGCGTTTCCCCATCGTCGACACGCACAACGACTTCCCCTACGCGCTGCGGATGCAGCTGCACTACGAGCTGTCTTCCACGCCGCAGTTCGACTTCGACTCGCTGCTCACGTCGCACACAGACCTCGTGCGGATGCGCGAGGGCCGCATCGGGGTGCAGTTCTTCAGCTGCTGGATCGAGTGCAAGACAGACGACATCCTGTCGCAGGACTTCAACCAGCCGTCGTCCATCGTGCGCGACACGCTTGAGCAGATCGACGTGGTGCGCCGGCTCGTGGACGAGCACTCGGGCGCGCTGCGGTTCGTGCACACGGCAGACGAGGCGCTGGCGTGCTTCCAGGACCAGGGCAGCACGCAGATCGCCATCACGCTCGGCGTGGAGGGCCTGCACCAGGTGGACCTGTCGCTGGGCGTGGTGCGCCAGTACCACGCGCTGGGCGTGCGGTACATCACGCTGACGCACAACTGCGACAACCCGTTTGCCACGGCGGCGTCGTCGGTGACGGGCGGGCTCAGCGACCGCGGGCTCACGGTGTACGGGCGCGAGTGCGTGCGCGAGATGAACCGGCTCGGGATGATGGTGGACCTCAGCCACGTGTCGCACAAGACGATGCTGGACGTGCTGGCCACCACGCAGGCGCCCGTGCTGTTCTCGCACAGCTCCACGTATGCGCTCACGGCGCACGAGCGGAACGTGCGGGACGACGTGCTGCTGCTGGTGAAGAAGAACGGCGGGGTGGTGTGCATCAACTTCTTCCCCGAGTTTCTGCAGCAACGGGGCCGCGCGCGCGTCACGATCGACGACGCGGTGGCGCACATCCGGCACGTGGTGGAGCTCATCGGGTGGGACCACGTCGGGTTTGGGTCGGACTTCGACGGGATCCCGCAGGGCCCCGTCGGGCTCGAGGACGTGTCCAAGTACCCGGACCTCGTGAAGCGGGTGTGGGCCGCCACCGGCGCGTCCGAGGAGCAGGTGGCCAAGATGATGGGCATGAACGTGCTGCGGGTGTGGAAGCAGTGCGAGCTCGTGGCGGCCCGCATGCGGCAGACGCACGGGCCCGTGGACAGCAACTGGGACCAGCGCCGCTGGGTCTTCCACGAGTACTGCAAGGAGCTTCCGGAGCTCTTCCCGGGCGCGTTCGGCCTCAAGCAGAACGAGTACACGGACACGCAGACGCTTGTCAACGGCACCGCACACGACGGGTCCGAGGACGACGCTGCGCACGCCAAGAATTAGATAGCACCCTCTATAGAAGCAACAGCAGCAGACTTTCTTATCGCCCAACGGCTGCGGCGCTAAGGCCCGCCGTTTCCGCCCCGCGCGGGCCTAAGCGGCGGCCCAGCTGTGTCGGGGACCCTAGTATAAAACCCCGGCTTCCCGCCTGACGGACCCGAGGGAGCAGCGTGTCGGGGTGGACTGGAGCCCACCGCCAACCAGCCAGCAGCCAGCAGCCTTAAGCAGCACCATGTCCAACGTCGTCGTGCTTGGATCCGGCATCGTCGGCCTCTACACCACCTACTGCCTCGTCACCGAGGCAGGCGTCCCCCCTGCAAGCATCACCGTCATCGGAAAACACCTTCCAGGCGACCAGTCGATCAACTACACGTCGCCGTGGGCCGGCGGGAACTTCTCCTGCATCACGCCAAACGACCCGGAGACCCTTTCCTGGGACAAATACACCTACACACACCTCCAGGAGCTGCAGAAGAAGCTCGGCGGCGCTGCGTGCGGCCTCGACAAGAGACCCAGCACGGAGATCTGGGACGAAAACCCCAACGACAAGAAGATCGCCGCCCTCAGCCAGTACATCGAGGACTTCCGCATCATCCCCGCAGCAGAGCTTCCGGCCGGCGCCAAGTTCGGCGTCTCCCTCACGACGTGGAACTTCAACTGCCCATTCTTCCTCGCCAACTTCAAGACTTACCTCGAGAAGCTGGGCGTCACCTTCGTGAGAAAAGAGCTCACCTACGTCAGCCAGGCCTACCTCCCGGGCACGCACACCGTCTTCAACTGTACCGGTCTCGGAGCCTTCTCCCTCGACGGCGTCAAGGACTCCAAGGTCTACCCGACCAGGGGCCAGGTCGTCGTCGTCAAGGCCCCACACGTCCAGGAAAACTGTGTCCGTTGGGGTCCGACCTACGCTACCTACATCATCCCAAGACCGCACTCCAACGGTGAGCTTGTCCTCGGCGGGTTCCTTCAGAAGGGGAACTGGACCGGCGACACTTTCGAGCTCGAGACCGCAGACATCATCCGCAGAACAACAGCCTTGCTCCCTAAAATCCTCGACAAGCCTCTGGACGTCATCCGTGTTGTTGCCGGCCTGAGACCAAGCAGACAGGGTGGCCCAAGGATCGAGGTTGAACACGTCGAAGACCACCTCCTCGTCCACAACTACGGCGCTGGCGGCTACGGCTACCAGGCAGGCTTCGGCATGGCCCACAAAGCCGTCGCCCTATACTCTAAGGCCCGCAGAGATGTCGCCAAGCTCTGATCTTGTGTATCCTCTGTAATTTTGTAAAGTTGACTAAACGCAGACCACCTAGTGAAATAAACCCTAACTCTCCTCTTATCGTCCCCGGAGTGCTTCTCCGTCTCCGAGGTGCCCGCATATACCCGTCCACTAAGCGCCGCATCAAGCGCTCGCCTGCGGCTGCGGCGGAGAGAATCATGTTTCTGCGTCGGGCCATTTCACAGATTGCACCAGCAAGCGATAGTCGGTGGGTCCCGCCGCCAGTGGTCTGATACGGCGCAGGATACGGGGTCTCCGAACAGCCTAACTAGTTCTTATTACCGCTTCTTGTTCGAGTTTGTATAAAAGGAGGAAGAAGTAGTGTGTTCTGGTGCTTCAGAGAAGAAAAAAAGGAAGAGACGCAAGAGACGCAAGGAGAAGTAAGAATCTTTCAGCAAGCTGAAACTGGACACGGTAAACTTTGATTCAGATTCCCTATTTAGATATAGAAAAGAAATGTCTAACGTTGTTGTGCTAGGTTCAGGTATTGTTGGCCTCTACACTGTGTGGTCGCTGATCACAGAGGCAAAAGTCAAACCATCCAAGATTGTCGTCATTGGAGAACATCTCCCTGGTGACTTGTCAATTAACTACACGTCGCCATGGGCCGGTGGTAACTTCTCCTGTATCTCTCCTAATGATGCAGACACCCTCTCCTTTGACAAATTCACCTACACAAATGTGGCGAAGATTCAGAAGGTCCTTGGGGGCCCATCCTGCGGCTTGGACATGAAACCAAGCACCGAGTTCTGGGATGAGTATCCCGGAGACGCCAAGATCAACTCCTTGAAAGGCTACTTGAAGGATTTTAAGGTCGTCCCATCATCGGAACTACCAGCCGGAACTGCATTTGGTATCACCTTCACCACATGGAACTTCAACTGCCCTCTATTCCTTGCCAACTTCAGAACCTACCTCGAAAAGACCGGAGTATCCTTCAGAAGACAGAAACTCACTCATATCTCTCAAGCTTACCTTCCACACACCGTTGCAGTGTTCAACTGTACCGGTATTGGCGCATTCTCGCTTTCCGGTGTCAAGGACTCAAAGGTTTACCCAACAAGGGGCCAGGTCCTGGTCGTCAAGGCACCACACATCCAGGAGAACAGAATGAGATGGGGCGCAGACTATGCCACGTACATCATTCCGCGGCCAAACTCCGGCGGTAAGCTCATCCTTGGTGGCTTTTTGCAGAAAGACAACTGGACAGGTGATACATTCGAAGAGGAAACAAAGGATATTATTAAAAGAACAACCGAGCTCATGCCAAAAATCTTGGATCAGCCTTTGGAAATCTTGGCCGTTGCAGCAGGCTTGAGACCAAGTAGACACGGAGGGGTGAGGATAGAAGCAGAAAAGGTCGAAGAGAAACTTTTGATCCACAACTACGGTGCTAGTGGATATGGTTACCAGGCAGGTTTGGGTATGGGACACAAAGCAGTCCAACTGTTTCAAACAACAGGAAAGGTTTCTGCAAAACTTTAAAGTTCCAGATCCCAAACAGAATTGTTTATATATACACTACAATATTTTTCTATAATCATGGCGCCTTCTATAGCCATAATAAACAGCTTGCAAACTCTAGTCTAAAGCAAATTTATACTAACTACACTACCAGTACTTCCAAGATTCAACAGCAGTGCAGCCGATTGACGTCTCAATTTCCGTGGTATTATTAAAATTGACAAAGCTCTCCGGAGTCATGTACTGCAAAAGAGCTTCGGCAGGATCTTCCAAAAGACCTACGCCTTTACCTCCTAAAGTAGTTCTGAAAGTCTCAAAGCCATTTTGTTCAAATTTAGCAAAAAGTTTCTCGTAAGTCTCCGCATCAACATCATCCTTCAATAAGGTAATAGCACAGCCTCCACCACCTGCACCTGTCAGCTTGGTTTCCCCCATCTTCAGCTCATCACAATACAATTTGACCCTTTCTAAGTTCGGATGCGAAACACCAAGAGACACCAAAAGACCATGGTTAATTCTCATCAACTCCATCAATCTCGCCTTGGAGTCTTCGTCAAAAAATGGGCGCAACATCAAGTTGTACGCTTCTCTAGCAATGGCCTCCATCGACTCTAATATACATCCCGTCGATTTAGGGAAATCATTTACAATTCTTGCAACGTTGGAAACCAGATCCGCAGTCCTTCTAGGCGTCTTTGTGTTTGTCAAAAGCAGATTAATAGACGGCAGGTTTCTCATCGAAGTACGCACGTTGGGAACTGCGTTCTCCATTCTCTGGAACATAACCGCACCACCATGTGTAGCAACAGCATTATCAATCCCACTTGGGTTGCCATGAATACACTTTTCCCCCATATATGACCAAGCGTCAATGAACAAACATTCATCCGAATCTTTCACAATTTTGGAGTCTCTCTCCAGACCTGCCGCCTTAATATGGCCTCCAATGTAGGCAAATGCACTTGCGAGACAAACAGAAATAGAGGCAGATGAGCCTAATCCAGCTCCAATTGGCAAAGTCGACCTCACGGTAAAGGTGAGGCCATGTTCCACTTCTCCGTGACATAATGAAACAAATAAATATAAGAAACAGTATGCAGCAGCGTAGTGTAAAGGCGACGTGATTGTTGTCAACATTGGAGTCAACCCATTAACTAGTTCCGCATTAAGCTCTTCTATTGCAGGGGGTCTCCCTTGCTCATGTGTAGAAAGGTCCCACGGCATTTCGGATTTCATCCATTGATGGCTCAGTCCAATGTCAGGAAATTCCAGTCGAATATATCCTTCTGGATCGTCTTCATTCTTCGAAACCAACAAGTACGTTCTTAATGAAAGAGCAGCAGCAATAGCAGGCTATAATATCTCAAAAAGGTTGAATTAGTATTATGAAGGTGCTGAGAGGTAGGGTAGTTGATATCATGACATACTTTGTTATAAACAGCAGAGTGCTCTCCAAAAAGAATGACTTTACCTGGAGCACTTGTCAAAAAAGGATAATTCACCATTACTGGTTTTGCCTGTTAGCAGAAGAAAAAGCTTATTTGTCTTGCGATAAGTTCCTTTCTTTTATAATAAGATAGATATTAAGGTTCGGAATCATTTTCATGCTCATCAAAGCTTCGACATGTCTTCGATTAAGCGTTACCGTTTTCGTAAGCGAGATATACGACTTCAATATTGAATTGGTCCGTGCACCAGGAAAAAATAACGGTTCACCGCCTGAAAAATTATGAGAAAAAAAATTTTAAGACTATTTCAAAATCTTCACCTTAAATATTACCCCGACTTGAATCATTGATAAAAGAAAGGAAAAACAACAGTAGTCGTTGAATCAACAAACGACATGGTAGAAACACAAGATAATATTAAGGACCAAGTGAAGGTGAAGTTTTTCACCCGAGATGAAGATGAATCACTCCATTGCTCGCAGAACCCTATATATATTCCAGTATCCTTGAAAAGGTTCGGTTTATCTGAGATTGTTAACCATTTACTAGAAACTGAAACTCCTGTGCCTTTTGAATTCTTGATTGATGGTACTATCCTAAAGACTGATATACAGGACTATTTAGTCAAGAACGGGTTATCAACAGAAGCATTTCTAACCCTTGAATATACCAGGGCAGTCTTACCCCCAAAGTTTTTATCCAGTTTCAATAACGACGATTGGATTTCTTCCATTGATTCTATAAGTTCTATGGAACTTCCAGGATCAGATAAAACCAGTATTGTCACAGCGCCAAAAATATTGACTGGTTCATACGATGGTATCGTTAGAATTTATAACTCTTCGGGTAAAGTTGAAACCCAGCTTACAGGACACTCACAACCGGTTAAGGCGGTTAAATTCATAAGTCCCACGAAGTTTATCACTGCGGGTATGGATAGATCTATCAGATTATGGAGAGCTGGAGTTGTGAGTGACGAAGACATTGGAAAAGATACGCAAGCAGGTCACACATTTGCATTACTAGATTACCACAAAAGCGCAGTTTCAAGTTTAGACCTAAGTTTGAAAACCAATAGAATAATTTCCGGATCTTACGATAATTCCCTTGCCCTTTGGTCAACTAATCCCAAAGAAATGAATACATCTGATCCAATAGATGCATCAGAAAGATTGTCCTCTGCCTCAAGAAAAAGATTAAAGCTTGCTATCAAGGATTCTTCAATTAGAAGGAAAGCGCCATTATCAATCCTCGAATCACACCGTGCACCTGTCGAAGGAGTTTTATTTGATGAAAATGATCCATCCGTTGCTTACTCTGTTTCTCAAGATCATACTATCAAAACATGGGATTTGGTGACAGCACGTTGTGTCGACACAAAGCAAACGAACTATTCATTGTTATCGTTAGTTGCTTTAAAGAGTATGAATCTTCTTGCAACTGGATCATCAGCAAGACATATCAATTTGCATGACCCAAGAGCTGCAAAAGTCACTAACAGTCAACTTATAGGACATACAAATTTTGTGGTTTCATTGGCTACAACTGATAATGAATACATGCTTATATCGGGATCCCACGATGGTACTGCCAAAATCTGGGATATCAGGGCAAACAAGGCAATGTACACTATTACTAGACAATCAGAAGAAGCAAAGAGCAAAGTGTTTGCTGTTAACTGGGAAAAGGAAGTCGGCATCATCAGTGCCGGCAGCGATAAAAAGCTTCAGATAAATTCAAGTGCTGAGTTCAAGTAAGGAACGAATTGTGGAGTAATCTCTTTAGTCTATTTATATAATTTATATAGTTGACTGAACTACTGAAAAAGTTTTCTAATAAAAATAGGGCACATCATTCAATATATAAACGGAGCTCAACTAGTGAGTTCAACAATTTTTGAAAACTTTTATTTTTTTACAGCTGACCACATGGTGACGTTATAATATCCTTGCCATAATCCTTTTTTGTCAGTTAAATATCCCAATAACTTCGGATCTGGTTCGTCTGCAAAATCCCAGCCCATTCCTTTGACTAAAGTTCTCAATTCCATATCGGAAACTTCAATCTTAGCAGCCGTACCATATTTTAAAGGACCCAAATTGATCCATTTTTTGGTACCTTTGAAGCTCGAGGAAATTCTGTTTATGGCTTGAAGGTATTCTATCAAATTTTCAGCAGTATCAAGGAAAAAGCACGTAACAAAAAGAAGATTTTCTGGACTTTCTGTGGGTCTTAAATGTTCTTGAATTTTGAATTTTGTGAAATCTGCATTATGAATTGCCAAGTTTGATGGTTTGGCAATTGAATGAGAGATCTCGACGGGCCTTAGCTGATCATCTACCGTCAAGTGGTTAGAATAAGTGTGCAGGTAAGGATAAATGTTTAACTTTTTTATGTTCTCCTGCTTTAAGTACAAGAACTCGTTCATGAGAACCATCAACCAGGAAAATTCAACTGCATGAACTGATGAAAAATTCAACTGAGCCAGAGTATGAGAAACTTTGCCTAACCCTGATCCTGGGACTATTGCCACTGTTTTGTCATTGTCTAAATCTTTGCACTGTTGTTTGATATATTCCAATAACGGAGTGACTTCTTCGGACGGGGTTACAGGCCAGTCACGGGCATAATGACACAAACCTTCAACAACTCTGAAATAGTTATTTCTCTTGCTAGCGGTAGCTTGTTCCTCAACAAGTTTCAACTCAAAGTCTTTGATCTCATACTTTTTAATCGCGTTTGACACAATGGTTGATAATATTTCATTATTCTTGTCAAAATGATTATCCACTAAATTGAGTTTTTTAGGATAGTCTATGCAGCTTGCAATTTTCTGTTGTAAAGGGGACATCTGTCTAAATAGAACTCGCCTTCTGTTATTCCATTTGTATGCATTTTGCAGATAGGAGTTTATATCATATACAGAACTCACTAATTCATTCCTACTTCTATCCAGTTTCAACTCTTTCACTTCATTAATTTCATGTGCATATCTGTATATTTTTTTCTTTAATGATTGCAGCATATTGGTCTGGCTCAACACCGTGGTGAATAGGAAAGAGCAGATGATTATCGGTAACTTGTTTGACTCAGGTAAAACAGACCGTAGTACCAAGTATAAAAGGATGATTGTTGAGGTCCGAGAAATAAAAATGGACGACTCGCCGATGGCTTCAAAAGAGATTCTATTCATAACCAAGTACCTTCCCTGTACTAGTAAATAACCTCCAGCATAGTATATGAATAATTTCCATATAAGGGAACATTTACGTCAAACTCATTGACATTAAGCATGGCGCAACTAACGAAAAAACAATATACCAGCTCGGTTGTTTTTTACTTTTCGGAAATGGGAATGAATGTTAGAGCTCTTGTTTTATTAGGTTTCCAATTCTAAATTAATAAAATAAACTGATAGCATTAGCAGTTTATACACAGATACAATGTCGGAAATTATTTCCATAGGAACAGATATCCACAAAATGAGCCGATTTCTAAACATATTGAAGCGTAACGGTCCCCTCACAGTTTTCAAGACAAAGCGATTTAGTGAACGAGTATTGAATGCCAAACATGAACTACCGAAGTTCAACAAGTTTCTATCTATGAATGAAACTGAAGAATGTGCTCGAATACTATCGGTATCTTGGAGTGTCAAGGAAGCCGTATATAAAACCCTCGATGATGAGGATCAACGTGAGTTTATCATGAAAGATTGGTATAAAATTAATGATTTGCGTGGAAGGCCGCTCATTTGTAATCCTATATACGAGTCATTAAAAAAGAATGAAACCTTCCTATGTACTATAAGTCATGATGGGGACTTGGTGAGTTCCTTTGTGCTTCGAAAACGTTTATGAAAAGAATATTCTAGAGGAGGCCGGTCCTGTACAAGAAGTATTTTGTTATACTATAATTTTATGTCTAGAAAATATTGGTAACCAAAAGTTACAAAACTGGTAAAGCCCTCTATATGTACATATATAAAAGTATGTATAGCTACTAATCTACTCCCATTCAACGGTAGCTGGAGGCTTGGAAGTGATATCATATGTAACTCTGGCAACACCATCAACTTCGTTAACAATTCTGGAAGAAACCTTCTTTAAGAAGGCAGCTTCAAAGACATACCAGTCCGCAGTCATGAAATCGGTGGTCTCAATGGCTCTCAAAGCAATAACTTGTTCGTAAGTTCTTTGATCACCGACAACACCGACGGACTTGACAGGCAAAAGAGCAGCAAATGCTTGAGAGATGTTGTTGTACAAACCGTGAGCTCTAATTTCTTCGATAAAAATGTAGTCGGCTTCTCTAGCAATCTTAACCTGTGCAGGAGTAACTTCACCTAAGACTCTGATACCAATACCTGGGCCTGGGAAAGGGTGTCTCCAGACCAATTCGTCTGGGATGCCCAAGATCTTACCTAAGTTTCTGACCTCGTCCTTGAATAATTCTCTCAAAGGTTCGATCAACTTGAGCTTCATGTCCTCTAACAAGCCGCCAACATTGTGGTGGGTTTTGATGGTTTGGGAAGGACCCTTGAAGGAGATGGATTCAATGACGTCTGGATACAAGGTACCTTGCAACAAGTATTCAATTTCAGAACCGTCCTTTGGCTTAATCTCGGCACCAACTCTTTCGAAAACGTGGATGAAGGTGTTACCAATAATCTTTCTCTTCTTCTCAGGGTCAGTAATTCCCTTCAACTTGGACAAAAATTCCTCTGCTGCATCGACAACAGTCAGATTGATACCTAAACCGTCATCTAAAGTTTTCTTGACAGTAACTGCTTCGTTTTTACGCATCAAACCATTGTCCACAAAAATCGCGTGGAATCTGTCGCCAATAGCTTCCTTCATCAACTTGGCACCGACGGTAGAGTCGACACCACCGGAAACAGCACCAATGACCTCGGCAGTTGGACCAACCAATGTTCTGATTCTTGTGATTTCGGTGTCGATGAAGTTCTTCATGGTCCAGTTCTGCTTAGCATGGCAGATTTCGACCGCAAAGTTCTTCAACAAAACTTTACCGTGCAGGGAATGAGTCACCTCTGGGTGAAATTGCAATCCGAAGATTGGCTTTTCAATGTTGGCGATACCGGCATATGGAGAGTTGCTCGTGTCAGCAACGGTCTTATAGCCGGTTGGCAAGGCAGTCAACTTGTCGTTGTGGGACATCCAGACTTGGGAGTTGTCGACACCTTTGAACAAAGGACAGGAGTCGTCAACAACGTTGATGACTGCAGGGCCGTATTCCCTCTTTTCACCTCTGCCGACACCCTTACCGTTGATCCAAGCCAACTCTTGCATACCGTAACAGATACCAAGGATTGGAACATTCAGGTCGAAAACGGCAGGGTCGACGTGTGGAGCGCCGTCTTCAAAAACGGAGTATGGACCACCGGAGAGAATCACACCAACAGGCTTGAAAGGTAATTCACCAATCTTTTGAGTGCATGGCAACATCTCAGCGTACACGTTGAACTCTCTCAACCTTCTGATGATCAAATGGGAGTATTGGGAACCGAAGTCCAACACCAAGATGGTGTCGAAGGTCTGGTGTGCTGGAGCAACTTCTTCAAGAGACATTGTCTGAGTGTAGCTTTGATTATCCGGAGAAAAGAAAGAAAAAGGGCACAAACAGACAGACAGCTGGTTGTTTAACTCAAGAATACGTCTTCTTTTGATCCCAAGAACGAACGAAGCTACAACCCAAGGGAGAAGACCGAACCAACAGTCCAGCCGGGACTGCAGCCGTCGAAACGAAAGGAAAAAGAAACACAGGAACATGTCTTACGGAAGGAAACAAAATTTTTTTATCCTTCTATCACGATCGAAAATTTGATGCTGCACTGGGGCCGCGGCTACGGTCAGAGTCATCCCAGCAATAAAGCACTTTTACGAGGGGAGGAGAAACCGATCGGCTAGCGGGGCTGAAGTGAACAGAGGACCTGGCAATACCAGATAATATTGGCGCATACATCTGGCTATCAGGTGGATTGCGAAGACTGAATAGTAGTTCAGATGGAACAGTCAATGGTGTTTAGCGAAGTAGACGGCCACCATCTTTAAGTAGAAGCTTTTCTGCTAACGTAATCTTTTTTTCGTGACTGCTAAGCAAGAGTTTTCTAAAATTCATTAGCTGCAACTCCTGATTCCAGTAGCTTCAACTTTATTGTATGAAGAAATAGGTTAGCCAGTCTGTGTTCAAGGCATTCAGAAGTCTTAGAAGAACAAGTATTGCATCATAAAGGTTATTCGTAAATCAAGCTATATTGAGAGGTTAAACACGCAAAACATTTGTCTTCTTGATATCTTACAACAAAACCCTTGTCATGAGAAGATATCAAAAACACGTTAAAACAAAGACGCTGGCTAGTTTAGAAGACCGCTTCACGTTCTCCAACCACGTAATACCTCTGTTGCGTACAAAATTAAACCAAGACAGGTGACCAAGTGATCTACTTGTACGATATAAAGATGCGTGGGGCTTTGATTGCGATAGAAGGGCTTGATCGGACGGGTAAAACTACACAAACTGAACGTCTACTGGCCAAACTAAAAGAGTTGAACATCACACACAAGCTGGTGAAGTTCCCCAAAAGAGACACCCAGATTGGCAAGCTCATCAATACATACCTCACAGAAAAGTCTTTTGATTTGAATGACCAAGCAGCACACCTTCTGTTCAGTGCAAACAGATGGGAGGTTATTGAGGAGATCAAAAAAGACTTACAGGACGGCACGGTGGTGATACTCGACAGATACGTGTATTCTGGCGTGGCGTACTCGGCTGCCAAGGGGTTGGACTTCCAGTGGTGTCTGAGCCCTGATATTGGGTTGCCAAAGCCTGATCTAACCATATTCCTGAAGTTTAGACAAAGTGAAAATGCAAGCAGAGCCGGGTTTGGTGACGAGAGGTACGAGGTGGCCGAATTTCAGGAAAAGGTCAAACACATCTTTGAGAACTTCAGCACCAACAGCGAATGGTCTCCCTTGTACGTCGATGGGTTGAGCATTGACCAAGTCCATGGGAAAATATGGGCGTTGTTACAGAAGTATCTTGGGGGCCTTGACAATGGTTTGCAGGTTTTTTCGATATAATTGGTTTTATATATTTTCATTATAAAGGAAGGATACATAGTACTAATAAAATACACTGGCATATAATATAAAAGATACTTAAAGGAACGGTACTGGTGACCGGAACATTTAGTACATCAGAATTGTGGCAACACTGGAAAGTCAAAAGAAAAAAAAGAGGCTGGAGAAATAAAACATATTGAAAAAAAAATCGCAAAGCATAATCCCAAACATCCCAGACGTCGTTGCTTCATTCACAGGTCAAATATCAAAACATTGAAACACATTTCTAGACGATTCATGTTATTAAGCGACTTACACAAATGCCAAGTTTGCATAAAGAGATAGAATTGAGGTGAAAAGTGCATTGATTAGGACCCAGTTCTGGAAAGTATCTTTCAACTTCAAGGTTGCAACAAAAGCGTAATGCTTCACAGCCTCGTATGCGTTATCGCGGAAGGCGTATTTGATCTCGTTTCCAACAGTTGAGAGAGTGAAATCTGACTTAAAAACAATGATTGCCAAGAACAACTTTGCAAGTGACTCAGTGAAGGCATCTCTGTCGAAGTCGTAGGTGAAGTTCACGTAGTATGAGAAAATCAATGGTAAGGCCTTGGCAGAAACCAACCACAAAACTAGGGAAGCAGCGTTGGTGAGGTTGAACGACGATGTAGAGATGACAGGGAAGGTCTGCGCAAACGCAGGAAGATATTTCAACACTGAGGATGGCAAGTAGGTATCAAGGGTGGTTAAGGAGATCAATCTGTAGAGCAAGACTGCGGTTTCAATGCTGAACGTCAACTCGTTGATGGTGTATGGGTCACCCAAGTAGTCTCTGAGCTCGTAGTTCTTGAGTTCAAGATACTCCGAAACAGTTCCGTGCTGAATTGCCTTCACCAAGCTGGTGTAGCATTCGAAGTCGAAGTCCTCGTCGTCTTCATCATCGTCCTCGTCGTCCTCGTCGTCATCATCGGCCTCTTCGTCGCCCTCAGCATCTTCATCGTCATCATCGTCTTCATCTGCATCACCGTCGTTGTCTTCTGCTTCTTCCGTTTCGTCGTCATCGTCTTCAGCAACATCTACCTCCTTCACGTCACCGTTCTCGCTTTCAATAAAGACCGTCTTCTTAGGCGACCCGAACTTGGATAGGACAGCGAGCTCGTAGTACTTCGAGTTCTCGTCAAACTTCTCTGAGTTGGAGATGAAGTAGTCTCTTACCACCTCGTAAACGTCCTTCTTCACCTTGCATTCGGCGATGTCAATATCGAGGTCTTGTGCGATTTCAACCAATTGGCCCTTGGTTTTCTTTGAAAGTGTGGACATCTTGATAATGATCTGGTGTTCTGTGTATCTCTCCTAACAACGTAGCAACAGCTCTGCGGTATTGCTCAATTTCTGAAAAAAAAACACGTCAGGATAGCAAGCAAAGGGGGTGCAGCACTAAGCAAAATGTAAAGGTAAACACAGCAACAGCAGCAAAAGCAGCAACAACAACAACATCTTCATGAACCGTTCCACACATGTCTGGGGCACCCCGCCGCCTTTATACGTTTGTTTTTTTCCCGCTGGGTCGTTCGTCCTTGTTTGTTTACCTTTTGCCCTATACGGAGTTTTTCTCATGCAGATGCACTCCATCGAAGTGTCAGATTCGGAGGCCTGAAGCACGCAGAGGAACCCCGACAGCATTGTCAAAGGCGGTTATTAGCCGGACACAGACCGGTGCTGCTGGGGTGCTACTTGGTGCAAAATAAAGGCAGCAGGCGGGGCACGTGGAATGGGTTTTTGCGTAGCGTTTGGCAGTTTATGCAGGTTGGCAAGCAAGTTTCTCACAATATCGTAGACTCTACGTGTTCTACAGCAAGGCCTCCTGCTGAAGCACAGCGGAGACAGATGCGGCAAAGCCAGAAATGGAACGGAGGGAACTGTAGCTGGCTTATATCTATCTATACAAGTTACTTACCCCGTTTGGCACAGGGAAGTTCTATAGGCCCAATAGTTCCTCCTCACGGGATCGAGCTCCTCACCAAGGAGGCGATACACCTTCCTCATCTGCTCCATCTTGCCCTCGTCTCTGTAGATATCCCCCAGAAGCTCGAACGCCGGCACGGAGAGACGCTGCTCCTCAAGCACCTTGCTGAAATCATCATCCAGGTTCTCGTTGCAGCTGTACTCGCTGGCCAGCGTTCTGATCAATGCAACGCAGGCACAGGCTTCCGGTTCGCCCAAAGCCCGAGCCTTGGTGCAAAAAGAGTACAAGAACTTGAGGTAGTTCCACGACGAAGGATTCGTGATCGAGCTGGCGATGTACTGCTTAGCAAACTCGACCTCACTCGTTAGCCGTCCATTCTCTAGCGGCGACTCATCGCCAAACACCACCAAATGTCGGAAGTTCCACGCAGAGTTGTTCCTCACATCTCTATCTATAAGCTCCTGCGTGTACGCCAACTCTCTGTCGCTTCGGAAGAGGTCAAAATACGACACAATCCAGCGTTTGTGCGACCACACATGGTAGTTTTTCTCATCGCTGTCTAGCATCTGACGTACAACCTCATACTCACCGTCCAGGTCGTACTGTAGTTTATCACCACCCAGGCCGTGCTTAATCTTCAATTCAATGACCCTCTCACGATAGTTCCAGATCTGGTAGTTTTTCTCATTATTCAGTGCCAAGTCTGCACACCACTTCAGCTCCTCATCCACGTCGTACTTGCATTCGTAGACAAGCTTCTCCACAATCCGGTACTTGTACTCCCAGACGGTGTAGTGGGCTGGCACGATCGAGATGGCGCAACACGCAACGTACATGGCTCTCTCAGAGAGTTCGTCTTTCGCCATCAAGGCACGGAGGTACGAAAACACAGTCTGAAACTCCACCGTGTACATGATCTTACACAAAACCACATCCTTGGTCTCAGGAGCCTCATCTGAAACCGGCAGAGGTGTGATATCATCGAAGTTGTATTTGTCGTTGTTCATGGTCGTTATTCTTCAAAATCAAGTACTGTAATTATCCCCCAAAGCCAAACTGATCTGCACCACCACACTTCTAAACAGAGACAACGGCAGACAAAGAAAAATGACAGAGAATATTTGACAGGCAGTAGCAAGTCTGTTCCACAGCACTGTCCTTCTGCTGAGGAACTTCCTCGTCAGGAGCGTTTCATTTTCTTAGTCTCAACCAGAAATTTCCTTTTCGGGCGACCACAGTCTGTCTTCCCCAGCGTAGACGTGCGAAATGAGGCTGCACACTGCAAGGACGACTCCCTTGTGTACTGGTCGGTCTAAAGTGGATTGCAAGAAATACAAATCTGATATACAATTAGCGATACACACGGAACTACGCATCACACACGGAACTACGCATCACACAGCCATCTTGGCCTTGCACTCGTCGCAATACCACTCTCCCTTCGGTAGCTCTTTCAACCCGGTGCAGGGCAAGTGGAACCATTCTTTCTCACAATGGGCACCGTCACACCCAACCATCTCTCCGTAGGACACTTGCTGGCAATAGCAGTACACTGGTTCGCCCTCGTAGTTAGCCGGCGAGGTAGCAGTCGTGACCTTGTGTTGGGATTCTTTTCTGGCTCGGGAAGCGTGGCCCGAGTCCGAGTGGTTACCGCTTCTTGCTTTGCTGCTTCCACCACCAGCACTGCGGGAACTGCTAATGTTGCTGTTTGTGCTGTTGGCATTGCCACCGCCGTGGCTGTTCGCAGCGCCATTCGTTCCACCGTTGGCACTTTTGGCGTGGTTGACCGAAGAGCTTCCGTTCCTGGAACTCTGGATGCTGTGATCGTTCTCCCTCTTTGTTTCTTTTTTTACCTTGGAACTCTTGCTCTTCTTTGCAGTACTATGTACACTCATATTTGAGCTGGTTCCATTTTGAGTATGAGCGCCGTTGCCGTTGGTCCCAGTTTGCTTGTTGTAGTTGTAGTCTTCCTCTGCAGTCTTCCTCTTTTTCGAGTTGACGTTCGCCGTACTCGTGGTGGAGCTATGTGTCTTCGTCTCCTTTTTCGATGACCTCTGTGGCTTCTTCATTGGTCCTGAAGAATCTTCCGCTGCTGTTCCCTCGTAGTCGTCTTCAAATGAACCCCCGTTCCGAGCCTTCTTCGCAGCCAACGCCTCTCTTCTGCTTTCACTACGCTGCTGATGCACTGTCTTAGGTTCACTCACTTTCATACACGGTTCCCACAGCGGCCCTATCCTGATAATCTCAGGAATCTCCTTATCGACGATTATGTCATATGCCTGGTCGAGTTTGTTGACATATTTTCTCACGTGGTCAGAAGCAATAGTTGCAACGTGCATCTTTTCCTCTAAGCATGGCATGATCTCTCGAATACACTCTCTTATTCTAGACAGCAACAACGATCTCTTAGGATGGTCCTTTCTCATAGTTAAAAATCGCTTGATGTATGCCTGAAGGTGTGGAACCGTGTACACACACTTTGCCTCAATCTCTTTCAGCAACGTGAAATAGCTGATAATATCTTGCGGCAAGGCATGTAAGGAATCGGTCAGCTCGTTCAAACCCAAACATATGTCGGATATCTGCGGGTTGGCAATCGTCTTAACATGGTGGTTGTGATTCTGTTGGTTGAACTTTTCCTCGAGCTGCTGCTTCTGCTTTCGATCGATCAATCGCTGAGATTTGTTACGTGGCGGTAAATTATCGACAGCCATGGTTCTGTACTGCTTGTGATATCCATTTAACTGCTATGACCAATATCTTGCAGCCCCTCCTGAAACTCCGGCTACAATTAAGTCTGTACTTTCCTGCAAACTTAGATTGAGAGAGAGGGCTTCCGTGATAAAAAGCTTCCTCGCGGGAAGATCCGTGCACCGATAAATCTTGCGATATCGGAGGATAGCACAAGAGCTGATCATCCCAGAGAACGGAGAAGACTTTTAAAGAGAAGCATATTGACAACTCGACGGTTGCTTAATAACAGGACAACATGTGGGAGAATAAACTAGTGAAAGCTTCACAGAGCATTGTGCGTTGCTTTTCGCTGTCCTCCAGAAAATGTTTGTTCGATAAATCGCCTCCAAAAATCCCGATGATCTCCCCGCTGTTGAATCATCGAATGCTTGGAAAATCTCACTTCATGTCCACTGTAGACGAAGAAACAATTATAGAATTGCTGCAAAACATCTCAGAAATACCAGTTTCTGTTTCCGAAGTGAAATATGTTAACTTTGCCGATCTTCCGCATTCGAAAAGGCTTCCTACTCTTCCTAAAGACTTGAGTGAAAAGTCAATCGTCGATTATGTCAATAAACTCGTCCAGTATAGGTATCCACGTTCTTTTACAAATCAAATAGGAGAGGCACTTTTGGAAATAGTGCTATCATCTCCAGAGCTTCTCACAAAAAAACATTATTTGAGCATAATACTTTTTTATCATTTTCATACAAACCATAAGGTGGGACTCCAGGTTCTCAATTTAATGATAGCCAATACTCAGATAAGGCAAGATATAGATTTTGACAATGTTTTGATGTCCCCCACTGTACGGCCTCCTGTATATAGACAAATAATCGAAAGGCTAGATACTTTGAAAGGAAAAGACTTTGCTGCAAATACCAACACTTGGTATTACTTGTTCAATGTGTTTAAGAACCCAGAACCTAAGATTAAAATGCTTGAGCTGATGGGAGAGTACAAGGTGTCTCTCAAGCCTGTGCTTGGATCTCTTTCTCCTATAATAGAGTATTTCACACCGGAACAATTGACTGATTTGTATCAATCTGAGGGATGTTTTCTAGAGAACGGAGAGATAGACCCTGTCTTAGTCAACCAGTTGGTGGCTTGTTACTTGAAAGATTCTAGAGTTGACGAGGTGTGGTCAATGATACAAAATAATTCGGATTTGGAGAAGTTTATCACTCCCGGTTTGTTTGTTGTATTTGCAAATCATTTTTTAAAGAATAATCAACTAGCGTTTGCTATTGCATTTGCAGATTATTTACAAAAAAATTATAAGGTGAAAACAACTCCGATTTTAACAAGTATGATCTTGAATGTCTACTTGAAGGATTGTCCATTCTTTGACCGCTGGCTCAGTTTAGTGAGAATTTTTATGCCAGGTGTAAAGAGGTATCATGTGTTCTTGAACACGAAGACCATATCAAATTTGAATGATTATTGCAGTCTTTATAAAATCAGCAACGACTTCGATGTAATGGAGGGTCAAGATTTTACCACCATGAAGGCTATCTATAGCGATTTGGTATGGAATGATAAGCCAACCTTTGAATTATCTGAAAATAGTCCTGATTTTATCAAAACTGCAAAATTTATCGGGCAATCGCAGTGATAGGGAAATGTCTAAAGTTATAGAATTAATTGAAAAGGAAAAAGAAAAAAAAGCACTTTTAATCCTGCTTTCTTTCGGTAGACGATGGTCTTCACGCTCAATAAGTTAGCCAGCTCTATAAAACTAAGGTTAATTTACATCGTGAAAGGATTAACTATTAATTCCGCAAGAAAGAAAATAGATTAGAACGAACTGAAAAAAGGAGGGGAAAAATAAAGTGTGACCATTATCCGTGTAGCAAAATAAAGATGCAATAAAACATTCTAAGTTTACCGAAAAAGAAGAAAAATACATGATGACTCAATTCCCACCAATGCAAAACACAAAATCACTGAACGGCCTTGAAACGCTTAGCCGAATTCGAATTTGATGAGGGGTCAACTATTGGGTTGACGGTGTCATCTCCACCTAAGTTTGTATCATTTAGTCCCGTTTGCTCGTAAAGACGTTTTTTATTGTCAATTGCTGGAGCTTTCCCATTGGGGATATCCAGCGAAGGATGAGATAAAACTGGTGTTTGAAGTGGACTATCTGTGTTAATAAATCCATCGACACTACTGAAGTCAACAGGGGTAGTGCCAACACCATTCATATCTAAGGGCTGCTGTAGAAAATCGTCTACTTTAAAGTCCTCTGGTAAGGAAATGTTGTCTGATTCCAGGTTATCATTGTACTTGTTCAGCCAATCATTAACTTGTTTCAAAGCACCTTGATTTTTGTGTAGCTGTTGGTGGATGTTACCCATCAGTTGATTTGGAGCGGGTTCCGTGGGTGTTCTCAGGTTATTATTTGAGGTTCTACTGTTTGAATTATAGGAGTCGGAAGGATCGAACATAGGCACGCTACTTACGGACGCAATAGGAGTAGTTTGCCCATGGTAGTAAGATGGCCTCTTGGAACCAGAGCTCAATTGAGTGATTTTCGGATCCTGATTGTACTCAGTTTGTGGAACACTGTAAGGTGATCTTTGAACCGAATAGTTAGAGTCAGAAGAGATACCATTCACCATTTGATTACTCAAGCCATTGCCCATAGAGTCACCGACATTGGGCAATTTTTGTGGCTGTAGGAAAGGTCTCGAAGAATCGATATAGCTAGGCATCTGCATACTATTGGAGAGGGTATTTGAATTTGAGTTTCTATTTTCTGGTCCTCTATGGATCTCTTGAATGCTTGAATCAATGGCATCAGCCTGGGAAGGAACATAGCCCAAATTGTTCATTCTCAACTCATTGGATTTGGCGCTCTCTGGCGTACCTGCAGGGTTTGATGATGGGGTGATCTCGTGAGACCTGTTGGTAATCATCAATTGTCTTCTTGCGTTACTGTTGGGTTGGAAAGAGTTCCCTGGAGGAGTATCATAACCGTGTGGCAACTGTATTTGATTTGGGTGGCGGTTGTTGTAGACTTGGTGATGATAAAGGTGGTTGTTCTGACTTGTGTCTATGTTAGTAACATTCAAGTCTCCAGCCATATTATCATGGCTGTTGTTTGTAACACTGTTACTACCACTTGCAGGAACGTAGTAACCGTAATCGGCTGGATAATGATTAGTACCATAGTTGCCATTATTTTGGTTTATCTCAACCAAATCACCGGGGTTGTTATTCATTTGCTCGATCAGTCTAGTGGTATTGTTACCGTAAATACTGGCCAAGAACCTCATGATTTTGTCTAACGTTTCAGATTGTATCTTATGACGTTCTCTAGCAATGAAATTTTCTTTCCACAACATCTCGTTATCCTGTCTGACTCTTTTAAGGTCCTCTGAGATTAACATCTGATTTCTTTTCATTTGTTCTAGTTGGGTCAGCAGATGCTTAAAATCGACTTCTTCCTCTTCGTTTTCTCTGGCTGGCTTGTTTCTGACAATGTTATCAAGAAGGTCTTCTCTGCCCTTCAAAAAGTTGGGGTTTTCAAACTGCCAGACTTCATCTGTCTGTACGAGGGCACCCGAGTTGACATCCTGAATCTTGTGCCAGCCGTACATGTTTAACTGTCTTACAAAAGAGGCAAAGTTGTTGTGTTTGAAGTACTTTGGAAGAACATACTTCATGAAGCTCTCGCGATCTTTCACCTGGAAGGCGTCGCCCTTGGCCATCCAGGAGATGTAGTGGTCGTTGGAAGGGTCGTTGACCATTTTCCACAGTTTCACGACAAAAGCAGGTCTTTTCAATGGCACGGATGGCAATGGTTTTTTCTTGTTTGTCTTCTTCAAGGCGGTAAGCGATTTGCTATTGCCGCTGGAGATGTTTCCACTGATTGTGTCGCCGTCGTGAGTCTGCGCAGTGGCTAGTTCATTGCTGGTAATTTCGTTTGAGAGCATACCATTCTCTAGCTTGATGGTATCCAATAGCTCGTCTTTGGCGATCGAGCTGTGACCTGACTTTTCTGGAGTGTTACTTTGGTTCTTGATGGTGCTGACGTTAGAGTCGGTCCGGGAGATGCTGCCTGCATGGCTACTAGGCTTGTAGTAGTTGGATAAGGCATAGCTGTCTGGGATCCCCGCCAAGGGGAAGGACTGCTTCTCCAAGTCACGGCCTTGACCTTGGTTCTGGCCTTGATTCAACGGTGTCAAATCTTGCATGATCTGGGAGGTAGCGGAGCTCTCTGGCGGCAGCATGTTTGGGGCAAGCGCTGAAGTGTTTTTGGAGCCGGAGATACCATTAACGTGGGAGGCCTGCAACTCCGGGTTGTGCAGCGAGGCCTCGGAGGGAGTGGTGCCGGAGCTCATGAAGAGCGGGAGGTCTGTGATCTGACTGTCAAGCGCCATGCTGTTGAGGTCGTCTGTGTCCATTTTGGCAGCGGCAGTCCTGCTTGCTGGGAAGACAAATGGGTCGTCGGGGTTGGCGGTGTCTTCTTGTTTGATTCTCTGTCCGTCCATGGGGAAAACAGGGCTGGGAATACGGGTGGAATGTGTCTAAGTGTCTAAGTGTCTAGGGGTGTGGGGAATGTTTCTGCGGTTCTTTTTGTTATCCAGATAATATTGTGTTTGTACGATGTACCTTATTCCATGAATTAAGCGACAAATACGGCCACTACTTCTGGGGTGTCAGCAAGAGCGGTTCTTTCGGGCAAACAAGTGGTCAGCGGCGAATGCAGACGGTCGAAGCCCGGACTGGTGGTATTGATCGACGATGCGATTCGTGGGGAGGATGTGCGAGCGTGCCCTTGTGTCAAGACAGCAGGTCTTGAGTGACGCTGTTGGTTCTCGGACAGGGTGGGCAGTGACGTTGGGACGGCCAAAACGGACCCTTGCAGCTCAATTGCGGGTGTGCTGATGTGGTGGCGGCGAGTAGGCGGTAGACAGCAGTGAAAACAGTCTGGACCGATGTGCAGTCTCTCTGTTGTGCAGTCTGTCTGTGTGTTTGGCAGGCTTGCGGTGTCTGTCTTGCTGAGCTTTGCTGAGCTTTCCGATGCATAGCTGAGCTTTCCTTGCAGAAGCTAGGGCTCAGACAGATCTGCTCGGTCGCCTTCCATCGCCTTCCATCGCCTTCCACGGGGAACCGAGGCCGCTCCCGCCATGGCAGATGGCCGCGCCTTCTTTGTTTCTTGCATGGCATTGCTGCTTTACACTATGTACAGAAAAGAAAAGAGAAAAAGAGCCGAGGGTGCCGGGTGGCGTGTCACGTGACTTCATGAATCGGACGCGATGGCGGCTCATGAAGTTGAAGATGAAGCTGGAGGGGACACGGCGATGCCGGCGTTGCGGTTGAGCACCCGACCGCTGTCGACGGCAAGCTTGATCTTACGAAGAAGGTCGCGTTTCACTGAGGGTCCAGCACGATCAAGGGCCTCGCTCTCGGCGGCCGGCGTCTTGTTACGATACGTGCGGATGGCGCCGTGCTCGTCGGCAACGTCGTCCTGGACGAGTAGCACGGCGCCGCTGGCGGCGGCGCCGTCGTCGCCACTAGGGGAGCTGGCGCTGAAGTAGCACACTGCGGCTGCGGCGGGGGTGGCGATGCTATCGATGTCAAGCTGCTGAAAACACACGTCGGCGCTGCCGCCGAGCTTCTTGCGCAGCTTCGCCAGCTCTTGCTCGCCGGCCTTGAGCACGGCAAACGTCCCGTAGGGCCCGTACGTGTCGGCGACGCGGGCACACCCATGACTGTCGACGAGCGAAATGGCCCTGCCGGCGCCGACGCGCTGGCGTATGTCCTGGATGGCTCCGGTGAGGCTGCCGAGGTCGTTAGAGCCGACGACGACAAGACTCGTCAGCGGCTCCTCCGGCCTCCCGGCAGGCAACGCCGGTCTTTCGCGGGCAAAGAGAACCCGCGTTATGACACACACCTGCTCCTGGAATGGTACCAGGAACCGGTAGAGCTTGTAGTCGTCCGGCAGCTCGTTGCTGTTGCGCACCTCCAGCACCTCGCCATCCGGAAGCACACACTCGATACCGTCGACGGCGTCTGCGTCGAAACGGTTAGCAATGAGCCGGCCGTCAGAGTCAGACAGCTTCACGCCGCTGTGCAGCAGAAACAGGTCGAGCGGTCTCAGCCCGCGGTTTGAGAAATGGCCAAACCCCTTCTCGCCCAGAGCCCGGTTCAGATCCTCCCCGGACACATTCAGCCCAAAACGCAAGACGTCGCCGCCGTCCTGCTGCTCCATCGCAAAGTCCCGGAAGTTGATCTGGAAACCCAACCCAGTGGGATCGATCCCGGACGTTCCTGTCGATACAGGCACCTTGAACTCGTCACAGTATTTCATGATCGTCGCCGTGTCCTGTGTGTTCTGCGGATACCACACAAACTGCTTCCCCTCCCACTCCTTCGGGTCCCGGCCAAAGAACACGTTGCTCAAGCTGTCTGCGTCGTTCATGATCTCTGAGATGTCCCTGCTGCAGTACTTCTGCTCGTAGAGAGACTCGTTCTGTCCGTTCTTCATGTCGACCTCGATCCCCTTCGACTCGAGTATCCGTAAAATGCACCTTCTGAACATGTCGTATTGCTTGCTTTCCCGCTCCTTGTCCTCCTTCTCATACTCAGCCATCGTAGCATACGGCGTCGTCGACTGGGCGGGAAATAGCGTTGCCGGAGGAGCAGTGAGAATCGTCGTCTTCCCAAGAGTGTACCCGGCACCCATCGCACCGACAACCAGGAACAAATTAAACACAAAAGACGCATCGAATATTGACCTCCAAGATCCGGACTCCTTCTTGCCTTCCCCAGCAGATGGCACCTTTGCAACCTTTCTTTGTGAGCTTGCACCGGATCCGGTTCTGGTAGGACCGGTGATTATTGACCTCCTGCCATTCGCAATCGGGGATTTCAGCCCCAAGCTTAAGCGGTGCGAAAAGTGTCTATACATGACAGATGTAGAGTGTTACTTTTTGCCAGAGTCGAGTGAAAGTAATTCCCAAACAGCTTCCCTTCTCCACTACCGGGATATATATACCGTGTCAACCACTACGAATTTTTTCAGGAAAAAAACAGCGTTGATTTTTCCCAGTCGATCGGCTGCCATCCCCGGAATACTACCCTGTGTCGTATCTATAATGTACTATATTAGTAGCCAGCTATTAGAAGAGCTAAATACAGGACAGATGCATCTGTGGAATCCATTCCGCGGATGCATCCACCCTCACTATATACAAGAACCAGTGAGGAGAAGAGAAGCCCGATCACTATTTCATATTCTGCATGAAATTGTTCATCTTTATCCGTGCAACGTTCTGCTTCTTGATGACCTTTCTGTTGTATCTGAACCAGTCGGAGTTTTTCAACTCCTCCATCTGGAGGTCCTTATCGAGTAAGCCCCAAAGCCATTCAGGGTACTCCTCGTCCTTCAACGCAACAATAGGCTTACCGTTCTTGTAAACGTTTAAGTTAATCTTGGTACCCTCCTTGCATGAGGACTCAAGCAACGCACGACCCGTGCTAAAACTCCTGAGTGCTTGTCTAAACATGGCTGACTGTCTCCACTGCCGCTAGCTTTTGTCTGTCACTGACCTCAAACACCTCTTGGCCAGGAAAGAACACCCCCAGCTGCTCTTTCACACATAGCAGCTGGAAAATAAAAATGTCAGCGACAAAGCGAAATGCTTTTTGGCTTTTTCTATCGTTCTGCCGTGTGTTTGATTTACGTAATACACTCTATAAACGGTGGGTTCTTCTTTAACCTCCAGGGGAAAGACAAAGGGTCCACACTAAGCATGCCCATAGACTCTCGTTCGCCCTCAAGCACATATGCATCCCACAAACGCATGATGTCTGTGCGTCCCACATGGCTGCCTGCGATCGGAGAAAAGCATGAAAAATCCCGGCATTTTCCATCCCAGAGTCGGATCTGTTTGAACTCTTCTCGTACTTCTCGGTCGATCTTTCCAACCACGATGTTGTCTTCAAGTTGGACAGAGCCAACAAAGGCCGCTGCCTGTGTCATCTTCGTATGGCACAGTTCCTGCAGCAGAGTCATGACGCTGCAGAAAAGGTGCTTTTCGTGGTGTTTCTTGAATTTCTGCTTAGTAAAGAATGCATAAAGCTGCTTGTAGTTGTGCAATAGCGGGAAAATCACCCTTCGGAGATCTGTCCCTTTTCTATTTGCCAGCAAGTTAACGACGGCAAGACAGCCCCATATATCGTTGGCTTCTAATAGCTGCCGCACAATTGTTTCCCAGTTTGCAACTCCTTCGTAGTGTGGGTGTGCCAAGATCTCATGGAACGCAGTACCAGTTTTGTTTCTGTGTGTTATGGTATCAATATAGATCTGGAAAACTTTGCACATGTCCTCATTGCTGTTTCCTAGATTTGCCAGCTGTTTGATATGCCCAGCCATTCTGGAAAAGCTAGTTTTGGGCCTGCTGTTGACTTCAATGGTAACATAATCCCGACACATTTCCCACTTCATTGATGAGTGATCAACCCCCTCATTGCGGAGCGCTTTGGCCAGCGCTAGCCTTTTCCTCGAAGGCTTTTCTACAGAGTACATCAAGGCTCTCGTTGTCAAATCAGTGGAAACTTTCCACTTTTTCATGCCCATGATGAGATACAATTGCAGCAAGTCCTTTCGGCTGTTCAAATTGGAGATCTTGCCTAACTTATAGATGAGAATATGCAGGGTGTTTCTGTTTGGAGTTATCCCCACTTTTTCAAACTTGTCTATAACTCTAAAAACTGTCCGGATCATCGAGTAATTGCAGAAGTATTTGATGAAAAGGTGCATGATTTCCCTGTCGACGATGCCTTCAAATTTGTGAATATTATAGACAAGCCCATACATGTCATAAAAAACAAGTCTTTCATATCCTTTGGAGTCGTAACTGAAATCAATCGAGTTCACCAGCTTGAGGTATTTTTTCAGGCTGGTGTTATCAAGCTCGCTTGGAAATATGGGCATCTTGAAGTCATACGTCGCTATAACGTTATCATCACCAACAACACACTTATAGAACTCGTCTATTGAGCTCTCCGCGATCTTGTAGTCATTGAATGCGGAAGCCAGTTTCAACAATTTTCTCTCATTGGGGTTTTTACTCATTGCACGTTTGATCGAGTTCACCGGATGTCGTTTAGTCTTTTCGTTCCCTCGGCTCTCGTACGTCCTGAAATTGACGTTCAACTCTTCCTCGTCGACGCTGTACCCCCCACCAGAGAACACATCGTCCAAAAAGCCTTTGCTAGAGCCACTCTCTTTTTGAATGTCTTGAACCAACGAACCGTGATCCGACATGCTCAATGTTTGAAAGCTGGAGTCCTGGAATATTCGTTCTTGATTCGAGATTTGGTTACTCAAAGATGAAAAGGCTGATGTGTTTATGGACAGATATCCCTCCATGAGCCCGTCTTTTCCATCTTCCACAACATTTGTTTGTACTCCATCCTTTCTGTGAGTGTCGTTGTAAGTGGGGTTCTTCTGCAACGGAACTAGGACAGCGGTTGACTCGTTTCGTCGGAAATTCACGTATTGGCAAATATATCGGCAAGTCCTCGTGGGCGTTTTCCTGATAAACATCATGTGTGTTGCATATTCACAAGGTCTGCCTTTTTAGCGGTCTATAGTACGATGTGGAGAGTTGGATGCCGTGTAATTGTCACCGTTTGATCACACTATCGTTTTTCTGCTCTCTCTTTCCCAATCATGAAGATTCATCTTCTCATACTAAGCCAGAATTTCAGTAAGACATGGTCTATCTCAAAAAAAAAAAAAAAACTGGGGCGATCGTCCGTTTCACCATTTTTCACAATATACAGACAGAGTACAGACAAATGCTACTTCTATGAGCTATATCTCCGAGAGATTACTGCAATGGCTCGGTGGAGCTACTAAGACGGTTGAGATGGAGATACACGTCTGTCCCATAACCCTCCATGCTGATCAACTTTAGGTCTCCGGAAAAATATCTAGCGTACAAACGGGAGTGTGGGAGCCCCACCCCGAGTCCCATGAAGGGGACCTTGTGACTGTTGTGGAAATCCTGCAAATCGTCCTCCTTGATTTGCTTTTCCGCAGAGGTGTAGAAATAGGTCCAGATCAAAGGCACCGCAGACCGTGGGATCCCGCCACCCTCGTCTGAAATCTTGATTGTAATGTCCTCGTCTCCCTTGGCAACGATGATCTTGATGGGAGGGTATTTGATGTCGTCCAAGTCAATGCCTGGATTCAGCTTGCTGTGGTGCTCAATGGTTGCTCGCAAACTGTTTTTCAACGTCTCAAACAACATGTGGACCAAATGGCCAGGCACGTACCTGAACGTCAAGTCGGATGGGCAGTATAGCTTCACTTTTGGCACTTCCATGACGTCAAAGTGCTCCTCACACGCAAACCTGGCTGCATCGATTGCGTCCCGGATGATCTCCTTGATGTTGCAGTGGAGGCAAATGATACCAACGTAGTCGTCGTTCTGCATATTTTTCTGCGACTGCTGGTTGATTGTAATCGTCTGGCCAATAAGCATTCTTATTCCAATTCTGCTCATGTAGAATCTGTCCAAAAACTGGTTGATTGGACTGTTCAAGTACTTGTAGTTGTTTTTCTGCTTCCAATTCTGCACCCCTCTTGCCAACGTAGCAACCGTGGCGTCGTGCCTCTTTTTGATTTTCACTAATATGTTTGTCACCAACTTGTTGTAGTCGGTCACTTCCTTCGGGTATATGATATCGTTAGGAGCGTGCTGGAAATAGGTCTTCAATCCAAGGGGTTTCTCAAACTCCTCATTCTCTGTACTGTTGACGTTGTTGTCACAATTCAAGAAGAGGTCTGGCTCTGCACTGTTCTCAATTTCTGCAAAGGAATCTTCGTCGTGTCGATTGCTTTTCCGAATGATCACTCCATCGTCCTCGAAAACAAAACTGTTTCTATTGTAGTTTCTCTTTACATTGCTGTCTTCCCCTTCCCACATGAAGTCGTCCTTTTTGTTCTTCAGCAACATGTCTCTGAACTCGTCACTGAGCTCCGGCTCTTCAACCGACATCAACTCTTCAAAACTCTGCGCATACCAGTCTCGCACGAGCCTGATGGAAGGGTCTTCGCTCAACCCCAATGGCAAGTTCTCGAGCTCTCTCACCCTATGACTCAACCGGATTGGAAGCTCGTGCACGGCAAAGTATGAGGCATGGAAGAGGGTTCCCGGCGAAGGCCTTGGCCCAAACTGGACCATTTGTCGAAGTGACACTCCAGTCTGCGGAAGCTTCGCATACTTGTATATCTGATGCCTAAGGGCATCGCTCATTTTCCACATGGACATGATCTCAAATGGCTGTATATGCTGATGTGTCGATCGGACTTCTCCAACCTAGCAGCAGCCTAAAAAGAAGCTCTTTTCCTGTTTTTATGGCCCACCCTGCAGAGGTTTCCCTTCACCCCACAAAATGACTCTAAAGTTCTCCCGCACTGCCCCAGAAACGGAGAAACGGACTCTGACAGCATCTCCTCCTGCCGGCCGGCGTGGAAAAACTGGCACGACTCTGCTGTAAAAGCTCTTCGTCATATCACTTTACGCTGGAAAAGTTAGTTATTTATTCAAATACAAAAGCTGCACTACATGTGCTCCGTTCTCACTCTATAAAATAGCCCCGTTGAGTAAATCAAACGTACAGCTGTCTGCTGCGCCCCCGCTGGGCTGCGATGCTAGCGACCCACGCCAGCAACCGCCGTCATCATGGCGTCGTTCACGTCATTGATGAGGTTCTCCATCCGTTCTCGGCCGTAATTGATGTTTTCGTTTAGCAAATTCGTGAACCTGTCCTTTCCAAGCATAAACGACCCAACAATCTCCCTCACCTGCTCGAGAAAGTACGAGAAAAACTGGAGTTTTTGAATCGTGATGATGTTCAAGTTGTTGCCGATGACAATCAGTAACAACAAGAGCATGCATGGAAGCCAGAAGAACATGAGCTTCGTGTCAGAGTTTATCGAAGTACGTAGATTCATCGCAATCATATCCACGTCACTATCTGCTTCGTCATCATCATCGACACCTCCGTCAGGATTGATGACATCGCAGTTGCCTGTAGAGAGCAAGCTCTCCTTCACCCGACGAGTCGGAGCAGCCTTCTTCTGGCCCTCCTGCTCGTCGTCTGCATGTCCACGGAAGTTGATTAGCGACCTAAGAGAGGTCCCTTGTGGGAAAAGGTCATCATAGGAAGGTAGGTGGTCCTCGCTTGAAACGTCCTTCTCACTCTCCACAACACTTCCAACTTGCTGTTCGCCTCTGTTTGAAGCCTTGACGCCCATCTGCTTCTTTGAACCGTGACGCTCATGGCCGGTCTTCTTGTGCTTCTCCTGTCCAACACTAATCTCAACCATCTTGTTCTTGATAGCCTCTTTCATAGCGATCCAAAGGTTGATACCAAAAGAGTTTGTCGGCTTGTCATTAAGAGAAGTTTTCTTTTCATGATCAGCAATTTGCTCTACTTTATCAGGTATCGAATCAGTATCGTCCTCATTGTCAGCCTCGAACTCTGAATCAACATTGCCATGCTTTCTTGTGAAGGTCTTTGATTTGTGATGCACAGAACGCTTTCCCTTATGACGATTAGTCTTATAGCTCAGTTGATAATCATCGAGCTCTTCAGTAACAATAGCTGCGTCGTAACTCAAATCTGTATCGTTTTCGAAATCGTTTTCAAAGCTGAGATCCATATTCTCATTGTCTTCATCATCTTCATCAAAATTGATATCACTTGACGAGGTAGACGACCTTCTACTTGCATGAATCAAATCAAGAACATTGGAATCGGCAATATGACTCAACAACACACCGTTCTCTAATTTACTGGACGTGTTAGCTTTGAACTTGTTCAACAAATTGATTATCTTCCTATTTCCTCCAATGAAGGCAAAGTGTAATGGCGTGAAGCCATTTCTATCTTTGTAATCAACTCTGGAACCATTCTTCATCAAAAAATGGCACAGTTTACTATAATTTTGCAGACATGCGAGGTGGAGCATTGTCTGCCCTTCAGAATTGCAGACTGCCCAGTTAGGACTTGAGATTAATGAGTTTGGAATCTTGATCATAGATAAGAACTTGATGAGGATTTCTTCATGGTTAAGTGTAGATTTGGATAGTTCCTTGATTTTGTTCGAGGCCACAGCCATCCAGTTAAGTTGTAGCTGTTGATTCAAAGGAACATCTGCTAAACTCATGGTAGAGTTAGGAGATGCTTGATGTTGTTGCTGCTGAGATTGTTGAGAGGAATCCATTTGGTTACTACCTACAATTCTCTTTGCAATGTTTTTTGCATCTTCTAACTTACCGTTCATCTTCAATCCCACAATTTGAAGGGCTAACTCGATCAATTGCCTATCAGTATCATCTGTGTATGTGAATATCTGATGAGCGTTTGAGTTTGTAAAATCGTAGTTTGCATCTTCAAAAGTAACTAGTACAGGGCCGGCTTGACTAGCAGGTGGCAAGTAAGTCACTATTGTAGAATCGGACCAGCACTGTGTGGCAAGAGCGACATTTCTGCCAAACTTGACAATCAATCCTGGTCTGAAGTTAGAACCAAGTAAAGTAATTTCAATACCACCTCTAATTGGGCCTTGTGAAGGTATAATTCTTCTGATAGTTGGACAGTCCTCATTGTTCACATTCATGTTCAGGTTCATGTCAATATCGAGACCCATATTGACATTCAGGCCAGCACTTATGCTGCTGTTTGTAGAAATGAGGTTGCTACTTGGATCGACTAGAATATTACTATCATGTGGACTAAGAGTGGTTGCGGCTTCACGGTATTCCTTTTCTGGAGTAGTAGAAAATGCACTAGTTGCCGAGGAAAATAGGTGGTTTTGAGGTGATATGGCATCTGAACTGATAGGAGAAATTGGATCTCTTTTAGTTGTGTTCTTCTTGGAGTCGCCAATTGCTGAAGGTATTCCTCTTTGTTGATTGATGGTTTCGAAATATGTGCTTGATTCAGAGGGAGACCAAGGTCTCTTCTGTCGTTTTACCTGTCTGGAGTTCTCATCACCCAACAGGTTTGAAGGGTCAAAGGAAAATATTGACGAAAACATTCCCGTCTGAGATTTGCCGCCGTTGCTGGTGAGTAAATTCATAGAGTTCATATTTGTCACAGAGGATATTGGGTTGAATAAACTCGAGGAAGATGCAGTTGCCGGGTTATTATTGGAAACAGAGTTCATTGTCGTGGTGGATGTTGGTACGCTCAACTCCGCGGAAGAATCGCCATTGGAGTTGTTGGATGTGATTGAAGAGTTCTTCTTATTCATGGTGGACGATTTTGTGTAAAGGTCTGAGCCGTTTTCTTCTTGGTCAAGAACATTCTCCTTGTTTCGCTCCATGCTCGACTTCAGTGACTTCTTTCTGTCCATGATCAGAATGGGCGTTGAAATCGTCTTCCCGACAATGGCGCCCTCTTTGTTTTTCAAAAAAATGAGGATCTGGAAGCCCTCCAGCTCCTGGTGGTGCCTGCAGTAACAGACTATTCTGGACAAGAGCTCAATTTTGCGCTCGTTGGTGTTCCCGTTGGGAGCTGGGAAGGAAACAATCTCTTTGCTGTTAATGATGATGGCTCGTTTCGGGAGGTTGATGTCCCAGTTGGATGAATCGTCAACGAGCCCAGCCTTACGTCGGGAGGCACGCTTCAACTCACGGCGCATGCAGCGCTTGCACACGTTGCAGCTCTTGACCCGGCCGTCATTGGCGTTGGATGTCTGCGAGCCCACGATGAACAAGTCGAGGTACAAGAGGTGATCCTGGATCGAGTCTGGCAGCGTGTTGTCGGCAAGTGTGAACTTCGGCTTCGTGATGGAGTCTCTTGGGATGTGAAGGAGGAACTGCGGGGGCGGTGGAGAGATCGACAGCTCGAGCTTGATCTGGGTCTCTACCCGGGAGTGTGAAGGCAAGTCTGCGATTTGGATGTGGTAGGGGAAGCTCTGCTCGTCCCGGAGAAAGCACTCCTGGTATGCGGGTGGTAACAGCGTCGTCGTCACTTCCGGGTCGTCTGGGCTGCTCACAGCGGGCGCCCTCGTGTACGAAAAGCCCACGTTTGAGTGGTGAATGTACTTGGCGTCCTGGTTCAATCCGAACTTCACCTTCATCAGCTCCTTCTTCGAACCCTCATACATCCGCAGCTCCTCCGACGGGTTGAGAACCCGTCCATTTGGTACCATCTGGCTGTTGCTGCCGTATTCGCTTCCCACAGTAGTATCCACTGCGTCGTTCCCGTTGTTGGCGCCCTCTTGGGTGCCGTCAATCATGTCGAGGATCTCGTTCGGCTGCTGGAAGCACTGGGGGTTCAAGAACTCGTTCAACACTTCGTCTTCCAAGATCTGTCGGGCAATCTCACCCTCGTCAAGGCCGCCTTCAGGCTGTCTGTCTTTCGGTGTGCACAGCTCAGCCCTGTCTTCCATCCTGCTGGCGCCTTCTCTGTCTGTCGTCCTGTCTCTTTCCCTTGTTCTCTCGGGCTCCCGTTTGCCCGGGTAAGCCCCGCTGGAGATGAATGTCATGAACGTGTCCATCCTGTCTCTGCGTTAGTTGCTGTTACTCTTTCTGTCTGCTATCTGTCTCTGTGCTCCTCCCTCTACTTCCTCTACCTCCCTCTTCTTCCTCTAATAAGCAGTGACGCCCACCACCTTTTTTGTCTGCTCTCGGCTCACAGCCCGCACCATTTTTTTGGGCAGCATGAAGCGGAAAAAAAAATAAGGCCGATCCGAGTCAGACATGTCAGAAATGTCAGATCTGGGGGCTGGTAGAGGGATGGCATCGTCTGTTACTCTGCTTCGTTGCTTTTCTACACACTCCTACGGTTACATACACACGGCGCCCAGGCGCCGGGAGTCAGGGCTAACTAGCTGGCTGGTCTAGTCGTCTCTCATAGGGGGAGGAGGAGGGGCGCCGGCGTTGGGGTTGATATCAGGGTTGACGCTGGAGTCGACAGGAAAGTTGCCGTCTCTGTCGACATTGAAGGCTTCCTCCCTGTCTCTGTCACCCCTGCCACCCCGGCCACCCCGGCCACCTCGGCCGCCCCTACCGCCACGTCTCTCTCTCACGGGCGAGTACGACCGCTCTCTCCCCCGTCCTCGTCTGTAGTGGGCATCTGAGCCGGCATCGTCGTAGTCGTCGTACCTCCGGCCCCTTCCGCGGTCGTCCCGGCGATACTCCCGTTCCCGCTCGTCGTATCTTCTGTCGGGAGCCCGTCTGTCTTCCCGGTACCCGTGGTCACGTCGTCCGCCGTCAAAACGTCTGCGTTCGATGTTCCGCTGCGAGACAGGAAGCCGCCTGGCCCGCTCGCAGGCGATCCCCCGGTCCGGGTCAAGCGCCAAGCCATCATCGAGCACCCGGCCGTCCTCGACGTCGTCTAGAATGGCGTTCATGTCGTCGATCTTGCGAAACGCAACAAACGCATACTGCTCCCCGTCGCTGTGGCGGGGCGGCATCACGTTCACCTGTGCTAGCGGGCCGTATGCCTCAAACACCTCTGCAAGACGCTTGGCACTCGTCCCCTTCACAAACCCGGTAACGTATAGCGTCGCCCGTGGAACAGCGTCCTTCGACCGGGATGGCATACCCCGGCCGCCTGCACCGCCGGGACCACCTCTGCCCCGCTCTCTGCCTCTCTCCCGGCCCCTCTCCCGGCCTCTTTCTCTGTCCCACTCTTCTCTCCGATCCTCCCTCACACCTTCAAAAACACCACCTTCCCTCAATTCGTCTCTGGCATCGTCCTTAATGTCGTCTGTAACGTCGGCACTGAAGTCGGTCCCGACGTCGTCTCTCTCGAAGCTCCTCTCTCTGGACATATGTGCACAGATCTATTCTATGTTAGTGGACGTTCGGTCTCAACTCCGTCTCCGGATTTTCCAATGGCTCTCTCTACCACTGTTAACCTTTACTGCTGCTGCTTCTCTGACGTGCTGATCGTCTTCAATTTCAGCTTGTCTGCTTCGACTTCCCCGACATGCTCGCCTCGTCATCTTTTCGGATTTTCTCTTTTCCTCTATTTTCTGAAAAATTTCAGTCCTTTTTTATTTTTTTTTGCTTCCGGCCTGTATCTATCAGGAGGAAGAAGTAGTATGAGGAGGATCGGTTCGGGCTAGAGAAGAGAAATAGCCACAGAGAAACAAGCAATGGACAGCCAAATACAGTTCAGAATTGTTGCCGGCTCGTACGAGCACTCGCTCTTGTGTCTTTCCGTGACAATCCCGCTGACGCAGGACAAAGCGGAGAAGGACATCAGACAGCCACATTTCCAGCCAATCTTTCATTTCCAGGCACATGCCATGTCTATCAGATCCATGGATATTGCCAAACGGTACTTAGTAACAGGGTCGAACGACGAACACATCAGAATTTACGACTTGCAGAAGAGAAAGGAACTAGGCACGCTTTTGCAGCACCAAGGTTCGATCACGAAGCTCTTATTTTCAAACGAGGTCGATGAATCCGACGACAAGGAGGATTCCGAAAAGACCAATGACGAGGACACCCCACAATATCCTAACCACAAGAAGGGAAGATGGCTGCTCTCTGCGTCTGAGGACGGTACAATAATCATATGGCGGACAAAGGACTGGGAGAAGTTTGGATTGTTGAAGGGTCACAAGGGCGCAGTAAACGACTTGGCCATCCATCCAAGTGGTAGAGTCGCCATTTCTGTTGGTAGTGATCAGACGGTTAGATTGTGGAACTTGATGACTGCAAAAAAGGCCAGTAACCTCAAGCTCAGGGGTGCTTTGACGCGTGGCCAGGTGGGATCCTTCATACGGTTTGACTCTGCAGGCGACTTCTTCGTCGTTGGATTTAGAGATAGGATCATGTTCTACAAGACCAGAGAGGCGAAAATGTGCAACCTCCTCAAAACAGGTAGAAACGTGCTTATGGCAGTTGAGTTCGTCACGCTAGCAAACGGCAAGGAGTACCTTGTTCTAGCCCTCAACGATGGATCGATCAATTTTTACGAGTTCAGCAATCACATCTATGAGCCTGTGAATAAACAGGTTAATGAGATAGATGGTGGAGACCTTGACAGCATTCCTAAGCCAGACTTCTGTCTTCAGGGTCACGCAGTGAGAGTGAAAGGAATCTCCTTCTACGAGGAACTCGTGAACGGCAAGCTCTATATCTACATGACGTCTATCTCCTCCGATGGCCAGATTGTTGTATGGAACTTGGACGCCAACGTGATGGACCAGGTCGCAGTGTACTCCACGGGCGAGCGGTTGAACGTCATCTCCACCGTGCAGGAGAGCATCGAGAAGGCCGACACCATGAAGCCTATATACAACCCTAACGACGAGAAGTTGAAGGACGTCGCCACCGACAGTGAGTACGAGAGTGATGGTGAAAGCCTGGCACATGTAATGGAGGGGCGCAAGAAGAAGAAGTCGACCAAGAAACAACGTAGAGAAAAGCGGAAACTCATACAGGTTGAAATGGAATAGACGATTAATATATAAATGAAGTAGTTGTATAGTCTTAGTCACTAAGTCACGTTTTTATAAAGTTAAAAGCAAAGCCAGACAGTGTAGTGGAACGCGGTCGATGGAGTGGTGTCGGGGACTGACAAATCTCTAGAGTTTTGGTTTGTTCAATCTCTTGACGTGGTGGTCAAAAAGCTTCTTGGCCTTGACCCACACAAGAGCCTTGTCTTTGTTTGGCAACTCCTTCAAGGATGGCAGCAAGTCTCTGGCAAAAAACTCGGATGCCTCTCTTGGCAATAGCGAAGGCAAATGGTCGATGGAAATGACAGACAACTTTGGGCCCTTGGTGGTCTCCACGAGAACGGTAGGGTCGTCAAATTGGGTGGCAATCGTGTACACTGGAATAGGGTTGTGTGGATTCGTCGTGTCTGCAGATACATCGACGATAGTTCTGAGCTTTCTGTCATCCTTGTTCAACAAGTCGTAGTTGATGAAAGGAGGAATTGGTTTGGACAAGTAGATACAGTTGATTAAGATGTCAGAACTTGCAATTTCCTTGAAAGGTCCGCCCTTCTTGGTCTCGTTCATATCCCATTTGAGAAGATTCGATTCTGGAATGCCAACCTTTTTACAGAGGTCAATCGCACCGGAACCACATCTGCCCAACGCACCGATCACCAACACAGTTGGGTATCTGCCGGTTTTAGCGTATGCCTTTTTGAGTTGTGCCTTGACGTCCTTGACCAACAAGTCCTCGTTTGGATAAGGAGTGACACCAGGAAGGTTTTTCGAATCAGAGTTGAGCTGTTTAAACGACCAATCTAAAACTCCCAGAGCAGCACCGGCAAACCCGGCGTAGTAGCCAAACGCAGCGACTCTTCTACCTTGGTCATTCTCCAAGAACTCCAAGTCGTACAACGTACCGCCACCGTATGGGAATCTTGATAACACGTCTTCCCACCCGCCCTGGTCTTTGTAACAGTGGGCAAACTGGATGTGGTCGTGCACTAGCGGGAAGAGCTCCTCTGGTAGCTCTTTCAAACCGATAATGGTTCTGTTTCTTGGTGCAGTTTTCCATGACTCGAAGGGAACAATCTTGGCACCAGCCTGGCGGTACTCCTCAGTTTTGAAAGTGGACTGTGGTGCTTCTTCGACATAAATTTCAAAGTCACCGGTGTCGAGCAGCTGCTTGACCGTCTTTGGGGTAAGAGCAGCTCTGGCCTCTCTTGGCTTGGTTTCGGCCCTCAAATGCAAAATCACTTTATTTCCTGCCATAATGGGAATGCTCCGTAGTGGTGTGTGCCGATGTGCTTGCGCTATCGAAAGAGGATACAGAAAGCAGTACAAGCAAGCCCTCCCCCTTTCTATGTGTTCTCTACTCCTTCACAAACAGCAGGCCCGCAGCCTTATAAAGCCCCAGCCAGCTATCTGAGTCACCGTCGCCGTCGGACCCAGCTTACCGCCGTTGCCGTTTTGGGAAAGTCTCACACAGCCGTGATAAAAAAAAAATGACTCTTTCCCCAGCGACATAATTGATGTCGTGGTACGACAAATATGTACGACGCGCCCGGAAGGGAGCTGTTCCGCTTTAGGAAGGCGGCCATTTCGACGGATCTGACATGAATGCGACAAAAGATAAATAGAAGCAAAACACGACAGCCTGGACAAAAAAAAGGGGACTGTCTAATCACTGTTTTGAGCTTTACCACTGCCAATTGTTGCCGCCTGATGTCTACAAACAGCCCGAACAACTCGATATTAACCTTTTCGCCGCTTTTAACGACGAAAAAGGTGAGAGATCACTTCCAGACACCGCCTAACCCGCTGAACCAGCAGCAGGCACGAGTGCACTCGCAATCACACCCGCAGACGCTGTATAATAACAGTGTTTCCAGCACCACCGCCAACAAGAACCACATTCTGCCGCTGCCGAACTTGTATGCCCACCAGTCGTCCCCGCAGGACGGCCGAGGTATCAGCACGTTGTTTCACGACGAGCCAATACAGCAGAAAGGTGAGGCGAGCTCGAACAACGGGGGCCTCTCGAACAAGTCGAGCATCGAGAATAATCTCAGCAGTCTAGGCAGCAGCAACAATAACAAGGACAGCGGCGACAGCCAAAATGAGGGCAGCGGTAACGGCAACAACAATAGCAACGGTGGTGGTAACGGTAACAATATAAATTTTTCGGGAAATAACAACAACAGCAACAGCAAGGGCAACAACAACAACAACAACAACAACATCCACAATCCTGAATCCTCGACGATATTTGACATAAATACTCCATTGACGCAAGCCGACAAACTACGGCTCTGGAGACACGATGCGCTTTTGCAGCACCATTACAAGACAGCCATATATATAGGCGATAAGGTTCTTTCTCTGACAAATGACCCCAATGACGCATTCTGGCTAGCCCAGGTTCACTATGCCTCGTCTAACTACCAAATAGCTAGAAACTTGTTGCTGGGTCCAAATTTCGAGGCCTCTGTTGGCTGCAGGTACTTGGCGGGATTATGTCTTATCAAGTTGGAGAAGTTGGATGAAGCGTTGGATATAATAGGAGAGGTGAACCCGTTCAAGAAGGACCATTCGATTCGGAACCCAGATGGTGGAATCAAACTAGAGGCCTCGATGTGCTATTTACGAGGCTTGATCTATGCTAAACAGAACAATTTCGAAAGAGCAAGAGACTGTTTCAAGGAAGCAGTTCTTGTCGATGTCAAATGTTTTGAGGCTTTTGACGAACTGATTTCCAATCATTTGCTCACCCCGAACGAAGAATGGGATTTGTTGCAATGTTTGAATTTTGATGATGCAGATAACAACAATGAGCTCGTGAAAATGTTATATACAACCCACATCAACAAGTACAAAAACTTGAATTTATACGAGGATGCAAAGCAAAGGCTCAAAGATGAATACGATTTGGGAGACAACATAGACATCTTATTGAGTGAAGCTGAATTGTATTTTATCAAGTGCAAATTTCAGGAATGCCTAGCCTTATGTACCAAGATTATTGAAAGAGATGAACTAAACATATCGGCCCTATCAAACTATTTAAGCTGTCTCTATGAATTGGGTGGTAAAAATAAGCTTTTTCTTATGGCTCATAGACTAGCGGAGAACTATCCCAATCATTACATAACGTGGGTTGCCATTGGGATTTACTACTTTGCCATTAAACAGATATCCGAAGCAAGGCTTTTCTTCTCCAAAGCTTCGATATTGAATCCAAATTTTGCATCTGCTTGGATAGGTTTTGCACACACATTTGCTGCAGATGGTGAGCACGAACAAGCAATCAGTGCATATGCGACTGCTTCTCGATTATTCCCGGGTACTCACTTGCCGAATCTATTTCTTGGCATGCAATATTTGCAGATGAATAATTACACATTGGCATGGGAATATTTGAACTACTCTTATGCGATCTGCCCAACAGATCCTCTTTTACTAAACGAAATTGGTGTTTTAAACTATCACAAAAGCGAGCTTCAGAAGGCGGAAGTATATTTATGTCGAGCTCTTGTCGCTTCAAAATCCTTAGAATATGGCTCCAAGGCCTGGTGTTCAATCCACTGTAACTTGGCCCACGTGTACAGGAGAATGAGTTTGTATGATAAATCTATCAGCCATTTCAACGAAGTACTAAAAATTGCCAAAGATGACGTTAACATATATTCCACATTGGGTTTGATCAATTTAAAGCTTGGAAAGATTGCAAACGCAGTGGAGTATCTTCACATTGCATTATCGATTCAGCCGAATGATCCCATGGCTACCGATTTACTCGATAAAGCACTTGATTTGAACATTCGTGTGGCAAATAAGAAATTTCTCAGTGAGTCCTTGAATACACCAAACAAGATTAAGAAGCCTAACTTTCATAATACGATAAGCAATTTCTCTGAAGTTCTGAAATCGTTAGGTAGCGGATCTAAGAAAGATGGACGGAAATTGGAAGGATCGATACCCAAAGGTAAAAACTATATAGATATAGTTGACGATGAAGATGAGATCATGGATATTGAAAGCGAGTAAAGCTTAATTCTCAAGGCTTTATTTTTGATGCTCTTTTATAAAAATTGTTTATATACAACTTTAATTATAATAACAACCCCAATGCAGCGGGTTATTCTAGCTGCTGCCTGTTGAAACAATCATTTGGAAAATTGCTTTTCCTGCTCTTTCTGTAAAATCTAGGTTAGGACATCCAACAGCCATTTTCTTAAGGGCATCATGAAACCCTAACCTTATTAAAAGGCTGGAACGATTGCTTACATTCAATAAGTCAATTTCAGAATGGTTACTATACCTTGAGCCACTGTAGTTATCAGTTGTTTCTTCCCTATATGTCAAATCAATAACAACCCATGCAATGCAAGTTTTAATTTCCCATATTTCGTCTGAGCTTGCATCACTAGGAACGGGATCCGTTAAAAGATCCAACAACTCTTGTAGTAACAGTTTGTTACGTAAAAGACTCACTTTATTGTCCACAGTAGAAGCTGCCAAATGAATCAAACAATAGCAAATCGATAAAGTCAATTTGGTAGATTTGCTGCTCTGCAGATGTATTCTTAAAAACTCCACAAAATCAATATCATAGCTATATTTTGGCCTGGGTGTTTTAAATTTATCAAATTCTTTGTAGATATAGCTGCCATCAGTGAAAGAATCTGTTAGCAAGTTTCTCAAAGTGTTGAAACTCAGAATCTGAATCTCCACATTACTGTCTTCACAGAATTGGAAAATCTTATCTAAGCGTACAATTTCTAAAAACTTTTTTTTGAATACCTTGTTATTTCCGAACAAAGCGTTCCTTATTATTGAAAGCGATGCGATAACAGTATCATCATTTGGCTCATTTCCAAGAAAACCATTTAGCAAATGTAGTAATTCGTCAATGTTTAATTGATCTCTAGTGGCAGAGAACTCAATCACAAGATTTGATATCACCCGTAGCACAAGGGTCTGCAAAGAGTTTTCGTGCATAAAAACCTTTTTTTCAAAAGAATCATGAAACTTGAGTAAAGAAGTGTTGAACTTTACGATTCTAATCAAAAACTCAATATATTTGTATGAGGTAAAGTATGTTCTTAACAATGCTGCGGACCTCGATAGAGATCGCAAAACTAAGCACGAGGCATAAGTTAATTGATTGGACACCTCCAATACTTTCCAATGTTGAGTAGTGATCTTTTCAGAGGGCCACTGTTGAAGCATTTTGCAGTGAATATCCAAGGTCTGGCTGATGAAGTTGTTTGCATCTCCCTTTGATATGTTCAGCTTGGCTTTGTCATCTGTCACTCCCATGAAGCTAAGAATAGTTAGACACATCGAAAACTTGTATGAATCTACCCGACACATGCTCTTATCATCAAAGTTGTAGTCTGTTTTTATGATGTCATTGACAGTTTGGATATAATCTAGATCGTTGAGTAGTATTGGTAGATTTGGGGAAACTTCCAAAAGCTTTACCAATAGAGATAACGGAGTCAAACTGAGTGGGATGTTATATTTGAGGACAATATTTCGAAAATTTATTTGACTTAGCCTCTCTCGTGATATGAGCTCCAGAACAACTGTATAAATTAGCCTCACAACATCAAGCTTTTCTTCTTTTTGTAAGCTGTACTCAATCAAAACGCTAGATGCGGCCCATGAAACTTCGTACTTATGAGCCGCAGTTAGAGAGAGCAAACATATAATAAACTCTTCCGGAATCGGAATGATACTATGCTCTAAATTCTTTTTCTGATGAACACTCCGATCATTACTTGATGACAAAATATATGCATATAGAAACAAATATTGAGATAAAGATTGAGAGTAGAAGGAAATTTTTGAATCAACCAGAACGGAATGAGATCCACGAATGGCAGAGTTATTTTGTAGTTTTCGATCAATATCCGTTTCGGCATCATGCATTATTTGATTCCACAAGTCCCGATATTTTTTGTAGATGATATCAGCAATATTAAGCTGTAAGAACAGATTGAATGCTCCAGGATCAACAAGAAGGAAAAACTTACAGATGGAAGAAGATAGATATATTGGTGTGCTCTTTGTTTTCAAGATGATCATCAGTTGTTTCACAAAAAGACGGGTTTTCTGTGTATCTAAAAGAACCAATTTTTCAGTTTCTGTGTCTTTACAAAACAATATCAGTTTATTGCAAAATGCAGCAGTGGTTGATTCAGTCATGGCATTCTGAGTAATAATGATCATATCATTCAACCGGTCACATATGACTGTTTGGTTCTCGACTCCTAATAGACTCGAGTGCTGCAAAAAGTGTAAGACGCAATTTTCTCGAGTTCCAAAGTCATTTATGGAGGCTAATGTGCTTTTAATGATTTCCAGATTGTTCCAATAACCACTCTTATCGCCTTTTCCGGGAGGTGATTGGCATAGTTGTATGAACTGTTCAACCGTTCCAATTGTGTTGCAATTTTTCTCAATGTTTGTCATTCCCATCCTAGTAGAAAGTCGCAATCCAAGCCTTCTCCTGTTTTCCGATTCAGTTTGCCCACTACCCCAACTTAGGCATTATCTTTGCATCCCTTCTTTGCAGAATTCGAAAAGAAGATGACGTTTTAGCGATAAGAAGAGAAGTCTTCTGTCCGACATATCCTAAACGACGCGTCGCTTCAAAAGACTGGAATGGATTAGGGGTGGGTGAAATTTTTTGTCAGAACAGACTGGCTTCAGCAAAGTAGGTCGAAAAATCTTAATCTCCGGGCAAAGGTACTAGGGGTAGAATATTATGCTAATATATTAAGCCACGAGAAAGGATTATACAATATGCCTAGAGACCCTTTGATTGGTATTGTTGGCAAACCGTCGAGTGGTAAGTCGACCACGTTGAACTCGCTGACCGATGCTAATGCCAAAATTGGATCCTTTCCGTTCACAACTATAGAGCCAAACAGGGCTACAGGTTACTTGAAAATAGACTGTGCGTGCTCCAGATATGGGAAAGAGGAGCTATGCAAACCTAACTACGGCTGGTGTGAAAATGGTAGTAGACATGTGCCTATTGACTTGTTGGATGTTGCAGGTCTAATTCCTGGTGCTTCTCAAGGATTGGGTTTAGGTAACAAGTTTTTGGATGATTTGAGACAGGCTGATGCTTTGATTCACGTTGTCGATGTTTCCGGTACAACTAACGCAGAAGGCAAAGCCACAAGAGGATACGACCCTTTGAAGGATATTGAGTGGTTGCAGGATGAAATCCGATTGTGGATTGAAGGTAACTTGAATAAAAGGTGGGGGTCCATAGTAAGACGACATACCTCCACCAAATCAAGTATTGTAGAAACTCTCAGAGCACAGTTTGGTGGTTATGGTGCCAACGCCACTTTGGTTAGGGAGGCCATTGATTCGATTGAAAACTTACCACCTTTAGAAGAATGGGATAACGAGTGGATTACCACTGTTATCAAAGCTTTTATGAGATTCAAGTTTCCTACTGTATTAGCTTTGAACAAGATCGATCATCCAGATGCAGACAAAAATGTTTCCAAAATTCTACTCAAATACCCAGATACAAGAGCGGTTCTTACAAGTGCTATAACGGAGATCTTCTTAAGAAAGCTAAAGAAGCAGAACTATATTCAGTACGAGGAAGGGACTGAGTTTGTTGATACATTAGAGGATTTGGGGCCAGACTGTGGATTGAAACCGCTGGATGAGAAATTGACAGAAAGACTAGAAGATATTAAAGATCTAGTTCTTTACCGTTTTGGCTCCACAGGTGTTGTTCAAGTTCTTCAGGAAGCTGCCAACGTACTAGACTTAGTGCCTGTATTTACAGTTAGAAATATTAACACATTCACGGGTAACAGTGGGTCCAATGTTTTTAGGGACTGCATGCTATTCAAAAGAGGAACAAAAGTTGGTTCCGTTGCCAGAAGTATTATGGGAGAGGTTACGATAGCAGCCATTGAAGGTGTTAGTGGTAAGAGAGTCTCTCCAGACGACACGATAGACAATAATAAAAACGATATATTAACTTTCAAGGTGGCTCCTGGAGGTGTGAGCAGTGAGAAGAAGGAGTGATGAATCCCCTAAGTGCTGCGCAACAGTGTTTATAACTTTATGTATTGCAAAGCAACATAAGATACTGCACCATACCACTAAATATGATAGGTTGAGAAAAAAATTAAATCATACAAATCAAGATATTTTTAGGTCAAAAACTCATTAAACATTCAGAGTCCAACTCAATTATAATTTGTATCTGAATTTGACGTTTTCTTTGTCAGTTAGATCGGCAAACTCAATATTCTCGATGTCTGGAATCTCCAAAGCACCTTCGGCAAGGAGTCTGTCTCTTCTTCTGTTTTCTGACCAGTAGTTGTAGTACAACCAAGCAATCACAATTACGGAAATTGAATAGCAAACCACAATTGAGATCTGGCCACCTCTGTATTCTGGAGCTTGGGAGGCAATGAATGTCTGAGGGCCAATCAAGTTACCTACGCAGTAGCCGATCAGATACATAGCGCTGACAGTGATTTTCTTCGTGTGGCCAGCCACATTCGAAGTGAAACAGGAAAGACAGCAAATCGTACCGACTGGAGAAATGTAGTACAAGTAGTAGCCGGCCAATCTAGCCTTTGGTGAATCTAGAGCAAAGGCTAGCATTGAAACAGCACCCACAGTGATGGTCATAGCAAATGTAGCAATTGCCAATTTATGTTTGAAGTACTTCTGGAGCCATGCAAAGAGAATGCAGCCGACGAGTTCCACCGCACCACCCGGCATGTTCATGAGCAAACTTTGAGTGGAACTGTATCCAAAAACATCCTTCAAAAGAATGGCGCCGAAGTTGGTCAACGCACCGTTTGGAATGTCTGTGGCGATCGCGTAGAAGAAGCAGATCCACGTGTTGATGTCGAGAAGCGCCTCCTTCAACTGGTGCATCTTGAAGTGTTTGTTACCGAAACCTTGGTTGTTGCTCTTGATACGCAAGACAACCTGCTTTCTCTGTGTTGGGGTTAAGAACCACGCCTTGACAGGCAAGTCTGGGATGTGCAAAAGGATCATGAAACCAACAGAGATGGTCATGCATCCAATGACGATGAACAACACCTTCCACGCCTCGAGGGAGTACGAGCCCTCGCGGATGGCCAAACCGTAGGCAATGGAACTACCCAAGATGGTTCCAAGACCATTACAGGCAAACCAATATGCGGTTCTCAAGAATTGTTCGTCAGCCTTGTACCATTGACCGGTGATGATGACCATGGCAGGGGTAACGGCGGACTCGAGGATCCCAAGAAACGTTCTCAAAGTGACGAACCCGGCGTAGTTCTTTGGCACTGCGTGCAAGCAGAGAATCATACCCCACAAGACAATGAAAATTCCAGAGAGTTTGACGACAGGGAATCTTTGGAGGGCCATACTGATTGGGAACTCGAACACCAAGTAGCCCAAGTAGAAGGCACTACCACACCACGAGTACTGGTCTCCGTGCATACTGTAGTAGGTCCGCAAGCCCATCACGGCTGCGTAACCGGAGGACACCTTGTCCATATACTGCAAGGCATAGAGGAGACAGATGAGAGGTAAGAGGAAGAGGTCGATCTTGAAAAGCAGTTTTCTTTCCTCCTTTTCGGTAAGCTCGACGTCCTGTGCGTCCAGTGCATACTCCATCGCCTCGTCGACATCGCCCGTGATATCGATGATTCTGCCATCGATGGACTTGATGTGCGAGAGGACCTGGTCGGTGTCGATGTTGTCCTTGGAAAAGGTCGAGTGGAGCTCGGTCTCTCCACCTTTCTCCTTCTCAATGTCAGACATTGGTGAATTGTGTGTGTGTGTGTTGTTTTAGTTTGGTTGATGGTAGCCTTTGGAAGAGTGCACAACGCAAGACACACAGACCCAAAGCACAAAGGAGAGAGGAAGACGCACAACAAGAGCAGAGGCTGCCGTTCTTATACGGACACCCCGGCGCAGGGGACGGAGGCGGGTGAACTGTCGACTGATTAGCGGGCCAGTCGTCGGAGACACATTTCTGCTACAGCCTAATAATCTCACACACTTCCTTATCAGCCTTCCGACACGTCTCTGCCGTTCCTCCAAAACTCTCATCAATTTGACTCCTCGAGACAGGGACCCGACTCGATTAGTGCTGATAAACCCTGCACAGCCGTGAGCCAAATCTTGGTTACTGTGACTTTCTCTCTTTCTCCCCGCTAAGCCGCAAACATCCAGCTGCAGCGTCGGAGGTCCTTTGTTCCTTCGGAACACGCTATTTCATACTGGCCATCCTGTGTGGCGTGGTAGCTGTGGTGCAGCAAAACATGGCTGGGTAGCGCACACTGACAGCATTGCTGTCGGACCTACCTAATACGGCAGGCCGCCGCCTGCCGTTGGAAACGTCACTTGCCCTCGCGCCAGCTTATCGATGAGCCAAATTCGGAACAAGTGGCCCGCTGGGGGAACAGTTGCGAGCGGCAGCACATTACGTAAGCAACAGCCTCCTCGCATACCCCCACCCTTGGCGGTTCCAGATACCCAACTGGGGGTGACCCGTGCACCAGCGGGGGCCCACCGGCAGCTGGCGGGTCCGGCAGGGCCAATGCCTCGCCGGACCGGGGAGCAGGCTGTCCTTATCGGCGCGGCTGTGGCTGTGGCGGTGAAGGCGGCAGAAGCCGGCGCTTTCGGCCGCGTTGGGAGCAATCCCGACGGCCCATTTCAAGACATATAGGTAATAAGATATTGAAGGAAAGAGCAATAAGGCGGGGAGAGTGAAGGGGAGAGCAGAAAGGAGAGAAAAGACAGAAGAGACAAATACAGAAGTTAAAAAAAAAGAAAAACATGCAGAAAAGGTCGGGTAGCAGGAAACAATAGCGGCACGGCGTACTTTTGAGCATCCGGCTCTCCCCTTGTTCGGGTCCTTCACGTTGGCGTGTCCATGCTGGGGAAGCGTTCGGGGCGGGGTGGGAGCAGGGTCACAACTTGTATCTGAACTTGACGTTCTCTTTGTCGGTGAGGTCCGCGAACTCGATGTTCTCGATGTCAGGGATCTCGAGCACACCTTCGGCGAGAAGCTTGTCTCTTCTTCTGTTTTCGGCCCAGTAGTTGTAGTAGAGCCAGGAGATGAGGACGACGGAGACGGCGTAGCACACCACCATGGAGATCTGGCCTCCTCTGTACTGGGGCGCCTGGGCGGCAATGAAGGTCTGGGGCCCGATCAAGTTGCCGACACAGTACCCGATCAAAAAGAGGGCGTTCACGGTGATCTTCTTTGTGTGGCCGGCGACGTTGGAGGTGAAGCAGGAGAGACAGCAGATCATGCCGACAGGCATGACGCTGAAGAGGTAGTACCCGGCCAACCGCGCGTTGGGCGAGCCCATGGCGAAGGCAAGCATGCAGCACGAGACAAGCGTCAAAAACATGGTGAAGGTGGCGATCGCCAGCTTGTGCTTGAAGTACTTCTGCAGCCACGCAAAGAGGATGCAGCCGACAAGCTCGACGGCCCCGGAGGGCATGTTCATGAGCAAGCTCTCGGTGGAGCTGTATCCAAAGGTCTCCTTAAGAAGAATGGCGCCGAAGTTGGTCAACGCACCGTTTGGAATGTCGATGGCGATCGCGTAGAAGAAGCAGATCCACGTGTTGACGTCGAGAAGCGCCTCCTTCAACTGGTGCATCTTGAAGTGTCTGTTACCGAAGCCCTGGTTGTTGCTCTTGATGCGCACAACCACCTGCTTTCTCTGCTCCTCGTTCAAGAACCACGCCTTGACGGGCAAGTCGGGGATGTGCAGGACAATCATGAATCCGACGGCGATGGTCATGCATCCGATGACGATGAACAACACCTTCCACGCCTCGAGGGAGTACGAGCCCTCGCGGATGGCGAGGCCGTACGCAATGGCACTGCCCATGATCGTGCCGAGCCCGTTGCAGGCGAACCAGCACGCAGTTCTCAAGAACTGCTCGTCGGCCTTGTACCACTGTCCGGTGATGATCACCATGGCTGGCGTGACCGCGGACTCGAGGATCCCGAGAAACGTCCTCAACGTGATGAACCCGGCGTACGTCTTAGGTGCGGCGTGCAAACAGAGAATCATTCCCCACAGCACAATGAACAGACCGGACACCTTGGCGACGGGGAACCGCTGGAGCACCATGCTGATGGGGAACTCGAACACCAAGTAGCCCAAGTAGAAGGCACTACCACACCACGAGTACTGGTCTCCGTGCATGTCGTAGTAGGTCCGCAAGCCCATCACGGCTGCGTACCCGGACGACACCTTGTCCATGAACTGCATCGCGTACAACACGCAGATCAACGGCAACAGAAACATGTCGATTCTGCGCAACAACTTCCGCTCCTCCTCCTCGGTGAGCTCCACGCTCTTTGCGTCCAGCGCATACTCCATCGCCTCGTCGACGTCACCGGTGATGTCCACAATTCTGCCATCGATGGACTTGATGTGCGAGAGCACCTGGTCCGTGTCGATGTTGTCCTTCGAGAAGGTCGAGTGCAGCTCGACCTTGCTAGCTTCCTTTTCGATGTCCGACATACTCGCTTGCCGATATACCTCTCCCAGACAGAGAAATTGCTCCTTCTCTGCACCCACTTCCACACTGCTAGATCCCACCGTCTTCTTTATATACCCACCGCCCCGTGTCTCCGCTTATCTGGTCTGAGGCTGTACCGCTTCTCAACCGCACTGTCTACACAACTCATGCACTAGATAAGCCTGCAAAGGTAATAAGCGGCCCCCTTCACACGCTTTCTCCCCGGCCTCCTGCCATATCTCTGCCCTCTTACGCCCGAAGCTTGCGACCCGATTTGGCACGATCTGCACCATTTGTTCAGATTGCTACACCTCTTCTCTGCCGTTATTGCAGTACCACGGCCCTCGAGGACCCCCGATAAGCCACCACACACCCTATCTCGGGCCTTAGCCGCGTCGCCAGCGGTAAAACCCGACCGCCCATCGCTGCCGGGCCTCTTGCTGCCCTTTGCGCGGTGGCTGCGGAAACTCCAGAACAGCCCGATGGGGAAACTCTATTGCACCCCAGCCGGGCGCCGGCACAGCACTATTGTTCGTGGCGCCCGTGCCGGACTCTCGGCCGGAAGCCCTTGGCAGCCGGGCCGCAGGCCATTTGTCGATAAGAGAGAGAAGAAACAAGTAGTTAGGTCCCGCATTTTAGTTCAATGGCGCCAAAAACGCAGCTACACACTGGTCCGCTATACGCTGCACGCTATACAATAAGACACGCACGCGTCGCCGACGCCTCCGCAGAGGGCCTTCGCCGCCGCTACTTGGACGACTTCGCCGCCTCCTTGGCAGCCTCCTCCTTCTTGAACTCCTCGTTCAACTTCTTGGCGTCCACGTCTCTCACCTCCTTGAACGCACTGATCTCCTGCGGGTTCTTCGGAATGGCCACCCCGGGCTCGCCTAGGGTGGTCTGCTTGCCTTCCTCGCTTGGTAAAACTGTAGTCTTGAGTCCCATCTTGATGCTGTGACTGTGAATGTCCTTGCAGCTTGCGCAAGAGCCAGCCGCCCTTCCCCACGTCCTCGGTCCCGTCCTGCCCGTCTCCGGCCCTGCTTAAATACCCCCAGCCTCTCCGACCAGGCCCAGCCGCCAGGGGCATCTCCGCCAGGCCGGAAAACCGCGCCCAGGTCGATCGGCCCAGGCGCCCGGAATCCGGGACCGGGGAGGCTGCGGGCAGGGTTTATCCGAGGACGGTTCCAGGTACAGGACACAGCTGAAGAAGTTGCAGCTCGACGGCAGCAGACGTAGGGGGAAGAGGTGTAGCCAGCACAGACTATCGTTATCAGCACCGCAATGCCAAACGAGAGTCACACCCCCAGATGCATCCTCATCAGACACGGGTAGGTTTCGCCTGTGCAGGGCGTTTTTTTTCTCCTCTTCTTCCTATTTTCCAGACACACGACTAACACGACACAACAAATAACGCTTGTGTACTGCAGCCAGACGGAGTGGTCGAAGTCCGGACAGTACACCTCGGTGACAGACTTGTCGTTGACCCCGTTCGGGGTGAAGCAGATGGAGATCACTGGCGAACACTTGATCGGCGACTCACACAAGTACTTGATCAACCCTGAGGTGGTTCGCCTCATCATCACGTCGCCCCGCAAGAGGGCGATCCAGACAAAGGAGCTGTTGTTCAAGCACGTGGATAAGAAGGTGTACGAGGCAATTCCCTCGGAGATCGACGAGGACATCCGGGAATGGGAGTACGGCGACTACGAGGGTCTCTTGACCAAGCAGATCAAGGAGTTGCGGGCCAAGAGAGGGCTCCCCTACGAAGACTGGACGATCTGGCAGTACGGGTGTGAGAACGGCGAGGACTACAAGCAGGTCACTGCGAGAATCGACGTGCTTATCGCCAGGATCCAGGCCATCCACAAGGAGTACCTTGACAAGAAGGAGTCGTGCGACATCATGATTGTCGCACACGGCCACATCCTCAGATGCTTTGCGGCAAGATGGATTGGCCTCGACATCCACAGAAACCCCCGCTTCATGTTGGACGCTGGCGGTGTGTGCGTGTTGAGTTACCAGCACCACAACATCAAGGAGCCTGCACTTTACTTGACCGGCGCGTTCACCGTTCCGCTAGCAGAGGAAGGTCAAGACGTTTAACCACATTCCCCACGTGTCACTATGCTTTGTTTCCTGTTCGGATCTATGTTCGCTATATATTAGTTTCTATGCTATGTAGAAAAAGGAAGTCCAGAGAAAGAAAACATTACTTTTTAAGGTCGTTGAGTAGTTCATTCTGCTCAAAGGATAGTATCCGCTTGTGGGTGCGGCCCTTGTAGTTTGCCGCACGGATATTGATGTCCCCAATGGTGGATCTCCGCAGTTCTCGGCTTCTCGTCCGTTGATGCTGCGGCAGATTACTGTCTGTGGTTCTGTATTTCGCAGAATACGCTCTGGGCGGGATTCTGGTTGTGAAAACAGGAGAATCCGGCGAGTCATTCGACGTGTTGGATTTGTTGGAAATGTTTGAGGACTCCTCGTTGAACGTGTCTTCGAAAGATTCATTGACACCCTTGGCCTTGCGCGTTTTTGGAGAGGGTACATGGCCCGTGGAGGGGGACTCATACTCGCTCATTTGATGCTGAATCTCCTCCAACGTGTTGTTGAAAGAGTAGTTGAAGTTGTTGTTGGGGTTGTAGTCGTCGTCAATGTTGAGTCTTTTCGAAGAGTTTGTCTTCTTCCTCGTTCTTGGAGACTTATCCGAATCGTTGATATCGAAGGAGGCGAGGTTTTTCAAGGAGAAGGCAATGGATTTGTACGAAGATGGAATCTTGGACAGGCTGTTGTTATAGTTGTAGCTGTTGTTGTTGTTGTTATTGCTACCACTAGTATTAGCACTGTTTGTACCGTTGTTGGTGCTGGAACTGTTAGTCTCGTTCTCGTAGCTGGACGGTGTGTAGAGCTGTGGTATTTCCAGCATACTCGTCTGTTTCTTAATCTTCCCAAGAATCGGGTGTAGGATGTTTAAACCATGAGAGACAGCGCTGTTGGACTCGGTGGTTGTATCGTTCGGTTTTGAAGTGGTGTTATTTTCTTGTAGCAAAGAGTCAAAGTCGCTAGATAGATTAGCGGTGATAGTTTTGATGGAGCCCGCCCGTGAGCCCGACTGGTGGTTGTTATACGTGGCAGGGGTGTTGGCCATCTCTCGCAATGAGTCGAATGAAACATACTCATGTATATCGTGGTTAGCATTACCTGGTGAATCCAGTCTTTTAAAAGAACTTTCCGAGGTCTGAGACAGGTTCGAATTCTCACTGTTCAAAGTATTGTTATTTACAGTCGAGGTGTTGGTCGTATTCTGGATAGAGGTTTTCAAAAACCCACTCACTTTCCGTCCAGCACTGTTTATGTTCTCTGTAGTTCTTCTGATGAATGGAGCGAGTATGTCATTGTTTGTAGCAAAATTGGGCGACATGTGGTGAGAAATAGTACTAATACTACTACTTAGGATATTTCCACTGTCAGCGGTACTGGTGTCAGTTACTGGCTCATTCACTGGCTCCTCCGGATGAGTCATATCAACAATGTCATCTTCAAATGAATCGTTCTCAGATATTGAATCTCGGTATGGATGATCGACCCTAGATCCAATGCTGTCGTAATATCTGGCCTTTGACTTCAAGATCGGTGAAAACTGACGGACACTCGATCCTGTTGAGATTGGGGAAAAGGGTTGATCGGAGGCCTCAATGTTTTGTATACTGAGCAAGAAAACGCCAATCATGACGAGAGATAGGCCGACCACCAGAAGGAAAAATGTAAAATAAGTCAACTGGTTCCACTGTTTGAAGAAAACCAAACTGTTCGAGATGGTGACTGTATTGTAGATAAAAAACACCAATGGGTATAAGACAGAGGTGGTTATATTTTTCAAACCCTTATTGAGAAGGTACAACTGAGATATTCCTAGTGATAGGAAAACCGAGACAATGAAATACGAGGTCGATTCATTCAAGGATTTCCAGTTTTTGTTGATGAAAGTTGTAATGAGTATTTCGATGCTCGATTTGGCCAACAAGATTGAAAAACCTGAGAGTATGCCTGAGATAATACCATAAAATATACCTTTTACTTTCCTCAAAGTATTGGATGGATGGATGAATGTTGGCTGCAAAGCGTTTTTGTAGCAGTTGAGCATTCTTTGGGAGACAAGCAAGAAACACATTTGGAGGTAATCATTCGTTCCATTGATGAACGTCGCATCGTCGTAAGAATCGAGTTTGAACTCGATGTTTCCCAACTTGGTTTCCAGCTTGCGCAAATGCTTAGAAAGCGTGTTGTGGTAAAGCTGTTTGTTGATGAGGACGATAGACACTGAGAGACACATTATTATGAAAATATCAATCATCACCAAATATATGAAGTTGATGTTCTGAAGAAACTCGATGAACTGCGAGAGACTGTATTCGGGTTCGGTCAAAGACCCGCCACAGTAGGCTGTGAGAAATGCGCCGACACTGATTAGCACCGTTCCGTAGAGGGACCATGGTGTGAACGGCTCGTGGAGCATCACTGTGTGGAAGATGGTGTTGAACACTAACCCGATTGACTGCAATGGGCTGAGCACAATTAACGGCAACGATGTGATCTGGATGGATGAGCCGAAGATGTTTGCAAAAAGAAAAAGGAACAAGCCGATGTGCCACAACGATCGGTTGTAGGACGGTGGCTGCACATGGTTAGAGTTTGAATTCTGCGACACTATGTGAGACTTCCGTTGGAGAATAAGTCCGACAGACTGGCACGCCGAAGAGACCACAGCAGCGGTGCATCCCACAACAATGTTGCTCCTTGATTTCTGAGTCAGAGAAGACAGGTTGCTGAGGGGGGCTATCGCTAGCATGGTGCGTTAATAAGGTGAAGACAAAGACGTGTGTTCCGTGATGCCTCTGTCAGCCTAGGATCTGGCGATATAGGAAGCGATGGACGATAACGTAGTGAGGTGGTTGTGGAGAAACCGCTTGGCGATTGCAGAACACGCTTCGGTTCAAATGTGGCGTGTAGAAAGTTCGTGTTGAAGTGATCAGAGGGGAAAAAAGGGAAAGAGGTGTGCAGTCTCCTGTATGCTCTGCAGAGAACGTGCAACTTGATACTTTGCAGGTGTACAGCCCGGCTGTCTTCTCTGTCGCCAGGTGGTCATCGGGGCGGAGAAACGCACAAGATGGTGAGGAAGTGCCAGGCGTCGTACGTGCCTGCAGCGTATACAAAAAAAGCGGCACAGCGTGCTGGGCAGAGACGCCTGGGACGACGATAAGCCTTCCCGCTCCCTGGAGCCGTGCATCAAGCCAAGCACACTCTGTAGGTTGTTTGTGTTACACTTATGACGATATGTCCATTACACGGCTGCTACGGTGGCCTCTGGAGCTGTACGTACTCACCGGCGTCTTGCTTCACGTGAGAGCCTGTGACGCTAGTAGTCAGAGAGCACACCATGCAAAGCGTACCTACTCAGCAGCCACTCTCAGATCGGCAAGAGACTTCCGCTAGAGCGTATGCCGCTGTGCTGGACTCTACCTTGGTCCCACGTACGTTGTCTAGGCTGTAGCAGCTGCTCCTTTTAATGTCCGGCGGCGGCCTGGCCAGAAGTGGGCAGCACGCGCCCAGTGAAAGAGACAGGAAGCCTCGCCGAAACGAGAACGCGAGAAGGCGTAAAGGTGGTGAAATGAAACATGTTGCAGATGGAAAAGAAAGCGGAGAAGAGAAAGAGGCAATAGAAGGACGTCGATAGTAACAGCAGCAGCAGAAAGCCACCAGGAGAAGTAGAACAGCATGTCCTCGTCTCCGCCAATCCCCTCTTCCCCGGCATTCGGGGAAGACGACGCCATGATGCCCGATGCTGGCGAACACGAAAACGGCAACGGAGCCTCAAATACAGAAGAGACCACCGCCAGCAGGAGCCAGTCACAGCAGCCAGGATCGAGTCCGGCACACGTTCCGTCGTCGCCGCTCTTTCTGCCGCAGTCGTCGTCGCCGGCTGCAGCCCCGGAAAGCAGTACCGGCGCAAGACCACGGAGCCAGCATACACCACACCCGTCCTCAGATATCCTCCGCTCGACCGAGGGTCTCTCCCGTCAGAGGTACCGTGGTAGAGGAGACATCAACAGCTCGGATGTGTTCTCGTCGCCGATGCGCAGACGGTTTTTCAACGAGCCAAGAAGCGGAACGGACTCTTCGCCGATGCCTGGCAGACTGGGCTCCGACTTGTCGTCGGACACGAACAGAAGCGGCGGCGGTAACGCTGACGGCACCCCCCGACGGATTATCCCCTCATTCTCGTCGTCGTCGTTTGCCGATTCGGACGGACCTGCGCCCCCAGAGGGAGTGAGCAGTGAAGCCGGACATGCCCACAGCGGCGCCTCCGATCGTGGGAATGGGCACGACCTGGGCGACGCCGAAGACAGCACTCCTATCCGTGTCATCTGGGGTACGAACGTTTCGATCGAGAACGTGACTGACCGGTTCCGGAACTTTATCATGACCTTCAAAATGAACGACCGGTACGCGTACGATGGGAACGACGACATTGTCGACCCTGCCGGCGACCGGCCCTACTACGTGCAGATGCTCAATGTCCTCAAGGACACAGGTGCAACAAACTTGAACCTAGACGTGCAGAACTTGATGGCCGTTGCCTCGACGCGCACGCTTGCCACGCACTTGATCCTCTACCCTCAAGAAGTTATCCCCATCATGGACCAGACTGTCAAAGACTGCTTGGTCTCAATAGTGCTCGATGACCCAGAATACAGAGATACCCCAGAAACGCTTGCACTCGTCAATGACATTGAGTCGAAGTTATACAAGGTGCGTCCGTACAACATTGGCAACAAAAAGGGGATGAGAGAACTCAACCCGCAGGACATTGACAAGTTGGTTTCCATCAAAGGTTTGGTCATCCGCTCTACCCCGATCTTACCGGACATGAAAACAGCATTTTTCAAGTGTAACGTTTGCGACCACACAGTGGTAGTGGAAAATGACAGAGGTATCATTCAGGAGCCAAGAAAGTGTCCAAGGCAGATCTGTAACTCGTCGAACTCTATGCAGTTGATTCACAATAGATCCACTTTTGCCAACAAGCAAATCGTCAAGTTGCAGGAGACCCCTGATATTGTCCCCGATGGGCAGACACCGCATTCCGTTTCGTTATGTATTTACGACGAGTTGGTCGATTCCTGCAGAGCAGGTGACCGTGTGGAAGTGTGCGGTATCTTCAAATCATCTCCTGTCAAGGTGAGTCCGAGATTAAGAGTCGTGAAAAGCTTGTTCAAAACATATCTAGATGTCGTTCATATCAAGAAGGTTGATAAGCACCGTATCGGTGTTGATGTTTCCACAATTGAAAACGAACTACGAGAGCAAGAAGAAGTCGACGAGATCAGAAAGCTATCTGAGGATGAAGTTGAGAAAATCCGCCGCGTTGCAAGAAGACCCGATGTCTACCAGTTGCTTGCTAGATCCTTAGCACCCTCTATCTTTGAAATGGACGACGTAAAAAAGGGACTTCTACTTCAATTGTTTGGAGGCGCTAATAAAGATTTCAAGAAGGGATCGAGAACAAGAGGTGACATCAATATTCTACTATGTGGTGACCCATCCACTTCGAAGTCTCAAATTTTACAGTACGTTCACAAGATTGCACCAAGAGGTATTTACACGAGTGGTAAGGGATCCTCCGCTGTCGGGTTAACAGCATATGTGACGAGAGATATTGAGACAAAACAGTTGGTTTTGGAGAGCGGTGCTCTTGTGCTATCAGATGGAGGTGTTTGTTGCATCGATGAATTTGACAAAATGAGCGATCAGACAAGGTCGGTGTTGCACGAAGTCATGGAACAGCAGACCATTTCCATTGCCAAAGCAGGTATCATTACGACGTTGAATGCTCGTACCTCCATTTTGGCCTCTGCCAACCCTATTCAATCGCGTTATAACCCAAATTTGCCAGTCACCAAAAACATCGATCTTCCTCCCCCATTGTTGTCCAGATTTGACCTAGTGTTTTTAATTTTGGACAAGGTCGACAAGAAGTTGGACGAGCAGTTGGCGAAACACATTGCCAGCATGTACCTTGAAGATCGTATGTCAAGTGCGGCCACCGAAGAAATTTTACCTGTTGAGTTCCTCACGGGTTACATCCAGTACTCAAAAGAAAATATTCATCCGAAGTTGACAGAGGAGGCCAGAGACGAATTAGTTTCCTCTTATGTCCAGATGCGTCGTGCCGGCGAAGATTCACGGGGCGGTGGTTCCGAAAAGCGGATTACTGCAACAACCCGTCAATTGGAATCATTGATCAGATTATCCGAAGCACATGCCAAACTCCATTTGCGAGAGGTAGTGTTGTTGGAGGACGTCGTCGAAGCAGTGAGATTAATGAAGTCTGCTATCAAGGACTACGCTACAGATCCTTTGACGGGACGTATCGACATGGACTTGATTCAGACTGGTGTGAGTGTGGAGGAAAGACGTCGTAAGGAAGAACTCGACAAGGACATCATCAAGGTGCTAGAGACCGCCGGGGAAATTGACTGGCCTGGCCTAGCCGATGAAGTCGAGAAATTACGTGAGGGACTGCGTGTGGACAATCACGACCTAGGCGAGTCTGTGAGAAGACTGGAAGGAGATGGGAAAGTCATTGTCTTTGGACAAAGTAACCATAGAAGAGTTGCCATCAACAGGCACGTTGTATAACTCTGTACACTAGAAAACTCTCTTTAGAGTTGACATTTCATTACTATAATAACTTAATCTAGAAACTGTCAAATTTGAAAGTGTGTACAAACCGATTACGTAAGCGGAGGTGGTGGTCTTGTGGTTACGCAGCCCTGGTGTTAGAAGCAGCAGGGGATAGCTGCACAATGGGCCACGAGCTGAACACCAGTCTGGAGGAAGCAGCAGCCAGACAATACTAGCATGCCTCCAGCAGCACCTTGAAGTGACAAGCACTGTACACCAGTTCGTAGCCCTCTTCAGCCAACAGGAGCACCGAAATCCCGCTACCGATTCTGCAGCGCAACGGGGAAAGCAAGGAACCAATTATGGGGTACGCTGCGAAAATGGACAGCTTGAGCGACTATGGATGGAGTTGACGGAAAAGTGCTGATGAAAAGCGGATCCTGGAGCCTTTAATTCAGATCCCCTCTGTATCAGCAGATATACCCATTGCAACCAAGCCAGATAAACAATGTTTGCCAGACAATCCATCAGAGCTGTAGCTGCTGCTTCCAAAGCACAACCTGTTGCCAGAAGATCTGCATCCTCCCTTGCACAGACCATTGCATGTAGGTAGTGTTGTTATTTTCCGTCCAATTTGTCTAATATGCGAACAAGATTACTAACTAATGCTGGATAAGGAGTCCCCGGATACTCCCCGTTCTTTTTTGTCTGCTAGCTTTCTCAGAAAAATCTGTCTACTACACCAAGGTTGCCTTAGAACTCTCCAAGTCCGTTTACGTCAAGGAAGGACTAGCTCCACCTACTGTTGCTGAAGTCACCAAGGTCTACGAATGTGCTTTGAAGCAAGCCGACTCCTTTGCAAAGGACCCAAAGGCATTTGCTGACCTCGTTGCTAAGAACGCACAAGGCTTCAGCAAGGACGAAATTCTCAGATACATCTGCTACTTCATTCAAATCGTTGGTTTTTTCTCTCTTGGTGAAATCGTCGGTAGAAGAAATGTTGTCGGTTATGCTGAACACTAGATTCTGATTTGCAACGCCGGTTTTTCTCACTGATTGGAAAGTAGTGGCTTCTCCCCCACTGATGCCATATTTATTTCGTTAAAATTTATTTATTCGTTATGTCATTATATATAGGTATATGTCTATGCATACATGCTCAATATATATATTCTTGTTGATACAAGGAATCGATGGCTCGACCCGGTTAGACGTATTTCTTCAATTCACCTAACGTGCAGACCAATTTTTGGTATCACATTGAGAAAGATGTTTTATCAGAAGCAAACCAATCTAGTTTACGCAAAAGTAGCCCGAAGATGATTGAATGAAAAACAATAAAAATCTGGCAAAACTACGACAAAACATGAATAGGATATTATAAAAATATTATCGGTGGATACAAGTACACCAATTTCAGAAAAGAGCCAAACAAAAACTGTCTATATTTTCTCTACTGCTTTCCTTCCGCAACAAATTTAAAATACTTGTCGGCACTACGCTTTCTCCAGGACTTGCCTTGGAACATCACTAAAACTGCAGAGGCATTCGCCGACAACACAAGCATGGCCCAGAAAAACATAAGCCATCCGTAACCAACAGCTGTCAAAAATTCTTGGCATGAATAACTAACGGCAAAGTTAATACATGCAGAAAAGATTGCCAAAACTACGACCAACTCGCCCGATATGCCTCGGAAACAATCCATGGCGTACGATGTAGCAATAGAACAGGATGAAACCTGTTGAGCTGTCATAAAACCAATCCCAACCGAAATCACAGGCCATGCATCACCTTGCTCTGCGCCCCAACCGTACATCATGTAGCCAATTGCTCCAAAACAGAAAGGAAAAATCATCGCAAACAATCTCATTTCTGGCTCCTTCACACCATTGTTTCTTTTAGCAAAAAAGATGACAATATAGTCTGATAACGATCCGGCCAACCCACCTAGGCCACTTCCTACGAGGGAACCTAGACACATCAAGCCAGTTGTTGAAGTTGAGTAATTATAAGGATCTTCCATCAAGATTTCTGCAATAGTACTGAATGAAAGCATACCCGCAGTACCCCCAAATCCAAAGTTGAAACCAGCATAGAGTATGTTAGGAAAGGTGAATAAAATAAATGGACGACGGAAGTATTGCCAAAAGGTGGTTTTGTCTTGAGGGTAATAAACCCACCATTTGGTGACAATTTTTCCCCATGATGGAGCAGGAAAATCCTGAGCGTTAGGAATTTCGTACTCGGAGACCCCATCAGTAAGATCAACTTCAATATTCTCTTTTCTATCTAGCAGATGAGTACTAGTTTGGGGGCTGTCATCAAGATATTCAACTTCACCGGATTTCATCTGTTCCAAGAATTTTGAGTGTTCGCCTCTTTCGAACAAAAATCTTGGAAATAGCGTTTCTTGGAACGTGAATACGAACAACACAAAAACGACAGCATCAGCAATTGCAACAATGTATTGCGACCATCTCCAACCAATTGTATCTGCTTGTGCTCCACCAGAAACCAAACCAATAACACTACCAAGTTGCTGTGAGGATAGGTATACGGCCAATGCTCTACCTCTCTCGTGAACAAAGAAAGTGTCGAAGATGGTGAGCTGAATCATTGCTTCGTAACCTGCAACACCTAAGCCATTTACCGTCATTGCCAAAAACCACTGAGCATTACCGTTACATTTACCAATCCAAACCATGGCGCATGAGGCAATGACAGTAGTTGCAATAAAAACCGGCTTCCTTCCTATCTTCATTGCAGTTGGAATCCATAAAACATTGAAGAACCCAAGTAAAAGCCAATTTAAAGCACTTCCTCCATTCATGTTATTCATGTTTACTCCAATGTCTTCTGACACAGTTGTCCATGCGGCACCTAAATTATTTTCACCATAAGCAAAGCAACATGCGTATAAGGAAACAACAAATAACTGCCAGTATTTCTTGTACCTTGCCCAACCCAATGGATCAGCTCCACATTCAGTTGGAGGAGGTATATAAACAATCTCAGCTCCCTCAATGACATTTTCGTTGTCCTTCTTGATATCAACAAGTAGTTCCGTACCTGGCACTCCATTCACAAATTCTTCTCTCTCCATCTGTATTATGTCTTTAGCTAGTGAATGGTATGTTCATGAAATTCTGTCGGAACGGATAATTGAAACACAATACCGACTGAAAAAAATGAAGACTAGATAAGTCATTTTTAAATAAAGCACCATTGAGCGGACTGATCTTTTCGTTTGTGAGGCTAAGATAAGCTCATGTTAGAAGAGGTCCAAATGCTGGAATAAAACCAGGCAACTACGATAGCAATGAGTGCATATTGCACAACTATGATCTGGATTGAGCCTAATCACCTGTATCATCGGCGGAAAGTAGCTTCCGTCTTCGAAAATAGTATTTTAAAGCTTTTAAAGTTGGAAGGAGGGAACTGATCAATAATAGATAGGTGATAAGGACTGTAAAAAGGTGGCTTGGAAAAACCTGTCTTATCCGCAGCGGGGCCATTTTTTACCGAGGACTCTTATCTTTTGGCGCTATAAACGAGGAGCTAGCTAGCAACTATCGGGGTTTTTCCATGCAGCAAGCACCATGTAAAACTCGAAACCCAAGGGAAAGCGTTATTCCCAGCCAGAGCTCAATGTTGTGGAAAGAGTCTAGGTATGTACTATTTTTGAGAACTGCATCTCTCCTACTTCTTTTGTTGTCTTTGTCTGAATTTTTCCTGCTACTGGGATATATATAGAAGATTGTGACTTTCCAATACTTTTATCGTCAGTGTCATTTCACTTTTCCTATATATTATATGACAGAAACAAGAGAGGTTTGCTATTTCACTGAGAATGTCTAAGTATTTGCCGGTTGCTAATTCCACGAGGTCTTTCTGGCTTAGTGCCGAAGAAGATGATATCAAAGGCTACAGGAGTTCTGAAGAACTTCCAAAAGAAATGGATACTGTGATCATTGGATCCGGTTATTCTGGAACTGCTACTGCATACTACCTGCTAAAGGGAAACCCATCTAACAAGTCAATCTTAATGTTTGAGGCCAGAAACATTTGTAATGGAGCTACTTCACGGAACGGCGGGCATTTGAAGTGTGATTTGTACTATGGTTACGAAGGCTTTCTTCGGAAATACGGTGAGAAAGATGCTGCTTCTATTCACAATTTTGAATATGACCATATAAGGGCTACAAAAGCTTTAGTTGAAGAAGAGAAAATCGATTGCAATTTTGTTATCACTCGAGCCTGCGATATACACTTTGACAAATCTGGCATGGATAAAGCCATAAGCGGCTACAATTCGGTTTCTAAGAACTCTTATGTGAACTACATGCACGATCTACAGATCAATTTTGGCGATGAAGCCAAGACTATTTCCAAGGTTGAAAAATCTCCTGTATGTTTGACCTATACTACGGGGCATCTCTGGCCATACAAATTGGTTATATCTCTCCTCAGAATATGCATTGCTCGTGGCTTGCAGGTTCAAGCCAACACTCCTGTTCTGAAAACAAAAAGATTGAATGATGGTAGATATTTGGTGAAAACACCAAGGGGAGACGTCATCACCAAAAAATTAATTGTTGCTACAAACGGATATACTGTTTCTGTCGAACCCGGGTTTGAAAACAAAATCATTCCAGTCAAGGGTGTAGTTTCGCGTATTACCTCTGCTGACCCATCCAAACGTACTCCCCATTTGACCAACACTTATGCTCTCAGATATTCAAGTGAAGATTATGACTATCTCATCAACAGGGGTGATGGGTCAGTTATTGTCGGCGGCGGAAAACCCGTCTATGGTGACAACCTCGACTCTTTCTATAACGTTGTTGATGATAGCACCATTATTCCAAAGACGAAAGAGTTCTTTACAAATTACATGAAGGAGAGATACTATACTTGGAAGGACTTTGATGAAAAACTCGATTGTATTTGGAGCGGTATTTTAGGTCTCACTGACGACACGTTACCCTATGTGGGAGAGATGTTAAAAGAAAAAAATAAGTTTATAATTGCTGGTTTCCACGGGCATGGGATGCCACGGGTATTGCTTTGTGCCAAGGCACTGGCAAGGGTGATTAATGGGGAGTCAACCTCCTTAGAGGTCCCAAAACCTTTTAAGCTGACCGAAGCCCGGATGGAAAATACAGAGAACGAGACCTTCGCTTCACTAAAAACGCCTCGTAAACACAAGCTATAGTTATGTACTAACTATTTCGTATATTCGTAAGATGTCTTTCTCTAATTGTTCGAATAACCCAGTCAATCTTACTGCTTTCTCTTCCTCAGCCTCACATCCGACGTCTTTCCGCAAGGCGAGTATATTGCTTAAAACGGAAGTCCCTACCTGGGCTATCCGGATTTCGTTATTTCCCGTAATATCTACACAGAGGACGGTATCTGAGAAGCCGTGAGGCTTATTTGCCAAACGCAAATGGATTTAGCAGATAATTCAGTTTGGTCACCGAATAAAGAAGCAGATACCAGTACAAAGTAATTGTGATCAATTATGGGAAAGGTAACAAGCAACATACTAGTCGCTTCAAGCCAAAAAGGCCAAATTCCCTATCTCTGATGAGAAAGATCCTCTATTCCTTCTTTGACCGGGCGGAGCGGAACAATACACCTTTCCGCCGCAGAAGCCGCTACATCAAGTGGACACCATAAGGTGAACTTTGGAAAGGTTTAAGCGGCTCCCCAAATTAGGGGCTTCCCGAAGAAGCGCATTTTCTGTACTGTGCCGACCGGTGCCCTAATGAGGATTTTAGCGACAGCGGTGGCAGTCTATATCAGCTGGTACCTAGGTATTTTGCGGGCTGCATGGTGCGTTATTGAGATTGTTACATTGTACGTTCTCCTTATCTGGAAATTCATCCTCCGGCATAATCTTTCTTCCTGGCACTTTCCTAGCGCAACTCATTGTCTCTTGTAATAACACACAATAGATCTCAGGCTACTTAGATACTGCAATGGTAATTGTCTTAGCAATCACCTTTGTTGTGGGTTTGGGAAGGCGATAATGAGTGTGGGTACTTTGGAACCGCTTAGTCCGTGCCTGGCTCGATAAGGAAAAAGAGACGCTAGAAGGCTGCGCGGCTTATCAGCATTCTCGATTCGGACTCTTCCTCCCTATCTCTGTAACACTACCTAGGTTCGAATTAATGGCACATTGCAATGAAACCCTACGTCCATATTTAAAGTCAGGCATTGTCGGCACACCATCCTGCCAAAAATGGAAGATAGATGTGGTATTTTACTTCACACAAGAAGTTAAGCAGAGCGAAACACTGCTGAACACATTCGTTGGTTACTTAGTAAAAATGAAATTTGGACTATTTGCTGTTGCTTTAGTGTTTGTGGTAGTTCTCTCAGTGTACAAATTCTACACTGGCAGGAAATCACAAAAACACATAAGCACCAATTCCAAGTTTCTTCCTCCAGTAATTACTCCTGTCAGTGCCGATTTCAAATGGGAACAAACGGAACCTTATCCCTACAGACCTTTTAAAAAAGGCCCTTACAACATGACTTTGGCACTCAAGAAACTTGATCCAAATGACTATATTACTTTGGAAAACACTTACTTAGACCGAATTGCATTGAGAGAGAAGTTATTTGATGAGACCCAATTTTATGCATGTGATGATTCCGCTGTTGGTGCTTTAAAGGAGATGTACAGGTTCATTTTTGACTTCCTAGTGAAAAAATATCCACAATATTTTGTGCTTACCGAGAAAGAGACGTTGATACACAACACAATAACGGGAAAGTTTTTTTCTTCTGATCCGGCAGACATGAAGAAAGAAGAAATTCTTAGACTAATCGCAACAAACATCGAGGAGGACATGCTAATTATGCTCAAAAATCCTAGTACTGGCCAACTTGACGAGTACATTTTACGTTCCTTCATTACATTGATGCCGGCTGGCTTTAATCCAATGGAAAAGCTTAACAAGTCCTTGACTGCGATTCATGGACCTGTTCCTGGTTACCTTCAAAAGTTGCAGATTTCAATGAATAAGTTTTTTTCTAGAGTTCAACCTCATGAGTTCATTGTTCGTCAAAACTGGTCACTCCAGACTCACTCCAACTTATGTGCACCTAAAGGCTCTCACGCAACAAAAGAGGAAGCAGAAAAGCTACACCCTCTTTTTCCAAATGATTTAGACTTCAACAAATGTTTCTTCAGGGTCGAGAAGCAGTGCGTCACAAGGTTACCCGAATCAGGCGCTATTATGATGATAGTAAGAACCTACACAACTTCGTTAATGGATCTCAGAGCAGATCTCAGCGAAGAACAGAAGGACATAATGTGCAGTGCTATTGATGGAATCAGTGGTGACCTTGCACTATATAAAAGAAGAGTTATTTGGGGTGACGCAGCTAAAAGCTTTATTCGTGGTGAGAGCAATGGTTCCCAACCTATTCCTAGAAAACATGTATTTGTTCATTGAGCATATTATGAAGATTGTATAAAATAGTTGAAAAAATGAATAGAGCAAAGAATTTACGATGGTGGCGCTTCCATCTTTTAGTGTACTTTAGGTAGTGTTTATTGATATTATCTAACAATTTATATCAGCTATACAGACGTATATAGCTGTTCTGTCTCCTCACAAGCTCTTCAGCCTTTTTTCCACCCAATCTGTTTCATAAATTTATGCATGTATGTACAAGTAAGATCAAGAAATAAACATAATCGAACAGAAAGAATGGAAAACATTGAGGCTTAGAGAAGAGTGAGAAAATCAAAGGTGGTCGTCATATATAAACATGTGTACATAATCTCGTTAACTGTTGTCTGGATGGGAGACGGCTAATGTATAGGGGTGAAAGAACCTTATATTTCGATGGAAGTGTCTCATGCAAGTTTCCACAATAAATTTCTAGTTTTTATAAGCAGGAATAAGTTCTTTTTCAATAAACTCCTCAGCAGCATTTTTACCGTACTTTGAAGCAATAGCGCCAATCAAGGATGAGGTGATTGTTGAGTAAATTGACTTTGGTTTGTATAATTTGTCAATGTTTCCACCAGGTAAGGCTTTTTTACAGAAAAACACCTTGTCGATATTCTTTGATTCAGCGAAGGCAGCGAGCAGTTTATCAGACCACATGATACGGTGTGCCAGGGATCCAATAGCATCCAGGTTTTTGGATTTTCCAACCACATGTTTGGTCGCACAGAGTTGTAGAATCTGTTCTCCTAGGAAAGATATGTGTGCATTATAAGGTTTTGAACCATGAGCAAAAGACTTGTGAGTAATAATCTGTAGCAAAAGTTCATCTGGAAGTTCTATTTTCGTTGAGAGGTTAAGAGAACTGAGGTAGTTCTTCAATGGGGCCAAGTTGTCGCTTTCTGCGCCATATTTTACACCATCAGAGGACAAAACTTCACTTGGGTCTCTTATTAAGCCTTGTACACGTTGGCCACGGACAAAGACAATCGATCTCTGTTGTTGTTGTTGATGATGATGATAATGTTGTTGTTGTGTAATTGTGAGACGTTGGTGTGTGTTGGCTCTGTGTGTGTTGTGATGATTGATCGTGTATAAACGGGTTTGAGATATTTTGGATAAATTCCTCAACTGGAGGCCTCTGGCAGTGTGCTCGTACGCCATTATTGTAACAGGCTTGTTGATGATAGACTGCATTATGGTTCTCAAGTGTAGTGTATGTAGATTCTGCAGACCCTGGGATCGTTGTGGGATCTGGCCTTTGCGGTTAGCTGTTGGTAGATTCTTCACCCATGTCTGCCGCTACCTAAGTGTCTCCCGCTTTCTTCGTTTTCCATTTTCCATTTTCCATTTTCCACTCTTTTTTCGTCCACCGGCGCTGGAAAATTTTTGTGTTGTCTGAGTGAGACGAGTATTCCTGGCAGTGTTGATTACGTGTCTCAGCATTTTTTTTTATTTTATTTATATTTTTGTTCCACTTTTTTATCTGAAAAGTTTTCTGATATATTTCACTGATACTTTGAGGTTCTTCGATTATTTGCCTGATTCGTACAGTTACACTGACTTGAAGTTTAAAACAAAGTGTAAATCGATTAAAACGCATTGCAATGGATATCTTTAGAGTTTTGAGCAGGGGGGCTTCGTTAAACAAATCCAAGGACTATAAGGCTGATTTTACAGCTCCTGATAAGGTCAAGTCTGCAACTGAACTGAAAAAGTCGAACGATTTGAATGTACAGGTGGAAAAGGAAATAGACTTCTTTCACAGCAAACAACATAAGATTGTTAAAGAAGTAGAGAGCAAAGTTAATGGGGATGAGAGTGATGACGATGTGAAAGATGATGAGACAAGAAAGCAAGAACCTGTCAAGATCACTACGAAAGAAGAAGCCTTAGAGCTACGTAAGCTCAACGGATCGAAAGTTACCGGACACGATGTTCCCTTACCAATTGGTTCTTTTGAGGACTTGATTAGCCGGTTCAGGTTGTCCAAGATCCTACTGCAAAACTTGATTGCGAACAATTTCAACGAACCAACTGCCATCCAAAGTGAAGCCATTCCATGTGCGCTATTTAACAGGGATTTGATTGCATGTGCTCCTACCGGTTCCGGTAAAACGTTAGCTTTCTTGATTCCTCTCGTACAAAACATTCTGGCCTCAAATATACGATCAAAGAAGAGAAAAGGGGGCGAAAACAAAGGTTCCGAAGAGAAAAGGATAAAAGGATTGATTATTTCACCTACAAAAGAATTGGCCCAGCAAATAAACAATCAGCTCAATAAAATCACCGAGAATCTCGGTATCAAAACGGGGTATTTGAACAAATCTCTCGCCTCCAAGTTCCGTTCCGGGGTTTCCAAAGCTTCCAAGTTTGACATCATTGTAACTACGCCACTTAGATTGATTGACCTAGTGAAGAACTCTGCGCTTGACCTCTCGTATGTCGAGTTCTTGGTTTTCGATGAAGCAGACAGTCTTTTCCAGTCTGATTTCCTTGAGCAAACAGATGCAATCCTTTCCGCGTTGACAAGCCCAAAATTATGCAAAAGTATTTTCTCTGCCACCATCACGTCACATGTTGAGGAGCTAGCCCATGGTATCATGAAAGACCCCGTACGTGTCATAATCGGCTTGAAAGAGGCTGCCAACTCCAACATCGAGCAAAAAATAATATACTGTGGTGACGAACATGGTAAACTTGTTGCGATCCGTGACATGATTCAGAATGGTGGGTTTAAACCCCCAGTCATCATTTTCCTTCAGAGTATTGACCGTGCCAAGGCCTTATTCAATGAACTCTTGTATGATGGTTTGAATGTCGACGTTATCCATGCAGAGAGATCACAAAAGCAGCGTGAAGATGCTATTGCAAGGTTTAGAAGCGGAGAGTTATGGTGTCTCATAACAACCGATGTTTTATCGAGAGGTATCGATTTCAAAGGTATCAACTTGATCATCAACTACGATGTTCCGAACTCATCACAGGCGTATGTCCATCGTATCGGACGTACAGGACGTGCAGGCCGTACCGGACGAGCGGTCACGTTTTACACCAAAGAGGACACAGATATGATCAAGAATGTTGTTAACGTTATGCGTGCAAGTGGTCAGATTGAAGGTATGCCTATATGGATGCGGGACGAAACTGCACTATCGAAGTTGAGTAAAGATAGAAAAAGAAAGCTCAAACGTGAGCAACTCGAGCGTGGGAAAATCAGCACTGTTCCAAAGGCATTCAAAAAGCGCAAATTCAGAAAAGCTTAATAATATCGATACGGGAAGGTTAACTTCTCTAGTTTCTATTGGTTTTAGCTATCTTTTCCATCTTTCCACGCTTTTCGACCAAAGGCGGACTTCTATATCACTATATAATGCTAAGCATATGACTGTAAATGAAATTTCCTGGCAAAAGAAGTCAATGTTGCTCCCTGGTTTCCTTCTATGCTAACGCTACCGTTAATGTCCGATATCCGTATATGGTAAAGTATCTTTGAAAGTCATGGTATCACGTGACTCTATGATGACACGATTTGAACATGACAGATACACGACTTTGGAGTTTCTCTCTTTCTCGCGGGAGCTTCTGCGTTTATTTTTATTTTTATTTTGGCGCTGGTGCTCAGCACAAGTTGATTTCGTTGATGAACCATAACCTGGAACACCTTAATGATGCTGTCAATTAGGAAGAGTAGGAGCACTGTAAAGCCAAAGTCATGTCCTCCCAAGAATGGCCACGCTACCAGGAGGCCTTAGAGGGCTTTCTCCAATCTTCGCAAGGTAATTTAACGCCAGCCACTAGCTCACGGGTTGCCAAGGCTCGTGAAAAATTGAAGAAGTTGACGAAGATCCAGTTTAGTGACTTGAGCACAGATGTATACGATGAGATGCAGCGAAGAGAATCCACACGGTTAGATCCAGAAAATACGAGTCTTCCGAAATATCTTGCTTCCCAACCAAATTACCATCCAAAAAGAAATCAAGCAAGACAAAAATTGGCTGCTTTACCCCCTTCTAGGTTCAAAGACTTGGTGAACGATGTTCTGTTTGAAATCGGGAATAGAATGCATAAAGAAGATAAGGTGGTTTCGAAAACTAAGAACCAAAAGAGTGGTGGCAATATTGAGCGTGAGAAGGATAACATTACTAGTCAAGAGAGTGATGTTGCAGATATTCACAACAATAACAATGACGGTCCTTTTGACACTCAACCTGATTTTCATGCCAGCGGCCATGCTAATGGGACCGGAAGTGACCCAACTGGTAATTTGAAAATTGATGTCAGTAAGACACAGCAATTCAATGATGATTTCTTCTCAGATTTGAAAACCCCTCAGACGTCAGACTTTCTGGGAACAACTAAAAGCCCCGCTACCCCTTCCCAACGAGAGATCAAGCCAACCACTTTGGTTCCTAAAAAATCAGAACTGACCTGGTCAAGTGATGAAGATGATGATCGTGAGGATCAACAGGATACCAATCACAATGCTAATATTTCTCAAGAAGACCTTGTCAATGCTACCCATAATTTGTTTGAAAAAGATATAGAGAAATCTCACAAGCCCGAGGAAGCTGATTTCGACACTATTAACCGGTCGCCAGAAAAGGAACTTAACTTTGGTAATAACGAAATATTAGACACGCATACCCTCCGCCACGATGAATCGAATACTGGGACTGATAGCACCTCTCTGAAAAATGAGTTGCAGGAATTAAGGTTCAAGATTGATGAATTGGAACACGAAAATTCACATTTGAAAGCTTTAGCAACCCAGCAGCAAGAGCTACAATCTGAAAACTTTAATCTGAAAAGCCAGCTGGAAAACTTGAATCAGAATCATAGAGATGTAAACAATCATCTGGAAAATATGACAAATCAGTTTGCGGATTACGATGAAATGAAACAAGAACTGTATGATGTAAAGGGTAAGCTGAGTGCACAATCTGAAGAACTAGACACACTCAGGCAAATGACAGATATCGGTCAAGAAAAACAGTTGAGTGTGGAAGATAGCAGGGAATTCGATACTTTGAAAACCTATCTTGATAAAGTGTTAGAAGAAAACGAAGAACTCAAAAGCAGGCTAGCTACCATTACATCTACAAACTCGGATAACGGTGCTAAGCATTTAGAAGAATTAGAGAATTTGAGAGAGCAGCATGAAGATTTGTCCCAATCTCATAAAATTTTGAACGAAAACTACAAGATTTTGAAAACTCACTCCGATGATCTTTCGAAAACGCTTGAAAAACACCAAGCTAATGCAACAACAGCCGCCACAAAAAATGTCATTAATACAAATATCCAAGCAAACACTTCGGCAGTTCTTGATTGGCAAAACAAATTTGAGACATTGCGCTCAAATCATATCCAATTAAAACTATCTTCATTGAGTCAACTACCAAAATTTGCCGATAAAAAAGCGTTTAGTCCAAATGGTCTTATCTCCATTCAAAGCATCTCCAATGTTAATGCCTCGTTGGAAACTATTTTAATTTACATGGATTCTAGGGATGACTCAGACGAGTCATTAATTGACCCCTCAGTTTTGTTCGAACGCGTGGCCAATTTTGTTAGCAACGCTAATGTGCTATCAAAGGAAGTTGTTGTCTCCTCTAATGATAGAAATTATGTCCGCATTGAAGAGAAAAAGAGAATATTGAAAAACGCAATTTCTAATGCTTTATCAACAACTAAGCATTTTGCCCTCTACCGTCATATATTACCTCAACTTGTTCTGAACGCAGCGTTGAATGATGTCTATTTCTCTATCTGTTCTCTAATCTCATTGGCTAAAATTCGTGGCGATGGCACAAAAGGCGTTCCACAAATCAAAACCGATTACCTGGAAGACAATGCAACCATCACGGCCACTCCCGTTGCACTCAAAAAGATTAGTGAAATTGAAGAAAGGTCACCCTCGTATGGTTCTATTCAGGCTGCAAATAATACTGAAACCTCTGTGAGACCTTTGAGAATCACTCAGCGTTTGGCCTCTGGCTCTACCTTAGATCTGAATGAGTTTTCCAAACCAGGACAGCCAAATGGATCGAGAAGTGGTTCTCCTATGGGTCGTAAAATTTTGGGTAGTCCGATTCTTCCAGTCATTGCAGCTGGCAAGAAGAACAGTGAGATTGATACTGTCAAGTTGGTCCCTAATGTGAAAAGGGGCGTAACAAGAAATGGAAGTGTGGAAAATATCAAAGATTCAGTGATAAAGTCTGGTTTGAATTCCCCAGTTGATGGTGAATCACCGTTGGACAATGTCAAACAATTCAGTAACTCAAACAATAGTAAGTTGTCAGTTTCTAATCTTGCTTCAAAGTTTTCTTCTCCTGAACATGAAAATAATAGCACCACCAGCGTGTCAAAAAGCAATGCACCTTCCCCTTCTCGTGGTAAAAATATTGTTGATAAACTTAAAAAGTTTGATACCTCGGTTGACGATTTAAGTATCGCAAGTAATGGCAAGGGATCACCTAGTTCTTCAAAAGTGAAAGTCGGTCATGATGTTGCAAAGGCTTTTGACAAATTCGGTGCGAAAAGACGCAGTGTCGATTTGAATTCGGACGTCATCGCTAAAGATGAACTAAGGGAACATTCGAAGGAGAACAATATTGACAACTCAGAAAAATCACTGAGTAAGGAGACCCTCAAGGATTCTAGCAAAGTTTTGCACAACAAAGATTTGAATACAGTGAACGACGTTGCGAACCGTAATCCTTTTATTGATGGCTCTGTTGGCTCTAAAAAAGGAGGGTTGTTCAGCACCGATGATCAAACAGATATGTCTTTGAAACAGAGAATGAAGGAAAGTGCTAATAGTGGGTTGGAAACTGAGGCAGATGATGAAAACAACGAAAAGGATGTTTTTGGTTTGGATAAAGAACAACACACTAAAAACTATACTGGTGAAAGTGCTTCTGATTTGAAATTGAATAGTGAAGGATGTTCAAGCAAAGAAGTTTTACCTGAGCATGAAAGTTCTTTAAGGGTCAGCAAAGAGCCTTTGACTGATATCAAGTCTGAAAAAAGTGGAAAGGTTTTAGTTCAGGCTGATAATGAAGGCAAATCGAAGAATGTTGATAATATATCAAATGTTGTTGGAGATGATGTTGAAACTTTCGACGGTGACAAATACTTCAATGCCCCAGATCATGAGAAGAAAGAAAAAAATCCTTCTGCAGCCTCGGAAGAAAGCTTACCGGAATTGAAAGCCCCTTATTCAGCAAAGTCAAATGCCAAAGTTGAGCCATTAAACCTCAATTCTGGAACTTCCTCAGAGAAGCTCAATGGTATAGATGCCAAAACTAATGACGCTGAAGAGGATGAGGACTTCAACAATTATGGCACAACCAAGGATGTTTTAGCAGTCAATGATCCTCTACCTTCCGCAGGAAGTGCTTTAGATATAGATGAAAATCTTGTTAGAAGAGTAAGCAAGAGGCAAAGTTACAGAAAAAGTGTTCTGACCAACAATGTAAGTGCTCAACCTGACACTGACAAACAGGGCTGGAATTATAACGGAGAAAGTGAGGAGGAAGAGGAAGAAGAGTTTGATGTTGACAAATTCAATACTTTGAATCCAGACAATACGCTAAGAGAATTATTGTTGTATCTTGAACATCAAACTGTTGAGGTCATCGGCGCCATCCAAAAAACCCTACAAAGCATACGTGATCCAAAGGCAACGAAGGGATTACTCAGGAGCGGTACTGCTGAGATCAACTCAGTTGTCAAACAGATGGCTGAAGGTACAAGTACTTTGATGAACCAAAGTAGATATAGTGAGTCTATGGGTCATGCCAAGTATGTGGTGGGCGTCTTAGAAGACTGTGTCCAACGTATGGAAACGTTATATGGTAAAGACACCAGTAGCGATGGTGAGTATGCAGGGAAGAATTTCAAGCAACGGAGTGCAGGTATTGCGTTTGATGTTGCTAGGAGTACCAAGGAGTTGGTGAAAACAGTGGAAGAAGCTAGTCTTCGTGATGAGATTGCGGTGCTAGATTCAAGACTAAGAAGGGATTGAGTCTAGAATGGGTTACCTTTTTTTTTCTTCTCAAAAAGTTTAGTATGGTTCTAAATTCTTAGCTACGGATAAAAGTATAAAATGTGTAAATACTATTATGAAAGCTTATACTTAATAAGATGATAGTCAGCAAAAAGAAAAAAGTTAGGGAGAATTGTACCGAGTTTCAGTGTGCTGCGGAAGGAAGATCAGCCATCTTCAAAGATTCACCAATGTGTATAGGTTGAATAATGGGCTCGGAGGAGCGATCTGAAGCATTGGACTGCTCTGTGTAGTCATCCTCCTCGTCTGTGTCATCTTCGTTGCGTTGGTCATCGTCGTCATCGTTGTCATCGTTGTCATCGTCGTTATCGTCGTTATCGTCATCGCCGATGTCATCGTCGTCTTCAGCGTCGTTATCTTGCGTATCGTTTGCTGAGCCTTGTTTCCTTCTCGATTGCATTTTTCTGTGCTCTTTCTTTTTCTTTTTCAAGTGTGAAGAAAACACTATGAATGCAGCAGACGATCCATGGACAATGATGGAGACGACGACAAGGAATGATACTAGCGGGAAAATGGAGTTGATCAACTGCGCCATCTTGACATTGTCCGGAACGTCTCCGACGACTGGGCCGTGAGCAACCCCTTGAGCGTCCACTTCCAAATCGGATATCGCAAGGATGCATGCAAAGATCCCGCTGACGCCGATTGGACCAAAGTGGCCGACAAAGATGGCCTCCTTGAAAGAACGGATTTCAGGGTTGATTTTGTAGTGCATGAGGACTGCTGGGAATCTTCTGAGAGTCAAGAAAACAATGGCAAGAACAACCAATCTCCAAGCGTTGAGACCCAAGGCCGCGTTGTTGAACTGTTCCCAGGGGACAATCGAGCCGAAGTAGATGAAGTAGGAGATGTTTAGGAAGACGTCGAGGGAGTCGATGAAGCTCTCGTCTTCTCTGCGCCGGACGTACCAGTCGTCCCAGACAAAGCCGCAGCCTGCACAGAAAGACGCAAGCAAGTCGTCGATGCCGAGGATGGGGGAGATGCCGGCGCAGAAGAAGGCGACGGCGACGGGGAAGAAGATGTTGGACTCGTTGTCGATGAGGTCGTATTTCTTGGCGAGCCTGACGGCCCAGCTGGACGCGTAGCCGAGAGAGGCGCCGAGCACGCATCCAAAGAGACACTCGTAGAGGACGGTGATGCAGATGAAGTTCTTGGCTATCTGGCTGCTGTTGCCGGAGTGGACGATGATGTTGAGGGCGAGGTAGACGAAGGGGACGGCGAGGCCGTCGTTGCAGGCGGACTCTGCGGTGAGGAGGCGCTTCAAGTGCAGCGGGACGTACTTGGAGGCGAACTTGCTCTTGCCGATGATGGCCTGGGCCAAGACGGGGTCTGTGGCGGTCACGCACGCGGAGACAAGCAGGCCCCAGGCAAACGAGTAGCCCGGCACGAGCCAGTGCACGAAGGCCGCAAACACAAGCCACCCGACCACCATGGCAAAGAAGAGCAGCGTGCACAACGGCGTCCTCTTGTGGTACACGTACCGCGGCGGGAGCTCGATTCCGACTGCCACGAGCTCGATGCAGAGCAGGATCCGGGATATCTCGAGCGTGTTGTACAGCGGGTTTCCCCACGCGTGCGGGTCGAACCACCCGAAGCAGTGCGGTCCGATCACTAACCCGAACACCGCAGACACCGTGGCCTCACCGAAGAAGAGCTTCTCCTTCACCACCGACGAGCACAGGGCAAACAAGACGGTGAAAAATCCTAGACACGCATATGCGACGTGCGTTCTGTCTGGGTCCAGTTGGTTCCAAACCATGAAAAGTAGCGCCCACAAGTGTCAGCGATGCAGCGCAGTCTGGACTACACATGCTGGGCCCAGCCTGTGCAGGGTCCTGCCACATGTGCCCATCTTCAACCGTTGCTGGACCGTTTCCTGTCTGACTGTCTGTCTGTCTGTCTGTCTGTCTGTCTGTCTGTCTGTCTGTCCTCGTCTGCCCCGCACCCCCCAAGCCGCGCCACGCATTGGGCCGATCGGCCCCGCACTTTTTTCCCCGCCCAAAACGGCAGTTCCCGCCCCCGTCCCCAACCCGCTTTTGGGGTCCTCTCTGCTCCGCCTACGTCATCTTTCTCCCTTCCCTCGGCCCCGACGTACGGGGAAAACTGTCTGTCGGAATATGGGGGCACCGGACGGCGGCAGCAACGGCGGCGACGGCTGCAGAGGGAAATTGGCCGCGGACGTCTGGCAGGGCAGAGCCAGCAATGACATCACCGGCGGCGCTGCCCGCAACGGCCGGACGTAGGCGGCGGGGGAAGGAGGGCGCATGTCCGGGCCGGACATAGTGGGGCGGCCCCCAGATCGTGGTGCAGATCGTGCGGGCGTCGAGCAGGGGCGGATTAGGTTGCATAGATGATGTCTGATGTGTAATTTTCACCCGCTTTGGATCTGCGGCCGAGGGCTGGCGTGCATGGTCGAGGATGTGGGCAGCCAGAAGGAATTTGCGGCAGAAGAGGTCGGAGATGGGTTGTTGTGTTGTGTCGGGGACGAAGACTTGCGGTGGGGGCAGCACCGGCAGACAGCATCGGCAGACAGCATCGGCAGAACCAAGCCGCTACACCCGGTTGCCAGAGAGTGCTGTGCCCAGGATGACGAACCACGTCTCGGTGTTGGGCGGCGCCCACGCACAGCAGCAGCAGCAGCAGCAGCAGAGCCAGCAGAGCCAGCAGCCCTACCACAGAGGCGAGCCCTACGGCGACGCCGAGGCCTTGTCCCTGGCCGCAAACGTGGAGCAGATCCCCCTCCCCCGCTACAGCAGCAGCACGCCGGTGCCGCCTCCGGCAGCAGGCTACTACGCCGCCCCAGCAGCGACAGCGTCGTCCCCCGCCTACCCCGGCTTCAGCAGCCACGCCGGCAAGCTGTTCGCCTCCAGCACGAACGTGAACCCGGCGCTCAACAGCTCGTCCGCCGGCGGACCCTCGAACCCGGGGCCAGCTGCGGCCTCGGCCTCGGCCTCCATCGCACAGCAGACATACAACACCCAGTATGCACCCCCGATGTTCACCCAGTCGTCATACGCCTCGAGCTACAGCCCGCAGTTCCGCTCCCACAACGCCTGGGAGAAACCGCAGCCGCCGCATAGTGGTGGCACATACGTTCCGCCCTACCCGTCCTCCTCTTCTGCCGCCGCAGCCATCCCAGACGACAGCTCGAACCCCTCCCTCAGCAGCAGGTACGACCACATCAGCAACTCGCTCTCGGATTTGGCAAGAATCACGTTGGAAATCGAGCCACTGGTTAGTTCGAGTACAAGCCCGGCAAAAATACCCAAAGACCTGGTCCTGAAGGGTCTCGAAAACCTGCAACATCTCCAGCACGTCTATTCGGACTGGTTGAAGTACCTGAACATCAACAATACCCAGAGCTTCAACAAGATCGAAAAGCAGGCTGTACGCACGTTGTCGCTAATGAACAATTTCGAAAATGAGCAGGCCAACGATGATGACACTGCCGCTGTTTTGGAACCAGGCTCCAAAAAGATGAAGGCTTCCCCCCACATGATGCCTGACTCGACTTCTTCGATGTCGCTCTCGCTCACTTCCCCGGTGTTCACCGCTAAACAGGGAGAGGAAAGGTCTTCCCGGCCACCGAAAAGAATATCAAGCTCCGGAATTTCAAACTCGAAAATAAACTCCTCCCTTTCTTCGGCTTCGTCCTTGGACTTGGGAACCTTTCCGATGTCCACCAGTGCTCCTCCGATGGGCGGTTCCGCTGCTTCCGGTCCTCTCAGCGGCAATAATGCATCGGCAGGGAATAGCAACGACTACGGCTTTGGATACGGATACCAGCAATACCACTACCAGCAGTATCAGTACCAGCCGTCGCTGCAAATTCTTCATGAGAACTCGTCAACCACAAGCTACGACAAGGAATCCATAACTAGGCCAAAGTTGCTGATTTCGGAGAGCATAAACCAACACAGCAAAAGCAACAACATTAGCGACGTCAGGGGCGATGGTATGGCTGACCCGGCCGACTTGATAACCATTCATGTCGCAAGCATGGAATGCATGCATTGCTCGTCGAAGGGCACGCCGGAATGGAGAAGAGGTCCCGGTGGTGAAAGGACACTATGTAATGCGTGTGGCTTGTTCTACTCCAAGTTGGTCAAAAAGTACGGAGAAAACGATGCGAAAGCCATTATGGCGAATAGGAAGAAAATGGGCAAAAGCATGGATAGGAGGTTATCCATAACTTGATCCGGTGTACAAAACATATTATAATCTAACTCAAAGCAAAACGATCAAACCAAATCAATCAAATTCCGTTTTTCTGCATTTTTCTGACTCAATTACTTCACTCTCGTTTGATGTAAGTTCTTTTTTTTTATTTTCATTTGTTTCTTTATATATATGTGTATATATGTATTTTGGATAAAATTACAAAGTTTTTATTGGTGTCTAAAGATCATTAGTAAACATGGACTTCGTATATGACGAAAGGTTCATAGTCTGTGTCGACCAAAGACGCATATTCATGCAAACTGTTATCCTTGACAACCTTCCCTTTGTTGTCCTTGGTGAAGGCATTTCCTCCGAGGTAGCCAAACCTCTCAATGCAGTCAGCCTTGGCCTTGCCCAAGTCCTTGGCGTTGTTCACCTTGAGGATGTAGCAGTAGAACGTTGGGGGGAGGCCATATCTGAGAACACTCTCCACAAAAGCACGCAAGAGCTTGATGTGCACCCAGCAGATGGTGATCTCCGAGAAGGCCTCCTTCGAAAGCCTCATCAAGTCGTTTTTCAGGGTGGACTCCTGCTTCTGAGCGATGCTGAACTCGTTCTTCAACTTCTCGATTATTTCGTCCGAGTACTCAAAGTCTCTAGGGATCCACTTGTTTTCACGCGAGGCGGTGAGGAACTGGTTCTCATACTTCTTGAAGAGGGTGACGCCGTATAGAACGTACTCCGCGTCGCTCGATATTTTGCGTGCGGACCGTGGCACAACGAAAGGCGAAACGGACTCGTAGGAGTCCAAGAACTGTGATTCGAGCGAGGAAGGGACCGCCAGGAGCACCGTCTTGAGGTGGTCCGATCCGAGAACAAAGTCGTCCTTCGACACGACGCCGTGGAGCGACTTGACCGAGAGGTCGCCGTTCTGCTTGCGCTGGCACGCCAGCAAGTTCGACTTGGCGTTGTTGTAGATCTGGTACTGGGAACGGAGATCCGAGTCCAACTGCAAGCCCTCGTTGGAGATCAGCTTTATCAGCTCCTCGATCGACTTGTCGAGACGGAATCTCGACTGTTTCCACTGGAACTTCTCGAAGTAATCAATTGGGTCCATTCCGTCGACCTTCAGCTTTGGCAGGTTGGCCCCTATGTTGCTGCTGCCGCTGCCGAGGCCGCTGACACCGCTGCCGCTGCTAACCAAGTTCGAGATCGTCTCCAACACTTTCGAAATCGACGTGTGCAATTGGTGGTCAAGCTTCCCAAGCTCCTCACTCTGCTGCACGAGCGAGTCCAACGTGCCGACCTTGAAGCTGGGGAATTGCACCTCACGGAGCTCCACCTTGCCCGAATTCACGTTTGCTTCAAGCCACTGCGAAATCGAGCTCTTCGACCCGGACGTGGTCGGCAAGGAAAGAAGAAGATAGTCTGATGCCGCTGCCATGCTTCTGCGTGTGCTTCTGCTTCTGCTTCTGCTTGTCTGTGTCCTTCTCTGGGCTTGCTGCGCTTCGCTACGCCCCGTCCTGCCCGTCGCCTCCTCCTCAAGATAGTAGGTGGCTGCATAAAAGCTCAGCGTCCTCTTTCCCTTTCCGCTCTGGCCTCACCTTCTTACTGTCTACACACTATAAAAGCCCGCGACCTCCGGCCTGTCGCGGTGCACAGGTGCGTCTTTGTCTTCACTCCTCTATCTCAGCGTCTTCGGCCGTTTCAGCCGTCTGGAGAGATCTTTCCTGCTCCTCGGGCTCCTGGAGGTCCTCGAGGTCGAGCTCTTGGTCGTCATCGTGGTCGTGGTCGTGGTCGTGGTCGTCAAAGTCATCGTCTTCCTCATCTTCTTCATCGTCCTCGTCTTCATCCTCTTCCTCTTCCGCGTGCTCGTCCTCGGGCTCCTCGTCCTGGCCACCCTCGTTGGCCACGTCGTCGTAGTCGACCTCGTTGTCTCTCACCTGGTTGAGCTCCATCCGCTCCCGCTCAAGCTCGGACTCCCGCAGCTTCTCGTCGTCCCGCTTGTTCTCTGCCGCCAGCTTCCCACTCAACTCGCTCTTCATCTTGCCCACGTCGGACGAGATGAACTCCCGCACCTTGTTGATCTCGAAGGTCCACTTGCGGTCCATTTCCTTGAGCATGCCAATCTTGCGCTGGTAGTACTTGTCGTGGAGCTGCACAAGCCGGAACTTCTTCACGTCCGAGTCTGCCAGTATGCGCTGGAGCTTCTCATTCGAGTCCTCCGGAATGAGGAACTGCTCCTTGTCGATGGCGCCGCTTTCCCGACTGCTCCAGAGCAGCTCCCGCACGCTGTCCAACGGTATGTCCAGCGTCTTGATAAACTCATCGTACTCGGTGGCGCCCTCGGCCTCCTGTGCGTCCATGTCCACGTCTGCCTCAGCGTCCGGGGCCCCCTCGCCGACCCGAGTGAGGTCCGCAATGTCGTGGATCTTCAACTCGGGCAACCGCTCCAACGCCTCATGTAGCGCGTTCCACTGCTGATTGTTCTTGAACGTCTGTATCTCCCACTTCAGCAAAAACGTGTTGGACACACTCGAGTCCCCGCTCTTGACCTTTTTCATGTTGTCCTCGTTAGTTTTGAAACAGTCGCTTTTGAATGCGTTTTTCGCCTGCACCAACCGCACGGTGTCGAATATCAGCTCCGACTGAAGCGCATTCAGTCCGGCAACCTCGTCCTGGCTGACGGTCTTGCCATCCCCGTCCTGTGATGCGCTTTTTCGTGGTAGAAACTCCTTGAGTTTTCCAAGTGTCTCCTGCGTCAGTGTGCACGAATCTTCGAGTGCTCTCCTGTATTTTGCTGACGTCTCTGAATCCCTCATATTTCCTACCTATTGCTGTACCTTGTCTGGTCTCTCTGGGAATCGTCTTGCCCGTCTCTGCACCTCCTTCCCCCGTCTACACCTTTTCCAGAGCTGGATTTGGCATGCATGCCCGTCTCTGCAAAGCATTTTCTATGCGCGTATGGCGCAAACAGACAGATCCCCTGCCTCTTTCAAACCGGCCACACCAGTCAGTGGGTTGCGCCTCTAGGTCTTGCACTGAACTGAAGTCATCTAGATCAACTAAATATAAAACCTATATCCGTGTATATAATGTGCTGTGCACTAGCGTGCGGTGCACTACTATATCGTTACTCTAAAACATCTCTCGCCTGGCGGCAAGGGTTGGCGTCTTCGGCTGGCATCAGATGCTCTTGGCCAGCTTGGCCAAGTCCTCCAGGGAGGCGTCCGCAGGAACGTCGACGTTCTTCTCCGTGAGCACAGCTTCCAACTCATCCTTGGACAGCTTGTCGTAGTCTACCAAAACTGCAGACTCCTCTGTCGTGGTAGTAGTGCCTTCTTTTCCTGCCTCCTTCTCTCCCTGGCCGCTGCTTTCCGGTTTGTCCGCCTTCTTCGTCTGGCACGAGAACGGATTCAAGTGAGGATAGGTCTTGAAGAAAAGCGATGCTGCTCCGATTATGACAAGGCCCGAAACGGCCGCAATCGACGCTTGGCGTTGTGTTTTCTTTGAGAGCTGCATGTCGTGGTGCTAAGGTTTGACGTTCTGTTCGTGATCGTTCCCACTAGAAGTATTTGCCTACTGTGGTCTAGAGAGTGCTTTCGAAGAAAGAGCACACTGTGACTGTTTTCCAGGGGAACCAGCAAACCCCCAGCTGTACCAGCAACAGCAACCACAGCCTCCTCCTCAGGCCTCTGGCTGGCCCCACCCACTCTTTCTCTCGTCCTCCCAAACAAACACCCCAGTTTCGCTTATCGCGTTCGGTCGCAAAATGTCGCCAGATATGCCTAACTGGGCAGGCGTATCCGCTTCCGCTACGGGATATGCGACGGGAAGCCCTGGCTGACTTCGGGGCAGGCAGGGCAGAGGGTAGGGCAGAAATGGAGTCGGGGAGTGACGAGGGGGGAAGAGAGCCTCTAGAGGTGCAGAGACCCTTCATCGACGTCCTGCGAGTGCTGGTAGTGGTACTCGTCGTTGCCAAGAGCGCCGATGTACGCGTAGCCGCCGAACCCACCGACAAAGTAGCCGCTGTCGACAACAAACTCGGTCCACACGCTGCTGTGTACGCGGTTGCCGTCGCCGGGGAACCAGCTTCCGGTTTCTCTGTGTGCGGAGAGGAAGCACTGTTGGATGCGGTCGGCTTCCTGGTGGGTGATGTATCTGGAGTCGAAGGCGTCGAGGGCGTCGACGGGATCGAAAGCGTCGTCGCCGGCGACCCGGAGAAGCCTGAAGTGGCCTCTCAAGTTCACCCGGGGCATCCCGTACATGCTCCCGGGGCTGGCACCGGGCCAGTCTGCGTCGAACTCGCTACTGTCAACGGTGTAGGTGACGCTGCTGTCGTATCCGGCCTGCACGGCTATGTTGCGCCAGTTGTGGCTCATCTTGATGAACAAGAGAACGGGGTCCCCGCTGTCGAAACAGTCAATGGCGTATTCCGGAAACGACATTGCCACGGTGTCGTTTCCGTGCTCAAACTGCGTGTTGATCATGGCAACTGTGTTGTTGCCCACCAACCTTCTTGCGACTCTCGAGGCAGTCCGGGAGTCCCTGTAGACGTGTTTGGGGCGTTTAAATGGATTGTCGTTGCTCTCTTCAGATCCTTCGCAGTGCTCAGCCCTCAAAATTTGTTGTGCATTGCATTCACCCACAATGCTCAGAAGCAACCATACGCCAATGCACAGCGATAGCACCCTCAGAGAAAGCATTGTGTCTAGTCTGTTACGCTAGGGACTTACTCTCAAACTGAAACATCTGACCGAGAAGGATGCCCTTAAAAGTCATCTCTGAGCAGTGTCAAATGCCTTTGAAGCGTCCCGAAATTTTCCAAGACACCTTTTGAGCCGTTATCCGCGAGAGCTCGATTTTGACGGCTCCGCCCGGTTTTGCTACGCATCATGCTTACATTACACTCCAGGTAAAGAGGGGCTATTCCTTGAGCATACCTTTGTCGAAACTTCACATGGCTATAAAAAAAGTATTAGCGTATACAAAAAAAATTAAGAAAATGAAACAGTGACCTGGTTGGGCTTTTTGGAGCATTCGAAACTACGAAAACCGTAGAAAAAAATTGGAAACTATATCGTCCATAATCAGTCCCAACCAATCATCATACTAACGGCCTGGATTCTCGTTAAAAAGAACGCAAAAATAAGAAAACAAGGATTTCATCACGTTTTGCCATGTAATTGTAGCTCGAGGCAACATTTTTCTCTTCAGACATAAAAAATTAATTGGTAGCAGTGTGTATCAGGCCTAGATTAAAGCACAACCCTCAAACTCTCTTTCTTCAAGAACTCCTTCTGATTCAGCATCAACAGTTTCTTGCTGATAAACAACTACTGGGTCATCTGAACGTGGATGGGACATTTGCTTTCTTTCCCTACTGATTTTGTTCCAGTGATGCTTTCTCTCCCTGCCAGCTTTTCTCCAGTGGTTGAAATCAAAGTCTTCAGGGCCTTCATCTTCATCACAGTCTGAGTCGGAACCTTCATCAGAGCCTTCATCTTCGCATTCAACGCAGCCTTCGTTGTCTTCGTTGTCTTCGTTGTTGTCCTCATCGTCGTCTTCATCACAGTCCTCATCGTCATCTTCATCAGGGTCTTCATTTTCACCGCACTCACCACAGTCCTCGTCAAAGTCTTCATCCCAGTCCTCTGCACATTCCTCGTCACAGTCAGAGTCGAAATCGGAATCGGAGTCGGAGTCGCAGTCAGAGTCAAAATCGGAGTCGGAGCTAGAACCAAAATCTGAATCTGGACCATTTTCTTCATCATCCTCGTCATATCTTGAAGGGAAATGAGGTCTTCTTTGCATTTCTCTTCTCTTCGAAGGTCTTGATGGCCCTGCAGGTCCTCTCAAAGGTTCAAATCTATGATGTTGCTTCTTGTTGAATAGAGAAGGATGGATCTGCTTTCCACGATATGAGGAGTGATGATCCTTCCAATATCTGGCATTGCCAAACTTGAATTCTTCACCTTCGGAGCAATCACCAACCTCTTTTTCTTCTTCATCACTATCACTCTTCGTCACGACAGGGCGATTGTGACTTTTAGAACTTCTGTGATGCCTTTTAGAGTCTCCTTTTGTAAGCTTTGTTGGCTTGGTTTCTGGTTCAAGGACAGAAGAAAGAGAGTCGTAAACTTTTTTGAAAAGTCTATCATACAACGCCATATCGCTCTCCGGCTTTGCATCTTTCGATGGAACAATCGGAGCACCTTGGACCAATGTTACCAAGACACAAGTTGCTGCTAGATTTGTAAATCTCATTTTGTTGTCTACAGTCGTTTACTAAAGAAAGCAAAGCATGAAGGGTATAAGATTGGAGTAGTTGCTATGCAAGAAGGTTTTGCTTTGAAAGCGGGTATGTCACTTTTTATTAAGGAGAGAAAAAAACCGCTGCGCCTCCCTTATTTCAGGCTCCTGCAGAACCGAATAAAAATTCGTGAAAGGCGAAGCTTAGTTGTATGGTGAGCCGAAAGTGGATCTGTGATTTTAAGCCACTAAATTTGTTCATCTATTTTACTAAGGAGGCGGAAAAAAGGTTTTAGGCAGAGAAGCAGTTCGGAGCCTCGTGTTGCCCAATCAGCGAGTGATAAAGGTTACATTTTTCGGGTTTTTGCTTGCTGCTGCTGCTGTGATTTTTTCACAGAGGCGCTGTAGTAGATTCATAGATAAACGTAAACTCTAGTTAGAAATAGAATAAATAAACAATTAGATAAGTGAAATGCCCAAGAGAAAAGTGAAAAAGGAATGAATAATTAAGAAGTTAAAAAAAGTAGACCCAGTAAGTGAAAATTAGAATTCGTTCGAAACTCGATATGGTAGCATAACTTAAAGCAATGCTTCAGCATCTAACTCGTCGTCAGAGTCAGCTGGTGGAGTGTACTTCTTCTTGTATTGCTTGCCAACCTTCTTCCAGTGCTTTCTTTGCTCCTTGCCGTAGTGTTTCCAGTGCTCACCTGGGGTTTCGACTGGCTCACCAGCTTCCATTAACTCGACGTCTTCATCGTCAGAATCGGCTGGTGGAGTGTACTTCTTCTTCTGGTCCTTGCCAATCTTCTTCCAGTGCTTCTTCTGGTCCTTACCGATCTTCTTCCAGTGGTCACCTGGAGTCTCAACTGGCTCACCAGCTTCCATTAACTCGACGTCTTCATCGTCAGAGTCGGCTGGTGGAGTGTACTTCTTCTTGTACTGCTTACCGACGTTCTTCCAGTGCTTCTTCTGATCCTTACCGATCTTCTTCCAGTGGTCACCTGGAGTCTCAACTGGTTCTTCGGCGAGCATGAACACAACTTCCATCATTTCGGAGTCGTCTTCGTCATCGGATTCGGTTGGTGGGGTGTACTTCTTCTTGTATTGCTTGCCAACCTTCTTCCAGTGCTTTCTTTGCTCCTTGCCGTAGTGTTTCCAGTGCTCACCTGGGGTTTCGACTGGCTCGCCGACTTCCATGAGTTCAGCCTCCTCGTCGTCGGAGTCTGCTGGTGGAGTGTACTTCTTCTTCTGGTCCTTGCCGACGTTCTTCCAGTGCTTCTTCTGGTCCTTACCGATCTTCTTCCAGTGGTCACCAGGAGTTTCGACCGGCTCGCCGTCTTCAATTGCTTCGACCTCTTCTTCTTCGTCGTCAGAGCAGGCTGGTGGAGAGTACTTCTTCTTGTACTGCTTGCCGACATTCTTCCAGTGCTTTCTCTGCTCCTTACCGTAGTGTTTCCAGTGCTCGCCTGGGGTTTCGACTGGCTCGCCAACTTCCATTTCTTCGACTTCTTCGTCTTCGTCGTCGGAGTCAGCTGGAGGCGTGTACTTCTTCTTGTACTGCTTGCCGATCTTCTTCCAGTACTTCTTCTGCTGCTTGCCGTAGTGTTTCCAGTGCTCACCAGGGGTTTCTGGGTCAGCAGCGCCGGCTTCCTCGTTGGACTCCATCAACGAAGAGATTGAGTCGACTAAGGAGTCGAGGAATCCCTTAGAGTTGGACACGTCCTTGGTGGCGGCGTCGTCAACGTTGATTGGGGCAGCTTGTGCGACTGCAAGAGCAGTCGTGGTTGCGGCGGTCAATGTTGTGAATCTCATTGTAGTGCTAGTGTGTGTGTGTAAAGCGTTGTTCCTGTTAGTGTTTGGATACCGAAAGAGACCACACAGGAGAAACAATGACAGATGCAGAGAACAATCCCATCGACTTCAAAAGTGCTGAGCGCAGCCCGTTCTTAAATAGAAAAAAAAAATCGATAACAGCCGGCCACGATCGCTGTGCACGCTCAGCCTTGTGAAACGGTGTGCCGGCGGTGACGGGGCGGCGAGCGAAGCCACTGACGGTCTTCCGGACTGGAGAAAAGGCTTGTGCCGGCTACCCGGCGCGCCGGTCGTTATCGCAGAACCGGGGGACCGGCCGGCGGAAGCCGGGGGGAATAGAGGAGGAAGGGCGCTGTGATTACGTCAGCAAATGAAAAAACGAAAAATGCGATTTACGTCAGCAAAAGCGGTGGCGGTGTAGTGCCTCTGTGGCGAGTGGGACAAGTGTGGCGGTACCAAAGAGGGAGTCTATTCTAGACACAATCCGGGTTTTTCGATGATGGAAATAATAATGCGCTGTTGATGGTATGATATTATAGAGCGATGGCAGTAATATAGGAGTATATAAGTAAAAAAAAGCTTAGCAATCAACAGACCAGTAAGCAACCAGGTATCACGATTTTTAGTACTATGCGGTTGGTATTAAAAGGGGGAAACGATAACGATCGAATGGGAAACTGAGCTGCATAGCACAGCCTTCTCGAGCTCTTCGCTTATAACAAAGCGGCCAAACCAGCAAGAGCAACGACACCACCACCAATAACAGCCTTTGGAGCAGCGTTGGAGAATTGTGGGACGCCGGAGGAGGCAGTGGTGGAAGTGGAGGTCTCTGCTGGGGTGGTAGCAGTGGCGGTGGTTTGTTGGTTTTGGGTGGTTGGGGCTTGGATTTGACCGTCGCCGATTTGGGTCAAGACGGTGTCTGCAGCAGCAAGGGAAGCAAGAGCGAGGGAGGCGATGACAGAGAATTGCATTGTTAACGAGTGGATAGTTTCTTAGGAGATCTTTTGGATGCAGAAGGAGGAAGACAAGAAGGAGAAGAAGAACTCGAGCTCCTAAGGCGACCAGCAACCACCACAGAAAGTGTGGGAAGAGGACGCTTTAAATAAGCGTCCCACGTCGAGAGAAACTCGAAATTTCAGCGCCCGTCCATCCCGCCACTTCGAATGTTTACCATCAGTCAGCATCACCCTAACCACCGATCTTTGCTATGGCTCCCTCCAGCGTAGCCGTCCCGCCAAGACGGCCTTGCGCTCACCATCGGCGCCCGCGTGCGGTATGTAAACAGCAACAGATGCATCTCAGGTACAGCCGAGGTCGAGAACCTGTCAGCGCGCGTGCGTAGCTATTGTCTGCGGCACCCGCCGCTGTTGTGTAAACAAAGTGCCCCAGGCAACGTCATCGGACAGGGCGTCTGGACCGCCATGGGCCCGTGGCGGGTTCTGCGGCTAGCTCTGCGGCTGGCTTTTCCGGACATCGTGGCTCACGTGTTGCCGCCCGGCGTCAAAGAAACTGTGGGGTGTGGATAGACGTGTAGTAAACAGGGTGGACGGACGGCAAATTGGCCCGCAGGCCGCCCGGTCTCGACCCTCGATAAAGCAAGCGGGGCTATCCTATAATATCCCCATGTAGCGATCTTGTGCAGACAGTGTGTAAAACAGGTGCAAACGAGGTTGTTTGGCAAATTGCTTCGTCTATCTCGGGAAATCTCGAGGTTCTTCTCTCCCCAGGAACGGTTCCCGCAGCTTCCCAAATGGACGAGAGTTTTTTTCCACATTCCGGAAAAGTTCGAGACCAGCTTTGTGAATAACACTTTCCAGGGCCAGTTCTGAGGCCACATAGCCCACGTAGAAGTGCTGCTCATCATCGAGACACATACAGTGGTGTGTCACTGGGGATTCCCCGTCTTTGTGGCAGCTCTTTGGGTTTGTCAGCTCATTTCGCCATAGCACCACAATTCGAGTGTCGTGGGTCGAGTGGGTCGAGTGGGTCGAGTGGGCATCCTCGCGAGAGTTGCCTAATCCGGCCAGGAAAAAACCATGTACCCCGTAGCTACATGAATCCACAACTATTTTTCCAGTTACTTGAGTTGGCCATACCAGCCAACACAAAGGTAATGTTCTGACAGCTGCGGACACCCAGAAAACATGAGTAGCAAAGACAACAGCAAGGCTTTCCTCAAGTCCTTTATCAGAGCAGAACCTGTGCAGGTCTCGCTCCCCTACGAAGATGATCTTTACCCGCTTCTTCTCAACGAGTACGGCATCATCCACCTCCTCTACCACCGCAACCTGAACCAGCACCGAGTCAGCCGCTGGTGGTCCCATCTGGACATCTTGCACAGACACACCCGCAAGATCTTGCTCTTGCTCGAGGACGTCGACGAGATCAGGACCCTTCGCCGGTTGACGGCCATACAATGGAACTCAGCGAAAAAGACTTTTGTGAAGGTCAACGAGTTCCCGCAAATGGTGCAGAAACGAGTCCTGAAAAAAGCGTCGTTGTCTTCCGGCAGCAGGAAAGGGAAGAAGAAACGAGTTGAAAAGTTCATCATGTTGCATAGGAAGATGTCTGACGCCTCCGCGGTCAGTCTGATCGACAAGAAACTCTCGCTAATCTTGAAGGAAACTAAATACCTTTACAAACACATCATACCAGCGTCGTATTGGAACTTCATGGGCGTTATTGAGCTAGCGCAGTTCGCCAATATTGGATTCGCTCTCATCGGGTTTATTTCACGAACGTGGAGTTTATTAAGCAAAGTCGAGGGCTTTAATGCCAACGCCAAGTTCCAGCAGGCACTGGAAGAGGGGAAGAAGAAGGCCAGGGAGTTGGCCAGGGAGCTGGAAGAAGATTCGAAAGTAGCACAGGTGGCTGAAATTGACTTCGGCGAGGTGATTGATGTTTCGAGTCTGGAGGAGTCTGTGTCTAACAACGCTGCCCTTTCCCCGAGCCCTGCCAGCGTCATCCATCGTGCAGCCGAGGAGAAACAGTCTTCGGAGCAGGGAAAACCTGCAAAAGAACCATCCAAACGGAAGTCCAGCAACATAATGGACGATCTCTTTGGGCCATCGGACGGCACCAAAGCCAAGAAGCAGAAGAAGACAAAGAAAGAGAAGAAAAAGAAGGCTAAAAGCGCAATCGACGATATTTTCGGAATCTAGATTATCAAAGATACCAACGTTTACAGAGTTGTGTATATAGGGCTATGTTCAGCTGTTGTTGTCGAGTACCTGGGCCGCCCATGTCGGCAAGACGAAACTGGCAGAGTGAATTTCGCTGTTGTAGTATTTGAACAACTCACGTTCTTTCTCTGCAGGTAGCTTCCTAGAAGGCTTGGCCACGTCTATATCTGCATTTTTTCCGCAGCACATCAACGAGATCTGGCCCGAGGTGTACGTGGGCATGGTGCAGTAGCACGTCTTGACAACGGGGAAGACGGTGTGACACACGTCCTTCAACTTCTTCAAGTTGTTGATGTTCAACCATATGTTTTCAGACGCCATCGATATGACAATCCCGTCCTTGTTCAACGCATTGAACAACAACTTGAAGTACGCCTGCTGGAAGAACGCCTCAGCCGGCCCGTCAGGATCTGAAGAGTCAGTGATGATCACGTCGAACTTATCCTGGTCCAAGCGGGACTCGCAATCTTTCAAGAACTTGAACCCATCCTGTAGGAAAACCTGGACCTTTTCATGTGTGTACGACTTCGCCATGTTTGGTAAGTACTTTTTTGATAACTTGATCACCATGTCGTCTATCTCCACCAATGTTGCACTCTCAACGCATTCGTGCTTGACCACCTCCCGTAGAACTCCTCCATCTCCCCCTCCAATAACCAAAACTTTTTTCGGGTTAGGATGTCCAAATAACGGAACATGGGTGATCATTTCTTGGTACGCAAACTCATCCCGTTCGGTTACCTGAATAATCCCGTCCAATACCAACACGTTTCCGAAATCAGTCGATTGGAACACTAGGATGTCTTGAAACTGCGATTTTTCTGCATGAAGAATCTTTTCCACCTTGAGCATGAAAGCCTGTCCGGGGAAATACTCCTCGCTCACTTCCCGAAACCACCCATCCACAACAAGAGGGTGTGTTAATTCTTTGCTACTGTCACTCATCTTGCTCCAACGAACGCTTCCTCAATCCTGCCCAGCTTATCTCTCTTTTTCCTCTCGTTCTTATCTTCCATCGAAATTGGCTTCTGATCGATGCAGGGGAAATGGACGAATAGAGGAAAAACTGTATCTACGCCGATCGCCCCCCATCGAGAAAAAAAACTGATTTTCTTCATTTTTCGTTTTGATACTACATGGATCTGAAAAAAAAAATATTGACCGAAATTCTGGATAGATACATATTGAATTATTCCCGTTGAAAAAGAAGCTATTGTGACTGGCCAGAGATCAGGAAAACAAGATGAAACACCCATTCCAGCACGTACTCTTAGACAAGACCGGCAAGTATTTTTTTGCTGCGGCAATCAATTCGGTCTTCCTTTTCAAACTTTCCGGAAGTGAGAGTGGTGATGCCAAGCTACTTGGCTCCTGGACTGACGAGGTCGATCCATACTACACCATAAGAAAGCACCACCGGGAACTTCTTGAACAGTATGAACAACAACAAAAGGAAAAAAAGGAGGCCGAGGAGAAATTAAAGAAGGAGACCGAAGAGACAAACGATACCGTGAATGAAAATAAGAAGAGAAAATTGGATCTGGAAATTCCAGAGGAGCAGATACCTACTTCGACGAAACAAATCATGAACAAAAAGCCAAAACTCCCATTACCAGGACCAGGGGCACCGCCAACTTATACGTATATCAGAGACATGTGTTTGTCACGTAACAACAAATACTTGATTGTCACTACCGACAATGACAAGGCAGTGGTCGTGTTTGAGATTGACTACAGCAATACCGATGGGGATGTTTTCAAGATTATTAAGCGCCAGCCAATGTCCAAGCGCCCTTCTGCAGTATGCACATCCATGGATGATTCTGCAATCATAATTGCCGATAAATTTGGTGATGTTTATTCAATCCCAATGACTGACCCAACAGTTGTTGATGATAGCAAACTGAAACCAATTTTGGGCCATGTTTCCATGCTCACCTGTGTGCAGAATGCCGTTGATGAAAACAACAAGGAGGTTATTATGACTGCCGATAGAGATGAACATATACGTATTTCCTACTTCCCCAAATCATATGTCATCAAAAAGGTTTTGTTTGGTCACAGAGAGTTCATTTCGTGCTTTGTGCTCCCTAACTGGTGTGATGGAAAAGTGTTGGTCAGTGCTGGTGGTGACCCATACATCTGTACTTGGCTATGGCAAAGCACGGGCGAGCTAAAGGAGTTGAAGAGTAAGGTGTCTGTCGAATCTTTAGTTAAAGATAAATTGAACGAAAAGCACTTGGCCCCTGAAAAGTTCCAAAATGAAGCAGGAGATTTGGTAGAGTTCTGTATTTCAAAAATAATTCCTTTGAACAAAACTCAGCAGATTGCTGTCATTTTCGAAAAAATCCCATCTTTGTTTGTTTTCGACTTAACTAAAGAAGGTGATCTCACATTTGCCAAGGAATACAGTGTACATTCTGATATAATCACAGCTACAGCCTCGAATGATCAGTTGATATGCAGCTTTGACGCGATGGATCAGTGCCTAGAATTTTTTGACATAAAAGATGACAAGACGTTGCAAGTCTCTCCTTATACGGAAACTCTATTGAAGGCTATCGATGGTGCCAACGATGCTGTTATAGGTGACATAGACGAGATGATCCCTCTATTCAATATCTACTATATGAGAAAGAGGCGTGAGCATTGAGATGTTTTGAGACTGTAGATTAAGAGACTCATACACCTATTTCAGTACAACCTGTAGTTTGTATACTTAAATTAAAAAAAAAAATAATGTCGTTACATGCGGAAACTGCCCTTTCATTAAAGCATACCTCTACTTTGATTAAAGTGAGTGGTATCTAAAAAGCCTTCAAACTTTAAGCCATCCATCCAGATCTTTTTCCTTCCCTGAACACTTATTTTCCATTGAGATTTCAAAAGCTTGATCACGACAATTTTATTGTCTTCTCCGGGAATACTTGCTTTATCGTCTGTACCTTCGCCATTTACCTTGATCAAAGTATCTAGCCATCCGCTTTCCATGTCCAATCCATTCAACTTCCCAACGCTGTCCGACATTCTAATAAGGACATTTAGTTTCTGCACACCTCCTTCATTTTCATATATATAGTCGTCTGTGACTTTGGCAAGAAGGTTTTTTAGTGTCGTTGCAGTTTCACCTAAAATCAACAAGCTGGTAAAACGCAATGATACATTTACCATCAAGTCGACGTCTGCGGAATCGATTTGAATGATCAAATCTCTAAAGATATTTCCATCCACGAATGGTCGGGAATATTTAATAAAAGCAAATCCATTATCAGGACCTCCCACTAAACCATTAGTCTCATTGAGTAAGCCGGAACCCTTAACGGATTTGTAATTGATAACAATTTCTTCTCTTCTAGTGAATGGATTTTGGTAAATTTTACACTTTATAAGTCGTTGCTCAAGAGCAAAAAATTGATAATATCTGCATTCTTTCAAAAGATCCCTTCGGTGAGCCTCACTCCTAATCTCTATCTCATTCCCATATAATCCGTATAGTAGCTCTCCAAAAAGTAAAGAAGACCTATGAGATTCGTAAGGATTCAAAGGTGGGGGCCTTATAAAAAGGTCATTTGACACAAAAGGATCGATCAATAAGCTGTGATAAATAATACTAAAGTAGTTGGGATAATTTCCCTTTTGAGTGAGAATTTCTTTTGGTATCTTGAACTTTTTTCCTCCAACCGTTATGTGAAACGGTTCCATAAGTAGTCTTTCCTTTAATTTACGGAGACGAAAGTAGCTAGCATCCAGCAGCAAATATATGAATTCGTAATCATCTTCAATTTCGATGCTGTATCCTTGTAGATGTGTGCATATCTTTTCAAAAACTTTCGGGGAACGATCAAGCGTTAATGTTTTTGTTCCTTTATTCTCTAGGAAGAAATCAGTTAAATATGACGGTGAATCATAAGACAATGAAGCACCGCTCAATAAAAACCGGTTATCACCTACTTGGATTGTGTAAGTATTGTCATGTGGTAAAATGCAGGGTATCCGAGTATCATTCGAGATAAGTTGTGTTAATTTGTTCTCAGCCATTGGCGGTTGCAAGTGTAACCTAGTTCCACCCCAAAGTGTCTCGGGGTTCAATTGATCATCAGTCCCGTAAAGCAGTTATAGCCTTTCTGAAAAAAATGAATTTTGTTTTCTATGTAGAGTTACTTGCCTAATTGAGCGATTGCAGGCAGAAAAGAACAGGCACAATAATTACCGGTGGATCGTTGGCTTTGCTAGTTAAGCCATTACAGAACGAAACCTTTTGAGTTGCCCAAGTGTAACAAACATGTGAATAAGTGTCTGTACTGTTTTCATATCCTCACATGGTCATGCATTTGCTACTCTTAATTTACTGAAAGTTGGGCGCCACTGACTTTTGTCATGTATTGGGTAGCAGTAGATACCCATAAAGTTTTCATCAAAAGAAGTGTTGTATATAGGAGGTGGACAATGTATTCAGCTATACACTTCTTTATTGGTCTATTTGCTACTTCGGTCGGTGTCCATTTTGCTTCATGGGGCGATTTTTGGAGAACAGTCTGCGAAGGAAATAACGGTAGATGCCATGCCAATGGTGCTGTTCCTCTAGTTACAGGCTGGGTTAGTTTGTGTTAAACTTGACCAATCGCACGCCGACAACAAGACCCTAAATGAACATGCTCCACGACTCAAAGTAATGCCACTGGTAAAAGTTATTATTATTCTGACTTAACTAGTAAAATGTTCCTCAATGTGTCAGAGCAGTATAACAACGCGGCCCAATAGATACTTATTCGGCTCTGACAGTTGTTCAGTAATCACTAAACCTCTACTCCATTTTCCTAGTCCTAAACACTGAGGATATATTCAAATTTTTTTTCTTTAATTATATTATTATGTTACAAAATTATTTATATGATGTTAATACACGCAACAACGTGTGAAACTAGTGGAGAGAGAGAGCGTTAGCTAGTTGAAACCCGAAGTAAAAATAAAAACAAGAAGAAGAAGACATAAAAAGATTGATAAGATGAATAAAAAAATGTACAAAACCTGACCCATGAACAAACAATGTGCTGAAAAATTTTAAGAAACAATGCCGTGCTCTTATAATTGATTGATGTACAGTTTTATTCGGGAAAACTTGATGTTTTGTGTCATGTTTTTGAAATATCTTATTATTTATATTAGATTTTCTTTCAAAAGGATGATGTTGATGTAACGAAATTTGCTTAGTTGTGCCAATGAAAACTTCAGTACTTTATGAATTACTTTGATATATTTTCCTCAATACGATCGACTTCGTTTTTTCCTTATCGATAAAATTCTAAGCTTATTGTTGGAATGTAAATATGACGGTAAGATAACTTCTTGATCTAAAATTTCATGAGGTGAGGCTTGTCACCGGTTTTCAAAGAGAAAGAAGAAGCAAGGTATTGCTTCAATAATGGAGTTTTCTTAATTTCTGAGATTAATGCTTTGTCGACAACCTTTTGGTCTTCAATTCTTTCAGCTCTAATTTCCTTCTTTGGAGCACCTTCACCGAAAAAGTCCTTTTCGGACTTCTTGGAAGAAACTCTTTCTCTGGCAAAGTAGGCAACATTGTATTTGGATAAGTCTAAAGATTCTAATGAGAGCTGAGTGGAAGTAGCAATAACATATCTTGCGTTAACTCTTCTCAATGGGACACCGTTAACCTTGAATGGACCAGAGACCAAGAGAGTGTTGTCTTCTAATGATTTCAAGTAAACAACCCTTTTACCTCTGAATCTACCTGCCAATAGGATCAAAACAGTACCTGGGACCAATGACGATCTCAACTTTTGAGGTCTAGCAGTCTTTCTGGTTTGCTTTGCAACTGGTTGTTCTTGAACAGCAGACATGTTGTTGAAAAGAAGGGGTTTGTTTGGTTGTTGGTTTGACTAAAGTGTGGCAAAGAGAATAAAGGCAAATTCTCAGAAATTCTTCTTATCTTTTGCTTCACAATGTTCAAGTTTCCTCTATCTGAAATCCTCATCTTCTATTTACTATCTCTCACCCTTTTTGGAGCCCGCGCGAGTGTCAGTCATAGCGTGACTGCTAACTAGCAGAGGCTTAACCAAAAAATTGATATGAGGTGCGCGGGGTACATATATCACGTGAATGCAAAGAGGTTTTGTAATTGGTGTTAGCATGCCCTAATTATACTCAACAATAGCAATCTTGTCTCCGGAACCTGTTAACCTGTCAATGACTTGTATAACAGGGAACAATTCATAGGCGGAACAATCTTTCAATTGATGGGGCAGATTAGCCAGCTTCTTTGGATTAGCGTAGATTTCATAGAAGGCAGACTTATTAATGTCAAACTTGAAGTCAGAGAGTTCATCCACGAAGTAAACGCCTACTTTCTTTCTAATATCCTTGTCAGAACCGCCGTCTGAGTTTTCATCATCAGAATCCGAGTCATAGTTCATATACTGTCCTTGGTCTTTGTAAAATAATCCACCCCATTCAACATCAGCGCCACGTGGAAGTTCTGTCACTTGAACGATAATCAGATTGGAAGTGAACTTTTCTCTTTCATTGCTCGTAAGGATATACTCGTCAAATACACCAGAGGCTACATCTACCAATGACATGTTTTTGATAAAACAGATAGTTAGTAAATGAAATTTGTAGCCAGTTACTTCCTTAACATTATCATAATGCTGCAACGATAAAACAGCACTCAGTGCCTTATCATGACACGATAATTCCATATTCTTGGGAATTAAAGGAATTTGACCGCTGATTCTTATTATACTATCATTTGAATCGGCTATTCCTTGAGAATACGGTCCAATATTGCAGGGTGCCCAATAAGAGCGCCCCTGCACATGCAATCCACTTTTTGTTTTGATATCTTTCAGAATCACGACTGAAAGTTGAGCATGTATTGTATCGGGCAAATTGGTTTCAACACATATTCTTGCAGGAGGCAAAGGTTCATTGAAGTACTTCACGTACATCGAATTGATTTTGCCAAAATTAGCCATATCCTTCACTAACAGTTTGGAAGACTGTATGTTGCTAAACTTCAAATCGTGTTCAGACAGAATATTTTGTAATTTCTCAAAAATTTCAGCAATCTGCTCTTCAATACTTTCTTTCACCGAAAATAAGTTGGACACAAATACTTTATCATTCATTGCAAAAACATTTTCACTCCAAGAAGACACTTCGGCTTTGGGAAAAATATTTTCTGTAGTACATGGCTTGTTTTCTTGGAACGATACATTGTCATATATTTCTTGAAATTGTTCAGTGAGAAGAGGGGGTTCTACAATAAAGTCGGACCAATTTTCAATCTTTGGTAGATTTTTCGGCTTTTCGACGAATCCAACCTTTATTTTAAGGTACCACACATCATCGTTAGTATGTTTGACCACCTCCTTCTCCAATATTTCTATTCTTCCGAACTCGAAAAATGGTGCATCCAAGACGCTAGTTTCAAACTCACCTCCTTCACCACAGATATGCACACCAAATCTTCTATTCAACTGGATCAATGTGGGGTGAATTTGCTGTAACGTCATATCCAGATTAGCATCATCTAGCCCAATAGCTGCAACCTTGACAATTCTTGCGTCCATGCCGCTGTTACACATTTCCTCCATCAATTCTCCTTGATCTCTTTGCCATAGATAGGCCAATGATGTCAATCCTAATCGAAAACAGACGTCCTCAACCCGTGTACGCTGGTAGCTGGAAAGTATAGCCCCCACGCTGACAGCTTCGACATCCGGGTGGTGTTTTACCACAATGCTGAGTAGTCTGAATAAATCTTCAGTTTCATCGTTAGCTGTTTTGCTATACTCTAACTTTTGATTCGAGGCCAATCCTAGAATGGGCTCTCTGTACATTGGCTTCCCTGTACATTTTTCGTACAAGGTGAGTACATCATGACCAACTGTTTGGTACATGTAAGAGTCTAACTCGTCATTCTCTGAGGAAGGAGGGTATAGGTTGGCCAAACATATAAGCTCGTGGCCTTGTGCCAAGCAGTGCAAGATATTGAAACAAGAATCTTTACCTCCTGAAACAAGTGCAACAAACTTCATTTTTTAATAACTATCAAAAGGAGGAAATTAGCAGCCACCAACAACTGAAAACCAGTATTAAGGACTATAAGTATGCCTAATCTTTCCTGAAAAAAATTGAACATTTAGACATGAAACGGGTACTTTTTTCCCTATTTTGCAGCACAGCCGTCTTTTGGGCGAGATCATTTTCTCTTTACCGTTTAAGAGTTAGGGACAATACTGAAGAGAAAAATGGTCCTGTCAAAACCGAATGGTGGTTTGTCTTGAGCTTTTACGAAAGCATTGAAGAGAATATCAGCTGCGATAGTAAAATTCTCAATATAAAAATGAAAGGATCCATCGACAAGGAACTCTTAAAGCGGGGAATAGATGATGCCATTTTCATGACAGCTGCTGCTGACACCCGACAACTTGCTTTAGCTGCTGCACTAGAACGGGCGAGGAATGACCTTCTACTAGAGGAAAAGAAGGTCATAATAGAAGCTGTTGAGAATGAAGAAAATGAATCCTACCGGAGGTCCCGAATTCGGACCCTTGGTTTCATTGGGCCGCAAGAATTCTCCCCCGACGAAACTGCGGCTTTTGACAAAATACCCAAGACAATAAGATATGCCGAGTTCTTAATCAAAAAGAAACATTAACACATTCAAGATGTTTCTTGCTCTACGGATTAATTTAAAGGAATTGCTGTTGGTTCTGTGTTTGTACTCGAGGAACGAGTATCGGTTCTAGAAGGAAATACACCATGTTTGTATACAAAATTCCCACCGCAATAAGGCATGAGCCGACCGGAAACGAGTGCATATGCAAAGACTTGCATTGCATGCGACTGTTTCTGACCCAGTAGGAACGAAAAGTTCTACGTCATTTGGTTTACTCCAGATTTACCAGTCAGATATTTCTCTCTCTATAAGTTGTGCCCGAAGACCGACCGGGGCACTTCTCCCATTTGACGACAGCATTACTCCATCTGGTATCTGACTGGTTTCCCACTCCCCATCTGTCAGGCGTGGCCCGGTGCAAAGCCTCCCTCGGAAGGGGGAGAAAGGAGGAAAGGAAGCAGGGAAGTTGCCCTATTTTCTCTGCAGGACCCATGAAAGTTAATTTAAAGTGATCTATTCCCTTTTACAGTTTCTTCTCTGCTGGATGCCATTTTTTTCTTTTAGCTTTTGAGGTGGCTTGTTTAACACCCGACAATTTCTGTTGTCAAGGGTTTGTTTGCTTCTCTTAAATTTTCCGATGAAAAGTAAGTCATACTGAAATCACTTACACTATTCTCACTGTTATTCCGTTACTAACAATTGTATAATTTTCATGCAGAATCTGCTGTTCCTGCCCAGACTTCGGGAGACATTTTTACCGCTATCTCTACTGCTGAGCCTAGCACGTCATTGTACCCTCGTCTGGCAAGTACCGTTGCTGTTCCTTCCAACGCCACCAAATCTGGTGCTGTCCAGACTAATAATTTTTGGGGTAACATTTCATTAGGGGACCAGAACTCGGTCGTTTTCACTCATCCATATGTTCTTTGGAAATCCACTACATCTGATTTCAATGGCCTAGCTATTTCTCATCAGACCGATTCTCAAAAGGTCTGGGGTGACAAGAATGATCATGGCGCTTCATCGTACTTTTACAGTGCTGCTGGTGTGATGTCCTTGGTTCTCGGCTCAAAGGACTTTGACAATGGCTGCTCGATTTCGTTGCAAAATATGAAAAGAATGTCTATTGATGTTACCTTGTCCAGCCCCAATGCGGGCTCTTTGACTGCTTCAGTTTTGCAAGGAATGGGAATGGTAACCGCAGTTTACAATGATTTGATTCCAGAGATCCATTCCCAGGTTGGAATCAGCTCCGTTACAGGAGGTACAGCTCCTAAAACAGGAACTGACAAGTACAAAATTGTTTTGAAGGATAACTCAACTTGGTACATGTATGTTACTTTCACGGACAACCAAACGTGTAAGTTTGCATTGAAGGATTCAGGCCATATTATTGGGTCAAATTCTATCAATAATTGTTGGATCCAAGTGTGTTGCGGTGATTTCAGTGATTACGATAGAGCTGCAGGTTGTTATCCAACTGCATGCACTTTATCGGCATCAACCTCGGGTTCAACCGGAACTTATGCTTTGAACTACACTACTGCAGGCTCTGGAACTACACCACTGATGTACGCACTTCCTCACCATGTTGCTTCATTCACATCGAAAACCTCAAATACCAAATCTAACGCATCGTTGGATGATACAGTCCACGGTACTATGGTGGGATATTTGACCAATGTTTTCGAAATGTCTGAGAACTTACCAACTTCTCTTGGAATGGACCCATGGTCCAAAATTTCAGGTTTTTCGACGCCAAACTATTCCGATGATGAATTGAATGCAATCAGAGCAGCTGCATCGAGTGACATTCAAAATGATGTAGCAAACTTATCAAATCTTGATACAATGTACTATTCGGGTAAGATCCTTGACAAGTTTGCTTATGTTTTATATGTACTATACTATGTTTTGAAAGACACTGACTCAACAAAAGCTTTGTTGGACAAAATGAAGACAGCAATGAACAGATTTACAAATAACCAACAGATAAACCCTCTATGTTACGAGACCAACTGGGGTGGTATCTGTTCAACTGCTGGTATGGCAAAGGGTGATACCGGTGCTGATTTTGGTAACGCATTCTACAACGACCACCATTTCCATTATGGTTATCATATTCATGCTGCAGCAATCACCGCCAAGATTGATCAACTAGTTGGTGACGGAAGCTGGCTAACAAACAACAAAGACTGGGTTAACAATTTAGTCAGAGATGTGGCTAATCCAAACGAAAGTGATACCTATTTTCCTGTTTTTCGTAACTTTGATTTTTTTATCGGACACTCATTTGCACATGGAATTACCATCTATTCTGATGGTAAGGATGAAGAATCCAGTAGCGAGGATTACAATTTTGCGTATGCAATGAAGGTTTGGGCACAAGTTATTGGCGACTCCAACATGGAAACACGTGCTAACTTGATTCTAGCCATTGAAAGTAGAGCAATCGGAACCTACATGCTATATCAATCGAACAACAACGCCATGCCATCCAACTATACTGGAAACTACGTCAGTGGTATCATGTTTGAAAACAAGATTGACCACACTACCTATTTCGGAACCAATGAAGAATACATTCACGGTATTCACATGCTACCAATTACTCCAGTATCCTCGTTGATCCGCTCTCCTGCTTTTGTCAAGGAGGAATGGGAAAACTTTCTTTCGAGTAGAATCGACGGCATCAATTCCGGATGGAAAGGTGTTTTGATGATGAATGTCGCTTTGTACGACCCTGGCACCGCATACAAGTTTTTTAGCCAACCCAACTTCAACTACAACTACTTGGATGATGGTATGACATTGACGTGGTCCTTGGCTTACTGCTCGGGGGTGAACAACTGATCCCGACCGGGTTGAGAAGTTCGCTTGCCGTAGTGCCACAGGCGGACCTGGGGATCCGGAGGCGCTGAATTGTGAATCATGCATTTTGACAGGTCTCGGGATCACCTTTTTTGGTCACCGGCTTTTCTGTTTTACCGTTTATGCTCCCACCGCTGCTGTTTTATTGTACTCTTATTGTTTTCACAGCTTATCTTTACCTTTTTGTAACAAAACGAATGACACACTCCAGAAAAAAAGAGGAGACTCGGCGAGAGTTGCCGCTCGGGGTCTCGCTTTCCTCTCCGCTCGCTTACGGCTGCCGGACCCCGCGATAGGGCCGGATGGCCGTGTGCTCGCTTACAGTTGCAAGGCATTGGGAGAGGGGCTGCGATGATGGGACGGTATCTGTTGGTATGAGAAGGGCAGGACTTGTCTGGATATTGTAGATATATAAAAAGAGCTTAGGTGCTTGTTGGTGTTGGATGTAGAGCCCGAGTGTGTGTGGAAAAATTTCTCTGGTTGCTTTTGAGAAAGCTATAATTGTTTTGCCCCTTCTCTTTCTGCACTCGGCTTCATTCTTATCTTTTTCCCTAATAATCACAAAAAGTTTTATTACTACGGAAAAAAAGAAACGAATCCAAGGTAGAAAACGCTATGTACAGACGAATTCTATTACAGCAGAGCGTCGTGCGGAATGGGCTTTCCAAGTTTGTTCCGCTTGCACAGAAACAAGGAGCATCCGGAGCAGCAGCAGCAGCAGCAGCAACCATGCTCCAGCACAGAGGCATTTCCAACACAACTGAGAAGAAGATTTCGAGCGCAGGTCAACCAACTATTCCGCCAGCTAGTCTGGACGGTGTCAAGTCAGCTGAGAAAACGTATTTGGATACGTTGACATCAGGTGAATTATTTGGGTACTTGGTGATCGGTATGGCTACAATCAACCGTCCTATTCTCGATTTGGTGATCCGTCTTTTCCCATACACCCCTCTTTGGATCATCAGAGCGTTAGTCTACCAAAACTATTGCGGAGGCGACAACCTGCCACAGGTTTTGAAAACAGGTGAGCGTTTGGCAGAACGTGGCATTCGTAATATGATGGTTTCCTACACAGTCGAAGCTTGTGACGGCAAGCAGATGTCTGTCAGCATAGAAAAAATCATTGAAGAGACCCAACGCAGTGTTTCCGAAGCACTTTCCCCACACACTGCCGCCATGATTGAAGAGGTCGTGTCTCAAGCAGAGCCATCTCAAATAAGCAATGCTATCAATGAAGTGCCTCCGGGGTACGTTGCATTAAAGCCTACCGGATTGATTGATGGCGCTGCCGAAGTTTTATTGAATTACGAAAACCCTAAGTACGCAGATAGATTCAACGAATTGGTCAAGAATTGTGAAAGCGTGTGTGATATTGCAGTTGCTGAGAACCAGAAATTGAAGAAAAAGTATCCAGCCCGTGAAGCTCCTTTTGTGGTCATTGTCGTCGATGCCGAACGTAACGACTTACAACAAGGTGTCTACAAGTTACAACGTGACTTGATGGCCAAGTACAATCGTTCTTCTGTTCCAGGCGCCAGACCAACGTTGGGAGATGCATGTGTTGTCGGTACTGTCCAAATGTATTTGAAAGAATCCAGCTCTATTTTGAAGCTAGATGAAGAACTAGCAAAAAAGGGAAACTACATCCTTGGCTGGAAGCTCGTCCGTGGTGCATACATTCACTCCGAGCCAAACCGTGGTGTCATCCACGACACCAAGAAAGATACTGATGTGAACTACGATGCAGGTATTTCTCAAACTATTTCAAACATGAACAGCGAAAATCCAACTGTTGGTCACTTGGTTGTTGCAAGTCACAACGGTAGTACACAGTTAAAGGCTACCACTTTGCTTGAACAACTCAACGGTGAACAGGCACAAAAGGTCCGCTCCAACGTTGTCCTCGGACAATTATTGGGCATGGCTGACAATATCACCTACGACTTGATCAAGAACCACAACACCAAGAACATCATCAAATACGTTCCTTGGGGTCCACCTTTAGAAACGAAGGAGTACCTCCTAAGAAGACTAGAAGAAAATGGTGACGCAGTTCGTGCCGATTCTGGCTGGCCATTGGTCAAAGGTATTTTGGGTACCTTCATGAAGAGAGCTTTCTAGCCACATAGTTAATTAGTTTGTAGACTAATGGAATCATTATAGAGATAATACTGTAAACTAATCATATTGAAAAGTAATATAAACCGTTAATTGTGAAAATAAAAAAAAATACAGAAATGGTGCTATTATACAAATGCTACATATGTGTAGCGGCATTGATCACTGAATATAACGGTCAAGGAAATCCTTATGAAAGTCACTTTTTAAGGTATCGTTGGAGAACCTGTCTGTATGGCTCATGTTCGGTTTCTTTGACATTGTTTTCACACTTCTCCATGATTTTTTCTTCGGCTTCATGTCAGGAGCAACCCCTTCATTACTCCCCTCAACGGACAACAAAGGATTCGATGACATGGCTCGCTGTTCTATCTTCTCCTCCTCAGCCTTCCTTTTGGCTTCTTCTCTTTCTTTCCGAATGTTCTCTATCTCCTTTAATAAAGCCTCGTCCTCGTCTTCATCTTCGTCACTTCCAGTTTCACTACCACTCTGCGACTCATCTTCAGATTCTGCAGCACTTTCTTCTTCATCATGGTTTTCGCCAACTCTGGCACTTTCATATGTGACTTCATTCTCGGTGCCTTCACCCTTTCCATCGCTGCTTGTTGCGTCGCCGACTCTTTCATTAAGTGAATCAACTTCTTCTTTAGCTCTTGTTTCAATAGTTTGTACAGTTTTCTGAATATCTGATCGAAGGGGTTCTAGTAATTCCTGATTGACATTATAGCTAGACTCACCAGTTTCTTCCTTACTGTAATTGTAGAATTCCTTGTTATTGCGTGCCTTCTTACTTCGAAACTTCAATTTTGAGTGGGACGGAAGGGCTCTTTTATGGGAAATAGTAGAAGCCACCTTCTTCTCCTTCCCCCTAGCGTGATCAAACGTGGGTCTATGTGCTGATGACATTGTATTTTGCTCCTTCTAGTCCACCGTTGTCTATCTAGCCTACATAGTTTGAGATGCCCCTATTAAATAGCCGATAGAGAGATATAGAAAAAGGTTGACATACTCGGCTAGGGAAAATTCGAGACGAGTCGATTTCTGAACGTGTGCATGTCAGAGAGGTGAACGTGTTTTATTCTGTCGGATCGATCAGCATCAAAGTGGTGCTAGAGTCAATGTTTCGGCACTGAAAATCTGCAGACTGAGATACACTGAATAACACCTGCAGTGTGAATATGTCCTATTCGTATGCATCGCCTCATACAGAGAGGGAGATGGAAACGGAGAGAACAAATATGAAAACAGATCTTCCGAAAGAATCACAAGACATCATAGTGCAAGACGTGCCTGAAGATATTGATCCTTTTCCCAATGATGCAGGCTTAAACAACACAACTCAAATAACAGGAACAGACCTACACTTACGAGCTCCAATTGAAACTGCAAACATTAAAGAAAATTGTGCCCAAGATCAGATAGATCACGAGATAGGAAAGCTGCAGACAAATTCGACTCAGATATCTGAGGATAGGTTGGATTGCAGCACAATGTCTCAAGTAAATGTCAAAGACTTTGCTTATGCTTTGTCTGATCCAAAACACTTTGGAATATACCCAAGTGATGATGAAGACGAAGACGTAGACGAAGCCCCTGATGGCGATGACTACAGCCACGATGGCATTAATGAAAAAGATTTGAACTATAATGAAAATAGTGATTATCACACACAGGATGGGATAAATCACCTTCAAAACTCGATAGTTCCTCACAAATTTGCAAACTCCTATTCAAAAATACCGGACTCAAGTATCGATACAGATCTACAGACAAATGAAGTACGAAATACCTATGGAAAACCGACCATAGAAAACGGCACGAAAGTAGGAAGGCAGGAATCCGCCTATCCGACCGAAGATGAAAACAACGACATACTTCATGCTGTTGCGTTGTACGAGTTTACACCCGAGAACTCTAACGAGCTACCATTATCTCCAGATCAACTTTTGATTATAAACTACGAGTGTGGCGATGGATGGCTTGTAGCCCACGATCCCTTTACCGGACAAACAGGATTGGTACCAAGTGAATACATCCGTATACTAGAAATAGAAACGACTGAAGAAGACTGCGATGCTGAAGTATATAGCGAATTTGCAGAAGATGCAAAAGACGCACAACAATTCATGCCAGAAATTCTTGCAGATGACGGCTCCTATCCACCAGAACAAGGGATAACAGAAAATATAAACAAACTTTCCATATAGAATGCCACAATACCAAGCTTGGTCGACTTATATACAATGTATAGATGCAGTTCTGTACGACACCACATCAGTGGTTTTTGAAAGAAAGGATATTATTATGTTAAAAATATTAAGTAGCTATTTAATAGTACACAGCTTGCCACTTCAACTACAGAACTTTAATTACAGTTGTAATTAATCTTCATCCTCTCCAATTTCGTTCTCCCAGTTACTTTCGTTGATTCCTGAATTGTCTTCCTCCTTGGCCAAAAATCCACCGACTTTCTCTAACAAATCTCTGATTGTAACTTGTAGCTCTTGATCCACTTGTGCTGCCAGCTCCGTATCGTAGAGTGACTTGACGGCAGAACTCAATGCTAAACGAGAGTTGTTGATATATTCAAAGCTTGGATCTGTCTTCGGCACATCTTTCTTTAACTTGTATTTTTCAAATTCTCTACCAATTTTGGCTCCATCTGCCACTGTAACATCATTTTGTATCCGCAACGCTTCTAGATAGTTAGAAAACCCTTCAACATAAAGGGCCTCCACCCCATCTTCGTTGATATCTCTTGCAGAACTTGCAATATCAGCTGCAGTTTCAAACATTCCACATTCAGTTGCATATTTGGAAAGAGTGACCAATGGCTGGTACATTTCAATATACATCATTTCAATTTCATCAGGATCAATGTTCTCACTGGTGTTGGCAATATCTTCTAAGGTTTGCTTCTTTTTCTGAAACAAACTCCAGGAAAGTTCAATCTCTTTAGTAGCATCCTGCGGCCTCTCTTGTGAAATCCGTATACTAGCAATTATAGAATGAGTTTCAGGATTGTGGGAACACATATCCGTCAAGGTTGTGGTCCACTTCTCACATTCAGCCTCTGCTTGAGGTAACATACAAAGATCCGTCATCCAGATCTCAACGATGGCAGCTATCCCTTGAGTTAGTTTTGAGGTTATGTATTCACTTATTTTTTCTTCTTCCCCATAGGCTTGTAGTAAAATTTTGACGCCAGAATCTAGGGTACCATCAGCTTGAATTTCTCCTCTGCTTAAAGATTCTACAACTTGTGCTTGCTGAATCAACCTGGCAATTCCTATCTCGAGCAGTTGCACACCATTTTGACCGCCAATAATTTGACCTAGGTGGAAGAATTTCTCAATTCCTTCTTGTGCAGTAGGATCCAATTCACAAGCTTTAGATAAAACAGTATATGCTGATTCAACATCACTCGTTTCAAGATATGCCTCTCCAAGCGTTTGTAGATACAGAGGATTCTCCGCATATGTAGTCTTGAAACCCAGTAAATCTGCCAAAGCTTGTTCGGGGTTCGTAGGAAGAACTACTGAAGCACGGTGAATCAAATTCAGTAAGGCGTTCTCTGACATTTTTTCCGTTGTAGTTAGTTCTCAACTAAGAGCTATGTAAAGGTTCAATCAGTATAGTGAAAAGTCTACCAGCTGGTAGATCAAGGAAAAATGAAATATTTTTTTTCACCTTCGCATGCAGAAGGAATTGAAAGAATTCATGATGAGAGAAAATTGTGTACAGTTCTCAAACTACAAGAAAGTTTGCAACCTTGGTAATTCAACCCTGGACGTGAACCCTAATCAGTCAACAAATCAAAAAGATAAACAGTAATGGACCCTTTAGAAGAACAAGCACAGGAACTCGAGATTTTGCAGTCGATTTACCCAGACGAGCTCACGATCTTGACACCCATTAGATTTCAAATTAACATCTTGCTCGATACAGACTCAAAGCGTAGACATGCCGTGCTTTTGGATGTGACATACACTGAAAATTATCCAGAAACTGTTCCTATATTGAATATATTGGAAGGAGCGGTAGATTATGATGCACTTGAAAACGAAGAAGATGATGACGACGAGGAAGACGGGGAAGGAAACTACGATGATGACGACGATCAAACCATATCCAAGAGACTTTTGAATCTTGTTGAAACGATACAACTTGATAGAGACGATTATGCCGAGCTCCTGCGAAAAATAAGGGATGAAGCAGAAGACAATGTTGGTATGCCAAGTGCATTTTCACTAGCTTCATCATTGAAAGAGCACGCAGAAACCCAATTTACTGAAAAGCTAAAAAGTAAGGAAAAGGAGATAATGGATATTCGTGAAGCTCGGGAACGTGAGGAGCAGAAAAAATTCACGGGTACTAAAGTTACACCTGCCAGTTTTGAAAATTGGAGGCAAAAGTTTAGGAAAGAGATGGGAATTGATAGACGTTTGGACGAAAGGTACGCTGATGTGCACAAAGGGAGGCTTACAGGTAAACAAATTTTTGAGCAAGGCCTGGCTTCTGGTGAGGACCTGGAAGACACAACCGATGGTAAGGAAGTCGATATGTCTGAGTTGAAGAAGAAGTTAGAGGAAACCACTCTTTGAGTTCTTTCACTCGCTTTCCTTGTAATCATATTTCTATTAATACAACAGTATAAAACAGTAAGTGGCATTTCCCTGCCTAGTATGTAATCCACGCATGATAATAGCAATCAGTGTGGGTGAATAATCGCAAATACTTCTGCAAATTCTTTTGCAAATACCTGCTGAAAGCGTTTCTTATCCAAATTGTCAAACCAATTGAGTTAATGATTTGGTGAACAGAAAATGTTTCGCCGGCTGTATAATGAGCTACCTGAAATTTTCTCGGAAGAGTGGATTATCGTTGTAAGTGTATTTGAACTTTTCGCTCATCTGGTAAGAGATCTCTTTGTTCTCGATGGAATCACACAAATTGGTTTTGATATTTCTCATTAAATGATTTACGTTCTGCCTGACTTTGAGAGTGCCAAACATTGAAGGTGGACCACCGAATTCTGGTTTCCAACTTTTTGTTGAAATGTTTGCTCCTCCATAGTGTAACTGTGAAAATAAGTCAACGTAAATTTTGTTATTAAGCTCGTCATCATTTTCTTTAGAGACAAAATGCGTTAATAGCAAATGCTCATGTTTGAGACTATCTTGTAAGTCTTTGTGCTCTAGTTGCCTCTCCTCTTGGTCACATAATTTCTGTAGATACTCATGGCCTTTAGTTGTCATATCCAGGCCCGAGACATAATCATTTCTTTTGATCCCTTTGTCGTGAAGCTCTGTATCGGCATCCAAAATAACAAATTCATCATCATACCAATTGAACTCTTCCTGTGAGCTAGTGTTATCAGAACTTACGCTATTGTCTTCTTCATTGTCGCTGTCAAAATTCTTCATCAAATTTTGAAGCTCATCCTCTGACTGCAAGTCATCAATGTCTTGTGCATTTGAAAGCATTTCGGTGTACTTCAAATCTTCTTCTTCGCTAGACGAGTTTTCATATTCAGCTTTCTGATTTTCAACATTAGCATCTTCCGGTTCTTGTTCACTTTCATCCATGCTCTCGTAATCACTTAAAGCATCGTGCATCTCATCTGACTGAGACTCCCCGGTAATCTTGTTTTTTTTCTGTGTGATATCCAACTTTCCTTTTAACTGCATCCAAAGTTGATTTGAGCAGTTATACTCACTTAGCAATTCTTCAGACACATTATATACCTCCTCTTTTGAAATTCCAATATTCCATATATCAATATCTTCAAGAATTTCTATTCCATTTGGATCCACTTTATTCATTAGATTATATTCTCTTCTTGTGAGTTCAGGATAAAAATCATTTTCGCTATCTATGTCACTTTCAGAATCGTTTTCATCAAAATAATCTATATCTTCTTTCACTGTTTTATTGAGATTTTTCACATTTAATATATTGACCATGGATTTCGGGTTAGGCGGGTTCTTTAGTGATTTGACTAAGTTTTTCCATTCGTACTGTTGGGGTATAGTCAGTTCGTTCATTTTTTTCTTGAACAACCGCAATAGCAACTCATGAATAAATTCCCGAACCAAGTTGTATATATCTAACAATGCAAATTCGACAATTGATTGTGTGCGGACCTCACCAAAATTGGCATTCAGTCCATTCAACAAAACCAGCAACTTCTCCATCTGTTTTGTATTGAATAAATCCTTACACTTGTCAGCTATTTCTTTATAGTATTTCCCCCGATATTCTCCATGCAAAGAGCCAAACTGGATTTCATCTAATCTTTCAATTGAGCTAGCAAGCTTTTCTTCTGTTTTGATGAAGAGTTCACTCATTTCGTAGGCAACTGGCATGTCATCAAACGAGACCAATTTTTTCCTCAGTTTCTTGTCTGACTTGTATTTAGATAGCTCATTTGACAATATCTTATAAAGGCTCATGATATCTGCGGCCGACTTATTTGGTAACAATGCTGCAATATCGTCAACTCGATTGATACCATAGCGTGCCAATGATTCATAAAAGATATCTTTCTCATCTGCAGTCCATTTCAATGCGTCTGTTTTCTCGAAACTATCCAGCTCATCTCCGGCTATGTATAGAGACTCCCGCTTAACAAATAAATCAAGAGTGTTGCCGTATCCAGACTGGAAACCAAAAAATTCCTTGAACTCTTTACTCAAAAGCTTGTAGTACTGTATATTTAGATTTTTAGTGTAGCTTCTGGAGCATTTGCTGATAAAGCAAAGCAGTTTATCAGATAGCTCCCAATTCATGGGAATTTTCCCTTTAGTGTATCCTATGTATATGCAGTTCATAAGCTCTACGAGAACCCTATGGTATGTGACAGCATTTGAAGCTACGCTAAGAATATCTATCTTGTTACCAATTTTCCTCCATATCTCCTTATCATGGGAAATGAATCTGTATTCTTTAATGAATTGTGCCCAAGTATTGAGAGTCAAGTACTTCAATCTATTTCGAAGTAACACCATCCCTGATTTCTTTGTGAAATATCGTAAAACAAGACCCAGTTTATCTCCTAAGTATTCGTAATAGAAATAACCTCGCACAGGATCATTTATGATGGCTTGCTGTAATTCATGATCTCCTGTCTCAGTCAACACTAACGGAGTATATGCTATTTCTGAGGGGTCAATCAATACCTCTTTTGATTTAGGTTCTAGTTTCGGTTTTTTATTGGGTTGATCCAAGCCTGTCACCGGTGGTCCTTCTGATTCAGATCTGGAAGGAAGAAAATCATCTTCGACCACTTTCACTATTGGGATCGATTTGCGTCGTTTCCCTCCACGAGGGTCACCCATTATTTTTCTTTATTCAATCACCCTGATTGCCAATCTCCAAAATGCCTAGCGCCGGCCTTTCTAGAGGCTCTCTGTGTTGCTGTTCATGTAACTAACTGACTTTACCGAGATTAGAAAGTTTCAAAATCTCATGCCCCTCCATCTTGTATAGCCGAAAGCGGGAAAATTTTTTCCGAAGAGGTATGAAAAATTCAGTGTCTTTTGGTATTCTAACATGAGTTTGAGGGATCAGACTTACTGGTCAATTTAGATCAGTGGAAGAGAAAGGTGCCAGGGAAACATAAATATGCTGGGAAGATATAAAACCATTTTGAAGCCCAGGATCGCCTTACCAGTGCCAATATATCCGACACTTAGGAACCCCGTTAGTAGGCGATGGAATTCGACTTCAAGGTCAGCGAGCTCTATAGTACAAGAATCGAACAATCACAACGATAATGAGAATAAAGGAGAAGAAGATCACAAACAGTACGAAAGTGAAACTGCAACTGAAACTGAACAGGTTCATTCGGGCGAAAAAATTGGAAGACACCAAAGTGTGGAGCCTGAGTTCATGAGTTTTCCGTGGGAGAACACCAGTAAGGAGAATCATGATATGGAGGAAGATTTACCATGGGCTTCGAAGAATGAAGCAGAAGCTGAACCAATTCTAGAAATTGACAACACGGACCCCTCGAAGAGTGAGTTGATTTTGGCTCCGCTAAGGAAAAAGTCCTCTCCGATTGAAAGACTTACACCGAGGAAAAGTGTATCTCACAGAGCAGATCGTTCATCGGGTGTCAACTTTCAGATTGAACGTGACTATAAGAATCTCATGCAATTCAAATACAATGTTTCTAGTGATGACTTTGTCAATATAATAGAAGAATTAAAGCCTTCCACTCCGGTTGTTACGGTAAAGCAATTGACAGAACTATCTTTAAACTTGGATAAATCATTTCGTGTTAAGCAAATCCGACAATATATCGAGAACTCATGTCCAGAGATTGTACTGAAAAAGTCGATGAGCAAAAAGAAACTTATAAACAAGATCATTTCTGAGCACTGGAACTTGAAAGTCACACTGGATCCCACCGGGGACCTTGTTTGCGAGACGAGAATTGACTTATCTAACAAGCGAGATTTGTTTCTTCTTTTGAGCAATCGAGGGTTCCTACCACAGCACTGGTCTTTAATCGGAGCACAGCTATCATTGGGTACTACAAGAAAAGAGCTTGTCGTTAGAGGATCGAAGAACATTGTCAACTTTGTACAAGCATCATGGAACGACTTGTTAAATAATATTTCCACGGATACTGTTAACCTTGGTCCAATGATGGACTTTTATGAAAGCTTGGGTAAAACACTAGATTTGAACACGTTACAGCATGAATGCGGTGTCCATTTTGATAAGGTCAGTCTGGACAAGAAAAGCTATGTTTTATCTGCGATCAAGAATGCCTCTATTTCTAACGCCAAGATTGAGATACTCAAAGCTACTGAATACAGACGCGGTTGCACCAACAGTATTATCACAGAACTCATCAAAGAGGCCGAAAAGGAGGACAAGGACATGTTGATGAAGATGGAGGTGAGTGACGAGAGTTTGCCGTGGTACATAAAGCCCGAGAACTACTTCAGATACTCGATCACGAAGGAGCGATTGAGAGAGAGTCTTCTCAGCGATGACAGCATGATTGTTGAGTCATTGAGCGACGAGGTACAAGATTTGAAGTTGGAGGTCGAGGAAGCCCGGGAGAAGTTTGAGTACAACTACGTGCAGACGGAGGACGAGTGGAACAAGAAGAAGCTTGAAAAGAGCAAGAGGTCCGACGAAAAGTTTTTCCACATCAAGGAGGGCAGCAGATCGTCGACGGAGGTGCTGGACAAGCTAGATGCTGCGAAGATCGAGGAGGGATTGGCGGACGGCGATTTTGGGGGCCGGGACGATCCGACGAAGTTGATGCTAGACAACGTTGTGAGCGTCAAGTTCGGCAAGCTTTTGTTTGAGAAGGAGAAGGTCCCGGAGAGCGTGGCGGAGACGCCGCGCAACACCTACTTCAGCGAGAACTTGTCCCAGGTTGTGCGGAACATCGGCCGGCTCGAGTTGATGGACAAGGACGCCCGGCTCTTTGGCGCCACCGGGGGCATCATGAACCGGTTCAACCGGCAGATCCACGTGAAGCTGATTCCGAACGGCTTCTGGGGCGGGCGGTTCGAGAACTTTGTCGAGTCCCCGAGCATCGAGATCCTCTTCGACCTCAAGGACGGCAAGTTGACTGTGAATGGCTTCTCTGCCTTCACGTGCGAGAGCGAGCGCAGCGTCGAGGTGGCTGTGCCGCACCTCGACGTCGACATGAAGTTCCAGAGCAGCTACAACTCCATGCTCGTCTACAACCGCGACCAGTGGCTCTTGAACGGCCGCCCCGAGCACGCGTTCCGCGGCCTCGAGGGCGCTGCCACCGACAACGACATCACCCTCAACAAGAGGCAGATCAACATGTTCATCTCCCAGATCGCCAAGCGCCAGCTCGACCTCCGCCGCCCGGGCGGCCTTCTGGCCATGCTCCACCAGTTCCGCCACAAGCCCTACGCCTTCCACTTTCCCCAAGGCCCCAACCGCACCAACCTTGTCAAGTACTCTGCCGTCAAGGTCGAGCTCGTGCGAAGCATCGAGCTCGACTACGCCGGCCTCCCCGTCTCCTTCGAGTTGCACGATGACGGCGAGCACCAGCGCGTCGAGGTCTCCATGTTGCGTGACGGTGTCGACGCCGCCCACTTCGTCCGCCACAGTGCCGGCCTTGCCGCCCTCCTGTCTCTGTGACGGGTCCCTTATAGACTTTCTGTACATAAAATATTGCCCCATTGGGACATCTCCCGCAAAATTCATGTTGCGGACGATCGCCCCGTTTTCTGTTTTTAGCTGGTGTGCGGGTGTTGTGCGGCGCGCCCAGGCGCTGGCCAGACAGGGCGAGGCGCGGCCGAGGGGGGCACCAGGCTGGCAGCGTTTGCCGTCAGAGCTTCCTTCTTTTCTGAGGTTAAGAGATGCTCAGCGGTGGCGACTGGGGGCCATTGCGGAGGCAAAAGAAAGAAGACAGAGGTAGAAAACAGATAGTAAGTAGCTTCCATCTAACCAAACATGTCCACCACCTTTTTCGACGTCTCAGCCAACGGCCAGCCATTAGGCAGAATCACTTTCAAGCTCTACTCGGACGTGCCAAAGACCGCTGAAAACTTCAGAGCCTTGTGCACAGGCGAAAAGGGCTTCGGCTACAAGGACTCGATCTTCCACAGAGTCATCCCAGACTTCATGTTGCAGGGTGGTGACTTCACCAACTTCAACGGTACCGGTGGTAAGTCGATCTACGGCGCCAAGTTTGCTGACGAAAACTTCGTCCACAAGCACACCAAGCCTGGTCTCTTGTCCATGGCTAACGCCGGCCCAAACACCAACGGTTCCCAGTTCTTTATCACCACCGTCGCCTGCCCATGGTTGGACGGCAAGCACGTTGTGTTCGGCGAGGTCGTCGACGGCTTGGACGTTGTCAGAAAGGTCGAGTCTCTTGGCTCCAACTCCGGCGCCACCAAGGCTGAGATCAAGATCACCAACTCCGGCGAGTTGTAAGTCTGCTCCGTTATAGCTCCGTTTTATAAGTATCTTTTAAAACCCAAGTATAATTGAAGGCTGCCCCGGCCACGCCCGACCCGACCGGCCGTTTTCTGCGCCGGCCAGCGTGTCCCACGTTTTGCCGCGACAGCGGCTGCGACGTGGTAAATTTTTCAGTGTCTGTGCTTGCGGCCTGACTCATGCAGGCCTCGAAGGAGAAGAAGGGTCCTCTCGGGGGTGACGGAGAGAGCAAAAGAGGAGCCAGCAAGAGCCAGCAGCAGTCAGCAGAAGCCAGCGACACCCCGAACCATGGACTTAGTGAACCACATGACAGACAAGCTGCTTTTTGCAGTTCCAAAGAAGGGCAGACTCTACGAGAAATGCACGCAGATGCTGAAAGGTGCCGACATACAGTTCCGCCGGTCCAACAGACTCGACATTGCGCTCTGCCTCAACCTTCCGATTGCCCTCATCTTCTTGCCCGCCGCCGACATCCCCACGTTCGTCGGTGAGGGCCGGTGCGACGTCGGGATCACCGGCTACGACCAGGTGATGGAGTCCGAGGTCGACGTCGACATGGGCCTGGACCTCCTTTTCGGCAAGTGCAAGCTCCAGATCCAGGTGCCCGAAAAGGGCCCCTACAAGCAGCCGGAGCAGCTCATCGGAAAGACAATCGTGTCTTCGTTCTCCCACTTGACGAGAAGGTACTTTGAGAAGCTCGAGGGCGTGGCAGAGGGCGCCCCGCTCAAGACCAAGATCAAGTACGTCGGCGGCTCTGTCGAGGCGTCCTGCGCCCTCGGCGTCGGAGACGCTATCGTCGACTTGGTGGAATCTGGCGAGACGATGAAGGCCGCAGGCTTGCACCCGATCGAAACCATCCTCGACACCTCGGCCCACTTGATCTACTCCAAGCAGCCCTCCCACCCGGAGTTGCTCGAACTCATCCAGTCCCGGTTCGAGGGCCTCCTGGCCGCCCAGAAGTACGTCTTGTGCAACTACAACGCCCCAAGAGCAGAGCTTCCACAGTTGTTGAAGATCACCCCGGGCAGAAGAGCCGCCACCGTCTCCCCGCTCGAGGACGACGGCTGGGTCGCCGTCAGCAGCATGGTCGAGAGAAAAGACATCGCCACCAAGATGGACGAGTTGAAGTCCTTGGGCGCCTCCGACATCCTCACCTTCGAAATCACAAACTGCAGAGTGTGAGTCTCCATCGCCTTTCGTTACTCGTTCCTCAACACCCCGTTCCTGTATACTTTTGCGTCAGACAACCGGCGTCGCCGCCATCACCTTTCCTTCTATCCCTATAACCTCTTAATTAGTCAGCTAGAGTAGACTCCACCTCCCCCGGAACCGCCATGTAGGCCTCGGGCAGGACCGTTGTGCCCCTGCACCACCCCCTGCTCCTTCACAAAACATAGCGCGTGGCCCCTTCCGTGCAACGATACCCTCTGTTTTGCACCCGTCTCTGTGGGCTCGGAGAGTGCTGTGTAGAAGACACACACAGCTGGCCGGTACATATCCTCTGGTTCAATATTCTCTGCCTTTTGCCCCTTGCCCTGCCTCGACGACGACACCGACTTCGGCATCCGCAGAAACCCGGAGCAAAGCACGTCTGAAAGCTGGAACACCGCCCCATACAGTACCACTTTTCCATTAATGTCCCAGTCATCAGGATCCCAGAAAGGCAATTCCAAAGCATCAAAGAGTGAGTATATCGATTACAACCAGTCTGTACCGTCCGAGGGCCCCAACAGATCTCGAGAACAAAGCTTGAATCAGTACAACCTCGATCGTGACTTTGAAGACAACCTAGACATAGCATTGGGGAACATAGATCAGGGGAACTTCAAAAGAAACCCGTTCAACTCCAACAACAACAGCAGCAACAACGTCAACAAGTCGGCAGACAATCTGGACTCCTACTCGTTGAAAAGCCTGCACAGACCGTCAAACGTCTCCGACAACTCCAACTCGAACATGCTCAACAAGCTGTCAAATTCTGGCAACTTCAACTTCAATTCAAACGTAGCAGAAGATGATCTCTCCGCCTCTACCAACTCAATATGGTCCAAAAGTGTCTCTTCTGTTTATAACACCACAAAGCGTCTGATCTTACAGAACAAGAAAAAGATACACTTGCCCGACGATTACGATAATGCCAACGGCGGCACGAGTCCTTCTGCGCTAGACTACCAATCCAGAACAATCATTCCTCATATGGATTCAGTATATTCTTCCAATGCCGTCTCAAATGCAAAATATAACGCTTTTTCCTTCTTCCCAATCATCTTATACGAACAATTCAAATTCTTCTTCAATCTTTATTTTCTTTTGGTGGCCTTGTCACAAGCAATACCTGTCTTGAGAATTGGATACTTATCCTCTTATGTCGTCCCCTTGGTGTTTGTGCTCTCAGTGACAATGTCCAAAGAAGCAATTGACGATCTTTTACGTCGTCATAGAGATCGAGAACAGAACAATCAGCTATACGAAGTTTTAGGATCTTCAAAACTGGTGATGGCCAAAGACTTGAAGTGCGGGGATATGGTCAAGCTACATAAAGATATCAGAATACCCGCAGATATGATTCTACTTCAGTCCAGTGAGAAAATAGGAGAGTCATTTATAAAGACAGATCAATTAGATGGTGAAACAGATTGGAAATTGCGTATAGCATGCTCTTTGACCCAATCTTTGGCAGAATCAGAACTAGAAATGATCAAAATTCAGGCACAATCTCCAACAAAAGATATCCACAAGTTCGTCGGCAACCTCACATATGGGGATAACACTGTAGGGTTGACCGTAGATCAAACACTTTGGGCAAACACAGTTCTAGCGTCCGGTACGTGCATTGGGTGCATTATTTATACAGGTAAAGATACAAAGCAGGCAATGAACACCTCCAACCCAACAGTTAAGGTTGGCCTACTAGAGATGGAAATCAATCAAATATCCAAGGTCCTCTGTATTTCTGTTTTTTTACTCTCAGTTGGTTTAGTCGTTTGTCAGGGCTTTAGTGAAGATTGGTACGTTGATATAATGAGATTTCTCATTTTATTCTCAACTATTATTCCTGTTTCTTTACGTGTGAATTTGGATTTGGGGAAATCTGTTTACTCTTATCAAATTCAGCATGACAATAACATTCCTTCGACAATCGTGCGTACCTCAACCATACCTGAAGATTTAGGCCGAATTGAGTATCTGCTTACTGATAAGACTGGAACATTGACCCAGAACGAAATGGAAATGAAAAAGATTCATTTAGGCACCGTATCTTATTCAGGTGATACTATGGACCTGGTTAAGGAGTACATCAACCATTATGGCGAGAATTCGATGAAATCAACTAGTAGACGTGATCTAGGTGTACGAGTTCGTGATTTGATTGTTACTTTGGCAATTTGTCACAATGTTACGCCTACCATGGAAGACAACGTTCTCGAATATCAAGCTGCTTCCCCAGACGAGATTGCAATTGTGAAGTTCACGCAATCGATAGGTTTATCTCTAATCAAGCGTGATCGCACTGGTCTCACCTTATTACATTCTTCAACAGGTAGAATCTACGATTTTGATATTTTGCAAGTATTCCCTTTTAATTCAGACACAAAGAGGATGGGCATCGTTGTATATGATAAATCAAAAGATGAATATTGGTTTTTGGAAAAGGGTGCAGATACAGTCATGAGTAAAATTGTTGTGCAAAATGATTGGCTTGAAGAAGAAACTAACAACATGGCTCGTGAAGGTTTGAGAACCCTAGTTATTGGGAGAAAAAAACTCACTCAAAATGTTTGGAATGAGTTCAAATCTTCTTATGAGAATGCGAGTTCGGCAATGTCCAACAGAGAAACTCAAATGCAGAAAATTGTCACCCAGTACTTGGAATATGATCTGGAATTATTAGGACTAACTGGTGTTGAGGATAAATTGCAAGTCGATGTGAGACCTTCAATCGAATGTTTGAGAAATGCAGGTATCAAGATATGGATGTTAACTGGTGACAAGGTCGAAACAGCCCGCTGCATAGGTATCAGTACCAAACTGATTTCAAGAGGACAATACGTACACACCATAGAAAAATTGAAAAGCCCTGAAATTGCATTGCAGCAAATAGAAAACCTAAGGTCTAATCCCAATTCCTGCTTATTGATTGACGGTGAATCACTATCTGTTTATTTACATTTCTTTCCCAACGAATTTTTTGACATCGTTCAAAATTTGCCAGCTGTTATTGCATGTAGATGCACCCCTCAACAAAAAGCCGACGTTGCCTTATTGATAAAAGAGTTGACTGGTAAGAGAGTTTGTTGTATTGGTGATGGTGGTAATGATGTGAGTATGATTCAATCTGCCAACGTCGGTGTTGGTATTGTCGGCAAAGAGGGTAAACAGGCATCAATTGCAGCAGATTTCTCTATTACTCAATTTTGCCATGTTACAAAACTCTTACTCTGGCATGGTAGAAACTCTTATAAGAGGAGTGCAAAGTTGGCCCAATTTGTCATTCATCGTGGCTTGATCATTTCTATATGTCAGGTTGTCTATTCCGTTTCGTCAAAATTTGAGCCCTTGGCTCTCTTCCAAGGTTGGTTGATGGTCGGTTATGCTACATGTTACACAATGGCTCCTGTCTTTTCACTTGTCTTGGATTATGATGTCAGTGAAAATTTGGTCACCTTGTACCCAGAGCTATACAAAGAGTTGACGGCAGGGAAATCGTTGTCATTTAAAACTTTTTTTGTTTGGCTGTTTGTTTCCCTTTACCAGGGATGCATTATTCAGGGTATTTCCCAAGGCTTGCTTGGACTTGAGATTACATCATTTACATCATTAGTGGCTCTTTCATTTACTGCCCTAATTTTAAATGAGCTTGCGATGGTTGCTCTTGAAATCAACACCTGGAATCAATCTATGCTTTACTCGGAACTGGTGACTTTGGCCATCTACATTGGAAGTGTTCCGTTTTTATCTGATTATTTCAACTTAGGATATGTGGCGAGCTTCTCATTCTACTGGCAATGCATTTTAATTTTGTCAGTCAGTTTACTACCTATCTGGGCAGCAAAGGCAATCAATCGTAAGCTACGTCCTCCAACTTACGCAAAGGTTCAACAGGTGTAGATTTTTTTTTCTACTTGTTCTTTCATTATTGTGGACTTAACCTGGTCCAGGGTAGTACAAAGAAACCGAGAACCAAGGAATAAGTTGGCGATGATGTTTAAATAATCTATAGGAATTCATATATAATTTAGGTAATGTATTATAAAATACGCAGTTTTCCATGATAACTGTTTCATGTTAGGCTATGTGTTTTCAGGATGGGAAAAAAGTAGTAGATAAAATAACCCAGTATCTAATTACTGATGACGCTACCATTACTGCAGGCATCTCTATCTTCATCATCAGTAAAAACATTCTCACCGTTCGAATCAGCAGCCATATCCAGCTCCTCATCCAGATCGTAAGAGGCACCAGGATTGGGATCAGAAACATTGTTAGTTGACCTTTTTTGCGTTGCGTTGGTGTTACGTTGTTGAAATTCTTTTGTATGAGCACGTGAAATAATTCTTGAGAGTTGCTGCCAGCCTGATTGCTTGACAGTTGCAGCAGTATGCTGCGTGACCGCACTGTAGATGCTTAAAACATCACCATCGTGCTGGAGAATATCATTTTCATCAAGTGGAGGGGCCTCCAAATCTGGCAATGCGTTGATATTAGGAGAGCTCATAGCAGTGGTTAATGAGCGGTTCATAGAGTCTTCAATATCTTCAACGGTTTCAATATCTAGTACTGGAATACTAATGCTTTGCTTGAATAGAGTTTGAAGGTTCAATTTTAAATTTTTCTTCACAAGTTGTGTTAAACTCTTGGAACTGATAATAGAGTTGTTTGTATAGTAGTAAGGAAGTGGACACACACGAGAAACACGGAAAAGATTCACGTTTGTTGCATGTTCGTTTTCCATTCTGAAGAACATCCAAACAAATCTTCTAATGAGCTCAGCAACGGCAACTAGAAATGCGGTTAGTGCACTATGTGATATTTTATACGGAGTGAACACATAAACTATCCACTGAAATCTCATAAGGATGTCAAATGCAATCGCTGCATAGTAAATAGGTTTCCTCTTGTAAATGAGTACATCACGAAGGAGGTAATTGTCAGAAGATAATTGCATCAACGACCAATCCATACAGACATCCCAAAATGAGCTGTAGGCAGAATTGACAGTTGACACTGTGATGAAAAGGGCAGTTATACCTAGCTCTGAGGTTTTAGAAGAGTTCGTGCTCATATCCCGGTAAGTACTGATACGGTATATGGATAATGTGTAAAAATATAACGTTGTTATCAAATACTTGGCCAAATTTGCAAAATGAGGAAACCACTCTCCCGTATCCAAGAAACGTCGTAGGCATTGCATGGATCTCCAGAGAGGAGGAATACAAGCACATATTCCTAATATATGAGATTTCATTGGTCCACATGAAAGACAATTGTTCCAGTCAATCTGTTTGAGACAGAAGAGCATATATATGTTTGCTATTGGGTAAGTCAGTGAGCATGTTAGAACACCCATGAAGAAATCTCTAAACTCAACAGGATAGAAACCACTCAGGAAGAGCCTGAACAAAGAAACTATGAACCAGATCCGAGCCTTGAGATAGAATATGTTGAACGGGCAAAATAGAACGAACAAGAGGAAGTAAAAGTAGATGTAGGGATAGTAATTGGAATCCAGCAGGTTAAATACCGAATCCCTTGAGCTGGAGAATGCAAGCACACTCCCCACAAATAATAACACTGAGGGTATGATCATGTACTGCTTATAATCGAGAGCATCATTAGGGTTGAGTTCAAAAACCAATTTATAATTGATTTTATATTTATCCCATACCACACAGTTTAAAACAAACAACAGCCCTGCAAAAACGAATAAGAACCAGGATCCCCATAACTGAAGAACGTATTTTTCATCGGGATATGAGCCAGATTTAGTTTTGGTATACATATCAAAGAGGAAAAAGAAAATGAATGGACAAGAGACGCCGATCAGGTAACCACTCAAGAAGTTGGAGCGGTAGTGGGATTTGGTCATTGCAAAGGATCGCAATTTGGCGATTGCAGTTTTCCTGTGGCCTTCTTCAAAAGAAGCAGTGAAAATGTCTTCCACATTTTCGGTTAGTTTGGTCAAAACTTCGGAGGAGTTAAAGTACATTGAGTCTACTTTTTTCATATAGGCAGGAAGTTTTGAGTCATGAGACCGCTTATCATATTTTTTCATCAACTTTCTGAATGCCGTTCTATTGGCAACCCGGAAAGAGTTAAGCAGCTCCATTGTGTGGTAAAGCTCACATATGGCCTTTTTGATCATAATTCTTGATATAAATGGTGGTGGTGGTGGCGCTACGTCTGTGGGGTCCTGGTCTCTAGGATAAGATGAGTTGGAATTTTGCCTTGACCTGGTTGATCTTTTCCAATAGTAACTGGGGAAGGTGGGCATTTCAAAGTAATTGAATATGAAATGGACTCGTTCTAAAATGGACACGAAACTGAAAACACTGCCAACCTTTGGAGTCAGGAGACATTTCCGGGAGTTATTAGGGGCTCTGACATCGTTATGGCGGCCGCATACCGGTTGATGGCTTAGCTGCTCTGCGGAATTTTGAACGTGGTTTCTGCCCGTCTCTTTGAACACGGCTTCGTGTTGCTCGAGCTGGTTTAGCTGGTCGACGAGGATCACAAACCGTGTGGTGCACTCGAGCTCCTTGCTCTTGTAGAACGAGTTCACCTTGAAGAGCTCGATGTCAACCCAGTCGATGAAACGCTGCTTGGCGAGATCGATGAGGTCTTTGTGTTCCTCAGTCAGCGAAGCCCTTTGGTCACGAATGTAAAGTATGCTGGTGGAGTGGGAACGGTGGTGGCCCACAGGATGGTTGCCGTCCAGCTTGGTGTAGGAGTGGTGAGAAGTGACTGCTCCAAGAAGCGGAGTGACCTCACCGCTTTTCCTATGAGCGTTGTAGTCCAGCTTGTTGATAAGCGGCACAACCTTGAGGTCGTCGTCATCGTTCTCCTCGTCCTCTTCTTCCCCATCTCCATCATCGCTGGTGTCAAGCCTGGCATTGCTGTCAGTGTCGCCAAAAACATCACCGTGAGCCTGGTAGTCTGATTTGTCCTTGTTTGGCAGGCCGGGGTGGTTCTTAGCAAGCAAGCTTTGAAAATCGTTATCGTAGAGATTTGTATCCGCCAGTGGCGGAGACCGGGTTGCGCCGATCACAGGGGCATCCGTGCTGCACTGGCACTCTAGCGAAGTGTTCAAGAACTTTTCGAGCTTCTGTAACTTGGCTTTCCCCTTGAAGTAGTCTAGGTACTGCGACCGCCACTCGGGCACGAGATGGTTCTCGATAAAGTCACCAAATTTCATATATCAAGCGTGCGTCTGTGTATTTAGCGTTATATCGAAGGGCTTATTGCAGGAGTCTATGTAGGGCCTGGTCTGTGTTATGCAACGATTATGAATACGTAGCCCAAAGCGTTGTTGAAGACTGTGGTGGTACCTTTCAGGAACACACCCCCTTCTCTAATTTCATTTACAAGACAACAACAGCAAACCCCACAGCCAGTTTCCAAACAGCAGAAATTTTTTGCTCTATCTCTTTCTTCTTCGAGTCTTGTGCTACTTCTGTCGGGGCTGCACCGCCGCCAACCTCTACGGAGCCGTTTTCAACACCTGCTATGTTATGCCGCCCCCAACTCCGAACCATTGCACTCCGCCAGCCTACTCCGGTCCTACAGCACCCCCTATTCTTTTTATTCTTCGGAGAGCCCCAACAACGGCCTCTCAGCCCCCCAATGCCCCTCTTTGGACTCGACCGGGGCCCCAAGTGCTGCCCGGTCAGTGATGTCACCCGCACAGCCCGCTTCCGCCGTCCAGCTCCGCACAGCCTGGAATTTCGTAGAGCCATTTCCAGGGTTGATGAAAATCTGGGGAATTGCGTCTTCGGTTCGGCGTCTTACAATTAGCTTCTGCGTCTGTGCCGACGCCTGCCATCGTCATCGTCACCGTCATCGTCATCCTCGTCTGCGGCCTCTTCCTCCTCGGCAGCCTCCTCCTCCTGCATCATCCGCTTCTTGTTCACCTTGCGGCGCTGGAAGTCCTTGATGTGGGCATTTCGCATGACCTGCGAAAGCTGTTGCACATAGCGGGAGACAGAAGAAACCACGCCGCTGGTGTATCCATTGCTGCCGTTGCTGCTGCGATCGGTGACCTTGCTCTGGCCATCCTCTGTGGCAGAGAGATCGGTCTTCGAGCCAGGCGTCTGGAACGTTTCGGGTAGCATTGTGGACCTGACACCGTTGTGGCTGCCTGCAAAACGGACCCCGCTAGAGTTTGCAAATGCCAGTTTCGGCGTCTGCACATGCACTCCGGTTGCGCCGGTGGTGGTGTTCGTCCCGCCTGCACCGTCCCCTCTTTCCAGGTCGTGGACGACGTAGCCTCCCCTTCTACGGATATCCTGTTCGGTGATGTCCTTGCTGTCGTCATCCATCCCATGCTTGGATTTCAGAGCGTTGCGCTTGCGCTTGATGACTGAATATGGTAACGGAGACTCGCGTGATGCACGGAATAGATGAACGTTGGTGGCATGTTCGTTCTCCATACGGAAAAAGATCCAAACAAATCGTCTCAATATCTCCGCTATTGCAATACAGAAAGAGGTAATTGCACTTTGCTGAATTTGTGTCGGAAACAGTACGTAGAAAATCCACTGAAACCTCAAAATGACATCTGTAACCATTGCCAAATAGTAGGCACTTGGATACTTGAAAGTGATTTCATCACGCAAGAGGAAATGCTTGGAGTCAAACTGAAACAAAGACCAGTCCATCACTATATCCCATATACTGGAATAAACGGAGTTAGTGGCCGCCCAGAAAATTAGTAGAACTTTGTATTTTTTGATTGTCTCGATCCGGTAAAGCGACAAGGACATATAGTACAACATGGAAACCGTGTACTTGCCCATGTTTGCCAGATGGGGGAACCAATCTCCAGTGTCTGCGTAACGCCTAAAACATTGCAAAAATCTCCAAATTGAAGGTAAACATTGTAAAAATCCCAGAACCCTGGATTTAGCCGATCCACAACTAACACAGTTGTTCCAGTGCTTGGAGTAGATACAGAAAAACATCGAGACATTGGAAATTGAGTACGTCAAAGAACAGAAAATATCACCGAGAAAGAAATCCCTGAACTCAACCGGATAAAATCCACTCAGCAGCAATCTTGTAAACGTGGATAGTAGCCAGAGCCTTGCATTCAAGAAAAACATATCAAAGGGACAAAATAAGATCAAAACCGTGACCGCCAAGAATACCCAGGGGAAATCATATCCACTGAATTCATGAGGCCAAAAGTCTTCAAAACTTAACCAAGCAATAATACCCCCTAAAAAAAGAAATAGACTTGGTAACACCATATACTGCTTAAAGTCTAACGTGTCATGTTGGTTAAACTCAAAAATAAACTTATAATTCACCTTGAATTTTGTCCACACCAGGCAATTGATTGAAAACAACCAACTCATTACAATCATAAGCATGAATCCTCCCCAAATTTGTAGCAAGTATTTGCCATTGACCAACTCTCCGCTTATAGTTTTGTGAAGCCCGAGGTATATTGAGTAAATCACAAACGGTAAAGCCACTCCAATAAAGAGACCTCCTATGTAATCAGCAACATAGTACGTTCTTTCTACCGCACTGGTCCTCAATTTAGCAATTGACACCTTTCTATTACCGTTCTCAAAGTATCTTGTATACAGTTCCTCAATAGTGGTCATGAGATTATCCAACACATCAGACTTCGAAAAATATGTCTCATCAACTTTCTTCATGTATGACCCCATCAGAGAATCCCCGGTGGATTTATCATATTTTTTCATCAGCTTCCTAAACGCAATCCTGTTCATCAATCTGTAAGATTTCAAAAGTTCCATCGAGCGGTATAGCTCGTAGACTGCTTTCTTTATCATCCTACGTGCAACAAAATATGGAACGCTATTTTTTGCCAACTCTTCGCCAGCACTTTTTCTTCTTCGCCTTTGAAAATCTCTGATGTGTGCTGTTGATGAAGTTATGCGATCATTGGTATGTGCATCAGAGCCACCGTTTCCCTCATCATCATCGTCTGAATAGTATCCATCTTCGTAATATTGTTTTTCAACTTTACCATCTTGTTTGAGCCATTCAAAAGTCGGTAAAGAAGGCATGTCAAACTTGTTTATGATTCTTAACTTTCTTCTAGTCCAAAAAGATAGAAGTTTGAAATTTCTTTGTGCAACATTGAATACACCATAGTTGATATTGTTGTAACCTGTAAAGACCCCGGAATGCATATATTCATCATATCCATTTTCATCGTCGTCGTCCTCTTCCTCATCTTCATCATCAAAGTCGTCTTCAATATCACCATCTCCAACTATATTGTTAGCAGAAATAGAGTTAGGGGTGACTTGAAGTGCCTTCTTCGTTTGTAACCATCTTTTCTTTGAAAGTTGTTTCTGGTTCTCCAGTTGTATTATTTGATCTTGTAAGACGAGAACTCTATCCACACATGCATTTTCTCTTTCAGTATAGAAGGAGTTTACCTTTTCCAACTCGGAATCTACCCAAGCTATAAACTGCTGTCTTGCATATAATGCCAAATCGTCTAGCTCTGTACTTGATGATCGTCCGACTGTCAGTGAAGGGCTTCTTTTAAATGATTCTAAAAGCGCACTTATCGATGATTTCCTTCGTTGGGGTACAAAATCTTTGTTTCTCTCCGAGAGAGAAGGTGATGGCTTTGGTGTCGTAGCAAAAGAAACGCTCGACGGTTGCTGCCTGCTATTTTGTACCAGCAAAGGAGTTCGATCGTGGGTGCCACTTTTTGCTGCTTTGACTCTGTTTGCTGGAAGGGGAGAAGTTGAACCGTACATCTCATTATCAACGCTTAAGGCTGCAGCAGGCAATGCGAAAGATGAACCCCCACTTTCCAATGTAATCTGATCCTCCATAAAATGGTTTCCCTTTGGTGTGGAGATTTCCTCAGCATTATCTGCGTTTGTGCTTGGTCCTTCTTCGACCTCCCTAACTGACAATAATGGAGTAGTTATATGAGTTTCCTTTGGCGAAGGTCGAGTTTTGGGCTGAAGTGGATAGCTGTGTCCCCCATTATTTTTGTTCAAACTCTCACCTATATTAGGGCTCTTTCCACCGAGAAGAGGAGTGCTTTTGATGCTGTCTAAGACACTAGGCTTCTTGACTAGTTTTTTCAGTTTCTTCTTCCCCGTTTTGTAATCCAGATATTGGGCACGCCATTCCGGGACCAAGTGGTCCTCTAAAGACTGTGCAAATTTCATAGGTAGTACTTGTGTTACCTATACTGTTGCTAATATGCTTCAATGACCACTGGAGCCTACCCTTCTTCCTAGTATAATGTTTTGATCATATCCTAAGCGTCTCATGAAACTGTCACATTGTAGATGTAATCTTGTTCCTGCCACACGTGTTTAGCGAAATCGTCATCAAATAAATTGTTTTAGGCAAATTCATGTTTCGAATTTCCCCAGGTTTAATTTTCAGATTACAATTAGTTATATATCGTACTGATCTATACGTACTTTTAAACTAATTAACGTTCTACAACATTTTGCTGTAGCAAGTCCTGCAACTGTCTTATTTCTTCCGCTTGCATAGTGTTCTGCATCACTCCTGCAGATATTTGGTTGTCATCGACATAGTTGTAGATGGTCGTTCCAATTTGTGGAGGCAACACGTCGAACTCGTAAACATCGTTGTCGGACCAGAAAGATTCAGGTATTTTTGCCATGACGGAAGACTCGTTGGATAAAACCGCATTCCGGATAAGGTTGTCAGGAATCTTTTCTAGGTTGTTCGTATAGTATGCGCCTAGGTTTGGTTTCCCTGTTTTTTCAATAATCGCAGCCAGCTCTTTAGTCAAGAAGTTTTTGAGCTCTGGGGTTTCAACTAAAGTGTTGAGTCTAACCGTGTACATCGCAGTTCCAATCTTCACTGCGTCATTGACATCCTGCAAGAGCCATGGGTGTGCTATATCGCCTAATTTTTCAAGGATTTGATGGCCTGTGTAGGGGTGTCTTAGGTATGCATCTTTTAGCGCTTGCTTTGCTTCCTCCGCTTTACCAAGCTTGAAGTAACAGAGAGAAACTGTGTACATCAAAGGTGCAGTCAGCCATTCCTCATAACAGCGGCACAATGGAGAATTTACAAAGTCAATCAAGTATTGGAACTCATCAGAGAGGAACGCATAATAATCGATGAGGTATCTGACGCCATATGGATCATCCATCGGATCAAACGATAGCAAAAGTTTGCAGTATGTCAACGCTGTGAAAAAAATGGATTTTTGGGTCAGAACGGAGATGTACCTGAATATGGTCAAGTAAATCTGTCTATTGAGAAAGTACTCAAAAGGCAATCTGGTTTTTCCGTTCCCAAGCTCGAACGAGTTTGGTAGACTCCAATCAAAAACAAACAACGCCCTTTCGATTAAGCCGTTAGTATTGGAGTTGTCACCTTGTCGCTGTAATATACAGGCGACCTGGAGTATGGTTTCAATGCTATAAGGACATTTCTGCAACAAATGAATAAGAGACTCATGGTCCGGCTGTACTACAACAGACATAAAGAACTCCGTTGTCGCAGCAATGGAGAAGGCCGGTCCTGGCTCAACGTTGTAGTACTTTATGCCATATTTGTATTCTTTTGCAATATCTCCCTGCAATATTTCTTTCCAGTCGTTCTTGAATTTAGTTGTATACAAGTTGAGCAAGTTTTCACTTGTAACTTCATCCATGGACAAGGGCTTTTTTGGAATTGGTAACCAATCGTCCTTGATTTTGGTTAGTCTTAATTTTCTTGTGGTACCCGGAATCGAGCGATGGTCTCTACCTGACCAGCCACGGATGCGTTTGGCAAGCTTTTTGATCTGGGCTAGCACTTCTGGGCTGATTGCGCTTGAGGATGTCGAGTCTGCATCGTCGATAGCTGCAGACGAAAGTTTGCCAAACAAATTCTCGTACTCCCTGTCCGAGTTTAAGTCTCTAGGGTCCACTTGTAGTAGCCCCGAACACCTGTGAAACTTCTTTGGTGTCAAAAGTTTTCCACCTGACGTGTAAACAGGCCACGGAGGTAGGGTCTCTTCGTTTTCTAGGTCTTGCTCTATACTATCAACGACACTGCTCGCGTCAGAAAGAATGTCTTCCACAATTTCTGAATTGGATTTCTTCAACGTCTTGTCTTCAAGTTTCACCTGAGCTAGGATGTTGTCCAACTCGTCCTCATCAAGATCGTCCACAGTTTTCGCACCCTTGTTATATTTGCCTTTGCCTTTACCCTTTAAGTCGTTCTTTCCAGTCTTTTTATCTGCGCTGGAAAACGCTACGTGTTTTGTGGATTTGGCGACTTCTTCCTTCTCATCCTCCGATTCTTCACTTTCTTCACTATCCTCACCTTCTTCCTCGCTTCCTTGCAAAAATGCAAAGGCATTGGCTGCATTCATCTTCCCCGGACCATGGTTGTAACCTTCGTCATTTGATTCGTCCTCGTCACTCTCTGCTTTCTTCTGATACTTCGCTAGCTCGTCCTCCAAAGAGGCTTTGCCCAGCCTTTTCAATGCTCTCGAGCTCATGTTCTTCTCCAAATGCTATTCCTTGAACTGCTAGCGCCTATTTTAGAACTCCTTTAACACTCATCCCATCTGAATGGTATTCATCTTCTCTACCAATCCTGATTCCGTCAGAGTTTCCACCCTCGCCTACACACATAACGCTTTTCTCTATTTTTTTCTGCTTTTGTGTTTACCTATTTTTACAGTAGCGTTATCAGAGCAGAATATTATGATTAGAAGGGCGTTTGTACAAACATAAAAGCAGATATATAGCTATTGTATGGAATAGGGTGCAATGACTCAAAAAGCAGGAAAATGGGAAAGGGGGAGTACGCCAAGAATCTTTTAGCGATGACCGACTGGGCTACTCGTCATAGTTGCCTGCCCACACTGTCGTGCATAAGATTTTTGAAGTGGTAAGCCTCCGTCTTGGTGCAATCGTCGTGTGGGTTGTTGATCTCACCGTTCGGGCCGTAGAGCCAGTCAGCAGTCTCCTTGATGCACTTTCCGCCCTTGCAGCCACACTGGAAAGTCACACTGGCATCGCTTATCTTGTCGTTGAGAATGAGAGACGGGTGACGAGCCGGAATCGCAGGTCTCTCAGGCTGTACCTGTGGAGGTATGTATATGTTCTCCTTGATGTATTCGATCCGTGTTGACTCCATTGCTTTTGGTTTGCTGCACAGGAAGATTAATAGCAGGGGAAAACAATGTCAGACCAAGACAGCAGAGAAAAAGACCGTCTTTTACAGATTTTTTTCTCTTCCGTGTAACAGGACAGGGCTTTACCTGTTAATAACGTGCATACACACATTTCCGTGTCTCGGATAGCACTTCAGTGGTCCGGTTGAGGACTCTTGCCTGATTTGGAAAAGCCGCCGCTAACCGCGCTTTCCTTGACTAACTTCGCGAGCAGGTTCTGCATTCCAGCGCATTGCAGCTTCCCGGCACTGTAATCTCTATCGCAATCTCACACCACGGCAACCCTTTCCCGCCAAGCATGCTGTTGGCCGGATCTGCGACTGCCGCTATAAAAAATTCCTTATCCTCGTCTGCATAACTGTCATCCATGCCGACGTCCTCAACGTCGGCTGCCTCAATAGCGGCTTTGCAGCGTAAAATCGTCTCAATGCCCTTGTTCCAACACACACCGGCCAGCCACTCGATCTCGTAATCTTTGAGTCTATCAGCGCCGTCGGTTGGCGTTTCGGCTAGAATGTCTCGGAACATCCGAATGTAGCAAAGCTGCTGATCTTCAAAGGCAACGTTTTCCGTCATCTTGGTCAACATGAGATGAAGCCACCTGAAGAGCATTCGTGTTCTGACGGCAAACTCATTTTTGAACCCCCTTTCGGCAAAAATGGTTTCGATAACTCTTATCATTCCACCCCTTTGTTCTGCATCCCCATCCGGAATCCAGTTAAATATATTTTCTACCATAGCATCTATCTGCTGGTTATCTTCCGTATGATTTTTACCGTATTCGTTCATATCTTTGATCCTCTTGATTAGGCTAGTCCATTCATTGCAATTTATCAAGCTCTCGTTAATAAGATATAGGCCTTGAAGCATGATGTCTTTGTAATCGTTATCTTTGTGGATAAGGCTAATCTGCTCAACTACCTGCTGGTTCATAACTCTGATTGCATTCCACTTTTGTTTCACATTATTGCCGCCTTGTCTTATCTGCTCACGTTCACAAAAGCTCAAAAAAATGATAGATTTGCATTTCCACTTGAGAAACCTATCGTTGTTCTTATCATCTGACTCATTGAACAACTCTATCAACCTGATTGTAGCTTCGAATAATTTTACACCTCTAGTGTCAAAAATGTTGTTTTCCAGCAGTAGTAATCCGCAGTTGAAACATGTGCTAGAAAACCATTCAATGTCATTGTTTATATCTTTAATATGGCTTCCTTCTCTATTTACCTTTGCATAGCAGAGAAACTGATCGACTGACTTTTCAATCATTTCAACATTTTCCAATGACATTTTTTCTGTTTCGTCCTTTTTAAGCCCATTCTCAAGGCGTTTTCCAAAAATATAGACAGAAGCTCTCATTGCCACGAGAACCAAATACTCGGAGTTTTTTGTGTCAATATTGTTACATTTGTTTAGCAATTTGCTAACTGCGTGTTTCAACGGTTCATCAAGAAATGGTTTGTCTCTATCATGGCAGTTGCTATCAAGATAATTTTTACTTTCAACGACACAAAGAGCTAGCATATTTATTGTTTTTAAATCATTGCATCGTGATAATGCTGTCAAAATTTCATGTGCAGTATCATCATCAATTTCTGTACCGTGATTCTCTAGCATATTTACAAATCGGTAATACAATGTAATCGGATTTTTTCTGCTCAAATCATTCATATCTCTCAATGTGTTTTCAAAAGTACCAGTATCATGCATTTTCAAGCAGCAATGTAGAATGCTTCGTTGAATTTTTCCAATAGTATCCTGCTGACTTTCTTTTGACCTATTTAAGAGACTCACAAAGCAACACTCAAACCAACTCATAGCTTCCTGGTAGTTTTCTTCTTTCATATTTTTTCTACCCATGCTCCACAACATTATTACTAAACAATTAGCAGAGTCAATAGAAAGCTCAAATCTTAGTTTTCTATTCCCAACCTCAAGTATAGTTTTTACAGCATTCAATTTCTCCGACGAGTTTTCTGTTTTTAGCTGTGATGTGATAATCCAGATTAGGGATATGAGGTAGGATTCAATAACTTCCCGAAATTTTGGATTTTCAAAATCGATTTTATTAGTGAAAACATAAAATAAGCAATTCTTAGCAGTCGTTGGACACTTGCTTGAATAAGCATTGAGCACTACCATGACTTGCTTTAGAATTTCGGTTTTTGAACAGATTTTAATAACAGTTTTCATAATCAAGTCTTCTGCATCATTATTTGCTAACTTTTGATAATCGATTAACTCGATTTGCAATTGCAATGTCTCAATCTTCTCATTTTCATTTAGCTGCAAAAGCTTCAGTAGTTTGCTGGCTTCAGTAAACGATTCTTTACTGTTCATTTTCATACAGCATTTCGACAACATGATTAAAGTTGACACTTTTATCTCGCTCTCAACACTTGGGTCTTTGAACGTATCCATCTTTTCCAAAATTAGGTAGCATTTTTGGAGAAAATAATGGGAGTCATGGTACTGTTCTTCCTTGTAAAGTCTCAGTCCTTCATTGTACAACGTGCGACAGATGCTGAAAACATTTCCAGGTTTCATTGCAGAACACCTATCAAGAATGTTCGCTTTATGTTCATAAAATTTGGCCATTGAGATGTTTTTTGAGAGTAAAGATGATTGCATGTCCATTATAAGAAATTCAACTTTCAAAGTTTCATACTTATTTTTTTCTTCTTTGCCTAACTTGTTATTATCATAATATGCGCATAGGCTTTCAACATATTTCTTCACTTGTTTTCCCGTTTCTAAATTATGGGCAGCAATGCAATCGTAGTATGTGCGTAATAAACATTCATACTACGGATTTTAACTTTGTCATTCAAAAAATTCAACAATGCAAATAAAGACAATAACAAAGAGACGAAATATTTCAGGCTCATCATCTTCTTGAATTCAAGTTTCCAGGTTTTGACTGTTGAGCCATCCTCTTCTGGTTCTTCGCTCTCCTTTTGTTTGATATTCAAAGCATTCCAAAAGTTAAGTGACACTTCTTCAAGTGACGGTAAAATTTTTTTGATGCTGGGACTCAATTTTTCCTTTGACTTACTTAGCAGTGGTAAATATTCCATCCGAATAACTTTTTCTGTGGATTCAAGCATCGGGATGAGTGAATTGAGCCGATTTTGGATACACGCAAGATCAAAGGTGGCGTCATCGCTCTCTGAAATTCCAGAAAGGATCTTGATGTTAGTTTCACATGAAGCTGAAACAAAGACCAATATAAAGCGATTTGTTAGTTCGAGTGCTCAGCGATTTTTCTACATAGTTTGAGTACTGTTAGAGAGGGTAAATTTTACGAACCTATCAGCTCTGTCAGTGTGGAAACTACTTTGAGGCTAATTTCAGGTGCTTGCATTGTGGAATAACAAGGATTTTTAGTTGACCAATGATATCTGGGACAGTCAAAGCAAAAAGCAAAACCACCTGGGTGAAAGAATGACCTATTGAGGAAATTTAAAGATGCGCAATTCATTAGTGGCAAAAAAAAAGAAGTAAGTCTGGTAAAATTTTAGATTTATGATATTTTTTACATAATGTTAGAGATGATAAGAGATTTTAGATGTTCTTATTGTGAGGTTGCCTTTACCATACCAATTAATCTATTCACACCTACCATCCAGTCTCCGCATTCATTTGAATGTGCATCAAGGATCTCATCACGTAGAGCTGCAGCTTTGGCATACTGGCCTTCATTTAAAGCAGTCGACAAACTAACCAACTTTTCAACGGTAGGAGGTGTGATCAAATCGCCCTTTTTCAAATGATCAAAAAGAATGTTGAGCCTTTTCTCCGCATCAACTAAATGCTTGCTGAATTTTGCAGGGATGTTTGGTCTGACCTTTTCTAGTTCTGCCGAGAGAATAGAGACGATTGGTTGTGCTTCAGGCGGTAATTGGGCACTTGGGGTAGCTGAAGTAGCTGGAGTTGCAGCAGGCAGTGGTGCATTACCTGGTGAGTTGAGCTTTTTTGGTGGTGGTGGAGGTGGGGTTGCTACGGTTGTTGAGACTGGTTTCGCATATGCTGGTGGAGGTGGCATGGTCTTTGCATTGAAATTGGTGTTTGGAAGTTGCTGATTTTGGAATGATTGTTGTAGCGGTGGTTGTGGTGAGTATGCATTTTCCGGAACATATGCATTGTTGACAGATGGCTTTGGTGCATACGGGTTCTTCGATTGATTTGCCACAGGGGCAGAAGAGGCCCCTAAAACAGGTGGCTGCTGTGGGGCGAACGGTGATTTAGGGTACATTGGAGAAATAACCGGTTCTGCGACACTAGGCTTTGGAGCATATGGGTTCTTGGAGAACGAAGACATTCTTGATGAAACAAGATTTGCTGCTGGAGGAGAGTCCACCGGACCAGATGATTGCCTTGCAGGAGGTGGGGGAATTGCAGGAGCCTGGGACACAGATCTTGAAACGGCAGGTCTATAAGCGTTTGCGTTTGGAGGTGTAGCAGTGGGCTTTATAACTGGAGCCAGATGTGTTGGCAAGTCATTCCAACCACCAACATCTTTTCTCAACGAAGGAGGAACAACATTTTCCTTTTTAAATGGTGGGGGGGTGGCATAATCGGGAACATTGTTGTTAGATGTTGCAAAAGATTGTGGGTTCTTCAAAGAATCTAGAGCTGTTGATGGAGCATAAGGATTAGCTCTAGCAGTGTTGTTAGAAATGCCATTCATTGGAACTGTAGATACACCATTGCCTGGTTGATAAGGAGCAGCCAGATTGACATTTTGGTCCAATGGTGTGGAACTTGGAGGAACTCCCGAATAAATATTGTTAGGCTGGTATGGGTTACTTGACTGGACTGGTGCACTTATAGCTTCAGGAAGAACGTAAGGATTTTTAGCTCTCTTTGGTCTGGCCGCAGAGTCATTTGGAGTAAAAGATGTAATTGATTCTGGCTGTTGTAGTGGTTGTTGTTGTTGCTGTTGTTGTTGCTGTTTAGTCACTGGAACAGAATACTTGGAGGCAGATCTTGTGGTTGCAGTACTCGTGGTGACGTTGCTGATGAAAGCCTTTGAAATTCTGTCCTTTTCGAATCTGATTTCAGGGATGGAATCGGACACTAAGCTTAACAACTTGTAAGCTAACTCATAATGACCGAAGTTGACCAAAGAGTCTGCATATTCAACAAAAGCTTTTCCTAGCTCTGACAAATCGCCCGAAAGGGAAGATGAGGCTTTTGATTGAAAAACAACAATTTTCTCAATGACCTCACCCAAGGCTTTGAATCTTGCCTCAAAAGCAGTGTTCTTGGAACCATCATCATTTTTGGTGGCCAAAAAGAAGTTCTCGTAATCCCTCAGTTCAGAAAACCAGACTTTAGAGACTTTATCAAGGGCCCCTGCAGCAATGTAGCAAGATAGGGCTGAGTCACGGGAGTTTTCAAGGTTGGAATCTAACAATCTATCACCTAACAATTTCATCTCAACGTTGAAGGAGGCCTTTCCCTTAGAGAATGTGATAATCGACTTGGCAATCTGTGTCCAAGAGGAAATGTTTGCGTTTTTCACAATATCACCAATGGAGTTTTCACTTGAGCTGTACAATAGTCTTGCGAAAGAGGAGTCCTTGGCGTATTTTTTGAAGTAAGCGCTTTTGGCTTTGTCCTTTGATTCTTCAGAGCCATTCAGAGCAATGATTAGAGCCTCTAGTATATGATCCTTTTCTATACACAGATCAAGAAGCTCGTCCGTCTTGTTTGACAAAAGGAGGGAAACGGCGTCTTTTTCAAACTGGTCAGAAGACTCTGAAAATAGATCAAACTTACCTTCGGGAGTGTAGGAAGCAGCAGCAGCGGAAGAGTCAGATTTCTTCTTCGAGTCGCCAATTTGGGCGAAAAAGTCGTCGTCGTCGATCAGCTCAGTGGAGTCCGATCTAGAAGTTTCGGTTGGGCTCGATGGCTCAATTTTCAATAAGGATTCTAAAGATTCATCCGTCAAGACGTGTTTCAACAGGGACCAATCGGAGCTTTCTTTCAAGTTAAGATTGGCGCCGGAGCTGATTTTTGAGTCACATAAATTGCTAAAGTCCTTGGTTGAGATTGCAGTGATCATTTCTTTTGCCGACTGGTCGATAGAACCATTGTTGGAGACTGTGACGATCTTCACTTCCTTCTTGTTGGAAATGACTAGCTTACCACCGTAACCGAAGGTTGCGCTGATGGGTCTTTTCAACCAGATTGGAGCCTGCTGGACCTTAAACAAAGGTTGCTGGGTCTCCGTGGTGGAGATCTCGTTCCAGAAATCGTTTTCGTCCTTGGACTGCACCTTTGCGGAGATAGGCTCGGACGTGTCCTGCAAGCTCTGGATGCAAATCTTCTTTGCCAACGACGCACTTGCAAACACTTCTGGGATTTTTGGAGCAAATTTCGTCTCGTGGACCCAGTTGGACAAGGAGGGATATGTGGCCAACTGAACACCTTCGATTGGGTTCCATAACAGGGTCGAGTCGTCCTTGCCCGAGGAGAGGAGCAAGTTAGGGTCGCTCAGACACCAGTCGAGGGACAAGATGCCCTTCTTGTGGCCCTTGAGAACCTTCTCTGGGACGCTGGAGTTTCTCAAGTCCCAGGTGAGGATGACCGGCTCGCCGTCCGAGTCCGAGGCGGTGACCAACTTGGTGCTCTGGCTAGGGTGCCACTTTATCACAGACAAGTTGATGTTCGAGTAGTTCAACTGCAACACCTCTCTTTTCGCTTTCAAGTCCCAGATCGACGTGTAGCCGTTGTCGCCCGCAGTACCGAAGATGTGTGCCATGTTGTTGTTCCATGCAAGCGAGGAGACCTTGCTCATCGGCGAGATCGCCTGGCCTGGGTTGAACGAGGTGCCCTTCTTGACGTCCCAGATGAAGATCTCTCCCTTGGACCCCGAGGACGCCAAGATGTGCGACTGGAGCGGGTTGAACTTCACCTGCAGAACCGGCGTCGTGTGTTTCGTGTACTCGGCGATCCTGGCGTCAACCAGGTTGGCGGGCTTCTGCGAGAGGATCGTGGCCGGGTCGTAGAGCTGGATCGAGGAGTTCTCCAAACCGCACGCCAGCACGCCTCGAACGTGGCCCTCCGCAGCCTTGCTCCAGTCAATGGACGCAAACTTCCCTGGCGCAGCCGCAGTGTACACAGCGGAGGCCTGTTTTGTTCCTGACGTGGCAAACGGGTCGTAGATGGACAGGCTGGAGTCGGAGGAGAAGGTGTCGTCCATCACGCCGGACAACGTGCCCGTGGCAATCAGCGGCAGGGCGTCATTGGACCATGCGAAGATGGCTGTCTCGTCGATCTCGTGTAGTTTCACCATGGTCGGCGCTGTGTCTGTCGGGGGGTGCCGTCGTGGTGAGCCAGAAGCCTTGTGTTGCGAACAAAACCTGCGGAAGATGTTTACGTGTTGTGTTGAGCTGAGCAAAGTCCAATTCAGCCAGCGGCCTCTCGTTTTCCTTTTCCTCGCTGTCTCCCGCTTGCTCGCCTTTTTTGCCTGGCGGTCCTCTGCCCTGAGCCGGAGGCCAGCTGAGCTTTCGGGAGCAGCAGACAAGGGAGGACCACACCAGACAGGACACGAAAGGACGGGCGACATGAGTACGCAGCAGCAGAGACCTACGGCGGACGCAGACTTGATCGACGACGACCAGCCGGACGAATGGGACAGCCGGATCATCAGCACGGGCTGCGCCGAGGAAAACCTGCGGCTCCAGCTCTGCCACTACGACACGAACGACTGGCGCCAGTGCACGAAGGAGATGGAGGCGTTTCGCCGGTGCTGGGCGGACCACAGCAACAACGAGCGGACACGCACCGTCGACAACGACGACCCGGCTCTGTAGCTGGACCTGTATATATCTCACCACCTCTGTACGAGGTGTAACGCTTGAATATTTGCTGTGGAAACGCGGTGTGCTGGGTTTTCCCAAAAGAGAGACCAGACAAGACGGACTGGACAAGAACGGCGGCTGTCTTCAGGGCGCCAGCTGGCGCAGACAGTGGGCAAGAGACATCGGCGGGTGCTATGGAGTACACAGATCTCGACCGGCGCAGGCAGACGTCGTTGCACAAGGTGAGGGATGCGTGGAAGTGCATCATCAAGAAGTACTCTGCGCTGTCGGAGAACGAGCAGGGAGACGTGGTGGACATCGCCACGGGCGAGATCATCAAGGACACAGGCCATCTCCGGTCGCTGCGTCAGGACGACGACAACCTGTGGGCAGAGACGGAGCCGCCGCCGAGGGCGCATGGGGCCGGAGACGGCCACGGCGACGAAGGCGGCGACCCTGGACGCAAGCGGGCCAAGAGCAGCAGCAAGACGGCGATAGAGATCGTGGACCTCGGGTCGGCATCGCCGCCGCCGTCCCAGCGAAGGCGGAGCCAGCCGCCCCACTCACAGCCTGGTGACACCAGCTACGTCGTGAGCTCCTCGCAACACATGACGCGGTCCAAGGTAGTCGGCGACGACAACCTGATCGTCCGACGGCCGAAGACCCACAGCGGCCGCCACCCGAGCGACCGACACCACCACCCGAGGTCGAAACGCTCCGGTGCCCTGGACAGCACCGCAAACGACCCCTTGAACATGCTCAGCTCGTCCGTCGACCTCGGCACGCCGTCCAAGGTCAGGCGCTTGCGTAGAGCCCTGGACCACTCCTTTCAGGTGAAACGCAGCTCTGGACGCCGGCACCTGCACAAGCTGATCTTGCACGAGAAGCTGGGCTCCAAGTGAGCACGGCCCGCAGCACGGTGTGTTTAGGAACACCCCGTACAGCCTCGCAGGGCGTCAACCAGTCGTGCTGTCCCAGCAGACGACAGCACAGGAACGTGTCCTGCTGCCAAACACCCATCCTATTTTCTAAGCTTTATAAAAACACCCTTCTCATGGAGGAACATGTCCATCTACCTACGTACAGACCAGATCACGTGACCTTTTTGTTGCCTCGACTCTTCCTTTTCAGGCATTTCGTGCCTGTTTACATGGTTCCTCCTCTGGAGCTGGACAGACAGATTCCGACACTGCATGTTCTGCGAACACCACTGCAGCCACATGACGGACTCGCCTCAGCTGGAAGAATACGTGAAGCAGCGTGACCTGCTTCTCCGTCGGCGAGACGAGCTGCGCAGGAGGCGGCAGACGTCGCCTGCACATGTCCAGCGACACAAACGCCAGAAGATAGAGACGGTTGCACGGACCCTGGACACGTACGAGTCCTCAAAGACGCTCATCTCCAAGTACTCCCGGCTGCCGGAGATGGACATGGGTCTCCGACTGCAGTACGCCCGCATGACGTGTCCCTGGATGTCGGTGGTGGCAGTAAAGAAGGATCGGCTGGCGCCAGACACGGGCAACACCACGATCCGCTGCGAAACAACACTGCGGTTCGACTCGTACGGCGACTTTGTTGTAACGCTGGAGATTGACGCCGAAGGCGAGGACGTGCGGCGCCTCAGCATAACCCCGTCTCCAGATGCGGAGGAGGTCGACGAGCAGAAGGCGATCTCCGTCCTGGTGGCGGAGTCCACGCAGACGCTGGACGTGTCGAGGCTCGTCTACGGCATGAACACGCTGCTGCGGATGCGACACAAGCGCAAGCGGGCGTGGATGGCGATCGTGGACGAGCTGGAGTTGGGCAAGGTCCGTGCGATCAACGGCTTCGCCGTGGGGGCCACTCCCAGCCAACAGAGAGACTCGCTTGGCAGGCTCCTTTTCGACCACTCTCCTTCCTCCGTGGAGTTTGAGCTCGAGTCCGGGAAGAGCCTGCGGGTCGTCTGGCACATCTTCTTCCGACCGGGGACACGCCACTGCGTGTCCGACTTCACAGCCAGCGTGGTCGCCGCCGCTGCCGACACGCCGCAGGACGCCGAAGGCGGCAGCAGCCGGCCCGTCGAGAACATCACCCGACTGCTGAAAAGCCTTATACGAGCAAACGATATTAAACTAGCCACACTACAGGTGCTAAACATTCTATAGCGTCGCCTAAAACCCAGAGGAAAACTACAGACCCTGTTTCCCTCGACTTAACGATATTCCATTTCTATCCCTCTTTCGGCAAGGCCGCATTTCTTGTAAAACCCAACGTTCTCCACGTCACAATCCAAAATGACCTTGTAGCAGCCAAGCGACATCGCCAGGTTACACAGGTACCTGACAAGGTACCTGCCGAGGTTCGACCCCCGCTCCTGACTGTCCACCGCAACGTCCTCGATGTGTCCCACTTTCGAAAACCCGTGTATCAACTTCGTTTCCACCAAAAGCGTCGCAATACCAACAACCCGGTGCTCTCTGTTCCGGATCACCATCGTGTTGTACTCGGTGGCCGTCTGCAGCCGTAAGAACTTCTCAAAGTCCTCTCTCGCAACGTCTCCGACTGTAGTCAACTGCGCAAGCACGTCTAGGGCACCATTATCGTAATCTTCGATTTCCAACGAAGACAGAACGTAACCGGCAGGAAGTGCCGGTAACTCGAACTTTCCTTCCTTTGTCATTTCTTGTCGAAGTCCAGATTGTTTTCCGACTAACAGCAAAGCCTGTGCTTCTCTTGTTTTCTTCTTCACCCCCTTTCCGTGTTCCCTCCAGAAAGAACCGTGTTCCTCTCCCCCAGACTCCTGTCACTGGAACCGGGCTCTTCACCACCTTCCCGAAGGAGCAAAATGTCGCGTTTGGCGATTATCAAGCCCTAATTCCACTTAGCCGCTGCCTTTTTCTCTACGTCTGTTTTTAGCTTCTAAGTTTATTTACAAATGTTCTTTACGTATACCGCTACGGGATATCACAATAGACTACACTATTTAGGCTCGACGTTGTAGCGCATGGAGATACCCATGGCGGCGAGCTCACTATCCAAGTACTTCAAAACGAAAGGAACGGCCACCGTGGTGGTGTTACCACCACCAATAAACCTCTTGCCTGTACCGTCTTCCCATACATCTCCGTCCTCGACCATGTCGGACCGGTGGCCCCGGCCCTCGACCCGTACGGAACAACGACGGCAACGCATACTCTCGCCTCCGCCGATACGTGCAACACTCACCTGGGTGGTCAACAAGCCGCCACAGTCTCTGCAGATGCTGGTGTGCGTGTAGTCCGAACAATTCAATAGACGGTCTTGTAGCAAGAACGACGTACCATGTCCAATGAGGGCATCTCTCTCCATCTCACCGACACGGATACCACCGTGTCTCTTACGACCTTTGACAGGTTGCATTGTCAAGCTGTTCACAGGACCAGTCGACCGCACCTGGAACTTGTCGTTCACCATGTGTCTCAAACGTTGGTAGTAGACAACACCAATGTAAATGTCGGCACGCAACTCTTCACCGGTGGCACCGGAGTAGAGAGGCTCGTTACCGTGGTAGTTGTAGCCTGCAGCCTTCAACTGCTCACCGAAGAAGTCAGCAGGTATATCGTCCTCACTGAATTTCCAAGGAGTAGCATCTTGGGCAATACCATGGAGAGCACCGGCCTTACCGGCTAGAGACTCCACAAACATACCTATAGTCATACGGGATGGGAAAGCGTGCGGGTTGATGATGACATCCGGCTGGATACCGGTTTCGGAGAAGGGCATGTCGATTTGAGGCCATTTACGGGAACAAACACCTTTTTGACCGTGACGAGAGGAGAACTTGTCACCAATCAATGGAGATCTGGTAACACGGTATTTGATTGTGATCGACTGGCATTCTTGGTTACCGTTATCATCCGATATCAGCTTGACTTCTTCGATATATGCAGGTTCGCTTGAATGGTATGTCTTGATTTTCGTTTTCCCTAGAACTTCATCATAGTAGCAGCAGATAGGGTCACCTTCTTCGACGTGAACCCCTATGTATGGCAATCCGTCTTCGTCTAGTTTGTTTCTCCATTCGGTTGGGGAATCATCTGGTCCAAAACCAAAATGTTGAGTGATTGGATCATTTCTACGACGCTGTTGGCTCAAGTCGACCTTCTCGACCTTGTAAACCACACCGTAGGCAAACCCACGCTCGTCTGCAGACTTGTTGATAATCATCGCATCATCCATATCGTAACCTGTGTAAGAGATGACAGCGACAACGGCGTTGGTACCGTTAGGGAAGTTGTCCATTCCGTAGTCGTCGTACAAGTTGGCCTTCACAATAGGAGTTTGGCCGGCCTGTAGTTTGTACAATTTGTTGTCTGATCTGTGTGTCAACGCAACACCAGGGGTACCCATGGTCTGCTTACCCATCTGACACTGGTACATATTTCTGGGAGATTGGTTGAAGTCGGAGAAAGGGGTCAAGTTGGCCAAGATGGACAATATGTTCGTTGGGGCAAATTCCACGTGGGAATGAACATTGCTTTCAATTTCTGCAGGCACAACGGCAATATCCATAAACACCTGTTCGAAGGGACCGACGATATCTTTCTTATCCAGTGGCAAATATCTCACTGGTCTGATCAGACGAGAGTGGCCACCAAAGAGGTAAAGACCAGGGTATTGACCATGGTTTGTGAGGGGAACATAACCTATTTCCAAAGATAGAGGGATGCCATATTTCTTCTCATCTTCGACCTTCCAATATCTCAAAGTATCAGCAATGATTCTACCTTGTTCATGGGAACAGTAACCAACAATCCGACCGTCTAATTGGACACAGCAAGTTCCCGGTCCGGCAGCAGAGATGGCTGAGGCAGGAGGCTTGACGCCCAACTTGAAAAGAGCTGCAGGGATTCTTGAGGTGTCGACCTTCTCAGTTGTGATCTCACACTTGTGAGACAAATGGTTGAGCAACCCACATGGAGAACCATCGGGGGTATGCACCGGACAAAGGAATCCCCAAGATTCAGGAAGCAACTTACGCACTGTAGTTGTTTTCAATTCGGCGAAGAAAGAACCTCTGTGGACCATTCTGAAATGAGAGATGAATCTGTGGAAGTTAATCTTTTCAGCAACCACAGTATAACCACTGACTTGTTGCAAATCAAGACCAGACTGGGAAACCAAGTTACCTGTGGAAAGGAAGTATTGAAGCTTTTGGCCAATGTTTTCATTTATTCTGCTGAACACTCTAGTCATGTATTTTCTGTCGTTAAAATTGACGGCGACACCCCTGGTGATATCGGATTGGATCTGCAACTTGATGCTCTGCAAGTATTCGTCGATCTTCTCCTTCAAGATCATACCGTAGAGGAACCCTCCAAGCAAGATTTCTTGGTGTTGAGTGGAATCTGGATTGTCGGGAGAGCATTCCCCTGCGACTAGGGAGTACAACTTTCTGATCATGAAGCAGAGCATTCTGAACTTGTCGTGGTTGTCGTCCAAGTGGACCAAAACGATTCTGTGCAAGACCTCTTTACCGACATCGATGTCGGACATGTCTGGGGTGGCGCCAAAGACAACTCTGAACTTCGTACCCAAGTACGCCACGGACTGTTTGTTTGTGTTCAAATTGTACTTTTTGAACGTCCTCAACAACAACTCCAAACGATCGGTAAGGAAGGAGTTGTCGGTGTCGGAGCCGACGATACCGTCGAAGATCTCCTTGTCGGACGTCTCGATCAAGGCCTTCAAGATCAAGGTGGCCGGGACCAAGTACTCGTTTTTCCGCCACGAGAACCTGAAGGTGACGTTACCGTCGGACAAGTAATGTAGGGCGTTCGTCTGAGAGGACTGGTCTGGTCTGGCGGACCTCAATTGGACGCCGTACGGGGTGTAGGAGGCACCTCTGTTGGCGAAGGATGGTCTGATGATCGCCATCGGGTGGTTTCTACGCTGCACAATGAGCATCCGCACCAACTTCTCGATACCGTTGACGATGAAGTAGCCGCCAAGCTCGTCGCTCTCCTCTCTCAGGGCAACCAATTGGCTCGGCGGCAGGCCATTGAGGTGGCACCTGTTGGAGGAGACCATGACCGGCAGCTGGCCGGCGTCTCTGATCTCGGTGACTTCCTCTTCCGCGCCGTCGTTGACGGACCACGCAAGCTTCAGCAGTAGACGACCCTTGTAACTGGTGTGTCTCTCACGACACTCGCTCGGGTACGTGTTTCTGTTCACGGACAACTTGTCCGTGATGGGCACTGCCGGCTTGGCGATCTGCACCGAGTCCACTCTGATGCAGAGCTTGTTTGGGCCGACCCGCTCCTGGTCCTTCGAGTCGAAGATCGTCTTGGCGCCTATGTCTTTCACTGCGACGTTGAGGAGACCGCCGTCGGGGCCCTCGGTGAGGGCGTTGAAAGACCCAATATGTGGTTTCACGGCGTTGTAGAGCAGAGGGAAGTCTGACCCCGTTTTCGACGGGTTTTGGAACCGTTTCTCCCGCTCGAGCGTTCTGAACTGTGCCTTTGTGGACGCCATTGTCGATGCGCTGACTGTGGGGGGCTAAATCGTGACTGTACGAACGGTGTGGCTGGCAGCAGGACGGGCCAGACGGGGTACAGACCCTGCAGAAGGAGCTGTTGCAGTGGATAAAGGCCTTCAAAAAAATTTTCAGACCGATTGCAGGGAAGACGAGGAGGGAGAAAAGGGGAGAAAATGAAAAAAAAAAAAAAACTTGAAAAATTTCTCTCCTGCTTACGTCAGCGCTTACGTAACTAATTTTTGGCTGACGTAATTGCTGACGTAAGCATTTATTTGTTGTTTACGTAAGCGCTGACATAAGCGCTTATGTCAGCAACCCCCCCCCTCTTTCTCCGGTAAAGGACTTTCCGCCTAGCTCAGCTGCGCTGTCGTTCCCTATGGGTGATTCATAGCCCGCTCTGGGGATTTTTCAGGCCTTTTTTTCACATGCCGGAACGAAACCGTCTTCGGGTGGCAGTATCTGGCAGACGCTGGCGGGAGTCTTGGGTCTGGGTGGTCGTGTCTGGTTAAGAAAAGGGCATTTTTGTTGCTGGTGCTGCAACTACCACCTGTGTGTTTCTGTCTGCCTGCACTACTGCCACTGACAGCAACCCTGGATCGCCACTGTCTGCGCAATGAAAATCACCGACAAACTGGCCCAGGCCCACAAAGACGACAAGGCGGCTGCGTCGTTCTCGTTCGAGTTCTTCACGCCGAAGACGTCGCAGGGCGTGCAGAACCTCTACGACAGAATGGACCGGATGTACCACTTGAACCCGCTGTTCATCGACATCACGTGGAACGCCGGCGGAAGACTGTCGACGCTGACGTCGGAAATGGTGCACACGACGTCGACGGTGTTGGGGCTGGAGACGTGCATGCACTTGACGTGCACCAACATGCCGCTGCAGCTCATCGACGACGCGTTGCAGAAGGCGTACCTGTCCGGCTGCCAGAACATCCTTGCGTTGCGGGGAGACCCGCCGCTCGACGGCTCCGAGTCGACCGGCGACTTCAAGTACGCCAAGGACTTGATCCGCCACATCAGAGCCAAGTTCGGCAACCACTTCTGCATCGGCGTCGCCGGATATCCGGAGGGCCACCCGGAGGAGCCCGACCACGCCAAGACGTTGTCGTATTTGAAGCAGAAGCAGGACGAGGGCGCCGACTTTGTCGTCACACAGCTCTTCTACGACGTGGACAACTTCATCGACTGGTGCGCCCGGTGCCGCGGAGCCGGCATCACGCTGCCCATCATCCCGGGCATCATGCCCATCTCCAACTACAATGCCTTCCTCAGAAGAGCCAAGTGGAACAACGTCGCCGTTCCGCAGTCATTCATCGACCGCTTGGCGCCAATCAAGGAGGATGACTCCCGCGTGAGGGAGGAGGGCTGTCTCTTGATGGCCGAGTTATGCCAGACCTTGCTCGACTCCAAGCATGTCAACCACCTCCACTTCTACACCATGAACTTGGAGAAGTCCACCACCATGCTCTTGGACAGCCTCCACCTCGTCTCCAACCAAACGAAGCAGGACTACGAGTGCGAGAACTCCAAGCCGTGGAGAAAGTCCTTGAACCCGTCAAGAGAGCTTGAGAACGTCCGCCCAATATTCTGGAAAAACAGAAAGTTCTCCTACATCCAGCGGACAAACAACTGGGACGAGTTCCCGAACGGCCGATGGGGCGACTCCCGCTCCCCGGCCTTTGGCAGCTTGGACATGTTTGAACACAACATCATCCGCCACTCGCCGACAAAGATTCTCCAGTTGTGGGACAGACCAACCAACTCGCACGAATTAGGCGAGTTGATTGTCAGGTACTTGAACAATGAGATTCACTGCTTGCCCTGGTCTGACACCCAGGCCACCGAGGAGATCGACACCATCAAGCCGGACCTCGTCCAGCTGAACATGAACGGCGTCATCACCATCAACTCTCAGCCTAAAATCAACGGCGTCAAATCCACCGACCACGTCTTTGGCTGGGGCCCTACAAACGGTTACGTCTACCAGAAACAGTACCTAGAATTTCTCCTTCCAAAGACCAAGCTCGCCAAGTTGGTCTCCCAGATTACCGCCGTCAACGAGGAAAACGGTTACGACACCTTGAACTACTTTGTCACCGACGCAGAATCGAACAAGCTCTCCGAAACAAACGTTACCGACCTGTCCGACGTCAACGCCGTCACCTGGGGCTGCTTCCCAGGCAGAGAAATCGCCCAACCGACTATTGTTGAAAAAGTCTCTTTCCTTGCCTGGAAAGATGAACTTTATCTCATCTTAAAAAAATGGTCCAACGTCCTCCTGGCCTCCTCTAGTGACGAAGAAGGCGAACCAGACGAGGCCAACAGATTGAGAGACCTTAAAAGCTCCAATTTCATCCAGTCCTTGATCAAAGACTATGTACTCGTCAATATCGTCGACAACGATTACATCCAACCTTCAGACACCATTTTCCACATCTTGAAAAACCTTTGATCACTTTTTTTATCCCTACCCTGCACGTTTGACATCAACTGTCACTTCATGCATATATTACCTACCATACAAATGCCAACTTCAAACTAATTACATCTTGACAATAATAATGATTCGGATCGTCCTTTGCCACAGTGCACAATAAACATCGGCACCTACCTTCTGTTTCAATAGCATTTTTATCTTCTTTCCCCCATTCCACTTCTATTCTCATCACTATTTCATGATCAACACCCTTCTTGTGATACTCATTAGACACATCTATTTATTTTTATTCTTCATTTTTCCCCTCCTCCCCCTCTCCACTCCAACTCCTTCTCGGCTCAATTTTTTGCTCTAGACAATACAAAATTTGTCACAACAATCATGCCCTGTATAACATAGTCTTATTTATATAGAATAGTCCTTTTCTACGTCCTCAACGGATACTTTGGTTAATACAATATAGTATACAAATTTTATCAAAACTTACGTAATCGCACATATTCCTGGTGCTTTTTTCTCAATTCTTCTGCTTCCTTCGTTATTCTCTTATGATTTAAGCTACTTCAACAACATTCTCAAGATTCATGTTGGCTTCCGTAAATCAAGAACTCACAGGCAATTACATTCGTTTTCTTCTAATCGCACAAAAACATTGTTGATTTTTTAATCATGCTTATTTGCTCACTGTCAAACGTGCCCACGGCAAATCCTGCGCTTTCTTTGAAGTCACATTATATTTTCGACGCCAAAGCATTAAACACATATGTGAAGACGAACGGCAAAGATCCCATATCAAACGAGCCAATGGACGAATCGGATATAGTTTCGATTTCACCTAACACGGCGAAAATACCCAACTCCGAGGAAATAGCCTCTCCAACCTATTCTTCGATTCCAACTATGTTATCTGCGTTTCAATCAGCCTGGGATTCCTTGAGCTTGGAACTTTTCCAGCTACGTACAGAATTAGACAAGACCCGGAAAGAGTTGTCTCTGGCACTATATAGGCAAGACGCTGCAGTGAAGGTTGCTGTTGGTGCATGCAAAGAACGTGATGAGGCAAGGCAGGCACTTGCCAAGTTGATTGATGGCGCCGATAATGCTGCCATTCAATCAGAAAAGGCAGTAGATGTTGGTGAAGAGGCTCCTTCCAAAGATATAGAAATGGATCAGAGTGAAGACTGGACGGACTTTGCCAACACGTTGCGCTCTGAACAAGAAGCCCTTTTGGTGAAACACAAGAAGGAAAATAAGGATAGAAAGGGTAAATCACCAATCCTCTCGATAACCGATCCTGCAAACTTGAGTGTAACATTAGATAAGAAGGAAAGCATAGGAACTAAGAAGAGCGGCAAAGTAATTGGAGTGGAACCAAGCAAGGCGGGGGATGAATGCGTTGTTGCATTTGCTTCGGGATTGTTTGAATTGGTGGACGTATCGAAAACTGCCAAGAAGATGAAGGTTGTCTCCAAGATTAACCTCAAGGTCACACAAGGCGAAGCTTTGCCGTTTTTGTGCTTCTGGAAGATGAATGAGCCGTTTGTGGTATCGAAGACTCCCGCACAGAGGGGACGGAAGAGCAAGACAACCGAGCACCACGCATACCAGATGACAAACTTGGCAACTAAAGAATCGAAGCCGCTAGCTTCCGAATTGCCTGACATCTCTATTGCAGTGGCACATCCGACACTTCCTGCCTTCATCGTTGCCAACACGACAGAATTCGAGGTCTTCTACAATGACACCATAATGTACAGCCAGCAATTAAGTCACGAATTGGCACATATCAGGTTTCATCCGGACGGTCTTCTTGTGGCACTCTCATACAAGGGTGAGGCCGGCGTCGACATATACGATCTTGTCGAGCGCAGCATCAAGCTCAACATACCGTTCGGCGAGCACAATGATGTCCAGTTTGCAGCCAACGGCTACTACTTGTTCGTTGGCGGTGTTGACGCACTTGCGCTGTTTGACTTGCGTAAGAACGTTTTTGTGCAGCAATCCGAGGTTGCCGGCGGAGACAGGATCCTTGTCGACGTGTACACGTCGATCGTGGTGTATGGGAACACATGCGCTGTGTTTGACAAGAAGGGCAAGACGTGGAGCAGCGTGAGCGAGCTGCAAGGGTTGGCGGACCACGATGGCGGCTCCCGTGTGGTTGCCGTCCTCGCCGGCGGAGCTGACGATAAGCACACAGTCCTCGTGGCTACAGAGAACGCCGGCGACGGCGTAGACTTGTACAAAGTGGACGGCTTCAGGTCTGCTGCGGAGTGATCGGCTCTGCGTCACTCCACCTATATGTATAATGAATAGTTGTATATGAAAATTAATTTGTTTCTAGAACTATATGACGCCCGTAACACTGCTGCTACTTCTTGACGTCAGGGAAAGTGATGGTTTGGTTGAGGTCGAGCTCGCCAAAGATCAACGGCCCGATGTGGGGCTGCACGTTGTACCCAAGCTTGAAGCGGCCTGTGCGGCCGTGCAAGTCGGGCGCATAGTCCCACACCGAGTACTTCGACTTCACGTTTTTCGTGTTGATGTACATGCTGCTCCGGTCTGTAAGAATCTTGTCCCACACGACCAGCTTGCTTTCCTCCTCCTTGGCCGACGGCTCGTCCAGCTCGACAAACACGTAGGCAAACACCTGCTTGGTGTTCCAGTCCACCACGCCCGAGAAGTCCGCCACCAGGTCAAACTTGAACCGGGCGTTCTCCTTCGGCTTCGTCTTCGTGCCACCGTAGTTCCGCGTGTTCTTAAGCGACACCTGCGCCTGCACGTTCCGAACCCGCAACGACTGCACGCCGTCTGTGCTGCTGCCGACCCACGTGAGCACGGACATCAGCACCGCCACCGTGAATAACGCCGTCGTGAGCGTCGAACTCCATGTGCTCACTCTCTGCGCCAATGAATGCATCATTTTGCGTTCTGATGCTTCCTCTCCACCACGCTGGTCTATCTGCCACGTCTACACCCCGTCATCACTACCTGTCAGATTTATCTTCAACTTCAACACGTACCCTTTTCCCTCGCTGGGCCCTCTTTCGCTCCCACCTTCTGCTGACGTAATCACTCTTCGTTGATGCAGCCGAGGGACGTTGTCCCTCTGTAGAGAGACGATGAGGACCGTGTTGGAAGGGACGCAGGGGCGTGCACGGTGTGGGCCCGGCGGACGTCTCTGGTGGGCGGCGGCGGCGACAAAGAAGAAGCCGGTGCCGGGGTGGGTACGGACAGGGTGGTGGCGGACGAGTCGAAGCTGTGCCGGGACGCCGGCAGATGAATCTCCTGGCGAATGCTCTCGTACTGCGCTCGGCGGGTCTGCCAGTGGTCGTAGTCGGCACACACCCAGCGCAACTCGGCGACGTGGTCCCGGATGCGCTGTAAGACGGGGTCGCCGCCGGTCAACGTCCCGTCGAGCACGCGTAGCTTCCACACACCCTCTCCGACGTCGCCGTGGGCGTCTCCGTTGACAAAAAGGTAGTAAAACTCCGGCGCTCCGCAGACGAAGACGTAATCGAGCAGCGTGAGCAGCCTCAAAAGCTCGGTTTGGCGTCCGGCGTCGCCGCAGAGCGTGAGCTGCTTGAGAACAAGCCTCTTTAGCTTCAGACACTCGGCCTCCCCCCGCCACGAGTACTTGGCAACGGCGTGCAGCTGCTGGGCTGTCGGACCCGGCCTGCTCGGATCGACCGCCAGGGACAGAATCGTCGAGACCGACAGCCGCCGACTCTCGCTGTCAACGAGCCCCGTTTTAGACGCCAAACTCGACGTGCTCTGCTTCACCTTCAGCTTGATCGATTGCAGCCGCTTCATCGTGGTCCCTCGTGCTGCGCTGGCTGCTGTTCGGAATACGGGTCTGCCCAGTGCCCACCAAAAAGACGTGTTTCGTCTGTTTTTCTTTCCAGGGCAGGAAAAAAACGGTTTTGTGCAGTACGCGGGGAAGCTTTGTCTCCTACAGGACCTTGTAGGGGTCTTCTCCGGGTCCTTTCGGGGTCCTCTACGGGTCCCCTAGGGGCCCTTCCTTCGGCGTTTGTCGTATATTCATACACGGTCGTTTCTTTATACATGTACCTATTCCAGACACAGCCGGGACTTAGAGCTGGTTGAGGTCGAGCCGGCCCACCTTGAAAGACCGGCCCCGGCGCCCGGCAGCGTCCTTCTCTATAATCTCTTTGAGCTGCCTATTCTTCTCTCTGCGGAGCTCGTTCATGCGGCCCCTGACAACGTGCTTTTCTCGCTGCAACTCAAGCACCTCCTTGCTGGCCTGTCTGATCCGTCGGGTGTGCTTGTCGTCGCCGTCCCCGCTCGTGAGCTCATGCGTCTTCCAGATGATGTAATCCATCTCCTTTTTCAATGTCTGCATCCGCCCCTTGTAGTCCATGCTGTCCTTCAAGCGCCACATATTCATGTTCTTCTTCTTCCGTTTGGTCTCTGCCTTCATGCGGCTCCGGATACCTCTATAGAAAACGGTCCGGAGCTTCTTTGTCTGTAAGTAACTCGAACGAATGTGGCGGCGCTCCTTGAGTATCTGCTCCATGTTCTTGAGAATATACTTATTTGGCGAGTTGGAAATGCTGTTCAGGAGCTCTGCCCGCTGCTCAGGCGTCAAACGATGGTTCAGCGTGTCTGAGAGATTCTTCATCACCTCGAAATAGATCTCGCGGTCAAAACTGTACGTCGACTTCTTCCGGATCCCTGGGAGCTCGTCCGTGGTGTATCTGAGTCTCATCAGCTTGAACTGTCTCTCCTTGATGTGGTGTGGGAGAATGAACCTGTCTATGAAAGACGCAGCCTCCTCCAAGACTTCTGGTCTCTGGCTCAAAAACAACGCCGTCTCGTTCAAATTCTTGTTATCAAAGACCAACCCCTTCGCAATCAGGCTCTTCATGATCTCGTTGACTTCGCCCAACCTTTCGGCAACTTCCAACTGCTTCAATCTGTATATCCAAAGATCGGAATGCGCCTTCTTAATCCAATTGGGAATCTTTGCGTTGGTACCCTTGTAATTTCGGATCTTATATTCGTCATAGCGACTTCGGAGATAAACGTCTCGATGCACATCCAATCTGCTGAACTCATCGTTGTCAAATCTTTTGTTCAATTCCTTATCCCGGAATCTCGCCTTCTCAATCAACTTGAACAACAGCGTCATGTATCTATCATAACAGCCATCGAACTCCACCCAACGCTCCTCCTCACCCAAAAGCATCAACTCAATATTTAGAATATGAAGGTTGTCAAGAAGATTATCCCTCGATGACTCCACATATATCTCAAACAACCTTCGAGCCTCATACACGTCCTGGTATTTGATAACAGCTTTCAATACTAGCTTTAAAGACATCGGGTTGATGTCATCATTCAGCTTACCAAACTTATCCTCCTTTCTGTTGACCAAAAATTCCTCGAGAATAGTCACAGTCTCATCTATACTATTTCTCGCCACCCATGGCATGCATACGTTACTTTGTAAAATTAGAGAATAGGTTTTGGGTGACGGCACCACATTGTGCATTAAGGCTATTCTAACAACCTTCTTCGTTAACCATGGCCTGTGCGTTCTTAAACATGAAAAAATCATCTGGTTGAACAATATTGTGGGAAAGGTCTGGCAATTGAGTTGTAGCTTTATCTCGTTCAACTTCATTTCAATACCAAACGCACCATACTTTCTAACCCAATATGCCATATAATGAATGTAGGCTTTGATATCCAAGTCACCTCTGAGATTGTGAATCGCATAAGCTTTCGTCCACACTTGTTCGAATGTTTTGACATCACTGTATTTTATCGCACTCTCTAAGGCCATCAAACTGTCTTTGTATAAAATTTCGTGTTCCCCCATACCCATATAATCTTTTATAATTAAAGTGAATCGATTAGCATGGTAATGACTTTTCATGATCCATCTTGTATCATCTCTCTCGACAGAGAGATTGAACTGAGGATAATAGGTGGCCAAAATGGTCTCAATACTCTTATAGTCACCCATCTCTGCAAGCTGCACAAACACCGGAGAGAAAATGTTTTTCGGTAATCGGACACTTTTCTTGGTTAATTCATCCAAAACTCGGAAAATAGATTCTGTGTTTTTCATTCCGGCAAGTGCATAAAGCATCAACCCATACGACTTTGATGTCAAATCAACATTGTAATGAGAGTATGCAGTAAACCATTGTAAGGACTCTTCATAAGATTTGTTATTTATGAAACAAAGAATTATGGATGAGAGAATTTGATCATTCGGTTCAAACCCTCTCTTCAAATAGTTTTCCCAAAGTTCCATGATTATTTTGTTGGTTCCCGGTCTGATAGACAATGCAATAAAAAGAGTAATGTACTGATCTTTCGAGATGACTTCATTATGTTCATATCTATCATTGTAGATACTTTCTAATTGGCTCCAATCTTTATTCTTGGCCAAAACAATGAGTATCGGGTTCAAAGTTTCATCAGTTTCAAACTCAGGGTTTTCCTTCAAACATTGTTGCAAAAAGTTGAATGCCTTGGAATATTTTTTACAACTCGTCAAAGATCTTAAATATCCGATCTTGTCAGCTCCACTGATAGGTAAAAGAAGCTTCTTTTTCAATTGATAAAACGTTTGTCCCAAACTCGATCCAGGCTCGTATTTACTGTGTGTATATATGAGTATCGAAAAGACAGTGTTCAATTTAACTGTGTCGAAGCCCAAAACTTTCTCGAAATATCGTGGAACAAAATGCAGTTTGTTGTTTCGCAAATAAATGATTGGTCGTATATCTCGATCATATCTCAATTTCTCATCATTATAGCAGTAGTCAAACCAGAGTTTAAATTTTAAGATCGGCGAGGAGTCCTTAGGCAAGGATGATATTAGTTTGTACTGGTATGAGTTCTCATTGATATCATCAGGGTTATAGTGCATTTTCATGAAACTTTCCAAAAAAAGATATTGTGAATCAAGGTCATGTTTTGCATCAGAAGAATAGGTGGCAACTAATTGAGATATTAGTGAAGGAGGAAAGAATTTTTTCAATGGTTCACTCAAGTGTAGTAAATAATCATAAAGTTGATTTTTTGAGTTGGAATCAAACTTTTTGTAGAGCGATGAGCATACACGGAAAGTAAAATATTTAAGACCGTTGGGTGATGCATCCTGCAAAAGGTTATCCAACAGCAGTTTAGCTTCCTCAAAAAGTCTAACATCTGAAAGCTTTATCAATTGAGTGACAGATTCATCATTGCCTAACCTATCGACTTTTCTCCAAATGTTGGGTATTTTATCATATTTGAAAACCTCGCAAAATTGAAACAAATCATCCGGTTTCCCGAATTTGTCAAAAACTTCAATCATTTTGCTATACTGATTGAATTTAAAGAAAATATCATAATTGGGGCATATTTTATGGAGTAGGTTGTTTGCAATGCTGAATTGTTTGTTGGAATATAGCCAATCAAAAAGTTTGGATACTTTCATTATAATGTCAGGTGTGAAAGCTTCTGGATAATTGTTGTCGAAAAATTTCAATTCTGAGCAGATGTCTTCATACTTCTGTTGTGCGTCTTCTCGAACTTGACTATCACTTGTATCACCATCAATCAATATATCAAAGTTGTTATCGAAAAAACGGGTAGTGGTGGAAGTAAAATCTCGTTTTATAAGCCTCAAGTGTTTTCTTATTGATACCATAGTTCTCAATTGCGGATTTATTATAGTCTTTAGTACCAATGGTATTGCTATCCCTTGTTTCCGGATTTCAGAAGTTGGCATTGTATCTCTGAATAATTTATTCGAAGCAATTGACGTATCAGGTCCTAGCACACATGACGGAAGCTCCAAGCACCATTTAAGCATTGACTCCCGTCGCTGTATTTTGACAAAATCCATATACCTTTCAAAGGCAAGTTTAACATTTGGCATGCTCTTGTACTTGGTATGTAATGGCCACTTCGTTTAGTTAAATGCACAATCTTTTCAATGTTGTTGAAAGCCAGTGCTAACAGCAAGCGTTTGATCCAGTAATGAGAGATGAAAAGCGGTATGAGAGTGCCAAATGCAGATATGTACAGGAGTAAGGCCTTTGGATAGCTGGTGCCCGCTATATTCTTGCCTTCACACATCTACCTTTCCGTCTAGAAGCCGTTGTTACATCAAACGCCGACAGTCAGACCAGAAAGACGAGAAAAAATAAGGAATTGGAGGTGAAAAATTTTAGGCGCTTTCTTCACTGATTGTGAGTTGAGGTAGACACAATTCTTGACATAAGGATACTGTTCTTATCGAGTGACTGAAGTCTTTCGGAAGTCAAGAGCAAGGAAAATATGTCTGGTTCTATACAAAGAGGTGGAAGGAGTAACAGAGGGAGAAAGGATACGAGAAAATATTTACAGGGAAAGCAGGGAAAGACTGATGAGATTCGTAGAGCGTTAACACACAGAGCTCGACTTAGAAAGAATTATTTTAAGCTTTTGGAAAGGGAGGGACTTGATGTCCCACAGAGAGGAACAACAGGGAACGAATCATATGATAACGGAAAGAAAGATGTCAGTTCCGGTGAAGAAAGTGTTAATGAATATGAAAAAACCGAGGATGGTAGTGGGAAGCCACGAAAACCACTATCGGAGATCGATATCATTAAAGACAAAGTGAAGAAACACGAATCGTTGACATTCCAAGAAAGGATTCTGTTGAAGAAGGACAGGCGAGAGAAAGATCGAGAAAGAAAGATGAATAAAACTAAAGAGAAGGTTGAGTCCATGAAGCTGAGCGATCTCAAGCGTCAACGCCAAACTGAACGTATTCAAAATACCAAAACCAGGAAGGGACAACCATTGATGGGCCCTAGAATTAATAATTTGCTAGATAAGATCAGACAAGACAAGAACAAATAAAAATGAGTTGAAGAAAACTATGAAGGGATGTTTTACTACCGTTATAGATTTATATATTTTCTAACATGTTCTCAAGGAAAGATAAACTCTTCACTTTAAACTAGGATATTACTCATAAATACATCATCTTTTATATCAGAGGCATTTTCGAATGTTCTTGTGTCTACAAGAGAGAATTGCGACAACGATTGGTCGGTATAGGTAGATAAAAGCTGTGGTTGTTCCTGATTATCGCTGCTCTCTTTCAGATCGAAATATATCGAGTTGTTTTCATTTGCAAATCTAATTAAATCAATCTGGCCGTTGAGTCCAATTGTCAAAAAATTTTGTTCTTCGTAATTACATCTATCCTTGATGGATACCCACGGTGGAAAAGAGTTGATAAAAGTTAGCCTAGGGATATATCCTATGTGGTGTGTGCTCCGATCTATCGCCAGTTCATTGTGTATTGAAGAAATAATAATTGATTCTTTGTTGAAATTACTAGTGATTAGGGTGTCGTCACCACTGATGAGCCCATCGGAGCAAAACTCCGTAAAAGTTTTTTCTTCCTTTATCACCGGATCACACAAAATTTCATCTAGCTCCGCATAGGCTGATTTGTTATTCGTAGTCACTGCAAGCAAAAGGAAACTTTTGATTACACAGTTTTTGTTTTCAGCTCTCTTTAAAGTAAACTTCTTTATTGGATCTTGTAACTCAATAACGATTTTCCTCTCAACTAGTCTAGTATCATCTGCTGAATATAGCCATCTTATGATCTTTTTACCTGTTGAGTAAAGTAAGCACCGATTTTGGCCTAAAGAATCTATGTGGAATACTGGTTCATCTTCCTTATAGGAGAAGACAAGTTTAGCATAAGCTTTTGTATCATCTTTATTCAACCTTAAAACTTTCACCACCCCTTTGCCTTTATCCGTCTGGCAGCCAACAACTAAGTTAGTATACGTGCCGCTAGTTTCGTGAACTTTCCAAGTGTGAAGACAAAGTGGTATCTCATCTTTTTTGAAGATCTCCGTAAAATCTGTTCCTGTCTCTAAAACTCTCATAGTTCTTGACTCCACAAAAACCAACTTTCCATTTTTTTCGTCTTCTACATCTGGCACAGGTAGAAGAACAAATAAGTCAAGGTTTGAAAAATAGTTCATCTTCATACATTGAGTTTCTAGCCTCTTGCTTCTTGTCAAAACAGAGAAAGATGATGGAATACTTAAAATTGTTAACGTATGCCCCCTCAAAACCAATAGCTTGTCGTTTTGACCTGGTTTTAATGTAGGCAAAACAGTGCAGGCCACAATTGCATGTTCTTTCAACCCGTCAATCACAATTTTCTCAGGAAACAGAGAGTTTCTGCAATCTATTTTCCATAAGCTTGCACACAAAAGATATGCAACATGTGGGTCGTCTGTAGGTAGTATTTCTACTTCACCCGTATCTCCTAATTTCACTGAATGTAAGTTTTGCATTTCATAGTTACCGGAAGAGATATGAAACTTAACAATGGAATAGTCTCCATTTCTCGAACTGAGAATAAAGTTATTTGCCGAACCTAGCTGGTGGAGTTTGTAAGGTACAAATATGTATTCAGGGGACCAAATTTGCTCCTGGGAACTTTCGTAAGAAGACATTCTGATCTTCTCCTTATAAACGAACTGAAAACCATCAACTCCAGATTCCTCAAAAAGAAAACAAAACCCATTAAAATCGCCAATTATCAAATAACATTTATTTCCAATATCAACAAACTGCATCATGGACACCAACTTAGGATCGAATTCCAAATTTTCCATTTTTAAGGGTCTAAACTCAGTATTACCAATTATCTTTAGCAACACAAATTTGATTGAATCATCTTTTTCGTCTTTGTGGAGTAGGGCAACGATGTTATTGGATGCTGAAGCAAGAATACATTCGCTTGGTAACTTCAAATGCATGCTCAGTTTGTGGAGAGTGGTGTCAAAAAGAAAAATATTTGTTGGAGTGACTATTAGCTGTTCTATTTGATTTGTCCGGTCAATGCAAAGAAACGGTTCGTTTACTAGGTTTTCTCCAATAAAGGAAACAAACTTACCATTGTTGTCAAAACTGTTATCCAATTGCAAAAGACCTGATCTCATTTCCCCTGAAGCCCATACATAGATGAGGTCTGTGTGATTCACCTGAAACGAATAAATTTGATCTATATCATACAATTTCTGAGCTGATTGAGTTTTATCAGCTATCAAACCGAACTTGAAATTCATTAAAGAGTGGTTAAGTCCGCATCCTGTGATTGCCCACAAATCATTCGAAGGATTTTCTATCGTGTTTCTCACTCCTGATGAAGCAATAAGCTCATAATCAAACATAGGGTAAGGATTGACTTGAGACCATATGTCTTCTACCTTTTTCAAGAGGGGCGTTTCATTTTCGGTCACAATAGACACCAGCTTTGACTCAGTTATGCCCATTTCATTAGCAAAAGTAAAACGAAAAGTTGAATCATCAACTGGCTCAAAAACAAAAAGAGATATGACATGCTTGTACTTGAACAAACGATGTATCGTGGAGGTAAAATGGTGACGCTTTTTATCGTAATAAACGTCTAGCAAGTAAACTGATTTATTACGAGTAGTAGAAATGAGGACTTGGTCATGCTTGTAGTTTTCTTCAGAAAACCCATCTGATGAAAATGACGTGATGATCTTTCTAGTTGGTATATAGAATGAGTTTACTTTGAAGTTTCCTCCAGATGTTTCTGGATAGTTGAATGGGTAATTTCCAGACTCATCTCCGGTAAAACAAAAGCTTAACGAAACTATAGTGTACTGGTTTTCCTGCAAGAGCAGCACCCCACCAGTTTCTGCTAGTCCAACAGCGTATAACGGGGTTGGGAAAGTATTTTTCAGCATTATCTCATGGTTCGTTGGCATCGTAAGGTTACAAATGGATGTCAAGCACAATATACCCCCTTGCATTGAAATTGTAATTATTGCATCATCAGATTCAGTAATTGGGACTATACATTGATCAAGAATTGAGTATTGAAATGAGTAATTAAAATCATGATGCAAACTCGGTACTCCATTTGAATCATAGTTGATGGTGTGTAAAAAAAAATCACGAACAAAGAATGATAATATTAAAAGGGTCTTCTGTGAGTTAACGCAGATCTTAGACCCTCCCAAGTTACTGATAGACTGACTCGAATAGACGACAAATGGCACAAACTGGTCATTTTTTCCGAAAGCAAATCGTATAAGTATCAAGCTGTTTCGAAGGTGGAGAATTAGAGTATCTTCTTGTGATTTCTCATTCTCTCTCAAAACACCAGCCGATATGATTTGAGACGGTAAAGCAATGCATGGGCCATTATCGATGGAGAAAGAGCTATGATAAGTCATTATCGTAACAAATTTAGATTCCTGATCCAAGAATGGCTTGAATGTGTCGTCGTAGGTTTCGTTGGTCATTTTGACGTCACTATCCAGATCATCAAGCTCATCTTTTGATTTAATTTGTGTTTCGGACAACGGAAGCTTCGCAGCTTGTTGCTCTAGTACTTTTTCCCCTAGTAAGGACTTCCAATCCTCACTTGCAACACGGAACTCTAGTGTTCGAGAGGAACTCTTTTGAAGCTTTGTATACCTATTGTTGTTTACGCTACCATCTTCATTCCTCAAAATATTAATCTTAAAATTGTTGATAATATGTGTTGGCAGCCGAGAATGCAGCAATGTTTGTATATAGCATGCGTTACTTTCAGACTGTTGGTTTAAACTCATCGTCACTCGCCATATTCTTCTCCCTGTCCTGATGTAAACTAATTTCTTCATTTCGGTTACAAGGCGCCAAACCTCTGCATGAATTCGTTGCTACTTAAAAGTTCAACATCTTGCCGCGCTGAGATAATTGAAAGGTCTTACGCCGTCATGAATGTTTTCATAGCTTCTGGGAACTTCAACTTCAGCTTTATGAGTAATTACTCGATTGAAGGAGTTACACTAACGAGAAGCAACAGCAGACAAATATCTTAATATTATGATACAAAAAATGGGGCTTTTCTACGAGCAGAAAATATGAAGGGTGAAAATCTATTTTTGTAGATGAAAAATATCATCTGCCGTTTTATTCACAGCTTTGGTTTCCAACTTAAAATTTTCTTGAAGCTTTTTCTTCAGATCACGAAAGAGCTTTGAACGTTTGTCAATATGCTCTGCCGTATCTAAAAAATCTCTGATAAAATCTATCTGAGTGCGTTGCACCTGTTTACCAGTATTTTGGGTGATAACATTGATTATCCTATTATCAATCTCATCCGAAAGTTCTGTTTGTGCTGAAGAAGCATCAATATTCATCTCGCTAGCTGAACCATCACTTTGCTCCATGACTTTTTCCTTTTCTTCGCTTTCTCCCTTTTCTTTTCCTATAGGTTTTTCAGCTAAAGTTGTTTGTAGTTTTCGGCTATCTCCTTCCATAACTTCTTTAGCAGAAATTTCTTCGGTGTCAGGTGCAGATTCAATTGTGTTCGTATGATCTTCTGATAATTTCTCTTTGGCCTCCTCCTCTATGTCCAGCTTATCCTTTGCCTCCTCATTCATCTTTATCTTCTCTCTGTACTGTGCATAATTGGCGTGTTTTGTATAGTAATTGAAGTTCAAATCTATCTTATTGTTGGCATCCTTCACGTTAGAAACAAAGTTGTCTAAAAAGCGTTTCCTATTTTGAGGGATGACTTTACTTACATATGAATGATGCTTGTGCACAAGCTGAAAATTCATATAGTTTTTCAAACGTGCATCTTCTTTCTTCTTGTACTGTCCCAATTTAATATAATAGTTCTTTTCCAAAGCCGACTTTTCTTTACTTTGTAGCATACTTTCGAATTCGATGTCTGACATACCCTGCTTGGTGATATGATTTGGATATTCCTCTCTATTAAAAGCCCTTCCATCTGCAGAAAAGCCTGCAATAGCAGTGGTATTTTCATTTTGCAACTCTCCCATTTGTCTCTGAGCTTCAAGCTTATCCTTTAACATCCTTTCATTTTGTTTATTTTCGAGATCGGTCAACACATGTAGCCGAAAATCAATAATATTTTGCTTAACAACATCCACCATGTCAGCAGGCACATCGGATAGATCCTTTGGGTCAACCCGGTAAGTTTCTGAAAGTCGTTTGAACTTGGTCAAATAGTCATCGACAGGTGTGTCTTTTTCTTTTGCTTTGATGCCCATCTTTTTCATCTCCACTACATGTTTTCTTGTATCATCTATTACCCTTTGCAATCTTTCAAGGTCAACTTCAAAAAAATCGTCCAGCTTTGGAAATATTTTTTCGTCCAACTCTTTACTACTTACAACATGTAATTTCTTTTCATGATCTCCCAAATCCAATGATTCCATGCTTTTTGCAAACAAATAAGCCATCATCGCGTCATCCGGGATTACATACACTGTTTGTGTTTCCAAGTTTGTTGTTTTAACACCCATATAAGACCACTGATAACCTGGGGCTATCCTTATTTCTTCCCCGTTATCTTTTCTTCTGCAAACTGGTACATGATCGAATATGAGCTTGATGACTTTGTCGAGCACATTTTCCACCAAGGCAGGATATTTGAGAATATCACTTGGTAAATTCATTAAGCCCAGAGTTAGTGGGCTTTTAAGTTCACTCAAATTCTTCAAGGTTATATTTCTGTGTAATTGTTCATTGGAAAGTGAGAGTGCAACTGACTCTTCTTCGTCAGCCTTATTCGCATCTTCCATATCAGCATCCACATCCAACTTATTGTTAGCACCTTCCGGTCTTTTTAGAATACCATTATTAGAATTGCTATACAGTTTCTTCAATTCTACCTCATTTTTTTGTAATAAATCGTATAAGCTACATGTATCTTTGAATCTCAAACTTTGCAAAGTCTTTGAAGAGTTGTATATGGAATCTAATGTTTTCTCGATTTTTTCATATGTATCTGTCTTATTCTTAACAGATCCAATGGCATTCTCATTATCATTTGCTTGGCTGTATGATCGTCTATAGTATTGTGGTATAAAAGTCATAGCTTGCTAAACGTCCCAGTCTTGCAAGCAATAATAACATATGCAGGATAACTGTGGGTAAAAAGGCTCTATTCTGCTCTTTCTGCGACATGAATTTGCCCAAGATGAAAAAACATGGTGCGACCTTTTGATAAAATGGAATTCCAGTCGCTGGTTTTTTAATATACTTACAGTCTACAGTTTTTATAATTGTGATAAGCTTTATTTATTATAAAACTTCGAATCTGAATCAAACTAAATGAAAAACGAAAGAAAACAAAACGTGGGAAAAGCAACTTCAAACAAGAGCAACAAAACTGAAATAAAATAGAAACGAGTGCAAAAACTAAATAGATAATCAACCAAAACTCAACCAAAATTATGCAAACTCTATAGATTTGTTACTTGGCAGTTAGCACTGCCAAAGCAAACAGTCAAAATTCTTGAAGCAAAACATCCAATAACCAAAAACAAAAAACCCTACAAAAACATACCAAAAACAATATGCGATACAATTCCTTTGATGGGATACCTAAAATGAAAGGTGCAAACACCATGACAAAGATCTTTAACAAATTCAGCTCTCTTGCATATTGTTAACATTCTCATTATTTCTATATATTGGTTGATCCATAGCCTCATTAGGGTGTTCCATCATAGGTAACGAGTTATAGTATAGATAAACGGGTGGGTACATTGCTGGCATTTGGGCGTTCGGAGTGCCCGGTGGATAACCTGCATATGTGTAATAATAAGCAGGATTTGAAGAAGGTGGCGGATTAGGACCATTAATATTAGGATCGTTAGGAATCATCGGATGCATTTGAGAATTCATGTAAGGCATCTTCTTTGTTGGGTAGTAATAATAGTATGGATATTGGTATTGAGAGTGATTTGCCATTGATGCCATATTCATATTTGAGCCTTCCATTTCACCATTATCAACTGAACTATAAGAATAGCCTGTTCTCACACCAGCACTTGAATAGGTATTATTACTCCTCGTTGTTGACATGTCATTGTCTAAATTGTGTTCATGGGCAGAAGTACTCTCTAAATCTGTAACTTCCTTGCTATCCTTATTGACTAAGTTTTCTTTATCTGCATCTTCGAACTCATTTGCAAAACTACTATTTTTTACATCGCTCATGCTTGCATTTCCAGCTTCACTTTTATTATCTTCTTGGTCATCGATCAATGACTTACTTTCATCAATTTCAACCCCGTTGGATTGTGGAAAATAAGCTGTTTCGAAATGAGCATGAGGGTGTTCGTTCGCATTGATTGAGAACTTCTTGAGTGGAGTAACATGTTGGGCCTTGATAAATTTGTTCCCACCATAGTTGAAATTGAACCTACCTCTGGAAGGATATGAGTGCTTCAATTTCATTGCTTGCGCAAAGGTTTCTGGAACTTGGTTGTTAGGGATGATATTCATATGTCCATCTTCTTCTTCTTCATTCTCGTTTTTATTGCCACTATCAAAATCTTCAAAATATGAATTGTTTTTAGTCCGATAGTAGTGGTGATTTGGTTGATTATGGCGATTCATCTGTCTATTTGAATGGAAGAAGTTACGTCTTTTGAAGTTAACAGGTGGAGGTGCCAAGTTCAATTTTAATCCATTGTCGTTCGAAAACTTTCTTCTATAGTTGTTATACAGCTCACGATACTGAACATGGATTGTCTTAAACTTGAACATTGAATGATTTTCACACTCTACTGCAGATGCTGCGGCTTCCTTTGTTTTGAATTTGATGAAGGCAAAGTTACTCAATGGTCTGTTGACTAAGATTGCTTCTTTGATTTTTCCATGTTTTTCAAACCTTTCAAGCATTTCTTCCTTGCTGATTCTAGGGTCTAGATGGCCAACAAAAACTGAGTACCTGTCGATTGTGACTTCAGGAACGTTTTTATATTCATCCTCCAAATTTTGAGCCCATTCTATATTCCAATTAGCCTTGGTTTTGAGGTTTGCAAATGCACTTATTGCATCTTGACGATAAACGTATTTACAGAACCAATTTTTATTTGGGGTTTTGGTCGAATTAGCCACGTTGAAGTTTTCATTGACTGCAACAAGTCTCTCAATTTCACCAAACCTTGATAATAATTTTTTCATTGTTTTTTCACAAATGCCAGCATTAGCAAGTTGGAGGTAAAGGGTACGATTGACCCTGGCCTTTTCACATCTCACCGTCCTGCCATTCAAAATTGAATGTTGACCCTCACTTATTGCCTTGTCAGCATCCTCATCCTTTGCGTATTGAACAAAGGCATAAGGGCGATTAGCAGGATCTCTCAAGACTTTGACGAGAGTCATTTCTCCCCACTGCTTAAAATGGTTTGTAACAGATTGGCACAAAACATCATCACTCATATTGGAGGATAGACTGGCAACGAAAACACAGGCGGAAGGACGGCCTCTGACTTCTTTGGACTCTTTGTCATAACTACTATAGCTGTTATCGTTGTCATGAGTATCATTGCCGATAAAATTGTTACCAGCACCGCCGTTTTCCCCCTTTGTGGAGTCGATATCAAGAAGATCGTCAATGAATTTTTCATCATCTGAATCTTTGGAAATGACAGAAGTTGAATTCATATCTTCATTTTCACCTAAGCTTTCCTTAGACAAGTTATGGATATAGTTTGTGTCGATGGTATTTGTATCCAAAGTGGAGACTTCCCTATTGACCGCAGAAACATATGAGTCACAGTTAGAAACGACAGAGCCTTCCGACAGGGAGGCGGAGTCGTCGATATCCTTTGATTCTGGTATATCGAAACCACCGCTAGCATTCAGGACGAGATCATTTGGGAACGCTGTCGAATCTTTAGGATCAGCATCAGACAAATGGATCTGGTTGTTGACAATGTTGGTGACTTTGTATTCCGACATTTTGGTGCTGAAGTTGATATACGTATATTAAGCACTATGAGTCTTTCAAATTGGCAGCTCTGACTCAATTTTCTAATAGAGGGCCATTTCGGCAATGTTAGTATTTGTCTTTTATGCAGAAGAGGTAAGCCACAGCTAACTTGGTGTTGCGCTTGTCATTACATACTGGAAATAATTGGAAACAGGTTTAGAAAATTATAGGAATGGTATTTTTTCAAAGACAAAGATAGACTGAACGTGGTTCAATATTAATGGCGAAAAGTGAGACTCTTATATATCTATATTATGGAGAAAATAATTGTTTTTCTCTGTTCTAAGAGAGGAAAAGGCAGGAAGGAAGGTTGGTTGGTTGGAAAGCAAATTTGCTATGCTGCTTAGTACTGATGCGATGGATGATAGAGAGGTGCTGGTGTGTTCTGGGTATCTTCCGCTGACGAACAGACCTTTCTGCTTTTTTCAGAAACAAACAGAACTCAACTACAAGAAGAAGGAGCAACAGGAAGACGGCCAGGTGGCAAAAGCAAGAGGGAGACATTGCGAGAGACCAGACAGCGGAGCATTTTTGAGATGGGTAACAAAACGGGGCAACAAATCGGAACCTTCCCTTCTGAGCCCCCATACTAATTGCCCAGTATGCTATGTTTGCTGTGCATCCCACTGGTAAGGAAAGATCCATCGATCTGCCCTGCTCTGGCTCCCGAGTCCGTAGTGTACGGAGGAAGACTAAGATTGGATCACACAGTACTGACCCTGTACAAATACAGTTAGTCTGTTGCCGCATTAGGCAATTCCTCAAATCATCCTTTTTTGCCTCTCCCCTTTTGTCGACTGGGGTATTTCTCTCCTCTCATTCTATTCCGGTTTTTTTTCTTTTTTCTCCTTTTTCGCTTTTTTTTCTTTTTTTTTTTTGTCACTATCTCCAATGGAGCCAAATGGAGTAGTAGATGTAGTTTTGAAATACTTTCCTTCTCTTATGATTGATGGATAGCTTTATAAGGTCCATTGGTACACACCATTTTCGAAGTCCTACTTTGTTTAGAACACATTTTTCAGCTAAGAAGATGCTTGACTACCGTGCGAAGTTTGTTCTGGCTCCGATGGTCAGGATCGGAGAGCTTCCAACCAGACTTCTAGCTTTGAAATTCGGGGCTGACTTGGTGTGGGGCCCCGAGATCATCGATAAGAAACTGCTAACGTGCGAACGTAAGTACAACGACCAGTTGAAGACCGTCGACTTTTTGTCGAAGACAGGGAACAAGAAGGTTCCCGGAATGACAGACTTGGTATTCAGGACATTCCCCGAGATGGAGAAGGACAAGGTGGTGTTTCAGATGGGCACGGCGAACGCGCAGTTGGCAGTCGACGCTGCCAAGATAGTCATCGAGGATGTCGGTGCCATCGACATCAACGCTGGATGCCCAAAACACTTCTCCATCCATTCAGGCATGGGAGCTGCGTTGCTGAGCACTCCGGACCTCCTGTGCGAAATCCTGACTCGCTTAGTGAACGAGGTGGGAAAGCCGAACGAAAAGCCCATCAGTGTGAAGATCCGCTTGCTACCGAAGAAGGAAGATACCCTGGCGTTGGTTGGCAGATTGGTAAAGACGGGAATATCCAACCTCACGTTGCACTGTCGAACAAGAGAGATGAGAAACAGAGAAGACCCGATCAGAGACTACGTTGACGAAATACACCAGATTTGCAAGGACAACAACGTCACCTTCATTATCAATGGCAAGGTGGAAAGCTACCAAGACTACGCTGGCTTGCAGGAACAGTACGGAGAAGATGTTGGGGCCATGGTTGCCTCTGCGGCCGAAAAGAATCCTACTTGTTTCAACAAAGATGGCCCGTTGCCATGGTACACCGCGGCCAAGGAATTTGTCCGCTTCGCCCAGCAATTTACCCATCATCCTGCAAACACAAAGTACTGCCTTGCAAGAATGGTGCCGAACGACCACAACAAAAACAAGATCTATCACTTGATCACTAAGGCCAGCACTGGAGAGCAGTTCATAGATATTATCCTGACAAAGATGAGTGACACTGGGGAATATATCGGCGATAGCAATGCTAACCCTGTCGAAAAGGAGGTCAAGCGGAAAAGTGCGGAAGATAACGAAGCCTCCACCAAAAGAATAAAGGTGTGACGGAAATCACAGCAAAGCGAGCACCCGAATTCATGCATGTACATTTAGCTCAAACAATCTGTAACTTTTCGTTTAAACGTTACTTATATATATATATATACACGGTGAGCCAGCATCCAGTTGACACGGAGCTGTTTACTCGATGTCGCCTCCGAATCCTGGCGGTTTTATCTCCTTGTACTGAGAGTCGAAGTAGGCGAGGACTTTATAGACCTTGCCCATATCCCTGATGTCTTTTCCGGTAAGCCTCTTGTATGCCGCAGTGAGGTTCTTCTTCATGGCGTCGTCGTCAACGTGCTTGGACATCAACTGGTCGATACGGTACCCGAGGCCCATCGAGTTGAGGAAATCACCCTGGTCGGCAATGAAGGTTTCAAACTTCGACTCCTTGAGGATTTCGGACAAGCTGCTGAAGTCCACGTCAATCGAAAGATCGACGTTACCCACGTCACTAAGCGGATTCACAAACTTGTGGTCTTTAATCCCTCTGAGCGAGTTGATTGGGATGGTTGTGGTCCCGTAGTCGATCACCAGTCCTGCGCCGATGTCTGACGACTTGACGATGTTACCCATCTCATACATGTAAGTGTGGGACTCTGGGGACACCTCAATTTCGGACGTGACGGGCAAAGAGTCGTATCTCGGCGTCGTTTTTGGGATGGCTGCGCTGGGCGTCGCATACGGAGCCCGGATGATGACAAAGTCGGAGTCGTGTTTCTTCTCCAAGTCGGACTGCGTGGTGGTGGTCACGTTCGGCAGAAGACTGTCCTTCTTCGCATCAGGCCGAATGTCGACCAAGTACTCTCTCCACCCCTTCTCGGTCTTGACGAACCTGTTCATCGGGATGGCGTCGAAGAACTCGTGCGCCATGACGAAGTTCATGTAGCTCTTGTCGTCAGGAAGGTCCGGTTTGTCGTCCTTCAACCATACGATCTCGTTGCCCCAACGCGACACAGACCTGAACGTGAACTCGTCCTTGCGCTCGAGCTTCGCCTGCGTCGTGTCGCACAGGGTCTTGTACTGCTCGTTGATCAACACCTCCGACTTCTCGATAAACACAATCTCGATGGGGTTGCTGTCCTTCACAAACCTCTTTAGCGTCCTCACCATGTCGAACATAAGCGTACCTTTACCCGGCCCAAACTCTATCAGACGGAACTTCTTTTCTTTGATTCTGAAGTTCTCTCTGTTGTGCGTCGCCTGGTGTCTCAACTGTGTCAAGAACGCACTGAAAAACCATAGCCCGCAGATCTCGCCGAAGGTGGAGCTGATCTCGGGAGACGTGATGAAGTCGCCCGCCTTCGCATCCAACGGATTACGCGTGGTGTAGTACCCGTAATCCGGGTTGATCAAGCACTGCTTCATGAAGTTGGCGATCGAGATCGGACCAGTTGTTTTGATCATGTTTTTGAGGAGGATCGTCAAGTTCTCAGACTTCGTCAATGTCTGCTTCACTTCGCCGCCATCCTTTCCCAGCGTAAACGACCTAGGACCCGGACTGGAGATTGGCTTTCCGTCCAGCCCGAGGACCTTGTGTTCAGGACCTCCAGAACCTCCAGAACCAGAGGATATCGGCTTTCCATCCGGCCCTAGCACTATCGATCTCGAGAACACACAGCTCTTTGCAGCCCCTCTAGACAGCCCTACCTGTTTTCTTAGCGTTGTTCTAAGCATTTCCTCACGGCTATATCGCTTCTGACTCCTGGCTCTGCCTAAAAGCTCTTTTGTAATCCGGCAAAGGACAAGAAAACCCATCTGATTTTTCGTCAACTTGGTTTCCATTTCCAGAACCGTTTCATGCCATCTTCCCAATCTTATGCCACACGTGACTCTCCCCCGCTTCGTTCATATCGGAGAAGCGCGCCAAACACGCAGAGCTCGCGCAGAAAAAAAGATACACCCCGGCGAGGAGCGCATCTGCCGCCGGGGGCAGTGTTTGTTTCCTCTGGCTCTGCTGTCTACCGTACCACCAGTGTGGTCCGTGTGTCAGCAGTTTATTGACGTGCAGTGTTTGACCCCCACACGATTGGTCTGTGTACTTTGTTAGCAGTTGCACATCATCTATTTTGTTCCTGCGGTTGTTCTCTGCTTGCACACACTCTTCTTCGAGAACACAGATACACAGAGACGTTCTATTTTCCCCACACGACGAAACTCAGTCAAGGTGGTCAGGCAAGATGCATAACAGCAGCATAGGGCGAAGTCCCAGAAACATATACCTCGACGAAGGTTCACCCGCTGCCTTTTCAACACCAACCCCAGACTCCCCCAGCGTGGAGAGCTTTTACCGCGGAAACGATACAAGCATAGGGGAGTTGGCGTTGACGTCGTCCTCGGCAGTGGCCAGGACATTGAGCTACATAAGCAGGTCGGTAGCGGTGCTCAGGAAGTTCGTGAAGTACATCGGGCCCGGGTTGATGGTCAGCGTCGCATACATGGACCCGGGGAACTTCAGCAGTAGCATTGCGTCGGCACAATTCCAGTACAAGTTGTTGTTTTCGTTGGTGGTGTCAAACATAATGGCCGGGTTTCTGCAGGTTCTAGCAAGCAAGCTCGGAATATGCACAGGCCAGGATTTGGCGTCGAACTGCAGGAAACATCTCCCGCCAAGAGTCAATTACACGATTTACGTGTTCGCAGAAATATCGGTCATTGCAACAGATGTTGCCGAAATCATAGGAACAGCCATAGCATTTAACATCATCTTCAATATACCGCTTTTCGTAGGCGTGTTGTTGTCGATTCTCGATATGTTGTTTGTCGTCATGGCGTACAGGCCTGACGGTCCAATGATCTTGCTACGACTCTTTGAGGGCTTTGTCAGCTTGTTAGTGTTCGGCACCGTCATTTGCTTTGCTATAGAGTTGGGGAAGGTATCGCCAACCACAAACTGGGGCGATGTCGCCTTGGGTTTCCTACCGTCCAAGGTCATGTTTTCAGATACCAAGGGCTTGTACTTATCTGCAGCCTTATTGGGAAGTAATTTGATGCCCCATTCGCTCTACCTAGGCTCCGGAGTTGTCCAGGCAAGGATGAAAGCTTTCGACATCCAATTGGGTCACTATGTTCCCCCAGCAAAGAAGAGAACAGGAGGAATCTTCACTCTCGCTGCTGTTACCAATGCAGATGATGAGACTGAGGACCAGCCAGAGTCGGCAGCAGAAACATACAAGCCTTCCATCCACGCAATCAATGAAACCATGAGCTATACCGTCGCAGAACTAGTGGTTTCCTTGATTACCGTCGCACTGTTTGTGAACGCTGCGATATTGATAGTGGCTGGATCCGCCTTGTCCACCCCAACCGATGATGATGGCGACGGTGCGTTGGAAGATGCCGACTTGTTCACCTTACATCATTTATTGACCAGCCATTTATCAAAGGCAGCAGGCTCTGTTTTTGCTTTTGCATTACTATGTTCTGGCTTATGTGGAGGTACCGTGGTCACCATTGCGGGACAGATGATCATGGAGGGTCACGCTAAGGTCAGTATGCCACCCGGCATAAAAAGAATAATCACCCGTGGTCTTGCACTCATACCATGCATCATTGTGGTCCTCACCGGTGGTAGAGAAGGGCTGAGTACCGTTTTGAACGCCTCCCAGGTCGTCTTGTCCTTCATGCTTCCGTTTATTAGCGCCCCACTAATTTATTTCACTTCAAACCGAGAAATCATGAAGGTAGAATTATACGCCAATTCAAATCATCCAGGTGCACCATACTCTCGCAATGCAGACTACATCGAACTAGACACAGTTTCTGATGCGAAGATAGATACAAAGTCAATAAATAGAACTACATCTCCCGGCAATGAGCAGCTCATTGCAGGAGACGAATCACGAGAAATGGAAGTCGGGTCTTTTGAGATCGAAGAAGAAGCAGCAGAAAACAGGGAAGCTAAGCAGTACAAAAATATGAGTAACGGAAAGTTCACAACTATCGCTGCTGTGTTGGTTTGGGCACTAATTTCATTCCTGAACTTTTGGTTACTTTTCAGCATGGCACTCGGGAAAGATGTGTCATTGTAGATACCCAGTATTACTAATATATCCGCATATACGTGCATGTGAAAGAAATAAACATGTATCAGTGTATAATTAAATTAATAAAAGTAACTTGTCCTAAGCATTGATTAGTTCTTTGGTACTATTCACTAACCCTTCATTCACATGGATCCTGTAGCGGCCAGTGACAGTAGCTAATTGAGACCTACATGTTTTTTCTAGGGTTGGTTTTAATTCTAACTGAATGGAACCTCAAGTTACTTGAGTCTTGTACAGGAGTTAAACCGAGTTTCTAAAGGAAGCAAACTTTGACCTTCCCAAATTGTGGCTACTTTCTTTTATCCTCAAGTGTATGATAAAACTTGGAGAAAAAACAAATTGACTGCAGAAAATCGTTTAACAGAAGAGATCACCAAAAATAATGTAACATGAAAGATATAGCAGGCAATTTTTCTTCCCAATCTTATTATATCCTGGCTAGTGAAACAAACACGTCAAGCCAAAAACCTGCCGAGCTTGACTAAGTTTCTCCCGGGCATACCCGTCCGTTTAGGTTAATATCGCTCAAATGTCAGCTTATGTTGATAAGATGCAAAACTTAACTGGTCAAAAGTTCAAATTGGCTCTGGCTTTGGGAAAGCCTTTGTGCTTTTGATCATAGCTTCAATGATTTATAAGCTGCTGACCTCCAAATTTAGTTATCGGGTGAACAGTCAGTCAGTAAATCAAATAGATCTCTTGGTTGTGCTTTTTATGTTTTTTATCTTTTTCTCAATGCTACCGAATTTTGCTACTGAATTCTTTGCTCTCATATATATAAACGCAATTTTGCTAAATTTAGGTGGGATAGTGTCGCCAATTGTACAAAATCCAATTGTGAAAGTCAGCTATAAAACCGAAGCTAGAGAACTGTTTAGAGCTCCTGTGATTGTTGGGCATGTACAAATCTGGTCATACTTGGCATCTCTATTCCGCAACAGTGGACTCTTTTCCTAAGCTATTCTTAGTGTTACAATTACTCGGCTCTGGCTTCTGCTGCGCTTTCGGATATTTTGGTCTAGCCACTCACGATAAAATAAAAAACTTAAATATAGAGCAAAAAATTGGAAGAAGTAGAGGATTTTCTTGTTCCAATAATGACCAAGCTGCACTATTCTTTGCAATTGATATTTTGAAAAACGCACAACTATATCCAGGTTAAATTATCATTATCTCAAAAAATCAATCATGACGAAAGTAAATTGCTTTTTTTACATATAATAATTTAGCTTAACCACTGAAAAATCATACTACATCACTTAATATGGAACATATTTAGGTCCATTTTTATATCTAACTGGTCATTCATAAATTATCTCTTTAAATTCCCACAATCGCATATTATCCATTTGGTGTTGGTTTACGTGAAAGAATTTTACTACGCCGAAGCGAGTTCGCTACATTAATTTTCAGCATGATTCATGTCTGCTGGAGTATGTAAGGGCAATGCTTTTCTTGTGGGAGCAAAAAGCTTATATGTCTTTTATCAGCTATCATGGATAGAGCCAACGTAATAGAGCATTTTCTTTTATCTCGCTGTTCACGGTTTAATGACAGCGGACAAATTTTACAATTTTTAGAGCAGAGATACTCTTACACGGGACCGCAAAAAAATTATCTTGTTTTGGAGCCAACCGATGGTAGTCAATATCAAGAAGAGACCAAACAACAGGAGAAAAAAGACGCTGAAGAAGGGAACAAATTTCTTTTAGATAAAAATTCTTTGGCTTCTGCCACCAGAAAAGACAACAAATACAGCTCTATCAAAACAAAAAATGAGTTTAAGAACTTTACTCGAAATTCCTTGAGATTGCAAGAGAAAATTGCAAAGAAGCTTCATAAGTTGAGCAAGAAGAATCCTGGATTATTAACGAAAGATGTGATTGATCTGAAAATATGCCAGGGAATCTTAAGATTTGAAGATTTTATAGAAATGCACGCTCTATGGAACAATTACATTAAAGAATTACTACAAAACTGTAAGACTGTTGATGTGATCACCGCTAAGTTATCAAGTGCAGAGTTTGTTGGTGCATACTTCAAGGTCACGCATTGCACTTGTCCTGACAATATTGGGCTGGAAGGCATTGTCTTATGGGAGTCGCAGACTTATATACTTATGATTATTCCGCGAAGAAACAATTGGAAAGATAACATCATCAAACAAAATATACAGATTCCTTACTCTGCCAAAGAATGTATTGGAGGATTGAGAATGATATCAAAGAAAAAAACACGCTTTACCTTCAATATAGAGGTAGATGAAGACTCTGTTATTGACTTCGAGTTTCTTGGTGACAGGATGTCCATTAGAAGTTTGGATAGAGCTAACAAGAAATTCAAAAGTCATAATGTAAAAGACATTCAGTTGTAAAAAAGTTTAAGACATTCAGGTCTATTAACAAATTTCTTTTCTATATAAAAAAATTAGAGTTTTGATAAATTTTCAAAGCATTTCATATTTACAAACGGTTATTTACATGTATTATAATGTTCCAATCAGCACAAACAGGTGCTTGCACTTCTCGGGAATGGAATGACATCTCTAATGTTCTCTGTGCAACTCAGATACTGCAGTAATCTTTCAAACCCCATCCCAAAACCTCCATGGGGAACAGATCCATTCTCTCTAAGCTTCAAGTACCAATCCAATGGCGTGGTATCCATTCCTCTTCTTTCAATTTCAGTTTTAAGCGTTTGCAAGTCGTGTTCTCTCATCGAACCCCCAATCAACTCCCCAATATCAGGAACAAGTAAATCAAAACAAGCCACGGTAGTTCCAGCTTCCTCGGTAGTTCTATCGTTTATTTTCATGTAAAACGCTTTTTCCTCAAGAGGATAATCGGTGACAAAAACAGGGTTCTTAAAATATTCTCCTGCTAACCACTTTTCGTGCTCAGATTTCAAAGAATCACCCCAAATTGGTCTAGTTTCAAATTTTACCGACTTTGAGTCAACTGCGTTTTGTATGATTTTAATTGCCTCAGTGTAAGTTATTGAATCCCAATCTTTAGACAATAACATTTCCCATCGGTCTGTCATGATTTGAGTTGTCGATTTATCTACAGTATTAATAAGGTTTGAGCCCATCCCATTATAATCAGCAACTAAATTTGTCACAACAGACTTGATCATCTTTTCGGAGAACTTTGTTAACTGGGAGACATTGTCAACAAATGCAATTTCTGCTTCAAGCATCCAAAATTCACTCAAATGTCTATTAGTATCGCTTTCTTCTGCTCTAAAACAAGGAGTTAGTGTCCAAACACGACTTAACGCAGCACAAAGAACCTCTAGATGTAATTGGGTCGAAACTGTTAAGTATGCGTCTTTTCCGAAAAATTGCTCGTCGTTCTTCAGCTTGGAACTTGATTCAATCTTGAAGAGCTCACCAGCACCTTCGCAATCTGAAGCTGTAACAAGTGGTGGATGTGTCTTTATGAACATTTGAGAATCAAAAAAATTTACCAATGTCGTTTCCACTTGTGACCGGAACCTTAGGATCGCTGCTAAGCTTTGATCTCTCCATCTATACTCAGGAATTGTCCTGAGATATTGTGCCGAATGGTTTGATTTGATCATTGGGAATAGCTCATCTACTGGGCCCAAAACATTAACTTTTCCTTGGCTAGTATCATTGACATGAACCTCGTATTTTTGTTTTCCTTTACCTTCAGACCATATACCTTTGACTTGGATTCCTGTTCCGTTTTTGATGCCAGAAGGTAAAAGAGAAGGAGGCCGTATCACACATTGAATCCCTTCATAAGTAGTACCATCATTAACATCCAAAAATGCAACATTCTTCGATATGCGGGATGATGAAACCCATCCATTGATTTCTATTGGTGTATCAGGGTTTTGCACATCCGCTAGGATACCTTTCACACATGGTGAGAGATCCAACTTTGCAGCATCGGGCTTCGTTGCAAGACGACGTACCCGGTTAACGAGATTTTTAGTTGGTCTCGTAGATATTCTTGCCAGTCTGTGACTCAGCATGCTGCTTGACAACGAATTTTAGAAAAGAAAGGTATGATATGATCACACGGTCTCAGTTGCTTTCTTTTCCCTTCTCAAAAAGTTATAGTGTATGGCCTATGTCCTAGGATGGACTGCGAACAAGCCGCAAAAAAATTACCGATTCTTTTCAAGCGAGATATGTAGGGATTCTATGATCACTTTTGGCAGTGACTCAAATCTGTAGAATGTATGGAATATTAACATGTACGATTATGGAGGGTGAAGATTCTAAACAAGCATAAATTATACACTATATATCGCCTAAGTCTGCTCAGGTGTTGCTAGAAAACACAAACTTAGAAAACTAAAGGGGTGATTAGTATGACCTACCGAACATGGTGTAGTTGATGGCAGCCTTCTCACATCTGATACACTTCGTTCCTGCTTTCAATTCTGGTTGACTGTAAGGAATACAGAGAGATTTGGCACCCATCGATGGAGCCTTCTCATCAACTTCAAAATCTTCTCCGTTATCTTGTTTAGCTGATTTGTCCTTAATTTCATCTTCACATTCTGGAACACCACACCATGGTGCAACCACCACGTTTTTCTTGTTCAACTGGTGAACAAAGTCGCTCCACTCGTGGACAAGAACTCTGTGTTCGTCAAACTTCTCCTTTGCAGTTTGGTAAAGGTTTTCGTGGATTGCATCAAGCAACTTTGGTAATTCGGTATCTAATTCGTCGAGCTTGATAGCAACCTTGGCACCGGTATCTCTCCTGACAGCAAGAACGGACTTGTTGGCAAGATCCTTTGGACCAACTTCCAATCTGACAGGAACACCCTTCAATTCCCAGTTGGAAAATTTCCAACCTGGGGAGTAGTTGTCTCTGTAATCAGAAGTGACTCTGATACCTGAGGCCTTCAGTCTCGATTCCAAATCTTTACATGAGGAATAGACGTTATCTACGACTTCTTTGGTAGTCTTTGAAGTCAAACCAACAGGAATGATGACAGTTTGGTATTGGGAGACCCTTGGTGGAATCACCAAACCCTTGTTATCGGAGTGAATCATGACCATCACACCAATAACTCTAGTGGACAAACCCCAGGATGTTTGATGTGTGTAGATCTTTGGCTTGTCAGATCCCTCTGGATTTTCAACAGTGATGTTGAACATCTTGGAGAAGTTCTGGCCCAAGTGATGGGAAGTAGCACCTTGGATACCTCTACCAGTTGTTGGGATATACCCTTCGACAGTGGTGGTGAACTTACCACCTGCGAATTTTTCGTTCTCAGTCTTGACACCCTTGACAACTGGAACCGCCAACAACTCTCTGTAAATTTCTTCGTACCAGTCCAAGATTCTCAGAACTTGACCTTCAGCATCTTCATGAGTCAAATGAACAGTGTGTCCTTCTTGCCACAAGAATTCTCTGGTTCTCAAGAATGGTTGTGGGTGCTTGAATTCCCATCTGACAACAGAGTTCCATTGGTTCATCTTGAAAGGCAAATCTCTGTGAGATCTAATCCACTTGGCATAATATGGATACATGACAGTCTCGGAAGTAGGTCTGATGGCGATCGGCTCCTCCAAGTCCGAGGAACCAGCCCTTGTGACCCAGGCGACTTCTGGAGCAAAACCTTCGACGTGATCCTTTTCCTTCTCTAAAACCTTAGAGGAGACAAACATTGGGAAATAAGCATTTGCAACGCCATCAGACTTGATCTTTTCGTCAAAAAACTTTTGAATTTGTTCCCAAACAGCGTAAGATGCTGGTCTCATAATGTAACAACCTGAAACATCGTAGTAGTCTAACATCTCACCCTTGGTCAAAATCTGTTGGTACCATCCTGAGAAGTCCTTCTCCTTGTCGACAGTGACGCCAATCAACTTGGCGTCATCTAACTTGGCGTCGCTTTCACCTCCAGCAGCTGGAGCTGGGGAAGATTGTTTCTTTGCTGGTGCTGGAGCTGCTGCTGCTGCTGCTTCTGCTGCAAAATCCACTGCAGTAGGGTTGAAAGTCGACAAAAAGCCGAAAAGCTGCTTACCGTTGAGCACAAGCTTTGCGGATGCATTTTCCAAAACGTATTGGGCTTCCTCAGAATTCTTGAGCTCTGAATCAAGGAGAACTTTGACCTTACCATCCTTGTGTTTCTCACCCAAGGAGGCAATCGAAAAGTCGGCTGCAGGAACGCCGAAAAATTCGGCTGTTAACTCGTTCCTAGCTAATCTTGGGTCTTTCACCTCAGCAGCCTTGGCAATGACACCAGAAGGAGTATTCGTAGTTTGTAGGGCAACGACGATGACTGGAACAGGGGTGGCAGTCTTGGCCGTCTTTGGCTTGAAGACAAGCGACTTGACGTTCAAAGACCCAGCTGGGCTTGGTTCTGCAAGTGAGAGAAGAGACAACGAAGCTTCTAATGACATTACAAATGTTTGTTGGCGTGTTTATAAAGTACAAGCCCAAAAGACCAGGGCATCTGCTCTTTTCTGTTACTGGCGACGACGAAAAGTTGGCCGACTTATCTTCATCCATCATCATCTCCTTCCCCCGCAGCTGGAGCCGCAAAAAATTTTGCGCTGCTTCCAGATCTGTGTTGATCCACCCCCACTTTGCCTGGCACCCTCATAAGAAGGGAAAGTTCTATATTGTTGGCATGCTTTGCCCTTGGCAAAGCGAACTACGTGGTATGTCTGACTACATGAATCTAGCCTCTGGGTGGTAGTAAAGCGGACACCTCCAGTACGCACGCTTGATATCCTTCCACACCGAATCCTCGGAGTCGTCATTCTCCTTTAAGGTCGTCACAGGTGCTTTCATTGTTTGAAACTCCACGGAGAGCCCGTAGTTGGATAGATCGAGATCCACAACCTTTTTGTACACCTCATAACATACTAAGCGGTCAGCTCCCAGGCCGTTGAAAAAGGAAAATGTCCCTGTTGGTTTTAATAGACCGACCACCACATCGAATAGGTCGTTGACCATGTCCTCGTAATGCTCACTGAAAGTGTCGTAATATATTCCGTCGAAAAAGACACCCTTTGTGAGGAGGTCTGGTAGGGTGTCTTGCCATTTCCCTTCCAGAATGACGACACCAGGCTTGTCGTACCACCCGTCCTCCTTCATCTTCTTCAAAACATCGGGATGTGCCTCGCTGATATAATGTCTGGTTGGGTTCTTGGCCTGAATCATTGTGTCAATGATGCCCATTCCAAAGCCGATGTTGAGGATGTTCACGTCGTTTGGATCTTCTATGTGCTTGAAGAGACTTTCCGACCCAGCTTTCATCAATTCGTCCTCCCATTGCATCATGACGCCGTCGGCACCTTCCTTCGTGACCAAGGCATCGTCCTTATATTCCAACTTTGTGTTTAGGTATGTATCCGTGGCGCCTGCAGGGCCATTGTACATGTCTTGAACAGATTCCGATGCATTCTCTGCAATTGTGTGGTCCTCGTCCACCTTCTTAGCTGGTGCCTGCACTTCCTCTACCAATTCCGGTACATCTTCTTCGTCACTTGCATCTTCTGAAAGAGGATCGTCAAGAAACTCAACATTAGGATCATTCAACTTTCTCAACAAGACCTCCGCGCGTACACCCGAATCAACACAGCTTTCCCAATACTTCGTCCCATGGAACCCTCTTCTTAATAACACACACCCAGGTGTCTCGTTTTTGTTGTTCAAGAGACACCATCCTGCCCCATTCAACCACAATTGTTCCATCATTTCGAGAACAACGTTTTCTTCCTCTTCATCGGCGTCACCGGGTACATTCTCACAAATTAGGTGCATTGGTGTCGTGTTGCTCTCAGGCTCTTCCTCTATGCCATGTTCATAGTTATGTGCCTCTTCGGTGGTATAAGTAGCAGGAATTCCGGCTTTCAGGTATGCCTTTAACGGCACAAGGTATTCCTCTTTTGTAATCGGACGAGTTTTGAAGTAGCAGAGCTCATGTAAATCTGACATTATAGTTTGGTCGTCTTTGTATGCTTTGCAATGGTCCTGGTAGCAGTAAGCAGTGAAACCATTGGCCTGGCACTTTTACATTAACCATATCAGTAACATGAAAGAAGAAGAGCTGAAAATTTTCATTTTCCTAATCGGTATTGCTGCCGCACAGCCTTGTTTCCGGCACCGATCTCTTCTCAACCTGCTGTGGTACAATATTTTATAATAGATGTCAGAAAACAAAAGAAAGTAGAGAGAATGAAACTAAGATGCACAAAAAATTTGAAAACTGTTTTCTTGTGCTTTGTTCCTCTGATTGAGGTTTGTCCCGCTTTAGCAGCCACAATTTTAACTTAACGCCGGCAAAAACTTTTGACTTGGTAGCTTTACTCTTTTCAGCATAGCAACTACTGGCCATCTGGTTCAAACCCACTCACTTCGATAGTGCAGGTTAGACAAAGTAGAAAATTATGTGTAACAGTCAAGCAGTTGGACTTTGATGCCCGGGACTCCTCCGAAAAACTATGTGAAGTTTACGATTTGTGGGAAAAAAACCATGTGAGTTTGGAAGACCAAATGTTCAATAAAAAATGTTAGCGGTTGAAAGGATGTAGAATTGCTGCACCTGCGTCTTGCTCTAGCACCTACCCACGTTAGATTTTGCTCCTTAGGTCAAAGGATGGGTCGTTGCCGAGTTGATGACCAGAAACGGTAAGAAAGTCAAAAATACGTTATCACCCTTTTCCGCGAGTCCACAATTGTGGAGTATCTCTTATCTGTCTTTATATACATATGTGTGTAGATATTTTATAAAGATACTACGATGATGGAGATTTTGTATTAGCTGGATTTGATATTTCTTTTTGTTCCAAAGACAAAATGGCCACCCTATCAAGTGTGCAGACTACTCTAAAGCTGCAATCTGCAGACAAAGGAAAACATGTCAGTTCAAGAGGCTACGATACCGAGGCCAAAGATGGAGTCAACAATATCGCCATGGGTATTTACAAACACCCATACAGACTTCCGAAATTTGTTGACCCATACATAAAAAGAGACTGGTTGTTGAATCAAATGGCTGGCGCATTCAGGGTATTCGCAAAAAAAGGATTCTGCGAAGGTCCTGCAGGCCATATTTCCGTTAGAGATCCAATCGACCCACAAACTTTTTGGATCAATCCATTGGCTGTGCATTTCTCTCTGTTGACGCCACAACATATGGTCCATGTTGATGAGCAGGGGAACGTTATTGGAGGGAACAGAACCACAATCAATGCTGCGGGGTTCAAGATCCACTCGACAATTCATAAGACCAGACCTGACGTCAACGCCATTTGTCATGTCCATTCTAAAGCCGGAAAAGCTTTTGCAGCACTAGGAAGTCACTTAGACATGCTTAATCAGGATGCTTGTATCTTTTTCAAAAATCACACGTTGTATAATGACTTCGGTGGGGTGGTCCTAGAGTCGGAGGAAGCAAAGCATATTGCGCAAGCATTGGGAACAACTAACAGGGCCATCATTTTAAAAAACCATGGATTACTAACCGCAGGCTCAAATGTAGGTGAAGCTGCATACTTACTCTGCTTGATGGATACCTGTTGTGATGTGCAGATGCAGGTAGATTCCGTTCAGGCATCGGGACGATACAGAAGAGATGTAATTCCTGATCAGGAAGCAAAATACACTTATGATATGACTGCAAGTGCTGAGAACTTGTACAGCTCATTCTGCGCCGACTATGAGGTTGAAGTTGCTTCATCGAATGGTGCACTTAGGTCTGCTACATCCTATCATACCGACTGATTAGATTTAGCTTAGCGAGAACGGTGGGGCTCAAACAATGGGCGCTGTTTCTCTCTTCGTGGCTATATTGAGCTCAAATGCTTTTGTCTACCTTGTTTAGACTTCCACCAATAAGAAGCTGATATAATGTTTACGTAGTACCAATGTGTAGCCAGTATCCATCGCCAAAACGTTAACTACACCTTTGTTAAGACTTATAGAAGAGTGTGTTTGAGAACATTATAGGTTTATCTCGAATAGTCCACCTGTTTCTTTTCTCATCCAGTAGGTGAAATTGCCGTAGAAAGGTGAGCTAAAACTTTAACTTTGAACCAGACTGTTTTTCCCGGTAATTGAAAGCCTATTACTGAATAGCTTTACCTCGATAAAAATACACTCAAGCGTATATGCATCATTATGGGATGGCCTTACCCGTAAGGCCCCAACAATTAGTTGTTTGGTCTAGTGGTTACGACGTTCCCTTTACACGGGAAAGGTCGCGAGTTCGAACCTCGCATCAACTAATAGGTTAAAGTCTTTTTGTCAAGATTATTTTTTTTACTTCATTCATCTATCAACAGTTAAAAGATACCTATACGACTCAGAGTTTACTCATGAGCTTCTTCTCCCCCTTTCTGTTGTTTTCAACCATAAATTTGAACGCAGTCTGGGGTCTTTCGTCGACCCATCTGTTCAAGCCTGACAGGCTTTCACTGACAATCTGTTTCCCGACCTGCTCATCGAATGCCATTCTGATCATCTTCTTGTTTTCTACCATCGAGTCTACTGCTAATGCGCTAACCATCTTGGAAACCTCCGAGCAGATCTGCTTGTTAAAGGCTTCCGCTGAGTCTGCACGGAATGTTTTTGAGACCACACCAGAGGAAACTAACTCATCCAACATTATTCTACGTGCCATACTGACAGCTTCCAAGCTCCTAGTCAACCCTAGTCTGTACGGCAATGAAGCAGATACGCCGCATTCGTTCACTAACCCGATACTGGAGAAGGGGAACTGCATATATGGCGAGATGCTCTTCTTGTCGGTTGGCACCCGGGCATAGACAACGTCCATAAGACACACCAAGGCGGCAGAAAGCCCAATCACAGGTCCGTTCAAGGCCACAACAATGAGCTTTTTGTGATTGAGTATAGTGTGAACCAAAAGGATATTTTTGGATGTGATGTGATCGTAGTAATCTATCCTGGGCCTTTCCACCAGTTTGGAAATGAATTTGATGTTGGCCCCTGTAGAGAAGAATGTGCCTGTTGAGGTGAGTAACGTTACCTTTGTATCTTCATTTCTGTCTGCGAGGTCGAACAGCTCGGCAAGCTTGACAAACTCTGGGATTGTAAAGGAGTTGAGAGCCTGTGGGTTGTTGATGTGTATCTCAAACACCGGTCCGTTGACTCTGTGCGTAAGCGTTTCTTCTGTCATAGTGTGTAAGAAAGTGGTTTACAGGGGGATGCGGGCAGACAACGTAAACACAGAGTCTAGTACTACAGAAGGGCAGAAGCTGTAACGGGCTTGGCCTCTGCTATTTATATATGCCTGCCGCCGAAACGGCTGTCAGGAAACACTTCTCGGAGTAACCCCCGGCTGCCCCACAGTGATCATCATCACATCTAAGCGGCAGGCGGGGCTCGAACGCGGCGGAGGGCGAGGTCATGATGAGAAAGGGAAGCGGTGTATCTAAAACGGGATTGTATTTGCTGGGGGGGAGGTGTATATACAGGAGAGAACTATAAAGGATCAGTACTTGGACTCGTTTATGAGATGCTTGCCGTGCTTCTTGAGGGCGTCTCTGATTTCGACGAAGCTGCCCTTGCTGCCGCTGACGCAGCCCTTGACGAGGATGTAGCCCTTCTCGGCGCTGGTATCGAGCACCTCGAGGTTGAAGATGGTGTTTCTCTCGTCACCCATTCTACCTGCCATCTTCTTTCCTGGGAGAACTCTAGCAGGGGTGGTGTTCTGACCGGTGGAACCGGCGGATCTGTGAGACAACGAGGCACCATGGGAGGCGTTACCACCCTTGAAGTTCCACTTCTTCATCACACCGGCGAAACCTTTACCCTTTGTCACGGAGATGACGTCGACAAACTGCCCTGTTTTGAAGTGGTCGGCCTTCAACTCCTGGCCGAGCGGAGGTAGGTTGTCCTTGTACATGACCTGGAAGTCGGCGAGATACTCCTTGGGTGAGACCTTGGCGTTTCTGAAGTGTCCGAGCATAGGTTTCGTCACGTTCTGGGGCTTCTGGTAGCCGGCACCGACCTGTACGGCGTTGACACCTTCCTTCTCGACAGTTCTGGTGAACACGACCTCGTTCTGCATGATTTCCAGCACTGTGGCAGGGAGACGGTTACCCTGGTTGTCAAAGAAACACGTCATGCCCCTTTTGATGCCGATGAGACCCGGTCTTTCGAGCAACCGGCGACGCTGGCGCTTGGACTCGTTATCTGTGAAAGTCACTGGGGCCTCTGACCGGATGTACGGCACCGCACTAGGCGAAATCAACTGCTTTGAGCTCTTGATGTTTGCCAGGGCACTGGCGATCGTGCTCTGCGCCCTCTTGCATACACGTGGTACACAACTCATTCTCCACTTGATTCTGATGATAATTGCAGTGTCGTCTTGCTGCGCCTGCTTCTGTTGTCTCTGTCTCTGCCCCCCTGTCCAAAACCTTTCTTCATTCATGTGAGTCTATCCATCGAGCTCCATGGATTTTTCACAGCGTCAGAATGGGACCGTGTGAGCGCGCGCACACTGTCCGCGCGACTTGTGCCGGGAGCCAGACGACATTGGCAGGGACAGAGGAAGGGCAGGAAGTGCTAAAATAAATGCATTGAAGAGCCGAATAGATACTGGGAGTGTATATAAGGAACCGGATATAGAGTCTGTAGGTAGGGAGTGAAGGAAGGAAGGTGGGAAAAAGAAAAGTGAAGGAAGAAAGGAGAGGATGGAAAGAAGAAGCCATGTAAAACAGACACAGTATTACCGGATGCTCAGCGGACTGGACTATAAGGGTGGTCGCAGTCGCTATCGTCTGAAAAGAGGCCTCTCTTGACAAGCTTCTTCTTCTGCTGTGGAGCAACGTCTTCGTCCTCGAGCAGGCCATCCTTTGGCTTGATCTCGCCCTTACCGTTGTTTTTCCAGGAGCCTCCAAATTCGTGGAAGATGTAGCAGTACTTGCCGCAGTTGTTTTCGGTGTCCTCTCTGAAGGAGGCCTTAGGGTAGATGACGACGTCGTCGACCATGACGGGGGCCACCAAGCCGGTGAAGAACTTCCAGGAAATCAACTGCTCCTTGTCCAGGGGCGGGCCGTACAACTCGCCGGTGATGGAGCGGGTGGAGTCGATGTCGACGATGGTGGGGTTCTCCAAGGAGTTCAAGTGGCCGTAGATGGTGTCGGTCCAGACGACGGGGCCAGTCCACTCCATGATGTCGACGGAGGAGCACTTGTCGACGCCCTTGAAGTCCTTGTAGTAGGCCTGCAACTTATTGTTTTTGGCGGCGTTGAAGGTCGTCTCGACGATCTTGGCAATCAACTTGCGCAAGATCGGGTGTCTGGGCTTGGCCTTGAACGTCCACTGCTCGAACTGGATTCTCCTGCTCATGTAGTGCTCCCAGTTCTCCACGTTCATGTCCTCCTCGATCGCCACAACAAAGCCCACGTTTCTGTCCGAGTCGAACCACGTGTCCACGGGCTTCTCCAGCCTCGTGTCGATGTCCGAGTACAGCCCTCCAAAGAGGAAGATGAGCAAGTACCGCGCAAAGTCGCTCTGGATGATCTTGTTGGGCATCAAGTCGAACGCCTCCACCACCTCCGGCACCGTGTTCGAGAAGTGCATCACCAACTTGTCGTGGATCTCCGCGTCCGTGAGGAGGTTGTACTTGTACGTCGGGTTCTCGTTTCTCCACTTCGACACCAAGTTTCTGTGCGGGAAGTCGGGGTCTGTGATCGGAACCTTCCACATCTGGAAGATGTTCTTGTCGATTCTACGCGGAGAGTCGTCGTAGGGGAAGCTCTTCGACAGCCGATCCGCCGTCGTCTTGTAGTCGTACGGGTTAGTCCCCCGCGTGTGTGGGTTGAACCGGTAGAACTCGCTGATCGCCTTCGACGTCGCCGTCGACGACAGCCCGTTCACCAGGAACAACAGGTACCCGAGCGCCATTCCGATGAGCACCGAGTAGTACTTGAACCGGGGCGACTTTGCCGACTTCGCCAAAACAGAGTTGTATGCTGATCCAAACATGCTTGTCTGTCTTTCTGTTCTGTGTGCAGCAGTCTGGTGCAATTGCCCTTACCTCTTCTCCCCTCCTCTTTTCTTCTTCTTCCTCCTCTTCTTCGTCCTCCTCTGTTGTCCCTGGACGTTGTCTCTTGCTTTTCTGCCGCCTCTCGACAACAGAGCCGCCAACACCGCAGCAAGCAGCCTCGTCGCGCCGACGCGCCTCGCTGAGATCGCCGTCCGCCCTGCAGATCGCCGGTCTCGACCCTGTCTTGCGCCAGGGCGCCTCGCGCGCCAGCCGGCTCAGCTGCCAGGCACGCCGGACAGGCACAGACGAAAACAGTTTGAACAAACAACAGAGCCACCAGGAACAGAAGAAGGCAAAAGATGGAAGGGTGGGGAATAGAATGGGGTAACAGACAAGGGTGCAGAACAGAAACACAGCAGAGGCCAGCAGGCAGCAAGAGCACGACAGCAGACGATGATGTTCATCCGGAGATCAAGCAGAACGAAACTGCTGGTGGCAGCGATAGCCACGGTGGCGGCGATAGCGATGTTCACCAACAGGCACCACTCAGCAGCGTACATCGACGACCTGCGGAAGACGGCGCTGTTCCCCTACGGAGCGGACACGCCGACCGAGACGGAGGGCGTGGCGGGCGTGGCGGAGAGCACAAGAACGGCCCACCCGGCGGACGGGGAGGTGGTGTACCCGCCGCCGTCGCACGGCACAGAGCAGCTGGCGAAGCCCCGGGAGTCGTCCGAGGTGGCGGAGAAACAGGAGCATGGACATGGAAAGGCGGGGCCTGCTGGGGGCGAAGATGCGCCTCCGGAGACACTGTTTGACTTCGGCGAGGCCGAGATCCGGGCCATCCACAACGTCTCCACAGAGAGGTTCCTCAGCGGAGACCCGCACGCGCAGGGCTTCTTCGGCAAGCTCTTCGACCTCGTGCTGCGGAACGAGATGTCCCACCCGCTCAAGCGCAGACAGGGCTTGGACGGCAACGGCAAGCCCCACATCGACAACGTCCACTTCAAGTCAGACCCCGACGAGATTCTCTCGGAGGAACAGCTCCTCCGCTTCTTCGACTTCCCGCCAGAGTTCGTCGACGACCTCACCGTCAAGCACGCAAACGTGCTCAACAGCCTCCCGGACTACGTTCCGAGCTTCTACGCCGGCGACGGCTACGCCATCGTGGGCGGCGGCCACTACTCCTGGTACTCTCTTCTTGCCGTCAAATGCTTGCGGATCGCCGGCGCAGTTCTCCCCGTCGAGGTCATCCTCCCGACCCACGACGACTACGAGCCCCTCTTGTGCGAGACAATGCTACCCTTGATGAACGCAAGGTGCGTTGACGCAGAAAACATCTTTGGCAAACACAGGCTCGACCAGATGAAGATCTCCGGCTACCAGTTGAAATCCCTCGCCCTCTTAGCCTCGTCCTTCCGAAACGTCTTCCTCATGGACTCCGACTCCTACGTCGTCACCAACCCAGAGCCGCTCTTCAAGAGCGAGTTGTTCAAGATGAAACACATGCTCGCGTGGCCAGACTTCTGGAGAAGAACAACCTCACCCGTCTACTACCAAATTGCAGGCATAAACGTCACCGACGAGCCTGTCCGCCATTTGAACGACGTTTTCACAGACATCAACAAGATGCACCTCTTCAAGACCGAAGACCCGAACTTCAACGTCAAAAAAGACGTCTCCTTCCACGATAGGGGAAACACCTTGATCGACTGGTCCTCAGAATCTGGTCAATTGTTGGTCAACAAGGACATACACTTCAAGACATTACTTTTGGCTTTTTACTATAACAGAGACGGGCCTTTTGGCTACCACCCTCTTCTTTCCCAAGGAGGCGCAGGTGAAGGTGATAAGGAGACCTTCGTAGCTGCTGCTTCCCGTCTCAATCTCCCATACTACCAGGTATACAAGAAATCAGACGGCGCCTACGGCTTTTGGAACCTTTTGAACTCGTTTGAGCACGGCGCAATCATCCAGTACGATCCAGTCACAGACTCCGAAAACGTCGTGAAAGCGGTCAACCGTATCAAACACGATCAAAAGGAACAAGGGGACCAGTTTGTTTACGATTACTCCAAGTATTTCATTGAAGGCATTAGAGCAGAAGAGTCCAAACCCCTATTCTACCATTGCCACGATCCAAAATTCGACCCTTATCTCATCAGGGAGAGAAATATTATGTTTGTCAGAGAACACGGCAAAATTCTAGAGAAAAGACGTCGTGTTCTTGGTGAGGATTTTCCTAGGGGAGATGTCGACTTAGAGCTGAATCTATGGGAAATAGCAGACGACTATCTATGCAGACAAAAATTGCATTTTTCAATTTTCGATGGCAAAGACAAAGACATTTTGTGTAAAGAATACATTCCAGAGCAACTTGATTTTCTCAGAAAATCGCACGACTACATCGTCGAGCATTACAATCCAGATACCTCCAGAGCGAACCTTGATGGTTCAAACGATGTTTTCGGTGAGAAGAAAAAAAGCGAAGGAGAAACGGCAGCAACAAGGCTAGAGTCTGACGCCTTGCAGAAAGCTGAAGAAGAAAAACAAGTTATGGAGAATGAAGCGGCAGAGGCCTTAGAACAGGTCAAAGCGGCAAGCGCTGCTGCTGAGGAGAAAGCCGAACAGGCAGCAGAACACTGACAAAAAAGATAGAAACAGCACCACCAAAGAACTTTTTGCATGATTTACAATTCTCCCTCTCATTAACCTCCGCACCAGGTATAGTGTACATATATATGTTTGCATTTCTGTATAAGTGGAACAGTTCAGGGTTAGATACCCAGATTTTTTTCCAAATACTATTTGATTGCAGCTACAATCACTCTATATCGCACTGGCTGGAAAAGGAAATTTGAAAAATCAACTTTTTCTTGTCCTTTCTTTCTTCCATACGTAGTAATTAAGTAGTATGAAATCATTTGTGGAAAAAGCTTTCTTTTCTCTCTCCTTTTCTCCAACACCATGGCAAACTCTAGATACGAATATGTCAGGAGCTTTGAACGAGAAAATATTCTTCTTCCGCAATCCCACATTGTAATACGAGTGGATGGGAGAGGATTCCACAAGTTTTCCGATCACTACGATTTCGAGAAGCCGAACGACGAAAAAGCCTTGCAGGTGATCAATGAGGCCGCCAAACAGATGATGGTCACCATGCCAGATATAATCATGGCATATGGAGACTCTGACGAATACTCATTTCTTTTGCGAAAGGACTGCGACCTGTTTGAGCGTCGAGAATTTAAGTTGATAACTACCTTTGCATCAGCGTTCAGCGCCTACTATCAACACTTCTGGACCAAATGGATCCCAGGGAAGCCCCTCGATTTGGAAAGGCTTCCGATGTTTGACGCCCGGGCTGTGGTGTACCCGAACGCCGAAAATGTCATGGACTACTTCCGATGGAGACAGGTCGACTGTCATATCAACAATTTATACAATACCACATTCTGGAGCTTAGTGTTAAAAGGCGGTATGACCACCAATGAGGCTGAAAACAGGTTGATAGGTACACTCAGTGCTGACAAAAACGAAATCTTGTTTAAAGACTTTGGCATCAATTATAACAACATCCACGATATGTACAAAAAGGGGACCATATATATCAGAGAGTACACAGACTTCCCCCTCTCCAAATATTTGGAAGATCCTACCGAGGCTCATTTGAAACGACTGATGAAAAGAGTCAAAAAATCAACTATCGAGCAATATCACTGTGACATCATCAAAGACTCCTTCTGGACGCAAAGGCCATACTTATTACTATAGAGTAAGACGTTAGGATCAATGTCTTTGTCAATCTATTATGTACAGAGGATATATAAACGTGTGTATATATTGCCGTTTTTACTTGCGGACAAATCAGGCAAATTGCTTGTCTTGTGTTGGAACCTCAACCTTAGGAGGAACCTTGGCAGCCTTAACTGGCGTAGGCCATTGTTCATAGAGCAAGCCGGCTTTCTTGAACAAATTAGCCACCGTGTCGCTTGGCTGAGCGCCTACCGATATCCAGTACTTGGCTCTGTCAAAGTCTAGCTTCACATCCTTCACAGGAATGATGCCTTGCGCCTTCATCGATGGGGAGATTGGAGTCGGCACAGGGTTGTACGTGCCAATCACTTCAACCGGAACGCTCTGAAGACTGGCTCTCTTTCTACCAACAGTAATGTTGTACACCGGTTGTCTGGTTCTACCCTTTCTGACAAGTCTGATTCTCACAAGTCCTTTCATTGCTATGCGCCGTGACGTCCTGGTATATCTTCCTCCTCTTTCTTCTTGCAAACTCTGCTCTTCTGCTTCTCGTGGTCCTCCTTTCCATCAACTTCATCATCCTCTCCGTCCAGGATGGAAAAAAAGACCCGCCCTGACACCAGTGCACCTTCTAAAGTTTTTCAAATTTTTCCAGATTTTTTTATTTTTTTTCATGAATTTTGAATCTTTTTTGAATTTTTTTTTCCCTTCTTGATCATTGAAAACCTGAAAGAAAGCAAAAAAGCTTTCAGGATCAGGGAAAAAACAGAGTTACCAAGCAGAAGGACTGTCATTATCATAGACATATAGCAATGGCGGTGACTGAAGATAAAAAAACCGACCACCTCATTGAGTTGATGGAGATGGACGATAAATTGTCGAAAATCAGATCTCAAGCCAACTCTAAGCTAGATAATCAAAAGAAGTTAGCAGTGGTGTTACTGACAATCGAGGAAAACTTAAAGGAACAAAAACAGAACACAACCCCAATTACATACTTTGTTTCTTTCCTCACCTTACTTGATCAATGTTGTGTTGATGATGAAATCAAGGATTTGGACCTTGCAACATGTGCTCTCTATTTCCTTGATTTGATTGCTCCTTATGCTCCTGCTAAGCTGTTGAAGTCCAAATTCAGTGATATATTGGTGAGAGTTGCACCAGCACTCACAAATGGATCTGCAGACGCTCCATTGGTCAGGTCTAGCATTGGATTTTTGGAATCGCTTCTACTCGCACAAGACTTGAAGTCTTGGAGCAATCCCGGCAACTATAAGGTCTCGCCAAAAAGAGCCTTGTCTGCCCTCTTAGACCTCTCTTTGGATCCAAGACCAAAAGTCAGAAAAAGAGCTCAAGAAGCTATCTTGAAGATATTGGAGAACATTCCAAACGCAAATTCTGCCAAAGGGAAGCAAAATGAACATCCAGCCGCTATCTACTCAAGTGAGTTTGCTTTGAACAATTTGATCACTTTGATCAATAATTCTCAGTCAGGAAAGAACTCAACAGATGCAAAGGAAAAAAACCCTCAAATAATACACAACTTACAGTTGATCACTTCCATCACCTCTACAAATTTATGGCCTTTGAAGCAAATCTCCCCGCTCTACGATGTGTTGTTGGAAATCTGCAAAAGTGCAGATCAATACCTTGTCTCTTCTGTCTTTAAAGCCTTTGAAGGTATGTTCAAATCGATGACATACGAAATGGACTCCAAAAAGTTTATTCACATTTTAGATATCATATTCGATTTGCAACCTGCATTGAATGACCCGCACCTAGCACCTTCTTGGCTTGCAGTAATTGCAAAGGCAGTATGCTCCTTTGCAACAAATATTAACTCTTTAGAGATCTTTTTAAAGCTACCTCAGATCTTTAAGTCCGTTGGTGGTTATCTTTTGAGTGAAAATTTGGCTATCTGTGAAAGTGCATCTGAATGCTTGATTGCTATAGTTACCGATGGTATCCAAGACAAAGATCTTCTTCTCCCACCTCTAGTTGACTCTAAAACTTTTGAACAAGTTGATGAGGTGATTTCTAGTTTGGCAGAAATCACCACTGATTTCATGACTGTCAAATACAGACACTGTGCTAAACACGTTTGTGAAATCATATTTGGCCTTTTCGAGAAGCTAAGACAAAGAGCTAATCCAGACTTCTTGCCTCATTTGGAATTAATTGGTAACTGGAGATCCAATGAGCAAGAAGGCTTTGAATTGAACGAGGTCTCAGAGAAGGTGATTGCAAGCGCAATCTCTGCGCTTGGTCCTGAAGTTGTTTTACAGATTTTGCCGTTGAATTTGACAAACTCCAAAAAGATAGGTAGAGCTTGGCTGTTACCAATACTAAGAGATAATATCAAGGCTGCTGAGCTGAACTATTATATTAAAAACATCTTACCGATCACAGAATTTTTCAAAGAGAAGGTTCAAAATGGTGATGAGAACTCTGTGAATACTAAAATCTTTGCTACTATAATTGATCAAATCTGGTCGTTGTTACCATCTTTCTGTTACTTGCCAACAGACTTGCAATCAGCTTTTTCCGATGAATTTGCGGCTCGTGTTTCGAGCTTGTTATATGAAGAAGTTCAGTTAAGACCAGTTTTGTGTCATTCGTTGAAAAATCTTGTCATGTCCGAAGAACTCAGGGCCAAAGATACCGACTCTGATGACGTGATTCTCAATCAGACATTTCCTTGTTCAAAGGCAGTGTCCGATATCGAATACTTGTCTACAACAAAAGCAAACAAGCTTCTTTCGGTTCTATTCAATGTTTTCACCCAAATCCCAATGGATCAAAGAAACTACGTTGGTGATGCAATTGAAGTGTATTTCAAGATCTCCAAATCCGAAGATATGTTGGCCACGTTTAACAAGGTCAGTGTCCTTCTTAGAAAAGCTTTAGATGATGAACGTAAAAACGGTACCTTAACAAAGGAAGATAACTCTAAAAACCATGATAGGAGCAAAAACCATACTCCAAAGTTGTCTGTGACAATGATGGATTTGATTGTAATGATGACTAAATTCATTCCAAAAGAATCTCACAATGCACTACTTACTATTTTCAATGAAACTGTCAGAATCGCAAACTCTCAAATTCAGAAGAGAGCTTATCGTATCATCACGAAGTTATTAGATATTGAAGGCAATGATGACGTTGTTTCTTTGATTTCAAATATCGTTCAAGTTTTCGTTGAAACATCCACCATTGTTTTACCTTCCGCTAGACCCCAAAGACTTGAAGCTTTAGAAAGATTAATTCAATTGCTTCCACGGGATTCTTTGCATTTCATTACAGGTATTTTATCCGAGGTCATCGACTCTACCCGAAGCGCCAATGAAAAGACGAGAACTACATCCTTTGCATTGATGGTTCAAATTGGTAAGAAGTTCAAGGAGTACCAAGGTGAAATCATCAGAAATACATTGATTGACCCTGAGATTCCAGATTCTCAAGCGTCCATTCAGGAACTTTTCTTAATGTGCTGTGCCGCTGCAGGACCTGAAATTCCGCATCAACGTAGTGCAGCAATCACTGCACTATCCTGTATATTTTACGAATTTCATGAAGACCTTGAAGTTTCATATCAGAAGGAGCTAATGCAGTTTGTGGAGGTGTTCTTACACCAGCACAATAGGGAAGTCATCAAACCTACTCTAGGTTTCATAAAAATTGCAATTTTGTCTTTGCCAGAAGAAGAAGTTTTACCAGAATTGAAGGGATTATTGACTGAGTTGATGGTAATCAACAACAAGCACAAAAACCATTTCAAGTCCAAGATTAAGCATCTCCTTGAAAGACTGATTAGGAGATTTGGTTTTGATGTCATCGACAACAACATTCCTGAAGAGGATAAGAAAATCATCAGTAGCATTAGAAAGGCAAAGAATAGATCCAAGCGTGCCAGGTCGGATGCCATTGATACTAGTAAAGCCGATCTTTCAAGCAAAACCGGTCTTTCTGCGTTTGATAAAACTTTATATGATGATGATTCTGAGTCTGATGATGAGGATGAAGAAGTCACCAAGAAAAAAAGCAAGCATCATAAATCCAAAGGTCCAAATCAACAATACATTTCTGAATCAAAGGATGCTCCTCTTGACTTGTTAGATAAAAAGGCTTTAGAGCACATTTCCACATCAAGGCCTAAGAAATTCACAAAGAAGTCTATGGAAAAACTGGTTGATTTCAAAACGAAGGACGGCAAGTTGGTCATCAAAGAACCTTCAGGTAACGATGATATCTTATCTAATAAGAATTCTCTAAATGCATATGTTGATGCTGTAAGACAAGGACCTGTGAGAGGACAAAATAACAAATTGAAGTGGAAGAAGAATGGTGGTGATAACATCGACTGGAATGACGGATCTGATGATGAGTCTAAGGGTGGAAGGCCACAGAAGAAGGGCAATTTCAAGAGCAAGGGTGGCAGAGTCGGAAAAGCTCAGCCTAAATTCAAATCAAAAAAGAAGTTCTGAGTGAAAGAATAAAATTTTTAAATACTTTATAAATTAAATTCATAACCAAACTATACAGACTATTTAGTAAAGATAGAAAACTCAACCGAAAAGATTGAGATCATGGGAGGCAGTAGAATCTCCTTGACCATATAAATCCAGATCCTCCATCTCATCTTCATACAATTTGTGATGCTCATAATAGTCGTACGCTGCTAGTCCAGAACTGGCATGTTTATCCGCATCCAATTTATTGGTGGTATTATTCTTATCTCCGTGGGTTGTATTTTCTTCAACCTCTTCATCACCATCTTCACCGCTACCATCGCTTTCACTGCCACTGTCATTTTCATCGCCGGTAAGGTAATCACTTTCATCGTCACTTTTGTAGTAAGGGAAGGTATGTAATAACTTTTCAGGCATTGGGCCTGCTATTAAGAAGTCATTCCTCGCTTTTGGAACAGTTTCAATGAACTTTCTCAGATCTTTGGGTATATATTCGTTCAATACGGTGTCTTTGAATAGAGCTGGCTTCAAGTGGTGATTATCACTAGGTTTGCCGTTGGCGGATTGTGTAGAATGATTCTTTTGGTGTAATCCGTTCGATACCAGATGTGTCGCTATTTGGTCTCTGATCAAATATTGTATCCAATCTTCATCTACTGCACTTGGTGGTATTTCATAGCCATCCATTAGATTTTCGCTCTCATTGTGATCGCCATCAAGAAGTTCACTTTGTTGGTTTTCTTGCGTATTGAAAGAACTTCCCAGCTGCGGGTCAGCCAGTGGGAACGTCTGTATACCTGTATACATATTGTAAGGAGTTGGCGTCTGTTTTGTGCTTGACACAGATGGTGGAGGTAGGTAGGGCATGGTAGGGTTTTGCAATTGGGCTTGCTTTGCTTGCTCATCTAAAGCTTTTGTCAAATTGTCCATTTTAGAACTCACATTTAGAAGTTGTAGTTTAGCCTTTTTGTTCGTTTCTAATAGTTCTCTTGTCGGCCTTGCAACTTCTCTTAATCTGGTATTCATGTCGTCGTTAAACCATTTTTCAAAATTCTCTATTCCGGTATTAGTTAATGGATCAATGTCATACTTGTCAAGTTCTTTGTGGGGAGATATTACTTTGAGCTCTAGAAATGCAAGTGTTATATCCTTTATATTTGGGTGACAATCGTCACGCAATTCCATAAATTTGATAACAGTTCGTACGAGTAGATTGAAATATCGAACAGCAATATCCGTGAATACCTCAAGTACATGTTGATTATTGGCTTTATCGAAGCCGTGTGCCTTGAGCATTTGGACAATAGTAACCTCAAAGAGATGAAAGTAGAATCTACTTTTATTCATTGTGTAAATTTACTGAACGTGTCCTATCGACAAAAGGAGAAAAAGTTGGGTCATGATAAGCTAGCTCAATCCCGTCTCCAGAACTGTTGTCTTGAACGCAAAGAAAAACGATTTCATGATGTAAAAACTTGGAAAGTTAGTTGGCGGTTAGTTCGCGGAGAAAGACAAGACAGCAGCAAAACTTGTATAAAAAATAAAAGAATTGGTCCCTAGCAGGATCGAACTGCTGATCTTGGCGTTATTAGCACCACGCCTTAACCAACTGGGCCAAGGGACCGTTTCAGAACTTAAAGGCACTCAGTGCTTTTTGGTGTGTGTGCGTTTGAAGTTAATTAAATTTTTTGGTATCAGTCTTTCTCCAAGTTGTCGAACAAGAGATTAAAACTTGGCTTAAAAAAAGTGAGAATTTTATACTTGACAATAATTACAGCTCAATAATTGCTTATTTTATTTTTATTTCTATTTTATAAAAAGTTTTACACATTCGAGTTTTCACCCTCAAGATTACGACTTAACTTTGTCATCCTGTTGACCTCCATTTTCACCAAGGTTTTTTTAATATGCACATGATCGTTATAGTCTCTAAATTCTATCAAGTTGTTGGTCACAAATCTTGTCAGTTTATCCAGCGGAAAGTTTTCCGGAACTTTATTGATGACTTCAACAAACTTGTCCATTCTGTCTAAGGTAGAGGTAGTTTTTTCTGTGGTGTCGCTAAGCAAGTCGTATCTATTTAAAAAGCCGTCGATCAGCTTGGTATCGTTCATTTGTAGATATATGTCAAATATCTTCTTCAAGAGATTTTCAGTGAGTTTACTGTGATCGTTCTTCACAGTGGTCATGGTTTCGTCATTCACGAGGACGCTTGAACTATTGTTCTTGTCAATACTTCCTTGCATTTTGATGGATTCAATTTTAGCGCTTGAGTCCAAAGGGCTGAGTTTAATTGAAACAGCAAAACTTTCAGCAGTTGAATAGTCTTTCAATCGTATCATTTCATCTATTACATTTTCATATTCTTCAAACCTGTATAAAATCATGACAGCCAGTAAAGGGAATATTTGGCTGTACTTTGTTCCAATGATTCTATCCTTACATTTATTCAAAACAAGTTGCTGCTCTAAAATAGACTGTGTTCCTATGGATACTGAGTTCAAATAACTATAGAGACGATCGTGGTAAATAGTAAACGGCTCTGATTTCAACTCCGCGTCCTTGGTCAGTTTCCAATATTTGTATATCGAGATTTTGGGTGTGTCAAGTTCCAAGTATTCAGTAATCGCTTTATCAATCACATTCTTTACCTTCAAGTTCCTTTCATAAATTGATATTATCATGTCCAAATAAATCAGAATTAAATCACCCAAAAAATGCTTCTCGCCCTTATTTTCAAAGATGTACTCGAGGTATGTTAACTTTAGATTTTTTTGATCCTCTTCATCCTCACAAGTCAACAGGTTCAAGATTTTGATATCATTGAGCTGTAGCTGCTTTACCCTTTTGTCAGTCACTAGCTTCAAGCCAAATTTAGGATAGGCTTTCAAAAGCCATTCAGAATATTTATCAATTACCACACTATCTTCAATGCAGTTAGTCAAAATATAGTTCACCAAGTATTGCAAGGACTTCTTTTCATCTTTAAAATTTTTATTGAATTCGTCATCCTCCAACTCCCCGTCAATGAGACCTTTCCAATAGTATAACAGTTGCCTATGATCCTTCAATTTGGAGTAAAATTTGGATAAAAGAAAATATTTTTTATTTAATAAAAGTATTTCAATTATTTCATTTGTTGAATACTTTATTTCATGGATGACAGGCTCCAAGTCTTCATTGTTAGAAACTCCAAGATTAACTAATGCTACCTCAACACTTTTCCCTATATCAATTGCATTTTCCTTGAACTCCATGGCTAAACATGTGTTCAAATATAACTTGAAAAAATCTTTCATATCATTCGATCTTTTAGCTTCTTGCAATTCCCTTATACTGTCAAATAATATCTGATAAGTCCAAACTGATCCATATATTCCATCTGATCCACTATTGAAAATATAAATCATTAGTCGGGGGTCCAGATGCTTGAAGTAAGAGGTCCATACCTCAAATGCCTGATCGTACAACTGAAATTTCAATGCAAACAAACCTAAAAGTGTAATCAAAAATCTGTTGGAGCCCGATTCTTGGTATTCCTGTGACAGTTTATCATATAAGCCTAAGCAATCGCTATTATCACACGATTCGTAGATCTTCATCCATCGATCAAACTTTGAGAGGGGTTTTAATATTTTGACGTACTTACCCGTTGTGTCGTAAATTATGCATGAAGATAAACTAACCGATTTTTTTACAGCATTATCAGACTCAACAGCAATTCTTTCTATCTCATCATTATCCATTGTCGAGATTATAGGAGCCAGAGTCATCTTCTTGGCTAGTTCTGAATCCTTGAGTTCAAATATCCGAGATGATTCATGAATTTTAATGCAAGTTGAACTACTATCGGAAAACTCAATTTCTTGTAGCTTTTGCTGGTCATGAATCGAATAAACAACCAGGGTGTTGTTTTGCAAAATTACCAACACATAGGGATAATCGATTTCCACGGACGTTGGATAGCTATCAAAAGCCAGCGTTCCTCTAACAACATCGCCGTTCAAATTGATAAACATTCCCATTGATGGATCCGAGCACTTGGTTCCTCCACATATAAGAAGCAGTTCATTTCTTTTAACATATCTGATAATGGGATCAAGCTCAGTCTTCGCAGAAGAAGTAGATATTGGAAACAAGTATATTTTTTGCGACTGAGATATATCAACTAGGTCATAATTGATCGAATTCGATACAATTGAGAAGTTCGACACTTGTAAGCCCGACACTACATCCAAATATTGTAGTTCTTTGTGCAATCGTATACTGTCGTTGAAAATCCGTAAAAGTTTGATTGACCTTTTAGTAAACAGAGTCACTTTCACATAAGGATCTCCATAATAGTCTTCTTTCAGTGTTACCCGGTTTTGTTTATTCTTATCAAGTTTCAAGTCCTTCCAATCCACAGATAAATCAGATACATCTTTGGCTTTTCCAATGTTTGCCGGTGATAGTTCTGGAAGGAGGTATCCACTCACTGTGGTTCCACTATGTATAAGTGCAATTGATACTTCTGGTAATAAAAGTATTTTATTGATAGGCTTCGATGTTGACGAGGATGAAAAAGTTTGCTTCGAAATTTGCATGTATCCTAATGCATCGTCAATTTTGTATAAGTGTATTATCTCCCCCAGATTTGTTCCCACATATAAGTTCAATTCCCAGGCTTCTATGCATGTGATTCTTGATTCCGGAGAGTCTGAGAATTTAAAAGGAGTTGTGTTCAATATGTCGATCAGTTGATACGGTATATTGGAGGAATATCGGATATCTTCATCAACTGATGTTACTGATATAACTTCTTCATGCTTTTGAGATTCGGATTCATTCTGATCCTCCAATCTTTCATTGGTATTCCCAATTGTCTGGGTTACCTTGCCGTTATCCTCTGTAAGCTGCATGGTAGATGATTCCTCTCCCTGTGTATAGCTGCCGTCGTTTGCACTTTTAATCAGCTCGCTGTCAGTGTTGCTGCTACTTTGAAGTGTATTCGTTTCCGACTCGCCGTTTTTTTGCTCAGCAGAATTCTCAATTGACGACGAACCATCCTTCACCATTATGTTTCGCACCTTATTGCAAGGTGGCTCTACTATTTTGTGAATCAACAACAGCGTATGTTTTTAGAATCACCCCGTTCATAAGAGTTGACATTGTTGTATTCAGACCGATCGCTTTGCCTGAGACGGAAGCTAAACTATTAGGTAATCAGTACTGAATTCGGTGAGCTTTTTTCAGATACACCAAGTAACGTATGTTAAAGGAGAAATTGTACGTTTACACTGCTATTACAAAAAAAAAGTATAACCGATCTCTATTAACAAGTGTACATATATTTTCAACCGAAAAGCTTCAGGCCGGACTCCCTCAATGCTGTGATGTCGTCCTTCTGACCATCTTGCTCTGCGTCAATGTCATCTTCGGCATCGTTGTCCGAGTCATTGATATTAAGATTTATACCAAACAAGCCGGCAAATAGTTCATCAATTTGATCATCTCCCCAGGAATAGTATTTTCTTCTTGGAATTTCGTATTGAATCAAAGGTTCTTGAACCGTGTATTTTAGCTTTCTTCCCTTTGTCGCCATTCTGTCGTAATTTTTCTGCATTTTGTTCTTCGAGAGCATTAGAATAGCTGCATTGTTGGCTTGCTTCTGATCAAGCTTCTTGTTGACCATGTCATTGAGAAGCAATCTGTAGAAGTCATCGTCATCAAAAATGTATTGGTTTGTTTGCAAACTTTTGTCAATATTACTGAGCCCTGCGGTCTTGAAGTTGCTACCGCTGTCGCTGTCATCATTATCATCAGCATCCACTTCGTCCTCTAGTTTCTTTTCTAGTGCCTCTGAGTAACCCATTGGGGTGATTCCACGACGATTAATTTTGGTTTTTTTGATAAGTCTGTCTAAGTCGCCTAGTTGATTGTTTACTTGTGTCCAAACGTTTTGGTTAATCACACTGAATTTACCCTGGTTCAATGCACCAATACCCGAAGCAGATTGAACCCTGCTAGACCATTTCATCAAGACTGACTTTCTTATTGGAGCACAAGCTTTATCAATGGATGAGTTTGCCTCAAGATAGCTGGATAGCTTTCTTTTCTTCAAATTGACCTTGACTTTTTCCTTCACCAAATCATCTCTCAACAACTGTTTCGCTCTCAATCGTATAAGTCGGTCTATCAAACCATACAATTTACCTTCGGTGGCTTCAATGATTGAGTCGGTTTGATCTGTTTTGTTTTCTTCAAACACCTTATTGTCTATCGGAAGAGAATTACCCGAAATTATCGCCTTCTGCAATTTAATTCTAGCGTCAAGTATTTTATCATATTCAGCTCCTTGTCTAAGGATGGTGTAACCCTTTAAGGTATCTGTTTTAGCTGATGTTGATAAGCGGTTGAATATTTGCTGCTTCTCAGTGTCTAGAAGTCTTGCTATTCTGTTTCTCTTATGTTCTTCCTCCTCATCCTCCTCATCTTCTACTTCCTGTGTATCAATATCGACATCTTCAGCTTCATCTGCGGAGCTTTCTCCAGATTCGACCTCTTCACTGTTCTCTTCGTTTGCGTTTTCCGCCTCAGAATCGGTGACATCGGCAAGTATATCTTCGTCGTTTTTTTCATAATCATCTTCATCATCCTCTTTAGAATCTTCTTCGCTATTGCTACTTTCCGAGTCGCCATTATCATATAGTTCACTCCTTCCAACTTTAGAACCAGTATATTTTTCACCTAGATTCAAAGATTTGCCTCTGATTTTACTTTCGGACACCTTCACATAATGGTCTCTCTTTGCCAGCTCTTCACGCTCTCTCTCTTCTTCCTCGTCATCGTTCTCGTCGTCTTCTTCATTAAAGCCATCGGGTTTGCTACTTGACCCATTCTCGTAATTGAAGTCTTCGTCTTCAATATCGTAATCCTTTATCTTTGGCTTGTTCAATTTTGCGACAATCCTGTCACTTAGCATCTTTTTCTTCGAACCTTTCACAGACATCGTTTGAGTTGAAGAAAGTGTACGTCTTTGCACTGTTTTGGTTCCGTAGGTATTTCGAGAAGGAAACATGATCATTGATTCCTATGGTACTTGATTAAGAGATGATAGAGTGGAAAAAAATTTTATCTAAAGGTGAAAAAAAAGTTTGGTCCAATTACGTAATATACAGTATCAAAAATACACTTGATGTAGGCTTTATATGGAAAGGCCTCCCATCTTTTCTGTCAAAACATCTGCCTTCTTCTTGTTTTTGAGCTTACTATTACTATTGGTTGCTTCGATGGCTGCAGCTCTGTATTTCTCCATTTCTTCATTTTTCTTCACGACACGACGACCCCGTTTTTCGAGTTGGTAATTGTCTAAGAAGTCATCCACAAGGTCCATGAAGTCGTCTCTTTCAGTAGCAAGATCGAACGGCTGGTATTCTTCTTCCTCATTCTCCTCACCCATATTGTCGTACTGCTCCCTCAACACATCAAACTTATCGTCTATGATAGTCATCTGCTCTGTCCTACAAAGAGCCGACGAAGACATCGAGTATGAGGAAGTATCTGTAGTTGCACCTTTCTTTCTTCTGGCGTTCTTTTTGGAGGATTTGGTATTAGAGGATTTCAGGGCCTTGCCAGAAACATTTGGTAGGTCTCCGACAACATCGTTCTCATCTTCTTCTTCATCTTCTTCATAGTCGTCTTCGAACTCGTTATCACTATCAAATTCGTCGACTACACGTCCCTTCTTTTGTTTATATTTTTGAAAATCCTTTTCCCAGTTGAAATTGGTTTCACCGTTTCCGCCCTCCACGCCTTCAAATTCGTACTCTTGATCATCGAAATTATCCAAATCCCAATCATCATCCTTGTAATCGTCTTCATATCCGTACTGCCCGTCATATTCAGCATCATATTGATCATAGTCTCTGAGTGAAATCTCTTGTTGTTTCTTGCCTTCACCCAACAACTCTCCAAAAACGTCCACCTCATCAATGTCTTGGTCCTGGTCCAGGTAGTTATCATCTTCCAATGCAATCAATGCCTCTCTTAAGTCAAGGTTCAAGTCTGGTTTGAAACCTTTGATTTCATCGGGAACGTCCTGTTGTTCTTGATAATCGTATTTCCTCTCTTCTCCAGGGAACATGGAGTCACCCAGAAGAGCACTGAGTTTTGAGTTCTTGTGCTTGTTTTTGCCTTTGTCATCGTCGTCTTTTCTTGAAATGAACACACCATTTCCTGAACCGATGGGCTTCAAGTGTTGCAAGTAATCGTATTCGGAGTCATCAAACGTTATACCGTAGTTTGCTGCCTTTCCCTCATCTTTCTTAAGCTGCTTGGCAACATCTGCAAGCTCTTCCGTGGTTTGTGCTCTCAATCTCTCCTTACGTAGCTGGTTTTTGTTATGGATAGGCACCAACACCGAAGCTGAAGCGTCCGGATCGTGATACCGGGAATCCTGATGGGATCTGTGCACAAGTTGATATGTGACAGAGTTGTCCTTGTTGAAACGTTTAGACATCGCTGTTTTTGTTTGGTATTTCCTTGATATAGAGAAACAGTATCGTCACCTCAGTGGTGAAAGGTTGGTAAAGATGAGAAGTTGGATGAATAGGTGAAAAAAAAAAACGGAAACCAATTTTTTTTCTTACCCTTTTCAGCCAGCCGTGTTCGTTTGGGCGTGGGGGAGTCGCAAAATGTACCGACCGAGTTGCCTCTTCACTACTCCTCTACCACGGAGTAGCGGCAGATCAGAGGACTAGGGTACGGATCTGTCCACTGAACCTCATCGCCTCTCCCATGAAAATCACCATTAACAGCATTACCCCAGTCTACTCGTGGCACTGGTCTGTTCCGGACGATGAGCTTTGTGGTATCTGCCGGATCTCGTTTGACGGAACTTGCCCTAACTGTCTCTACCCCGGAGACTCGTGTCCGCTTACCATCGGAACATGCCATCATGCCTTCCATCTCCATTGCATCGAGAAATGGCTCCAACAATCGTCCTCACGTGGCTTGTGTCCGATGTGCAGACAGGCCTTCACTACAGACGAGTCGTTGGAGGTGAACAAGGGCATTGTTCTCCCGAACTCGATTGTTGCGGATAGCAACAACACTCCCACAGTCGGCAACGGCAACGGCAATGGCAACATCATTGTCAATGAGGAAGAAGCTCAGCTCTTGTCGTAGTGTACACAGATACCACCAACCGTCAACACTCTCGTGTCTCCAATCAGTCCTCCCTAATTAGGGGGCATCTGCTGACCTAAGCACGCTCGGTTTATTTTTTTTTCTCTATTCTGGCGATTTTCCCTTTCTGTCCGCCAGTTTTCTTTCCAAATCGGCCGGCATTGATTGATGACTCAGAACAGGGAAGATATCAAGTTGAAAAGAGAACATTGTGGCATAGAGCACCAGATAAACATGGCAGCCGAAGAATTACATGAAACAGAAGATTCAAGGAAGTTCACTATTGTGGTGAAACTAGGATCTTCCTCCATCGTCGATGAGAAAACGAAAGAACCAAAGATTGCGAATATCACACAAGTTGTGGAGTCTTTGGTGAAGTTACGGAGACAGGGACACAAGGTTGTTCTTGTTTCCAGTGGTGCCATTGCAATGGGGCTCAATGAAACACGGCTAGATAAGAAGCCAAAGAGGCTGGCAGCAAAGCAAGCCCTGGCAGCATTAGGCCAGGGTAAATTGATTTCATTGTGGGATAACATGTTCAGATATTTCCAGCAGCAAACAGCGCAAATCTTACTCACACGTAATGACATTGTTGATTTCAGTCAGTTTAAAAATGCAGAGAACACGTTGTCGGAGTTGTTAAACATGGGGATAATCCCAATCGTCAACGAAAATGACACCATATCTACACAGGAAATCAAGTTTGGAGATAATGACACTTTGTCGGCAATCACTGCAGGAATGGTCAACGCGGACTACTTGTTTTTGCTGACCGATGTTTCTTGCCTATATACAGACAATCCACGTGTCAATCCGGAGGCGAAGAAAGTGCTGATTGTTAAGAACTTGTCCAACTTGAATGTCAATACTAAAAGTGGCGCCGGATCTTCTGTCGGTACTGGTGGTATGGAGACAAAGTTGATTGCTGCCGACTTGGCAACGAATGCGGGAATCACCACAATAATATGCCACTCGAACCATCCGGAAAATATTTTAGACATCGTGCACTATTCTCATGAATTCGACAACAGCTATAGATACTCCGAGTTGGAGAGTGAAGAAACCGAGGAAGAGTTCAGTGTATCCAACCTGAAAGAGGAACAGAGGCTACAAGAATTGAACATGCCATTACATACTAGATTCATTGGAAGACCCAAAAACCATGTGAAGAATAAACAGTTTTGGTTGTTGCACGGGCTCAAACCGAAAGGATCATTGATTGTGGATTACGGTTGCTTCCTAGCGATCACGAGACAAAACAGAGCGGGGCTTTTGCCAGTTGGTATAATAGAGGTTGAGGGGAACTTCAACCAGCTTGAATGCATTGAGCTAAAGCTTGGCTTCAAGGGCAGCGACAAGACCGTGGCGTTTGGACGTGGAAGGTGCAACTATTCTTCAGGTGAGATTGACAAAATCAAAGGCTTACAAAGCGACAAAGTTTCAGAACGTTTGGAGTATTGTGATTCTGAGTACGTTGCTCACCGTGAAAACCTGGCGTTTCCGATTCATTGGGACAATGAGCTTTTAGAGTTTTTAAAGAAGAATACAGAAAGGAAGGAGTGACTCTCCTAGTGTTTTATTTATTTACTCACCTATTTATTTAGTTAAATTTGTTAATCCATATCAAAACCTTTGCTCTTTCCCTCGACACTTTCCTCACGTTTTCCACATAGTCTGTGAAGCTGATTTTCTGTGTATTGAACAATAGTTCGAGGAAATGTAGTGAGTCCATCTGCGACGCTTCTCGGAAACACAAGTCATGCAATTGTTTGCTTCTACTGTCCAATGGTAGAAGCAAGTTTTCCTCATGGTTGTAGTCCGAGTCAACATAATTACGCACTTTTTCAATGAGAGCAGACGCTTCGGCACTTTTCAACTCGACGACGGGGGTATTTGTTCCCAGACTTGTACTGATGCCCTCAATTGACTTGGCGGTGCGATTGAACGTGTCATAAGAGGCGACGAGCTTGCGCTGGTTTTCGAGTACTGTCGAAATAGGTGGGAGTGGGCTGTACTGCGAGGAGCCGTTCAGAAGCGTGAGGAGCTCCGCATTGAGTCTTTCTGAAGCATTCCGGATGAGTGCCTGGCGGATGGGGTTTGGGGGAAGCTGCGGCGGGAGAGCGGTAGAGGAGGAAGCCGGGGACGCTGTTGCCGTGGTTTTCTCTGACGACGACGAGGGAGGTGGAGGCAGCGGTGGCGGCACTCTTGATGTCACTGCTGGTGACTCGGCTGGAGTAGTCGGAGCCGGAGCTCGGGTCGGTGCCGCAGGCAGTGTCCGAGACGGTTTTGGCGGCAACGAGGGTATGCGCTGGACCCAGATCGACGGGTGTTCTGCAATGAGGCGGTGCAACGTGTAGAAGAGGACGAGGAGTCTGTTTTCCCTCGGTGGTACGCCGTCGTTGGAGCGGGAGTTGGCGTGTGTGTAGGTCCAGGCGTCGAGAAGCGGGTGTGTAAATGTCCCTGCCTGCGTGAGGTACGTGCTGGCGGCCAGTGTGTGGGACTTGCTGTCGGCCGGCGCCAGCAGGACAACCGGCGGGGACTGCGGGTAGTCTCTCGGCAGGTAGACCTGCACGCCAAGCGGCGGCGACGCAGCCGCCAGGAGCCGGAGGCCCGCTGCCGCATCGGCGGTGTCCGCTGCGTCCTGGACGGTGTACAGCTTGAGCAGCAGGGCGCCGTTGGCGACCTCTGTGCGGATCCGGACATCCTGGAACACCGACAGGACCAGCGACACGTCCTGGTACGTGAGGATCGGGTTGGCGTAGAGCGGCTGCACGGCGGCGTAGAGCCAGTTCAGAACGGCCTGCATTGTCTGGGTGCTGTAATGGCTGTAATGGTTGCAATGGCTGGCCCTCGACAACCCCACTGGCGCCCCAACGGGCTGCCAGAGGTGTTGAAGATGGGGGGTCTCGAAACATGTTCCCGCTGCGAGGCCGGCGGGCCGCGACTCCGTGTGGCTGCGCTGGCCATGGCCGCGGGGGCTGCCTTGCTGCCTGCGGTGAAGAGAAGGGGAGGACGAGGTTGAGGAAGACAGGGGTCGGGGGAGGGGAGGGGTGTGTGTGTTGACGCAGAAGGTAGCTAGGAGAACAGAGAAACAGCAACAAACAATGAGCGGGTACGTACTGGGCGCAGGAAGGAGCGTGAAGGAGAGAGAGACAGAGAGAGAAAGCGAGGAACAGGATACTAACAGACGGTGGTGCAGATACACAGTGTTGGCAGTTATGGTGGTGACGATGGTGCTGGGCGCCGTGTTCTGGAGAGTGGCGCCGAAGGAGGACCGCACGGTGTGGAGAAGCACTGTCTCGTTGGTGCTGGCGATGATGTTCCTCATGTGGGCGTTCACGTACCTGTGCCAGCTGCACCCGTTGGTGGCGCCTAGGAGATCGGACCTCAGACCCGAGTACGCCGAGTAGGGACGCTGCAAGACGGCCGCAACGCCGTCTGGCGACGCCCCCAGGCGTCGCCGTCTATAGCGAATGTGCAACCTCTACACTAATACAGTACAGTAACCTCTTTCTTACAGATGTATCCGGGACTAGCATCGTCTGCCGCACGCGGCCGACAGATGGGTGCTTGCCCCGGAACGATCCCGCCGGCCGCCGTCCGCTGAAGTATCAAGTCGGCGGCGGCCGCCAGCGGGCCTGCTCTCCTCCATCATCAGAACCAGCGTGTTCTATCGCGTACGCAGAACACGGGGCAGAAACAGGAGTTGACAGAGAAAGGGCGTCGTTCTGCTGAACGCCGCTGCTCCCTGTCTCGTGGTGCTCTCCAGGCGGCCTTCTGTGTCATCTGTGTTGCGCCGTCTGGTCCAGACGTCCGTGCCAGGCTGTGAGGAAACCGCTGCCTTTTATACTTTTTCCCGTCCCCGCGGTCTGCGGGCTGTCCGGCCAGGGTTTCAGCTGGGTGCCACGGAGAAGAAGAGGAGGAGAAGAGGAGACGGGGAGAGGAGGAGAAGGAGACGGGCAGCAGTGTCGGAGACAGAAAGCAGCACAGCACAGCACAGCACACCGCCACCATTGCTACCATGGCTTTCTTCCACATGCTTGTCTCGTCCGCCGGCGTCCTGGTGTCGCCCCTCTGGCTCGTGCCGCAGATCTACTTCTTTGCCCTGTGCACGTTGCCGCTGCGGACGCTGCGGACAGCCCTCTCCCTCGTGGGACTCCGTCTGCGGCCGCAGCTGCTGGCCGAGTTCGCCATCGTGCTCTACCAGTACGTCGCCGTGGCGTTTGTGCTTGGCGCCGCCGCCGGCGCCGCCAACTGGGTGCTGTTCTGGCTCGTCAGCGGCGCCTTCACGTGGATCGACCAGCAGCTGCGCTTCGACACGGGGTCCATTGTGTCCTGGGTGGTCGGCCTGGGTCCGACGCTGCCGCCACAGCAGCCCGCAGCGGCCCCCGGGCCCGCCAGAACCAAGCACAAGTACGAGAAACACCCCTGCAGGGCGCCGCCGGCGGCCACGGCGCCGCCAGCCACCCCCGACACGACCACCGACACCACGGCCGCAACACCGGCAACACCACCTGCCTCCGAGCCCGTCGTCCCCGTCTCCGTCCCGGTGGTGCCTGATCCGGCCCCCGCTGCCGAGCCTGCTGCCCCCGCTGCTGCTGCTGCTGCTGCTGCCGCCGCCGCCACGTCTTCAACACCCCCGGCGTTGCCCGACAGACCTACACTGCCGCAGCGGGACGAGACCGTGCTGTCCTCCGTCCGACACACCGTCACCAGCCAGACCCGGCCCCACTCCGAGGACGCCGGCACCCGCCGCTCCCGGGCGTCCGCCCGGCCACCGTCCTACGACGCCGACACCACGGCCACCACGGCCACCGGCGTCTCCCACAGCACCGTCTCCGCCACCACCAACAGCTCCTTCGAAGACGACCACCCAGACAGCCCTTCTTATAAGCACAACGACGGCCCCGACAGGGCCTGAGCGCCGAAAAAAAGCTCAGCACCTCTGCGCACCCCTGAGCCGCCTGCCGCTATCTTGGCGACGTCTTGAGGCGCCGCCACCGGGGAAGCAGAAGACGGCTCTCTGTCTGCACCAGGTCCAGCAGCACCAGCACCAGCACCAGCAATGTGTCTTGACGCAGACTCCCCCACACACTCGGCGAGCCCGAGCCCGCTGCCCCTCTCGCTCTCGCTCTCCCACTGTCTCTGCGGCGTCGGGCTGCCGTCGCCAACCCCGTCCTACACATCCACGTCCACGTCCGCGTCGTCCTCCGCCAGCACCAGCACCGCACTCACCCCCACCACCAAGCCGCTCGTCTTCGTCACCAACACCGTCCACCGCAGCCGCCTCCAGAAGCCCCGGGACGTCACCTTCATCATCCGTGCCTTCGTCAAGTACGTCCAGCAGGCCAGGCCGCCCCCCGCCGCCGACGCCGTCCGCAACACCGCCCACACCAACGCGCTGCTGCTCGACCGCCACATGCACGACTTTCTCACCACCCTCAACATCATCGGCTACAACCTCCCCGCCCGGCCCGTCTCCTACTCCGTGCGCATCACTCTCGCCTTCCACGGCCCCTTCCTGCTCCCCCGCCGGGCCCGCCGTCCCCACACACCCTCCGCCCCCCGCTACCGCTGCCACGCACACATCGACCTGGCCTTCTTCAGCACCCGTCCCGTCGACCCCGCCGCCGTCGCCGACCTCGACCGCCTCGTCGTCGCCTACTTCGTCCACAACCCGCAGCTGCTCCGCTTCGCCCGTCTCCACCTCCCCAGCCCCTGGATCCTCAACACCGTCCACGTCAACACCGCCTGCTTCGATGCCCACCGCTAGACTTCCCTCTCCGGGCCTTTATACAATGCATGTCTATCTACTTCTTCCTAACACAGCTTCCGTCTCTTCACACCCTGTTACCCGGCCGCAGAGTCCGCCCCACCGATATCTCTGTCCTATTTGGGCTTTTACTCTTTTTTCCTCTTCGCTCCTCATGAAAAATTGAGAAAAAAATCTTTGCGAAATTTTTTTTTGAGGGCCATACCGGTAAAGACAGAAGGAAGAGAAGGAAGAGAAGGAAAAGGATCGAGGCAGTGAACAAGGACACCGATTGGACCAACAGCGCCAGGACAGAAAATAAACGGCGATGTCAGACGAATACATGATCAAGCCCTCGACGGAGGCTCCGTGCACAGACGCCTCGTCATGGCCATTGTTGCTCAAGAACTACGACCAGCTGCTGGTGCGTTCTGCACACTACACGCCTATCCCGGCGGGATGTGCGCCACAGAAGCGTCCGATCGAGTCGTACGTGCGTAGTGGTATCATAAATTTGGACAAGCCATCGAACCCATCGTCGCACGAGGTGGTTGCGTGGATCAAGAGAATCCTGAGAGTGGAGAAAACAGGACACTCGGGCACGTTGGACCCCAAGGTGACGGGCTGCTTGATTGTGTGCATCGACCGGGCCACGAGACTGGTGAAGTCGCAGCAGGGCGCCGGTAAGGAGTACGTGTGCATTGTCAGATTGCACTCGGCGCTCGAGGACGCCAAGGACATGGGGCGCTCGTTGGAGAACCTCACGGGTGCGTTGTTCCAGAGACCTCCTTTGATCTCTGCGGTCAAGAGACAGCTCAGAGTGAGAACGATCTACGACAGCAAGTTGTTTGAGTTCGACAACGAGAGAGGCTTGGGTGTGTTCTGGGCCTCGTGCGAGGCCGGAACCTACATGAGAACGCTGTGTGTCCACCTGGGCATGCTGCTCGGTGTCGGAGGCCACATGCAGGAGTTGAGAAGAGTGAGATCCGGGGCCTTGTGCGAGAACGACAACCTCGTCACCCTACACGACGTCATGGACGCCCAGTGGGTCTACGACAACTCCAGAGACGAGAGCTACTTGAGAAGAATCATCATGCCTTTGGAGACCTTGCTTGTCGGCTACAAGAGGATTGTCGTCAAGGACTCTGCCGTCAACGCCGTCTGCTACGGTGCCAAGCTGATGATCCCAGGGTTGTTGAGGTACGAGAAGGGCATCGAGCTCTACGACGAGGTTGTGCTCATGACCACCAAGGGCGAGGCCATTGCCATCGGCATTGCCCAGATGTCCACCGTCGACTTGACTTCCTGCGACCACGGCGTTGTTGCCACGGTGAAGAGATGTATCATGGAGAGAGACACCTACCCAAGAAGATGGGGTCTCGGTCCCGTTGCCTTGAGAAAGAAGCAGATGAAGTCCGACGGCAAGTTGGACAAGTTCGGCCGTCCTAACGAGAACACCCCGGACACCTGGAAGAAGGAGTACGTCAGCCACGAGGACGTGCAGGCTCCTGCCGTTCCGGAGGACAAGCTCAAGGCCCCAGAGGTGCAGAAGTCCAAGGGCTCTCTCTTCGACAAGGACGCAGCCAAGGAGCACAGCAAGAACGCTGCTGCCCACAGCGACGCCGAGGACGACGAGAAGAAGGAAAAGAAGGAAAAGAAGGAAAAGAAAGACAAGAAGGACAAGAAGGAAAAGAAGGACAAGAAGAGAAAGGCCGACGACGAGGGCGAGAAGGACGAGAAGAAGAAGAAGAAGAAGTCCAAGAAGGACTGATCCCCGAGCACAAGACAGCACCCCTATGTAATTACCCTTGTTTAACTGAATACACTACCCGACCCAGTTTGTATCCCTGCTCTGCGGAAACATGATGTGACTGCGACATAGCGCCTGTCGCGGGCTTTTCCTCCGGGCGGAAAGAAAATGACGATTATTAATAAGGAGCGGAGGAGGTTGAGGAGGACAAGACAGAGGCCAGGAGCAGAAGAAGGAAGAAGGGTTCTTCTCCGGAGAGTCGGCATACGGTTACTCGTAGGCAGACACAGACACAGACACAAAGCCAAGGAGACAGCATTGCACAATGTCGTGGGAAGGATTCAAGAAGGCGATTAACAGAACCACGGGAGCGGTACGTAGTGGTGGCGCAGCCAGAAGGGGTCTGCGGAGCCCGGGACACCCGGCAAAAGCGGGCAAATACTAACATCCCCACAGGTGCTGGTGAAAGCGGCCGACAAGGTCACGGACAAGGAGTACGACACGGAGGAGAGACGGTACAAGGTGCTCGAGAAGGCGGGCAAGGACCTCCAGAAGGAGACAAAGGGGTACCTCGACTCGCTCAGAGCAGTGACGGCGTCGCAGGTGGCGATGGGGGAGACAATCAACAACCTCTACGAGGACGCACGGTCGCTGGGCGGGGTGAACGTGGGCGGGATGTACTTGCAGGCGGTGACGGACTACGACACGGAGACGGTGAAGCAGCTCGACGGCCCGTTCCGCGAGACGGTGTTGGACCCGATCACAAAGTTCTCGTCGTACTTCAACGAGATCGAGGAGGCCGTCAAGAAGAGACAGCACAAGAAGCAGGACTACGAGCAGGCCAAGGCCAAGGTGAGAAGACTCGTGGACAAGCCCGCCAAGGACGCCTCCAAGCTTCCGCGGGCCGAGCGGGAGCTCGCCCTCGCCAAGGACGTCTTCGACGACCTCAACATCCAGCTCAAGACCGAGCTTCCCCAGTTGATCGACCTCCGTGTCCCCTACTTCGACCCCTCCTTCGAGGCCCTCGTCAAGATCCAGCTCCGCTTCTGCACAGAGGGCTACGCCCGCCTGGCCCAGATCCAGCAGTACCTCGAGCCCCAAACCCGGGACGAGTACGCCAACGGCCAGCTCGACGTCCGCATCGACCAGATGCTCGACGAGATGCGCAAGCTCAACATCTGTTCTCTTGGCCTCAAGTGACTCCTATCTAGCCTTTTGTGTACTTGTAGCACCACATCATCAACTTTTTTGCGCAGCGTCCCCGAACGTTCTCGAACTTTCCACGCGACAGTGCTGGCGGCGCCGGACGTGGCGGGCAGGGAGCACACCACTTGGGGTATATATAGGGGGGTATACCTGCCCCCCCCCAACACGACGGGAGGAGGCGACGGCTCGGCGGACAGCGGTAGGGGTCCGGTGGCGGGAGAAGAGGAGACACAGAGGTCATTGAGACACAGGACGACTACACAAACACACAACAATGGTCAAGGAAACAAAACTATACGATCTTTTGGGGGTGTCGGCTGGCGCCTCTGATGCCGAGATCAAGAAGGGATATCGGAAGATGGCGCTCAAGTACCACCCGGACAAGCCCACAGGAGACACAGAGAAGTTCAAGGAGGTGTCGGAAGCGTTTCAGATTCTCAGCGACAAGGAGAAGAAGGAGATCTACGACACGTACGGGCTCGAGGCGGCCCGTGGGAATGCGCCAGCGGGGAATCCGTTCGAAGGCATGGGTGGAGGAGCAGGCGGGGCCGGAGGAGCAGGAGGCCCTGGCGGCACGTTCCGGTTCTCCAGCAGCGGGGGCGCCGGAGGGCATCCGTTCACGCAGGCGGACGCGTTCAACATCTTCAACCAGTTTGGAGGGTTTGAGGACATATTTGGCGGAGCCGGCGGGCCTGGCGGCGCCGCTGGCGGTCGCAGTGCCCGTGGCGGGTCGCCGTTTGGCGGCATGGGCGGCATGGGCGGCATGAATGGCATGGGCGGCATGAATGGCATGGGCGGCATGGGAGGAATGGGCGGCATGGGCGGCATGGGCGGAGGAGCCCCTCCGCCACCGAAGCGGGAGGCCGAAGTGGTGGACCTCAACGTGCCATGCTCGCTCGAGGAGTTCTACAAGGGCGGGGTGAAGAAGTTGAAGATCAACAGAAAGGGCTCGAGCGGGGCAAACGAGGCGAAGATAATAGAAATCAACATCAAGCCGGGCTGGAAGGCGGGCACGAAGATCACGTACCCGAACGAGGGCGACTACAAGAACGGCATGAGACAGACGTTGCGCCTGATTCTCGCAGACAAGCCGAACCCGGTGTTCAAGCGCGAGGACAACAACTTGCGGGCCGTGGTGAAGCTCTCCTTCAAGGAGTCGCTACTCGGCTTCCAGCACGAGTTCACCACCGTCTCGGGCAGAAAGCTCCACCTCTCGCGGAGCACCCCGACACAGCCGAACTTCACCGAGACGTTCCCCGGCCAGGGCATGCCGATCTCCAAGCAGCCGGGCAAGTTTGGCGACCTTATCATCGAGTACAAGGTCGACTACCCAACATACCTCACTGCCGAGCAGAAAAAGGCCATCACAGCAAACTTCTAGAGAAGCCCCCTTCCGCCTCCGACCCCTATCGATGTATTTATAGCTCCCCCTACTTCAAAGGCCATGCTAGGGCTTATTTATTATAAAAAAACCCCACACTCCCTATATAACGTTATAATACCAGTATAAGAACAAAAAAAAAAAACGCATAGATATGTAGGTATATATAGATAGATACTCGCAATTCATTCATACTCAAAATTCATGCCCGCAATCCATCACTCCTTGTCGTTGCGCACGCTGAAGACAAGCTTGTGGCAGCTGACACGGCCCTCTTGGAGCCGGCTCAACCCCTCTTCTGCAGACTCCAACCCGTGCGGAAGGAGCGAGAGCGGCAGATGGACCACCTTGCCCTCCTGGACAAGCTTCTCAGCCAGAGCCCAAAACTCGTTATGGTCTTTCACCATGGCCTCGCTTGTCTTCACAATCAGGCCGTTCAAGTCCTGGTCCTTGCCAATGGCGAGGTACGCAAGCGTCCCGGAAAAGGAGACGTCCTTGTCTCCCCTGGAGGTGATGGCGTCCGGCGACTTGAAAAGCAAGTTGTTGAGGTGCGCCTTGCCCTGCGCCTTCTCCCGGAGACACGCGTAGCAGTTGTTGAAGGTCTCGTCCGAGCTGACGCAGTCGTAGGCATACGCAATGCCGCCGGCGCCGGCTGCCACAGACCGGATCTGCTCAACGCAGTCGCTGTCCCTGTAGTCGACCACCGCGTCCGCTCCCAAGCCCTCGAGGACCTTGCCGTACTTGGCCTTATTGGCGGTCGCAACCACCTTGAGGCCGTACACCCGCTTGGCGATCTGCACGGCAAGATACCCTGTGGCAGTGGTACCACCCCAGACGAGAAGCCACTGTTGGGAGTTATTTTTCGCCGAGTCCGTGCCGCCCAATTGGAAGTAGTGGTGGAGACTTAGTCCGACCGTGGTGAGTCCGAGGGGCAAGGATGTGGCAGCCTCAAAGGTGTCGAAAGCCGAACCGGCAGGCACGTCTTGCTCGCCCTCAGCAGAAGCCGGTGCCGGTGCCGCAGGGACGCCGTGCAACTTCCGGCCCAAGTTGAGCGTAGTCGCCTGCGGAACCACCACGTACTCCTGGAACGCACCGCCGTCTGCGTTGTGCGTGTACCCTCCGTGGACAAAGGACGCCACCGAGTCCCCGACGCTGAATCTGGCCGACGCACCGCCGTCACCCTCCCCGACTTTGAGCACCGTTCCGGCCAACTCGGAGCCCACAGTGCAGCCCGCCGTCCCCCATCCCACCAGGAAATGCTTGTAGTCTGTTGGGTTACACGCACACGCATGCACCTCGACAAGAAGCTCGTTCTTCCCCACCTGCAACGATTCTGCGGCCTTGGCCACTGTCGTAGTCTTCACCAAAGGGGTTGTCTTGCCGGTGTACACCACCGCCTTGAAATCTTGCGCAGAGGCTGTCATCTCGATTTTGCACTTCCTCAATCAAATCGGTGCCAGCTTGCAGAGCAGATTAAATGGCAGAGGAAACGACGCAGCAATGCACAGACACACAACAAAAAGCACCAGAAGCCAGCAAGAGAAAGAGAAGGTGAAGAAGTGAAACGCAAATGCCATTGCCAATGCAGGCAGGGAGAGCGAAGGCCGAGAGGCGAATCCCGGCGGAAAATCGGGCCCAAACTAGTTCTTTTCCTGGCCTGAGTCGCCATAGTGGGGTCTGCAGGGCATTGCCTGGGGCGGTGACATTTCTCCGGCCCTGCAGCTGCGGCGGCCACGCCGCAGCTATGGCATCGCAGACCCACATCTGGACGGGGGAGCTGGAACGGGCCCTCTTTCCTGCTGCTGCTGTTTGCCGAGCTCGGCAGCAGTGTGCATGCGTCATGCGTGTGCACGCATCCGTGCATGAACCCGGTGCTGCGCCCCGCGCTTCCGCGCTTCAGCCTGCGTCGCGCCGTCCGCCATGGACACAAACGCGCAGACGCCGGGAACGTTCTAGCCGGCTTTTGCGGACATCTGGCCGGCGACTGGATGCGGCGCCGATCCAGCGCTCCGCCTCCTGACAGGCCGTGGGGGAAGCTCACCAGCTGTGTGAGCAGCGGATGTCCGTCTCCTCCTTTACGGAGGGGCACGGAGAGGGCCTGCACGGGTCCAGACGGGTCTGTGTGGAGTGTGCATTGTTTGCATCGTTTGCATTGGTTCCGTGCCGCAGCACCGTCTTTCCTGTGCTCCTCTGGAAAGCGCCACAGACAGGCGGTTCCTGGCCACGAGCCACGAGCCGCCAGCGGGTTCATGCCAGAGCCGGGCCTGTTTCCCAATCCGGCAGCAGCGCCCAAAAAAAAGGCGGCGGGACGATCGACCCAAAAAACAAGGACGCGCACGTGACGCAGGCGGGGCGGTTCCAGACTCTCCACGGGCGACAGCAGGACCGGAAGAGGCTCTCTGGACCACAGAAAACAGCAGCAGAGCCACCCAAGACAGGGGTTGTTGAGGCAAAAGAGGGGAAGAAGCGGGCACAAGAAGCGGGCACAAGAAGCGGGCACAAGAAGCGGGACACAAGAAGCAGGGCCAGCACAAGCACACAATGTCTGTGATCCTAGTCTCTGCAGGATACGACCACACGATCCGGTTCTGGGAGGCGTTGACCGGGGTGTGCTCACGCACGATACAGCACAGCGACTCGCAGGTGAACAGACTCGAAATCACGTCGGATAAAAAGTACCTCGCAGCAGCAGGAAACCCGAAGATCAACCTGTACGACATCCGGTCGACGAACCCGAGCGCGGTGCAGACGTTCGAGGGACACACAAACAACGTGACGTCGATCGCATTCCAGATAGACAACAGATGGATGTGCTCGTCCAGCGAGGACGGCACGATCAAGGTGTGGGACATCCGCAGCCCGTCGATCCAGCGAAACTACAAGCACAACTGCCCCGTGAACGAGGTGCTGATCCACCCGAACCAGGGCGAGTTGATTTCGTGCGACCAGAACGGCACGGTGAAGATCTGGGACTTGGGCGAGAACAAGTGCACCCACCAACTCATACCGGAGGACGACGTGTCGATCCAGTCGATCAGCTGTGCGTCGGACGGGTCGATGCTGATCGCCGGCAACAACAAGGGCAACTGCTACGTGTGGGAGATGCAGAACTCGATCGAGAAAACGCTCCTCAAGCCCTTCCACAAGTTCAAGTCGCACTCCAAATACATCACACGCGTGCTGTTGTCCAGCGACTGCAAGCACGTCGCCACCTGCTCCGCAGACCACACCACCAGGATATGGTCCACCGACGACGGCTTCAACCTCGAAACCACCCTCAAGGGCCACCAGAGGTGGGTGTGGGACTGCGCCTTCAGCGCAGACAGCGCGTACCTAGTCACCGCGTGCTCCGACCACTATGTCCGTCTATGGGACTTGAGCAGCAACGAGACCGTGAGGCAGTACAACGGCCACAACAAAGGCGTCATCTGCGTTGCGCTGAACGACGTCTAACCGCCCTCTTGCCCTCCCTCCATACTGTTTGTAACTAATATACCCAATCCAGTAAGTAATCCAGTGCGGCACCATTTTCTTCATGTTGGGAAGGTCTCTCGTACTTTTCAGCTTGGCTTCCACAGGGTTCCACATCTTTTGCTGCTTGTGTCTCCGGAGAGGAACACCACGTGAAAGGCAGTTTCTCTTCAGCAGAGCACCCCACGGGTCCCCGCTTGAACATGGTGCTCCATTTCTCACGTCTAGCGCAACACACGGAGGTGGTGTGCCGCCTCTATCGCACACTACTGCGAAATACAATCCATCTCGGAAGACTCGAACTCAAAGATCATGTCAAGTTGGTCAGCAAAATACGACAGCGCTTCAGAACCAATGCATCCACATATAGTCCCACAGTAGCTCAGAAGCTTATGAAAGATGCGGTGAAATTGAATGATATGATTGTGGACTCATACAATAGTGACACAAGCGTGCAAGCTTTACTATCTTGGATTTCTCCAGCAAATCCTGCTGCTCCTCGAGCAGCTCCTGCTGCAACCCCACCGCCTGTATCGAAGAAGCATAGGAAAAACCCAGATTACTCGATGTTGTCCGAGGACGAGATCGCTGAGTTTCGACAGACTAAAGAACTTCCTTTACCGGAATCCACACAACTACTACTACCAAGTATACATATCCATGCCCGATGGTATTTCAACACAAACGAGTATCCGCCACTGAAATCCAAATTGGACAAAAGGTATATGCGTACGGTTTTCCCCTCGTTGATAGCACACGGAAAGCAGCTGTATTACATGAACCGTCTTGTAAGCAAACTCATGAAACCTCCCAGTCATAAAATGAAAAGAATATCTGGCACAGGCCATTGGATCTACGTCATCAACACTCCTTGGAACAGGGATCTACGGACTGAAGATTTTAGGTTCCTAGGCAGCACAAGGAAAAAATATGATGAGTTGATCATCAAAATCCAGGAGTGTGAACACTTTCGCAAACGGTATGAGCACGTTGCTGTCCAGGAAGACAAGTGGGAGAAACTAATGGGCATGAATAGTGCTACAAAAGCATCCACAGATGACTGGACATGGCTATACACAGAGGCGGAAGCAGTATTGAACGCTGAGAAAACCCAACTTGAACAGGAAGTTATCCAATTTTGCAAAAGACAGGGAATTATTTACGAAAAAATCAAACCGATTTTTGACGAAATGCACATACACAGCAAGACGAATTCAGAAATAATGCAAAAGGAGGTTGAAATCAAGGAAATGGGTCCTTACACTGATGTTTTGGATGGTGGATTGGGTCTTTTACTGAAAAAGTACGGGTTTAGAGATCCAATTGAATCCAAATATTCCAAAACCCCAAAGGGGAAATAACTGTCATATAACCTATATATAATATGTATACGTATTTTCTACCTAGATACATATAGAAGAACAAATCATTTCATCTCCGCAAAGATTACTCATTCCCATAAATGTCGTTGGACTTTTGCGTTCCAGTGTGTTCTATAACTTTAAAGCCCTCGAACTTCTCAATAAGCTCCTGTGCCTTCGTGTCAGAACCCGAGTCCTCCACATTCATACGCCTTAGCATATCAATGACATTGTCTAAATCATCAACTTCGATTCCCTTTTCCTTCATGTTGATGTACTGATCCAATAAGACAACCCCATTTTCTACCGTATCCTCTGCAAACCATGGTTGATTCAAGTTGACCCTCATAAACAAAGCTTCAAAACTTAGCTGATTTTTGTAAAATTCTGAACATAGGTAATGATTCTTACAGCAGTACCTTGACTTGTAATACCTTGGCATCTTCAAACTTTTGACCAAACTATTCACCTGCATGTCTTTTATCTTTTTTGGGTCGTTGTGTTTACAAAGTGGATACCCACAAAAATGTTCGATTACTCTCTCTTCAACGATCTCCTCATAAGACTTCTTCGATAGGTATCGAGATAAGATTCTTAGTACCTTAGGTTCACAATTATTGATCATCAAAAGTTCTGTAAGGTGAAAAGTCAGCTGGTTTGCCTCTTTCGGTGTCAAAATCGGCTTGTGCAACACCGGTAGCAGCAAATCATGAAATTTCTCAACTGTTATCGTATTTGCGTCTGTTCTTGTATCTTCTATTGTAATTCCATCCATATCTGTGATCCACAATTTTCATGAACAGTATTCTATAGTGATTCGGCAATGTTTGACTCCATTGCCCCCAGCAAATAGAGGATACTGCTTCTTGTTGTCGTCGACCCTGTTCTCCGCATAGAAAATAAATACTGTGCGCCTTTGTTTTATACACCTTCAAAGAGAGGAACCTCGATCTGGATGATTACTTTCCTTACAGACACGTTTCGAGTGGGTGAATACAATTGGGCTCACACAGAGAAGATGGCAGAGGAGTATGGTCTCAGGAAGAGAAATGATTCGCTGAACACGACGTGGCCGTCATTGAGTCTGAATATAGACATCCAAACGTCACATTCCAAATCAAAAGACACGAATGACGGAAAGGGTAAAGTAAGGGATAGGCACGGCAACAGTGGTAAGCAAGAACGGGACGACGACGGATCCAAGAAGCTGAAGAGGTTTACACGTGGATCGGTTAGAGGGAAACAGATTGGGACTACTTTATGGAATGTGCTGTTATCGGAACTAAATATAGAACCAGGATTGGAAAAGGAGAACATCGAGAATAGAGACCAGAGTGGAAATACCAATACCGATATAGATAGGTGGAGTGATAACTTGGAGCTGTTGCTGAACTATATTAGACTACCAATGCATCTTGAACGGTTCATGACGTTCGGATTATTGTACTCGGCGGTCATATTTTTGAAATGGCTAGTTATCATCCCATTGAGGTGTTTCATTCATACCGTCTTGAACATTGTGCGATTTGTTCAGCGGAGGGGGTCGTTTTCTTCTCCTTTTGTGAAGCACCATCTCATATACAAAAACGATCTATTGTCTGTGACGGGAATAATGACAACTCTATTTTTGTTGAGAAACTTGGACACGAGCCGAATATACCACAATATACGTGCAGGTACAGCTGTCAAACTATATTTCATGACGCAAGTTTTAGATATTGCAGACAGGCTTCTCAGTGCCAGTGGCCAGGACATCCTCAGAGTGACCTACCAATTCAATAGCATAACTGTCGGCAACAGGTTGAGCCTGGTGAAGGTGTCTCAGTTCCTCGCACTATACGTCTTATCGATCCTATATCTTTGGTTCCACTCTTACGCCTTGGTCTACCAGGTCATGGCTTTGAACGTTGCCATCAACTCATACTCAAATGCTCTACTGACGTTGATCTTGTCCAATCAGTTTTCCGAATTGAAGAGTGCGGTCTTCAAAAGAACAGAACGAGAGGGACTATTCCAAGCGACTTGCGCAGATTTGAACGAGCGGTTTTTGATCCTAATCATGCTTGCTATCATCTCCTCCCGCAACTTCCTACAGATCCTGATAAACACAACCTCCATCAACGATTTTTTCGATAGTCTTAAGCCCGACTCGTGGTCCACCCAGCTCACACAGTGGAAGTCTTTTGACAACTGGTTGGGCCTCCTCATGGGGCCCTCCATCCTGGTCATCGGGTCCGAGATACTGGTCGACTGGGTCAAGTACGCATACATCATCCGTTTCAACCGAATCAGGCCCAAGGTGTACGACAAATTCACCAAAATTCTAGCAAACGACTTTGTCAACGGTTTCACCTCGGACAATTTCAGCAGAATCAACCACCAGCCCAACGAGCATCCAAGTCTCTTGACCAAAAGAACCGGCTTCCCCATCTCGACCGTGTCCATTATTTTCTGCAAGTTGACGCTGTTTCCCTACTTGCAGTACTTGATTTCCGTCGTCTACGAACGGAACAACAACGCCCACATTGCCAGCTGCCTGATAATCTCCACCGTGCTGATCGCCTTGGTGTCCGTTCTGATTTCCCTACGACTGCTCTTGTCACTCATCATTCTCAGCTGGTCCAGAGTTCTTCTCCAGAGACAGCTTCCGAAGCAGACAGACTACGTTTCTGGAGATCCAAATGTCAACTTAAGCCACGTTGCAGATGTCCGGGAGCATCTCTACGACGACACAGAGGCCCTGCCGCCCTCCTTGGAAGACCTACGGCTACAGAAGCTCCACAAGAACCGGGACGACAAGCTCACCGGCGTGGTCCGCTTTGAGATGGCCGACAAGAGGATCTGGTAGCAGTGTCTTCGCCCCTATGTAGTAGAGTAGATAGACAACCGTGGACTACGGTACCGCTAAAGAGTAAAAGGAAAAAAAGTTAGGGCTGCCCGCACGTGATGGAAGCCAGGCTATTTATTTATTTGTACATCAGGAACGGTTCGGTTCTTTGACAGCCAGGTTTGTTCTTGACGAAGGAAGGACTAAGGGCAGATTGCAGCAAATGGCAACCGAAGGTAGCCAACAGACACAGCGAGCGATGTCGAAGAAGGCGAATATCGATGCGAGCTCGTTCAAGGTGAATGACTCCTCTGTGTTCCACTCGGGAAACTTCTCCGCAAAGTACACAAAGGACAAGGCTGGATCAAAAGCCAAGGACAGAGGCAGGGAGGGGGCTGAGGGCGAGAGACAGAGAAGCAGGGGTGCGATGAGTGATGTGATCGAGGACGAAGACAGAGCGGTGCAGCCGTTGACGATTGCAGGGGGCTTCCAAGACACCCCTTCGTCGGTGTTCAACGACGATCACCAGCTGGGTGTCAGCTTGACCAAGAGCCATACTCGGCGAGAGAGTCTTTTGAGCTCGTCGCTGTCGCAGAGCATGTCTTCTTCACGTCTGCAGAAGCCTGCTGCGAGCGAGAAACAGGCACAAGCGGCAATGGTTCCCACATGGGGCGACAACTCGCCCTACGAGAGATCTGCGTCGAACGTGCGTTCCCCACAACAGCCACAGCCACAGCAGCAGCAGCAGCATGTCGAGCCGGCAGGAACCAACTACTCGTCCATGAAGCTGCAGGGTGGCTTCATCACTAGGGAAATCGAGCCATGGATCAACGACAGGAAAAACGACTCTTTCTCCCACACGGGACACCAGCCGCTCCGGCGTGTTGCCAGCTCGGGCTCCATCCAAACGTCGAGCCGCAGCATCAGGTCTATGGCGAACTCTGCGGCGCTGGACTCCCCGGATCTAGAGGCTGCAAGCGGAGTCGCCGGCGTCAGCGTCAGGGAGTTGGCTGCTCCCGGGGCCTTCCGCAGAAATTTCATTCTCAACAGAGACGCCCACAGTTTCAACGAGTCCAATCTTGTCACGAGGAACTTCCTGGAGTTCTTGGACTTGTACGACCATTTTGCCGGCCAGGATCTAGAGGAGGACGACGGGGAGACCGAGACCGAGGACGAGGAGTCCCGAAATGGCGACGAAAACGAGGTGATAGACGAGTCTGAGTTTCACCACGATTCGGCCTCGTTCATGAGGAAGCACAACAAGAGACGGGCCAAGCAAAAGGTGGGCCGAGCGCAGAAAAGCAAGAGCAAGGAGAAGAAGGTGTCGACGCCGAAGGCCTTCTTGCTTTTGTTGAAGGCTTTCTTGGGCACGGGGATCATCTTCTTGCCCAAAGCCTTCTCCAACGGCGGGCTTCTTTTCTCCAACTTGATGATTGTCTCGTTCTCGCTCATTTCCTACTACTGTTTCTCGATCTTGATCAGGACGACGTCCCGATGCAAGGTCTCCGGGTACGGCGACATCGGGTTCAAGTTGTTCGGCAAGAAGATGCAGTTCGCCATCTTGCTCTCGCTCGTGCTGTCGCAGCTCGGCTTTGCGTCGACGTACACGGTCTTTGTGTGCGAGAACCTGCAGCAGATCCTGCAGATCGTGTACGGCCGGATCTACGAGCTGGGCTTCTTCTTCCTGCTGCAGGTGCTGATCTTCGTCCCGGTCTCCTTGACCCGAAGTATCTCGAAGCTGGGTGTTTGTGCGTTGGTGGCCGACGTCTTCATCTTCCTCGGACTGCTCTACATCTACGGCCAGTCCGCCGTCAAGCTCGTCTCGGACGGGCCCTCCGAAAAGGTGGCCGTGTTCAAGCCGGACACGTGGACGTTGTTCATCGGCACGGCCGTGTTCACGTACGAGGGCATCGGGTTGCTCATCCCGATCCAGGAGAGCATGCGGGAGCCGGAGAAGTTCAACCGCCTGCTTGTGCTTGTCATGTTCATCGTCACGCTCGTGTTCACCAGCATCGCCAGCATCGCGTACCTCAGCTACGGCGACGACATCCACACCATCATCCTCATGGACTTCCCGCGCAACAGCAAGACCAACACCGTGCAGCTGCTCTACTCCGTGGCCATCCTGCTCTCCACCCCGATCCAGCTCTTCCCGGCCATCAAGATCGTCGAGAACTACATCTTCCACCAGAACCGCCTCACCTGGAGAGCCAAGATCCGCAGAAACTCCGAGGCCATCTCCGTCCTCAGCTCCTCCGACCTTCTCGGCCTCACCCCGACCCTCAGCAACTACGACTCCATCTCCGCCACCCCCAACCCGGACCTCGTAAACCACGACGGCCTTCTCTCGGGCAAGTCCGACACCACCATCAAGGCGCTCAAGAACTGCCTCCGAGTCGCCATGGTCCTGCTCATGTGCAGCATCGGCTACCTCGGCGCAGAGAACCTCGACAAGCTTGTTTCCCTCATCGGCTCTCTCACCTGCGTGCCCTTGATCTACATCTACCCGCCGCTCTTGTACTGCAAGGGCTTTGCCGGCGAACTCCGCCAGACCGAGAAGGCCCTGTCTGCCGCTGTCCTGCTTGCCGGCTGTGTGCTCATGGCCTACACCAGCTACGAGACACTGGCCAACTGGTGAACGCCTCCCGCCCCCAGCGCCCTCTGCTCACCATCCTACGAACATTACTAAGCCTATTCGTACATACATACTTCCGTAATCCTACAACTAACACCCTGACACTGCCCGTCGACTTGGCACCGGGACGGGAAATTGGCCTCGGAGCCTTGAAATTGCTGAAAATTTTTCTTGTGCCCCGCCGCCGAGGGCTGCGACCGCGTGGTTCCGGAATAGGAAGCTGGAATACGTCAGGTTGGTTTCCGTCTGGCGTGCCGTTGGGGTACAAGACGCAGGCGAATTGGGCTGGAGGTCCTTGGGCAGGGTGAGTAGACAGCAGCACATAGGTGTGATCAGGCCAGCAGAGAGCGTTTGTGCGTGCGGGAGGAGCTACGTGTGCCAGCACCGCGTGGAAGTCGAAGCAACAGCAGCAACAGCAACAGCAATAGCAGAAGAAGAAGAAGAGGATGACAGTTTCGACCGCAGCCCCAGGCTCATCCACCGCCATGAAGAGCAGGTCGTCGACGATGTCGAAAATCGGGCGGTTCTTCACGAGCGGAGGGCAGGGCGACGAACACCCGCCGCAGCAGGAGCCACGGACAGCGAGTGCCAGCAGCAACAGCAGCCACGGCGGCAGGCTGAGCTCTGCGGGCACGCTGTCCCGGAGAAGCTCGAAGCGCATGCCCAGCGGCGAGTGTGCTAGCAGCACAGCGGCATCTTCGACCGCCGCCAACAGTGGCAGCAGCAGCAACAACGCCAGCAGCGGCACCAAAAACTTTTCTACGCATTCCCAGGACAGCAACGGCAACAGCAACAGCAACAGCAACAACCACGACCCAAGAGGCAAGATCTCCGCCGTGAAGTCCAACACGTCCGTCTTCTCCGGCGCCTCCACGGTCCATATACCCAGCACGCCGAATGCATCTTCCTCCTCGGCTCACATCACACACGCCCCGGCGTCGACCCCGGTTTCGGCGTCCGCGTCTGTGTCGGACCTCAACGCCACCACCGCAGGCACCGGCACGGGCCCCGGCGCCAGCACAGGCCCCAACGCAGGCTCGTCCAGCTCCGACGTCAACTTCTCGAGGTCGTCTTCGGTACGCACGAGCCGCTCGAACGCCAACTCCAGCAGCGGCGCCGGCGGCGCCAACTCGAACTCGAACTACCACATGCGGTTCAAGATCCTCCCCGACGGGAGCCACCAACACCACCTTGCGAGGGTGAAGCGGCAGGAGAAGTTGGGCCAGATGGTGAAGGACTGGCTAGGGGCAGGCAAAAAGCGTTCTGTCGCCGTGTCCGCGGTGCCCAACATCTTCTCGTCGAGCAACCTGAACGAGATGGACTCGCAGATCAAGGCTGCTCTGAACGGCGAGAACGTCAGTGCCGCCGGCGCCAAGCTCCCTCCCACCCTCTTCTCCATGTACCTCCGGGAGCAGAAGATGAATGCCCACAGCCCGACCGCGTATGCGCAGCCGAGCTTCAGCGTGCCGGCTGCTGGGAAGGCGCACGAGCATGACCACGACCACGACCACGACCACGAGTCGTTCTTCGAGAAGTACGGAAAGTGCCAAGAGATCATCGGCCGGGGCACGTTTGGCATTGTGCGAGTGTCGCACAAGAAGGTCAACAACAGGGAGGTGTTGTACGCGGTGAAGGAGTTCACGCGGAAGCTGAACGAGCCCGATTCGAAGTACAGCAAGCGCTTGACGTACGAGTTCTGCATCTCCTCCTCGCTCAAGCACGACGGCATCATCAACGCGTACGACCTCTTCAAGGACTCGAAGGGAGACTACTACGAGGTGATGGAATACTGCTCCGGAGGCGACCTCTACTCTCTCATCGCCGCCGCAGGCAAGTTGGAGTACTCCGAGGCCGACTGCTTCTTCAAGCAGATCATGCGGGCCGTCCACTACATGCACAACATGGGCGTTTCGCACAGAGACCTCAAGCCGGAAAACATCTTGCTGACACAGGACGGCCGCGTCAAGATCACCGACTTCGGCAGCGCCGAGTGCTTTAAGACCGCCTGGGAGGACGACATTGAGCTCAGCAACGACATCAAAGGCTCTTCGCCCTACATTGCGCCCGAGCAGTACACCTCCACCGAGTTCGACCCCCGCTTCGTCGACGTTTGGTCCTGCGGCGTCATCTACATGGCCATGCGCACGGGGCGCCAGCTCTGGAAGGAGGCCCAGGTCGACGACGAGTTCTTCCACGAGTATCTGCGCAAGCGGAAGTGTGAGAAGGGCTACGAGCCCATCGAGATGTTGAAAAGGGCCCGTTGCAGGAACGTCATCTACTCGATTCTCGACCCGGTCCCCGAGCGCCGCATCACCACGCTGCAGGTCCTGAACAGCGAGTGGGTCAGAGAGATCAACTGCTGCAAGAGCTAGCGCCACCGCTCACCCAATACCCTCCTCTGTTTGTACAACCTTGTTCTATTCTATTCTATTTCATTCTATTCATGTCCATTCATGTCCAGACCCCGATGGGCTGGGCGACGCGTCGCTTCGCCGGGTGTCGAGAAAAACGTTTCCCAATGGGGGGCATCGACTGGAGGAGGAGCGTATTATTCTGTATATTATTATTTGACGATAGTACTTGCCATACAACAGCATAAAGAGACGGCAAAGGAAAGTCCATTTACGCATCCAGCATTTCGGCCGCAGACATCGCTTCTCCTGCTGCTACACCCACATCCACTACACAAAACGAGAGCCTTGTGGCGTCTGCACCTGCCCTGTCACCGTCACACCCAGCACCACCTGCTTGGAAAATCATCCGCTCACACACCTAGCTCGGACATATCAAGGTCGAAATTGCAAGGCATCCTGGAACACCACACCTGTTGCCACTCACACACGGATCGGACACAGCGTCATATATGCACACACTCTCTGGTTTTTGTTACGTCTGAATCCTCTTGTCGGAACACTTGTGCTATTTTTGTTTTTAGAAATTTACCACTGCCAGTGACCGTCACCACCCCCTGAATATCTCTGCCTCTCTCCATTTCCCGAAAGCCACAGCATACGGTTGGACGGCTGCTTGATTCCACCTTTTTCCAGCCCACACTGTTGGTACACCCCCCATTGAGAACACGCACGCCTCTGTACTTTAGTCTACTCTCCGGATACTCGTTTCTTTTTCACCAGCTTGTCTATTTATTCTTTCAGTTCTCCAATTGATCCGTACTACACACAATGCCGTTGTCTCAAGCCTCCACCAGCGGCATATCCCCCTCTTCTTCCGGCCGAATAATACCCACGCACTTGGCGTCTGTGGTACGAAGATGGAACTCCAGCTTGATTGCATTCTCCAATTGGCTCATGAGCAAACTGCTACTGTACCCAATATCATCCATAATATGGCCGTGCGTGCTCGTGCTAATTTTGGCATACCCCACCATATACAATTCCTACTTGTTGCCGTACAACCTGGTCAGTTCCGTATTCCCGAGCCCCTCTAAACGCATAAAATTCGTGGAATTTTCGAGCGACCTCTCAGACTCACATGCAGACATCACGCTGAAAATCTTCTCCATAGATAACAATAGCAATAACTTGTTGACCAAGGAATTCCTGCTACAGCTTTATGACATCCAATCCTTGCTGTTCGACAGCTTGGACGTAACAACCGATGGAACCGAGTTATATTCCAATGACCACAGTATAATGATATACTCACCACTCGACTACTGGGACAACGACAGGTCTAAATTGCTTCAAAGCGACAGTATAGTGAAAACAATACAGCTCAGTGGATGGCACTCGAAGAGCACATTGAATCAACCACTCAAAAATGTCCAGCTTTTTTCTGGAATTTCGAAAAGTGATGGGCTTGTAAGAAGCGCCGACCGCTTGAAGCTGGTATGCTACTATAGAAAGAGCGAAGTCATTAATGGAATCCTCTACCGCAATTTGAGATCTGTGAAATCAGAGTACCCTCACCTGGCCATATTTGATGAATTGGTAGACTGCAACCAGACCAATACAGATAGTAGCAGACGCTTAAAACTGAACGTTTCGGCCAAGTATTGTAATTTCATTGATATGTTCTACATGTATTTGGTGCTACCAATATTAATTGTCCAATGCATTATGAGAATTAGGAGAAACAAATTCATTCGTTCCAAAATTGGCTTTATCGTTGCCTTTTTTGTCCAGCATGCTTTAACCTCTTTGGCAAGTATCACCGTGGTATCAACTTTCGATAAGCATTCAGAGCTTTTCGAGCTTCCATGCGCCCTTTTAATTTTGATTCCCTTTTCTGTGAATATAATCAATATTTCACACTTGATATTATCGCTTTCCAACTATACCAGTGGCATCTCATTCATTTCAAGAGTCCAAAAGGCAGTGAACGGATCATTTTCAATATCGACCAATTTCAATCTACTGGTCTTGTTCATTCTTAACGGATGTTGCCTATTTGCCAATTCAAAATGTTCTCTACTTTACTGCTGTTTCACATCCCTTTGCATTCTATTAAACTTTTTTCTGACCTATACATATAGCTTGACAATATTGATAGTTGATTTCAATAATGTTGAACTTCAAGATTTGATTCAAAGTGAAAAGTTAATTGGGAATATAAATGAAGTTGATTACAAATTGCCAGAGAAAATTACCATTGATGATTCTCACAGCAGTCGCTTTGGAATAGAAAAGATTTTCTCTCGTTTTAATCACAGTTACCTAACTACAAAATTTGTAGTGTTCAATGCTTGTTCTTTGCTGGTAATTATCCCAATCATTTTCCAATGGACCGAAGGGGTCTCCTCCTACTCGTCAAAGAATAACAATCACTTGCTTGATGTATTCACAAACAAACGTGGGTTTGTTTATGAACTACTAACTCTAAACAAAGGTATAGAGAAAATTTCATTGGAGATCTCGAATCCTGTCCTCCTTTCAAATAATACTGAACTAGCTTTCGCTCAGTACTATCACCCGACTACAATATCTTCCACTTTTGATGTATATTATTTTCTTGAGTTCATTTCATTTTTGATATTTGCAGTATCTACTCTATCTTTGATGTTAAGATTGCTTATTGATAGTGAGCAGAATTATGAGTATTCAAAATCATTTACCGCTTCAGAATCGAATAATTCGCCCCACAAGTATAGGGACTCTTTCTCTTCTAGTTTACAGTGTTTCCAGTCTAAGGATTTGATACAAGGTCATGTGCTTGACATAGTGAAATTATGTACATCTTCATGCCCATTCATTGTATCCGTCGGCATTGATCACAAGGTTTTGGTGTGGTCGCCACTAAATCACCCAATACCGATTCCAACACAACTACCGATCTCAGCAAAATTTTTACCGATAACTCATGTTGAAATGTCCGATTCTGGTTCAGCGATAACCGTTTTCAGCAGATCGGGAGAAGTCAAATGTTGGTCTCGATCATCAATGTCTTGGGTATGGACAATTTTGTTTGAAGAATTGGCCAATGATACTCCACTGGTTTCATTTTTCCGTAAGAGAACTCAAATCAGTAATGGACGAAGAAAGTTGATCAGCAGGGTATCAAGACAAACAAAGGAGCACACACCAACACACAGTACTTTAAGTTCACGTCATCCACCACCAACTTCTTCCGCAGAAACTAACACAGATCTAAGCTCGGGCAGAAGGCTGTCGCTGGACTCAAATTTTGACCAGAACATCACCACAAAGGATGCATCCAATATGGAGTTCATAATTGTATTAAAGAATGGCGCAATTATTTCAATAGAGTGTTCCACTGGAAAATACGATAGGGCTGTTCTCAGTGATAGTCCATTGCTTTGTGCTAAAAAGTTAATCTCGCCAAGAGTCAATGATAGAATTGTGGGCGTGAAAGAAAACGGAGAGTTGGTTGTCTCTACGGTCATTAATAATAAGTGGAGAAGTAGACCGGTGAAAATTGACACCAGTAATTACAACAAGGGTATAAGTCTAATCACACCTGCGGTATTACTGAAATACCCAGAGTTCAACTACTCTACCTCTCCATCTGTATTGCCAGCAGCGAAGAGTTTTGCTGCTACATCTAACACTGACAAGCGGGTCGGCTTTGTGGATGAAAGCTTGAATGATCTACAAGGTATAGTGATGGAAACTGTCCCCTTTGTTGGGATGATTGTCAGGGCATTTGGATCTAAATGTCAACTGATTGATGTTCAGTCGGGTACGGTATTGAAAGAGTGGCAAATCTTCCAGTTCAAAGCTAGCACTTTTAGAGTTTTCCACCCAGAGCCTTCGCATTGCAGATTTTGTGGTTGTGCTTCTGTTGCATCTTTCAGCGTAGCATACACTGGATTAGAGGGCAGCTCTCTAATTATGCACACATTTTCAATCGACAATAGAGCGAAAAACAACATTTGTTTGAGAGTCGAGAGAGATTCTCGAGAGACCAGATGTCTTGGTTTTGCAAGCGTCACTGAACATCAGCATGTATTGGGCAATGTCGAAGGCTGGTGTCCTACTGACATGAATATATTGATGGGTGTTCGTAGAAAGGAAAACAGCGAAGTCATAGCGACCTCTTCCGTTTCTGTTACCGGTTCAGGTAAGCCGGATGAGAAAACGAAAAGCGGTATCTTGAACAGTCTGTTTGAAAGTGGAATTGGCTTAAGACAAAGGAAAACAGCTAATAATACCAGTGAACCTCAGAAAATCGATGAAACTGAAGGTGATAACATCGAGACGGAAGAGAAGGTGAGTCCTATCATTGAAAACTCGAGCATTTTCAATCGGGTTACGAATACCGCCCAAACAACCCACACTCATAGATTGAGTGATAAGTGGGAAGGTTGGACAATGTCGGCGGATGGGCAAGTACGTTTCTACGAAATTCCCGATGGATCAGATTCAGGACTACTGATAAAAAAGTTAGGTCCGGTCAGCAAGTTTGGCCATAAATCCCTAGTAGTGAGTTTCGGGAACATTATGAAAGTCTTGTACCTAGGAAACGATAGCTTGGTTGAAGAAGATTCCCCAGGCGACGAGGACTTATCTTCTGCAAGGTACCAGTCGTCGAGCAGTTTAGGCTTCATCAACAGGAGACGGAGAATGAGGATGAAGAAATATGACTTAACACATTCGACGTGTTTTGAGGAGTCTTCTACTGCTTCCACCGAACCAATTGCCGAGCCAGTGTCTAGCGCTAACGGCTCCTAGAAATAATATAAACTAATCTATAATCAACAACGTCTACTATCCTGTACCCTTGTATCTCCGGGTGAGTTAGTTTTGTCATTCTAGAAACAGCCGATAGGAGAGAATGTGACTCTTGGATTTCCGCGGTGAGTCTTTTTTACCTCGAAAAGGAGCGTCTGCCAAAAACCGTTAGAAAACTGGCTATCTTAGCTTGTTGCATTATCAGTTATCCCTGGCTGTTTATGGGAAGCAAGAGGGAGGAGGAGTTTTTGTCAAGTTAATCCACAACCATGCCTTTTGACATCAGCAAAATTGCGAGATCCAACATCCTCTCTTTGGAGCCATACCGTTGTGCGAGAGATGATTTCAACGAAGGTATCTTGTTGGACGCCAACGAGAACACCCACGGTCCCTCTTTTGTTGACATGAGCGAAGCGGAAAGGCAATTGGACTTGAACAGATACCCTGATCCACACCAGGGGGTTTTGAAGAGTCAGCTTTGCGCATTCAGAAATAGCGAACGTTCGGATGTGGAGGAATCCAAGAAATTGCAGGTTGAAAACCTCTGCCTTGGTGTTGGTTCTGACGAGTCGATCGATGCGTTGATGAGAGGCTTCGTCGAGCCTGGAAAGGAGAAGATGATGATATGTCCTCCAACATACGGCATGTACTCGATCTGCGGTGTTGTCAACAACGTCGACATTGTGAAAGTTCCGCTAGAGTTAGAGACTTTCAACATTGTTCCTCAGAACATCCTATCTGCGTTGAAGACCGACAGCACAATCAAGTTGGTGTACATCACCTCTCCCGGAAACCCTACTGCGAAGATGGTCGACGAGAAGCTGTTGCTGGAGTTGCTCCAGGGCGTCGAAGAGAACTCTCTGAACGTGCTGGTTGTTGTCGACGAGGCATACGTCGACTTTGCGCCTGTTGGCAGCTCCATCAGCACATTGGTCAACGAGCACCCAAATCTTGTTGTTCTACAGACCTTGTCGAAGGCGTTTGCGTTGGCTGGGATCAGACTGGGGATAACCTACGCCAACAGGGAGATCTCCCGGCTGCTGAACGCAATAAAGTACCCATACAACATCAGCAACTTGACCAGCGATGTCGCCATCAGAGCCACCAGGCCTGCGAGCTTGGCGGACGCGAGAGTGAAGATCGGCAAGATTGTCGAACAGAGAGGCCTTGTGTTGGACAAGCTCTTGAGTCTGAAGTACGTTGGGAGAAACCGTGGCGGGCTCGACTCGAACTTCATTCTCATTGAGATCCTCAACAAGGACCTGCAGCCGGACAACGACGTTGCCAACAAGCTCTACCTCACGCTCGCCACGCAGAGGAAGATCGTCGTCCGGTTTAGAGGCAAGGAGCTCGGGTGTACTGGGTGTCTCCGGCTCTCCATCGGCACTGCTGCCGAGAACGCTGTTCTTGTGGAGCAGTTCGAGCAGGTCCTCACCCAGATCGTGGAGGCCTAGATCCGCCAAACCAGGGACATTTCTAGCTCTTTACAGCCATCTCTTACACCTGTAGTAATCAACACACGGTTTCCAATGCCTCTCCGCTTTCTCGAGGCTTCCAGCGTTTTCGTTGTTCCAAAGACCGGTCGGTGATTCAGCCATCTTGGCATGACTAACGATGGCTACAACAACCCGTTTTCTTACCGCTGTCATCGTGGGAGCTCCGCACACGGGAACTGCACTGCTGCAGAGGAGCTCTGTCGCAGACGTTGTTTCACTGCCCTTCCGTAGACTCCTCGGGCTTCTCCACGGTCTTATGCCCTTTTCTTCTTCACCTACATCCGAAGGCTAATGTCCGGGGGGCTGGCGCAGCGGCAGACAAGTTGTGTGGGCATCCCACAGTGGGGCGCGTCGGCCACTGTGGTGGATCCGGCCTGATCGCAGCGAGTCGTGGAGTGACCGTGGTATTTTTCGTTGGCCGCGCTGGACGGCGCCCGTTTGTGTGCACTCACCACCAAAGCTGCTTTCTGTGCACACCCGCGGCCGGCGGCCTAAAAGCGGGCCGGAAGGCCTTACTTATCCCTTATTCATCATCTTAGTCAGACTCGGGTAATGCTGACATAATGGGGCGGTGGCCATGACATAAGCATTTATAATGTGGTTGCCACGATTGGCCAGGTTCTGGGAGTATAAAAGGGGAGCCAGGGTCCCTCGTAGATGGAAGAAGTGTGTTTCGGAGACAAAGTGTGTGGTGGTGTGTGCTATTAGTTTAGGTTGCTAGACACAGACGAGAAACTAGATCGGAGTTTCACAGAAAGCGAAAAGATACAGCGATACATGTCAGAACAAGCAAAAGAAATGGTATCACTAAGATCGATTTTGAAAGTGCTCTATGCAAGCGAACGTGCAGAAGGTGTCGGAGCCAAGGTGAGAAGATCCATCGGTGTGACAGGGATGAGAAACTTCACGCCGTTCCTCCTGCTTGACCACTTCAACGTGGCGCCGGAGGCTGGGTTCCCGGACCACCCGCACAGAGGCCAGGAGACGGTGACGCTCCTCATGAAGAACTACATGCTACACGAGGACTTCACGGGCAACTCCGGAGTGTTGAGACCGGGCGACTTGCAGTTCATGACTGCCGGGAAGGGTATCTGCCACTCGGAGATGCCATACTCGGAGGACGGAAGCAACGTCGAGGGCATGCAGTTGTGGGTGGACTTGCCTAAGGAGTTGAAGGGCTCGAAGCCCAGGTACAGAGACTTGAGGGCGGAGGAGATCCCGGTGGTGCGCGCCAACGACAAGGTGCAGGTCAAGGTGATCTCCGGGAAGTCGTACGGCGTCGAGTCCGTGAAGGAGCTCGCGTACACCCCGATGAGCTACTACTGGTTCACCGTGCAGCCCGGCGGAGAGTTCGAGCAGTACCTGGACCCGGACTTCAACGGGTTCCTGTACCTCTTGGGCGGCGAGTTAGAGCTCGAGACCAAGAAGGGCAAGGAGGCCGTCCAGGAGCACAACACCGTCTTCTTCAACAGGGACGGAGACGGCATCAAGGGCTCTGTGCCTGCTGGCTCTGCCAAGGAGGCCAACTTCGTCGTCATCTCGGGCAAGGCCTTGGACCAGCCGATCGTGCAGTACGGTCCGTTCGTGGAGACGTCCAAGGAGGACATCTACCGGGCCTACAACGACTACCAGAGCGCCTCGAACGGCTTCGAGCGGGCCAAGGGTTGGGCCTCGGAGATTGGAAGCGGTGTCGATGAGAAGCTTTTCAGAACCAAGTCCAACTCGCTCATCCACGACGGCCTCTCTCTCCATCCGGAGGAGCACAAGGAGATTCCTGCCAAGGACGAGTTGTAAGCAAGCCCGGCAACACCCCTATATAGCACACAAACAGGAATTATGTACATTAAGCTTTTATAACATTAATAATGACACACAAAATATTATCAATGGCTGGGAAATGGGAAACAAGAAAAAAATAAATGTAATCGTGGGAGGAGCGGAAGTAGGATTCTCCACACAGACAGCGCCGGCTATTACTGCACCGGCTACACTGCGATAGTGCTTCAGGAACGGATGCAGGTAGACAGGTGGTGGAGGCTTGGCGGGTTGGAGAGCCAACAAGAGCAGAAGGGACGGACCGGCAGCCAGAGATGTCGCTTGATCAGCTGAAGCAGCGGAAAAGGGCAGCGTACAGCTGCGATCGATGCAAGCAACGGAAAAGAGCATGCAAACGGTACGACGACCAAGGAAAGAGGTTGTTTGATAACGTGGCGCCGTGTGAACAGTGCAAGAAGACCGGGTCGTTGTGCAAGACAACCATTGTGCGCAAGAAGCGGACGTTCTTCTCCGTGAGCGAGAGCTCTTTGGTGCAGTTGAAATGCTTGACCAAGATCGTGAAGGCCATGTTCCCCGAGTGCGATCCCAACAAGTACGGGGATATTGAAAATATCGCCAAGGTGTTGTACGTGAAGCTGCCTAAGGAGGAGGAGGAGGAGGAGTCGTTGCTGCCGCACGTTCTGCACGACGACACGCTGACGTCGGGCTCCACGGCGGAGACGGCGTCTGTTCCCTCGACGGTGTCCCCCGCCACGGCAGAGGAGCACGGCTCGATGGTGCAGAAGATAGCAAGCCAGATCGACGCCTTGAGGAGCCTCACGAACAGTGCGAACGGCACCAATGGCAACAAGTACATGGCTCTGGAGAAGGCAGCGATGGCGTCAGCGGAGGGAGACGTGACAGTCAAAAAGGAGGTCAAGGACGAGACAGCAAAGGACGAAGCTGTGGAAAAGAATAAGCCCGTGACACAGCTCAGTCAGCTCCTCATAGGTCTTGGAGGCGCCGAGAGGTTGTTTACAGCGTTGCTGGAGGTGGAAAAACGCCACTCACACACAGAAGTTCCTCCCCTCGATCACAACAACTCGCTCACCTCGATCACCAGACAGCGGAACCACATCACGTTCCACCCTTCGTACGTCATTAATGGTAATGACATTGAGAAGTTCCTATTTCTAGACGACATTCCGAGGCACGAGTGTGAGTTCTACACCAACATCTTCTTCAGGCGCATTCACGAGCGATACTTTCTTTTCCGTGAAAACCACTTCCGGAGTAGACAAAGCGAGTTCTTCAAGCTCTTGGATTCGAAGAACGCCGACATCACCAAATCGAATTTCACCAACGAGGAGATCTGTGTCATCTACCTAGTATGGATTCTTGGCCGCAAGAGTTTCCTGTTACAGCCACAAAGCGAGACCGAGATTGCCGCAGAGGACCTTGTTTCAGATTATGTCATAGACGACTACTTGAATGCTATACATCTATGTTTGTCTGGCTGTTTCTTCTCAAATGACCTCAATACGATCAGAATGCTCTACTTGACAAGCTTGTTTCACTCAACCATTAAAAATAGAAACGTGGCTTGGCATTTGATGGCCAACAGTTGCATCAAGTGTGTCGGGCTAGGCTTCCACCGACAGTTCCCCGTTTCGAAGCTGTCCAAGGTAGAGCAGGAAGACACAAAGATAGTGTGGTGGTCTTGCTTCCGTTTGCACATGAACAACTGTGCCATTCTGGGCCGTTTACCCAACATTTCACTTTATGAAGTTGACCTAGAGCCTCCCAAGTTGGACTTTATTGACGACGAATTGTTCAAGTGCTCCTATTGGGACGGTATCAAACTATTCAAAATCATGTTTGCCATTCTCAAAAACAGGGAATATCTTATCAAAAGTAAAAATCCTTGGTGTTCACAAAATTTTATTGAAGTGTTACAGATTAACAAAGACTTGACAAACTGGAAGGAGAGTCTAAGCCCTGAGGTAAAGGATTTCGTGGCTCCAAACGGTAGACGTTGTATTATAAAACTACACATGCAATATTATCATTGTGTCTTGTCTTTAACGGTGCCATATCTAATAGCTTACTCACTAAGGCCCAAGAAATCAAGTGATTCGAACGAAGAGATTATAAAGTTCTTGTCCATGGGAATCAAGTCCTCGATGGATCTTGTCGAGTTGATCAAAGCCTCCTCATGTGGTGTTGATTTCAACGGATTATTGTACTATGACCTCTTTTATGCTTACAATGCATTGATGTTACTATTGCTTGGCTTCACCTTGATCAAACATGGTGTAAAGGACAAGGAAAGCGAACAGTACAATGTTTTAGTCGACATCCTTTACCGAGAATACAGTGTTGACATTCAATCGATATTGAGCACAATAAATGAAATCAAAGATATCAACACGCGTTATGGTTCAACAGCAACAAGTGTTATGAAAGATGCAAGTAATAATATCACGCTACTTCTAAAGTATTTTAAAATTACAAATGATGGTACTTCTGAAGGTAACACATCTCAACCTGCCAATCCATTCAGCTTATCTTCTGGACAGGTACCCGTCTCCGATAACATACCTATTATACCCCAAGATCAATCAACTATGTACATGGGTGACACCAACAACATACATTTGAGTCCATCGTCTCCGTTTGACAGTTTTGTCAATGCAGATAACGAGTTTTTTGAGATAATACAAAGCATTAACACTGAAATCCAACCTAAACCGCTTGGACTAAATGACAAAATCTTTTGGGATTGGAACAAAATGTTTTCCATGGACGAATAGGAGTAGAAAAGTTTCTCCACCTTTTTGTCGCTGTTGTAATCTAATTTTAACGTTTCAGCTTTTTCCATCTCCTTCCCTTACCTAATAAAAACTTCTTCCGTGTATCTTTAAAAAAATTGTAACTACTTCTTTAATAACGAAGTTAATCCAAAAAGTGGCAATTAACAAATTTTGTGCCTTGCAGTTGATCTTAAAGCTCAGATTTTACATAATGGATGCCCAACCAACTATCGTCTTCCTTTCTTATAATTTTTGTTTTGCCTTTTGTTGTTGATTGCAACTATATCACCGATCTCGGTCTTTGCTCTTTCCAAGCTGACAGGTTTGCTTCCAATATATTTCCCGTTCTTTTCTCGGTAACATCTCAAATAGTCATCTGCGTCGGCAAAACTGATAAACGCAAATCCCTTATTTTCACCTTTCACATCATCACGGGGAACTTTGACTTTAGAGAGGGAAGGATATTCAATGAAAGTGCTCACTAGAAGATCCTCATCTACATCGTTCCCAATATTTCCCACAAAAAGTCGGTAATGGCTTGGATCCCATTCAATAAGTGTCTTATCATGCCAAATTCTACCGGTTTTAGGATCATGCCTTGTCACTGCCGTTTTGCTCAGTTCGCCATTACCATCATTGTCTTTCTTTGTGGTCTTTATCCTTTCCAAATTTGGATCTATGATAGCTGTTTGCTCACTGTGTAGATATTTGTTGGGGCGGAATGCAGCCGCCATACGACGATCCGAAACCTTGTAGGAATTGTATTTTTTTTTTGGTGCCTTTGACTGTTTTCTGTCTTTCATCATCATTACAAGTTTGTTGACTTACAATGTAACAAAAGCATCCATTAGGGAAATAAAGGGCTCGGAGAACTAAAATCTAAAAGATGTAAAAAAAGTTTCAAAATATGTTACCATATTGACTCGCAGTCGCTCAATTATTTATGACATTCATGTTGAGCTAAGAAAATCTTCCCAGCTACATCCTATCAGCCTTGACGTTGAGAAAGAAAGGGTGCTGATAAAGTAAAGCTGCTGGCTAACATTGTCATGCTACTGCCTATTATTAGACCATTTGGAGGTGTAAGGACGTCACTTTTCATGGCGTCCATGAAATCATCATTATTTTCACCAAGATTGTCCAACGTTTTTTTTTCAACATCATCTAAAACGCTATTCTTTAGATCTCAATTCCATAACAATAAAGAGTCTAAAGATTTGAGAAAAAATGATGGTAAAGATATTTTAGTTCCTCACCAAGGGACTGAGATTCCGGCCGAAGTTTTCGAAAAGAAGCAAGTTATTTCTAGACGTATACCAGGTGAAACAAATCAAGAGAACGACTTAAAATCAAGATTCCCAGCCTCTCTGAATTTTGAAAAAGAAGCTGTTCCAACTTTGCTTCCACGTCCTGGTGTGCCTGCTCCAAACAAATATCCATTAGCGAGACTTTACGATGCTTTGACTAAGAAGACAGAACCAGAACTTATATACGAAGCTGAACCCCACAAATTATATTTTGTCTTCTGTTATGCATTTGCTATGTTATTCATTCTCTACGGACTAAATGCATTTAATATTGGATATGGCCTTGCATGGGGGATGTATGAAGGTAACGAAATGAAAATGAATGAAACTCAATTGACTATTCAATTGGTAATGCATCTCGCAATAGTCACAACCCTAGCATCAATGCCATTGCTTGCAGGTCTTGCCTTTATACTTGCCCCATCTAGATTGATCAGAAGAATTTGGTACTTGCCACCAGTGAGTTCTACAGGCGCTTCCAGACCTGACGGTCAAGCCTTCGTTAGATTTACCACCCATCCCCTTTTACCAAATCGTCCAACCCCTGTTCATACTTTTCCTCTGGGAGTACTCCAGAAAAGTATCACTGCCAAGGTTTACAGTGGCAAAGGATTTTATGGAACCAACGATTCTTCGTTTTTTTTCTTTTTGAGAGAGGAAGGTAACAAAATCCCATTTATAGTCGATAGAAAGGGATTCTTTTGGGGAGATGGTCGTGTTTTCGATTTATTATTCAGTAATGACTCTATTGAGAAAGTCGAAAGTGCCAAGAAGATAGATGAAGTTTACGGAGACCTTATAAGGGAAAGAAAGAACAAAGAAATGCAAATGCGTAAAGAGTTGGGTTTTGGTTGGAAAACAAAAGCCAAGGCTAAGTTAATGAAAGAGGATATCGACAAATTAAAACAGCTCGTTACAGGAACTTCTGTTCCTGCTGTTAAAGCTGAGGAGAAGACCAATAATGGGATGGAAAAAGGCGACAGTAAGTTGCACAAGGAAAAACATGATTAAAATGCGACTCTCTTCGTTCCCCGACATGTAAATAGATCCCTTTCACGGAAGTCAAATTAACTTTTGCAACGTAAATAGATAAAATGAAAAACACTATTTACTTTTACATGAAAAAAAGGAAAATCATGCTAATAATGTAACATTAACCCGTGTCAATAATACACAAGGTCCACATATCCAACCTCTTTCGATATATATAATAAAATAACCTTCCTAAACCGATCGACTTTAAAATTATAGCCGAATAACTTAAGCTCTGATGTGCCACCGTCACCTTTTCCCATTAACGAGATCAACCCAAATTCATTTAAGAACTGCTGCCAGAAAAGAGCTAGCAGATCACTTTCTCTTTCGTTAAAATTCTTGAACTCATCTATTCTGTAACAATCGAAAAGCGGATCAATATCCTGTCTGAGCACTTCCGACTCGTAAAATTTGAAGATGTCAAAGTCCCTAATACCGTGTTCAAAAATAAACCAGTTTTTTAAATTGTTGATTAGCTTGCTGTTTATAAACTCGTCAAAAAAGGCCAATCTTTGCAAACTCTTGTGGCCTGCGAGGATGCTTAAAAGCTTCTTGTAATTATCCTTATTTAACGAGTCTGTAGATAACCATATGTTTTTCAATTTATGATGTTCTTGCAAAAAGCTCAGAACAGACTCAATTTGACAATCCTTGCAATTTTTCGTTGGGTTGATACGAATATCGTGTATGTTGAGCATATGTGGAGACAGACACGAAAGAACCGTATTCTTGTAGTTCAGCTCATCATTCGTGCTGCAATCCGCGTGCTTGATTCCTTTATGAGAATATTCGTAAATTTGTAAGCTTAACCATTCGATCTGCTGGAAAGGAATCAGTTTGACCAGGTTCGAAACCAACTCGCTTTGATCCGGACCAAAAAAACAATCTTTCAATTCAAGTTTTTTAAGAGAAGAAAAAACGTATTGTTGCTTCCCATCTTTTTTCTTCAGCAAGGGCGTGAAGAACGAAAACCATGTTGGTGCAGAAAGATGATTGAAATCTGTTTTATCGAATTTCAACTGTAAAACTTCCAACCTGGATAGAACATCATAATCACTGAAATTACATGCAATTTTTTCAAGTACATTTTCTGTGTTTTCTTGGAACTTCAGTCTCAATTTTGTCAACTTAGTCAGGTGTTTCAAAGGCAATTCCATGAAATCATCATTCTCATAAACCATTATTTTCAACTGTCTCAAGTTAGGCGTCTTGAGTAACAATCTGGAAACATAGCGCAGCGAGAACTTGGATACAATCAAGTTTTCTAGATTAGGCGTGTAATCTAACAAGAGCAAGAGACAGTCAAACATCGTCATTTTGGAGTTGATGAACGACAGCTGGTGCGCAATGTAACCTAATTCCTCAGGGGAAAGAAAATAATCTATTGTACTATTCCAAATCAGCTCATCTTCGCTCGCTTTGCTATCCTTCGACCGTTTCCAAGGCGATGGTTTCAAAGCAAGATTGATCTCAATCGTCTTGATGTACTTCCCATGAGAGGGGTTGGTCAAAACATTATAAACCAAAAGCAAAACGCTTTTTGCATCGACAATACTTGACATATTGTGGTAAACCCACCAACTTTCAGTCTCCAAAGCCTCGTCTTTGAAATTTCCAAAATGCTTCTGAATTATCAATTCCTCTTCGTCAGCAATATAGTCAAGATCCATTATCCTCACATGTTTGTATATATTTGGCTCCACTTTCTTTTTAAGGACCGAACACGTCATACTGAGCGACACAATGTCTTGGATCGATACATTACTGCAGATGTTATCTAAAATATTAACAGGGAAATCCTTCAAGTGTAATCGCTTGCCTTTCTTTTTCAAACATTTCTTGTGATGGTGAGAGGTCGATCTTTGTACTTTGTGCATCAACATCTCCAAATTTGGCTTATCTTCGTGGCTGCTTGCAGCTGACGAGCATCGCCTTGAAAAAGATGTCATCGCCACTGTCCGGTATGGGTAGTCTAAGTTACAGTCGAAGCACGTAGCCACGATCTTCGGACCGATCCAAGTTTATCGGGCGGCCGTGCAGGAAAGCAATATAGATTGGACTGTACGAGCTTTACCGTTCACGCGATAAGAAAATTTTCATGCTCACAGCTCCGTTTCAAATCCTGCAGCAAGCAACCATTCCCGGCCGCGTGACTGGAAACCATCCCAAACCAGTTGTTGGACGAGTCGAACGGTGTTATCTGCAAGGTGTCCGTCTCTTCTTGCAACGGAAAGTGGCACCAAGCTTCCTGAGAGACAGAATCGTTGCAGTTCGTCAGGGTGGGACTGTAGAAATTTTTCACCCATCCTCAGTAACTGCTCAGCAAGGCGTATGTTGGTCGGGGCGCTACTTTGTAAAATGGAAATGAGAGTTGGGAGGTAGTTAGTCTTGAGGATTTCAAACCCATCATCATCGTGTATAACATTCAGGTTTTTGAGTTCTGTGTGGGTGAGTTTGTCGATACGTTCCAGATCGGAGGGTTTGTTTCCGGCTTTTTCGTCACTCACGTTTAAGCTGGTGACTTCGAGATCGACATCACTGAACTCGAAGTCTGCATCCTTCTCTTTAAAAGACTCAAGGATGTTTTTCTTCTCTATGTCTTGCTCATTATGGGGATTGGGTAGTGGGCCCAGTTCTATGTCGGCAAGACTTCCATCCTCTTCATCGTCTGTGTTAATCTCAATGAACTCTAGTATGTTTTTTTTAACATGTTTAATCCAGGGGTGGTTTTGCAAAGTTCGGGCTCTAGATCGCAAGGTCGGGTTGTATTGGAAGCAGGATTCTAAAAACAGTTTGCAGCCGTCGCTTATTCCATGCGGATAGTCTATTTTGGTTCCACTCCCCACAGCATGGCATGCACTTAAAGGGCCACGGTTGCTGAATGGTGGGAACCCGGTCAGCATTTCCAGCACTGTTGCACCCAGTGACCAGATATCCGACTTGGGTGTCGCCATACGGTGAAGTATGATTTCGGGCGCAAGCCAATATGCAGAGCCATTGGCGGCTATCTTCTGCAGTTGCTTATTGCTGTTTTCTTTGCTGACGAGATGGTAGTCATCGTAGTCTTCTGTATTTTCATCGTCCCACTGGAAACTCAAACCAAAGTCGCAGAGTTTGATCACCCCATGCGGAAACAGTAACACGTTGGCTGCTTTGACATCACCATGCACAATACTCAGATTGGCAAGGTATACCAATCCCTCTAAAACTTGCGCCGTGATACCTGCACTAATAAGCTCGGAAACGCACTGCCGAGGCTGTGACCTTATGTATTTGAGTAAGGAACCGTGTGCTGAATATTCCATGATAATGTATAGATGCCGAGGGCTTGGCAGAGTGTGGTTGTAATGCCTCGGAGTGGCTGAGAAGGAAGAAGTTTCTCCTTTGTGCGCAACAGTACCCTCCATGTAATAGTGGAATATCGACACAATGTTTCGATGGTTCAGTCCTCTCATTATTTCTACTTCATTCAACAACGAACATAGGATATGCTGCCGCAGTTCGTTTCTCATCTCCGGATCCCTCGCTGGTGTGTTTGGTTTCGATGCCTTTTTCATCGGAGATTCCAGCATGTAACGGTGCGTCACCTCCTGAATATTAATCACTTTCATGGCGTATATCTTCCTCGTATCTGTAGAGTAATGTATTTTGTAAACCCTTCCAAATCCACCATTTCCTAGTAGCTGCAACTTATTGTTGTATTTTAGAAATTCATCGTGTGTAAGGGTATATTCTTCATTTTTCCTCATTCCACTCCCCGTTTTTCCATGACTCGCTACTCGATCTATTCGTCCCATCTGTGGCAACTCAACATAAGCCCGAGCTGGTCAGATTTTCACTATGTTGAAGGTTAAATAAAGGAGAATTGACGGGTCTTTGTAGTCGATTCTCCGAGACATGAAACGCGTACCCCTTTTCGGGCCCGCTTACGTAGGCAAGCAGACAGTAAATTGTACGCTGTCTTGGGAGAACGATAAGAAGGACTAGAAGGGCTTGATGCCTCTCGATGTGAAGAGTGAACAAGTGGATAACATTCAAGATATCCTGTAAAGCTACACGGTTTCTGTGATATTATTATTACTCCTGAAAAAATGGCCAAATGTAGGTGCATACAGCCCTAGATAAGGCCATGTCTATATGTGTGATTATACGGCTTTGTATGGTCTCATGGCTTACATCTACCGGTAAATCTTGGGTAGAGAGAACAGTCTCTGACGGTAAATCTGTTACATAACCATGCCAAAATTCTCTCCGTACCGAGACCGTAACCACCGTGGGGACAGGTACCGTAGACTCTTTGATCCACGAACCAGTAGTAAGGGGCTGGGTCCAATCCTTCTCTCTTGAAGGCGGCTAACAACTCGTCAATGTCGTCAATTCTCATGGAACCACCAGTGATTTCACCGACAGTTGGCATCAACACATCCACGGACTCGGTGACTAGTGGGTCGTCAACACATTTCTTCATGTAGAATGATTTTATGGCGACTGGGAATCTGTTCAAAAGGATTGGCACACCGATGGTGTCGGTCATTTTTCTCTCTGCAGCTTCAGCAATGTCATCACCGAACTTGAAAGGTTGTCCTTCTTCGTTAGGAATGCCGTTTTCGTTCAACCACTCGATGGCATGAGCGTACTCCATTCTCTTGAATGGCATTTGAGGAGGAACAAATCCAGGGTTCAACTGCTTGACCAAAGGACCTGCGACAGGGTCTTCCAAGACGTATTGGATGGTCTTGGTGATGACGGTCTCGATGTGCGTAAGCAAATCTTCAAAAGTCAAGAACGAGAGTTCTGCCTCTATGTGTGTGTATTCGGACAAGTGTCTTCTGGTGTGGGACTTCTCAGCACGGAACGATTCCTGGATACAGTAGACGTCACCGAGAGCAGGCAACAAGGTCTCGAGGTATAGCTGGGACGACTGGGTCAAGTAGGCTTCTTCACCGTAGTAGTCCATCTTGAACAAGGTGGAACCACCTTCGACCTGGGTCTGGACCATACATGGAGGAGTGACTTCACACAAGCCTTCTTCCTGGTAGACTCTTCTGATGGAAGCCAAGAGGGCGGCACGGACCTTCATGACTGCAGAAAGCGTTTCACCACGCAAGGTCAAGTGTCTTCTGTCGAGCAAGAGCGAAGGGTCGGCGTCCTCGGCAACCTGGTTGGTGAAGGAGTCCTTCCCACCTGGCGCCAGGCCAATGACCTCGTAGTAGTCCGCAACCAGTTCGACACCGCCTGGGGCAGACTTCCCCTCTGGCAACTTGACAATGGTACCGTAGATAGCAACGGTCGATTCGACCGTCAACTGCTGTGTCTGGTACGCGTTGGCCAACGGGCCCGAAAGAACACACTGGACGTACCCAGACCCGTCTCTGAGGACAATGAAGGCAACACCCTTCTGGACTCTCAATCTGTGGATCCAACCCTGCACCTTGACTCTCTCGTCGATGTTCTTCGAGATCTTAGCAAGCTTGATCGTCTTGGCTGTAGGCAAGCTCTTGTCCTCGGCGATTGTGATCTTCATTGCTTCCAGCATCTTGGCGCTTTCTTCAGCGTCCTTGGCAGCCTTCTCCTCCGCCTGTTTCTTCGCCTTCTCCTCTTTCTTCTTCAATCCTTCAGCTCCCTTCTTAGCTTTCTTGAGTGCAGACGCAGAGATTTCGTAGTAGCCCGCATCAGACTCCTCAGTGGCGTCCTTGTGCACAAAGATCTTTGCATCTGCCTGGCAGACGTATAGTGCATATGCGGCAGACTGGTATGGTGATCCTTCAGCGCCAGTTGCACTGGCGGCGTCGGCTCCGGCGGTTGGGTGCACGTACACGGTAGACATATTTATTCTATGGCTTAGTGGGCTGGCGTGTAACCTGTTGCTTGTCCACGATCAAGCGTCTAAAAGAAGTGCTCATCCGACCAATCCATGACTCAAAAGTCTCTCCATGTCGTGAAAAACGTCCACCGCAGACGCAAAAGACGGCATTCTCGAAAAAAAAGTCCCCGCGGGCGATCGGCCCGGTTCGTTTTTGGAACGGTCCCGAGGACATGAATTTTCCAGTGAAGGCAAGAGACCCGGACAGGTGGGGTAGGGCCAGCAGCAGGCTCTGCAAGGGGGCTGCAGGAGGAAACAACCACAGACATAGTACCTACTGCATCAGCACATTGTTTTCTACTGCTACGATCAGTGTGTCCACCATGTTGTCTGCGACCGTTAAGAAATACACAGCACGCAGCGCAGCCGGAGTTGCAACCATGGCCAGAAGCTACCATACACTCGAATCGCTAGCCAAAACGTCGCCGTACACTGCGCTCATGAGGCCGGATGAAGACGTTCCGACGCCGGACAAGGTGAGTATTGCGGCGTCAAAGACCCCGAGACAGTTGAAGTCTGGCTTCTTCACATACACGTACCCGACGGAACGGAAGGCGTACGAGTTCTTGAGCAGCTCCACGCGGGCCATGCTTGATCTCGGCTTGGACCCGAACGCGGAGCCCAAGTCCCAATTCTTCAGAGACATTGTGTCCGGGAAGACCACGTACGTGTCGGAGAAGGACGGGGTGCATCCGTTTGCGATGGCCTACGCCGGGTTCCAGTTCGGGAACTTTGCCGGCCAACTAGGAGACGGCCGGGTGGTGAACTTGTTCACGGTGAAGAACCCGGAGACGGGGAAGTCGTACGAGCTCCAGCTCAAGGGCGCTGGTAAGACGCCGTTCTCGCGTTTTGCGGACGGCAATGCTGTGCTCAGGTCGTCGATTCGGGAGTACGTCATCTCCGAGAGCTTGAACGCCATTGGGATTCCCTCCACGAGAGCGTTGGCGATCACCGCTTTACCTGAAAACAGGGCGCAACGGTCCGGCGCCGAGATCTGCGCCGTTGTCTGCAGAATGTCTCCAACGTGGCTTAGAATTGGCCATTTCGACTACTGTCGGATGAAGGGGGACAGGAAGGGCCTACTGGAGCTCTGCGACTACATCAACGGCGAGGTGCTGGACGGTAAGAAGTACACGAAGGAGTTGGAGGACTTCATCGCCGGTGACGAGAAATTGAAGCAGTTAGAGCTGACCGACTACGATAAGCTCTTTTTGGACATTGTCATCCGGAACGCCAAGTCGGTCGCGTACTGGCATACGTACGGGTTCTTGAACGGTGTCTTGAACACGGACAACACCTCTGTGCTTGGGTTGGCGATCGATTTCGGGCCGTTTGCAATCATGGACAAGTTTGATCCGAACTACACCTCGAACAGCGAGGACCACACGTTGAGATACTCTTTCAAAAACACTCCTTCGGCGATATGGTTCAACATGGTTAAGTTGGCCGAGTCTTTGGCCGAGATCTTGGGGGCCACTCCGGAGCTCTTGAAGGACGAGAACTTCCAGAAGAACGGGTTCCCGGACGAGAAGTCCATTGCGGCCGCCACAGCACGAGTCAACAGTCTTGTTCAGGCTGCCGGCGACGTCTACGAGAAGGTTTTCATCGAGGACTACCTGCGGTTGGTCTGCGGCCGGTTGGGCATCACACCAAAGGAGTCGGACAACTCGGAGATCCTGGGTCTCTTGTTCGAGACGTTGCAGGTGACTAAGCTCGAGTACAACAAGTTCTTCACGATTTTGCAGAGCTTGCCCTTAAGGGACGACGACTTTGACGCCGGGTTGGCCGCGTTGGCGTTTCTCCCAGAGTCGCTGCAGGCGCCCGAGCAGAAGGAGGAGCGGGACAAGGTGTTGAAGGAGCTCCGGGTCTTCCTCACGATCTTCAGGGCTCGTGTTGAGGAGGAGTTTCTCACGGACGAGGTCCGGCTGGAGCGTGCACGGGGATCCAACCCGCTCTTTGTTCCTAAGAACTGGGTTTTGGACGACGTGATCTCGTATACGACGGAGAAGCTCCGGGCGAAGGCCGGCGAGGCCGAGGCCGGTGCGTACTTGAACAAGATCATGAAGATGGCGAACAACCCGTACGACCGGAGCAGGTGGGGCGAGGAGCTCAAGGACGTGGAGGAGAGATGGATGTCCGACGTGGACGACTCGAAGATGATGCTGAGCTGCAGCTGTTCGAGCTGAGGCGGTCTACGCGGAATACACGAGTGTTGTTTTTGGCAGATATTGTATTTAGTTAAATAATGAAAGCGGGTGCCCGACACGGGCGCCTCAGGCGGTCAACTTGGCGGTGACCTCGGCAAACTCCTTGCCCTGGATCTTGGCGATCTCGAGCTCCAACGCGGTGGGGACCCTGCTGCCGTCGGCGCCGGCAATGGTGCCTGCGCCCCACGCAGACCCGCCGTGGACCTCGTTCAAGTTGGTGAGCTGCGGGAACACGGACGCAAACCCGAGCGGCACGTAGATCATCGAGTGGTGCACAAACGTCGAGAGCGCTGTCACCGCCGTCATCTCGTTGCCTCCGCCCGTCCCCGTGGAGACAAACAAGCCGAACGGCTTGTTTTTCAAGCTGCCCTTAGCCCAGAGCGAGCCCGTGGAGTCGAAGTACGCCTTCAACTGCGCAGGCATGTTGCCGTACCGGGTGGGGATGCCGAACGTCAGTCCGTCGCACTCCGTCAACGTGTTCAAGTCCGAGATCGGGTATGGCAACTTGCCTGGCGAGCCCAATTTCTTCACTAGGCTCTCTGGCAACGTCTCCTGGACCTGGTAGATCTGGCATTCGTGGCCGGCGGACTCGACTCCGCTCTTCACGGACTCCGCCATCTTGGCGATGTGGTGGTACAACGAGTAGATGACGATGTTCACTTTCTTGGCGGACATGGCTTTGTTTTCGCTGTGCGTGTTTGCAAACGACGTCCTCGAGGCAATTGGTGCCACCCTTGCTTCCACCGCCCCTGGAGGGCAGCCCGTGTACCTTTTATATGCTGCTGCTGCTGCTGCTGCTCCGTACAGCCCGTGGCCCAGTTCCGGAGAGGCTGCGTGGAGTCAGCAGCCTTCGCTGACATAAGACTCGCGCCGCTTCTTAGTAAGGACACCTCATCTTCTGTTCCGCGGAATGACGACAGCGACAAGTCCCGGGAGTGCTTACCTAATCACCTTTCTTCGTTTTCTCGCGAAATCCGCACGTGACTGCCACGCCGATCTCTGTCGCGCCGCGACACCGGCTGCTGTCGCAGCTTCCTTCTGCATCGGGAAATACCACAGATGATTTTCGGCCGTCGCCCTGTTCTGCACCAAGCCCACGGGTGCACCTCACACTAATTGCAGAGCCGCCATTTCTGTGTCTATCTTCTCCCCCTGAACCACATCAGTCACAAAAGATTGCGGCAATAAAGACCATGCACAAATACTGCCGAGATCCACACGGGGCAACAGCATCCTTGCCCTCTCGATCTGCCTAAAACGGCAGTCCGCCTGCCCCTTTTGTCGGGCGCCGGAGGCGCCCGGCTGTTGGCTGCGCAGCACGCAAACTCGGTAGCACGCCACGCCGGGCTGTTGCTACTTCTTCTGCGTGTGTCACGACGGCTTGCACCCCTATCTGACCTATCTACCTCGATGCCATCTTTCGAAACCTCACTCCGTCCCCCGTTGTCCCTGCCCACGTTGTGCGCTCGGCAATAGCGCCCCCCCCCCCCTCTTCTCTGTCTTGCCCCGTTGCGCTCGGCACCCCGCTGCGCCGATCTTTTCGACGCTCGGAAGCCGCAGCAGCCTATTATAGCGCAGACATTCACTACAGCCGCAGCCCCGTGCGCGCCCATGCGTGCAGATACCCCCCGGATAGGAACCTAACGCTCAGGCAGTGTGGCCGCAGCGAGGGCTCGCAGGGTTCCTCGGCTCAAGCATCGGCAAAACGGGGCCGAGTACATAGAATGCTCGGCTGAAGGGTCGGGCAGGCATCGAGAATATAAATGCTCCTGTCTGCCTCGGTCGGATTGTGCAGACCAGCGAAAGAGCCAGGAGGTGCAGGAGAAGGGGTGATTGAGCTGTTTCTCGGTCCTTAGTTCGCCAGCATCACTCCAGACAAAAAGCACCAAGGATGTTATTCAGCAAAGCGATCGTTGCAGCATGTATGCTCGAGTTGGCAGCGCCATGGGCTGCAGCTACTGCAGAGGCAGACCACAAGTATTTATCGCTCAAGGCGTACAGAGAGTACGTGACTGACGAGAGATTGGTGAAGCGGTCCAGCAAGTCCAGCAAGTCGGACAAGTCGTCGTCGTCGTCGTCGTCGTCGTTCCAATCGGACTTGGACTTCCTGAGATTGGGCTTCTACATGTCGCTGCAGGTGGGGTCGAACAAGGACCCGGTGAAGGTGGTGGTGGACACGGGATCCTCGGACCTGTGGTTGCCAACGCCGGACGTGTGTGCAGACAGCGACAGCGACAGCAGCAGCAGCGACGCTTCCGACAGCTCCAGCAAGAGCAAGCCTAAGGACGACAGCGACGATGACGACAGCAGCTCCAAGAATACCTTCAACTGCAAGAAGTACGGCTCCTTCGACCCTAGCAAGTCCAAGACGTTCCACTCCAACAACACCGAGTTTGGCCTCAGCTACGGTGACACCTCCGTCGCCATCGGCGTCTGGGGTCAGGACACCGTCACCATCGGCAACACCAGCATCAGCAACGTCAACTTAGCCGTCGCCAACTTCACCAACGCCAGCAGCGGTATCATCGGTATCGGTTACGAGGCCACCGAAGCCACATACTTCACCCACTCCAAGAACAAGTACAAGTACCTCAACTTCCCTGCCCAGCTTGTCGCCGACGGCATCATCAACAAGGCCGCATACAGTTTGTTCCTAACCGAGCACGGAGACGCCGAAATCTTGTTCGGTGCCGTCGACGCCAACCAGTACTCCGGTACCCTCTACCAGTTCCCAATGGTTCCTGTCAACGCCTCGTCCTCCGAAATCACCAGAACCGCCATCACCGTCAACTCCTTGGCCCTCAACAACGGTAAGCTCGAGGGCTTCGCTCTCCAGGGTTACGTCCCAGCCGTCTTGGACTCCGGTACCACCTTCGCTGCCATGCCTGTCTTCATTGTCGAAACGATTGCCAACTTGCTAGGCTTATCCTTTTCCAAAGAACTCGAGCAGTTCTACGGTGATTGTGACATCGCCGAAGGCGTCAACTTTGTCTGGAACTTCCAAGGTGTCGAGCTCACCTCCCCAGTCTCTTCCTACTTCACCAACATCATTGAAGACGACGAATCCCAGGGCTGTCTCCTCCAAATCAGACTCACTGATGACAATTTCATCATCTTGGGTGACGCATTCCTCAGAGACTTCTACACCGTCATTGACTTGGAAGACGACGTCGCCGCCTTGGCCTACAAGCAGAACAGCACCTCAAGCAGCATCCAAGTCATCAGCAGCTCCATCCCAGGCGCTTCCAAGGCTCCTAACAGCAAGAGCACCTTCGGTGGCAAGAACTCGGTCTACACCTACTACGCCTCCGAATTGACCACCACCGCCTTCAAGAGCAGCAAGATTCCTACCTTAGAAACCGACTTCCAAACTATCACACTCGGCGGCGAAGCTACCGCCAGCGGTGACGCCACCGAATCCTACGATTCCTACTCTGGCTACTACACCGACGAGTACAGCTACTCTGACGCCTACACTGGCGACTACTCCTACTCCTCATACGAGGACACCTTCCAAACATTCGCCACCCAAAACACAGCACACGGCTCCCACCACAGTTCCGCCGCATACTACATGGCCAAGGACAAGACCACTGCTATCTTCACCAACTACGCCAAGGCTGCCAATGCAACCAGCAACTCTGGCAGCGGTTCCAAGGCCTCCATTGTCGCTGCCACCGCCTCCGCTTCTCCATCTTCGAGCTCTGAAAACGGTGCTGCTGTCGCTGCCTCCTACAGCACTGGCTTCGCATTCTTCGCACTTCTTGCCTCGCTATTCATCTAAGGGCAAAGCACCTTTTTTTTGGTCTTTGTCTGTTTGTGTGTTAATAATAACTTACCCCCAGTATTGTTGAATTACTGTTTTATCTCTAAATTTTGAATTCTTGAATGTTATTCTCTCATAGTTACACTGCAGCAGCCCCTACGCCGCCTCCACTTCGCCGCCCCCACTCCGCCCCCTTCCCCTCTTCCCCTCTTCCCCTCTTCCCCTCTTCCCCTCTTCCCTCCTCTAGACATTTTCCCGATCTGCGGAAGAACGTTCCGCAACGAACAACACCGCTTTTCTTCCGACCTTCTCGACAATCTTCCGATCGCACCCCTCGGTTCCTTCTAGCCGCAGGGGCGCCTGCTGCGTGCAAGCCCTCGTCCATGCAGCAAAAACATATTGCCGAGCGCGCCAACTCTAGTGCTAATGCCCCGTGTTGCACCGATCCGCCACAGCGAAGTCAAACAGCTTATCTCAAGCCGCATGCATGTCTCAGCTAGAGTCTAAGCGCTAGCAAAACTGATATCGCGGAAAAGAAAATAGCTCAGAAACAACCGAAGCAGTAGCGAGCGGGCTCCAGTGAGCCTCCGTGGATCTGAGGCTGCAGACACAGCCAGTATTCGTCATGGCTCTACGCAGACAGCAGCCGTCCCGGATGGAAAAGCACCACAGCAATGGTACCGTGTTTCCGCAGACTAATGTCATCGCCAGGGGGCAGACATAAGAAAGATTGCGTTGGTTTCATTCAGCCAGGTACTCCTGTCCAATTAGAGACAGACAAGGTTGTCGAAGATACAGACAATATTGTCGACAGCTTTGCAGCACTCTTTCTTGGCTAAGGAACACAACGGGCAGTATTGGCTGCAAACTGCGAGAAGGAATTGATACTTAGAGTAAAAGGCGAGCTTGCTGGCATGCTTTATCTTGCGAGGGGGTGTAAGGATTCGGAAAATAACGTCTGTGCAAGATGCTCCACGCCAGATCGCGTGCATTGGCGGGCTGCTTTGGGGTTTGCTTGCGTAAGCTGGCTTGTGATCGGCGTGCTTATGTAATCTGGTCGTGTCAAACGGCTTTGTTTACCTTTTGGCCCGATTGGGAATGTGTGCTCGGGTTGATCGTGTTTTCGTTTTTTTCTTGGTTTCACCACGCATGCTACACTACACACACATTTCTAACTTCTTTATCGGTTTCCAGGGCCCCAGTTTGTGACAAGTCTCCTTTCTGTGTGCCGTGCTTTCCAGCAACAGCAATATAAGCCTTGTCTGCGAAATCCCCATCTGCCGTAAAACTTATTCTGACGGAAAGAGAGAGAGAGAGAGAAAGATAGAGGGAAGATATGTGCAGCACAGGAATGCCGACAAAGGAAGATGGCAGCAGCCCCACCACAACTCCGATCACCAGGATCAAATCGATAATTCCCAACTCCAAGTCCAAAAACAACCTCTTCATGACTTTCTTCGACAACACAGACCCGATCGTCAGGTCGTCTTCGCAGTACATCATCACACAAACAAAGGAAGACCTGTACAATGAAAACTACTGGTCGTTGATGATCCCTTCGGCAGCGTACTTTCATGTGTACAACTCCGTCCTAGGTGACGTGTTTGCCATGGTCTACAACAACAACATCAGAAACGAGAAGAACCATTCGTTGTCCACATTCATAATATCCAAGCACGGCTGCTCCGTACACCCGGAAATATACCTTTCTGCAGACTCGAAGTACTACCCGGCAGTGGAAAACTTGAATCCCTCGTTGAAGTCTAGCAAAGTCCGCAAAGCGCTTGCAATCTCTTTGTTGAAAACGTTTGCAGACTTGAACTCCGACATCACAGACTCGCTCTACAGTCAGGCGGACTTACCAAACAAAACCTTTGACTGGGATGAAACGCAAGCAGGCTTGTTGGCCTCGCAAATGACTCTCCTAGACGCATTACCCCCTTCTGATATTGGCTCCTACCTTTATGAACTAGGGTACCTTACCCAGAGCCTATCGACAGCTTCTTATGTTGTCGACGTCATATACACAGATCAACCGGGAAACGAGTTGCTTTCGGAACAAAATAACGCCCTGGCATTTTTGCTCGGTAAACAACTGGAGCAGCTTTTTGATCCCTTGACAGAGTATTCCCCAGAGCCAACCGAAAAAGTCTACAAGCCCCCAATCGACAATTTTTCAAGCTGCATGGAAGAAGACAATGACTTGATATGCTCCATTTGCTCAGAACTGATTACCGTCCAAACCAACTACACAGTGTCCTTAGTGCAGTTTCTGCAGAATTTCATAGTGCCCTTACGCATAAAAGTTTTAGAAGGGAAGCTGCCAGGATATTCCACTGCTAAGTTAAACCAAATATTCCCTCCCACTATAGATGAAGTGACAAGAATAAACTGTATCTTTCTAGACATGTTGAAGCTGGCTCGACCTTATGGTTCCTATGAGATACTGAAAGCATGTGGTACAACGATACCCTACTTCTACAAGGCTCAAATGCGACACGAAGCGGCAACGAAGAACTTTCATTTGAACTATCTCAAATTCGTGGCGGATGTTAATACAAGTGACTGCTCAGATTTGTTATCTCTGGATCAACCAACTGTTGAGACTGCAGTTTATTCTTCGCTAAATCTAGTGAAAATTCAATTAATCATTCAGCGTCTTGTGAAAAACCAAACATGGCCTGATCAGTTGAAAGATAGCGTGAACATATATTTAGACTCCTGTGATGATACCATTTCTTCGTTTGCCAACGATAAATTACTACCTTACAACGGACGTATATTTACCCCCACAGGAAAAATATTAGCAGAAATAGCAAAAGGATGGCCATCTGAACTCCAGTTTGGTTGGCTTACCAGGCGGGTCGTTGCTGTTTTTGATGCAACAGACATCCTTGCCAATAACGTTAGAAACAAATCGGTAATCATCGTCTTTAGCGACCACGCACTCTTTCTAACAATTGATGATGATGAATACTATGCCGACCTTTGGAGAGGTAATGAATCACAGGACACCAATAATGGAAAGAACAAAATCGCTAACACGGAATTGTCGGCATCGATGTCAAACTCAGATTACGTATCAAGCTCAATACATAAACCTTCTGTATCCGATATACTGATGCATTCCCTCACAAATGAGACACCATTAAACAAACTACCTCACATGAGTGTTAAATACTGGGCTAGTATCAATGATTTGCATGCATTGCACTTTGTTTCAAGCGCTCAGTCGGCTGACAATACTCCCAATTCCTATGTCAGATTCTTTAATGAAAAAGATTCCTCCTTCACGGGAATTTATCAGCTCGATAAAGTTTCTGGAAAATATGTTACTGAAGTGCTGGCACGTTCTAAAATATTAAACAAGACTCAATCATTCCATCTTTTTTGTGGCTCCATTTCTAATGATGACTTGAAACCAACAGAAAATTCTGACGATAGTGAAAACCAAAATGGTACAATAACTAAAAGAGTCTATTACACTGCACACGAAGCCTCAACCTATGAGAAGGAAGACACCAAATCACCATTTATCGTACTCTTCAACAAGGAGTACAATGATGATATACTTGATGAATACAATGTCTACGCCTTCATTACTTTAAACTTTGTTAAAGATGACACCATCAGAATGGAAGGTATTTCAAGATGCAGAATTGATGGCCATGAAAAAGAGAAACTTTCCTATGATGTCAACGTAGATATCCTAAGTGCTTCTCTATCGTTAATTCTAAGTGAACTCTTCTCTACTCACATGAGTCTATATAACCCGATGCTAATAGATTACTTACTAACAAACAATGGTCAGGTCAACTCTCAAGCTTCCAAAGTTCTCAATGTTCCACTGGAAGTATTAGATTCTGATAAAACAAAAATCATTGATTCAGTAATGAAAAGTAAAAAGGAGCGGGATATTGTTAATAGCGTTGCCAATGACAAAAAAGATAGAAGGAAATCCTTAGAATTATTATCAGAAGATATAAAGACCAAAAAGTTGACCAAAGCCCTGCAAAAAAAAGAAGTCAAGGAGAACAAGGAAGTTAGATTTCAAGCAGCCCCAACAATGAAGGATCAGTCAAAGACTTCCAACAACCCACCTAGAAATCTAGAAAAGTCAAGTAAAGGAGGAAAAGCTAAAAGTGGGTTTTTCAAGTTTTTCAGCAGACAAAAACCATCGAACAAAACACCAGCAGCTAACAAACAGCTTAAGCGTAATGCAACTGTGGTATATCAGAAAAAAGAATCTACCCAAAAGAATTATGATTATTCTGAGCTGAAGCCAGCTAAGCCTAAAATACAGAAAAAGAAAAGCTCTCAATCGTTTACCCTTTTCTCGCTCAAATCCAACAATCTTAGTGTAGCTAAACGTGAGGCCAAAGTGCAACCTGTCAAAAAGGAAGTTTCTAAACCCATAATTCCCAAACCAAATAATTTTGAGTCTTCTATAGCCAATCCCATCAGTCCTCAAAAGATTGTTGATAATAATGCGACATCTGTCTTAGAAAAGGAAGATATCACTGAAATGGGTCACCGTCTAACGAATAGCCAAACTGATAATACTACATTATCTACAGGAATATATGTCAATTCTCACTTTGAGTTTCCAATGGAATCTGCGCCAGCTTCCCAAAATGTTGATAATGATAAGTCCAGTGCTCCTGTGACTCCTAAGATTGCTAAATTGAAAGATGGACCTGGCCATACCAAGGGATACAAGGACTCTGTTGATCTTATGGGGAAGCTGAATATTCAAATAGAGGATCCTAAAGTCTACGATGACGACTTGTTTGAGTTGAGCTCAAACAATGTCTCTAAAACGTTGCAGAAATCACATGAGCAGTTTAATATTATGAAACCTAAATCTATTCATTCGGAGACTACACAAACCGATGATACTAATGTGTTTACACCAAAAGCCTACGACTTTACACCTGTAACTCAGATATCGAGCAGGAACCCTGCAGAAGTGAAAGACTCTGATTACGTTGACGAAAAGTTTTACAACAATAATATGGCTATCAAGACTGATCAACAAAACAAGAACAATATCATTGATGCTAATGTCAAAAGAAATCCATGGAGGGTGATGACTTTGCCGGTGAAATCTCCTGAAGTGGATCCCGATATGATTAGCTTGCAAAGATCTAAGTCATTCTATACGAGGTTCAAAAACATGCGTGAGAGACAGGAACAAATGTTGAAAGAAAATGGTATGACGCTTGTGCGTGATCTAAGCGACTTGCCGATAAAAGATAGGAAAGCTTTGTCGCAGGGATTTATCTTCAGTCCAAGCATTTGCTCCAATTTGGACAAATCAATACTGGATAACGAGAACACAAATTGGACATCAATGGATAATATTATGCAAAGTACTTCCACTGAAACAGATTTACCTGCCATAGCAAAATTAGCTCCACAAAAACCACCCAACCTCACCACAAAACCTTTAATTAGCTCCCCATCAACGTCTATATCAGTTGTCGAAAGGAAAATTGTGCAAACCAAGCCGATAGTGAAGGAAAGTCCTGAAAATAGCAGAAGTATTTCCACCTCATCGAGTGTTTATTTAACCTCAGAAGACGATGCTTTGAAAACATATGATAACTTGCAAAGTGCTTTGAATGCCATTAACCCATACTCCATGGTAATTGATGACACAAATCAACCAGACATATATGAAGACGAATTGAAAGAAGTTTCAAGTTATCACGTCATTGATGACAATGATGATGCTACTATACTTCATACTCCAGTGTATCACTCAGAAAGTGTTTCCAATGTTAAGCTGTATCAAGATGACATAGATTTTTTCTCTGATTTAGATTTGGATAAGATGGATTTGAACATAGATATGAATTTTCCTGATGTTTCAGAATTGTTAATTAATTCAGTCAACATAAAACAAAAGCCAATGCATAAAAGTAAAAGCTTTGTGACGAATATGGAATCCAACGAAACATTAAGTCCAGATTTTACAATAAGAGATTTAACCATAGGTAACCTCGATGACACGATCATGCATAGCCAAATTGACACTTCTTTCGATTCGGCTCAAACCAATAACTTCAATTCAAATATGCTGATTAGTGATAGAAGAGATGGAACCTACAATAAAAAAGATGGTGCCCAAAAAAGTGGTTTTTCTAGGTCAGATACTGCCTTTGCGTTAAATGCTCTTTTGAAAAACAAGTCTTACGCTTATCTGCAGGATGTTTTTAACGGCGATTATGAGTCATGCGATGACATCGGTTCCAAACCGGAAACAGGACTGATGACACAAATTTTTGATGAGGAATTTTCCGAATTCGAAGACTCAACTTCTGATTCAGTCCTGAGGTCCAAAAAGCAGACAAAGAGCAGCAGATTGAAGAGAGAAATGACAGATTACGACATTGTATATTACCAGAAACTTCTGAACAGTTCAGTGAACTACTTATCGAGCTATACCAACGACGAAGAGGTATACTGATAAATTTATATTCTATAAACAATTTAATTTCGAGTTAGTTTTTTTTTTTTAGTCACAGATTTTTTTTTGAAGAAATTTGAAAGCTGTTTAATTCTAAAATTTCCTTTATTCTTTTCACAATATATATACAAGAATTCTAAATTTTTAACGGAAGATAACTACCCTAGACGTCTATTATTTCTCAACACTTTTGGAAGCCCTTTGATATGGCCCTTGTCGGAATCATTTATTATCATGAAAACACGTCCACTCTGATTCATTCTCCCTGTTCTTCCGGCACGGTGGACTAAGTCTGCTGAATTTTTTGGGACGTCGAGTAAAATAACGTTCCTGATACCTTGGAAATTCAACCCCCTACTCAACAAATCAGTACATACTAGAACTTTAAGTACTGGTTTTGCAGGATCTTCTAGCTTTTGAGCAGGAACAACGAAGGTAGCTACTTTGCGTTTCCTTTCCTCTGCTGTATCCTCTGATGTTATGTATGTCACATCGTGACCGTAACTTTTTGATAACTTTTCTGCAATTTTGGAACAATCTTCTTTTTTATTGACGAAAACAATAACACGCTTTTCATATCCTTGTTCGGTACCGTCACAGTGGATGGCATATAATGCTTGAGCCAAAGCCTTGATTTTCGATCCTTTATATGGTGAAACGGAAGCGTTAATCATTCTGAATTCTATAGATTTCGGAAGCTTGTGCAAACTTGGGGTAGAAATGTTGATAACATCAGGAAATAAATGATCAATTGTTTTATTGAATCTCGAAGGAATAGTCGCCGATGCAAAAACCAAAGATGAGAGATTGGTCATATGTTTAATTATGTTGTTCGTTTCATCAACAAAAGAAGGATCCATCAACGTATCTGCTTCGTCTGCAACACAGAATGAAACTGAACCAAAGATCATCTTCGGATTTTGAACGGAAGGGTATCTTGAAAGAGAATTCAGCTTACCTGGAGTGGTTACCATGATATCGATACCTTTTTTGAAATTTTCAATGAAAACTCTAAAATTAGACTCGGTGTCCCACTTCAGTACGTTCAAGTTGAGTTTTTTCGCAGTATATTCGACAGTCTCATGAACCTGGTCGACAAGTTCATGTGTTGGAACAAGAATCACAGATTTGATACCTGCACGGTGCTTGATGTATGGGCTGGTGGCTTCGACCACTTGTGGCTCGTTCGTCCCATCGTTTCTTATCTCGACATCAGTTGTCATCGTCTGTTGATGTTCCTTGTGACCTTCCAGCAACTGCTGTAGTAGAGGTGCCATATATGCCCATGTTTTACCGCTACCAGTTTCAGCTGCCAGTGTGAAAACTTTCAAGAATTCATGGTTTTGCCTCTTATCGTTAATGATTTTGATAGCTGCAGTCTGGATGGGTGTCGGCCTAATAATCAAGCCATTTAGCTCGCCTTCGGTTTTCACCTTTTTGGTGTTTGAGACGTAGTTTTGCGAGCGTAGAACAGTGTGTGCCTTGATCTCTTCTATTAAAGCACTCCGGATCTCAGGATAAATTTTCAACTCGTTGAAGTCTGTGATCTTGTCCACAAGCTTTTTGATGCCTTCACGTGATCTTTCATCGGGGAGATTAAGGGGAGAATAAGATCCAAACTTGTAAGGTGGGTAATTATCTACAGTCGGAAGTTTGAAATTCTTGGATCCACCTCTTCTGGCGACCCCTTGGTCCTTTCTTGTTGAGCTAGAAGGTGCAGATTTCCCTCTCGAGGAAAAATGGGCCAGACGGAGAAGCGAAGGAGCGGTCTGCCTGTGAAGGGCTCTGCTATGAAGTTCGGCGAACATCTTTGATCTGCTGCAGGTATCCTTCTGTGCTTTTTCGGGCCAGAGGAGAGGCAAGTGGGAAGGATCAGACAGACTGTTAAAGTAGGATGAAAAATCCTAAAATTCAATGCAAGACAGTTCCCGATAGAGTAAGTAAAGAAAAAAAGAGAGGAAAAGTTGAGAAGACGATCGCGACAGCGGAAATGTTGTTTTTGCAAAATGAATTTTGAGATGAGCGGAGAACTCCTGTGTTTACATGAGCAGCGGGTGCTTCTGTGTCCGTCCAGGCCAAGCAGAGACAGGCAGAGGCCGCAGCAGCAGGATGCAGGACAAGACGCCGGTGCAGAAAAGCATGTCAAGGACGCCACGGACACGGGAGCCGGATGTGTTCCACAGATTGAGCATGCCGCGGCGCAGCACGGTGCTGCCGAGCCAGGGAAAAGGCCAGACACGTCAGTGGAAGCTCACGGACTTCGAGATCGGGAAGCGCCTGGGGAAGGGCAAGTTTGGCAAGGTGTACTGTGTGCGCGAGAAGAGCAGCGGCTACGTGTGCGCGTTGAAGGTGATGTCCAAGCAGGAGATCGTGTCCTACCACATCGAGAAGCAGATCATCCGCGAGATCGAGATCCAGGCCAACATCCTGCACGAGAACTGTCTTGCGCTCTACGGCTGGTTCCAGGACGACCAGAACGTCTACCTCGTGGTCGAGTACGCCGCCCACGGCGAGCTCTACAAGACCCTCACCAGGCTCAAGCGCCTCGCCGACCCGCTCGCCTCCTACTACATCTACCAGGTCGCCCGTGCCTTGAAGCACCTCCACAGCAAGCACCTCATCCACAGGGACCTCAAGCCCGAAAACATCCTCATCCACCTCGACCACCGCGTCAAGCTTGCCGACTTCGGCTGGTCCGCCTACGTCGGCGGCGACCCGGCCCCCAACACCGGCAACAGAAGAACCACCATGTGCGGCACTCTCGACTACCTCCCGCCCGAGATGGTCGAGGCCCGTCAGCACGACCAGCGCGTCGATGTCTGGGCTCTCGGTGTGCTTCTCTACGAGCTCCTTGTTGGCCATCCACCCTTTGAGGAGAAGCATGCTGGCGACACCTACAAGCGCATTGCCCGGGTCGACTTCTCCGTCCCCGAATGGGTTGACGCCGACGCACGTGACCTTTTGGCAGGGCTTTTGCGGTACGACGCGGAACGACGTACGACACTTGACGATGTCGTAATGCACAGGTGGGTGTTGAAAAACAAGTTGCGGTGGGAAAAAAGCTGGCGGTGACGGCGAGAATGGAGCGAGGCCGAGGACGGAAGAAGAGGCCTGGACATGAAAATGGGATGGATGAGGAGAAGGAGCAGGGGCCAGCGGGGAAGAAAGACTGGTAGTTTTGGTATCAAAAAACACAAGTGCAACAATGTCTGCACTCACAGACCTTTTTGGGAAGCTCGAGGTGTACTCGAAGACGGACTCGCACAGACAAGTGTATGACACAGCGAAGCTGATCCTGCAGAAAGACAAGACCAACGTGTCTGCGTTGAAGCGCAGCTTGGTGGCGTTGATCAACATGGACAACTACACAGACGCGAAGAAGCTGCTGCAGCAACACAAGGCGCTTGTGGAGGCGAACAGAGGGGCGTTGGTGCTCGAACTGGCGTACGTGCACTACAAGGTGGGCTCGAGGGAGGAGGAACTTGTGCAGCTAGGCGAGTTCACGACGCCGTCCACGGTGAGGGCGTTCAAGCACATTCTGGCGCAGTACTACTACCGCACCGGGGACGACGTCAAGGCGTTGGAGTTGTACCAGCTCCTGATCCGGGAGGGCGGGTCGGACTCTCTGGAGAGTCTCGATCTGACCGTGAACGAACGTGCAGTGATATCACAGCTGAAGTTCCGGAACACGTTCCCCTACACCTTCGGGGGCCACACAGAGCCTGTTTCTGCTCCCCACGCGGACTCGTACGACGAGCTGTTCAACGAGTCGTTGATCCTCGTCATCGACGGGAAGTACCAGGACGCGCAGGCCTCTCTCAACAGAACATACGATCTGGCCGAGCGCTCGCTTGCCGACTACGAGCCGCAGGAGAAGTTCAATGAGCTTGCGCCAATCAAGTTGCAGAAGGCGTATTTGCACATCTTGATGGGCAAGTACGGAGAAGCAAACGCTCTGCTCGATGAATTGAATGGAGAGCTGGAATCCGTCGACTCTGCCGGCGACGTCAACGCCAGGATCTTGAAACTCATAGTGCAGAACAACAAGCTGGTGTGCGTCCAGAACCTGGGATCTTTGGATGGCGTGGAACCAGCTTTGCTGTATAGAGAGATGGACCTGCAGGACGCAATTTCTCTCTCAAAACCAAGATTGACCTTGCCTCAGCTGGCCATCATCGAAAGAAACCATTTGCTTCTTTCCTTCTTGTCTGGTAAACAATCCAAGAAATCCATTAAGCACTACAGTGAGGATTTCCCATCCTCGTTGCTAGCGGAAGCCTTGAGCTCGGGTATCACAAAGGAGGACCTCAAGAGCTCGAACAAAAAGCTGTTTTACAGCCTTTCAACCAAAAACCCATCCAATCTGTCATTGGCTTTGTTGTCTACTCAGGTTGCAATCAACTCGAGCAACTATCAGAGGGCTATAGCGCTTATTGAAAACGTTGTGAATCATGATGAAAAGTCATTACTCTTACCTTCTGTTGGAAAGTTATTGTACTCCTTGTACGAGTTACTAGATTGTAAGAAATTGATTCACCAGCTTTTCCTCAAGATCCAAAAATTGTTTATGCAAAAGCAAAATGAAACGTTCAGTAATGAAGACATCAAGTATGCCAAATTTGTATCATTGAAATTGCTTGCCACAGATGAATCCATCGCAAAGGAGTTGTTGGAGAAAATAGACGAATTGGATATTTTAAGTGCCAAATACTCCAGTGCAGATATCCAAAGCTTGGTGGCAGGTGTTGATATCGATGTGATTGTCTCCGAGGGCATCACCCCTTTGATCACATCTTCAATCTCATCGTCAACTCAAAGCAACAGCTCCAAACTAAACAAGGTCAGCAAGCCTAAGAGAAAGAGATCAACGCCAAAGAAGCTCGCCAAGGATACAGCACAACAAATCGATCCGGAAAGATGGTTACCAATGAAAGACCGTACCTACTTCAAGATGAAAAAGAGCAAGAAGTTGAAGAATACACAAGGTGGTATCATAGACGCAGCTACCGAAAAGGCCTTGAACATCGGTGGCTCACCTTCCACTGTTGCCGCCGAAACGAAAACCAGCACCACTTCGGGCAAACCTTCTTCTTCCAAGAAAAGCAAGAAGAAGAAAGGCAAGAAATAATGAGTAGACTAGCTACACACTGTATATCAATCTTTTTATCTTTCTGTCTCTTGAATTACGATCAAGAAAACATACTTTAATCATTTTTATATATCCAGAGGGTTAAATTTAGCTAATGTACATAAATTAATTGTGTGTTCGCAGAAACAACAAGATGAGAAATCTGTAAATATGGATCATGTGAAAAGAGTGTCTTCATCTCTTAAGTATTCGCCAATATCGCCCTGTCTAAACGTAACAATGGCTGTTGGCTGTAAGTTTCTAGCTTCTATAGTTGATTTTGCAGAAATTCCAAATCCGAGTGGAGTATCATTCATGCTGAAAACAATCACACCAGCATGTTCAGGTATATCTTCACTCATCTTACCGATGTGTGCCTTCAAAACATGGTTGCCGTATAAGAATGGCATCTCACCATTCGCCTTGATCCAGACTTTGTATTTAGCGTACTGTGCAAGATATTTCAAAGAGGTGATGTGAAGTCTGAACTTTCCTGTTTTCGTGAATTTACCAAAGCAAACACCAAGTGACATCAAGTTCTTTCTTGCAACCGACGTTGCAAAGTTGGCAACTTTATCACTAACGTAGTATACTCTGTCTTTCTGCACACGGAAAACATGTGGATCTTGAGGATTATCAACTAAAAGCGCAATGTTTCTACCAATATAATTGGCAAGCTTTTCAAAGACTACCTTTGTTTCTACTTCTGTGAGAGGCCTCATTTCCTTTTTTGTTCTTAAGCTTCAATAGAGACTATATTCTTCTTCAAGACAAGAAGAACCAGGTTTTAACAAATTCTTCCTTCGTAATTCTTTAAGAAATGAAAATTCAATCAAAAAAATTCAGAAAAGTTGTGAGAAAAAATTGAAAAAAGTGAGAAAAAATGGAAAAAAAATTGAAAAACATCAAAATGAAATTTTGTGCAACCTGCACTTTCTCAGAAGTTGTTGAACTTCACTTCTACTCCATTTCTTCTCGGGTAATACCAATATCAGTTGACAGCAGGCCTAACATCAAAATGACAGATACTTCTGAATCAAAATCGACACAGGAGATCAATGATGTTGTCTCCGAAGCAGTCGCTGAACCAGTCGCTGCTGCTACTGAAGTCGCAGCCCCTGTGGTTGATGCTGAAAACACAGAAAAGAAGACTGACGAGTTTATCAGAACAAGAAAAGGAGACAGCATTGGAAGCACTGCCAAAAGACAGCGCTTACTCAAAAAAGAACCGGACACGTGGGTATGTTTTATGATTATGTGTGATGGTTTCAAGATGATTAGGTTCAGTTTTCTCGAACCTGATCAGAGATTCCATGACAAATTGTTTTTCTGATTAACAATTAATACTAACAAAATTGTATATTAATTTTTTGTTTGAAACAGTCGTATTGTTGATGAGGAGGGAAAACCAGTTTATTCTGGTGAAGAAAGGAAGCCTAAAAGAAAGGTTGCTTGTATGATTGGATACTGTGGAACAGGTTACCATGGGATGCAACTAAACCCTCCAAATAAGACTATTGAAGGTGATCTTTTTGAAGCATTCGTTAAAGGAGGTGCCATTTCTAAAAACAATTCGAACGATTTGAAAAAGAATGGCTTCATGCGTGCTGCAAGAACAGACAAAGGTGTTCATGCGGCTGGTAATGTGATATCTCTCAAGATGATCATTGAAGATGACAATGTCGTTGAGAAGATCAACTCTCACCTTCCAGAGCAAATCAGATTGTGGGGCTACCAGCGTACAAACAAGTCATTCGATTGTAGAAAGATGTGTTCATCTCGTATTTATGAGTATTTGATGCCAACTTACTCTTTTCTACCACCAAGACCTGGCTCCGTCCTAGCCAAAGAGATTTTAAAGGCTGAGAAAGAATTTCAAGGTACTACCAGAGTTGATAAGGAAGGTGAGACTTTTTGGGACGAATTGATGGCTAAGTGTGAAGCTGTTGGCGTTACGGATAATGAAATTGATCAAATCTATGAAGCAAACAGATTAGGCTTGGACTTGTCGGTTCCTTTAGAACAAGCTGCAATCAATTTCAGAAAGATATCTCGTGAATGTAGAGGTGCTTTCAGAATATCTCAAGAAAGATTGGAGCTAGTCAGAAAAGCCTTAAACATTTATGTTGGATCCCACAATTTCCATAACTTTACACTTGGTAAGGCCTACAAAGATCCAAGCGCCAAAAGATATATGAAGGCTTTCAAAGTTAGTGAGCCTTTCTTGATTGAAGGCACTGAATGGATCAGTATTAAGATTCATGGACAGTCTTTTATGTTGCATCAAATTCGTAAGATGATTGGCATGGTTGCGTTAGTCATTAGAACCGGCTGTCCACTGGAAAGAATTGAAGAGGCTTTTGGGGAGAACAAGATCAACATTCCTAAGGCACCAGCTTTGGGTTTATTGCTAGAGCAACCTGTTTACGATGGTTACAATGAAAGACTTGAAGGATGGGGCCATGAGGCTTTAGGCTTTGACAAGTACGAAAAAGAAATGGATGCCTTCAAGCATAAGTTCATTTATGATAAAATCTTTAAAGAAGAACAGCAAGAACATGTGTTTTCGGGCTTTTTCAGTTTTATCGATGCTTTCAACGGTACTAACGAAAACAGTGGAGTTCCTATTTTCCAATTCTTGACCGCACGTGGTATTGCTGGTAACCAGGTAAATGATAATGATGGTGAGGAATAATTCTGTACTTTAGATTATATAGTTCTTCATAGATACAGATTATCAAAATATCAAATCAATAAAATAAAATAAGAGACACTACTTTTGGTTGACTGCAAATAACATAATGTCTAATAGATTGCTCCTCAAAGAAAGTTTGATTCACTTGTAACAAATTATGAGTTGATGGCCAATCTCAAAAAACCACCATTAAGTTTACAGTTTTCTTGGTGGATTGCCATCAATCTCTGTGCTTCAAGCGGATCATCGACCTCTTTTGGTTCAGACCCTGGAACGTACTCGTTGGTATAATTTGGCACATAGTCAGCCGGCAAGATGTCCAATCTTTTACCATAATTAGTGACCTTGTTCCAGTCTCTGTGAACATTGAACAAAGAGGCAGAGAAGTAAGCAAAACATCTTTGGTATTGCTTGTAAGATAAGTCATTATTCAATTGAGGCTTAAAGTCAACGTACTCTTTCCAAGACTGTTCTGGGTTGGAGATAACATCATTGGTTGCTCTTTTGATTGCTCTTAAGAATGCTTTGATCTTTTCAGGATTGGCAGACAAAAATTCATCATTACAAATGTAACAAATGGAACAGAAACAACAGCAGCCTAGGCATGCTACTCTGTCGATTCTCATCATCTGAACATCACTTTCTGGAAGCCCAGCATCCTTGCAGTATTGTTCCAATTCAACCTGTTGCATACATTCAATACCAATTCCACCATCAATTTTGCCTTCGATGATATACTTGGCAACATTCATGCCACATCTTACAGCAGTATAGTCCTCCTTCGTTAAGCCGTGGTATTTGGTTAATTCATCTAATTGGATCTTTCCAAACTCTCCAACATAACCGATTTTCTTGCCCTTGATGGATTGGAAATCGTTGGTGATACCACTTGACTTCAAGTACAAAACACCGGTAAAAGGTTCGTCGAGCAAAGAAGCAACAGATGTTACGGGGAAACCTCTTGCCTTTGCGGCCAAAGTATGGATCATTGCCTTGAGACCCATGTCAACTTTTCCTGAACCAATTAATTCAGTGACATCAGAAGGATTTGAAGGTTCAAGAATAGCGATATCTAAACCTTCATCTGCAAAGTAGTTCTTGGTTTTAGCCAAGTAGACAGGAATGTGGTAAGGTGCAGCTTGCCAGTTCAAGCAGAAAGTAATCTTTTGAGTAGACATGGTAGAAAATTTGATGTTGTTTTGAGAATGTTCAGTTACAGAACTTTATGAATATAACAAGAGAGACAATGCAAAGCAATTAAAGCAGAGCAGAACATAGCAGAACTTTGAAAACATCCTAAACAAGAAGGGGCAAAGCTGTTACTATTTATTTGCTTGGAATGGTTTAATAAACGGACCGCAATATTTGCTCCCCTAGTCAAAACCTGCGATTTCAATACGAAACTCTAAGAGTTATTTTACTCCACTCTCAAACGCAACCAATGAAATCGATCAATCCACAATATTTGGGAGTGGGTTTTCACAGCCTAATACAGGAGAAGGTATGATTCATTGCAATAAGGGGCTTAATCCTAGGAAACGCATGTGGCATAGCACAAAGCCTAATACGTGCCTCGACCAAAATGTTTTCCAAAGCTGTAGCAAAAATCTCCGGGTCTTTATAGGAAAATGGGAGCCGGGACCGTGCGTTTTGCTGGTTATTATTGGCTTAGAGTTGCATTTTTGACGTCCCGCTTTTTCTTATAATTTGCGAGCTTGGTTTAGACGTCAGCGGGTCTGTCGTGTACATTTGCACACCCGTAAAGCATACCATAGCATTGCAATCTAGGCTTGTGGCTTAAAACTCTCAAGGGCGAAATGTGTCCGATAGGATATTCAGACGTGGCTGTAGACACTCAGACACGTTGGTGAATGCGGTAAGTGCGCTATTCCGTGCCAACAGCTAACCCTTGTACTCAGTATGGGTAGTGACTCATTTCTCTCTCGGAAGAAACGGCAGGAATGCCACATCGATGAATCATCTGTAACCTATAGTCCGGGTCTCCCACCACGTTACTGTTCGGAGTTTGCATTCCTTCTTGGGCAGACACAAAAGTAGAAAGTATTACAGCTGTTACATAGACCTTTTGATGTGTCAAATTTGTATCTCCGGGGGGGGGGGGCCAGAACGAGAAGTCAACTGTAGGGGTGGGCATTGGGCGCGATGATTAACCTGGTGGAATCATTTGATTCACAGTGTCTAGGGACATAATTTTGCCGCAAAGTGATGTAAAGCCCTCTGGCAACATTTACCGAACCGGAAAAGAGCTCTCCGGGGCTGCTGCATTCGTTTTTGGATGATTTCTCATTTTCCGATTCTGGTTCTGGCCTTTTCTCTGTCTCCCTCTGTGCCTCTCTCAAATCCAATGTTTGAGAAACCCTGCTAGTTTAAGACATCTATTTGTGATTTTTTGTAAGATAATGCATCTGAAAGTCGGCATCAAGAATAGTTTAGCGCCTGGCTCGGCTCCCAGTAGTCCGACGAGTTGGTCGAATAATAGAGCTAGGTGTGCGGGCGCAAAGGATGAATGAACGGAGCACATGCACGCCTTACCTGTTTTATTCATCGTGATTCCACCTTCATTCACTTGTGTTCCGCATAAAAATACCACTTTCGCCCTTCAGATTGTTTCTGTTAAGCTCACAAAGAGTTGGAGGGATGAAACGGGTCGCTGTTTACTGTTGTAGTATGCCTTGTGTGCTACATGGTTGTCACTGAAACTATGTGAGAATAGCAGCTGCTCCTTTGTCTAACAGAAACTTCTGTCTAGAACCCATGCTTTTGTGTTGAAATTTTTGTGCTATATCGACTCAATGTAGCATAAAAGCATGGACAGCGTCTACAACGTGGTTCCGCTGACTACCGCATCCAAGCAAGGTGCAAGTCATTATCAAATGCTTGAAGACGATTTAAACTAATTCACGGATTTCAAACGTCCTGCTCGTGCTGTGGCAGAAAAGTCGCCAAACTCTGCACCTATCTTGTACACGAAGGCCGATATTAAGAACCGGTTATTCAACACTAGTCTGAACCAGAAATGAATTAGAGTTATAGGGTCACCGGTTCTGTGTGATATTTGGAACTTCCTAAAAGACAATCCCCCTCGCACGTACGTGACAAGCAGATCCATAGCTGATCGATGCCCAAAAAGACAGAGCAGTGACGCTACACCACAACATTTATATCATACGGTCGTCTCCAGACCATGTATCGTGAAGACGACATGTCTACCGTTTGAACACGCCAAGCGAAAGAATAAAAAAGTCTTCCAGAAAATGCCCCCTAAAAAACAGGAAAACTGTACAAGGTTCAAGAAACCAAAAATCCCCGCCATCGAACTGGTTTCCACGCCGGACCCGAAGTAAAATCAGGGCATCCTTGAGAAGCAAGAAGGAAAAGGCCTAAAGCATGAACTTTTTTTGCTTTTCAGAAACGTGCACATATCGTACTATCCGGTTATGCTGTGAGGGGAAAACGGGTGTATGTTTACGTAAGCGCACAGTGAAAAAGTGGAAAGCTTTGGCGCTGGAGAGCACTAAAAGCGAAAATGGGTCGTATTGATTTGCGAGTCGTGCGATTTTATTGGTGGTGTAAGCTTTTTCCTCTGTTTATGGCATGTTTATTTTTGCTGTCCGTGCTTTGGTCGGTCGATTCTCCTGGGTTCAGTCACTCTGTGTCCTGCTGTCAAAAGCTGCTGATTTTTTGTAGCGTAGTTCTGATAGGATGCTGCACACAGTGGTAGTGTCGCTGCGGGGGTAGTGTCGGATTATAAATGATGCCGGGTTCCCCCATGTTTGATGTAGTGAGACGCCGCTGATGGGGTACAACCTGTTCCTCTCATTCTCTCTTATCTGCACAACAAACAAGAAAGCCCTTTCCCACTCCCACCCACACACACACAATCAATCAATCAAAAATGACAGCTGTTAGAAGACTCGGACCAAACCCATACATCAAGCTGCTCGCAGGCCACGTTCCAAGAATCGGCGCCTGGGCCGGCCTGATGGGTGTCTTTCTAGGATGGCCTGCTCTTGGCAAATGGGCCAACAAGGCTGGCGTGTGGAACGTCTGATACTCTCCGCCGTGCATCGCACCTCATGTCTTATCTACGAAACCAATCCCCTAGTTCACTTCTCCGGAATACCACATCTTCCGTCTTATTCGGCCTTCTGCCTATCAGCATCTGTACTCTATATAATGGGCGACCTTCTAAATAAAAGAAAAAACGCTTATACTTCCTAACTATTCCAACCCAGCCGCTGCTAACGCCATGAAACCTAACACTAGTAACTTCTCGGGAACAATTGCTCGGGAAGTGCGCCGGTGCTATCCCTCAAAGGAGCAGTGTTCCGATAGCAACCTCAACAGCAACGTTCCTTCTTTTCGCAATCCGGGGATGTTTGGGCCCGGCAATAACCTCGCCGGAGTAATACCGAGTATCGCCGGCGGCCACGCTACCACCGGCGCCGCGGCCAGCAACAGTGCTCCGCGGGGCGACTGACTCCGTCGACCAGTGGGGGACTTCCTGCAGCTACCGGCAGCGCCGACCTTTCCCAAGAGCAGTAGTGGGCAGATTTTTTCCAAAAAGCCAGCTGCCCCGCGAATCCTGCTAGTTCAACAATAGCAATAGTAATAATATCAAAGATAATAATAATAATAGTAGCTCGCAGCAATTTGAACAGCACCAGCATTGGGCCATTGCGCCGCGCTGATCTGCCATTTTATCTGTCCGCGTCTAAGTGCTGATTTCTACCGGTAATCGTAGTTGGCGTGGAAACACTACAGCTACCACCAATACGCACATCTCTTGCCTGTGGGGCCAGCACGGCTGCCATTATCTGGATCACCTGTTCGTAAAGTGATCGTCGAAATCGCCAACCCTGCCTTTGTGGAAGTACATTTCTCCCTGTGCACAACATTTTTTGGGGTGCTACGAAAAGTTCTCAACTTATTAGTTTTTCATGCAACTGGGCCACTAAATTGCAGATCCCTGGCAGGTGTGCAGTATGTTCGCAGCGGTACTGAAACTTTCCTTCGCTTCCGGTTTCGCTGGTATCTATGCTGCGCAGCGAGCAGTGCGCCAGCTTTCGTGCATGCTGGGCGATCGAACATTGCAGAAGCTAGCACGTTAAACCTAAAATTGCTCACAGGATACAATAAGCGTGTTTGAGCGATTAGGTTCCGTCATGTGAGCGACACTCAGAACGTTATAGTGAGCGCTTTACTCACAAGGCCACCGAGCCCTATTGTTTATCTCTAATTCCAGCTGGGGATGTACTCGAAACAATCGGGCAGCGCAGGGTATATGGAGTAGCAATGCTCCTCTGCTGCAATTCTATACATGCGCATATGCATGCGCACACATCTTCTAGCCATTCCCTCTTACTACTCTGCAAAATAGTGGCCTGAATCTCGGGACAATGCGAAGGAGTAATAAAATAAATATGAGCTGGCTCAGAGCGCCGTCTGATTCGCCAGATGTGCAGAATATTATGCCGGTGTGCGTCCGCTGATCTATCACTCAAAAAGGAAGGGGGCGCCGAAACGGCCAGGCGCGTGCCATCTGAGCGCAAATAAGCGACGGCGCAGGCCTGTAGAGGCGGATCAAGGCCAAGCTAAGCGCCGGCTTTTGACACAGTTTGCCCTTTTGGATGTCTTCCTGCCGCACCTCCACAGGTCGTCTACCACAGCCCGTGTCCGCTGTACAGCCTGGAGGTTTAAGCTTTGGACGGGTACATGCGTTTATTGGCCTTGTGGGGCTACGCGTTGTGTCAGCTCCACTGATTGGGTTGTTCCTCAGGGACTGAGAGATCAAGGTTGGCGTCCGAATACTTGTGCTGGCTCATACAGGCGTGCACTGGTCAGTTCCTGGTCTATTCCGACATCAGCTAGTTCCGATTTGCCTAATTTTTCTCGGTCCAAAACAACGTTTTTAATATTTCAGCTAGCTTGGTTTCTCCCCTGTCTTGTCTCCTTCTGGATTAATATTTTTGTCGGGTCTGTATGTGCCCATTCGCTGTTGCCATATCCATTTCCATTTCCAGCAGTTCCGTATATCGTTCTTCTGCCAACACGTTATTGCGCCAAAACTTTGTTGTTCTCTTTCTGTTCCCTCCCGCTTCCCCCCTTCCGTTCACGCTTCCTCCACTTCCTCCACTTCCTCCACTTCCTCCACTTCCTCCACTTCCTCCACTTCCTCTCTTCGACTTACGTGTTTTCCCATCTTGGCTTTACAAACACTCCTCAGCAGCCCTACAGTGAGTACTCCAGAGCAAATTTAAGCTTTCCACGGACCAGATCATCTGTCTCATCTAAGGAAAATATTGACGCGATAGTTATCTGGGTTATAGGGTGCGATCCGCTCACTTGCCGAATCACCTTGCATACTTTTAGCACCATAGGCAGTTAGCAAGTCTTAGAAGCCCCTGCTGGCTCGATCACTCACTCTACTGGGAGCTATTTCATTAAATACAGCATCATATTACCACACCGATATTGACCACGCTACTAAAGACTGTAAAAGATAAACTAAAAGCAGCTGGTAGTATCATTTAGCGTACAATTGCAAATCTAAAAAAGAAAAGATAGCCATGGACTCGTCGATCAACCGCAAAGCTCCGTACGTGGAGTACTATAAACCAGAATACTCAAATATGTCACAAAGGCCTTCTCAGGATCTGCCACAGAACCTTGGTCCACCTCCAGGAAATCAGTTCAGCTTGCTGCCTCAGTATCACCAAGTCCAGCCGTCTGGCCAAGATCCTCGCTTTCAAGTGCAACGGCAAGAAGAAATGTCGCAGTTTAGGGTGCTGCAGCCCGTGCTATCACAGCAGCAACTGTACTATAATCCGTCTTACCAATATGGTGAAGCACCTTATCCCACACAGTACGTATCATATCGGGCTCCGGGACAGAGGGCAAGCTACTCAAGTTCGATATTGAGAGAAAATACACCAGAGCCTGCCTACAATTCTCCAGTTTCTATCCCAGTATCTATGCACAGTGGTAGCTCTAATAGCTTCGGAGGTTTGATGCAGCCTCAAACACAGCAGCTCCGGCGCCAGCAACTGCAACCACTGCAACCACTGCAGCGGCCATCACAACCACAAGGCCATTTGGAAGCACCAGCGGCTGATTTCGAAACTGTAAGAATACCAGCAGAGCTGAGCTCTACCGAATCATTGCAGTACCCCTCTATGGTACGCTACCTGATGCAAGAACGGAGGAGTTTCAATGTTCCATCATCTTACCTCCAGCAGCAAAAGCAGCAGCAGCAGCAATGGCAGCAATGGCAGAATCACCAGCAACAGCAGCAGCCTCAACACCAATTCCAACAATGGCAACCTCAATCCCATCATCAACAACAGCATCATATTCTTTTGCATCAACCACCATCCCAACCGCAGCATCAGCAGCAACTTCAGCCATCGCATCAAAACCAACCACAGCCACAGCACCAACCACAACACCAACCACAGCACCAACCACAACACCAACCACAACACCAACCACAACACCAACCACAACACCAACCACAACACCAACCACAACACCAACCACAACACCAACCACAACACCAACCACAACACCAACCACAACACCAACCACAACACCAACCACAACACCAACCACAACACCAACCACAACACCAACTGCAACCACAACACCAACCGCAACCACAACATCAACCACAACATCAACTGCAACACCAACACCAACACCAACATCAACACCAACACCAACACCAACCCCAACACCAACATTCTCACCAGTATCCACACCAACCGCAACACCAACATTCTTACCAGTATCCACACCAATCGCATCACGAAACCCAAAACCATCCTCAACAAGAAAATACCCAGTCGCAGCACCACCAACTTCAGCGTCATCAACTGCAGCAGCAGCAAGCTCATACTCATGTGCAGATGCAGGGGCCGGGGCCAGTGCACATGCAAGTGTCTCAAAAATCTATACTGGAACGTCAAGATATACCAGTACAACTTCAAAAGCAGGAGGTAAATTTGTCTGGGGAGCAGAGTCCAGAGAAGCAAGACATTACACACCTTTCTCAAAAGCTGGAGCAGGTATCAAACATAGCAAGAACAGCAGTTCCATGGGGCAATGAAGAAAGCAAGCTGTTGGTGCAGCTGAGAGAAAATGGACTCACTTGGAAAGAAATCGCAACCCGTTTCTCCAATAGAACTTTGAATGCTTGCCAATTCAGATGGAAGCGCATCAGTTTGAACGGCGGTATACATTCTGATGAAAATGATTTGGAACAAGGAAATAACAAATGTGACAGCAAACTTGAGGTACGTGGTGAAGAAAGCAAAGCAAAGCAAGTAACTCCTGATGATATCTCCACAAACAAAAAAAATGATAATTGTATCAACGCTGCTAACATCAGCACCACCGGTCCGACCAAACGTAATGCAGAAATTAATCTTTTTGATGAATCAGAATCATCTCTTAGTAGTGAGAAAGAACAGAAGAAGGAAAGAAGGAGTTTGAATCGCTCTAAGAGGCCTTTACAGGAAGAAGCCATTGAAGATAGACCTTATTTTAAAAGACTTAGGTCAGCAACTAGAAGTTCTAGGGGCATCAGCAATTTACTTAATAGTAATGTCTCTGAAACTCGTATTGTCAATAAGGCATACTTTGAACCCGTTAAAGATAAAACTAAAAAAGAACAAGATTTATTTGAATCTAAACAACGCATAGCAACATCAAAGGAGGATCTTGAATATGATGCTACAGAAAAAAGCGGTGTCCGGACTTCAAATGTCCAAGGAGAAAGCGAAAAATGTACAAAGAAATTCAGTAGAGTTCTCAAACTTGAGGAGCTGGTTGATAACAATGTTTCCAGACCCCTCGAAGTTGTGAAAGAGAACACTGAATGATACGAGTGCTTTGCTGCCACTGAAGCTATCCATGAGAACATCAGAGCTTAGACACCTGGGGTGTACAGCCAAAAATAAAGCTTTGTAACAAAAGATGTTTAGTATTTGCAGTCAAATTTATTATATTTAGTTAGTTTCCCAGACTGTAATATATTTCTACTTTATTCACATTTTACTAATTAGCGGAATCATTAAAGCTTAGCCGATTAAGGTCCGAGCTGAGAGCTTTGGGTCAAAGAGCCAAACGTTAGGACATGCATTCTGTCAGAAATATAACGGAATACGGTTTTGCCATGTACATTATCTATGCCTTTCGAAAGGTTAAATTCAGGCAGTCAAAGCTTAAGTCTTCGAATATCAGTATCTTACCGGTTGAATACAAGGGTCTCTCCTTCCAAAAGGGCAAATAGATACATTCCATATTACGTAAGCGCATAACCTAACTTTTGGGGCTCTAACTGAACTTTCGGGATGATACGTTTGCCGATTACTATTGGAACAATTTACCTTCAAGAATAATATAAAATAAAGGGCCTGATTCCTTATTTTGCTGTTCACATTCAGATTGGAAAAAGGACACTCTTTTTTTTTGCAATACATCACACGCTCTACTTCTATTACTGATTTTTTGACCAGAACATCAAATTGAGCTCGATCATGTGGGGGCAATTGTGTCTACTTTTTGGAGGTATAGGTTTTACCTTGTATGTCGCCAGAAAAGTAAAACCCGGGTTTTGGACCAATTTCAATAAAAAATATAGAGTGAAGGATGATTTGTATCTGTTCCCTTTGGCGATACAATTTTTTCGCCATTATGTGACACAATCCTTAATAACCAAGAAGTTTTCATTGTGGTATGAGTACGAAGCTTTGTCACTGGGGAAGAACTCGGACAGCCAGATTGCTATGAAATACCCTAGACAGATTAAAGATTTCAAAGAGTTTGACGAACAATCATTTGTGGTTGAATCCCTCACATATAGAGAACTTTACAATGAAGTGTTGCGGATGTCTTTCATATTACACCACGATTATGGGATTGCTAAGGGGGATGTTGTTACCATGTTTTTCATGAACAAGCCATTGTTCATAATAATCTGGTTGGCATTATGGAACTTGGGCGCAACGCCGACGTTTGTGAACTACAACCTAACGTCAAACCCACTAGTTCATTGCATCAAAGTTGTTGAATCGCGTATTGTTCTTGTCGACGATGAATGTATTGACACGTTCAACAAGACTAGAAGCCAAATCGAGAATGAATTACCACATTTGTTGATCCAGATAGTTGATGAGACTTCGACAACTGCTCAGTTAAAGGAGCCGAACCGCCCAACATATCGTGAGAATGACAAAATTAGAGACAGGGGTGTTCGATATTGGGATCCAGCAGTTCTTGTTTATACTTCAGGTACTACAGGCCTTCCTAAATCTGCTGTTAATTCATGGAGAAAGCTGTTTATGGCTACCCACTTATTCCCTCGTTCCATGCATATGGATCGCTCTTCGAACATATATACGGCGATGCCATTGTATCATGGAACCGCCTCCATTTTAGGGGTTCTGCCCGCCTTATTAGTCGGTGGTACCATTTCGATTGGCCATAAGTTTTCATTGTCAAGTTACTGGACTCAGGTCAAAGTGTGTGACAGCAATACCATCCAGTACGTTGGTGAGGTGTGTCGTTACTTGGTTGATTCGAAGGAATCTGTCAACGAGGTAGAATGTTACGGCAAAATTAGACTCGCATATGGTAATGGGTTAAGGCCAGATATTTGGATGAAACTGAAAAAGAGGTTTCGGATACCAGCAATCGGAGAATTTTACTCATCATCTGAGGCACCGTTTGCAACCACGTGCTACGAGTACAACGGCATTGGAGTGGGGGCACTCAGAAACAACGGATACCTTTTGGATAAGTTCTTATCGCTCCAGTACACGCTAGTGCGAATGGACCCAGAAGATGAAAGCTCCATATATCGGAATCCTAAAACAGGTTTATGCGAGAATCCTGGTGTCAACGAAAAGGCTGAAATGATAATGAGAATTCTTAATCCCAAGAACATTAAGACGACGTTTCCAGGATACGTCAATGATGATGCCGCAACATACTCTAAGATTATCAGAAACGTGTTTAAAAAGGGAGACGCGTGGGTTAGAAGTGACGACTTGATGAGAAAAGACGAACTCGGCTGCATCTACTTTGTAGACCGCATGGGTGATACATATAGATGGAAATCGGAGAACGTGAGTACTACAGAAGTGGAGAACCAGATCATGGAGTTCGTGCCGGATATCCAGAGCTGTGTCATTGTCGGAGCACGAGTAGAGAACCACGAGGGTCGGGCAGGCTACCTTTTGGTCCAGACGGTGAACAACAACACTGAAAATGAGGCTCAACGCCTAAAGATTCTGGACGATATCTACGAAACCGGGCAGAAGCACTTGCCTCACTTTGCAAGACCTGTGTTTATCGTCTTTGAGAACATCTCCTTCACCGACAACCACAAGATCAGCAAGAAATTGTTCCGGGACCCGGTCTTGCCCAACGGAAAAAACGGCAACTTGAAGGTTTATTATCTGGACAGCCAGTCCAAGGGCTATAGACCGCTAGACAGTGTAACGTATGCCCAGATCGCAAATGGGAAGATAAGGCTTTAATGATAGCGGTAGTCGCAACAACTAATAACAATGCGAAGAAGTCCGTGTCCCTGCTACATATGTAGCAGTTCTCAACATTACTAGTCGAGAGATTTTATAGCCTTTCCAGCCTCTGGATTACTCTGAGGCCAACAATCCTCGAAATGTATAGTTTTATCTTTTGATGCTAGATTCCGTAAAGCAAGCCGGTAGTGACAAAATGAGAAACAAAGTAAAAAAATTGTGAAAAAAGCGCTGCAAAAAGTTCCGCTAAGGTCTTCGGTCATCCGAGGCGTGGAAAGTCTAATTTTTCAACTGGTGCCTCATTGATGACTGATTTTCAGCGTAAGCACGGACCACATGGCTCTGAGTGGGTGTGTGGACGGAGCAGCAACCTAGCCGTCTTCTTCTTCTCTCTCTTCTGCGGTGTCCGTAGCGTTCTTCTGTAACTGGCGCATCTGTATTTTGTTTCACAGCGCACGCAAGCAGACAACAAGCAACACACATAGTCATGACCGTAAGTAATCCCACTCTGCGGAGTCAAATGTCTATTATTACATAATACACAATACGCATTGGAGGAGGCCCTGTTTCAATCGAGGCACATAATTTCAGGTTACTAACATGGCCATAAACCGGAACACGGAATTCATTCTGCCCCGTTGTCTTTTCTGTTTCTGCTGTTTTTTTCTTATTTAGCAAGCATCCAAGATGTTCATCCAAAACCCCAACGTTGGCCAGAAATCCCAGATCGAAGACTGGAGAATCACCGGCTACAACCCACTGACTCCTCCTGATCTCTTACAGTCCGAGTTCCCTTTGAAGGAAAAAAATGAAGCAGTGATTTTAAAAGGGCGTAACGACGCTGTTGACATCTTGCAGGGCAAGGACGACAGACTTTTGATCGTTATTGGACCATGCTCCATCCACGACCCAAAGGCCGCCCTTGAGTACTGCGACAGACTAGCCGAGTTGAATGAATCGCTAAAGGGCGAACTACACATTGTTATGAGAGCCTACTTGGAGAAGCCAAGAACTACTGTCGGTTGGAAGGGTTTGATTAACGACCCAGACATCGACGGGTCTTTCAATATCAACAAAGGGTTGAGAATCTCCAGAGAGCTGTTCGTCAAGTTAACAGAAAAGCTGCCTATTGCAGGTGAGATGTTAGATACCATCTCCCCTCAATTCTTAAGTGACTTGTTCTCCGTCGGTGCCATTGGTGCCAGAACTACCGAATCCCAGCTTCACAGAGAGTTGGCATCAGGCTTATCCTTCCCGGTTGGTTTCAAGAACGGAACAGATGGAACCTTGGGCGTTGCCATCGACGCCATCAGAGCTGCTGCTCACCCCCACCACTTCCTATCTGTCACCAAGCCGGGTGTCGTTGCTATTGTCGGCACCGAAGGTAATGCCGACACCTTTGTGATCCTTCGTGGTGGTAAGAAGGGCACAAACTTTGACGAAAAGTCGGTAATCGAAGCCCAAGAAGCCCTGGAAAAGGCAAAGATTTCCAAATCTGGCGAAGCAAGAATCATGGTGGATTGCTCTCATGGTAACTCTCAGAAAGATCACAGAAACCAGCCAAAGGTGGCTGCCGAAATAGCAAGGCAAGTTTCCAACGGCTCCACCAGTATTTGTGGATTGATGATCGAATCAAACCTTGCAGAAGGCAGACAGGATGTGCCGCCTCTTGAGGATGGTGGAAAGGACGCCCTTAAATACGGTTGTTCTATAACAGATGCCTGTATATCATGGGAAGACACCGTTGCTGTATTGACTGGACTGGCAAATGCTGTAAAAGCCAGAAGGGGTTCAAAGCAAATTTAAATGTCTCACTTCCACTTGTGTATGTTTTGTTTCCATGTTTCAATAGAAAAGTATGGCAACGTGACTTCTTGGTTTATTTTGCATTTGAATGTAGTGTTTTTAAAAAAAATTTATAAAACCGGAATAAATTTATCGATGTGTATATAAACAAGAAAAATAGTAGAATATCTACGTAATAAAGTAGGGGCACAGATTAACAACACAGGAACCAAGTTTCCAAATTTTTACAACATCTTGGTAAGGACGTTGGTGGCCAATTTGACACCCAAACTAACTTTTCTATTTCCTTCAGTGAAATCCTTTAACTCAACTTCATTTGCATGTTCCATCAAGTTGTCAATTTCTCCCTTCATCGCTTTCTTAAGTTTCTCGTCTTGCGTAACCACTAATGCATTTGTCTCAAGATCTAGCCCATATGACCGTTTTGTGTAGTTCGAGCTGCCGATGATAGAAATACATGGCTCTTGTTCATCGGGTAGTGTCACCCATAATCCTTTAGCGTGGTACGACCAGCCATTAGGGGTATTCACAATTCCGTTTTGCCATTCTAGCAGTCTGATTCTTTTTCTTGAATCCACCTCTTTGACTTGTTTCTTCTGAACTTGCTCTAAGAAAAGTTGACAATTGTAAACATAGGCATCTGGGAGATAGTAGCTTATACCCTTGGATTTATAGAAAGAATTGGATTCTGGGGAAGCAGTGATCACTTCGCCCTCTGCCTGACAGTTGATAAGCTTGGAACTGATAGATGGATGGACATTAAAGTATCCTGCAGTAATCGTGAATCTTGAACTCTTATTATCTAAAAGTGATAGCACACGTAGTATGCCTTGCAACTCGGTGGACTGATCTGGTTTTATTAATGGAGTGAATGACGAAATTGGATAAACAATTGTAACCGGATCTTTGACACTTTCTTCCAAATGACCATCTTCTTCGTCTACTGGCTCTCTATGTGTGTCTTTTGTTTTCGATTTGAGAACAGGAACTAACACTCTAGTGGAATCACTAATGAACCTCTCAATATTCAAATGAGGCTGCGAGGCTAGATTAGAAGTAGGCCAATCAAGGTAAAATCCCTCCTTCCGTCCCTTACTAGGTACAATTTGATAACTCAAAGAACTTACCGCATTCTGAACACGATGGTAATAATTGGTTAAATTTGTAGATTTGAATAAATAATATCTATCTTGTCTGTTGGTGAAATAATCTTGGGATAGGTTTGCACCCGAGAGTATAACTTCGTTATCAATACCATAAATCTTCATATGCTGTAATCCAAAAACTTCATTCAATCTGCGGGGAGTAATAAGCTCCTTGTATCCATGTAGGTGAGGAGTATGGTAAAGTCTGACGTTGACCCGATCTTTGCCAAACTTCTCAACCAAGGGTAGTAACAAAGTAGCAGTGGAATGGTTGGGAAAATCTCTTGTCGAGCGTAAACAATCTAATAGAATATCCACCTTCAATTTGGGCTTCTTTTGCAACTCGTCATGTATAAGGTCAATAAGCTCATTCTGATTTTTGCCAATGTAAAGAGATGACAAAAATATGCGATTTTGGGCATTCCTAATCTTGTTAGTTAGAAGTTCGTAGAACTTCACTGGGTGTGTGATAATTTCAACCTCTCCCTTATTCAGCTCAAACCTTGGGGCAATTGAATCTAGCTGCTGAATTGTCCCACGTAGCAAAGGTCTGAACGTAAGATAGTTGTTCAAAGGAGGATTGTCAACTTTGATAGTCGAAAAATGACGTTTAGCATGCTGGAAAACTGCAGCCAGTCTATGGAGATGGATATTGGCGGCGGGAAGCATTAATTCCTCGTTAATTGCAAAAAATTCCAGCCTCTGATGAAGAGTAGATAGCTGAAAAAATCATTTGAAAGCATGCTATGAACTAGGAACAACGAGGAAGTTAAGGTCACATCTGGGCTAAAAAATTCATGTGAAATATTTAGGCGGGGTTCGAGGATCCTCGCACCTTGAGGCTCCGAACAAATACTTTGCATTTGATAAACTTGTAATGCCACCAGTGGTAGAAACAAAAAAGGCATCAAAGAATAAAAGCATTTCTTCTTGGCCATGCACACAGTAGGAATCAAAACTACTCGTTGGTTGAAGAAGATATTTCACAGTATGACTGAACAATGGGCTGAAACTGGTATGAACGAATCGTTCAAGCCAATGAAAAAGCGTGGTGCAGTTCCTTTAGTCGATGAAAATGGATTTAAGGTCAGAAAAGTGCAGGATGTGGCTAAGCATACACCAGCATCAGGCTCCGACAAGACACTGAAAGAGGAGGATGAAAACACAAGGTATATAATTGATGGCAAACTTCGACGTACCACCCCCTATTTCTTTACATACATGACTTACTGCAAATTAAGATGGAGAGATCGTACCCTTCTTGATATATTCTCCAACGAATTCAGACTTTATCCAGAATCATACTATATCAAAGCACTAGAAACGGGGCAAGTGACATTGAATGGTGAAAAAGCCGACAAAGATGCCATAATAAGAAATGGTGACCTAATTTGTCATCGTATACACAGACACGAACCACCAGTAAGTTCACGTCCTGTTAAAATTGTCTATCAAGACGAGAAAATAGTAGCTATCGACAAACCGAGCGGAGTTCCAGTTCACCCAACAGGTAGATTCAGACATAATACGGTAACTTATATCTTGAAAAATGAGCATGGTTTAGTCGTGCATCCATGCAACAGACTTGATAGGCTAACAAGTGGATTGATGTTTTTGGGTAAAACCGCTAAAGCTGCAGAAAATATGGTTGACCAAATCCGTAACCGTGAAGTTACGAAACAATACATTGCAAAGGTTGTGGGAGAGTTTCCTATTGAAGAAACGGTTGTTGACAAACCCGTGTATACTTACGATCCAAGAGTTTCGTTGAATATTGTTGATGAGCAAAAGGGTAAGGAAGCGAAGACTGTTTTCAAGCGATTAAGTTATGATGGCGAAAACTCCATTGTTCTGTGCAAGCCGTATACAGGTCGTACCCATCAGATCAGAGTCCATTTGCAGTACTTGGGGCATCCTATAATCAATGATCCTATATATTCCTCTCCTGACATTTGGGGGAAAAATTTAGGAAAAGATGGTGAGTTCGACATGGCAAAGGTGGTTGGTATTCTGGAACAAGTCGGTAAAACGTTGCCAACGTCTAGCTGGTTGCACAGGAATAGTGAAAGGGCAGAACTTGGAGAGATGCTCAATGGAGAAAAGTGTGAAGTTTGCGGGCAAGATCTTTATACTGATCCTGACCCGAACGATCTAGAGCTATATCTACATGCATACAAGTACGAATCAAAGATTGATGCTGAGGATGAAAATGGCTGGTCTTATAACACAGAGCTACCAGATTGGGCACAAGAGCATGCCAAAAAATACATGGGATTAGCAATGGAAGAAGCAAGGAAAAGTGAACCAACACCAACTGCGTTTTGTGTGGGTGCTGTACTGGTTAACGGAGGGAGTGTTTTATCGACTGGCTACTCCAGGGAACTTCCTGGAAATACCCATGCTGAGCAATGTGCATTGGAAAAGTATTTCACTGAACACAATACACATAAAGTCCCGGCTGGAACAGAACTATATACAACCATGGAGCCTTGCAGTTTGCGACTGAGTGGCAATGAAACTTGCTTAAACAGAGTTTTGAAGCAAGATGGTAACATTTCAAGTGTCTTTGTTGGTGTCATGGAGCCCTCTACTTTTGTAAAGAACAATGTTAGTTATGACAAGCTAACATCAGCTGGGATCAACTACATCAAAGTGGATGGATATGACGAGGAGGCCGTTCAGATAGCTGCAAGAGGGCATCAGCTGGTTAATGTAAGTACATAACGCTACACCAACAAAATATTACAAGTATTAATCTATATCTATATCCGTTAAGGTTTTTCATACTTTTCCTTTCTGTACACGACTCAATCTCTCGATATCATCATCAAGAATCCACCAAGCAGGCCAAAAAAGCATATCCTTTTTTCCAGAGTCTTTACGCTTCAACTGTGGATTTCGAACAGTATTGTCACACCCCCCTAAAGAAGTGTACCCGTCGTCGTAAAGAGAACAGTAGTCTATCGCAAAATCAGTATTAATTGATGCGTGTTGCAACCATTTTATGAAGTACCATACATCACTCGTATGCCATCCGAGTATAGGATTGATGCGCATGAAATCGGGCCATCCTCGGTGTGTATCTGTTCTCTGTTCAAGTTTAAGTGATGCTCCATATGGGTCAGTTCGGCGTATGCCAACTACTATCGCTTCGACAGATTCATTTGATTTTAGGTATGTCAAAAAACCGCATGGGAGTGTTGGAGTTGGGGAGAATAAGCAAGTTATTTTCCCCTTTGAAAGCTCGTTAGCTTTGCCGGTCAGGATTTGCGAGCTATCATAATCATTTGCATCTATTGTGGTGTAAACGGCAGTAAAGTCCAAACCATACTGCAAAACCGATTTTTCCAAAAACCTGAGTTGATCTTCAAACTCGTTTTCTGTGTGTACATAAACAGCATTCACATGGATAGTATGAGGCTCTCTCTCACTTCCTTTTCCCTCTACTTCAACGAATTGATAAATTGCGGCTAGGTAGATTATAAGTTGTACGAGGCAATCTTTACCGCCATTGTAGGATATGCTAAGTTGTTCAAGGTTCCAGTGGTTCAGCACAGAAAGAAAATCGTTGTATGACCTTAGGACCTGATTCTGAGCAGACTGGTGTAGCGTCGCATTGAATGATGGTGGGTATAGAGTGGGTAAGTGCAACTTATTATGCAAATTTGAAACGGGATTGTTGTCGTTATCGAAAGTGGATTTGAGAGAATAGAGTGAGTTTGTTGGTGAAGAGGCAAGAAAAGTTTGCACCTGTTCGTGGCAAACTTTAGCAGCATAAAATGCATTGCACATACTGATGTATATGTCTTATTGTATACTAGAAAGGAGTGAATAATCCTTTTTAGTGGAAGATTGATGGGAGGATATAAGTGTTCTAGTATTGTCAACGGATAAAAGTTTCACCGCTGGCGGAGCGCTCTCGTTCGGAAATCGTAAAGTCTTATCCAGACAAAGCAAGAGAGCGGAGGACTTCTATAAACGGTATTCGCATATTAACATCTATATAGACAAATACATATGATGTATACTGCTGCATGCATCTATAAATCAATGCCAAGTATTTACAAGAGAAAGTGGGTGAATTATGGTAGAAAATAGTTTTTCTTCCTGTAGATAGTTTCCACTCTTCTGGTTTCAATATTCATCTTCTGTATGACGACTAACTTCTTATCCTTTGCCGTACCAACAGTTTCTTCACTTTCTGGGAGAGTAGGCTTGAGGTATTTTCTCTTGAGGCCGATTTGCTCCTTCAAAGAGAAGCAAGGTTTTGATAAGAGTGTCAAAGCTTCTTCCTTGGTCTTTTTGGAAATTGGTTTTGTGACATCAGGAATCAAGGAATCTAACTTAGCGATGGCTTCAACCTTCAAGTCGTTGATCTGCTCGGTTGTGAGGTTATCGGTCAATTGCAATCTAGCATCAAACATCACAGCGTTGTCCACCTTTTCGGCCAGCTGTGTGTATTCATTTATTTTAGCTTCAGTCTCATCAGCTGTCAAGTCTTTCCTGTTGAGTTCCAGCTTCGTATCATATTTGTAGTTGTAAGTAGCGTAGTATCTGGCATCTTCAAGTGTTTTACCTCCGCGCAAGAACCCATCAATCTTGAGAAGTCTTTCAGAAGCTAAAGAGAGCTCACGCTCGTTAAGATCTTTCAAAGATTTAAATTGTGGTAATTGTTTGACATAAGATTCTTTCTTCGCAGCCCTGGCGTTTTCTCTTTCTTTCAGAGCTTCCTCGATCTTTGGCTGTAATAATTTGACTTTCCTTGGCGCATATTCAGCTTCTTTTGTTGCATAGTTATCAGTCAACACAACCCTACCAAGTCTTCTGGGCGTTGGGTCAAAGTGAGCATAAGGCAGTCTATCATCCTTTTTTAATGCGATACCAATGAATTTCCTCTTTGGATGGAATGGGTCTAAATAGTATCTGACAAAACCCGGTTCAAGAGCAAATAAAGTATGATCCGTACCTATTCCGACATTAGTACCCGGATACCATTTAGTACCACGTTGACGAAATAAAATTTGGCCTACTTTCACTTCTTGTCCTTCATACTTCTTTGGTCCTAGCCTTTTACCTGGCGAGTCTTGCATATGTGTTTTTGAACTGACGACCTTCTTATGGGCATATCTGACCTGTTGTTTGAATTGAAGTGCAGTTCTTACCACCGTTGAACGTAAACCATCTGTGAATGCAGACAACATTGTCGTTACTTGATATAAAGGGATTCTGACTTATGCTGAATATTCCAGTAACTTGTCCTTCAGGGTGTCTCTGATTAGACATGTAGGCCTATTTTGTCGAGGATAGAAAGCGGTGCAAAAAACCATGAACTTTTCAAAATGGCACGGCCGGGTAAAATATTTTCTGGTGCACGGATAATATTCTTCCCTCAGCGTTTTCTTACGACATTTATCTCTGACGCTTTGCGACTTCAATTTTGTTGTTTTTACATAATATACACATGTTTACACTATAGTTAACTGGAACAGATTTACTCTATTTTGGGCACGGTAAAACAAAGACACGATCAACAGGTGTCAGCTTTCCAACCTCTTCTTCACCTTCGAAACGAAGCATACAGTTCCCATGTTTGCTTGCCATCACTTCTGCAGGGTAGAAGGTAGTGGTCTCAGGGTATTTCGCAAGGACTCTAGTCCCACTTTTGTACTCTTTCAGCTTTGAGATACTGCTACTTACAAGATGTAACGGTACCAAGATGATTTCTTTGTAGTTAGCTCTGAACACCTGTCCCTGTGGATGCATCTCGTCGGGCTCTGGATCTTGGATTTCAAATCTGGTCTCACTTATCACTCTCAAAACTCTGCATAATATCCACTCACTGTGCATCGTTGCAAAATTGTTGGCGCCATCTCTTCCATTGCTTGGACAGTATGCAACCTGGGAGTTTGGCAAGATAGGCGTGGAGGGATTATATGCTGATGTGTAAAAAGAGCGTCCTATTTTTCCGTTGTAGGACGACAATGGAGGTGGAGGTGGATATCCATACCTGGCACCAATTGTAATAAGTTTATCAGAAACAGCTGCGCCAGTAGCTGAAGAAGAATTACCAACCGAATTAGTGCTGTTTACTGCAGTATTATCTGATCCTTCATCAGCTTCTGCATTCGTTGAGGCGGTATTATTCGAGTGGGCCGAAAATGACTTCGAAGAAACAGCAGACGCAGAAACTCCAGAGCCTTGTAGTCTTGAGTTTGTAGAACCTTGTGGTCTTCCTCTACCGCGCCCTTTAGCATTGAGGCCACTTTGGTAAGTCATTGTGGTATTGGTGCTGGTAGAATTGGCTGACATTTCTTTTGAAGATATTGCTGTCCTTCCTGCAGTCAAATCTCCTTCAAAAGCCAGATTTTCATTATCAATATCATCAGCTTCATTGGAGGGAATCAAATCGTGAATACTTTCATCTGTGGCTAATGAGGTGGTGTTGAACGAAACATCCTTTTCTTTCAAAAACATTTCAACGTCTTCTAGTGTCGTTGTTAGCTGTTTGCTGACCTTCAAAAGTACATCCAGTGAAATCTGGTTGAGTCCATTGGTACTATCATCATCTATATTTTTCGATTTTACTTTGTTCTTAGCCTTCGGCTTGGCTTTCGTACTAATCGCTTTGGTGTTTTCTGCAAGTAATGTATTTGACGTCTCCTGTAATGACAAAACAATGTTATCCCACGACATTTCTTCCCCTACTATAATTGTGTCCCTGGTTGGCGATCAACTAACAGAATAATCACAAGGCCAAGTTACGTAGAGCTTTTAGCATGAGACATTAATAACTTGCAGACTCATTATCTCTGCTGGAGCTTGAGTCCATCGCTTGATGTTCGCTAATTGGAGAAAAAAACAAAATCATGATGCGTTCTAGGATAGAGCTCGGTCTTATCTTTTTAGGTTGGCATCTTCTCTTGAGAAGTACGATCACCATCACAAGTGATATGACCAGAAATATGATGTATATTAAACGTAGGTATAATTAAATTGTATAAATTTTAAAGCTGGTTATAAAAAATAAAATAAGGACAAAGGTAGGAGGAGATCGAGAGGTAAAGATAAAAAGAAATCAGAAAAGATAAAAAGACAAAGATAAAGAGAAGCAAAATTAAGCAAAACAACGTAAAGTACATCAAAATATAACATGGTAATGAGGAATCTGAGATCCTCAAAAAACTGTTTTTCATTTTTCCTTCAGCTAAGACACCAAAGAGCTGATTTTCATTTTTATTTTTCCGCCTTCCTTTGGACCTTCTTCCTTAGACACTCCAATTGACTCCTTCTTGTCAATATCATCATCATCATCATCATCAACGCCATCATCCATACTGACATCCGCAGAGTCCCTATCCTTGTATTCTCCCCTTGGGCCTTCGATTCCCTTACTTGTAGGCTTATTTGCGCTGATACTGGATAAATTAAAACCTTTTTTAAATATATCCTTTTTCAACTCGTTCGCATTTTCTGTTTCACCATTAACTCCATCGCCAGCGTTAGTATTGCTACTGTTATTGTTGTTGTGAGCGGTGTTGTTTAAGCTATTAATAATTTTGTTGTTGGTCTGTGATATGTGTTGTTGCGCTTGTTGTTGAGAGATTGAATATTGGTTCAAACTGGTGACACTCAAACGGCCTCCCAAGCTTCCATGTCTACTCATGCTGAAATTTCCTAGACCATTCAAACTACTCCTGCGAAGGCCAGCTCCGGCACTGAAACTGCCAGCGTTACTATGTCCGTAATTGCCTGTAACACCCCAAATGCTGCCACGACGACTAGTGCTACTGTCACGATCACCTGTACTGAAAGAGTTTGCAAGCAGGTCTCCGCTGCCGATTGAGGAAGCCCTTGAGCTTCTTGAATCTCCTCTTGGTGAACTTGTCATCGATTCTAAGTTTGAAGATGGAGGACTCATGAGGTGGGTTGTATTTGTGCTGTTACCATTGTTATGAATTGATGTCAGTGAAGATAATGCGTTTAAGCCACCAGAGTATGGAGATGTCGAAGGATGTGGTAGTGGGAAACCGGAGCTCATACTTGATGTGACAGAGCCTATCGATGCGGCAGAATGTCTTCTTTTACTGACTAGATCATCTTTGATCTTTCTCTTTCTGGCAGTAGATTCATTCGCAGCACCATCGGGGTTATTCAGTGATAATAAGTTGTTGGCGGCGCCAAGACCACTGAGAGACGTCGGAGGTAATGAAGACAAAGGTGGTAATTTGAAGTCGACAGAAGCACTGCGTTGCTTTTCATTTGAAAAGCTCAAGGTGTTAGCTGAAGAAGCAGCGCTAACAGAAGAGTTCGATTCATTTGATGGAGTGTTCTTGGTGTTCATTTCTACCGATGTATGATTGCCAATGTTATCATTATTGTTGTTGGTGGCGGTAGCACTGCTTGAAGGGCGGGTATTATCGTCTTCATCCTCTTTTACGGTAGAAGAAACATTATCGTCATCACCATCAGATGCTGCGGTACCTCTTTTATCACTCACACGCTTGCGTCTACTAGCCCCACCGTTCCACCAGTTCTTAATGGCATTATCACTTCTGCCGTTCAAGTGGCGGGCTATTTCTGCCCAGCGCTTCCCATACCTATCCACCAACTCCTCAATCAACAGACCTTCTTCAGGTGTTATTGGTGTTCTATTCAAAGAGGGTTTTAAGTTTTGGTGGTACCTTTCACGGGCCTGCTTGGCGGATCGTGTTTCCAACATTTGGGATATTTTGACCCAATTGAGGTTTTTCTCTCCACCGAACAGAGACACCAAGTCAAGTAGGTGTTTGTCTTCCTCTGGCGACCAAGGGCCACGGCGCAATTTGGAGGACTGCTGCTGAGTTTGGTGTGGGTGTTGTGAGTAGTCTTGATGTTGAGGTATATGGGCTTTATTAGGGCTCTTGAGAGTTTTCTTGGACTTCAAGCTGGGGCCGGAGGACAGCGAATTGTTCATATTGGCATAATCCAAATGGGTTGGTATGCCGCTGCTGGAGCCACCTGCTGTCGACGGTGGCAGATTGTCTGTAGTTAGGGGTCCCATACTGAGGGAGGAGTCCTGGCTTGTTGCGGGGTTCAAGTTCTGATTTGGCACAGGGCTGTACTGGAACTGTTTCAAAGGAGGTAGCTGTTGGTTCTGCGGGATGTTCTGGTAGTACATTGGGTAGACGTTGTTGCCGTAGCCAACGGAGGAGGGAGGCGGTGGGGGGTAAGGTCGATATAACGATGGGATCATGGGCTGGCCCATCATTTGGTGTTGTGCCTGGGCTTGTGCGTGTGCCTGGGCATGAGCTTGTGCTTGTGCTTGTGCTTGTGCTTGTGCTTGTGCTTGTGCTTGGGCGTGTGCATGAGCCTGAGCCTGCGCTTGGGCGTGTGCCTGGGCTTCAGCTTGCGCCTGGGCCTGGGCCTGTTGCGGGTCCAGGGGTTGGGAGGTATAACAAGGGTATCCGTTCGGTTCGAGCATCTGGTAGTGTTGCTGGTGCTGGTGGTTGTGCTGGTGGCGGTACTGGAACGGTGTGTTCGTGTCGACGCTGTCTTTGGTGTCCTGCGGGGAAACGGTACTCTTTGCACTGAACATAAACCAGGGCGGCGTCAGGGGTCTGTGTGGGTCTCTGTGTGACTCTGTGAGCGTAAATATGGCGGCGGGTAGGACGTACTATAGAGGGCCTGCTGCGGAGAGGTGGGCATAAATGCACAACGCAGAACTATTCTTGGGTGGACGTGCTGATGCGCAGAAAGGTGTGTCGTAGCAAGGTGTTAGCGGGCCACAGACGTAGGGTGTGTAGCGGTGGTTGCCTTGTGTTGTGCTGTGCCGCGGACAATGTGCGTGTTGTGATGCGAGACGTTAGCCGGGTGTGTGCTGACAGGGTGGCCGCAATCGCAGTGGTAGAGGGGGACAGCTATACTGTGTAGCGGGGCAGCGGTGTGGGCAGCAGCAACGGCCTGTGGCAAGAGGAAGCAGGCAGGCAGGCAGGCAGGCGGGCACAGGGAAAAAAACGGTGCCGTGAAACGGGCAGATACACGGTACGGGGCCTGCGAGCGCCGGCGGGCGGAGAGAGCAAGGATAAGCCGGGCAGCAAGCAGCGGGCCCACCACAGACGGCCGGAGACGCCTGGGCACTCCTGGAGACGATGCAACACAATGCGATCCGACCCACCACAGGTGTCAAATTAAACCACGGGGCGGCCTCCCGGTAGGGGCATGCTGCGAGATACAGGGCGACGGGGCGGCCCGGATTGTTCGCCGGCGGGCATTTAGTTGGACGGGCGGTGACCGCTGGCGGCCGCTGCGGGCAGGCCGCAGGGGCGGAACAATAGCCGGCAGGCGGCAGCCGCAGCGGTGACGGGGGCGGGGACGGCCCTCGCTAGCCGGGGGGAAAAGCGGCCGAAGAGCCCAGGTTGGCGGCGCGCCGGTATTGCCTCAGGGCGGGCGTAGCCCTGTTTCTGCCTTGGGGCGGGCGGACCAATCACCGGGCCCGAGGGGCCGGGTGGAGTCAGAGGGGGGCTGCGCGCGGGCCGGGGAGAGTCAGGCGAAAGTGGGTTACGTCATGCGGACCGGGATACTGGATCTGGGGAACGGAAGAGGCCGGGGAACACATGGTTGGGTTCGTGGGTTCATGATCGGTGATATAAAGGAGATTACACAGATGCATGGCGGGGAAGACGGTGCCTGATGGGGAACTAGTCGGTGTGGTCGGTGTGGTCGTCGTGGCCGTCGTGGTGGCGGTTCCAGCTCAAGAGGTTGGTGTCGCCCGGGCGTCTGCCCTTGACCAGCACGCCAAAGGCCAGGACGAGGGCTAGGGCAAGGCAGATGAGGCCGCCGACGATCCAGCTGATGCCGAGGAAGGCGTTCTTGCCGCCGATGGAGCTGGCGGTGCTGAGGTAGACGTACTTGCCTCCGTGGTACTCGGTGGTGGGGAAGTGCAGGCCCACGCTGAGCTGGTAGAGGCCGCGGGTAAGGGTGTCGTGGTCGTTTCTGAGGGCCATGTTGCTGAAGTCGGAGAGCGCTGCGGGGGACATCCAGTTCTGGAACTGGGGCCAGTGGCCGATGTCCGGAAGGTTGGTCTCGTTGTAGCCGTTGGGGTAGAGCTTGGACCAGTTGGGCGGAGGCACGATGCTGCTGAGGTTGTAGGACGTCTTCTTGAAGCGGTTCTTGTTGGTCGACCAGGCGATGCCGTCGGTGGTCATGGCGTAGTTGCTTGCGTCGGTGTCGTTGACCGCGAAGAGCGTCGATTCGAACGTGTCGTTGAACATGGAGTTGGCTATCAAGCCGCACGGGTAGATGATCTTCCCCGCGTCGTCGACCGACAACGGCTGGCAGTTCTGGCCCACGGTGTCCTTGATCACGCTCACGCTCGCGTCCTTCCCGTTCAACTGGTCCTCGGAAAAGGACTTCACGTACTGCCGGTGGTTGGCGTGGAACCCGGTCAGCTTGTAGAAGAGGAACAGCGGGCCCTTGAGGTTGTTGGGGATCTCAAACTGCAGCTGGCAGATGTTCCGCTCCTCGTCAAAGCCGTCCCACACAAACGAGTCGTTTCTCGCCAACTTCCACTTCGGGGTCGTGCTCACCTTGCTCTTGAAGTGGTGCGTGTACAGCTCCAGCGGGACGTCCGTCCACGTGTCCGAGTTCGCCCGCGTGGAGCACTCCGCGTAGTTGATTGTGAAGTCCTGCACGTTGTTCGACGCGTGGAGCATCGACGCCCCGATAGGGATGAAGATGATCGCAAGACACACAAACATGGGGATGACCGCACTCGCCGTCAAGATCGGGTGGATCGCCTTCAACCGCTGCTGCGTGAAGTCGTCCTCCTTTGGCCGTCTCGACTTCCCCTTCGGCTTCTTTTCCAGCTCCGAGTCTGCCTCGTCGTCATCCTCCATCAAGTCCTGACGGTCGTTGATCTCCATGCTCACCTTGTCCTCGTCCCCCGCGTCTTGCGGGTCTCTCTGATGGCGCTTCTTCAGCCCAAAGATGTTGTGCATGTTGTTCTGTAGGTTCGTGACACCCTGCGAAAAGTTCGACATCGTGGCTTGTGTCCTGCTGTCCTCCGAGTGCTGTCCTCCGAGTGTGTCTGCCTTCGCAATTCCCTCTGCTGCAATAAGGCTGTGCGTTGGTTCGAGCTGCACAAGAGACAACAGTAAATAAAAGAATCATGTCTCTCTCTGTCTCTGTGAACGAAGCCTCCGCCAGAGCTGGAAAAAAAAAAGCTACGCGCCGTCTACAGATGAGGAAAGAAAAGACACTTGTCTAAAGACGGAGGTACAAAATGTGGATGAAAAGGAAATGCGCATCAACTGCACCTTTTCCCTGGGTTTGTTACAAACCTATGAATGTATCTGTCGGTTCATCTATTTACAAGATCGATGTTTCTATAACGGACTCATTGTTGCGCCTTTGCAGCATCCGCAGACTCCTGTTCCGGCGCTGGCTCAGCGGCAGCGCCAGCAGTGGCAGTTGCAGCTGCTGCCCTCTTGCCCTCTTCGGCACTCAGAAATCTCTCATAGGTGCTTGGGGTGTTCTGCTTCAAGTTCTCAACGTCTGCGAGGAACGTGCTCCATCTCGAAACTAACTCCAGTAGCTGTGCGTTGTTTTCGGCATACTCGTGCTTCGAGGCGTCCTTCAAGGCGCTGATTATTGAGTATGCGTGGTCGTACTGCAGATAGTCGGTTTGAGGCTTGACGGTGTACACCTTGTTCTTTGTGAGGGCGTCCAAATGGTTCAAGGCTGTCGAGTTCTCTTTTAGACTGTTAGAGTAAACAGACGCAACCACCAGCGAGGCGTTGTACAAAATGCTGCCTGTCTCGCTCATCTCTGCCTTGGCAGCCCAGTGCTTCATCTTCTCCACCATTGTCTGGAAGTTCACCTCCGGGTTGGCTGGGAACGAGGTCTTGATGATCATCGAGCGAACAAACGCAACAGCCTCGGTGTTTTTCACCGACCACACCGAGTCCTCTTCCCGGATCTGGTCGGCCCAGACAAGGTTCTCGGTGAAGAGCTTGCTGTCAAGCTCGTAACTCTTGTACAAAAACTCGTTCAGCACCGAAGGGTCGAGGTACTTGCCCTTGTTGGAGTCCTTCTTCGTGCTGCCCTTTCTGGTCTTGCTGCTTATTCTGATTTTCGAGAGCTCTTCGAGCGACGAGCGCACGAGTTTCACCTCCTCCGCGGTGAGCAACAACGATATGAACTTGATCAACTTCTTTTTCGAAGGCACCCCGGGATACTGGCGAGGGGTTAGAGGGTTGTTCTTCTTGTCCACTGCGTTCAGCGAGGTCAACACCTCCGCATTACGCTGGCGGTACACCAATGGACGCCACTGCGACGACAAGGAGTGGTAGTAGATGTAGTCGTCCAACTGAGACTTGAACGCATACAGTGAGCTACTCTTGCTGCTGCTGCTGCTGCTGCTGCTGTTTCTGGAGATCGCAGACGTCGCAAAAAAACGCCTAACGTGTGCAGACTGTCTAAGCATGGTTCGGTCTGTGTGGTCTTGTGTCCCTGTTCCGAGAACACCAAAGAATGTCCACCTCTCTTCCTCAGCACTCCCCAACTACTGGCTGTTGGCACTGAAATTGTTCCTTTCTCCCTCCATTCGACGCACAAAGAAAAAAAAGTATCGACAGGTCCAGACAGCGCTGAGCATCGACGCGTCGGTTCCACGATCAGCAACAGAACCGACGCGTCGACGAGGCGCCAGCCTCGTTTATCGTATAACGGGAGCGGAGGAAAATTTCTCTCCTTTTTTGCTCCCGTTCTTTTCTTTTTCCTTTGTTTATGTTAGGTGGAGTGCCAAGTGTGACACTTCACGTGGTTAAACGTACGGGGGCAGGCTTTGTTTGTTTGTTCTGGTGCTAGGTGCTGTTGTTCTTTCTAGTCCCTCTTCTTCCTCCTGCTCGTGCAGACACACACATCTGGCCTTCTTGCACACACCAGTCCATTGCAGAAAGATGCAGCTTGTGGATTACAATGACATAGTGTTGATTGACGGAATCAGCCAGCCGGTGGCGAAGGTGACGCTGCAACAGAGCTACATCGAGGGCGTTCCGGACACGATGATTGCGTTGGTGGCTCCGATCGTGGCATACTGGGTCTACTCGTTCTACTTCCACATCATCGACGTGTACCAGCTCTTAGAACAGTACAGAATCCACCCTTCGGAAGAACAGCTCTCGAAAAACAGGGTCACGCTACCGGTGGTGATCAGAGACGTGATCTTCCAGCACGTCATACAGACGGTGACGGGCTTGATTGTGTACGTTTTCGAGTCGCCTCCGCTGACGGGATTCGAGAACGCCAAACTGTGGGCTTGGAGGCAAAACCTACCGCCCTTCGTTCCAACGGTGGCCATCTACCTGTTCTACTGGTACGGCATCTCGATGATCAAGATTATGACGGCATTTCTCATCATCGACACCTGGCAATTCTTTCTACACAGATCGATGCACCAGAACAAGTTCTTGTACAAACACTTCCACTCCCGCCACCACCAGCTCTACGTGCCGTATGCGTTTGGCGCATTGTTCAACAACCCGGTCGAGGGTTTTTTGCTAGACACCGTGGGAACAGGAATCGCCTCGCTTGCGTTGGATTTGACGCCAAGAGAATCGATATTCCTTTACACGTTTTCGACCCTGAAAACCGTGGACGACCACTGCGGCTACTCCTTGCCTTGGGACCTGTTCCAGAAGGTTTTCCCAAACAACTCCATCTACCACGACATCCACCACCAGATGTTCGGCATCAAATACCACTTCAGCCAGCCTTTTTTTGTCTTTTGGGACACCATCTTCAGCTCGCAGTACCACGCCATCGACGACTACAAAGAACAACAGAAGCAAATCACTCTTGCCAAGTACAAGCAGTTTTTGAAAGATAGGAAGAAGAAAAGTTGATTTTCACCCACACAAAGATAAGCATAACATAAACCGAACCCGAGTACAACTTATATAGATTTAAGTACGCCCCATATATATCGAGGAAAACAATACAACACTATTATGTGACAATACATTAATAATACCCGAAACGCCCTTGGCCGGAAAGGAACCTCATCCTTCTCGGGTCTCTAGTTCTAATCTTGGTCTTCGGGATCGACGCGTCGATTCGTCTGATCGCTTTTCCGCACTTTTTTTTTTGTCCTCGTCGAGAGGAAGAAGCTCAGCGAACGAAGGGGAAGGGAGCCGGTACAGAGTGATCAAGAACAGTGCATGCACTACTTGTCGTCAATAGACAGCGTCTCTCTGCTGCCTCTTTCATACTGTTGCTTGTTCAAAACCCAAGACAACAATGGCCACCAAGTTCAGAAACTCTTTCTGGCTAAAAACCAACGAGTTTGCGCCACAGGTGTTCCTTTTCCGTAATATCGAAACTGGGCAAGTGGTGTACTCGCAGACCCCACATGTCACGAAATACCAGATAAAACAGCAGTTTTTCCGTCCTAACAAGGAGAACAAGAAGCCGCTTCCACGTCATGATATCTGGCGTCCTTTGGCCGTTGCACAATTTAACGACTACCAGAAGGCGGTCCAAGCTTATCATGGGTTGGTGGAGTTGAGATACATGCGCCAGGTCAGCAGAAAGGATGAGTCCCAATCTCTCAGAAAACTCAATGACTACAACAGAATCTGGTGCTCAGGACAGTACAGACCAACCTACACTATGGAGTCGACCGCCGATTTGAGTGCGGTCATTGATGAGCTTAAATTATCCGAAAACTGTAAGATTTACTGGGATGGACTGTGGTGGCGAGGTGATGCCAAACACTGGAACGAAAATATAGAACATATCGATTTGGAAAGATTTGGTAGAAGAGAGAAATTTGTCATCCTCGACGAAATAAGAGAGAAGGGACTGTTGGATTTCCAAAAGAACTCCCAACTGGAAGAAGCCCAACCTGAATCCCAAACTCAGCCTCAACAGCAAACAACTGCTTGATCCAAACAATGCATACTCACATGTACATAGCGTTTGCCTACCTCTTAGTCTTTTGGCGCCTATATATATAACTCCCCGATACAAGTTATAGAAACTTAATATACTCTTCTGTTGTCTCAGAAGTGTACGCAGTAGCTCGCACCTATATTTTACTGGGGGAAATCAAATATCACTGATAGTTGTGCTTGATCTTTCACAAATATTTGCTTCGTGAAGATCTGACTAGCACATTCTTTTGATATTTTCCCCCTACTGCAACCTTTCAGCTATTTTTCAACCCCAAGGTCCAGTCACAAGACCTTAGCAGCCACAATGTCTTCTACTTCCGCCCCAATTGTGAAATCTGCAGATATGGTACGCATATTCATCCATTCCCGTCTTCCATTTTTGTTGGGCACATTCCGAACTAACACATTCCAATCGATTCCTTGGTTTCCAACAGGAACAAGAGCAACAAACAGAAGCTCTTGAAATAGCTTCTACTCTTTATGCTGAACTCAAAAGTAAACAATCAGAGCTAGCGTCAGCGCTTAAGGGCAAACTAGATGAAACTTTCGGTGGTCCTTGGCATGTTGTTGTGGGTAAGAGCTTTTCTTCTAGTGTTTCACATGAAAAGAATGGCTTTATCTACTTCTACATCGAGAATCTCGCCTTTCTTTGCTTTAGAACTGCTTGAAGGACCGTTCTACTTTGATTTCGCTCACATAACCACGAGCCCATAACTTTAAATATACAGATATATAATACCTACCTATCTGAATTGTAACTAACTAACTTTCTACCAATTTTGAATCCCTTGCCTTTGAAGCCAGCTCTAGTCATATTTGACTCTGGACCAGTCTTCGGCATATTCTGCAAGCTCTGCAAATCTTCGTGATCAATTTTCAAGCTCTCATACTTCTCATAAAGCTCGTCATAGTCGTTTTCTAAAAGCGAATGTGCAATGTAAAGTTTTTGATATTTTTTATTCAAGTATGCTGACCCATCATCGTTAGATACTTTCTGAATACGCCCTTCCTCTACCATATTTCGTTTCATTCCTCTTCTTATGTTCGAAATCACATTGCTGCGACTCAATTCTCCTTTCTTTATTCTTTTAGCAAACTCGTCTTCCACATTTTGGATCATTCCCAGTAAACCAACATAGTGCTCTACCAAATTCCCTAAGAATATACTGTCCTCCAAATTTCTGATTTTATTTTCTTCCAGCTTTACAGACTTCTCGTATTCAGTGTAGAGCCCCATTAATGTCATGGAGTTTGATGCGTGGTCCCCCTCCTCCTCATCCTCCTTCTCCTCTTCTTCTTCTTCTTCTTCTTCTTCTTCTTCTTCTTCTTCTTCTTGCACCTCATCCTCATCTGCCGCATCCTTCTCTTCTTCTTCCATTTTTGAATTATTGTGTATAACTTTGTGCATCTTTATCAGTTTTTTATCTGCCTCTAAGAAAATATGCTTTTGTTTGGAAGAACCTCCATGTATGGATCTGCTCTTGACATGACATTTCCCGTCTTCAATACTGTCATTATTGGCGTCAGGAACTTCGTCTTCAGCTGAATCTACAAACAGCTTCTCTCTGTCATTATCATTTCGCCTTACAACGCAATTTTCAGTGTCGCATACTTCGTTATTTTCTTTCACATTTCCACCAGTTGATCTTTCCTCTTGTTGTTCCGGACTCACTTCCTCTGCCTTCTCAGATTCTCTGTCTGGCTCTTTGCTGGCACGTGTTTCTCCGAATACACTACTAGTTAAAGTTTCCACTATTTTGTCCTGAACTCTCCTTACAAAGCGTTCCATTTTAAGATTTTCCAGCTAGTTTCTTCTAGAAGGAAACAATCTCAAAAAACAGCCTGTTAATCGTATAGAAAATCATGACAATACAATACTGTGAAAAAACATTTATCAAAAATGCAAAATAACAACAGTTCTCATCCAAAAAAAAGCAAATATTTCCGATACCGGGAGTCGAACCCGGGTCTGCCCGGTGAAAGCGGACCGTGATAGCCGTTACACTATATCGGAATTGTTTACTTTTTATTTGGCTACATTATACATAGCGCTATATCTTTAACTTTTATTCTAGATTGATAAAGCTTTTATTGGATTATGTTCTGTACCGAAATCATTCTGTTGAGATAAGATGCCCAAACCAATCATGATCGAGGGATAAGAGATAAGAGTCATATCATGATAAGGTATCTTAGTGTTGAGATAAGATGCCGAGGCCAATAAGGATTGAGTGATAAGAGATAAGAGTCTTATCATGATAAGGCATCTTAAGTAATCTAAAACTGGAAAGTTAGCCGCCATGATAAATGAATAATGGCAAGTTTAACCGAAGGTGTAAGTGTATAAATACAAGAGGTTTGTCCCTTGTATTTATGTTTGAGAATATTAGTTTGTAGGCTAGTTATATTAGTTATATATTAATAAGCAACAACTATAATATAAAGTGAACAATATACTATGGATATTCATAATAGAATAGCTAGATTACAACAGGTTATGAGCCAATTCGCTCTCACTTGCCCTAGAGATGAGAGCTTGAAGCTTTCTTCGTCTATGAACTATCCTAAATGGAACAGTTACACTGGTATGCTTGTTGCCACTCAAGGTGCTGGCCTTGATATTTATTTTACAACTGGAGATATGATGTTACCTCCAGCTGAACCGATAGACGACACTCTAGTTATGCAGCTCCAAGTTGCCTTGAACAATGCGATTCAAGTTGTACTGTTGAATACTGTGTCGTCAAAAGTGTTGTTAAAGTATCAGTCTGATAATGCGTTCGGACTTGATTTACTTATGTTGATTAGACGTGATTACTCCCAGGTTACATCACGCCAATTGTATGCTATGGTTAATAAAGCTTGTGATGCTTCGGTCAGTAAGTCTGCCGGTGATGAAAGTGCTCTGTCCTTGTTCAGAGATATCTGTGCTCATTTCAACCACTCCTCGGAAATTACCCAAGTGATGGGTTTGTTTGACTTAAGGATGTTTAAGTCCGACCAAGCGAATGCTCGAGTCTTAGATGTGTCAACTCCGAACATTACGTTGTCAGCGGTTGAGAACACTCTGCGGGATCTTGTTCCTACTACGCAGGGTTCAGTATTTGCGGCTACTTCCAAGAAGCCTTATGTTAATAAGCAGAAGTATTACCGATGCCAGAAACGAGGCCACGTTGCTAAGGATTGTCCAGCTGCTGCCCCGATTGCTGCTAGCAGTTCTAGTGGTAATACAGCAGCTCTTGTCAACTCCTCATCCAAATCTATTTCTGGTATCTCTTGGGCAGTTTTCAACTCAAGAGAAGACTCAGTTATGCCAAGTCGGAGCTATATTTTGGATTCTGGTGCTACACTTCACATCTCAAATGAGCGGTCTCACTTTGCTGAGTTTACTTTGGCGTCTGGCTACATTACTGGGATATCATTCAATCCTCTGGTCGTTAAAGGTACTGAGACTATCCACTTTGTGCACCCAGTTACCTCAAAAGTTCTTACAGTGTCTGACGCCTCCTTTGTCCCCGATGCCACACAAAATCTTATCTCCATCAAAAAGACCTACACATCTGGTTCGTTTACATTTTCTCATGAAGCGGTACACTATCTCTCATCTTCTGATGATACGGCTAGTAAAATTGCGACCGCTTGTGGGCCAGACCTGTACGAGTTTGATTATACTCCAGTAGTTGGTGATGCACTAGCAGTTCCTGGTGATATCAGTCATGCGGCCCTCGGTCACCCTTCGCCAGCAGTTATGTCTCAGATGGAAGTCCCTTGTGGTCCCAAAATTGTTGAATGTGCTTCATGTACTGTAGGAAAGATGACTCAAATCTTTCCCAACGTCCTGGTGTGATTTCCATGCATCTCGGTCAGTAATTATTAGCAGGATTCTTCGGTGATTTCAATATGTCTGACTGTAATACAGTTCAGACCCCCCTTGTTGCTGGTTCGTCCTTGGCCCCTGAGGGTAAGCCGCTCTCTGACAAAGATGCTTCCCTGTATCGCACCATGGTGGGAAATTATTGTTTGCTGCGAATACAGTGAGGACCGATTTGGCATATGCGGCATCGGCCCTGTCAAGATTTATCAAAACCCCGTATGCAAATCATTATGCTGTTGCTAAACATGTTCTTCGGTACATAAAAGGTACTCTCGGTTTAGGACTAGTATTCAAGAAGACCACGAGTTTCAATTTAGCTGGTTACTGCGATTCCGATTGGGCTGGTGATAAGGTGGACAGAAAGTCGATTACCGGTTATGTTTACATGTTAGGAAATACTGCAATAACATGGAAATCCACGAAACAGCAGACGGTGGCGCTATCTTTTCCGGTGGTTAACACAACTGCTGAAACACATTGGACTCAAAATGAACAAGGTCCCTTGCACCTTTGAAGACAACGAAGGGTGCAGAATGCTATCAACTCATCCGGTTCATCACAGAGAACTAAACATATTGATATCAAACATCATTTTGTTAGACATCATATTTCAGAAAGAAACTGTGAGGTAGTTTCAGTCGACATTAAAAGTCTAGAAATACAAAAGGTACCCCTTGCGTTTTGTTGAGATAAGATGTCGAAGCCGATAAGGATCTAGATATAAATAACTATAAGTAATAACAAGTATGCTAAGATAAGCTATCTAGACAGATAAGAGATAAGAGAGATGAGAATAAGGCGTTGCGAGTCAAAGAAAGAGCCTTATAAAGACAAGGCATTAATCCAAAACTAGAAAGATTAACCGAAGTGATGAGAAATACAACAGGTTTATCCCTTGTGTTTGTGTTTGAAAGTATTAGTGTGTAAGTAAGTTATGTTAGTTCTATACAAAATAAGCAATAGGAATGATAAGGATTGAAAGGATGAGATTGCAGCATAACGCTTATGGCTTGTTCCTTATCAACCATGGTATTTTATCTCAATGAATACAAGCAATTTCCCCCTTGTATTTATGTTTTAGATCTCTTTTTAGTAAGTTATCAAAACAAAAAAATTGAAACTCTATACTAGGAATGACGGATAGACTTTGACTCCGCACATTTTAATGCACTCATTTACTGGTTAATTGAGGAGATCTCATTGCACTTAATAAAAAAAAGCACTACGATACAATGGTTTGATAGGCTGAGCCACATTTCATGAACCTTTTTTTAGCATGTCACATGAAACAATGAATGTACTCAGCAACCATGAATGAAAACCATAACTTTCACGAATTTGTAGAAGAAGAACCAAGAAACCGGAAACCAGCATTTAAATTAGGTCCAGTCATCTTGTTTTTTATATGCAGAACAACTACAAAATAGTAATGAATCAAAAAAGAGGAAAGGGATTAAAATTGTCTGTCATCTTTTAACTGTTGTGGGGCTGAACAAATTGACTGCCCCCTAGGCTTACACCCTTTCACATTTTTGCGATTGACTCAGCTCTCATCCTTTTTTGAATATGACCTGATTTGTTTTGACAAAGACCCTACATGCCTCGTTTAAATATTTTTTCAGTATGGGTAAGGCGCTATCGGTTAGCCTATATTAATAAAGGTGTTGTTGCAACTGTGGATACATTGCAATAAAGTTTGAAACTAGAGGTAAGGCCAACTTGCTTGGTGACTAATCCATCCAATGCCTCGGTGAGCCCTAAATTCACACCAGCCTAGATATCCACTTATGAATCTTTCACTTACTCACCCTTCGAAAAAAGCCTTTTATAATAATAAACCTAATCTGGGAGACTCGTATGTGAAAAGGGCATGGAATTCACTAGAAGAAGCGTACTGATTCACATGGCTATATCAATCTATACAAGTATTCTTCGTCAATTATAACCTTTTTTATTTGGGTTAGTACGAAAATTATCGAGATCAACACAGTTTTAGTGATTAAAGAACACCAAAGTTCATCGATAGGTTCTAAATGAAGTGTATGCAGGATAGTTAGAATAAAATGAGTAACATTATCCCGACAGTTAAAAATGCTTTCTGTTAGACGAGAGACAAATTGTTAGATATTGGACAACTTATCAAAGTGAAGGTTTTTGTAGTTTATTTTGCTGCTAGCTATTTTATATCAAAATTCATCTGGAACTTAGAAGCGTCTTCAAATAATTATTTTTGTCAACCTGAAGAGAAATTGCAGCAAGTGATAAACAAGATGCAAGATGTAAGTGAGTCAGTAAAGCATGCTATGTATATAATTTAAGTAAAAGGACTTCGATTCAAATGTTTTTTTGCCGAAGTGCTGGTTGAGAAATGGAGAAAATTCTTTTTGTATTGATTGAGCTAACGACCTCAAATAGCTCATATGCCGAAAAATATCACTTGTTTGATTGCAGGTTTTTTTCCAAGAAATATCAACTTACAACAAGCGTATCAGAAAAATAAAAAGATGCGTAGTTCATGTTAACGATTTGTTATTTGTCTCCAAACTTTCCATAAGTTTTTACTTTTCTGTAAGGTGCGACGTGAGTTAGTAGTATTCTAACCCAATCAGTGGATATGTTATGGAAAGCCTGAATGGGCAATTTTTCGCAACTCAAAAATGGTAGCCAACATATTACTATTCATGAGAGCTGTAATATGATGTTTTTTTTAGTTCCAATCTCTTCTTACAAACATTTGGCGCAGCTAATTATCATTCTGCGAGTTGATGCTTATTGAATCAAGTGTCTAATTCTAGCTAAACGCTTCAACCTAAGTTTCTGAATTCTGGGGTATGTAATGTTATTTATTCAGTAACTGAGTATAGTCCTTTATTAATTTGATGTTAAGCTTTGCTGTTACGTATTTTAGAGATACCTCTATTCTTTGGTAAAAAACTGTGGCCAGTCGCCAAAGCTCGGAATTTGTAATACTTGGGGCTAAATATCAGTGTAGAACTATCGAGATACCATCTCTCTTCATTTATAACTATTACTCGGCCAAAAATAATGGCTGAAAACTGCTAGAATTTATTAGTTTGAAGTGACCAATATAGTCTAATTGTACCTAACTGCACCGAACTATAGCTGAACCGGTGTATGCAACATCTTTCATCATAACTTTTCTGCAAATTTAATAAAATAATATAGATTACAGAAATACAAAATATTTGAATGGAAAGATCATTCTGATTTCCACATTTCCTAAGCAATTAAAAATTTCCTATATGCTTAACATCTCAGTAATTAAGACTCAGAAACTCTTAAACTATAGGTCGGTACAGCTGTTCTGTGGTAAAGTGGTGGGGGCTAAAAAAAGGTTTTAACAGCTCAGGTTGGTTCAACCTTGAATTTGCATAGTCTACCACATGCACCCTGCTTTAAGTTTTGTAATTTATAGTGTTTAGCCGTCGGAATCCAGCAATTGCATAAAAGTTCTTGAAATCAGTTCCAGTCAGTATTGTCTAGTTGGTTTTCTACAACTACGGATTACACCACAACTAAAGTTTTGCAAACCGAGACCTAAATCACCAAAGAACTACAATTTTAACAATATTTTGTAGTGCTAATCATTGATCCGCAGAAGTCATCGGTATTGAAGCAGTAAATATATACTACTCAGCTGATGGATTTGAAAAGAAACAGGTTCGCTCTATCTCAACCAAAAATAATCTATTACTCATCAGAGGCGGTTTCAAATTTTTTTCTTTGAAACTAAGCTTTCTGTTTTGCATATTATTTTCTTTGAAAAATTCCGAGGCCCAAAATAGTACAAAGATTTTCTTTCGGAGTTAAATCTTCAGATAGTTTGCGCTGTCCTGCTCAGGACCAAGGATTTTTTTACATGAGTTTCATGAAGAAAGGAACTATAGGCGAGGAACTTGTGTTGAAACTCGGGTCACACGTTAGTTAAGGTCTCAAGGTGTTTGTACCAGCAAAAACAATATATTTTCAATACACTGATCAAGTGTTTGTTTGTCAGATTCTGAGCCAGAAAAGGAACTGATGGCACTCTGTATCTTCTTTTATTCCCAGTTGCGAGGACGTTTGCTTATTTTCGGTGCTGTTTTACCAATCCAATTAATCACAGTGATTTGTTACTGAATCACTGAGCGTTGGTTAAATTGAAAGTTGACTTTCTTAGACTTTTAGTTCAAGAGGATACTCTTTCTCAAATTTTCCTTCAAGAACATAATGAAAACCATTGTAAACAACTTAATGCATGTATTTGTTTTCTTTTGTGTGTTACTAATGCTCTTTATTTTTAGACAGTAAGAGTTGTTAAAAAGCTTGTTAGTCCGTCATCTCTTTTTATATTATACGGTGACATCCGTTAAGATTCAGTATAATGTTTTGATTCCTTAGTATTCTATTTTTTCAATCAAGCTCGGTCATCAATCATTCCGAAATCAGGGTTTGACCTGCAAAAAATTAATTATTCAAACAATCTGAAGTACAATGATTTTTGTTAAGATAAGTTGTTGAGATAAGATGCCGAAGCCAATAAGGATCGAGAGATAAGAGATAAGAATCTTATCATGATAAGGCATCTTAGTAATCTAAAGCTGGAAAGTTAGCCGCCGTGATACATGTATAATGGAAAGTCTAGCCGGAGGTATAAGTGTATAAATACAAGAGGTTTGTCCCTTGTATTTATGATTGAAAGTATTAGTTTGTAGGTTAGTTATATTAGTTATATATAAATAAGCAACAAGTATAATAAAAGGTGAGCAATATACAATGGATATTCATAACAGAATAGCTAGACTTCAACATAAGTGTTGAGACAAGATGCCGAAGCCAATGTGTATAAATACAAGAGGTTTGTATGTCCCTTGTATTTATGTTTTAGAGTGTTAGTTTGTAGGTTAGTTATATATAAATAAGCAACAAACGTAGTACTAAGATATACTACAAACAATGGATACTCAATCTAGAATAAACAGTTACAACAACAAGATGCCAAAGCCAATCAGGATTTAGAGATAAGTTATCCAGACCGATATGAGATAAACGCCTTATAACGAGAAAACATTTAAGTGATCTAAAACTAGAAAGACTAGCTGACGAGATACGTAACACAAAAGGTTCGTCTCTTGTATTTGTGTTTGAAAGTATTAGTATGTAAGTAAGTTATTTTAGTTCTATATAAACAAACAACAAACATAATATAAGATTTACTGCTAATAATGGATATTCAATCTATTCAATAGATTACAACAATTTGTGCCTTACTTGAAATCGTCAATTAATCTTGACGCGGATGGCTCCAGTAGTTCAGGATAAGATGACAAAGGTAATATTCATTACAGTAAAGGTAAGAGATGTTGGTTGATAAGATGAAACTATGAAATTACAACTTCGAGATAATTTACAAAACACTAGAGTATTTCTTAAGCGAAAAGATTAATCAGTATAAAAGTTTGCAAGTTGAATTAGTTATCTATATGAGAACAAAAAAACAGACAAGGTTTGCGAGGTATAACATAGTAAGACCAAAAAATAAACAGACTTCAGTAAATAGCTCTGTTGATGTCTCTTTATCGTAGCTGAAATATTCATACTTTATATTTTGTATTTTTGTTTGTTACCCAATATACCCATTTTATATAATATACCAACAAACTGAAAACACCTTGTATTTAAAGATTTTTACTTCTTACTTTTCTCAAATATAGATTACTTCAATGTTTTAAGATTAGAATTTTAAAGTACAGAAAGGATATTACTGGAATTTAGTTTTGTTTGCTCTAGCTTTTAAGCTAACTTACAATACTCTATCAAATGTGGGTTCTGTGACATCAAAATGGATGGATCAATCGGAAGCATGCAATTTCAGAAGTTGTAAAGAAAAAGGTTTCCAACATGCTTGCTTACTTATTGTCAAAACTTGTTCATTGCAGGCAAAATCTTGCGAAGTGTCTTTCAGTTGCACTATTAACCTTGCGGGTAAAACAGGCCGAGGAAGATACAGATTACACAGTAGCATATTAATTAGAGTACTTAAAGGTAGTTTTGCAGCTTAAGTGCTAGTATATATTATAATGTGCATCAAGGCAGACTTCTGCAAAGTGAGCTCAAAACCTACACGCTTTAAGTATGAGCTTCCCGTCTAGGAATGTCTATCGCACATAACTAAGTTCGTTTTTTTATATTTCGGCTGTTCTTTGGGATTATGTTTGCAATACAAGTTAAATACGGTTGTGGTTCTGCAGGTGTTTGCGTATACTTACACACTCATCATTTATTCTACAGGATAATTACCATCCTTCGATTAAATTCGTGAGTGGGTTTATGAAATCAAATTTTACAGTATTCTGACAATATTTCCACCAAATTGTGAGAATTTGAAGCAAATAGATATCGAGTAAAAAAACAACTGTTTTCCTCAGCATTATTCTAGGTGATAAAAACTATCTCGTGCTGATGCTATGCCTGCCGAATATTTCAATTTGTATTTTATCTTTTAAACCCAGTGTTCTGAGTATCTAATGAGCCTTTAGACCTGTTTAAAATATTTGCAAACAAAAAAAGAAAAGATATATTTTCATTAGCTTAAACGGTAGCAATAAATAAGATGCAGAAATTGCTTATACTGAAGCCAAAAGTTTTAGATTTGTCAAATAACTTTGATTTTAGTCAATTTCTTCAATTATAGCATCATTTACTTTGAAGCGAAGCTTCTGGATTAGCCAAACAATGTTTTAACCAGTAAATTAAACTCATTAAATAACTGAGGTGTTGATGAATAATTGAGTTTGCGACAGAATAGTAGACCAATAAAAGTCAACTATTGATATTTGAAGAAATTTTACAGAAAAACGCTAAATCGTAAACCAAGTTTAAGTATCTTAAGCGAGTTATAATAAAAACGATTTGATGACTTTTATAAATGGTTTATTTGATAATGATGACAGAAAACTTCAAGCTAAAGCATTGTAATTTACTATCTCAAAGTATAGTACCAGTAACCACTACATTAGTGACAACGGCCCAATCTCTGAAAATGGAAAACTGGAAACGTCTTACGCAAATGTATCCTTTTTGGTAAAATTAACGAAAATTTCGACTATAAAAGAATGCTCTAATACGAGTGTTTGTTGCATTCGTAAACTGTGTAGTAATAATGAATTCATATTTTCCTAGACATTTTGAAACTGTTATTTAGCTCGGTATTTTTTCGAAGATGTACTACACATATTTTCTGGATGCTTCTGAGACGTATGGTATCTATAAGTTCTTAATTTCAATGCTAAGAGGGCTATACCGAAGCTCTGATTCTTTTGAGGCGTTAGAACCCTTGAGGGCCAAATTTGATGAGCAACACGATAGGTTGTATGACTTCTATGCGCAGTGCACGGCGGTTAGGTATCTATCGACGTTGATAACAATTCCAAAGTTGCCATTTGATGCACCTACGTTGGCAGACGAGCAGAAGAGTGTTTCACCTTTGATAGAGCAAGGAATTGTCCAAACACCGGCTGATTATGCCAATGTGCAAAAAGCGGTTTCATCACAGCCAACAGGGGCGGTTGCAAATGCGTATATGGCAGGACAACAGGCATACGAAGCGCAGCAGCAGCAATTAGAGCAACAGCGGCAGCAGCAGCTGCAACAACAACAGCAGGAGCTGGAACAACAAAGACTGTATTGGGAGGAGCAACAGAAAAGAAATTCGGAAGCGCAGCAGCTAGCGCAACAGCAATTGCTGCTTGATCAAGCGCAGAGGCAGGCTCAGGGCCGAGTTGCAGAATTGGAGAGAGACATTTTGGCGTTGAAAGGCCAGTACGATAGTGACCAGTTGATGCTTAGGAG